CAGACTGATATCGGAGGCACCATTGCTGGCGACCCAACGAGGACGAGCCCGTTTGGAAATGAGGATACCCATTATTGTTCCATGAGTGAACAAAATGATCCGAAAAGCGTACAAACACAGCTAATTCAAGAGCGCCTAGATCAGCTTGATGAGCAGATAAGAGCACACATCAGGCATGTCGGCGAAGCTGAATTGAAGGTGATACGAACCGATTCAAAAGATCAAGAACTGCTCGAAGATTTTGATACGCTTCGTCAGCACTCTAATGTACTTCGCGATAAGAGGGCATTTTTAGAGACTATGCTTGAGCGGATGAATGCTGGCATATCAATCAACGGCCATGTATACAGCGACGTGCCTAGTATACGTCGCTCAGATGTACATGTGGATTCTCCGAGTGATTACATGGACATGCCTTCGATCCCCTCCAATGTGGAGTTTGAGAGCGAATTTGAGAATCGCTTCGTTATTCACAATATGCAACTCAAATGGAACAACTTGCTGCGTAATATTGTGCTGCGATATGTCCATCAGAGTAGTCAACGGCGTGGTTTTATATATTACCTATCTAGACCGGCAGTCAAGTTTATTCTAGACATGGTAGAGGAGCAAACTAGGCTTAGGGATGAGAAGAACGGAGCTTCAGAGTCAACACCTGCATCAACACAAAATGGAACCCCCCCATCTCCCGATGGCCCCCCCTGCGAGAAGGATGCCGCTAAGGATCTCGGAGATCGTATAAAGAGCATTTTGGCAGATGGTCGGAAATTCTCAACAACCACCGGCTTTGCTACCAATGCCAATGGTGTTGTTGAAGGTTCCATCGAAGACTTGGAAGATGGCATTTCTGACGAGTTCAACCCCCAAAGCAGTTATCATGTCCGACTCATTGCTCCGCAGATTCAGCTACAGAGCGAGAAGAACAAGAAGCACGTTGTCTTGGTCACTTCAAAGGCAATGGAGCTGAAGGTGGTGGAAGTCATGGAGAAGTCGAGAATCGCAGACAATGTCAGCGGTCTTGTCCAGCGCCGTTTCTTGGTTAACATGGACAGCACTCAGTTTTTCGTCACGCACCAGAAGTGGTTCCAGACCAACCTGGTGTCTATGTATTCGGGTAGCAAGTATGGTACACCAACAGGCTCCTCGTGGCCACCTTGGGTCCCTATGGAAGTCATGTTTGATTTCAAGACCGATCCTTTCGGCTTTAAACGTGTCGTGCAGAAAACTTCAGCAATGCTTCGATATGACAAGTACAACACTCTTCGCTTGAAGTACAACGACGAAGTCAATTGTGAAAGCTCTGATGGAGCCACCAAAGAGCCCACAGAGACACGTGTGGACAATCTCTGGGTGGAATTCCCGCAAGCGCGCGCTCTCTGTAACTCATCGCAGTATTATGCCATGTATGTCATTGTGCTTGATCTGCTCATGTATAGCGAGCCCCTTGAGAAGACGAGGAATGAGCGCTTGGAGAAGATTATTCTCGCGTCCGATTTTAGCGACCTTAGCGGCATACCGGAGATGGTGATGAAATTGCAGGATCGGATCAGACAAATGGAGGAAATCAAGTCGCATTTCCAGATCTACTCTCCATATTTGGACAAGAGAGGATGGGAAGACCGCTTGGCTTTGGAACGTGATCTAGCTGCTTCTGAGGACGAGCTCTTCTTTATGATGAAAGCCATCATGACTTCACAAAGGAGGCTGGAGAAGAACACACACGCTAGCGCGCTGCTGAAATGGAGCATTTCTGCTCGAGATATCGTATGGCATCTTATGCAAGATTCGAATGAGCCGCTGGTTGAACTTCAACTTAAGGATTTAGAGTACGACCGCACTGATCATTCGGATGGCTCACACATGAATTTGGTTCGTGCTGGCAAGTTGCTTGGTCTAAACCTTTTGCCTGACGCGACGTATCCGGAGATAATAGCTCCATATCATGAAGGCGAGAGGCCGGGCACCCGGAACGGGGAAGACACTGACATGATTCGGGTATACTGGTACATGTTGGAAGCTATCGCGGGCATTCCAGTCATGGAACGATTCGAGATAGAACTGTATCCGATGAAAATTCAGCTGGAGCGTGAAGTGGGCAAGCGGCTGTTTGAATACATCTTCCCCGGTATGGACGCGGAGCAGGCGGAAGAGGCTGCAGGAAAGACCAGCACCCCCAACCCTTCAATTGTAATTCGACGCGATTCAAACAGTTTGGACGAGGAAGGTAATGAGTCGCCTAAAAGCACTGGCAGTAGACACAGTGCACGGGGGGGGCTGGATCCCTCGTTTTCGACACGTCCAGGCTCACTTGAGCTGCGTCTTAAGCCAACCCTATCTTCGGGTGTTGCAGATGAACGAGGTTCGAAGAAGCACCTTGGACCAAATGGTGCCGAAGGTGGTCATTCATTCCGACTTTTCCGTTCTGGAACCTCACGAACGCTGGGCAAGAAGTCTTCAGTTGAGTCTATGCGGCCAATGACGGCCACTCCACGACCTGGCGCTATTGGTCGATCTTCCACTGGGTTTTCCTCCAAAGACAGCAGGGACTCGGATACGAAGAAGTCGTCACGTTTCGGTATACGAAGCAGACATAATACCGACGATAAGCAAATGTCTGATGATCTTACCAAGATGATTAGCCGTGCCAACAACTACATTACGTTTGCGCATATCAAGATACCTTCGGTTGTCTTGTGTCTTAGCTACAAGGGCAAAGATCAACGGAACTTTGAGGACGTCCATAACTTTGTGTTCCGACTTCCGGTGATTGAGTGGCAGAACAAGACTTGGTCAAACTTGGATCTTGCTTTGGCCTTGAAAAAGGCGGTTGTGAGGGCTCTCATTTCGCACACAGGTGCCATTATTGGAAACAAGTTCTCGAAGCATAAGCCCAACGCGGAACAGCGAAATAGACTGCGAGAGCTTGCAAATAGCTCCGTTCTTATTTCGCCATCGCCTTCCAGCTTGTCTCAGAATTATACACCAAGTATACATGACAGTGATGATTCTGCGAGCTTATATGGGACATCCCCGGTTGACTTCTCGCGGTCGCCGCCAAGGTCTACTCGCAGCAGCATCCGCAGTGGAATTCCAGCCCCTCGATCTGCTAGTCGCAGCAGTAGCATTGCCAGCAGCAGGTCTCACCTAACGACTGGTTCTGCACAAAACATCCAACCAGTCCCGGCATACCTCACCATGACGCCGCCAACGCCAGTGGACCATCCCGGCCGAGGCGAGGGCCACCACAGCAGTTTGGCTATGGAGCTTCTTCGGCCGTCTTCTAGTCACGGCGGATCACACCATCACCGCGGTCCCTTGAGAAGCTTTACTAGTGCTGAATCGAGACCGTCCACTAGTGCTGGACATGCCGACGCAACTGATGAGCACAAGCCAACTGGTAGAGGCTTTGGATTGAGAGACAAGCTCACTGCTCTTACGCAAAGGATGAGCCACCGCGACAATAATGTCGTACAGACCGAAGAGCCCGAGGAAATGAATGAGGAGGAGGCTGCCGCTTCTCCCACCGTTGCTGGTGGTATTGGCGGTTTCGACGAAGATAGGCCGGAGAAAAGTCATAGACTTAGCTGGTCTCATGCACGATCCAAGACGACTAGTTGAACGAACGACATTGATAACGACAGCATCAAATTAGCGTGCCCTGTACCTTCTTTTTCGTTTCTTGTTTAATTGCTTTACGTTAATTAAGCGGTATAACAAATGTAATATTAATGGTCAAGGCGACAATACCAGCATTTATTTTTTTTCGCCTGGGGCATGCATATCATATCCGATCGTTTTCCTGTCAATTAATGTTCTTATGACGCTCGTTTGGCGCGGGTGTTTTATTGGAACACTTTGTTGTTTGGGGGGTATTTGTTTTTGTTTTTTTATAACAAAAAATAAAAAGGTGTTGGAAAGTTAAACAATGGGCCGGAAGGGAATACATACATATATGGGTAGAAAATAAAAAGGGGGGAGGAAGAGTTGGAATGGATGGATGGATGGATGGATGGATGGATGGATAGGTTAGCGTTTTTATTTTTATTTCTTTATTTTTATATTATTCTTGTTTAATATGGGTTTCTTTTTGTGTGAGTAGGAGTGAAGGGGTGTTTGAATGAGCGGATGGTGTGAGATTTTGTGGATGTATATGTTTATATATATATGTATTAAAGCGATGTTGATACTGTATTGGTCTTGTGTTGTGGCTTGAAGTCTGGCTTGTTTGAGGATTCTTCAGACTGCTGTAGCTGATATATCAAGGCAATCCGTTTTTCATCTTTTCAACTATCTCGTTAGGTGAGCGTTTCGACCTGGCCCTTGCAGCGACAACAGCTCCCACAGTTTTATTAATTTGTTTATGGGGGTGTTTTGGGTTTTGGTTGGTTTGCCATGACAGTGTTTGTTATTGTCGGCGGCTTAGCTGTTGGACTGAAGCCAGCTGTGGGGGCGCGGCTGTAGACGTGGTTGATTTGACGGACTGAGCGGCCTAGGAGAGCTGGTATTTCTGACGGGGAGCAGGTTTGTTGTGGCTTTGAGGGTTAGGATGGCGACTCTGGCTGCTTTGCTGATTTTTGCGTAGCCTATTTTTTTTTTGTGTTAGTGTTATTTCATGATAACTATCTAGTGGGTTGTGCAGTAGCTGTTGAAATAGGGATCGTTGGCTGTGCCGAAGCCCAAATTAGGCCAAGTTGGCTTTTATTCCTATGAGCCTTCTGAGATACTACTCTAGATATTCCTTTGTATGATTGTGATATGAGATGGGATGTTAATTTTGGTGGTTTATCGATGCTGTAGAAATTACATCTCAAACTGAATTGGTGATGTGCAACACGCAGAGGCACTTGGTTTGAATTGTCTATGGTGAACCTTCGTGATGGTTATTATGTCTATAGATCACACCCGGTTCTACCGTTTACGTTTATCTAAGTGCCATTTATAGCTACCCTAGGCAATAGTATTTAGCAATTTCTCGACATCTGATTCACAAGAAAACGATTGTCTGATTTTACTACATGAAGCTCATAGTATCACAGCATATAAGAGGTCTTGTGTCCTGACTGCTCGTCACGGAAGTTGACGCAACTTATTAAAAGCTACGTTACCGAATCGCAGATAGATGTAAGCAAATGTGTATTTTCTTTACTCTGTCTCGTTCTCTCCAATCAGCCAATGCAAACATCCTAAAGTGAATCCTCGACGCGAAAGACTTTTATCGTCTCCTACCGGTTCTGGATCTTATCGGGGAGGTAGAATTCGGCGATGTTTCTCCATTCGTTGCCACGCCATTCGTTTTTGCGCCCTTGTTTCCGCCGAGTTTTGCGGGAGGAGAGCCAGCTGTATCATTCTTGGCATCACCATTAATCCCTGCTAATAGTGTCTCACTTAGTTTTTTTCCTTCTCTCATTTCTTTTGCTTGATTGAAATGCTTACCCAAGATTTGATATCCGGAAAATCTCTTGCACGTCCGAGCGCCCTCTTCGAGAAGCTTGATCTTGGCTTGAAGGTTCTTGCGTGCTGTGCGAATGGCTTCCTTCTCGCCGACAATGGCCGCCATATCGTCCTCGTCCATCTGTGCGACGACTAGGGGGCTGAGAATGTTGCGGATCTGGCTGATCAGTCCTGTTTCAATCACCTGGATGGACACCTCGTCGATGAACCGCTTGAACGCTATCTGTTGGATGAGAAAAAAGGTTAGTCTGGCCTTTAGAGATTGCTGCAACTGGATTGGATGTTATTGCTATAGACTCACCTCGTAATAGGCGTTGGCGCTGTCGAGTGCTTCAAAGGCGCTCCAGCGATCCAAGTCTGGCTCGAGACGTTGCACTAATTCTCGCTTCAAGCCCACAAAATTCACATAGACTGACATGTGGTGTGAGGTGCTGTCAAGATTGGCGTTCTGAAAGTACTTGCGCAGAATCTCGTCGAGTTGTGGCGAGTGTCGATCGAGGCGGATTTTCTGAAGAGCTTCGGCGAAGTCGGAATTGTAAGTCACTGGATGGTCGTTCTCATACGGATGCAGCAATGCTGCAGTCTGCTCCTGGAGATCGGCCAGTATAGAATCAAGCTTGGGGTTTATTACCGTCTCCATGATGGCCGTCACAGTTGTGGGATCGGAAATATGAACAATCAACTCGGTTAGAAAGACCTTTGTTTTTTCCCAGACTTTCTGAACATGCCGCTGGACGATTGACTTCCATGGTGCTGACTGCTCCCGGAAGAGATCCGTAACAATTGCTGGGCTGAAAGAATTGGGCAGCTCTCGGCCACGTCTGTAAGACATCATGTCGACAACTTTATTCACAAAATCATCTCTGGTCATCTCAATGGGCTCCCCAGGCACCTGCTTCTCCTTTGGAGAGTTGGTGATCTTGTAGTATTGGCCATCTTTTGCCATTGTGTCTGCAAAATCCCGACTGAGATTTTGAATAACTGCACGAATGCGTCTGCGGTAAGCTGATCCCTCTTTATCGTCGCTGAAGAAGGGATCTGTGTAGGTGCCATCCAAGGCAGCTTGCATTAGAGACTGGAAAGACTGGCTGATCCGAATCAGGTATATGCGTTGTTCTTGTGGACTTATACGGGGCTGGCCAAACTTTTCAAGCTGCGCCTTGCAGTCATTAATTTCGCAAGAAATTTCATCCACCAAGCTTGGCAGCTCAGAAGCAATTTGATGCAGCAGGAGTTTGCTCAGACGGCTTCTAAGAGAAGCAATGCCCAAGTTTGACGAAGGCAAAGACGACCAAGCACCCTTTGAGAAAAATACCTTTTCATTCGCATCACGCTGAGCTTGAGTCCAGGTATCTGCATCGGTGTCTCTATTTCTCAAGACATGCCATCCCAAACGAAACTCGACGTCCATATTTTGCGCCAGAGAGATGTAGGTCTTTTCGCTGCTGGAACCATACACAAGAGTGTCTGGCTTTGTGATGACGCCGAGCGTACGCATCCCTTCAGGATCCGTATCGCGAGCAAGCTTCAAGACAATCTGGTTGGCGTAGTCGTTCTTGGCCGATATGACTGCCAAGATGATGCTTCGCTGCTTTGCCATGTAGCTCTTGACAATGCTAGTGATGAGAGCAACATCCGAGGCAGACTGGTTCTTTGTCTCAGAATGGATCAGCCCCGGCAGATCAACAATGGTAAGGTGAGGGCGATCCGGTCCACTGATCTCGATGCGTAGAAGATCATTGGAGAATGCCTTGCCCAGAGTCTTGATACCCATGAAGGCCTTGGCATTTTCGATGAGTTCTGGAAGCGCCTGAAGCGAGTCCAGCTGCTCGTGGAAATCAGACAAAGCATCCCTCTCGACTTTGCCTAGCGGCTGGTGCGGGATGATGGAAACCTTGACAGACGTGTTTGCTGCTGTTCTAAGGATGAGCTCTGTTGGAAAGCGAGTACAGAGGCCGCTTTTGACGGGAAACGAGACGCCAGATATGGCCTCGAGTACAGAGCTTTTGCCAGATGACTGGTCGCCGCAGACGATGATCTGTGGCAGTGATATGTAGTGGCTGATTCCCTGGGAGCGCAGTGAGTCAACCGTATTGAGGAGCTCAAGCTGCTCTTTGGAGCAGAGGCCCTCGAGGGTTTTGGCGCTTAGCTGAGTCAAAACCATGGCGAGATGCTGGCGATCAAAAGGGATATGAATTGCGATGATGGTTCCAAGATCGTATTGATGAGATAACTGGAAACTACGTGTTTTTTATATCCAAGCATTATGGCATTTCTATTGGAGTTCATTCTAGTGAATTATTGTTGATATGTTATTATGGTAGGCCTCCCACATGCAGGCTTCCACCTTATTCCCGACCATTTCTGCCTCGTCACTGGTTGTTGGTTGTTGGTTGTACGGCTTGGCCTGCCTCGCTTGCCAAAGTCCTGCAAGGCTTAATCGGCTGCATGCGTCTCGTAACTTCAGTGTTGTGGCATTATTCACATTAAAGACAGTTAAATTAAATGTCTGACGTGGGTGCTTTTATGCACCTCTTGGTGAGACAAGGGCGCCTGGTTGAGATAACAGCCCGACGTTGCATTAGGCTGCAAACGAGAGCCAACGCGCATTTACGTCAGCTTGGGCTCAAGATTCATTGCACCGCTCAATGTTGAATCGAAATGCTGGTGATTTATCATTAAATTGTAGGACCTGTGTAAGAAGAAGTCTCCAACACAGTGCCAGCTTGCTTCAGCAGTATCATGAGACTCTCCCTACTCTGTGTATACTTATCATGCCAAATCGCTGTTTGCATTCCTAATGTTATACTTGATGTTAGTTGACAAACACTCACGAGTATGATGCTTTTGAGACGAACATGAGACAGGAGTGGCCTGTTGACTTATTTTCAAGACAAAAACTCCGAGAGTCTCCCAAAAAGTGTTTAGCATCCCATGGATTAAATAATAGTCCCACAGGTGTAGAAATGTACGAAAATCACCGATAGAGACATAGCATCGTGATATATACCTAGTACCTGGACGGGGTTCGTTCTGATCTACATAGTATGTGCATAGTGAGTATTAGGTGAAGAAACCTACAAATATGAAATGAATGTAACTACTCAAGAATAAATAATCTGGCAAATTGCGCACTTGCTGCCGTGAACAAGACAATCGCCTTTTACATGTAGACTGTCAACGAATGAGCGCTGGATTGTAAAGCCGAAACCCCTCATTCTCCAATCTTGCCACTGAACTTATTAATCGGGGTTTATGACACCAACACGGTTTCTGCTTACACTTTGAACAAGGAAAATAGATCTAGATCATTCATCTCAGCTTCTTATACTGGTAAAATAAATTCATTAAAATGCCCCCGTCTGTTGAATGCTATCTCCTGGCTCCGACAAATGACGTACCGAACAGCCAGCTGCCGGTGATCCTCTATCGAGATGTTCTGCCCGAGCCTCGAAATGAAGAGACGACGACAAAGTTTTTAACAGCTTATGGCTGGGAAAAGAGAGTATAGGATATCTATCTCTGTGGAATTGTTCTGTCCTGCGCAGGGGCTAATAGAGAGCCGCGATGCTAGGGAACCTGGGGGCATATCTCAATGCGGCACTTCCACCCAAATACGCATGAATGCTACGGTGGGTGCACATATTATTAGTAATGCATAATATTACAAGCTGACTTTATTTGAAAAGGCATCTTCCAAGGCAATTCGACGCTACTCTTGGGAAAGATTGAGGATGGAGACGGCGTTCAAGTCGATGTGCACACTGGCGACGTAATTGTCCTTCCAGCCGGAACAGCTCATTCTTCTCTAGAGAGCTATGATGACTATCGTTATATTGGCGTCTATCCGAAAGTAAGCAGACAACATCTGTTTCATCAAATTTCTTCCTCTTTTCAATGTGTATAAACTGACGTTTATCACATAGGAGTGTCCCAAATGGATAACTGAGAAAGGCAAGCAGCCTGCGGCTTCTTTCGCCTCGATGATCCGAGCGGTTCCCACGCCGCAGGCTGATCCAGCGTACGGAAAGCAAGGGCCGCTAGTGGCGTTGTGGAACACAAAGCTGGAAGCAAAGTTGTAGCTGTGAGTATGAGTATGTAAAAAGAGTGTTTCCTATTAATAGATTGCTGTGGGTGATTCAGCAGTCGTCAAGTTGCAAATTCACACCTGGGTTAATACAAATTGTCTCCGTTTTGGTGAAATTCACAATCGCATACTCTATGAACAACTTCCTCAGTTGAATGTTACATCGTACCACGCCGAGTCTTGGATGAATGACCTGCTTATATGAGCCACTAGCTTTATAAGCTTAACTATTAGCTCCTTGAGCGTGGTACTCTATCCCAGTTACTGTATTGGTCGTGCATGTTGTTGTGCTTCTAAAAGAGAGCATTTTTCTCTGATTGGGATTTGACATGGTCCTTGATCCTACTCTTTCCTGATGTCGCTCTACCTTTTTGTAAGTGCTAGAGTAGGGAGCAGCTTAGCGATCTTGGCATGCACACCGTAAGTTGAAATGTCCAAGAATGGTATAAGAGGTGCAACGGCAAGGATAAAAGGTCCGGTTAGTAAAATGCAGATGGAGGCAAGTATATTGGCTGATGGGGATGATACTTGGTATAGTTATAGAGAAACAGCCCAGTCACTTGGAACAGCGATGCTCGGCTCGGCATTGCTTTGGCTTTATACTTCTCTATAACATGCCAAAGATCCATGGTATGAAAGGTAAATGAGGTCAGATGCCCAGGCGGACTTCTTGAAGGATTGATAGAGAACGACATGGGAATTCCAACCGCATGCGAGATAAGCCGGCATAGGAATAGCTTGCGGACGCTTGCAGGCGAAGGGATTCTGCGTGAGTAAGCCACACACCGTTGGATACTGCTTGTAGAAGAATGACGACGAGTGCACGTCACCTACACAGACTAAGTGAATGACAGACTGATACCGTCGATCACTGACAAAGTGTGCTCCTATTCTGGCTATTATATGTATTCAATCCTCCTTCTTCTGCGTATGTTGTTTTAGCGGCCCAAGATACCAGGAATAGCAACAACTGAAGTCAGCAGGATTCCATCTCTGCCTAGGTAGTACCCAGTTCTCTCTTCTCTCGTACCGGTACTTGTTGGCGACATGCCATGATGTCCATCTGCAAAGTAGCATCTGCTTCCTTCGGCCCCCCTAATCGGCTAGTAAAATAACGTCGAGGTAAAGGAGACGCCGAACGAAGCCGGAACGCTCTTCTCTTAGCGCAAATTTCCATTTGCGGTGTACGCATCATGCCGTAGCGAATACCTGTCCGTCGCTGGTTCCCGCTGTGCCGCTGTGGAGTACTCGGTACGCGGCGCTAAGGTACCCCGTACCGGAGCTCCAATCAGCTGACTGCAGCTCCCAGATCTTGAAATTACCAGGGCTCAAATGCCAGTCGCAACATTCACAGCCGACTCTGATTGTCTCTGCCGCCTCTGAGTTTTCTTTTTTTGCAGTTCAAACCGTCGGATTGGCCGGCTTTCAGCACGCAGCAACTGAAGGAGGGATCGTCACCGCGGAGGACTCAGTTGCGCAGCGCCGAGACTGGCAGGCGGAAGAGGCGAAAAATTCTGGCATCAGATAATCGCAGATTCCCTTACACGATCCTGATTATTCCCTGTCGAGTTGGCGCGAATCCCCAAAACTTCGACCGTTTTTGGCGCGACGAGAAAGAAACACCATTCTGTTGCCATCAGCCGCTGCTCGTTCGGCTTCGTTGGCATTGCGCCGGTGAAAATATACATCAGCTGCCATCTACAATCATCGGCGCTGGCCGGCGCGTATATATATATATACACGTACAACATACGCTATGGGAGATCCCGCGAGGGACAGGGACCACGATCGGCCGAGTGCTGGTAAGGCGCCAGCAGCAGACTCAGAGCCTGTAGAAGCTAAGGTTGCAGAGCCTCGGAAAGTAGTCGCAGGAGATCCTCCTAATATCGAGGAACAGGACCCTCCGCTTGAAGCTACCGACAGCGAAGATGTCGACGGCGACGACGACGACGACGACGATATGGATGGCACAGACGAGTACTCTGCAGCGTCAGTTACCGTGAGGAGCAGCATATGGGAGCACGAGTTTGAAGGCGGGCGAAGGGTGCGTACGGCGCTTTTGCTCTCTGGAGCTTTGGAACTGCAACATGTCGCTGATTCTTCTTCTTTTCTTCTGCCAGTATCACCACTATCGACACGGCCGGTACCCTTTGCCAAACGACGACGAGGAGCAAGAACGAGAGTATATGAAGCATGTGCTACACCTGGAGCAGACTGGCGGCAGGTTATTTAATGCGCCCATTGCGCCGAATCCACAGAAAATACTAGACCTCTGTACGGGTACAGGGCTATGGCCAGTGGCAGGTATAATTCCGATTCGATTCTGACTGTAATTCCTGCACCTAGATTTGTCGAAGCAGTGCTAACGGACATGCGCGCACCAGTCGCCAAAACGTTTCCCAGCGCAGAAATTGTCGGTCTCGATCTCAGCCCTATCCAGCCATTCATGGTCCCGCCCAATGTGCGGTTCTTAGTCGACGATGTTGAAGACGAGTGGATGGATCGCGGGGGCTACGACTTTATCCACTTGCGCCATTCCTGCATGTACCTGAAAGACATGGACAAGCTGATCAACAACTGCTATTCACATCTAAAAGAAGGCGGATGGCTAGAGATTACAGACTATTGCACCTTTATCAGATGTGATGACGACACAATGCCTCCAGGCCACCCGCCGGCGCAAGTCGCCCGTTTGATGCATCAGTGTCTGTTAAATTACGGCATGAACGGATACACCATCAACGAGCTTGAGCAAAAGTATAAGAATGCCGGGTTCAAAAACATCCAATGCCGTGTCATAAAAACGCCAATCGGTTCTTGGCCTAAGGTGCTTCTACGCCGTCTTGCTGGAAAATGGAAATACTACGCTACGGTAGACTGACATGACTTTGTAGGATCCCAAGCAGCGGGAAATTGGAACTCTTTTCCGCGACATCATCAACGAGCTCATCCGTGCTCTGGCTGCGAAGCCTCTGAAAACCCTGGATTGGAGCGAAGCTGAGATGGAGGTGTATCTCGCCGAAGCACGAAGGGCCCTTTGGGACAAAAAGGTGCATTGTTATACTAACTTTATATCCTGGTGGGCTCAGAAGTGATTCTTCTTGAAGAATTCTCTCCTTTACCTCCTTCGTTTCCTTTTTTTTTTAGTCATTTTTCATTGCAGCATTTTGGGTAAGCGATGTGTTGGATTATTTACCATGGGCTAACTTTGGACATTTTTACAAACACGCATGTGTGTGTGTATGTGCGTACAAATAAGGGATACTGGGACTACATACAACTGGGCGTATGGTTGGCTTTTTTTTTTCTTCTTTTATATATACAGGGAGAAGAATATGATCTCTTCCTCGCTCAAACGTGTTTTTTCTTCTTTGGAGAGTGTAGAATAGATTATTTTTCTGCTAGCAGGTCAATGACCTAGAAAGCCCAAATATACCCCAAGTATGCTTTTCTTCTTCTTCTTCTACTAGTTGGACAACATACATTTATTCCGCATTTTACTTGTTTTAGATACGCAATGAAATTCTCTTACTTGTACGAGCGGCACTTCCTAATATTCATATACTGCCAGTACTTTTGAACATTGCAATGACATTGACGCTCCACTCCAAGATCTCGATCAGATGAATACTACCCACCACCAGGTTTTGCATACAAAATTTGCCACTGGCACATCAGCATGATGAATCGATTGGTTCACAGGCAATTAGAGTTGAAATAAAGTTAAATTGCTCATCAGTTTGGCAGGGTCTTCTATATAAACATGAGCACGTGAAATACCAAGAAACTAAACGAATATCCAAGTCATAAAAAAGCGATATCCAAAAAAGGAGAAATGATAAAACCGCTATGCTCGCCTTGCGACGATGTCTCCCAACTCTTTATCCCTTTTGTCCCTCATACTTGTCTCTTCTCCATAAATATTCCTCATCCAGTCCTCTCTCCTACCTCCCCAAAAAGTATCTTCACATCATTCAATGATAAAGACTGTTTTAGTGGCGGAGTATCTCTCAGCCAAACACACTCATGTCCCGGGAAGTGAATCCCACCTCTCAATCTAATAGGGATAAATCATACAGGGAGAGAAGAAAAAGATATAGAAAAAAAGCCCTGTACACCAGACAAAGGGTATCCCAATTCATGCGCCATCATTCCGCAATGCTAAAATACTCCCAAAAAATTGTTGTAGCCTGACTCCACTAATCGCGATGTGCTAAGATTTAATAAGAAAAACATGGCCGGACAAGGATCAAAGAAACTAGTCCAAGAATAGAACGCATAAAATGCCCCCAAAATGAAACGAATGGAGCGAAAAAAAATCGCGAGAGAAAATAGCGCAAAAAGCCCAAGGCTTTTTCGTGAGAGCCCAACTCCGAAGGTGATAATGCTGGTCTGAATAGCTCCGAATACCGCCGAGCTGTTAGGGAAGTCGACTGTCTCAACAAAGGACTATCATTGAGACCCTAATCGATTAACGATCCAGGGTCTGAAAGGCAGAAAAAAGCAGGTCGTGGACCAATCCGCCTGGCTGCCGTTTCGGAAATTCGCGTCCGATGAACTCATCTCACTGCCTTCCCGATTGGGTAATGGCCTCTGTTGTCAAAAGCCGATCTTTTGTCTCGCCCAAAAGTTCGCGACACTGCAGGCACTATTGTGCAATAGAAGCGCGCGTAAAGATATCCAAAAGGTCCTGCGAGAAAGTGGTCCCTCTCTAGGTCCATCTGCCAAGGAGAGAATTTTTTTTTTCATGCATTGCTTTGGGCCGTGTCGCAAGTGCTGTAAAAAATTTTCTGATGCTGTTACATCCAGTCAAAGCATGCCAGCTGTTCTCCCACTAGGTTGGGGCCCTGTCGGTCAAAGCCCACAATGTGGTACGGCTCAATAATGCCCATCGACGCTTGTCCTCGGTATGGTTCGTGACATGTTGCCCCTGTGGATGCTCCCGACTCGTGGTGCGTGGCTTCCAGGGCTCGGAGGCTTCCAAAGCCCTTCTAGTAGGTGGGGCCATGGCGTGTGGGCTCGTGTTCCATTCCCTAAGCTCCATCACAGTACCGAATCTGCCATGTGTCACTGGGGCCCAATCGCCACTTCAGCAAAAAAACAAATGGCAAGCCATTGGTAAGAGAAATCGTGTTGTTCCCAGGTGATTTGACACAGTCCCACCGCGAATGTGTGCGGTGGATCGATCGTCGGCTTCGGCAAAGAGAGAAAATAGAAGAGCGAAAAGTAAGGGTCTTTGCTCAGACCCTTAGTGTTCGCCGACTTCTTAGTGCTGGCCGAAAGCCAATAGAAATCCGATAAAACGCGTCTGTGTCTCATGAGTTGTCTCACCGTGCACGGAGGAAAGGACTATGCCGACAGTCCAGACCGACGAGGTGAGCCCAGCTAACCAGCTATTGGCAGAGGAATCCATCGCTCTGGAACACCATCGGCTCCAATCTCATAGGGTTTAGCCGATGTTTTCCTGGGTGGTAGTGCCCATCGAGCACGGCCAGGCTTGTTGTTGTCCAGCTTGCCTCGTCGGCGCATGATCATTTCCATGACGGCAATTCGAATAAAATCGGGGTTTTCTCGCATCTCTCGCTGCCGTACAGCCGGAAGAGGTGGTGTTGTCACGTCTCGAGTCGAGTCTGAAGGGGCCTCGTTTACGGGAGGCGACGGAGAAAGCGGTGAGATAGATGGGTACGATTTGCGTGCCGCCGCAGCGTCTGTGGGTCGGGACCGCTGAATCTTGTAGGTTTGCATTTGGATAGATGCGACGAAAGTGCCTGGCTGCTGTAGAGGTCGAGACTGTGACTCGAGCGACAGCCTTGTGGTAGGATTCAGATAACGACGTAGCTCAGCTGATGGGATTTCCTCCGTAACGGGTGGTCGGCGCTCATCGGCATATGGCACTTCGGGGTCCATGGTGAGGATGGATCGCGTAATGAGATCATCTGGAGGGATGGACGGAAAGTTGATGCTTGAAAACGACTTTGCTGCAGATCGCAGCGCACGTAGTGATGCCGTAAGATTAGACTTGAAGACAGCCCTGAGGGGCTTGAAAGGTATAAACGCTTGAGAAGTTGATTGGTCGGCATCTGAGCTCTTGAGGCTCAGCGAGTCCTCCAAGTCATCCTCATCCTGCGGCGGCTTTGGCGAGAGCGGATGCTCATCGATGGTGTTAGGAGGAGAGCGGATGGGCCCAAGCGACTTACGCATCGGGCTGGCCTTTCTCCGATGCAAGGGTTGAGGACTCAAGCTTCGAGGGGATTCGATAGACGAGATCACGTCGGTGCCATAAGAGTCTCCCAAAGACGGCATTGAATCGATGGAAAGTGTTCTGGCCATTGAGACACTGCCGCAGTCACTGCCCAGGAATTCTTCGTCCAAGCTGTCGGGGGGCGACATCAATACATCCATAGGACTGCCACGACTCAACGACCAGCTAATCTCCTTCTCCGAAAGTTGGCGCTCATTGTCAATGATGGCATCGACGGTTAACAGTCTGTCCGCCCCTAGGAGTTTCCGTTGCGTCCGTCGGGGTCGTGGTATGTCAGTGACGGCCAGCAGAGCAGCCACTGATGGGGAGAGAGACTCTGGCGAGCGAACATGATTCGGAACCTTGCGACGGGGGGCGTTTTGTCGTCTCACAGGGCGAGCGGCGTCGAAATGTTTGTTGCGGCCGTTGGCCTTGGGGATTTGAACAGGACTGGTTGGAGTTGCCGGCCTGATGATCAGACTCAACTCATCCGAGACGGTAGACACAGCCGGAGAGACGTGTTTCCCCATGTCTGCATCGACTTCGGATGGAGAAGGCGTCTCAGATCGGATGGGCGTGACGGTGACTGTGATTGCGGATGATCTCTTGTTGCTCTGTGCATGCTTTGGGTTACTCGCGTGTGGTGGAATGTTGGCGACGGCTGGATTGGCAGATTCGGATGCGACGATGTGTGTTTCTATTTCGACTACGGCTAGCTTTGAGGGGAGAGATGGCTTCGATGCTGACGAGCGGATGGGATTATGAGAGGCTGCAGAGACGATGGTGGGAGGGAAGAGAGCAGGAGTTGGCGACTGTGGGAGCCTCGGACGAGAAGTGTATAGCATCATGGCCTAGTTCCAGGTGGACAGGGATCGAGACAGCACGACACAGTGGAGACATGCCAGTGCTGGCAGCGGTGTTGGGGTGGGCCTCAGGGGACCGACAGCGCTGTGCCGCCCCAAGCAGGCGAGGCCTTCTGGAATACGGGAGCCTTTGGCGCGTGTACCCCGTACTCGGCGCTGCGTACAGCGAGGTGGCTGGATCGGTGGCGCGTGTACTTGGCGACGAAGCTTGTGCGATAAGGACGGCCGGTGCCCACAGGGGTACTTGCTGCTGGGAACGCAGTACTCCGCAGTACTAAGGCAGACGATTCCGCGGCGGTATCGAAACCCAGGCGGTCGACGAAAAAAAATTTGGCCCAAAGGGGAAGGGCCAGGAAAGGCGACTGGCCAATGAGAGGCGTGCGATTAGGGCTAACGGCTGGGGCGGAGCTTGGCGAGCGTCCCAACTGTCAGGCGCAACTGCGATTGGCGCCGCTGGCGGCCAATGGTGCCTTGCAGTGTAATCAGTACACGTCAGGTGCGTGTCAGATAGCAGCGGGCAGCGGTAGCCTCGACTTGTATCGGCAGCGTCCGCTCGAGAGCACAGTGTTTGCCGCGGTGGCACCTACTCAGCCAAAGTGAAGCAAAGTTACGGAAACGCCGGTCAGGTGCGATTGAATAGCTGACTCGTCCCTATCGGCGACGTATCATTCGCTGATCTGCCGAGGACGCGAGACAGAGCGTGGAAAGAAGGACGCAGGAGAGGCAGGATTGTTGCCAGATAACAAGACGTCGGGGCAACACGGATGACCAAAAGTTAAAACGAAAACGGCCGAGCCCTTTGTCTCTCTCTTTGTCTCTTCTGTCGAGATAGCACGGACTTCAGCTGGCCTAATCTCTGCGTCGATAAAAAAAGATGGGGTACGGGGTAATGACGATGCGAGTCGAGACGGCGTGCTTCGATCAGCCGGGACCGTCTGCGCCTATGGCCAAAACCAGCTTGGCGGCACACACAAGTCCAAGCGATGTGCGTCAGAGGGGATTGGCGACGGGCAAGTGATGCGTCCGAGGATGGTGAGAAAACAGGCTGGAGCTGAGGGACGCAGGAGGAGAGATCGAGATCAAGCAACAGGAGCGAGAAGGGGAAAAGAAGATGATCGGCTTCCTTTGTACGTTTGCGAGAATCGCATGCACGACCTGCGAGCGGGGGCCCAGCACAAAGTCAAAGATTAAAGCCGCGATTTGAGGCATCAACACGTATCTAGTGGCCGCATCTCTCAACAAAGTTCCTTGGACCCCCATTCCCGATGTTCCTGCTGCCGCCAATCCTGGCCACGACGTGGTACCCGGCCCCATCTGGACGCTTGAGGCATGTACGAAGCTCAAGTACGAGCAGTCGAATACAGTGCCTAGTGCTAGTATGTGCATGCTGGCTCTGGGATGGCTGGATGGGCACAAACGGGATTGCCCAGCGCAGCTATTGGCAGTGCTAGCACCACCACGCCTCTGTTTTGGCTGCCATGGCATGTCTCTTGTCGGGCAGCTATAAGCCGCAGTCGGGATTTGCAGGGCGTCTTGTCGGCCAGCAAACGGGGGCCGTGAGGATGGTGGTCAAATCAGATGCCAGTTATGTCTATTATCCTTCATTATCATATGACAATTTCTGCGGCGCCATACAGTTGTTGGCTGGCTGACCACAGATGGCTTGCGTTGGATTAGATGGCCGGGATGCAAGCATTTGCCTTGTACCACGCTCTCGGACACGTCGGCGTCTTAATCCCGTTGGCAGTATTAGTTGTATTAACAAGCAGCCTGCAGGGAAAAATGTCCAAGAGTAAGCAAGCATTCTCTGAACCTTTGTCTTCCTCCGAGATACAGTGGTAGTATCACATTCTAATCCTTGCAAATTGATAGCTACACATCTCGCTGCCTATCTCGTACTCCGAGCTCTGCTCTGCTCTGGCTCTGGTTCTGGCTTTGACTCATCCTTCGCCATTCAAGTCCCCAAAGACTGCAATGTGACAGATACCCAGCACAAATGGCCCATTGACAGGCACTTTGCCGTGCATCATCGCGATTGCAGGCAGCCAAAGGAACAGCTGTACCACCCCAGGCATGCCTTCGAATCCACAACCGAGCAGCCAGGCAGACCACCCGCGATGCCCAATAATAGCCAGACACACCCACAGTCAGAGGGTCAGCCAGCGGCACACGTGCGAGCGCTCGTGCAAGTGCGCGTGCTCAGCCATGGCTTGCTCTGCTGGCTGATTGTCTCAAGCGCAGTTTTCTAGTGGGGGCCCTTCTTTTCTTTCCCTGCATCGACATGGCGGGCCACTCAGGCGCAAGACCAGGTCTGGACGTCCATGCGTTGCGCAGCATCCGCAGCGGCATCACACCCTCTTTATCGGGAAGATGAGAGGGGAGCAGAAAAGATTTTCATTATTCGCCCAGAAGCTCACAAAGTTGCGCGCACAGCATCGCCCGACGACCCCTAGGCTACACCCGTATCTGTGAAACCCTAATACAGACGGCAAAGCCATATTATCATCCGTTTATTGAGCAACAGTCTGTGTCCTGTGGCGTGTTACTCCGTCCTAACGCGGGTACCTCGCTCTTGTCTCACCTTCTCAAGCCGTCTTATCAGCGGCATCCTATTCGCCGGGATTCGCTTTAGCTTTACGACTGCGATTATGCGGTCGCCGTCATACCCTAACCATCACCCCCACCAACGTTGCCTGCTCTGAACGTTCACGATAAACTGGATGCAGGTTGGTCTGGGCTGCGAAGCTCATGGATGGTACGTACCATAGAATGCGGGGTGCTGCTTAAAGTCTCCATCCATGCTCCGCTTCGCCCACACTCTAGGCCAATGTTGCCAGGGGTTCTTTTTGCATCACAACTTTGTAGTGTCAAATGTGTGCTGTGTTTACATGTACATACATGGCTGGCGCTGAGATTCTGCTATAGGCCGATCCCTTTATCTATCTTGTGATTAACAGACCATCTCCAGGTGTATAGTTTTATTTATAATGGCGAATTTGCCCTCACTTGGCGCTTCACACCCATCCACGTGTTTCTTCGTACACCAGTTTGCAGCGAAAGTCATCTTATACCCCTCATCAATATATCACATATATCACTACTCAGCCAGACTCTTTAGCCTGCAATTCATTTAATATGACTCCATAAAAGATTATTAACCCTCATTTCTCATATCATACAAATGCCTACTCTTTACCCACCGGCTTAACTATCTCCCCGTCGCAGACAACAGTGAAGCTCAATGTGGTACCTTGATAAGACGGCACATTAGCCGTCCTTGGGCTCTCATCATTATATAACAATATCTTTCGTTCGCAGTTACGACCCGGTATATTCATATATAACGGTAACACTAGACAATATTCCTGATAATTCTTGAAAAAATGCAATACCAAGGAAGGCAGAGAATAATATGCGCAGATAGCCAGTCACGGATGCTTAAAATCCGCTCTACTTGTGTCCCAAATTAGATACAATAGGGAACTAGTAGAGTAGTGTTGCATGCTGGCCGACAGAAAAGATGACTGGCAAAGTCGATCCATCAAAGGTTGGGCCTTGATTGTAACTTCGCGCCCATTACAAGTTCGAAAGTAGAGCGCGTATATACTATGCTACTTACCAAAACCTTTGGTCGTGGCCTTTGAGAGTGAAAGAGATGTAATTATGAGGTTCAACCCAACATGCAAATGCAATCCATAAGAACAAGCGTGTACATCTTCATTAGAGCCATATTTTCCCGGGATGTGTAAATATGCAGATGCAAGTGAAGCTTCTCTCCGTAGTTGTGCAACGGAGACTAAGGGATGCGAAGAAAACACAATTCTATATGTTTAAAGAGATGTAGTAGGGGAAAGGGTAGCAATTAGTAGTAGCTCAATATTTAGTATACTGTTACGCCACGCTCACTGGCTGGATTGTTCCTAGAGTATTGAGAATAACAAAGTAAGTGCTCGGCACTGCCTCTAAAGAGACAAGATTGATCACTACATCTTTGTATAAGAAGCGACAATGATGTTTATCATCATCCATTCATTTTTCCAACATAAATAGGTAGTGAGCATATCGACGGGCTCACGAGTCTCCGCAGTGCACAGACTCGTAAGATCACAAGCATTCGCTAGATATTGCCCTCATAATCAGAAATTCCTGCCACTATCATAATATCCAGACTTTCTATCCAGTTTCTTTCATTTTGATCCTGTAATTTACATATAATTACACAGGTAGTATCACGTTTCCGGGATCACGTGGTGCATGACCCCGCTGGGAATATCTCATATATATAGACATTCAGCCTCAAAAGCCTTTACTAACATACTCTCTGCAGCAATAGGCATTTATAATCTAATTTTCAACTAGACTTATATAATTTTATTATAAATTTCATCATGCTATAGCATATTCGACTTCTCAGTGTTTATATGGACAGCACCTGTATTATAACTACACGCCAGCAGCTCATATCATGGCCTCTGTAAAAAAGCCTTCTCAGCGCGAAGACTTCGAGATAGTCATAATCTGTGGATTATCACTCGAGTTCAATGCCGTTTCCTTTCTGTTCGATGAATTCTGGGACGAAGACGGTGATCATTACGGAAGATCCTCCGGGGATGTCAACCACTACACAACGGGCCGCATTGGTAGGTACAGTGTTCTTTTGACGCTCCTCGCGCATATGGGCAAAACGCATGCAGCAAGCGCCGCCGCCTGCATTCGTTCGAGCTATGGCGGTATACGGCCGGCCTTGCTTGTTGGTATCTGTGGCGGAGTCCCCCATGCAGCAAGTGGTGAGGATGATGAGATCTTGCTGGGCGATGTTATCATTAGCAAGACTGTGGTACAGTATGACTTTGGCAGGTTGAATCCTCATAAATTTATACGCATGAATACTTTTGAAGACAATCTTGGCAGACCAAACAAGGATATTCGCAATTTGTTAGTCACATTCGAGACTGACATTGGTTTGGAACGACTTCAACGAAGGACTGCGTACTTCCTCAAGCAACTCCAGGCCAATGCTGCTGGAAGAAAACGTCAAGGCAGATATAGCTACCCTGGGACGGCAGAGGACAAGCTTTTCAAGCCAGCATATCGCCATAAGCACCATATGCCATGTGCGTGTATTTGTCGTGATTGCAATAGCATATTTGATCCTGTCTGTGACGAGGCTGTGGATTCATCCTGTAAAGATCTTGGATGCGACAACATTTACCTCGAGCCTAGAAGAAGACAGCTCGAAGAGAAACGGCAGTTGGAACAAGAGAAGAGCGACAAGGCTCAGGAGCCCACCGTTCATGTCGGGTCTATTGCGTCGGGCGATATGGCGATGAAGAGTGCAGAAGACCGGGACAGGATTGCAAGGAGAGAAGGGGTTATTGCGTTTGAGATGGACGGGGCTGGTGTGTGGGAAGAGCTGCCTTGTATCGTTATCAAAGGGGTATGTGATTATGCCGACTGTCAGAACAACAACAGGTGGCAGAACTTTGCAGCTGCAACAGCCGCAGCCGCATTGAATGCTATTTTGGAACGTTACATTCAGACAGATAGAATCCACAAAAGAGTTGTGGACCCATCGGAGAGAGAGTTGATCATTCAAGGTGCTTCGAGATATAGTTCTGAGGTGAGAGGAGAGGACGTGAGGCAGGGTAATGAGCTTCAAGTTTCATCATCTCAATCATCCCGGCATTATGCACAAGAAGGATCATATTTTGGAGGGATTATTCGGGCAGCTGGGTCTGTGGTTCAAGGGAACAAATTTAGCATATAAGAGATGTTGATTACTTGTGTTATCGAGGATAGTCTAGTTTTGATAGCTGCAATTGTAACTAATATGAACATTGTGGTAAAAACTATCCCACCATTGAGTAATTATAGGTATGTAATTTTAAGGCGTTCTAATGCCACATTTAATTAGCCGGTTGATCAGTGAACAACAAAAAGGGTAAATGAGTATATTGTCATGATGATTAATCTTGGCGGCCCATCTTCCGCGGGGACGTTTGGCCTATTAGTAGATGTATACGTCTAATTGTATGTAAATGCTTTACAATAGCTAATCAACTGAAGATGGGTACTTCAAGACTCGCTCCTTTCCACATGCATGCAATCTTCCTTAATCGGCCTTTATTGCCTGCATATTAGCTTAGCTGGCTGGGGTGTACACTTGTATCTCCACATTTGCATTCCCACAAAATATAAGGTTAAATGGATGTTGGTTTCTTGAATCTACTTTTATTTTAGCTAGCTGTTCTAATGCGATGCATGCAGGTATATGTAACTTACCGGCGAGATCGTCGCCCTGCCTGACATGCCCGCTCGATGTAGTAATCGAACCACTGTAGGTGCCCCCTGACTGCGTCACCCCAGAGGACATTGTTGTACCAATAATCGCTCCTTGGCCACTAGAACGCTCTGTCATCTCTTTCAGCTGCATCTCGAGATCGGCGATTTTCTGGTTCTTGCATTCCAGATCGGCAGTGTACTTTGCTTGTACTTCTGCGCAACGCTTTTGGCACTCATCATAAGCCACCTTTAGCTTATAAAACTTCTTGTACGCTTTTTTCGGCTTATTATTGACCAGAAGCTGGAAATACTCGTACGTGAATTCAGCTGCGTTGATGAGAACACAATCCTCCCCGTTTTGATTGGGAAGAAAGGAGTATCGAGAAGGTAAGGGGGTGTGCCCGGAATCGCTACCAAGCTTTAGATATTTTTTCAAATGTGGCATAATGGCAAAACAAGTGCATTTTTTAGTGAGCCGGGGTCCTTGAGACGTACAGGGAAATCTCTTCAGGTTAAGGGATAGTGAATAACAGGAGAAAGGGGGAAACGGCCACAACACTTATATGATGGCATGCTACACAGCCCCAGTCCACTCAGGCAAACCTCCACCACTGAGTGATTTGTGTATTCGGCAAGAAAAAAAAAGCCAAGTCAAAGGTTTGGGTTTAGTGTTCTTTGCGTGTGGCGCGCGTTGATTCCGGTTGGCTATGAGCCGTGTGCGTGCCCAAATCCTATCTGCTCCGGGGGCTGTGACAAGAAAAAGAAACGTGCATAGTGACAACCGGGACGCAGGAGTGCCTGATGCAAAACTCACCGCAAGTAAAAAGCGGGGCTAGAAATGATAAAATCATCAGAATAGGCCTCCTATTCATCTTGTTTCCTAAATTTCGTTTGAGTAGGTGTGCTATTGATTGGCAGAGGGCATTATATATAGAGCTATATAGAGTGGCAATCTCCATTTGTATGTGGATACATGCAGCCCTAGTGCTCTGCATGTTCTCGGTAGTTTCAGCGGTGGACAAAGCTCTGGTCGGAGCTATAAATCTTTATAATACCCTGACCTGAGCACCAGGTAGGAACGTTATGTTTCTGAACAATACATTATTGATGTATGCCCTGCATATGGGCACATTTATTGTTCAAGCACAGAACAGATATCTATTATTTATCGACCTGTGAGAAATATAAAAGCACCAGTATAAAGCCATGGTATGTATATCGCTGTCTTGGGTTATTGTTTTTGATTATACCGGTGAACGTCTAACATAACCAAGCTCGGAAATCCGATGGATAGTCTTAGCCGGCAGTTGGTTGATGGGTAAGTGCAAGCCCTATCAATCATCCTTCTGTTGCCATGCAAATTAGTCGTTGCAGGGCTGTGGTCATTAGCCGAAGGGCAAATCGTCAAACCCGCACGTCATGTCCGGGTTACAAGATTGTGCAACGCGGTTCCAAATTTAACAGTAAAATTAATCTTGGGGAAGGCTCTTCGCTAGACCAGGGCAGTAAAATTCACGTCAGCCCATCCAAAGGCATCAGGCAGGAGGGATCGCAATTTGGGGGCGATATCCAGGGGGATAAATCAGTGAAAGTAAGCCAGGAGAACGAGATAAACGGACAGAAAGCTGAAGCTGGCGAGAATGACAGCGCTGAAAGTTGATTTCAAGCTCTCCAACTGGGAACTAGCCCAGATGCTTTCAATCCTTACAAGTTGGTGCGTTGAGCATGGCTGCACACGGTCCGTCTCATACTAAATCGCATTCTTATGGGAACACTATGAAAGAACGATAATGTATCAACATAAGTGAGGTATTTATGCTTGTACCGGCAGCACTGTATATAGATTTCATAGTGTGTTGAGTGAAAATTATGATGTGCTTCTCCTTCGTTTCCGTTGCGGCGTATCAATAGTCTTTCACTTATACCTGGTCAGATCAGTCCCCACTCCACTGCCTAATACATGCACTGTATTCTCTTATGGCTGGCTAGACGTAGCCTGGTCACTCCACCTGTCCGCCGGCAGCGAATCTGCGGATCTCGCCTTGCATCTCCGTCACGTTAGCACACAAAAGCGCTGCGACATCTCTAGTGAGCCGTTGCGCGAGCGCCCAGCGACGACCAGGTAATTCACAAGGCATTTTGCCGTTTAGTTGTCGGGGTCGCACGGCTACGCGCTGGAGGTGAGGAGAAAAAGCCCTGCTATCCGCCTAGAAGCCGCTTCATATTAGAGCATCAGGCAGCGGGGGGCTGTGCTTGCGAGCCCTCGTTGATGGCGAGGCTTGAAAAGCTGTTCACCGCGCGCTCCATCATTGGTCGCTTCCACCAAACGGCCTCACCTTAAGCTTGAGCACCTGCAGAGGCCTCAAGACGGAAAAGACATATAATCGCTTGCCGCATTCGACTCATGGAAGCTGCAGAAAGCTGTCTAGACGCAAAAACCACCCCACCAGTCCATCATGGAACCTCCACGCCTTCTACCAGAGCGATGTGTCATCATATGTGCGTTTGTTGCCAGCGGGAAAACGTGGCTCACGACAAATTCAAAAAATCTCGGCCTATCCGGGTTTAATGTATTGGATCTGGATTCGTCGGTGATCCCCAAAGAGAACGGGCAGCGCGCAAGCAACTTCAAGGAGCTGTACATGGCAAAAGTGAGGGAATCAATAGCGCCAAACACAATCGTCTTGATATCGACGCATGAGGAAATACGGTCGGCTCTGGTTGAAGAGGGTCTTAACTACGCTCTGGTTTACCCGGTTCGCGATCTAAAGGGGGAATGGATAAGGCGCTTGCGGTCTAGAAAGTCTCCCGAGGGCCTGATCGACATTGTTCATAAGGACTGGTCAAGCATGCTAGATGAATGCGAGAACCAGGGCGGCTGCTCACATTATGCTCTGGAAAAGGGACTATATTTATCGGACATGATTGGGAATATTATGGAAGGGATGCTTCCAGGGACCTGTTAAAAGACGGAAAATGACTGCTTCACGGCATACATCACGACGTCATGCATGAATGATTAAATTTTATGGTCACAAGTTCATATACATAATGTTACAATAGAAGCATTTGACACGAGTTGTATCACCTCCCCTAGCATTCATTAGATGATTGCCTACGTTTTTATTTTCGACGACGATTCTGAGAGATATAGTCCATCTCCAACATCTAGTTCTCAGATGCATTAGTATAATCATCGCTGAAAACTTCAAATAGCCCTACTCTTCAGTACCTACAAATCGCCGTGACATAAATGAGAATATGAAATGCTGTTACCGTCATGAAAAATTAACTGTGCACGGGAATCCGTCAATGCTCAACAGTCACGAGAGGAGTCGCCATGCCATCGCCCGCGTCTTGCAGAAGGACTTGGGATATATCAACCAGTAAAAGGCCTTCAATGCTAAGAGAAATCAATCGAGGGCATATGTTGCTGTAGATGTGCTTAATCACGTCTGATGAGACGCAGAGACTGCGGCCGTTGCATACCTACCCTACGCCTCCCATAAGCCGGATACTAAAGCTCAACATAACCAAGCGGGATGAAAGAATGGAGAGCATTAATGGAAGCTTCAACGAATGAGCTTGATGCTAGGAGGTCGTTTTGTTCTGCAAGCCGCCGACGCTCGTCGTCGCCTAATGACATCAATCACCATTCCGATTTTAGGGCGCGGCTTGCTTTACCATACGAATTTCTGCGGATACGAGGTTGATAGTCGAATTTCTTGACTAAGGAAGCAAGTCACGGATGCCTCGCCACCTCTTGCAATCTATTTAATGTGTGTTTATTGATGATTTGAACTCTGAAGCATTGGAACAGCCATGAGGTTGCGGTTTCTCGACCAGCGCGGCAGGTCAGGCGAATATTCTTGAGGAACTTTTCTGAACTCTCGGTCACGATCTTGAAATCATCAATGTAGGACAGTCATCTCGAAGCGGGGATTCATACAAGGCAAAATATCTCCATTAGAATACATTTACTTTGGCGATTCATCCTGCGCAGTTTATTGTAACACGAACAATATTGACATTATACAGCTTTTCTAGGTTATATTGGGTAGCGCGTTTTAGATTATTCTAGCCTGTTCGTATTCTTTTCTTATATATGTTAGCATTATAATACTACTTGTATGCGTATTCCTATTTCATGGTCTTGGTTTTTTTCAACAACTGCCTGCACGCATCTGACCTGCTGCATAGAAGAGGGGTAGAGCGTCATCTTGGTGATCCTCTAGTCAAAGTCAGCTTGATCTGATATCTAGACAGCCTATCAATCTAGCTACCCTTGATCTATCAGGACAACTCTGATCTTTGATATGGCGTTTTACTGTTTCCCCCACTATTTCCCCCTTACTCTTCCTTCCACTGTATTTTGGACTCCATCTTCAAACATAAACAACTTTCCCCTGCCACTCATCAATATCATAATCAATTGGAGATGAAAATCTTTGCTACAATGATGTGTCTCAAAGACTTCTTGACCTAGTTCAGTAGGCCTAGATACAATCAAATCGATACGGAAACACTTTCGGTCTTAACATCAAAAACAATATCTGCAGAAGAGATACATCAGAAGTCTATTGAAGTTTCAGTTAGCCTCATATTGTTTTCTTTTTCTTCAGCTCTCTACAAATAGTCCACAAAATCCCACTATCATGTTTTACGTTACTGAATACTACAAATCATGGTTTAATAATCTTGATATTGCTCTACAAGGTCCTACAGAGGAATGACTGGATCTTCCTAAAATTAAATCAATAATAATAATCATTGTCACTGAAACTCATTCATAATTCAAACATGTTTGTTTGAGTATGATAAAAGACATTCTACGAATCCTTATTATTGTATCAAAAGGAACCCAGTTAGGTGGACGGGCCGGCGTTGCGGTTGATATCTCAAATTCTTGGCATGTGAAGACCGAATTAGGCAATTGCAACCATCCCTGCGGTAAAATGCCAAGAACTCACAAAAGGACTGGTAATTATAGAGTCACATTTACCAAAGTCAGTGCAAAATGTAGAACATCATGAATATGGCGCAGTCAATTCAAGCGCAAAAATCTGTACCTGGTACTGATTTCTCCATTTTCATATCTTGTGCCCAACCCAGCTTGATACACTCCTTCCCATCGTTCAAAGTTTTGTGCAATGGATCTCTTGCCTTATTTCACATGATTTCTCTGGAAATATGATGGACAGCCATCTCTTTGCAACGTACATTTTTCTCGACGAATGCGGCTCCAAACTGCTCCACATAGGCCACGAAAGGTTAGAAAAGGGGCGTTATTTATTTGCGTGTCAGCTTATGGTGTGGTATAGGATTCTTGTGGGTCTCCGCTGCTTAGGGCGGCATGTTGCGAGCTCATATGGTAATAGATTGTCATGGGCCAAGAGGATATTTCAGCTTGGCTAGAGCTCTGGCTATAGGTTTTGCCGGAAGACGATCGACAATCAAAAAGACCGTACTCCCCTTAAAAGAGTAGCGTTCGAGAAGTCGATTGATCCTAATGTTCAACTTATGTGATTGAAAATGGAAATGTATCTTCAAAAGCTGTTTATACGCCTCACGATAGACTGGAACACGTTCAAGATGCTGCTGGAATGGCGGTCATAGTAGATTCTGCCTCATCACTGGAACGGCTATGCCGAGCTCCCGAGTCCTTGACATCTCATCCCTTTCAATTTATCCTTGGTCGCCTCTTTTGTTAGATCAATCTTAGTTGAGTGTTTCATGATACAATAGTACGGTAAAGAGGCTGTCTGGACCTTTAGCCAAATTGCATGTCTGCTCTTATGCGTTTAGGGGTAAACTCACTCATTTCCTTAGTCACAGCATATACCTAAAGCAAGTTAGAGAAATTGAAAGTACGGATTACAAAGACGCTCCAATTTCATATATTTTTATATTTCATGGTGTGCCTGAACCCTTTGTAAAAGCTGAGAAAAATATGTCCAGATATAGACTGAGATTCTCTTGAAGCTATGTTGCGACAGAAGCGATATATTAGAAAACAGCCTACATGTTCCTTCTATCTCGCATGAACATTGGCAGGCAATCTCGCTGCGTCTATAGTATATTTATGTTGGATAGCATAAACCGATTCTACAGCCAAGCATGGATAAAAAGTTAGTATACTTAAGCAGAGCATCAATATCCGAACGGTTAAACTCGGTATAAGAGATATTTTTTACGTTTTTCAAATCAGACTTTTCGTTCGATCTTTTATTAGCTTCGAAGCCTCCCCATCATAGATCAAGCATAGTCAGTTGTATTGTTTCAGGAAGCCTTACTGTTTTTGAGCGCTCTTCGCTATATAACTTTATACGTTCTTCTATCCACTTAAATCGGCAGAATGGATCTGACTTGTAAACGCGAACATTTAAACGCGAACAGCGGACTTTCACGGGCTTTTATTATGGGCTGTTACCAGCCGCAATAGCGGTAGAGGTGGTGAGGCTTGTTTCACTCTCCATCTATTAATGCATGGCCTTTTAACAGTCGCTGAACTGATTGGTTCAGGTCAAATTATACTGTAGCTTAATAAGATTAGGAGGAATCCTGCATATTCTAACGCACACATGCAACTGGTTTGGGAATGCCGAACTCTGCATTAGCCTGCTAAGCTGAGCCGCGCTTCAACAGGCGCAGCTATAAACTACAGGCGGACGCCACGCATATAAAAATAAACGCACAAGGCTTGTGTTTAGCTAATCAATCTACTAATCAGCTTGGGCATAGCGTTGGGTATCAGTAATTTCCTAAATGGCCCATGCTGTCGTACAACTAGTTCAGAAGCATCCAAGTGGCAGGGCTAGCAAAGATTCGAAGTCGCCGAAACATGGGTTGCTCGTGCCCGGGTGTTCGCCAAAAATCCAACGACTTTCTCTCTCTCTCTCTCTCTCTCTCTCTCTTTCACTCGCACTCGCTCTCTTTTGTGAAGAAAGAGGCTCAACAAACTATCCACTATTTTCCCCTGCGCCAATACGTAGTTTATTACAGGGCTTGTGACCCCACCCCCCTATTATACGAGTTTACGCTTTTGAACGAGATGCGATAATGCCTGCAAGGCGTTTTTTGGCCCTTGGATTCTTATTCTTCACAGCAAGAGTGGGAGAACATGAGCGAGAATCATGTTTTACCACTCCAAGCATGTCTTTAGCTTATGTCGACTCGGCTCTTGATAACTTGATTCGGGCCATTGTGATGTGCCGAGTGATGTTCGACGCTAGAAGCAGCTACTTTCTGACTTTGCAAAAACAAACCCTGGGCAACGCAGTCCAAGCTACCGGGGCTAGCTTGTTGGCCAAGCATAATTCCCACGCGGCCGTGGTGACTTGCTAATTTCAGCCTTTGGGCTGTTCGCCGTCCTGAGTGGTTGGCGCGGTTCTGCAGGCGGCTAAACATAGAGACGGTGATATGACAGGGCTCGACTAATCAATTGCCAAAAACAGGCATCAGAGCCCCCCATAAACTACTGGATAGCAGCTAGCAAGCGCGGATAACCGGCGGGATGGTTCAAGTTTAACTGAGCTAAGGGTGATGCCGGGGGAAACAATCTGCGCCGCCGCCTGCTTTTTGCAAGGCCAAGCACGCTTACATGGGCTCCTCGTATGTTGGCAACGTCAGCGCTAGTGAGGGTCCTGGTGCGGTTTTGGCATCGTCGCGTGTATCCTGTGTGTTGCCTGTTTGCCGTAGCAATCTTGTCCATCCAGAGAGAGCTGATCAGCGGGTTTTCAGTTCAATCGAGGGGCATGGACACGCGATGAGGATGCATCTCTCAGTTTTCTTTTCTAGATGGAACGCATTATATAACTTGTAAGCTTGCATGTAATATGTATGTATTCGACTGCATTACCACTATTGAATAATGTGGCAGTACCATGGCATGTAGATGTAGGGCTGAGCAGAAGTCTCCACTCGCTGTTTGGATGCCAAAACGTTGATCCCTGTGTGTGAGAGAAGTGGACTTGCAAGGTGGAGGGTCCCCGATGCTCGCCTCCCATTCTCCTGATCGATACCCTCGCTCCATGGAGAAAAGTCATTCGGCCAGGCCCAAAATAAATCGAAAATCGTTCATAAGATCCGCAGGCCCCCAACTCCCCCCGTCTGCCGGCGGTCTTCTCGGTCTTGGGGCTCTGCTCGAATGTCGAATAAGACGTATCCATACGCCTACAAGATGACTCCGACTGTAAGTTTGTAAACACAGACCTATGAAGATCTCTAGACTAAACATGCCTTCCCAGTATGACGATTCTCCCGAGCTAGCAGTCGGTCACGATCTGCCCGAGGCCTATGTTCAATCACCTCCGGAGACGGTTTGGTCGCCTCAGCCATCTATCGCGCCGACATACGTCTCTCAGCCACCCAGTGCATACCCACCCAGTGCATATGGACAAAATGGACAATACATCGATGCTACGAAGCCCGGTTCAGCAGCTGGAGCTGGAGCTGTAGGGGGTGTGATGTCTCATGACCCGTCATATGCAGCTCCAGAGTCGACTGACCCAGAAAAGACGGCTCCTCCTGCTGCTGCTACTGTCTGCGGAATCTCCCTCGTCCTCCTTTTATCAATCATCATCGCCATCCTATCTGCGGCGGTTATTGGATTAGCAGCTGGAACCGGTGTCGCAACCAGCAATTACAACGATGCAAACTCGAAGCTGCGGGTCTTGAGCTCTTCACTGGCCGCAGCCCAAGCCAAAGCCACTGGCACACCTACTTCATCCGGCAGCAGCAGTCAGGGAACTTCTGTACCAACAGACTGGAACAGCATCACCAATGGATGTTCAGACAACCCGGGAGATGTTACTGGACTTACGTACACGTCTCAATGTAAGTTTCTCTGTCTCTCGAAAACTTTGTTAAGAAAAACGGTGATTCTAAACATGAACTCTTTCTTTAGCTTTCAACAATGCCAACTTTACCATGTACTGCGACAAGGATACCAAGAGCGGCTCACCAGTGTTTTCTGTTTTCGCTGGCAACTTCAACGGCTGCATGGACGCCTGCGCTGGATGGAACACATACAACACAACCAAAGGAAAATGTGTGGGCGTCTCTTTCATTCCCGAGTGGAGTGTCCTGGCTACTGCACTGGCCGGACACGCTCCCGGAGACTGCTACCTCAAGCCTGCTCCTTTGTCCAAGGCCAACCTGACGGCTCCCAACATTGGTGGTGGCGAGATTCACTCTGCTCTGCTTATTTCAAAATGATGAGGGGGGCTTTGAAAAAAAAAAAAAAAAAAGAGCTTGCGACGTGATGGAAGGGCGGTGTATGTTATTCGAGGAAGAAGGCGAATTCTGTTTTTTTAGCCGACTTTCTGAGAGAAATTTTTAATAACTAGGGACGTTTTTACAATATGTTTTTACGTTGAGCACGGCGTTGGATATATCAAACTGGGAGCCAGCTTGTGAAGATCTATTGGAATCTTCAAGCTATTTGCATGTACTTATACCATATCTTTCTTATTTATATACCATTCTCAAGCTCCCGCTATTTACTTTCGTGAGATGTTGGCTACTTTTGTGGGCTTCGGAGAAATAAATGCAACACGATTTTGGCAGTTGGAGAATCCACTCTCGCATGTTTGTTAATCTATCTTCTAACGATCTGCATACTGAATTTGCGGGTATGGATCATCGCGTATGTAGTAGCGTCGAATGATCGAGATTATCGAAATGGCAATCTTTATCAATTTAACATGGCTTGATGGTCTAGAATGAACGTAGGTAGTGCTCCGGCGTAAAGGTACACATGGGGAAATGGGCCCGCATACTTGATACCAGAGTTGGCTCCGAACAGTGGACCGCAGTAGCGATGGCAACCAATGCGTGGTACCCACGTCGGGCTATAGTGAGCATAGCTACAGTGCTGGAAAAGAAAAAGAAAAAAAAAGGTTGTTTGCAAATCTGCTTGCCAAAGAAGCGATAATCTCAATAAGAGCCTCTGGTGCAGCTGCAAGATTCTCCGGCCGGGGCTGCAGCGCAAATGAGCAAACAAGCGCTAATACTTTACGTTGTAAGAAAAAAGCTGCGTCTCAGCTACATATGAGAGACGATCAGCGCTCAACTATGAGCTCTCAATAGTATATGACTATGGTAGTCAATAAATTAAACAATTTATAGCGCTAGCTTCTAGTAGATGCCGTGACTTAATTTACGATGTCTTGTTGATAGTCATCTACGTCAATACAATACCAAGGAGTAGAGAGCTCAAACCCCCACTCCTTTATTATTACTGTAGCTTCATCTATATTAAATCTCAACTCTAACAGAGGGGTTGACTCCTGCAAACTGGGTGGGGTTTTCGGGGTAGTACTGACCGCCAAGGTTCCGCTGTTAGACGCAAATCGCCAGCAGAGCCAAGAAAGCGATCGATCTAAGATGGATAGTGCTAGTAGTTCTTCTTGTCCAATTGTTGCAGTCTCAAAGATGGCGCCAAGCCACTAAAACAAAAGGCAAAAAGCCATGTATTTTCATGACTTCTATTATTATGGTCTCTGCTGCTGTGTTCAGAAGACGTTGTCACTGCCTCACTTTATCTCTCACGAAATGATGTTACCCCTCATTAACCAGGATGCATATGGGGCTATGTTGACATGAACTGAAAATTCACTCAGCTTCTGGGCATCGCTTCGGCTTTCCGGCAATCATCTGCAACACGCCTCCACTCACAGCGTGAAACTCAAGCACATTGCTGCTGCAAGACCCTGGACGGCTGAGCCCAAAATGTAGAAGCTTGGACAGCACCACGTTGCCTTATTATAAGGAGGCCTCTAATAAGGAGGCCTCTAGTAACCTCTGGGAAGGAGGGCTATGCCTATAATAAGGAGTATCTGCCCATTTCGTCTTCCAGATAACTCTGCTCAGCTTGACATCATTCACTTGAATCATTAATTATCATAATCACAACATGGCTTTCTCTCAGTCTGCACAGGATTTCCGCCTTGACGGCTCGTTGCTCGTTGCCACCATCGCCACCGAGGAGGGTGACTGGGTTGAGAGCGTACTTGACATCAACGAGTATATCGGCAACAATGACGGCATGTTTGAGTTTGGAGGCAGCGGCATCTTTGACTCTGTCGACGTAGAGTCGTGGAGACTGGAGGGACCTCTTCTCATTACTGCGCTATACAGGCTAGATGGCTCCTTGGCGGAGGAGCAGGTTATCAACTTGGACGACTACATTGCGAACGATAATGGGGTTCTCGTGTTCAAGTAATTCTTCTTCGCCCCCATTCGGTTTTCGAGAGGTAGATACTAATGTTCTGTTGCAGCTATTAAAATGCATATATTCTGAGAAGAAGTGTCTATGCATGGACGGATCAACTCCCAGAAGTGGACAAGGTGGTGATCATTTAGTATATGAGACTAATTGACGGTATTGGCCATGTACTTGTATCATTGTTGAAGTTTTTGTCTATTCTTTGGACAATATCCGTTATAGAATGCATTTGATTGAAGCCAGCTTCCCTTTGCGACTACCTTGTCCTATGTGATTATGTGCAAATGCTGTCAATATCAACAAAAGCGGTCAGGAGGTGCCACACCAAGTGGTGGAGCCGTCACAAAACGGGGCGTATAATGGGAATTCGATTGCTAGTTACAGCCGTGATCAGGACAACTCACTGATGGGTACCACCCTTCGCGCTGTTTGGGTGACATTTCTATCGCGAGGTTAGAGGCGACGTTGGGAGTCTCTATTTTACGAGCAGTTGTGTCCCATTTGCTTGAGGATTTCTCGCTTAGAACCGGGATTAAAGTAGAAAAGTAGTAGTTGAATAAGTACCTAAGGGAAATTTTGTTAAGGCATCATATCCCTAGGTAGTAGCTTAAACTACTCATATAGTAAAATACGATTCAGTGTAAGTTTGAGTTAACGAGAAAACATAGCTATATGAGGGCATATGAAACGGTGGAGAACTGGAAATCGGAGCAATGAAAATATATCTCAGCAGCACTGGCTGCACTGGAAAAAGCCATGTATCCCATGTATCACTCGGAATGTACGGAGATGGACAGAGAATTGATTGCCTCTTGTGAGAATACAGACATGTAGGTACATGTACTAATGTATGGAGTCGGTTTATAGGTCTCCACTTTAGTCTTATCGCTAATCGATAAAGCGGTGCGATGGCTCCAGGCGGGGCAGATCAACCGTGACAGCTTCCCTCTACTGCGCTTCCGTGAAGTCCATCCATCTTCGCTCTGCCAAACACCAACGCGGCAGCCAGAGATGGAGGCTACAGCGCGTAAATCGTGGGGTAAGAAATCCTGATAATACCCAGCATCGGTCTCCCTGATTCAAACGCTGACAAATCTGATGCGATAGAGCTGGACAACAATGTCCAGCTGGCCGATGCCAAGCGAGATGCGCTGTACAACTACGACGCCGATGCCCAAAAGGCTATAGCAGCTGCTCATCCATGGACCAAAGATCACAACTATTTCAAATACGTGAGGATCAGCGCCGTTGCCCTGATCAAGATGACACTGCACGCCCGGTCTGGAGGATCGCTTGAAGTCATGGGCCTGATGCAGGGCTACATCGATGGGGAAACCTTTGTGGTGACGGACGCTTTCCGACTACCTGTCGAAGGAACCGAGACGCGAGTAAATGCACAGAACGAAGCGAACGAATACCTGGTCGAATACTTGGACCTGAGCCGTAAGCAGGGTAGGCAAGAGAACGTCGTTGGATGGTATCACAGTCATCCGGGATACGGGTGCTGGCTCAGCGGTATTGACGTCGAGACGGAGGCAATGCAGCAGAAATTCCAGGATCCCTTCTTGGCAGTAGTCATCGACCCTGATCGCACCATCAGTGCCGGCAAGGTCGAGATTGGAGCATTCCGGACATATCCTGCAAACTACAAAGCAGACGGGGCTGGCGGGCAGACGTCCGATGGATTCCAAGCAGTCCCTCTCGACAAGGCTGCCGAATTTGGTGCCCACTCAAGTCGATACTACAGCCTCGAAGTCTCACATTTCAAGAGCACCCTGGACTCCCACCTCTTGGAGCTGCTGTGGCACAAATACTGGGTGCAGACACTCAGTCAGAGCCCGCTGCTGACAAACCGCGACTACGGCAACAAGCAAATGCTGGATTTGAGCTCCAAGATTAAAGAAGCTACCTCCAACATTATGCGATCCAGAGTTGCGTCTGCGATGATGCCTGGTGCAAGAGGAGCAGATAAAGCGGTAGAGAAGCTTGCTCAAGATGCAAATTTGATTGCGACCAAAGAGTTGTCTGGGTTGATGGCGGCTCAGATCAAGGCCAAAGTGTTTAACGATTTGGGCACCGCATCAAGGACAACACCGACGGGCGAAGCGGCCAGTTAATGGTTTAGGGGCATACTGCTATGGTTACGTTTTACGTTATGATAGACAAACTACACAGGCGTTATTTGAGCTAAATACATGGATTGCTTGTTCTTTGCTTATAACGACTGTGTAGATTGGGGTGTTTTACGAGTACTAACCGTTTGTAGCCTTGCTATACCACCCCGTTTAAGGTCCGGATTGATTTGTGAAGACTGCTTTTGGAACAGCAAACCATGGTCTCAGATGAGATCTCTGTGGCCAGTTGTGGAGAGCGATGGAGATGCTGTTTTGGTCCATGAACCAGCACAGTCCATGCCCATGCCAGAGTGATAAATCGGCAATGCTACCCGACCAGCTATGTAAAATGCGAATTGACTACATGTGGGTAGTCAATTACTATTTCGTAGTAGAAAGAAAGATGAGAGAATGCCTGCTACTGCTTCTGCTGGTGGCCATTGATACGTGCGACGATCGCTCCCGCAGCCACATGTTATTCTAAACATTTTTTTTTTTTTAATCTTCTCATTCCGCAATATCATGATTTTGTCATTGACGCCTATCGTTGCGCCTTTCTATGCATTTGTACAGACAATCCATTCGTCATGCCCGAGATGCAAGCATCTTTTGAGATCGATGACGCTTACACTTCGTCGTCGCGCATGAAATTTGGGGAGACTTATTGGCCGTCGCCACAGCGGGTCGGCGGTAGATGAAGGTGGGGATTTCCCCAGGCTGTGCTAGCGAAGAAGCTACAGCAGCGGAGTGATACTCGTATAACTTGTGTAGGGCTTGATGCTAACTAAATGCTAAATTATACTAAGTAGGCTTCAGGGACAATGGCTGCGATGGGAGGAGGCAGAGCTTGCTCAATAAAAAACGAAAAGAGAAGAAGAAGAAGACGATGGAAATTGGCAGTTACATGTGATAATGAGGGCGATGTCTAATAGCGGCACATGCCAACAACGGCGACCAATTTCCGGCTTTTGTTGTACACTGCAGATCGCTGTGCACGCGATAAAGCACACGCCCCTGTCGTTTCCTCCTCGCAATCTCATTGGACCGCTGGCCGGCGATGCCTCGAAGCGCAAACGCCTCTCTCCGTTCTTTCACCGTCAATTCTGCAATAAAGCAAAGACAATTGTGTCAATTGTGTAGTCCAAATGGCAACTGCAAAGCCTGCAGGCACACCTTAGGTAAGACAGGTACCTGCCAACCTACACCAGCCCTCCTTTCGGGCGGTCTCCTCCCATTCGCTGCCGACCTGAGACTGTCCAACGCTATGACGTACTTGTTACCCGGATCCAACGTCACTCCCCTGGGAGCTGGGAGGAGCATCGAGCTCTGCGACTGCTGTTTGTGGTTTCTGCTTCTCGATGCGGCCACTAGTCCTGTAGCCCAGTAGAGCTAGTAATTAATTGATGTAATTGAGGATCAGTGGAAGCAGCAGGTCTAGACCGGCTCGGCGCTGTTCAAACCACGGCACCTGCTGCTGGTCCTATAAAACTCTTCTGCTGCCGCACGCAGCTCTTGCCCTGTGCTTCTGCTTCTGCTCCCTCCAATCCACCAGCTACAACCTGTAATATCTGAGATACCCCGAAAGTTACTGCTTTTCGCTCCCCAATCCAACCTCCAAAAGAACACTTTGTATCGATTGTTTCTCCCTTTTTGTTTTTCTTGGCCTGTTCTTCCGCCCGTTTTCAATCGTACCGAAAATTCTACGTGCCTCTCTCCCACACAACTGTGGACAATTCTTTGTGTTCTTTAATTTTTCTTTTCTTTTTCTTTTTTTCGTCGAATTCACTCTCGATTCAGTAAAGCCTAGGAACCGCAACTTCTTCTTCCACCATGGCCGCCAACGTCAACAGGCCAGTCGACATCAAGCAGAAGGAGAATGATATCAACCGCAAGCTCCAGATCTACGGCATTTTCAATGCATTCAAAAATGGCAAAACCCCTTCTGTATGAACACCAATTCCTCTGAGGCGTTGTCTCTTGCGGCTATTTGCTGACTCCAGGCTTGTAGAACGAACAAATCGACGTTGCCTTGAACAGCTTTCTGGAGTCCAGGGCCCTCGGCAGCCCTTCCAACAAGCTCTCCGACGATGGAAAGCTGTTGGTGGAGGATGCGAGGGAGGTTATCAAGCTTACCAAGCAGCTTCTGCTGTCCAAGAATCACGGCAACTTGATTCAGGACTTCATTTGGCAGACTACACACTACGATACCAAGGGCGTCAAATCCCCAAATTCTTCATTGACCAAGGACGCTGCCACACGGGATAAGGATGATGCTCTTGAGGGGCTGAGAACTCTAGGCACTTTGCTCATCACAAATGGCCAGTTCCGAAAGCTGCGTACGTGGACCTGCTTTTTTTTTTGTTTCACCCTCTCTCTACGGTTTTTTTTTTTCTTTTCTCTCTTTCTTCACCTCGGGCGATTAATCGTTGAGACTCACCATTTCTATAGTTCAAGATGCGTCGATTCTACTGCGTGACATGATTGGGGACGGCGCTATGAACGCTGCGAACAAGATTCGTCCCTCTGATGAACAACTTGGCCAGATGGACGAAGCTGCTCCCGACAACACATGGCATGAGAAGCCTGATCTCTCTAAAGAAGGTTTCAAAAACCAAGCGCGAACACTCTACAAAGGAGATGTGAAAAAAGATGCTCAAGATGTTGTCGCCGCTGCCGCCCTTGGAGATGCAGCAGTCACCCAATCTGGTACAACTCCTCAAGCGAGAGCGGCGCCTCAAGCTGGAGCAGCACCTCAAGTGGGAGCAGCACCTCAAGTGGGAGCAGCACCTCAAGCGGGAGCGGTGCCTCCGGTCGCCGCGGCGCCTCAAATAGGAGCATTGCCTCCGGTGGGAACGGTGCCCCAGGATCGTGTCATTAATACCACTCAGCTCAGCCAAAACACTTCTGCCGACGCAGCCAAGGCAGTGGTGAATGAGAAGTTGGATCAAAATCTAGACGATGAGACTCAGGAGAAGGCCAAGGCGCGGAATGAGGAGTACCGTCGCAGAGCCAGAGAGTACCTGAAGAAGAAGATGCCTCAAGAGCGCAGAGATCAGGTTGTCTTTCGTCTCAAAAAGATCGTGCTCGAATGCCAGCAGCACCCCGACTACATGCAGGCCGTGCAGACTCTTCTTCGGCTAGCCGAAGAATACGGTCGGCATGGGCGCAACTATGGAAGAGGTTCTGCTGATTCTGCCAAAGACGTTCGAACTGGGCTTTCTGCGGCCGAGGAAGATTTGCGCACTTTGATTGAGCGCTTCGCCAATGGCACTTCCACCGAAGATTTGTGGCAGTCAATTAGCCAGATCTACAAAGATGCTGATCAAGACCAAGAACTCAGTGATTGGTTCAAGCGAGTCGATACCTACATCCGGAAATGCCTCTTGGAACAAGGCTATGTTCTCGAGGACGAGTCTACTGACGAATGGAATCGGCTCTACGACAAGGGCCGATATTTGCTTCGTGAGAAGTACCGTAGCCACACGGACCGTGTCATTGACGAAGTCAGGTTTATTGTGGATCAGTTCGAGCAAGACCCTCAAAACAAGGCATTTGGTGTTGCCGTCCAGAAGCTTTTCAAGGATTTGGGCAATGACGAGCACGGAAAGCCTGCATTCAAGCCTCATCTCGTCAAGGATCTGACAGAAGTCATCATCCCTGCCATCTTCGAGAACATTGCATATGTTCCGATCCCACGCATCGAGTACTCTGATCCCCAGGTCGATGCCGTCATTGAGAATTTGGTGCTCGAGAGCGACAACTTTATGCCCAACGTTCTCGAGGTTGCCAGTGACAATTATTTCCGCTGGGGACGCAAGAAGTTTGCAAACAAACACAAGAATAGCGTGGATATCAAGGTCACTGGTATCCAGATGGATCTCCGAGATGTCAGCTATTATATCAACCGCAAGAAAGGATTTCCTTCCATCACTGATACCGGGGTGCTCGATCTGGTGCTCCCTGGCGAAGGCTTCTCTTTCAGGTTGAAGGTATCTACTCCGGAAAAGAAGGATGCTGAGCACGTGTTCAAGGTGGAAAAGGTAGACGTTAACGTCCGGGGCCTAAAACTCAAAGTTAAGAAGTCGAACCACAAGCTCCTATTCAGTCTCTTTAAACCACTTGCACTCAAGGCTATTCGCCCTGGGCTGCAAAAGGCAATCGAGAAGGCCATCAAGGACCAGTGCAATCAGGCCGATCAATTCCTCTACCAGGTCAAGCAAGAGGCCGACCGTGCCGTCGAAGAGGCCAAGGATAACCCCGAGGAGGCCCCCAACATTTACATGCGATACTACAATGCCACTCAGAAGAGAATCCTGCAAGGCAAGGAGAAGGCAAAGGCTTTCGTTCAAGACAAGAAGGTCAATATCGCCGTGACAAAGCAGGACAGCATCTTCCCTGACATCCACTTGCCTGGCGGCATCAGCTCCAAGGCCACTGAATACAAGGAGCTCGCTGCCAAGGGCGACAAGTGGGAGAGCCCCGTCTTCTCCATTGGTGATGCCAAGAAGAGCACCGACATCCCCAGCGTGCCCCGAATCGAGAGGAAGGCTCATGCCGTCTCGGGTGGACATACAAATGGCAATGTAAATGGCAATGTCCACAGCAACTTGAATGGCAATTTCAATGCCAATGGCTTGGCCAACGGCAAAGGCCTGGCCGTGGCCGGCGAAGGCTCCAACGGCGGTCCTCTCGGCGGACATGTTCCCGCTGCTTACTAGGGATGCAGCGGTGGGCTTATTTCGAGGTTGAAGAAAAAGGACAGTGAACGATCAGTTGGGAGTGCAGATGTGGAAATTCTATACCCGCTAGGACAGGCGTGATGTTGCTTTCTTTCTTTCTCTATTTTATCCTTTTGCTTTCTTTCTATGGTTTCCCGCTTGTATGGGACCGGAGTTATCCTATGTGTGGCAAGTCTTCAAATAAGCAGCAGTGAGGGTTGTAGGATCACGCAGTTAATGATGTTGGGGACGGCTGGACATGCCCATTTGCTGCCTTTTCTGTTTGCGCCGCCTATTCTATCCTGTTACGATATCCTCGTCGCTCCTTTCTTGGCGTAAGCCTACCTGATACCACGGTGGTAATATATTAGTGCTGTAGTAATTGAATTGATGAGATTGAAGTTAATTATTGTTGTGCTTGTGCCTGTGCTTGTGCTGTACATTGTCGACACCAAACCAGATAGATGGACAATCATTATTAATGACGTCTCCGGAAGCTGAGCTGGAAGTGGGTCTCGATAAAGCCCATGGAGGGTGATCTCGGTGGCGTGAAGCTAGCCCGCAATGGGCCTCGACTCGGTGGGCGCAACGACGTATTCATGAGGTTGGACCGTCGTCTGGTGGCCGCTGCTTGAGCTTTGCCGATCAAATAAAGTCGCCTGGGGCGCGCCCGAACGGGTAACCGAAGATTTGCTTGTTACCTGCGGCTTACTCAACGAAGACTCGTAGAACCGCCTCTTCCGTTTGTTCCATGTTCCTTCTCGTCTATTGACCGCCATTCGAGGACCATCTATAGAGGCGGCTCCTGATTGAATCTGTTGCTGCTATTACTCGCGTTTCTGCATTTTCCATGAAGCATTTTCATTTGTAGTCATCAGGGATAGCGCTGCTGGGCTCGGGAAGATGCAATAGGCGTGCTCGCTGCGTTACTTCAAAGGGTCGGCTCTATTAACGCTGTGCCCATACAAAAAGAGGAAGACGAGGAAGAAGAAGAAGACGAAGAGGGAGTGTAAGAGAAGAAGCAAGGAAGAAGACATCATCATTGGCAATGGATGCGAAAGAAGCAGTATCAGAGGCGCCGCCTTCTTCGGCGACAGAGGCTCTCACCGAGGCTCAGACGCGGGCGCTGTTTGACATTCTCACGCACCACGAGACGTACGGCGAGATTGAGGGCTTCAAGGCGCCGGATGCGGTGACGAGCTACGGGCATCCCTTTGCGCGGACGATGAAGGTGCCCGCGATGCAGACGCCGTCGGTGGGAGGGACGCCAAAGTCGGGGCCGGGGACGCCGACGAGGTCGAGGACGCCTGTGTCGGCGTTTTGGCTTGGCGGGAGAGGGAAGAATGTTGTTGTTGAGGAGGAGGAGGAGGAGAAGGTGAGGCGTGGGGATGGTGATAGTGACGATGATAGTGACGTGGTGGAGGAATCGACATCGCCGTTGCTGCAGATGCTGCTGACGAGGCTGGTGCTGCCGTTTCCCGGCGTGAGGGACCTGCCGCAGGGGTTTTGGGACGTCAGAATGCAGGGCCTGCTGGCGAGGTTTGCCGAGGCGGATTTGTCCGAGAGCTTTGATAAGGGGGCGATGGGCACGCGGAAGACGCTGGCGACGGGGGCGAGCAGCGTGATGGAGATGGTGGCGAGGGGGCTGCTGGGCGGGGTGGACAGAGGAGGAGGAGGAGGAGGAGATGGATCTGAGGAGGACAAGGAGACGAGGCTGAAGGGAGAGTATGATGAGGACAAGGCTGAGGAGCTGGCGAGGGCGTTTGAGGATGCGTGGCGGGAGTGGGCGTATGGGCGGCTGGTGGAGGAGATGTTTGATCATGTCAAGGTGACGGAGGATGTGGAGAGCCATTCGCCGATGATGAAGGCGGCCCTGGATTATGCCATTATACAGTGAGTTTGCCTCGAGTTATCGTGATGGAGAATTGCCCTGTTGACGATGCATCTTTTTATATGCACAGCCTGGCCACATTTGCCCATCACATCTTCATCCTCTCGCCAGAGGGCCAGTACCTCCTCAAGCTCATCGAAAACATCAACAGCCTGATCCCCTACAAGATGATCAAGCAGACGCTGCGCATCGGCAACGCCGCCACCATGATTAGCGGCATGATGCGCCTCATGCTGGCCAAGCTGAGCGTCACGAGCCTGACCAACTGGGTCGGGCTGACGGCCAATGCCGACGACGGGATGAATCTCCTGCAGAGGATCATTTCGCTCGTCTTGTCGTGGGACGCGTCGGAATTCAAAAAGAGCGCGGACAAGGTCGAGAAGGGCAAGGGGGATGCGGCGCCGACGGATGAGATGCTGGAGGCGATACGGCTGTACGTGTCGCTGCCGAGGAGTGAGCATGTTGCCGCGAGGGAGGAGAGCGTGACGAAGTCGAGGTCGATTGTCGTGACGATTCTCGAGGCGGCGGATCCGCAGCTCGCAAAGGCGCTGACGGAGGCGCAGCACGCGCAGTGCTTGGAGTATTACTCTGCGCTGCTGTCGGTGCATGACCGCGATGCGATTACGTCCGTCTTGTGTCGGCAGCCGCCGGATCTGTTTACGCAGGCGCTCAAGGATATTGTGGGGGCGTATGAGCCGATTATAAGGAGCGTGCACTCGCGGGTTGATTTGCGGTTCTATCTTGAGGCGATGCAGGGGTTTATTGCGGATTTTATTCGCGCGAGTAGGCCCAAGAAAGGGGGCAGGAGGGAGGACGAAGGGGGGGAGGTGGCGAGCGTGGAGGATTACGTGGTGTTGTTGAGGAATAATCGGGGGTTGCTGTATCGGTGGATTCATGACTTTGCGAAGAATTGTCCCGAGGTGTGGGAGGACTTTCGGACGTGGGCGAAGGATGTGGCTGTGAGGTTTCGGCAGCCTCGTTTTGGTGGTGGTGATGATGATGGCAGTGGAAACAAGAGGAGTATGAAGGAGCAGCTGGGCGAATTGTTTGCTTCTCTTGACGAGGCGACTAAAGACAAGGTGCGCCAGGCCATTGACTCACACGCGCGGTATCTCGATTCAGTCACGCAGCTCTCCCAGCGGCGCTTGCAGGCCGTCATCAATGCCACTGCGGTCTCATCGGAAGCAGCTGCTTCTCGCAAACACCAGATGACGTCCGGCCCGGGGGTCTATCTCTCGCAGTGGCAGTCCCTGCTCGACACGACGGTGATTACGCCGTCGTCGAAGGAGGGCGCCCCTCGGCATGGAGAGGATGTCAAGTTTGTTACGACGATGGGGAAGCTGGGTCTTGGGGGGAGGAAGTTGGCGGGTGGGACGGGGGATGGTGAAGAGGAGTTGAAGGCGCCGGATGTGAGCGTTGTGGTAGAGGCGCTGGGGGAGGCGTTTAGGGGGGTTGTGAGGGAGAGGGCAAAGGAAGATGTTTTGAATGAATGAGTGAGTGAGTGAGTGAGTGAGTAGTGAGGGAGAATGTAGGATAATGGCGGATGTGAATATTTTCTTATTTCTTTCTTGGGTATTTACGCATAGGCATAAATGGGAATTAGAGCATGGCATCACAGAAGAGAGAGGGGGAGAGAGGGAGTAAAGTATCAAATGCTGCATGTATGTTTGTAAACTTTGCTAATGAGATATGTTGGCGATAAAATAGTAAGGCCTGTATAATAAATAATAAGAAGAAGAAAAAGCTAGATGTGAAAATTAAAAAAAAAAAAGTAGAAAATGCTCTTGGTAGCTTTATATACATGAGATCTGAGCTCATAAAACAAGAACAATTGCCACCATTACTTTCACATTTTGTTGAGAAAAAAAGAGATTCATCATCCTCTCAGCGCTTAAAAAGGGTCAGGAGAGTTGGACCATCGCCGAGAAGGAACGTCAATGTAGAAAGAAAGTCTTTTCCGGCCCTGAGGTTGACTGGTAGATACAGCGGCCTCTGCTCCAGCATCTCCGGCGCTGTAAATCTCAATGCGAGTCACCGTTTGGCTAGCCGGCCTCGAGGCATCTTCTTCCATCCGAGAATTGCTCTCCCCGTTGCGGTCCAGTAAAGCTCTCAGCGCATCGCCATTCATCCCATTGTCCAATCTATCGTCGGTAGATGGTGGGGTCGGCAAAGCGGCAGTTTCCTCGCCCCAATTTGGTGGTGCTATCTGAGGTGTAGCAGGGAGAGGTTTGTTGATGTTGGCACGGGCTGCTGCTGCGGCTGCGCTGCGCTGGTGGAACTTCTCGGCGAGTTCTAGGATGGCGGTTTGGGCGCTTGCAGGGCACTGCTCGATTTGGCCGACACAATATGCCAGGCCGTCGATGTAAGCGTCTGCTACGGAACGCGATGATCCATGTTGTCCTTGTTCAGGGGGGGTAGAGCCGGCGTTGTTTTGGCTGCCAGCAGCAGCGGTATTTTCCTCGCGATTGTCGCCTGTGAGGTTGATAATCTCGGAAGGGGCGGAGCCATGGTCGCGGGAGAGGTCGATCAGGTCAATAGCGCGAACCTCCTCTGTCATCTCCGTAATGATTGTCACGCAGTCGTCCACGTCAATGTCAATAAGCTCCCGTGGCTGCGATTGCTGCTGCGTCTGCGGCCGGTTCGTCGGATTCGTCTTGGTCATGTCTCTCTTTTCGTACACGATTTTCACCAGACGATCTCTCCATATAAGCTTGATTCTGATTCCCGTAGCCTTCTGGAGCGTCCTGACGAATTTCCCGCAAAAGTGGCAGTTCTTGCGCGAAAAGTAAATCTCAAAGGCAGGCCTCGAGCCGTCTTCCCATCGTGCGCCTCGCAGTCTCTTGAGATGTCTGAGCGAGACGTTGTCTAGGTCTTGCGTGATGTCAAACTTGTTGAGCAGGACAAAGACGGCGTGCACCGCGAGCTTCACCTCCACATGGCCGCCCAGAAATATGCCAGACATGTCTCGGCCCATGACCTGGGACATTCGGCCGTCATATGGGCGGTTCATCCGCAGGCCGAAAATCTTGCCCATGGAAACCACTCTTTGTGCCCACACGTCATTGGGGAGGACGCTCGGCTCGGGATCGAGCAAATCGCCATTCAGGCTGGCCCCATGTCCACTCTCTGCCCAGGCCAGTACGATTCTCTTCTTGCCGGCATCGGTTCGAAGGGCGAGGAAGCCTGTCGTCTTGCCGTTCAGACGTGTGAAGATGGCGGAAGCCGGTATACGCTTCTCTTTTGCGCGGTCGTGTCGAAAAGTATACGCGAGATTGGGGCCCAGCACTTCGACACGGAGGGTTGCGGCGATGGGGTCGATGATGTGGTGGAAATAAAAGGATGGCAGCGTATCTCGAAAGGAGACATCAAACTCTGGTAGATTTCTCGTCTGGAGAGAGTCCTCCTCTCCATCAACCTCCATTATAGCTGCCCGGTGATGGCGCGAGGTGTTGATGCTGAGGCTAAGTGCAGCCTATCATTCACAGGGCTGGCCGTAAAGATGTCAATGCCAGATCAGCGCTGTTTGGGTTCTTGACTCCTAGGCGCAATAATTAGCGAGCTAAGCGCGCATGTGATGGAGAGGAATTCGTACTCGCCATAGATGTCTCTCCGAGTTTGGGAGAGCTTTCTTTAAGCTTGAGCTGCGCTGAACACCTTCTTTGTAGCACCTCGGTTGAAAAGGCGGCATCGACAGGAATAAAAATTACTCAGAAAAGACGGTGACTTGTATTGATACGGCCTCGCAGGCGGTGAAAGGTATATCCTTCCTCTCCACCCAGCAGAAGAAACCATGTTTTGGTAGGAATCAGAGCTTAGAGAAAGTCTGCGATGGCATCTCTCAAATAATTTCCCCGTAGATTTTCATGTGTCATAGAGCATTGACTTCCTTTTTCGGTCTTCGTAGCCCACAAATGACAGTATTTGAACAATTGCGGCTCTACGTGCCATTCTTCGCACAACACACGCGATATCAGAGGCGATATAAAGAGACTCTAAGCGACGATAACACCAAAAGAGGTGTGTTTGGATGGCACAGTGCCAGCCTGAGAATTTGCACGTCTTTGACAGACATCTCTGAAACTAATTGAAGGGAAAAAAACATTGATAGCTGCAATATCCAAAAGATGAACTGGGTGAACGAAAAGATCATGAACTTGGCGCAGATAGAACGTGGTGTTGTAGTCTGAGCAGCCAATCAGATGCTTATGTAATCTTCTCACAATACAGACTGGCCAATGTTCACACCGAGATGGATATGAGGTAGGAAGAGTAAATCTACATGTTCAAGTACAAACATACCTGTTAATCTCATGATTATTTTTCTGCGTAATTTAAATTTCAAATTCTTTCTTCACGCTTGGGTGCCCGCCATTTCGTATTCACTTGTATTTTACGGCTTATTGATACTGCACTGATATTTCTCACTGGTTCTATGTCGTCTCGCTACCCTGCATCAACGATATTTTCCATCTAGGTATATATGCTGAGTCCGTCGGCTAGACAATGTCAGTATAGAATAATTCATAACTTATGCCTTAATACCGATGAATTCAAAGTGGTATGGGTAACAGTATGGAACCAAGACAGATCGCGTGTATTTTACATTCTTTCATCTTTAATGCATGTCTATTGAGCAATCAGGGTGAGCTACTGGGCAGGTATGGGTATTTTTCTGTTGGCAAATCCATTCGATCTGGGCTCTCCCACCATATATCAAGGAGCAAACAGCTAATTCATATTCCCTACGAAACTCCATCTCTACATACTACAAGCATTCATTACGCACCGCAGGCTGGCATCCACGTTGGCTCATACAGTCACACGTATCATGGGAGCGCAAAATTGATCATGAAGAGACGGCTGCGACACGTCCAGTTTGATAACCGAAAGCCCAAAAACCAGAGGGAATCTTGTTCATACATCTCAAACTAGAAGACCGTACGCCCATTCCAAATGCCGCCTATCCATGACAGTTGAAGGAAGAAAAAAAAGGAAATTAAAAAGAGTTCAACTTTTTTTTATTGGTAAATTTACTCCTCATCCTCCTCCTCGGCCTCAGCGGTGGTCTGGGCAATACGGTCCAAATCACGCTGGCCGGACTGGGTGATGCGGCGACCACCCTTGTCCTCGTCCTGCTCAACGACGCCAATCTTCTCGAGGGCCTGGAGGACCTTGCGGTCGACGGAGCCGGAGGCGTCAACGTGGTGAGAGGGGCGGTTGCCACGGTTCTTGGCAGTGCCGTGGACCTTGCGGAGACGGCCAACACCGACGGTCTTGCGGAGGTAGACGTGGCGGGCGACGGAGGCGGCGCGGACGTAGAACCAGTCAATGTCCTGAGGAGGGAGCTCCTTGGCGGGACCAGTCTTGACGGTGTCAACCCAACCTGGACGAAACAATGTTAGTACATGACTTTGTGAGAGAGATGGCTGTTAAAAGGTCAAAAACATACCGGGAATGGGCAGCTTGCCCTGGCGCTTCAAGAAAGCAGCATAGGCAGTGATGAACTTTTGCGCCTGATTACAAAAGATCCCATTAGCAATTATTCCGTCGTCAGAAGTCTTGCGACTCCCTCGCGCCTGCTCCTAGATCCCTCAAAGAATTTTTGTTTCTCTTGTATATCTCTACATTCCACGCTCGTTCACAGTTATGTATGCCGCCGGTCCGAGGCTCAGACAGCTGGTATTTCTCAACTCAAGCCGCTGTGGCTCTGCGGCGCCGACCACAACATCGCAGTATCGGAGGCTTCGGTGATATTTTTGTTTCTTTATTCTTCTTCGGGGCCAAGTTGCGAGATCGTCGAGGAGGTCGTTCGTGGAGGGGGAAATCCTATAGATTCATTTTTTTATTTTTTTTCAGGGTAGACCTACATCGACATCGCGAACGGTGATTCCGCCGGCCATTTTAACGGTGTTGGATGGTGGTTTGGGGGAGAGGACGGTGAAGCTGGTGGGCAATTGACTGGGCTTGAAGATCAAAGAAAAGTTCGTCTAGATTGAAACGCGGGACAACAAACTGTGAGCTTTGGCGCTAACTAGGGCTTGCGACCCTAGCGCACATGAGTGAAATTGGCGCTAGTGCTTTTGGCTGTGATGACTAAGAACGGGCAAAGCTAGCGCTAGCGGAAATATATCGGCTAAATGCTTTGCTGTGGGAGCTGCCTGTGGGTACGCGAGAGGCGCTGATATAGGGGCGAGGAGCTGAGTCAAGTGCCTTTGCAAGGGATTACAGCTCCGTGGCAGTCCAAAATGCGAATAGTATCATGATTGAAAAGTCTATAATACAAGAATGTCTACTTTTAGTCTTGCCCAGCCCAAAATGCAGTGACCGACGCGCTTTTTAGTAAACCCAATCATCCAAAATGCCATTTCCCCGATTCAAGTATCGTACAAATCATAACGAAAAGACAAATCACAATAATCAAAAAGGCAGTTTCTCCCGTTACGCCCATTTCGCTAATAGAGACATGATGGCCACTCCAAATGCTACGCAGCCAAAAGCAAACAGCTGAATCTTCAATGGTGCTTTTCGCATATGGGGGTTGAACATGAATTCATGCGCCAAGAGCTCAACCAGGCCCGTGTACATGAGGATGCCAGCGCTGATGGAGTCGAAGATGCCGTTAACAAGCTTCTGAGTGTTGGCGTTGTTGGGTCTCGCGCCTATTCCAGCGGCTGTTCCAATCGGGGTTGAGATGGCAAAGGCGAAGCCGAGGAGGTATGGCAGCCACCCTTTATCCTTAGGCCAGGGGGCTGTTGCCAATCGAGATCCCAGACCAAGGCCTTCAAACATTTGATGAAAGACTAGTACGACGAGTAGAACGACGAGGTCATCCGTGGTACCGAGCGTAAGGCCAATGAATACGCTGTGGAAAACAACACCAAACTCAAGGATGAAGATGGCCGTGAGTTGACCTGCTAGGCCACCATGTGAGTCGCTGTCTTCATGCTCATGGCCGTGGGCGAGGTGATCCTCTCCTCCAGGAGGATAGCTCACATCGTCGGGAAGGCCGGGAATAGTTGTCGGATCTGGCCCACGCAGGACGCCCCTCTCAAGATCGTGCGGGCAGGCTTCTGCGATGGCTTCCTTTTCGGTTGATTTCCTGTGAGCCGCTGCTTTGAGAGTCGGGCCGGAATCGCTGTCGGAGCCAATCGAGTGGCTATGCTCATCCTCGTCCCCTCCGATTCTTGCAGCAAGGAGCTCAACAAAGAACATGACCATGACTGTCATTAAACTGATGCATAGAGCCCAAGGGTAGTCGCCCAACCGAGGAGCAAGGCAAGGGTCTGACAGATTGTCTATTGCTGGGTCTAATAGATGCATCCACGCAGTTGCGATAATCACGCCGGTGCCGACATATTTGCAGATGAAGAATGTGAATTTGGGTACGTGCATCTTTTGCTGTCGGGCGAGGAGGATTGGTGCGAATGCACCAAACATTGCCGCCGCCATGACTATGAAGATGGCGCCGATACGCAGGCCACGGTTTTTGAGATCGACAAGTTCTCCATTGCAGTTATCCAATGTGTCTGCCATGATGCGAGTGTGTTTCTTGTCAAGGTTGTCGCAAAAAGTAAGGTGTAGTCTTGCTCGATATGGCTACTTGGTAGGCCAGAGACGCCGAGTGAGCCGAAAATGCTCCCTGATGATTAGACACTCTTTCAAGGCATCAACAGTCGACAAGATGCTATAGTGAAAATATGCTAAATATGGAAGGGAGATGACTATCAACACCTCTGTCTCTGTCAAGGGAATTTCACTGCAAAGTTTGGCCGAGGCAGACGCGTGCAACGACGTTAGTTCGCCGGCGGATGTTGTCGTTGAGAGGCGATATAGGCGATATTCGGTTGAATGCTTTGTGAAGAAAGAATGAAGAGCGAAAATGGATGCTTAAGACAGGCCGAGATTCTCAAAAATACTCAAATGCTGTGCAAATATAGTAGATTTCCGTAAGTCTTGACGCAAGGGATGAGGTAAGAACGACGAATACTGCAGGTCTCCAGGGAGAAACACGGCTCGGTAACCGGACAACACTAGCAGGTTTTTTGTTGTAAAGCTTCCGCCGGATCCTTTTCGTGCTGTCACAGTATTTCGTGATTATTCTTTTCCTTTGTCGACAACTGGAGGCCGGATTCGAGTCACACCAGTCGGAGAATAGATTCGACCAGCTGCCAGACGACTCGCTATAAAGGGGGAAAACGGTATTGTGGGGGTCAAACAAGCTTGATCTGGGCTTCAAGGCAATGTCGTACAAAATGCAGTGCACGCTATGCGAAGGACGTGTATGGGATGGTTTCTTGATCTTGTTACGTGGATTTGGTGCAAAAATGAGGAGCAATTCGGCTCTGGGGCTGTGGGAGGCAGAAAAGGCTGCTCAATTTTCGGCCCCGCATACGTCAAGACGTGATGAGAACCTTGATGGCCGCCGTCCTGGACTCTACGCCCAGCCAAGGTCCACCAAATCTCTTCTTCGTTTAGCACTGCGGTATCTTCCGGGGCCAATGATGACTATGCGATTGATTCCATCGTGGTATCTTGTATGCGAATAGATACTATACGCTTACTAGAGCTGCCAGCACTGTTGGGTACGGCATAGCAAGGCTGAATCGGCGTACTTGCACCGACGCTGTAGAAAAAAAAAAATAGCAGAGGCAGTACCAAATCTCAAGATTCATGTCCTGCGATGCACTGCACAGCACGCATTTTCATCTTCTCTTCTTTCCTTCGCCTTTCACGCCTCTGCATTCGCTGGATGCCAGGTCTGCGCCAAATAGCTGCAGGCGTGGTATCGTGATCCGAGTCATGAGGTCCAACAGTCGCAGAGCAATGAATGGGGAGGCGGGTTAATGTCCCTTTTGGGCCCTTCAGCCAGCGCAGGAGGCTACCGATGACGGGCGCTCTCAAATTGCCCGCGCTCTGATTCGCCAAGCCGAGCTAGCGCGACCCCACAGGCCACCCTAGGGACCGCCCTGGGACCATCAAGGTTCTCACGAGAGAGGCATGCCCGTTGCTAGCAGCATTTGCTGCGAGGTATCACAGCGGCTTTTGCCTTGAGATGATGTGCTGTGATGCTCTGTCCAAGTTGAACAGCCATACCATATGCAGCGGAATGACGCAAATTATGCATTACCGGGTTAGCACGCCCAAGTATCTACGCAGCCCACCTCCAGCTTGGCGGTACTACCTTGCAGCTGGTGTTAGCTGCTCAGCCACGATTCATCGTCGCTATGGAGTATCGATGCAGGGTTATTTGCATACCGCTAGCATACAGGGGTAACTAAGTCCGAGATGTGCCTCTGTTACCGGTGGCTGTTGCCCCTCAGCTTCATTCATGACTTATAGCAGACATGTCACCAGATAACATTCGCAGTGCAATGCGTATCCTGTACTCGGCTCTCTAGCTACCACTGATAAGCCATGGGCTGCTAATGGTACTTAGCAGATGATCGGTTACCGTGCGTTGCATACTGATTATCTACCTATGTAGTATCCATTGCAAATACAAATTTATCCCGAGAGGGGTCCCTATTATAGAGCTTTCATCTGCTTTAGTAATGAGAGAAAGACAGGTCTAAATCTTACCATGGGAAGTCCGTCTTCTTTATCCAAACAATTGATATACAAGTAGATTCAAGTGAAATAGACGCAAATGATTTAGCAAGTGCTATCCAAAAGTTGCCCAAAGTTTCCATATAGATGGAGTTTTACCTAACAGCTCAACAAGGAGGCTTTATAGATGGTTGAGTGTAGCTGTAATTTTGACTCTCTTCTAGGTCGATGCAGAGAACGGACAGCTACTTCACATAGGCTGATGAATTAGCAACACGATCAATTACAGTAGAATTTAAGATTTATGTTTCACGGAAATTTGCATACTATATATGGTTCAATGAACGTGTATTTGTTGATTAATTAATAAACTAAATGATCATCACTACTATACTTAAAGGAGTGGCCCTTAACTCTCATCGCTCTTCTACTTGAATGAGTGTCATCATTTCCACCGCCTCTGTCGGGATGCTAATTCAACTCCAAAACGCCCAGCACATGCAGCTCATCATCAAACTTTTATTGTTAGATGCAATCTTTTTGCTTCTCTTTGCTTCTTAACGAAGGATTTAGTTGATAGCAATGCGTCGTGGCTCGTGCTTAGCAGCCTTGGGAACAGCAATGTTCAGGATGCCATCTTTGAAATTGGCCGACACGTTGTCCTGGTCGACGCGAGTAGGGAAGCTGAAGGTGCGCGAAAACTCGCCAACGCTGCGCTCGGTGAGCCAGTACTTGGCAGAGTCGGCAGGCTTGTTTTCCTCAGAGGACTTTGCGACTTCGCCCTCACCTTCGGTTGCGTCCTCGACGGTCGCCTTGTGAGAAGATGGCTTGTCCTCGATGGCTCCTCCGGTGGTGTTGCCCTCTATGGCGCCGGCAGGAGGAGTGCCGGAGGTATAGGTCCTCTCGACTTTGCCCTTGACAAGCAGGGTCTGCGAGTCGGTGAACTCAATGTTGACATTTTCCTTGCTCATGCCGGGCAGTTCGCCGTGGAGCTCATAAGCAGTGTCGGTCTCGCGCACATCGAACTTGGGCTGCCAGTGGGCGAGGCCGGTGCGGCGACCTTGGACGGTGCCATCGCCTTGTCGAGAGTAGTTGTCAAAGTCCTCGAGAAGGCGGAAGAGAGGGGTGAAGGAGGTGTCGGGAGAGTAAAAGTTGCGCTGGAAGAGAGACATGTTGCGAGTTGGTATTGTGGCGAGCGGTCTTAGAGAAGTTGGCTTGAGAGTGCGAGTATTGCGAGCGAGTATGTTGCGAAGAGGTGCTTTGCAGTTTTGCATGAGAGAGCTGTTGCTTTGTTTTGATTGTTGTGATCTTGGTGGAAGAAGAGCCGAGCTTCACGAGTTTGTGAATGACTTCTTTATACTTGGAGAGCTATATGCGGAGATACTTCTCCAAGGTTCGCGAAATATCTCTGGGCCGGGTGGCTTGGACATTTCCAGAATAGCACTGAGGTTAAAGTCACCCGATTGTGACGTTTCCATCATCGCTTGTCTCAAGGTAAGGTGAGATTAAAGTCAATGTGATGTGATCGAGACTCTGCACGATGAATCATGCAATATCGCGAAACTGCTGGCAACGCCTACAAGACTCCAGCGGGTGCTAGAAGCTTCCGAGTGTTTCCAGCACTGTGGCTCAGGTGGGTGTGCTTCAGTAGTTAGTACCAGTGGGGCGAATTTTGCAGCGGAGAGACATTCTGCGTGGCTCTTGGACAGTGCGCCACACAGTATCTATACCTAGGTACCTAGAGCAGTACATGCTATCAACATATTGATATTGATCCAATATGACCTATCAGCTTCAAAAGCCAAACGACGTCCAGTAAGCTGCCATTTCATCTAGTTTCAGAGAATGGCGTTATTCTAATGAGCGGCAGTGCATCTATTAGATGACCAGACGGCTACAACTCACCTAAGAGTCAATACACGAAGAGTAGTCTAAGATGTAGCGAACACCCCCCCAAAAGGCCAAAAACAGAACATGTAAAATTCTGTGCTTCAATTCATCTAAATGAGAAATGAAGAAGTATCTACTAGAAAAGAGACTAGACTTTCCATGCTCTGAATGCTATTCAGCTAGCAGTGAGGATCACTTGAGCCCAAGAGTCGCAATATCAGTATGCGTCCTGACGATGAGCCGAGAGCAATCAATGACATCAACGGTGCTCGCGACAAAGCAGAACTAGTACTCCAATAATCGGGCGGTAGCCAGAGAAGGTTGTCAGACTTCTGCTTGATCCACTGGTTGTCTGGACTTATCCAGTAACCTCGCATATACGGCTCCAAACCGGTTGCTTGGCTCGAGAGGAAGTCAAGACTAATCGTACCCCTATCCGTGTGCAGAAACGAGCCTGTCACGTCAAAAGTCAATTTTCGAAGTGGAGTGCCAACGAATACTGTATGCAGGCATTGGCCTGTTGCCAAGTCCCAGATTACGACACCATCATTGCTTAGCGCTGATACAAGCTTGGTTCCATCGGGTGTAAAGGCGATGGCTGTCGAGGCGACGTTGTGCCGGTAGAGCGTGTGAAGGCAAAAGCCATTGACCGGGTCCCAGACCTTGATGGTGCGGTCGGATGATCCCGATGCAAGCCGGACTCCATCTGGCGAGAAGGCGATGGTGCAGACGTCGCCATCGTGGCCCTGAAGCGTTTGCAGACAACTGCTTGTTGCTAGGTCCCAGATCCGGACAGTGTGATCCCACGATCCAGACGCAAGCAAGTCGTTGTTGCTTGATGAAAAGTCAATGGCACGGATGGTATCGCCATGGCCCTTGAGAGCCTGCAACATCTGGTTTGTGACTGTGTCCCAGACCTGGATGGAGTTGTCTTCCATTCCTGAGATGATTAACGTGCTGCTGTTTGGCAGAAAAGCAACGGAATAGACGGAATCTCTGTGGACGCGGAGCGTTTGCTGACAATAGCCGGTTTCGAGATTCCAGATTTGGACAGTGCCATCAACTGACACCGATGCAAGCCATACGCCATCTGGTGAGAAGACCATGCTGTAAATTTGTTCTCCATGTCCTTTCAGTGTCTGTATGCCTGGTATCCATTCTTCATCGTCTGCATTAGGTTTCGTGACGATCCACCCAGGCTCTTCATGCGTAAAAAGATTCTTTATAAGACTATCAGGCGGACTGAACACAAGCGCTGAAGTATATACCTGCAGTGGACTGCTTTGGAACGATGCCATGTGGTCTTTAATAAATCTATGCGCATATCGTACCAGATCTGCCAACTGACTCTTATCTGTCTTTTCATGGGTGTTGTCGGATTGAATCTCGAGAAAATAGGGCGCATTGGCTTTCTCTTGGAGTAAATGCTGCAGCTTAGATATTGAGAGCGCCCCTTCGGGCAAGCTGTTAAGAAGACTCAGAGACTCAAGCCAGTATAGATATTTTGTTCTCAAGAACGTGTCCACTGTGCCGCCGTCGTGAAGATCACCATGTTGCCTAACAAGCTTTATGGAGTCTACAAGGTGTTTGACCCAATAAACGCACGCGTACCTCGCTGCTGCCAGTGGGTCTGGGTCAGGTCGTTTTATTTGGTCGATTGGAAATCCAGGGGCATCAAGGCCATAGATGTCGCGTCGCAGTGTTTTTGATAAAACTTGAAGGGATTGCGAGAAGACGGTATAGTGTACCTGTACCATGCCGGACTTGAACACCGTATCGGTTGCGTTTCCAACCAAGAAATCTTTTGCAGACTGATGGACGAATAAGATGGTTCGTTCATAAATGGTTAGAAACGAACTGCAGAGCCCTATAGCATGTATCAAAATTTTCTCATCCAACGCACCATCAAGCATATCAACGAAGCATGACAGCTCATCCACTGTGATTGGCCGGTATACAACTGATGTGATGGCCAACATATGTAAACAAAGCTTAGACATATCTGAACCACATATCTGGTCTAGCATATAGGTGTATAAGGCGTCCAGCCTAGCCGGAAACTCTGTGAGATTTAAGAGAATATTCGATTGCATGGGAATCTTGGCAAGATCTTGGCAAACCAAGGCCACCCAGAGGAAAGAATTGCTTGCGTTCGAATACAGATAGTGATGAATCGCAGCTTGCATATCTTCGGTATACCCTTTCACTTTCGCTAATTCGGCAACTTTGTGCTGGACGTATATACCAAGAGCTGTGGAAATGAACTTTTCGTTCAGCTCGAGAGATACTTCTAGTTTCTGGGCCATGGTGAAGCCCTCCTCAATACTTGGCAAATTGCGGCTGGATACGAGCCATTTGATCTTCGAATTCGTTGCTGATAGCTGGGTAATAAGATCAATGAGAAATTCTCGATCTCTAATACACTCATCCAGTGCATCAATGATAACGTAGGTATCATTTAGGCGCCTATCTTGTACGATGGCTGAAAACATCTTGGACAAGGCTTCCAAAGAATTCGAGTCTGTGAAGAGCTGATCCCCAACATGGTCGTATCTCTTCCGCGCATGTGACAGAAGTACAGGTTGACAGTCAGCTAGCATGTAGATCAGACCGCGTAACACGGCTCCAGCATTATTGGTGCGCAAATCTGAAGCCTGGCAGAAGAAATAAGATAGTGTGCAAGCTTCTTGGTGTCCCGATTCTGCCGTGGAACTCAGTTCGTCGATGATACTGGATAGCAGCATGGTCTTGCCTTTGCCAGGGTCGCCCTTTATCCAGAGTAGGTTGCTCCTTGAATGACTGCGCCATTGCTTAAATTCGACGTTACCCAGAATCCATAAACATGAGTCGCGAAACAAGCCGCCGTTGGATTTCTCAATGCGCTCCTTATCCTTGCGGGGATCTGTAGTCTGGAGAGCTTTCAGACAGCTTCGATTGTGAGAATCTGCCATTGGGTCGTAGATAGCATTGGCGCCAACATTATGATCGAGGGCCGCATCTGCTTCTTCGAAATATACTGTTGAATTGACGTATCTAGAAGCACCCGCTGTTGGTGTTGTGAGTGTTGGTGTGGCAGGAGTTGGACTGTCAAAGCCCGGCAAATCCAACGTCAGGATACAAGTATCACTATGCCGAGGTGAAGTTGGTGATTGGGAAACGGCACGATGTCCGATGGGGCTCCGCTGCATCTTTGACTTCGCTGAGTCGTTTCTGCTCATACCGATGAGCCATCTTAGCTGCTGCATGGCTGATGAATTGTTGATGATGGTCTCTGCGAGGTGAAGCTTTTAATCAGGACAAAATATGGATTTCCTGCACAATATCTCTGGCGGCCTGAAGAGTATTGCGCTCACCAATAATAGTTCAGCGGGAAAGATTGGGCACCTTGGGTGAGATGCATGCATGTAATCGTGCTTCTGACATCACGTGTGCTAAATACTGTAATAAGACAGAAACATGGACAAAAAATTAGATGAGAAGGTAGAAATAAGTATTTATAAAATTCCATTAAATAAGTCGCCTTTGGTGTTGAGAAATTGAATGGTGCTCCTCATAAACACACTTGGCAATAAAGTTTCGCCATTTATGAGTAGGCTGCTCCTCGTTCAACACAACATCAGTAATCAACACTGTAAGTCGGCAAAGATTACAGTTAGATGCGAGTAGTTGTTTAAATCGCCATCGAGAGTATGGGAACAGTTGCAGAATGACTTGTAAAGCCGGATGCTCATCATGCCCAACATAGAGAGCCTGAAACGAGAAAGCAATAATATTTCTCATTCACAAAACGCCAGCTTCTGTATATGCTTGGTAGATTGACTGCGCGATAGCCTTGTGGGGTATTGGTCAATTTACCGATTATGCTTACATGGAATCCAATTTGCGAAAACGTCCCCGTCTTTGTCGCGAGCTGTGCCTTTATCAGGACGATCCGAACAGGTCAAAAGCTCCGAGCTACATGCACAATATCCGCGATAAATTGAGTGAGATCCGCTGTTGGCCGCTAACTGGCGGTTCCCCAATCCGTCCAAGATATCACTAAACTAATACGCCGTCCCACTTGGATTCGGCACGACTATAAATAAGCTCCTCCTTCACTCTCCAAGCTATGTGCAATCAGCACTAATAAGAACATCTAGTGTCTTCTCTGTTCTTTTATACCAAAAATGGCATCCAGCATGGCAAAAACTTCATCCAGGGGCCGCAGGATCCCATCCTCTCTGATTCCAGTTGTGTCGACGTCTCTCAATGTCGGCATGGCTCTTGGTGCCTGGATAACAGTCATCCCATTCTCAAACGTCGCGTATCCAGGTCCTGCGGTTGCCGTCTGGTTCAAGGACTTTTTCAAGCCGGGCTTTATTGGAATCACGTCTCTCAGTGCAGTGACCATTGCATCCGGAATTCGATCAGCTCGTACTCGGGATCTTTCGGGGACAGCAGAGGGTCAGGCCAAGGCCAAGACAGCCTCGCGGTGGGCGATTGCAGGACTTGCGTTTACGCTTATTCATTTCGGGTTCGGGAATTCGGTACGTGGTCCTGTTGTTGGTAAGAGTGCTTCTCAGGAAGGTCTGTCTCATAAATTCTATAGGTACTCGCAATCATGGATCGGATTCTTGCCAATCCGGAATTGGCTCAAGGGGAAATGGCTGGCTGGATCAAGCTACATACGGTGAGAACGCTGACAACTGATGTGCCAGCCTGGCTGTGCTTTGTTGCAGCCTTGTTGTCTGAGCTATAGACAATCCATTTTAGTCGAATGATAGACAAGCAAGATGTTCAAATTGTAGCAAATCATTTGAAAATGCGCTTATTGGATGTTGGCTTATATATACATTCTCACTTAATACTTGGTTATATGGTCTCTTCTAAACCAGCTCTTTGAGCAGTTAATTTATACATGGAGAGGGCCGAATCCGCAAAACAAATCACTCCATTCTCTGCTGCGGCCTTGAAGCGCCAGCCAGAGCTTCTCCAAGCCAGCATCATCCATTTCTATTCCTCCTTGCAGGGGCTCCGGCCCACCCGGTGTGTTGCTATTCCAAGAATCGTCTTTACCACTTAAACTCTCTTCTATCAATGATGAAGTTTCCTCGCTAAGAATCTCCGTTTGTATCATTTCCAAAGCAGGATGCGTCGCCTTGTATTTTTTCAAAATTTCTATCGAGAGCTGCAACAGCTCAGATGCCATGGGCGATTGCCCTTTTGCTTCATGCAAAATCTTCCACGCATCCGCCATTGTTGCATCGGTTTCCATCGTCCCGCCCTCGGCACCATTGGCTAGACATCCATCTAGAACAAAGACCACGCATGCGATGAAGATGCTGCGAAACTTGATGTTCATGCGCTGGCGGAATAAGATGAATGTCGAGTTTTCAGCTCTCATCTGGTGTTCTATGTAGATGATTTGCTGTGCTGCCTTGAGACAAGAATCGTGAGAATATGCAAATCCGGGGTTTACTGTGCCTCGAGCCATGTATGGCAAGTGAAGCTTGCAGATTTGCCCGTAAAATATCATGTTGAGCAGGTATCTTTGAGTTGTGATATTTGATGAATGCCGAGAGTCCCGACTAGGCAATTTGGAAACGTTGTCGCTATTTTCAAGCCGGAAAAACGAGGGTAACTCCCTCATGAACTGCCGCAACTTCATGTCTGCTTCCATGACTTTCAGGTACCCTGCTTCTTCCGAGGTAGAATTGATGGGCCTGTCAAAATCTCCGAGTTTATAAAATAGCATTGCTAGACGAGACCGTTCGAGAAGATATGAGACGGAGGTTGCTTCCTCGAGCGGGCGATCAACAATTTCTTGTTCATCGACAATATCTTCATCGTTTGCGTTACAAGGCCATCGCACCGCCATCTGGCTTGCTTGGATTATGGAAGAACCTCCCTGAGGAACCGACAATCTCGAAATCATCCTATTGCCAAGCCATCAGCAAGAGCAACAATCCAATATATATATACAGCGAGAGTGGGCTCACCAGTCTGTATCTGTAAGGTTCCACCATGTCCTGCGCCCAACTTCCGCTAGAATACGAGAATTATTGAGCCAATCTAAATGAATACCGGCGTTTGGAGAATCGATAGCATGTAGTCCAATCGTTTGGGCCATTGCAACTGCTTGAGTATGAAGCACTCGAGCCCGCGGCGAGATGCCTTCTAAGCTACACAGCATGAAAAATACAATTACGATGCCTTGTATGCATGTCAATGATGCATGTGCTGCTAGATGGACATGATGAATCATATCTAGCGCTGTCTTAAGCCACCCTGAAGTCTGTGAGTTTGCATATTCTGCGCAGTCAAATAGACCCTTTGCGTCGTCATAACGAGTCCATGTATGCGTAGTGCTGCAACATATCGCCAGGATAAGCATTAATTGGCCCAAGTCGACATTTTCATCTTGTTCCACGGCATCATAGAACTGATCCACAATGGATGGCAGGGAAGGCGTGTGAAAGATGTGGTGAAAGTGAAGGACATCATCGATGAATTTCTCCAAGAGAATGTGAGCATCCTCTCGCAAAGGGAGACATATGCACTTAATAACGGTAACCTCTTCAGACAATGTTGAAGTATCAGGATGCTGTACGAAATAGGATGGCTTGGTGATGGCGCGAATAGAACGAGTGCGGAGGGTGAAGGAACTGGGCGCCAACGAATCCTACAGAACCGCAAGTCTTCATTCAGCCTTGATGAGTCCTTGTCAAGCATCCAAGAGTCAGAAGAACTTACTAGTAACTTCTGGTTAGCGCAATTCTTCTGAAGATCTAGCACTTCGGCTGTGATGAGCTGGAGCTCAGTGGACGCCAATGAAGACGGCGCCAAGTGGTTCCGGTTGAGCACCTCCTGCGATCCATTGTCGTGGAGCAGTCTTGGTCCGCAACGAGAGCCATCACGCTGACAAGGGATTCCGCGGATCGAGCAATTAGAGCACGGCGACTGACGGTTGCAACGCAACTTTCGGATCCGGCAAAGAGAGCATGCGGGTGGCCGCCTTCGGGGCTGGCAACCCATGCAGCTTAGTGGTGTTGAAGGATCTGTCTACGGATATGGTTGGGTTTCGGTTCGCTCTTTTCTCTCTTCTCTCTATACAACTGCAAGCGGTTATGGCTATAAGATGTTGAACAGGAGAGCATTGAATTGGAGAAGCAGTGAAAATGTTAATTTGTCAAAAGCTACGGAGACAGCGGAGTTAAGGAACGGGAGTCGCGATTATTAATATGTGAAGCTCAACCTAGATAATCGCCATCATACTGAACCAAGGGCGAAACTAATTTCTGGGCCAAATAAGACGGTGGATAAGCATATATGAAGTATTGAATTTTTTTTTTCTTTAAATGAATCTCTTTCAAGTGGAGTTGAGACTTCCGAGATTAGTACGATACGGAGTTCCTATCTATCAGGTAATAACACTTCGCAGCTACACCAACCCGTCACGAGGAAAATTGAATCTCCAGACCAAGGGTTCGGAATGGTTTGTTCATCATCCTCAGATCAATCCCACTGCCGAGACTAAACAGTAGCGATTTTACGCGTCCTTCCCACAGCACTCCAAGTCGGAGATTCTGGTCTAGCCTCGCCTTCACTACTCCAGCATACTCCTCTTTCTCCTCAGTTTCTTCCAGAACTTCCTTTTCTATCTTTTTAACGGGTTGCACTGCCACTGCCTTGGGGAGAGTCTTCTTAGCTTTTTGCTTGGAATGAACACTGCCACCATTTGGTTTCGGTCCCGTCTTCTTTTCCACCGGTTTCTCCGCCGGCTTTTCTGGCTCATCCAGCCTCCACTCTAGTTTCGCGTTGAAACTGCGTTCAGCTGGTGATGGTACTGGAGCTGGCGTTGATATAACTCCGGTCGTATTTTTCGGGTCAATCACCTTTCCATCAGGCTGGATAGTAGATGCTTTGGCAACTGAGGGCAACTTTTGAGCCGTCTTCTTCTCAGGAGCGGCGCCTGCAAAAGGAGTCTCTGCTTCTGCAACTGCAGCAGCAAAGGGCTTCCTCCACAGTTCCATACCCACAGCCCATGAGCTCTCATAGCTAAAGAAGTTGAATTCCATTCTTGTTGCAAGACTGCAATCCTTTCCAGCCATGACCGCGTAGCTCGCCGCAATGTTGCCCATGAGCGGGTTCAGCGTGAGCGTAGCAGACAGTGGCGTCCCCTTATGGTCCGGCAAAGTGGCAAACCTCGCCCCTATGCTTATGCCGCCAGACTTGTTGAGTGTGCCATAGTAGATTTCTCCTCCGGTACTGAAGCGCCCATATATCCTCTCTTTATCTCCGTTGCCACTGCCATGCCCATTTCCATTCTCTGCAGTAGATGACGAAGCTGGGTGATGGGTGTGTTTCTTGCTGCTCAGGTCGCCCCCGAAGTTGTAGACTCCTCTGAAGCCTAACAATCCGCCGTCTGTGGAGGCCAATCCCTCAAGCGCATACCTTCCAACATCGTATTGGACTAAACCCAGAGCCGTGCCCCCGTTTCTAAGGTGTTGGCCCGACACAGCACTGAATTGTGCCTGTAAAGCCGGAGATAGCCGCCGTACCAACAGGGCCTCTAGCTGCGACTGTGGGAGGTAGAGCCGGCCGTATAGCAGTGACTCGTTGACCTTGTCCTTGTCATCCGGGAGTCTCAGTGAAGCGTCATCTCGTCGAGCGACAGGCGTTAAGTGGCGGTAGGATCGAAGAAGATCTGGCAGCGGGACGTTTTCAGACTGAGGCGTCAAGAGTACTCGCAGAGGAACGGAGGAGAATAAGTAACTGATGGAGCCATCAACCACACCGACTGAGCCCAATTGATAGGACGTAGCGAAATTCGGGCTGGCGAGAGCTGAGAGGGTGAGACGTAGACCTCGAGGAGTGCTGAAGTTCAAGAGAGCTACGCATGAAGTTAGCAGAGCTGGCTGTTAGAGAAGAAATGCCACGAGTTACCGTCGGTTGTCGAATTCAGCGCAGCATACGAGTTGTCACGCCTCCACCCGGTAGCCTCGTAGAAAGCACTGTGGACATAGTCCATGAACGAGCGCATCTCAGCGCTCGTTGCACATGCCTCTCTGAACTGGTCGCTACGAGTGTGTGAGCTCAGAAAATCGTCACCTCGGAGATGGGGAGATTTAGCTGCGGCCGCTACTGAGATCGGCAGATCCTCGGCAATGATCCATTATCTGCAATTCTGCAGTGAAAAGCAAGGCAAGGTCAGTACGCAGTGGAACGTCACTCCATGATGTAATTTGTTGAATGAATCAATTTCTATTGTCCCGATCCCGTTGTTTGTTTGCTACCCAGGTGTGATACATGGTTCATAATAAGAATATCCCGTGTGTGCCATTTGAATATGGTATCTTGTCAAAATATAAGCAACTCCCATCTCACATATCAGTATGTATTATTTAGAAAAATCAGTTTAGCTCGACAGGTTCTGGATTAAAGAGACGTTGTCGCCTTTCAGCAGGATTTGGCCTATTACTGCGTCAGTTTGACCAAATCAGATGACGAATCGACTATTCCACTCGTCTTTTCTTACCCAGGGGTTTCCTTGACTCCTTGTCATTTGTTTTTGTGATTTGCTTAACCTCCACGGCGTCGTCAATAACAAGGTTCATGAACTCGTCGAATCCCTTTCATATCGTTAGCGTTTGGGGGCACGAATTAATATCCCAATTTGATTTGACTCACCCGAATCTTGCCCTCAATGCGGATTGAAAGCTGCTCGTATAACCAGACGCTGACGGTAGCATTCTATCAAGATTCAAAGTTAGAAGTTGAACCAGCCAACGTGTAATGCAATTGGAGTCCTCCGGGTATCCCTATTTCTGCACAGCGCTTGAATTGCAAAGTAGAAGCGATTGGAACCATCAGATGCATCGTGCATATGTCAATGGGACTCTCGGTTTCATTTCGAAGTCACAAAGACCAAATAACGGGATATCCCGCCTAGAGCCCATCCGATTGCATCCCTTCCATTGTGCCCGCCCCTCGCCGACATGCAGCGCATCGAGATATTTTCGCCATCGGACTAAACGCGAGGAATGGGTGATTATGCACTCACGTTCTGAAGCAGCTTGAAGATCATGTTACTGCAAAGGGTCAGCTTTCGTTGTCCGCCGCCGTGGGGCAGGCTGTGATTTGGGAGAAGCTCACATGGGGGGCAGCAAAACGCGGCGACCGCCGCCTCCACCTCGACCAGTCATGATTTCTGTTTGATGCCGGAAAGTTATTTGTCGGTCGTGAGTGGCGGGAGACACAGCGACAGGCTCGTCGTGCAATTCTGTCGCGTTGCTGCAGAAGAGCTTAGCTAGGTTGGTGTTGAGAGCGATGTCTGGAAAACTGGGCGGAGCGGAGATATAATCTGCCGCGATGGTGGCCACAAGCTCCACTTCTTGCACAGGCGTTGCACGCAATTTAGTACCATCGGTTGCATTCAGAACGAATGAGAATAGATGCATTTCATAACTAGAAAGAAGAAAAGTTAGATGTGATTCTAGGGCTATTTTCATCAATTTGCTTTGACCATTTTTATTTTTTCCTTTTTTCCCCTCCTTATTCGTAAACATAGCTGCGATCGCGGAGCTTCAGCTGGTATCGATTATGAAGCACACGGCGCAGTACATGGTGTTAGTGAGTATCTTCAAACTTGGATGGGTATTGGACGAAAGCGGCGAGATGCTATGAAATATCATTATATTTCTCTATTGTCGTTTAGGCAATCTGAATGCTATTGAAAGAATTCTTTTGCCTCCAACGGCTGACTTAATTCCTATAATGAATTTACTCCTCTTCGTGTCTCTGATTCTATTTTTGGCAACAATCCCAAATCCCAGCTTTCTTCTGGTTCAAATTGACTACTCTTTGAATGGCCAACCGCCGAGAGAGACGGTTAGTAAGTTATTGTTTATAATCTCATCCTTTTTCTCCTTGAGTTCATTTATGTCCCAATTGGCCCACACCATTCTGCCCTTTAGAAATGTAGCCTCGTCGCTGACTGCCCAAACACCGAAATCGCCCGAAAGGTCAACTAACGCGAGCAATTAGCAGCCTATCAGAATGACACGCTTTCAGTCTGGTTTACAATTTGGACAATATCACAAGAAATTTTACTCACGTGTATCAATGCCCTTCTTCCTGCCAATTTTTGCTGACATTTCGCTCATCACGCGCCCTGGATGGCAGCTCACAATCACCACATCGGGTCGCTCGACCTGTATAGACTCAAACATACGGAGCTGTGCCATTTTAGATGATAGATATGCCGACATCCCCGGAAAGAGTTTTGCGTCTAGATGAGCCTGTCCGCTAGAAATGTTTAGGATCCTAGGCGACGGTGCAGCGACCGACAAGAAAGATCTGGCGACATGAAGGCTGCCTTTGACGTTGATGTTGAAGGCTTGATACCAAGTATCAACGCTATCCTGTAGCACAGACACGGTTCCTTCAAAGTAGGCAGCATTATTGACGAGAATATGAGGCTCTCCAAAAGTAGATTGGACAGTTTCAAATGCTTTTTGGATTTGCTCTCCGTTGACAATGTCTGCCTGAAGCAGCAGAACCTCAATTTTGGGATTAATGATGGCAATCTGGGCTTTTTTCTCTTCCAAAACTTGAAGTCTTCGCCCGATTAACGCAAGATGAGAAATGCCTGCTTTGGCGAATGATTGGGAAATAGCTCCACCGATGCCACTACCGCCGCCAGTGATAACCGCTGTCTTGCCTGCCAAGCTGAGCTCTGGGCGGGCTGGGTCAATTGCTGGATATGTGTCGTCGTGCCATGCCTTTGTTAGAGAGGGCCAAGGTGCAGCAGCCATTGTGAGTTGTGTATTAAGTCACTGAATTAGAGAGGGGGGGAGGGGGGCAGAAGAGTTGATGGGTTCGGGGACATAAAAGCTTTATGACATAGGCATTTATATGAATAGAATGTGCTTTGCCGCCAACCTTAGTTAGAATTATACATAACTAAACGTGATCGTGACAAAATGTTCCAGAACTTCGGATTGCCCCCGATTATGTGATCAAGCAATACGCAGCACTAGCAGATCGATGGCGGCATGGGATCTGTCAATTCTCCACAGCCAATAACTCCAAGCTTCGAACATGAGTAGAGTTCTTACAAATCATATATTACTACAGCTGAGTATTCACATCCATTATGTTGCGGGAAAGGCTGTGAGCTTGGTGTTGAGAGCATTTGAAATCTTCGTGGCTAGTCTCGGCAATATCGCTGCTAACCTTACAAGCACTATGCTCACCGTTATGACTATTTAGATGATACAAAATAGATTCTTTTAAATTCCTTGGAGATTACACCACAATGCTCTCATATAATTGTAAAGCAGCTTAGTTACTGGATATTCGTCTTGTTATACCTGAGTTGCGTTCTCCATTCCCCATGTTACTAGCAGTTCGCCAAGGAGCCTCATTCATATAACATTTACACCTCTAGAGCCATGTATATATATGCTATTGTAATCAAAACATATAGAGCATCCTATATAGACTTTATCTCAGTAATGCGTTCCGTAGAATCTTGGCCATGTTCATGCGCAGCCTCGGATAATCTGCAACTTGTCACTGACGTCCATTCCCTTTCCAATTGAGAAAATTATAAACTCAACGACCACACATCTTGCGTCGTTGCTATTGGGTCGCATTTTATCTTCAACTCCAGAGTTTTCTTAACATGCGAATATGAGAATAGCAATAGAACTCTCTCATAGTAATCACTGTGTTTCGTAGTGCGGCTTTTGTTCTTTCTGACTTCTTTCTGACCACTTTCTGACCACTCTGACAACGCTAGCGGATCATGCGGCTTTTTACCATGAATTGACTCACGCTCTCTTGGTTCTGATTATTCCAATAATAATACACAGTAAGAAAAATAAAATTAATCATTGAACATTCGATATCCTAAGTGCTGGTAGTGAGTTACGGGTATAGGTCCGAGGCCGGAAGTTCAGATCGTAAAATCCCTATTAATTATGCCATTAATTTGATGTTCTATTCTAAGCTCACCTTCAATCGGAGGGAGAGATGGTTCTGGCAGGATTGAACTTTTTATAAGACATGGCTGTCTCTGGGAGAATTAATCGGTGTCACTTTCGGTTGCGACACTGGATTTACTACGGACGTTTAGTTGTTGACCATGAATAAGACGAAACGACTTTGTCATCTTTCAAGCATTAGCAGGCACAGGCTTATAATAGCTACGGGGTGTGAAAATACACGAGACATTTGGAAATTGTGGATAAAGGATAGGAATGGACTTATCTAACATACTCATGATTATATTTCGAATGGAAGGTTTGGATCAATTATTCTGAATTACTCGTCGTCATTTGCAGCAAAGTGCATGAAGAAAGTATTAATTCTGTCTACTTTTTGCTGGACATATCGAGCCGTAAGCTATATTTAGCAGCTACTGCAACTGTTTTCATCATACAACAATTCTTAATCTAACAGTAGAGGTAAAATGAAATTAAGAGTAATGCAAAGCCGAGCCTTTCTATTTCATCTGCACTGTGTTGTAAATACTAGGCTCATACCTCGTCTCCAGGGTATATAATTAGCGCATCGTCTAAAACCCTCAGACGGAACTTAACAGCTATCCATAGCATACTCCGTACCACGTACGGCATTGGAATTGAGCAAATCAAAAGGATTTATCGTATTATTGGATTGAATAATCAAGTAGAGACGCCATGAAATTGGAGAAGACTTGGCAATCCGGTATAGGCATTTGGGGAATCGGCAGCGGGTGCGCCGGATTCACTCCTTTGGAATCCGCTCCTCCCGATCCTGGCATCCACTCCTTCCGCTCCGGAGTTGCGGGGGTCCCGCAAGCCTTATTAAGGAGGCATACGGATACGTTTTTTATTTATAGCAGTAGGGCGAAGTAATGCTAGTCCGAAATACGAAGTAGTTTTACGGAAAACAGCTCAGTCTGCATGAATTAGTAGGCAAACCTGATGTCATGAAACGTATGCCGGCGAAACAGCTTCTGGAACATGGCCCTGATGATCTCTTCCTGGCGTGGCATTGTGCAGATATTGCAGCATAAAGGGTTTCCGTATTGAAGGAGCGGTCGGCTACCGTGCTCGAACTGCGCATCGGTATTGGCCGATGCCGCGTAAACGAGCAGTACGTCGCATGATACATGTGGAAACGTTGACACAGAATCGCACGACGGGATACACACCCGCAAAGGCAAAATACACTCATGCTTAAGCCGCGGTGCAAGAACATCTGCGCTCCACCCCGAATCTCCTGGGCAGGCGGCAGAATCGTCAAAATGGCACAATTGACGAGCTCTGACACGATCCCCCTTTCTGTGTTGTGGTGATATATTTCGGCTCAAAATGGAGCCGTATTTCGGCTTAAGACTGGAAAGAGGTACGTACCTTGGGCGGCTCTGATGACCCTGTATACGATGTATTAGTGAAGTAAGACGAGAGCCGGTACCGTATTACACTCATAGGGCGGGCGGCCGCCATCTACCTAGCCGGTAGTTACCGGTCGTCTCCGGTCCTCTGAATAAATGCGTGCTTTCAACGACGAGGCACGAAATTTTGTATGGGCCACGGGGAGAGCTAAGTCAGCGTCATTCGTACTTTTGAATTTCTCAGACCCTCAGTTGGAAAAAGGGGCCATGTCCAATAGCATAAGCGAGCAACTGAGGCTGGCCAGTCTCTTACATGAACCCGAGACCTTATGACAATGGCAAGTGGGAATGACTCGGAGAGTTGAAATGACCAGTGGACGTTGCGGAAATTTCACACGGGGCTGTAGAGAGGCAGTATCACCAATATTACATGAAATGCTCTCTACGTTACTCAAGTTGCATGCATACCGGATTGTATGTATGCGACAAGTAGGCGAGATATCAGCCTCTGAACGACTGCCGAGACGCTGAATATGCAGCGCTAAGGATTTCTGGTAGCCGACATTCTGTAGCCGGTTTCTAGTAGCCTACTGAGTAGAGCTTCTAAGAAGCATCATGCGGAAGCGGGAGCCCGGGCCGCAGTGTCCTCATTCACAGCGAGCATGTAAATGAGGAGGCTCCACACAATGCAAGCAACACGGACTTCAACCTGCGGTTTGATCATCCAACAGGGTGATTCTCATGGCTCTGCATGCAGGTAACCACAATATCCATATACATGTACGTAATAGCTTCACATGGACCCTGATGGGCGCCTGAGGCTGCTTGGCTGCCAGGGGATCAGGCCGTGTTAGTGGCATGGCTGAGGCTCCCGAGACGTTTTTAGCAGCACACGTGTGTTTGCAGCTACGATCGCCAAAGCCACGATCGAGCACGGGTAGGAAAAAATTTTCTTCCCTATTTTTTTTTTAATAGCGGCTAGTTGGCCCTATCGGGCAGCCTAGGACGACGGGACCTGAACACGGCACAAACAGCTGAAATAAAGGAATAACTCCAGATTTACTCCAGGTTGCTTCCTCATAGGGGCAAACAAGCATCAGTCTTTATGTAATGGCACCGAGCAAATACCAAACGCTCAGCCGTATGTGGCAGTAATTTCGAGTAGATGAATCAAACACAATACAACGACCCAGAAAAAAAACTTGAATGCCGTCCACTACGAGGCCCACTATGGAGCAGCAAAATTCGGTAGCCCTGCCGTACATCGACTTAGCAGCGGCACCTAGCCTGGTTCGAGGTAGTAGTTTGCGATGGAGCCAAGTATTTTTGCAACGACCTGAAAATTTTTGGCCCATCGTGAGCAAAAAGAAAATGAAATACGGAGTAGATCCAGGAGGAAGGAAAAAAAATTATAGTCACCAGGTGACTTGGACCCAGCCCACTACTATACCTGTTGTGGAGGAGCGGCGGCAAGTTCACGAATCGAGCATTGCTGCAGACAATTTCGCGTGCACGCTCTGGAGAAATGAGAGTGAGATGAATGCCGGTATGCCGTGCCTGAGTTTTGAGATGCATTTGCGTGGGGATGAAGCTGTGCTTTTATGTCGGATGTGATTTTTGGTGTTGGACGAGCTGACGGAGAAGTCCGAAGTTGGTTCTTTTGATCGTCCATTAAGTCCCTCGAGAGTTGAGAGCATTGGTACAAAGCGTAATACAGTATGCATGTACTTTTACAGTAATTATTGCGCAATTGGATTCCATGTTGGAGAAGGGCTCTCGTGGGATGCAAGCACGCTGATTTCAATCTTACATGCACCTGGATGGCTGATGTGTCCAATAATACAGGGGCGCCTTCTTCAAGCTTCACGTTCTCATAGGAAAACAGCCAATTGGTAATACAGACTGCCTGCCTGCCTGCCTTGGAAATTATAGTCTACGCCCCTTGTAGATACGAAGTAATAACTCCCGAGCTGAACTGCCACTCCACGCATGCAGGAGAGATCGTGATGCGGCGACGGGTTACCATCTATGGAGTATTACTGCCTGGTAGGGCGCGCAAATCTGTTGCTTGCGCTTGTCTGGAGCGCCTGCGGGCAACGTCACAGGCCATCACGCCACTGAAGCATCCACTGACAACACGACGTTTAGGGCGTGGGTTTGTGACTTGCCAGCGCCTTCTAGCGCCCTCTAACGCCCTCTTCAGGCGACCACTCGCTTCTGCTGACTGGCGCGAGAAAGGGGCCCGTTGGAGCGAGGCCGTGCTTGTGTACGAGCTGGGGCGGGTTGTCACTGGTACTGTTTACGGCAGCCTGAGGTATCTAATACGAGCTGATTGACTATAGCGGTACTTTGGTCTCCCTGATTGTCTTTGTACTGTGCACATGTGGATCAAGTAACTGCTCAACTGGGTCTTTGCAAGTGGAGACTCCGGCTTCGACTAAGCCCACGCATGTAATAGTAGATCCAGCAAAGGTGTACTGGCCAGCTCTGACGGAGGCGGACTACCGCCTCGCCTAAATGAACATTTGGTCAGCAGGTCTGCTGTGGCTTGTACCTTGCTTGCTCATAATGTCAATTGGCGGGTTAGTAATGATGTCTGGTGCGCCCTACGTCTTGTCAAAGGGAGTCAAAGACAGAATGTTGCATGTCAAACGATTACAATTACGAGCCGGTACCGGCGCCTCAATTGACGGCTGGCAGTAACCCGCGGCTCTAGTTTGAACCGGCTTAACGGTTCTGGAGAAGGAGGGAGAAGATGGACGGCATTTCTTGCGTGATGAATTTGTAGCTTTAGTGATGGGCTGATGATGTATACTTACGGCACGTTCAAACACTCGAGGTACACTGCCCATAGTGGTCCATCGGACAAGGCCGTACGAGGATCCATATTAATGCTGTGTTCTTTTCTCAGGTAACGCAAACAAACAAAAAATCAGAATTTTTCTACTCTTTGGCGCAGCACATTGAAAGGTCACATTGGGAGCATCAGGTACTTCCGGGGTACTTGCTGGAGTGACAAAAGCTTCTCCGGTCTGGGGCGAAGATGCTCTAAACGGGGTCATCCAGGCCGTGCAATTTCCAACGCTGCACGTGGAGCCGCCGTACCGGCCATGTACACACGTGCCTGCCTTTTTTGAAACTTAAGTGCCTAATCGGGAAAAGGGGCGAGAGAAAGGCGAAANAAAAAAAAAAAAAAAAAAGAGGACGAGACCCGCAGAATCAATCGAAAGGCGTTTCTTCATGTCACGGCGGCGTCCCCACCGGAGATCCATCGGCCATCGGTTGGCGGCCGAGAGCCTGCCTGGAAAGAGACAGGCCGGATTTTTTTTTTTTTTTTTTTTTGTTTGGTCTGGCCTGGGAGCTGTGTCATGACACATAATTTGCCAGACCGGCGCATGCCGAGCCAGGGCGAGACGATGGCAGGCGTATATAAGATGTTGGCGATGCCCTCGGCTTTTGTGAATGTTGTTGCTAGTTACCTTTTTTGGAGATTTGTTTACTCTTTGCTCCATTGCAGTTTGAATTTCGAGATATATCCCATCAGCTTACTACATCTCACACAAGCCGGACCGTCAAGCCATCGAAACCTTCCTAGGCGACTTACACAGCTAGCCATCAAAAGGAGCTACTCATCTCAAGTCCTTGACTCGCAAGAAATCAAGATACAAACAGCAAGACTATTATAAAAGAACTGCATTCTTCTGCAAAATAGCAGTTTTCGGCATTTACTTATGAGGCTGGGCTCAATTCGATTCATTCCAAGTCCTCGGCGCCCTTGCAAAAGCGTTCACCAGATCTCGACCTAACGACGCCCCCCAGACGCAGCCCCTCCTTGGCACCGCGCCCGCATCTACACTGGAGGGGACCCTTTGCTCACCATTCGTCAGAGCGGCGCTAAGGCTGAAGAGCTGCTGAGACAGAGTTTCGGAAAGCCAAATCAAAACGAATAAGCAAAAGGCGAAAGCGGGAAAAACGATAGCTGAGAAGAGCTGAAGGAGCAAATAAAAAGCGTCTCCGCCCTATTCTTCTAAAATCGACGTTTTCGTCACCACACCTCAACTAAACGCAATCATCATCTTTTCCTTCCTTGGACAAGGATCAACTACCCAATATGCCCCACCTCGTCGCCAACTTCCTGCGTTCCTCCACGGGACCAATCCCTCACATCAAGGCCGTCTCCAGGTCTCGGAACACATCTCGGAGCAACTCCCGGAGTGCATCGCGCAACACCAGCCCTCATGCCTCTGACAGCGAGGACCGCCATGCCGTCAAGATGCCCGACCTCGCAGAAGCCATTAAGAAGCACCACCGCCTGTCACTGCACTTTGGCCGATCAGCTTCCAAAGAGCGCCAGCAGCATGCTTCCTACTCTCCAGTAGTCATTGACTGGAGCGTTGAGAGCCCGCCAGTTGTTTTCCATGGTAACACTGAGGAGAGCACCGGCGCACTGGTGTCAGGACAGATCTTCTTGGATATTAAGGAGGAGTTGGTGGATGTCGAGAGCTTCACAGCAACCCTGAACCTGGTTGTTACCCACAAGAGGCCATTCCAGAACAACTGCAGCGACTGCCAGACACAGACAACTCAGCTGGAGAAGCTTCAGCTTCTGGCTCACCCCATCCCTCTGCGAAAGGGCAAGCACCAATTCCCTTTCTCCATCCTGCTGCCAGGCCATCTGCCAGCATCAATGGACACTCCTGTTGTTTCCATTGCCTACGTCCTCAACGCTGAGGCCCAATACCTTACTGCCCCCACAGAGCCCGAAACCCCAAGCTCAATCTCAACCGCCAAGTTTGATCGAATCATCGACGTTAAGCGAACCCTTCCCGAGCCTCTCTACCCTCACAACTCCGTTCGAGTCTTCCCTCCCACAAACATCAAGGCTGCTGCCAGCTACATCTCTGTCATTCACCCCACAGCCGCAAACAAGATGACCCTCAAGCTCGACGGGCTCATGACCCACAACGAACGGGTCAAGACCGTTGACCTTTGGAAGCTGAAGAAGCTCACCTGGAAGCTTGAGGAGACCATCAAGACAGTCGCTCCCGCCTGCGAGAAGCACAACCCTGGCCTGGCCGAGTCAGCGAACAAGGGCCTGCCCCGAAGCGAAACCCGAGTCATCGGCGAGAAGAGCCTCGTCGAGGGCTGGAAATCTGACTACACCGGCAGTGATGGCATCGTCGACATGGAGTTCGAATACTGCGTCAACCAGCTCAAGCAGCACTCTCGCGAACTCAAGTACGCTTGCGATACCAAGACCCAGGACGGCACTGAAGTTACCCACTCTCTGTTGCTGGAACTGGTAGTATCAAAGGAGTACGCCCAGGAGGGCAAGGCGCACATTTCTCACCAGACTGGCACTGGCCGCATTCTGCGAATGCACTTCGCCGTGGTCTTGACTGATAACGGTGGCCTGAGTGTCAGCTGGGATAACGAGGCTCCTCCTGTCTATGAGGACGTGCCCCCAAGCCCGCCTGAATATGCTGAGGACGAGCACCCCATTGAGTACTACGACCTTGAAGAAATCGTTGCTGCTAGGGCAACGGCACCCAACAGCCGAAGGGGCAGCCAAGAATTATAACGAACACGACGATACCATTTCTTCTGAATTTCTTTTGCTTAATTTGCTTTTTGAGCGGCTGGGTTGTTTTCAACATAATGCTATGAATTCAGCATATAACATATACCCCCTACGGCGAAGGACAAACCATGGCGATTACTGTCTATTTGGATTTTTCTTTTTCTTTGTGCTTTCTTTTTTTCTTTTCATTGTCTTCAACCTATACGACATGATGAACTATCAGGCGAACTGAGAATATTCGGCCAAACAGCGGCCTCCATTTCTTTTATCTTGGGTTTTTGGATTTTGGGCGAAGGATATTGGTTACATATCACGTTCGGCAATGAACGACTGGATATATAGAATATTAGCAAAAAAAAATAATTGCTTAGTATTTAATTACAAAACTATCATCGCTCTTCTAATTCTTCATCCATTGTTTCTCTATGTGATGTTCTACTCACTGCTTAATCACATGCCAGTTTCGAAATGCGATCACAAAGGCTGGCATCTTTCCACGAAACTGATGAATCTCCCGTCTGCAGCAGCCGAAGCGATGTCGGCCGTTGGTTAGGATCAACTATACGCGAACATCTTAGACGCTAAGGCTACGGCGCGAGGTTGAGGGCGCTTTTACTGCCTAAACAGATTTAGCCGACAATCGACACCATTAAGAAAATAGTAGTACATAGCAGTGGCAGTCTACGACGATGCAGCCCCATTATGTCATTGACTTTACGAAATGTCGCTATGTCTTTTAGCGTCCATCATCTATCGGCTGATCTTTAAAATCTTGGCTGATGGGCTGTGGGCTGATGGGCGATGATGTACGCTTTGATAGCTCAACTCATCCAACTGGAACTGAGGATGTGGCTCTAGTTTGCCCACGAGTCAGATTCAGGCTTTCTACCTTTCGACTATCGTTCATAATGTATTAACCACTTTCTTATAATAGATAACAAGAGAGACAGCTAGACAGTTCAGAAAGCTTCTTCCCCACGGGGATTGTATGACTCCTCGGCAACCCCCCACAAGTTGCATCGGCGTCAAGAGTGGCGGCCACCGGAGTATCTGTGGGGTCGACGCGGGAGAGAAGACGAACTCCGAGGAGCGGGGGCTGGTAGAAGCGAGGCCGTCATCCTCTACGCCCTTGGGTTGGCTAGATGGATTATTAAGATGCTGTTGCATAATCTCATTTATAAGCGCCTGGGCTAAAGGCTTGATGGAAGTGCACTTTCGATGCAACATCACATGTAATGTTGCCATCTAAGCAGCCGTGGGTATTGTTTTAGTAAGCCGCTCTTTTGGTGTGCGTACTGCGTGAAGCTTGATTTTGGGGATTGCTTACTCAAAAGCTCTGGCTTGGATAAGCTAGACTATCCTGAGAGAGTCCTAATACTATCGGCTGCGAAATTCGTGGCTGAGCTGTGTTAGACACTATTCAGTTGTGTTGAAGGCACTCAAGTTCAAAGCCTTCCAGTTTAGCGGGGCACTAACAGTACACAACGTCGAAAGCATCACGCCTATTCGAGCTTGAATTTCCCCGACAATGGCTGTGCTGTGGCACAGAAAGAAATCATGGCCCTCTTTCTCTAAATTATGGGAGTTTCTGTTGTCGCTACCATTCTTCCAAGGACAAAGAGCTCCAAGGGTAGAGACAGGAGGCTGCAAGTCCACTCGTCGGAAACGCACAGGTAGTTCGTTTCACATGTGACTCGATCTGCAATTGTAGAATGGACTAGAAACTGCTCCTGTGACGTCTCGATGAGTTGGATTCTCCAGTTCGGATACTAAAAAAAGGAACTCGCTACAACGACAAACAAACTCCTAGAGCCAATGGATATGACTAATCTTGCTAATAAGTAGGCATATGGCGTATTCCGGTATTGCAATCACATGTGTTGGATACAGCGCACAATCGAGATCTAGGGAGACTGCAGAAGCAGTTTCCACTAAGTTGAGAGCCGTAGCAGGCCGAATAAAGAACCACCGTAGCTATTCGGCAGTAAAATAACGAAAGTAGGTAATCAAGGGAGTTGGATGGAAAACTCTTCACTATAGTCGGTCTCTCTTGCGACAAAATTGTCGAAACGTATGCTCTGGGCTTATAGCTCCAGGAGTGTTTGATCGCTCCCATCCTTGACCTTCGATCGTGGCATTGAGCAAAGTCGCATGTAATCGTTACTAGAGATAGCAGAAGACACATGTCGCTTCTGGTGATAAGAGCCATATATTTCTTGGAGCGCCTGGATGTACTTGTGGCATCAATATGTGCAAAGTATGCGTAGAGGCTGAGAAAGTAATAGAACTGTATCATTACAATTACGATGACTATATACATGAGATACTAGCATTTAGAGCCTGCAGTTTTAACCACCACGCCGCATCTTCTGATACATCCCCCATACGCCTTTGATCAATCCCTCTACCGCATTGGGATCTCCCATGTACCCCTCTCCTGGATTTCCATCTTGATCTCTCCAAACTCCATCGTCGGACACTCGCCCAAAGAGCCTTGTGTTCTGGTTTCTCTCGATTCCATCTCTCCACTTGAGACATATTTCAGGACTATCGACCATGACATTAATTTCCTGGCTATGAAACCAAGATTGGGTATCTTGGTTGCCGCTTCCTTGTACTCCAACACTGTCATCTGCAATAAGAAGCTTTACGTGACAAGTTCTAGTTCGGAAGCTTTGATGAATTGGATGATCTTGATCTTTGCCAACATAGTCGTATATATGTAACAACTTGCGCTCCGGCCCATCCTTTGGCAGGAGAGAAAGGAGGCTTCCCGCAGCTTGTTCATTTGTTCCTCCTTGGCTTGGTATAATCTCCCCGGCGTCGTTGTATCCGAAGCAGACATAATACGTGACTTCAACGCCGCGTTTTAACGCCGCAGCCAATGCTGGGATAAGTGGAGCAGCATTTAAATCCGGTGTTTGGATAAAGATGCTCTCTTTAGCATTGCGTATGAGAGAGAGCCATGCTTCATTTTGCGGCACAAAGACATTTTTTGAGTCGACATTTCCATAGGGGGGGCGTGATACCATGGCTATAGGGACTGGGTAATCCGTGGAAGTTGCTATATATGGCGTCATTTCGTGCCCGTCAGGAATTTCAGGACCTGTGGGTGGAATTGGGTTCTTGACGGCAAGGTTCAGCTGGCGATTTGTAGCTTGAAGGCGAGTTTCACCTGACTTGGTGGAATAGCATGATTGCATTCTTGCAATTTCTCCGGCAAGATCAGCGTCGTAGTGAGGATCTTCCGGCGTATGTTCCGGAAGAGCTGATAGCGATTGGCCAGCTGCCGCGATGTGCTGTTGATCTATGCCAGATCCCCGATCCAGGTAAAGAGGCTCTTGGCTCGACGTTGGTAGTCCACCTTCGGCTGCTGGAGAATTATGTGAAGGGAGAGGAGGGTCCAATTGATGCTTCCATGTGATTAATGCCGAGTCGTATATGCTGTCGACAATTGGACCCTCTAAATGCGTCATCATCTCCATGTTGGCGTTGTCCTCCATATTGTTGCTCATTACTACCGCTATCTTGCGATCGACGACGCAAAATTTAGCGTGCAGGGTGCCCAGCACCATCTTATGCAGACTAACCACCTCCATATCCAGATTGGGCACCTTTTCAGGAGCAGGCAGTTGAACTTTCTTAGAAGAGTATGTTGACGGGCTCACGCGCTGATGTGGATCAATCGCACTCCCCGCGGTTGCTTTGTCGTACATTAATTTCACAACAACCCTTTGTTTCCTTTCACCGGCTCGCCTGGATAGCTCAATGAGCGAGTTTCTGATTAGTCTCTGAGCAACTGAAGGCGACCAGTTGCAAGTTATGAAAATGACCTCTGTCTCGGCCCGCACGATGACATTAGAAACATGGCGAATGACATCCACCAGAGGTGCAATAACAGTCAACGGCACTGTTCCATGCGAGCCCATCAATGGGGGAGACACCACGCTGGACAGAGGATCCGCGTCCAGACATCGCAGAGAGTCTGCAAATGCCTGGAGGAACAAAGGGCTTGGTGTTGTAGGGCCCCACTGGCCGCATTGCAGGGCCGAGGACAGCGTCGCGGGATCTGGCAGCGGTCGATTATCGTCTGGGTTGCGGCGGAGATCTTTCTCAAGATGCCCGTATAATTGCTCCACGAACTTTCCGGGCGCTTCAGCCGGACTTTTTGCCAGAAGCGAACTGACTGTGTCGGGAGCTTGGCACAGCCTCACCACGTTTTCAGATACCGCCATTATTGTGGTGCGGGGTTATCGCATAAGACGGGCTGAGAGAGCGATTTATCCGTAGGAACAGCTTCACAAATGTAGATGGATAGATGAAAAGGACAAGAGGTTGTAGCCTCGTGCAATGAATTTGTTCGAGATGCTTGGCATTCTCTGTTTCAATGCTCATGTGGGGTTATCGAAACGTCATAGAGCGCCGTGGCGCCCTAAAACTTGACGTTTCTTTCATCCCGTCAGCATCCCGTCAACCTGGAGTCTGAACTTCGATGGATTGCACAGACCTTAGTGGGTGGTGTTGCCGGATTGCCGTTTGAGTGTCCCAGAACGTCGCTAGGCTGGCCGAAATTCCGATCGAGCCAGGCCGGTGTGGATCTGACAACCTGGCACCTGGGGAGGCGCTTCAGGACATTGGAAAAGACTCTGGGCGAACGAATGTGGTATATGTGAGAAGCTGCATCGTGGCAGTGCCGTGAAACTAGCTGCTTTGAAGGCATCGCCACGGCTGGAATAGGAAACTCCCCCATAAATGGTCTCGGAATGATCCGTGTCTTGGCAAGAACACGGTGCATGCATATCCGCGCCCACGATCCTTGTCCAGGTACTATGGCTCGCTAAAAGTCTCCAGCATGGCGCCGATCTGCGTCATCATTGGAGATCCTGGCTCCGCTATGCAGCCTTGCAAACGTAATTGAGTCGTAGCTTGACGCACCAGCTGCCATATGTATAAGTGGCTGAGGTGGCGTTCGACTCCAAGGCTGCTTCAAGTGACACGTGCTTGAGCCTCTCACCGGTAATCCAATGCTGAGACAAGCGTCAAAGGCGAGTGGAGAACCAGGCTTTCCATGATTGATGGGATCAATTCGTAATATGCGCCGTGTATAAATTGGCGTCCGGTAGATCTTAGGCTAGATCTTTTCTCGATAGCTCGATAGCTCGATAGCCGAGAAGCAGCCATACGCCACGAATATGCAGCCAGATAACGGAGGCGTTGGCTAGTTTCCGCATCAATGTCACTGCGAACGTGCCTGAACAGAACCAATAATGATCCATTCAGTCATGTATCAGAGCTTTAAAATGCCAGGATTTTAGAAGTATATAACTCAATGGTAAGTAATATTGGACAACCAGTAGCAGTCGGCAAGCATCCATCTCGGCCATGGACCCTGCGCCATTCACTTAGACTTAACCCCTCCTTCGTGGAATTATATGGTTCCTTCTTGCGAAATTCTTGGGACAAGAGAAGGAGACAGAACGTGAGAATGCCGCCGATTTAGGCAAAAATAATTCAGCTCCAGGAAATTCTCAGAGTCGAGATTGCTTTTTGAAACCGGATACTGCTTTTCTCTCTACCAAGGCAAAACCGCGAAAATTAAATATGCTTTCCGTTTTCTAGAGGCCACAATGAGTAATTTATTACTCTGGAGGAAGCCAGTGCTGCCTTTAATTGTTTGCATAGCAAAAGAACATGTGTGTCATCCTTCTCTGTGCCAAACTCATTATTGTACCTGACCACCGCACCTCAAATGCAAACGAGTTAATATTGGGGTTAAAAAGGAAGAAGATAAGAAAAATTCATTTTAAATCTGATAACTGTATTTACGCAAGAGATCATATGCGAATGGCATAGGTACTTATTGCCGTGGGTCATGACAAGAAAGTAGTAGCTGAGCTGCCAGTGGTGATTGATGACGATGTAAATGTAAGACCTAACGGAGGGCCTAGCGCCGCTGTATATAATCAAATGGAAAAGAGATTATAGGGCTACGAAGCAACTGTTGGAAGAAGGAGCAACTCTTTAATTACAGATTTCAAAGTGCACAATGCCACTACCTACGCTTTCGAAATTGTTGGAAAAGTAATATTCAGGAGGAGATTGCCAAGATCAAGTTCAATACGGCGAAAATGATGAGCACTTATTATCTTTTCAAATCATGTACTACTCTTGATGGGGCCATTGGTGACATTTTCATATTCTTCGATACTGTACGCATCCAAACAATGCAAGGGCGTCTGTCTTCTAAGGATAGCACCATGCTGGAATTTCTCGTCACCTCGATTTGACGCACGCCTTATTGAGTTTGTTATTCTCCTTTTCAATTAGCTCCATTTGAGACAGATTATGAGAATATCAAATAATTCCAGCTTGTGGTCCGATGGATCTCAGGAGGGCAACAAATGCATACTTTGAACTGCACGAAGTATGCATTTGTTGCCCTCCTGAGATGCATCGGGCCAACATGCTGTTTCTTTTTTCTTTTGAAAAAAAAAAAGACGTGTCAGTAAAATTAATTCCGTGATAACCCCGTAATAGCATTATGGCCAACTCTAATTCAAGAATCTTACGAATTATAAGTCATACATGGTGAATAAAGTTTTCATTCAAGTATAAATTTGACAGATGCGAGTTGAGTGGGGGGCGGGATTTCATTCAGGTAATAAAAAGTATACAACTGGTTATTCCCAGCTGTCAATGAGCAAGTATGAGTTTAACTTTATCATTTGTATATATAAGGAGTGTCCATAATTTATATCATAAACTTTATGTCCAGATTGAGCTGTCAAACAATGCAAGCCATAGACTTCTTTATCGAAAACTCTGATACCCATTCTTCATCCGACCAGCCGATTTACAGTTTCCATTTGTCATAATTTGCCCGATTTATGGGATAGTGAAGTTGGGAGGAACGCAGTAGGGGCTGCCATTCTGGTTATCGAATTTGCAGACGGTCTTAGGAGGGCAGTTTCCAGCAAACTATTGATTGAAGGATTTAGTTAAGATGTCATTTTATGAAAATCGTTTTTGAGAGGTAAACTTACGACCCATTGACCAGCAGTGCTGCACACTTGCCATCCCTGATCATTGGGAAGGCAGGAGTAGGTAGCGGGCTTGCAGCCGTGAGGAGGAGGAGGAGGCTTGTAGCCAGGGCTGGCAGTGGCCACAGTAACGATAGCGGCAATAGCGGCGATGGTGAACTTCATGATGAAAGAGTTGTGTGGTAGTTATCAGAAATTGATCTTTATAGATTTTTAATTGGAGATGTAGAAGAGATGTGGATGCTTGTTGTGCTGATGATGAGACAGAAGTGAGGGTATGAAGGGGCAGATATTCAGGTCTTTATATACTCAAAATCTGGAATAGATCTTCTATTGAGTCTCGCGATGAAATAAAACATCGGTGAAGCCTTAGGTTTCAACGCCTTAGAGGATCATGTCATGTGTTTCTCAGGCAAGGGAGACGTAGGTGGCTGCTCCATCTCTTCGTATCCTTCACGCTATACGAAAAGCCTCATGCTCGAATACGAAGTGACGCTTACTTTTCAACCACTTACAGTCAAGGCCCATTACTAGCTACATATCACATACATGAAATGGCTTCGATGTCTTAATTATGCGGTGCCAGTTGTCAAAGCCAAGTCTTGCCACCGGCGAATACCATTTTTACACAAAGTAATGGTATTGAAGCCGTCGCACTGTCCTATCAGCACTTAGAGAAGATGGAGGACGATGGACATTCCAGGTGTGCCAAGCTACAATACGAGTGATCGGCCAAACAGTAAGAAAGCCTAACTTCACTAACCGTCAGCGATATCCGTTGTGTTAACCAGCAACATTCAACCCGATGCCTAGACCGTGACGGCGCCGCTCTAGAAGGTGGCAATCCCGCGCAGCCATAGCACTGCCAGCGGCCTAACCAGCGCCGTCATCTTCTTAGCACGACGTCTCCATTGAAAATGCCAGCTGTCTTGCGTCCTCTTGCGTCCTAAGATTCGTCAAGCTAAAGCAGGGCGCGGTGCGGCTGAACGCCATAGCGCAACTCCTCAGGCTGGAGAAGCCTTTGGGGGCCTAAAAAAAGCAACATTAGCCGGCTGCCGCTAGCACCAATGAGATAATAGAAACCGATTGAATCAGTTTCTCGCTGTCATAGAAGCCCGACAGTTCCTCAGCCCTATAATGCCAAGCCGGTCGTGTGATTCAGTTGCCAAAGTGCGGTGTAAGAACGGCATTGATGGACACAATAGCGCAGCGCAAGGGAGATGGCCTGAGCTGTCCTTCGTCGGTCGATCGGCCGGCAGGTCTGGGCCCCATAGTTGGATCCTGGAGGAGGAGCCCTTTTTCGTCGGTGAGACGGACTGTGGAGATGATTGGCCGATTCTAGTGGGCGCCATCTGCTTGCCGTTTTGTGGAGGCGGAGTCGCATTGTGCTCCTTTCAGTACGACCTGAGCAGTTCCGAAGCTAGGGCATTGAGTTTGAAGCGTTTTGGCTGAGAGGTGGCGATCTCTCACGGATATGCTCCAGAAATGCTAACTTTTCAGTCAAAAGGGCCGACCATCAAAGCCATCAAAGCACTTAAAAATATCAATTGCCCGAAATCAGCACGCGCCTTGCCACAATTCCATAGGGCCGAACCATTTTTGGACATTTAGAGGCTGAAAACGCGGATTCGGGCGATCTATCTCCCCCTTTCTTATTCCAATGCAAAGTTACGAAATGGATTCACTTAAGGATTCATGTATAACGAGGCTGATCCTATTCCTCCGCCGGTGATTCATAAATTAAGTAAAAGACCGATGAGATCAAAGCAACTAGAGTAACCTCCAAACACTATCTAATTTTGCCACAGAATTCGATCACTTTTCGATTGTGTAAGCTTAGTAGTGAACTCAAATCCAGTTAACCGTAGGTTATCTCCCGCTCATGGTATCTCATGATTTTATCAAATCATTCCCGTAATCAATATGAGCTGTAATATCTTGTCCATTAAGTTCAGCGGATCTTACGGACGATCAAATCGATTAAGCTCTTGGATGTATTTCTCCGGGTGGATCTCGGAACGCTCTGAGATCCATTGGGTGGCTTACAGTCGACGGGTATCGATAATATAAACTAGTATTCAAGAGCAGCTAAAAGTTATTGTTTCTCAAAGCGGAAATTACTTAGAAAGACTAGTAGAGAACTTTTTTACTAAGTTTTATTTAGCTCTGGAAGCATGAATTAGGACATCCACAACTCCTTCAATATCAGCTAGAGGTCGACTTGTCAGCAAATCCTTCAAATGTAAAATTCTTTGTTGTAAATGGCCGATGAATGCACGAGTGCCCTTCGTCCGATTCTCGGCTTTTTTAAAATCCCTCAGCGATAACCAACAGCTCTCTCTCGGGCTCATCAGCCAGGATTACCATCAAGGCAGCCCAGAGTGTATCAGCTGGGTACTGATGATTTTCTTTAGCCATGTTTCCGAAGAGGCTTTAAAAAGGTCTAATTCTGTGCAATAATCTTTTTACCTCTTGGCTAACACCCTTGAAAATAGTTCGGAGGAAATTTCCAACAACTAATTTTTTGCCCTTCTTTCAGTGATTGGCGGACGAATCAACAGAGGAGTGCAAGAACGAACTGGTAGACAACAGGTGTTTCAATCGCTATAGATAAGCAGAAATAGTACAGAACAGTACGTTGCATCTTCAGAGAATTTTGGTTCAAGATGTATGATAAGACGTGATGTTCTTTGCATTCAGGCAGCGCATATAACCAAAGTACCTGAGAACGTCTAGCAGCTTCCCAATGCAAAAGGTCCGGATTTTAGCAATCCAGCTAAACTCCAGCCAGCTACAATCCAGGGGTTGTATTGTGGATTTATGCTGCATTTGGTTAACTGATTGTAGTATCTGTAAGATCTGATCTACAGAAACAGAATCTGTGAACAACTAACTCCTGTGCCGCTTCAAGATATGAGCCTCAAATTTCTATTATCCACCTTAAGAACCAGTGATCCGTGTTTGTCTAGAATGGCTTAAAAATCATCATCGCTTGAATGTTCCGATAAAGCGCTCATCCCTCCAAGAAAGTATATTAGTCAGAGCAATTGACATATCCACTTCCTCACCTAAAAACACGAGCAATATAGGAAGGAACTCTAGGATGTATGTAGAAATCTTTTCACAACGGTATCGCGCGCGGTGTCTGCGAATTCGAGGAGGCAATTGGAAACAGTCATAATCATCATCAATCTGAGAGAATTTGACCAGGTCTGAATTAGTCTGGTGGATCGGCTTCATGTAGCTGCCCCTCTTCCTAGGATCGTCTGTGACTCGCAGAAGCAGCGTCCACCAGTTGGATACATGTTCCCGTTAATTCCCCATTGCCCTTAATCCATACGTGCTCTGCACAACTGTATGAGATTTGTTGATAGTCTGGTTACAGCTATGGAACTTTGTGGTTCATGCTAAGAAAGAAAAAAGTCCAGGATCTCTTTCCTTGCTAGAGCGACCTTCATTTTCGTTGTCTGAAGTGATCAAAAAGCATCTATAGCCGCCGGGTTATTGGTACCTCTGAAACTATCTTTTCGCTGCGGTATACATGAATATCCCTCTTATTACACTATTTTCTTGCTCACAGGGGAAAAAAAGCGGTGCTTATTCTCATGCGAGGCTTTATCGAACCACGATGACATCTCAGCCCACGATCGCGCTACTGGGCCGACGGATAGGATGAGTAAACTGCCGACCCTTGGGTTGCAGCGGTAAAAATAAGGCACCAGCAGCGCTTCTGTCCCATTACCGCATGTTTTCGGCATATGCCTAATGTACCGGATAAAGGCCTTTCTGTATGACTTAGCAGCGTTTTTGCCTCTAGCTTCCTGGCAAGAGTCCAAGCAAGAAGCGCGTAATGGTTTAGTCGATGTCATGTTGCGGGGAAAATCTGGGGGAGAACGGCAATTAATGGCCCTCTCCCACCTCAACTCTCGTAAGTTCTACATGATGCCTGCCTAAAGAAGACGATGACTATTAATTATCCGTCGGTAGTCCTGAAAATTAATATAATTTGAGCTTCTCGCCCTTGTCTCTCTAATGACGATTCTGCCGTCGCTTTCGCTTCAAGCTCCGAAATAGCCATTACAGGTTTCTTGAAAACCACAGAGAATGTTTGCAGCGTTACATCATGCACTCCATCAAAAAGGGCCGCAGATGGAAAACAAGCACTTTATAACTTTAACTAAACCCTCTCTGGTCAGATATTAAACCTCATTAACCGCAGCTTCTTGGGGTTCTCCATCGGGGTGACTATCTCTGACATGCAGCTCTGCAACACTACAGCACCAATTGGGCAGTTTGACATGGCAACCCTGTTACTGACAATTTTCCCGCCGGGAGAGCCCAAGGAATTGACGATCATGACCTGTAATGGAAGACACGGATAAAATGGCCAACTATTATTCGCGATATAGAGTATATATAGGCCATCCACCTTCCTGCCTCTCCAAAACTTCCGGAGAATAGAGGCAGGCCTCCAGTGTCAGCCACAAACATGGCCAAGTTCAACCTCCAAGCCCTGCTCGTGGGGCTACTGGCCACAAATGCTTCCGCGGCTCTAGACGGAAGCCGGTATCTGTGGTACACCACTCCTGCCACAGACTGGGAGACGGGTGTTCTTCCCATTGGAAACAGTCGCCTCGGCGCGGCCATCTTTGGAGGCGCCAATGAAGTCGTCACCATCAACGAAGATACCCTTTGGGATGGCCCGCTGCAGAACCGCATCCCTGCGAATGGGCTTGCTGCTCTGCCAACGGTCCGTCAGATGTTGGTAGCTAACAACCTGACTTCAGCTGGCAATCTCGTCTTGAGTCAGATGACTCCTGCTATTTCAGGCGAGAGACAGTTTAGTTATTTTGGCAATCTAAACCTCAACTTTGGCCATTCATCGGGTGGGATATCAAACTATATCCGCTCACTTGATACGCGGCAGGGCAATTCCAGCGTGTCTTATACGTATAACGGAGTCACTTATACGTAAGTACTTAGAGAAAGAGAATTAATATATCATATGCTAACACCTTTGTTTTCTCAGTCGTGAATATGTTGCCAGCGCCCCAGCTGGCGTAATCGCAGCCAGGTTCACCGCAAGTAAAGCCGGTGCTTTAAGTGTTAGTGCCACATTTTCAAGAATATCGAACATCCTGAGCAATGTGGCATCAACATCAGGCGGTGCCAATACCTTGACCTTGCAAGGGTCCAGCGGCCAAGCTGCTTCAGACAATCCTATTCTGTTCACTGGCAAAGCTCAATTCGTAGCCAGCGGAGGTAACATTTCCTCTTAAAACAGTGAGATGAAAAGTTTCCAATGCTAACTTACAACACCAATAGCTACTTTCAGCTCATCTGGCGGCACCCTCACCATCAGCGGCGCAACAACCATTGACGTATTCATCGACGTTGAGACAAGCTATCGCTATCCCACACCCAGCGATCTCGCCGCCCAAGTAAACAGCAAACTCAGCGCAGCCGTATCACAAGGTTTCCAGAAAATTCACGACGGAGCCATCGCCGATGCCAGCGCCCTTCTCGGCCGCGCCAACATCAACCTCGGTACATCTCCCAACGGTCTCGCCAGCCTTTCTACAGATCAGCGCGTCAAGGCTGCTCGCAGCAACTTCAACGATCCGCAACTTGCCGTTCTTGTGTGGAATTATGGCCGTCATTTGCTTGTTGCCTCTTCTCGAAATACTTCTGCTGCTATTGATATGCCTCCTAACTTGCAAGGTGTCTGGAATAACCAGACGAGTGCACCGTGGGGCGGAAAATTCACCATCAACATCAATACCGAGATGAATCTCTGGCCTGCCGGTCAGACTAATCTCATCGAGACGCAGCTGCCGCTTTTTGATCTCCTGAAAGTCGCTCAACCCCGTGGCCAGCAGATGGCTCAGGATCTCTATGGCTGCAACGGTACTGTTTTCCACCACAACTTGGATGTTTGGGGCGACCCAGCACCGACGGATAATTTCACCTCGAGCACCATGTGGCCCATGGGAGCGACATGGCTGGTGCAGCATATGCTTGAGCAGTATCGCTTCGGCGGTGACTTGAATCTCCTCCGAAGCGCAACCTACCCCTATCTCCTTGACATCTCCAAGTTTCTCCAGTGCTACACATTCACTTGGCAGGGGAACCGCGTCACTGGTCCCTCTCTTTCTCCTGAGAATACGTATGTCGTGCCTAGCAACGCCAATGTCGCTGGCCAACAGGAGCCCATGGATATGGCCCCTGAGATGGACAACCAGCTTATGCGAGATGTCATGAGGGGCGTCATCGAAGCCGCGGCTGCTCTTGGCATCTCCAGCAGCGACAGCAACGTCCAAGCCGCCACCAACTTCATCCCGCAGATTCGAACACCCCACATCGGATCCTATGGCCAGATCTTGGAATGGAGATACGAATACGGCGAGACTGACCCCGGCCACCGCCATCTTTCTCCTCTATACGGACTTCATCCATCGAACCAGTTCTCGCCCCTTGTCAACACCACTCTCAGTGCAGCTGCAAAGGCTCTTCTCGATCACCGCGTCGCTGGCGGCTCCGGCAGCACGGGCTGGAGTCGCACATGGCTGATGAACCAATATGCTCGTCTCTTCTCTGGAGCTGATGTGTGGAAGCATCTTGTCGCCTGGTTTGCCGAGTACCCTACGCCTAATCTCTGGAACACTAATTCCGGATCTACTTTCCAGATTGACGGCAACTTTGGCTTCACAAGCGGCTTGACGGAGATGTTGCTGCAGAGCCAGACCGGCATAGTTCATCTTCTGCCAGCTCTGCCTGGGTCTAACATCCCCACTGGAAATGCACAGGGATTGATGGCCAGGGGTGGCTTCGAGGTCGACATTAACTGGTCGGGTGGTAGTTTTACAAGTGCAACTGTGACATCCACTCGTGGAGGATCGTTAACACTGAGGGTAGCTGGTGGGCAGAGCTTCAAGGTCAATGGGGCTACGTATACAGGGCCTATACAGACGACCTCGGGGGCGAAATACTCCATCACTGTCTGATTGTGGTGTGTCAATCTCGCTTTGAAATAGTGAATATAGTTTTGTGCTGTCCTGCATTAAGGCGCAATTGAACATAATTTGTTAAATCTAAATTTTCGACACCTTACCGCTAAATTAACAAGAGTACTAATGGTAAAGTAGCGATAGTATGTATTATAGTAGAGATTCTTCCAACTAATAGAACATCTCTCCATCAAAGTTATGTCCTATGTCTATAGAGTCCTTTATATATGTATGATCCACAGCCGCCAACCACCCAAGTATTATGTGTACCATGAACAATTATACACCGCAAAGCCGTATATACCAAGATAAATTTCCATCATTCTATGTTCTGCGCTTCGCACATCTTTCTGTACATCCCTCCTTGCGCTACCAATTCAGCATGCTTTCCCATCTCCAAGATCTTTCCCCCATAAAAGACGCATATCATATCCGCGTCTCTGATTGTGGACAGTCTATGCGCTACGGCAATAGTGATTCGATCGCCTTCTTTTGCTGCCTCAGCTAATGCGCTTTGAACAACCTTTTCACTCTCCGTATCTAAGGCACTTGTTGCCTCATCAAGCAGTAGAACTTTAGGATTGCGAATTAATGAGCGAGCAATAGCAATACGCTGACGCTGGCCGCCAGAAAGCTGCGTGCCGTTTGGTCCGGCAGCTGTGGCGAAGCCGTCAGGCAAAGAAGACACGAAATCCCAGGCATTGGCTGCACGCAAAGCTGCTTCGATTTGAGAGTCGGAAACGGTTACCTCTGCGGTCGTTGCGGAAGATACCGTTGGATCGTCAATACCAAGTGCGATATTCTCGCGAATCGAGCCTTGGAAAAGAGTAGGCTCTTGCTGCACTAGAGATACGACTCGGCGATATAGACGAGGATTTAGATCCGTTAACTTGTCACCAGCAATGCGTATATTCCCAGTTGAAGGGTCGTAGAAGCGCTCCAGCATAGCAATCATAGTGGATTTACCGCAACCAGACGCACCGACCAGAGCAAAGAACTGACCCTTTTGAATCTACAATGCTGTGAGAAGATGACGATAATAAAGTTTGGACAGGCATATACATACCTCTAGATTGATCCCCCTCAGCACAGGCGCTTCCGGTCGCAGAGGATATGAGAAATGAACGCCATTAACGGCAATTGGGCCCCCAGATTCTGGACCTTTGTCCATATTTTCTGGTGTTTCGTGGATTGTGGGTTGGAGTCCGTGAAGCCAAAAAATATAGTTGGCGGCATTCTTGCCTTTGGTTATGCCTGTACAAGCGCTTTAGTTAATCAATTCATCTCTAAACCCGTGACGAGAACATACTTGTTGAAAATTGAAAGAGTTGAGAAGCAGCTTGGCCTGAAAAGAAGACTGCCAAAAACGCCACGTAAAAGCTATTCATTGATGTCTCCCCAAAGGAGACAAGACGACATCCATACCTGAGAGCAACTATTAGCCTTCAAGCAAGCCTCTTCCATGAGCCATATCATCACCTACCAAAAGCCCAGAGCCATAAACCAGTACTCAATGCACTGAGTAAAAGCAAAGCAAATCATCATAATCGACATCGGTTTCACCGATCCATTGACCGCGTGGTCTAATTCGTAGGTGTAACTCTTGAGGACCGATTCCTCGATAGCTAAAGACGACACTGTACGTATCGCAGTGACGGCTTCTGAAGCAATCGCCGCACTTTTAGACTGACGTGCCGAGATGTGGTGATCAAGTTTAACGTCCAGTCGAATCTTGAACCATCCAGAACCAACCATGGGGGGCAGCCCGGCGAAGACAACCACAAGTCCCAGTTTCCAACTGTAGACAATGGCCAATACGCTGCATGCAGCAATATTGAATACTGCTACTAGGATTAGAGCTATGTTGAAGCCCATAAGCTCCAAGATGGCCTGTGGGTTCGCATCAACACGGCTAGCCAGGGCTCCAATATTATTTTCGGGACGATCGAAGAATTGGAGATCTTGGCGTAGCATATCATTCAAGCTTTGACGACGGAGTTTGTGTGACAAAGTCTGTTGCCGCGATTAGCATTGGACACTTAACGTTGTTGAAAAGGGGCGCCATACCTGAGCGATCATGTTAGTCGCATATCCAGCTATACCATATATGATCAAATTGCCAGCTGCAAGGACAATAAACATGGAAGCATAAAAGTTGCCCTTTTTGGTCATTTCCGAAGGAGATAATGTAAAGACATCAACCGTGCTGGAAAGTAAAATGGCTTGACCGGGATAACCAGCCGCTGTTAATAGTTAGATGCCTGTACCCATTCTAATTCAAGTCTTGATCATCTACTCACCACCTGCGAGACAGGAAACAACAACAAAGAAATATGCCCACCCCAACTCTGGATGCTCAACCACGAGTCGCCAGATTACTGTAAGGAGTCCCTGTTTCTTGTATTTTTCAAAGTTGTCCCTCTCTTTCTGCTGCTCGAGGCGTATTTGATCCGCAGTGGCGTATCGGGTCAAGCTCTTGACAAGATCGGCTGGATCTTTTGCTTCCTCATCATCTTGTTCGTCTGATTCGGTATCAGATTGTTGATTTTTCGATACAGATAGGTCTTGTACGTGGACCAGCGCAGCGTAAGCTCCGTCTTGCTTCATTAGACCCTCGTGTGTGCCTTGTTCTATAATTTTCCCCTTCTTCATGACGACAATGTTGTCTGCCCTGCGGATTGTTGCCAGCTTATGAGCAATAACAATTGTGGTACGCCCCTCAGAAGCTCTGTCTAGAGCGCGCTGGACAACGCCCTCGGCATGCGGATCAAGAGCGCTGGTCGCTTCGTCGAGCAACAGAACTTTGGGTTGAGAAACGATACTCCGAGCGATAGCAACACGTTGTTTCTGACCGCCGGATAATAAGCCACCTCTCTGGCCAATCTCAGTATCGTATCCATCCGGTAATTCTGAAATGAAATCATGAGCAAAAGCAATTTTGGCAGCTTCCTGAACTTGAGCCATCTTCTCTTCTCTAGACGCATGTTCCCATTTTGTGCCAACAAGGCCGTGAGCGATGTTATCGAATGCTGAACCTTGAAACAGCACAGGCTCTTGTTGGACGAGTCGAACGTTCTTCCGGAGCCAATTGAGATTTAACTTGTTAATCGGCTTGCCATCCAACTTGATGGCTCCAGACAAGGGATTGTACCATCGCTCAATGAGACCAACAATTGTACTCTTTCCCGAACCACTTTGGCCCTACACAATGACGGTCAGTTTTGGGCTGGGAATAGCGAAAGAGTGAAAAAAGATGGAGGATTAATTACCACCAAAGCTGTGACTTTCCCAGCAGGAACAGTTAAAGAAAAGTCGTCTAGTACAGTTATACTCGGTCGGGTAGGATACGCAAAGCTAAGGTTCTCCAACTCAAGGTGTCCGACAACCTCTGTAGGCTCCTCCCCCGATTCGTCAAATGGATTGATATCAGACTTTCGGTCGATAAGCTCAAATAGCTGTGCGGCTCCCGAAGCAGCTCGCGAAAAGTCGATGGAATACGGCGCCAGCGCCGTGATACTGATAGTTGCGATTGTCACAGAGAACAAGACTGTGAAAATTTCGCCAGACGATGTAATCTCCCCATTTGCAAATAGATGAATACCCTGCCAAAAAGCAAGCCCAAAGCCCAGATACATGATTGTATATTCGGCCGAAAAGAGAGCTGCAAACCAAGGCGAGAGCTGGCGACCGTATTTGTGAGCCTCCTCGAGGTATTCATTGAATTTGCTGACAAGCCTGGAGCGCATCTCGAACGCATGTACTGTTCTAGTGCTGCCAATTATACCTTCTGCATAAGCATTGGCCTGAGCGTGAACGTCGAAAATTTTTGTTTCGACTGCTGCCTCACTGATACCAACAAAGGCCATTACGGCCATGGTAGTCGGGGCGATGCAAAGACAAATTAGGGTCAGCTTCCATTGGGTTACAAACGCAACAATGAAGGCAGTAACAAACGCTGAGACTCCCTGAAACGAGAGCCCGAGCTTCTCTGCAATACCGCCCTGGATCAGCTTTCCATTCGAAGTTGCTTGAGTAGCAATTGATCCACTGGTGCCGAGGTCATAGTAGGCAACTTCCTGGCTTAAGGCAGCCTTTAGATATGCATGTCGAATATTTCGAACGATTCGATACGCGTTATAAGTCAGGAGCACATTGTATGCGTATGCCAGGACAAACCTTCCAATGCCTAGATAGACGAAATAGAGCCTTTCAAGGGTTAGTGTTAATGTATCAGCAACTACCTGGGGGGAGTATGAAGAATTCGGTAAACAAACTACTTACGATAATCGGGCGGCATCATGGCGAAACTTGGCACCGCTTGCTGATGGATCGTTGATAAAATTGGTGATGGTTGTGACGAATTGGCCAAAGATCAGATTCTGGAGAGCGATGCCAGCTCCAGACGCAATTGCAGCCACAATAGAGATGGCAAGAATAATTCGTTCACGCCGACCTGTGTAAGTGAAGATTCTCTGTATATTTGATAACACAAGCATAATTAGCTACTGCTAACCAGAGCTCCATGAATTATGGATAGGCTTCCTACTCACTAGATACGGGTTCTGTGACTTGTTCTCGCTCGCCGTCGTTTCGTCTGCGATTGAAACCTCTACGCTGCCATCCGCCTCTTCAGCAGCATTTGATGCCTGATGCACAGGCACATCATGGCCCTTCTCTGAGATGGCCATCTTCAGGCTGGTTTGTCTCGCTAAAGCTAACAACCACCTGAAGCTGTTGTGGCAAGGTGCAGGATTGCGAGGCAGAATGATCTTTCAACAGCCTGCATGATAGGAATGTTTTATAAGTCTAGCCCCGTTAAGGAGAGTTGCTGGCTAACAAGCTACCCTAGACTCCTCAGTTAAGCTTTCTCCGGTGACTCTTCGGCCAGAGCTTCGCCTCCCGTGTGGGTGGGCATCGTCCGCAGCCCGTTCAGGACCGCGACTTTCGGGCTCCGCGGGCCAAAGGCCATTGTGTATATTCGGGCCCGCTAAGCCAAGACACTAGCGCGTAATTGATTCGGCTTAGACACCGTTGCCAATACTTTTCCAGGTTGCCACGAAGCCAAGGGATCGATCGGGGCAATGCAAAAGGAAGTGCTTACTACCAGCTGTTAAGCATATTGCTGGTAGCCAGTGAGACGCAACGGATATGAAGCTATGAAGGGTCCTATGAGATCAGTTCACGTCTGAGACATGCAGCGAGGAATATCCTTCACGCTCTTGGCCTTGTCTTACAAACCAAGCCGCGGGAGATGTAGCCGACTACTATGTACACGTAACTTGCAATTTTCACGGGACCCGTGCAACTTACGTCGGCGAAGTAACGAGTTAGCACTGATATTGTGAAAAGCTGCCCCGTCTAAAAGAATGCACACTGTTTTTATAATTACTGTAAGGTCCTCCCGATTAATTAAGGCCTTCTAATTCAATTATGGCCCTCCAGTTCAATTCAAGCCTTCCAGTTTAATTACAGTCTTTTTATTCATTCAAGACGTTCTAGTTAATCAATGTCTTCCAGCTTAATTTAGGTTAGTCAGACATTAAATAGTATTTCCTTACATTAGCCGCAGAATGTGTTTTACATATAACTTCTAACTAGCCCCGCTATGCTGACGTACTTGTAAGTGGCACGGGTCCCGTGGAAATTACATGCACGACATTCCGTGCATCTAATGGGCGCCTCGCCTCGCTCGTATTCGTTCCGGATATCCTTTCGCTGGGCCTTCAGTCTTTGAGCGACGGGCAGTCTTGATTCAATTGCATAATACGCAACGGTATACAGCTGTCTTTTCTTCTCCCCACATTCTCCCATTCAAATTCGTATACAGCGTGCTTTTCGAGTTTATGAAGCTTTCGGCGTTCCACCACCTTGCAAGTTAGACCCGATTCACAGCATTTTTAATCTCCCCTCTGGGTCTTATAAAAACATCCAGTCTTTCTTGCATTTCACAGCATTTTCAATACCACTAAGGTTCTCAAAACAAATCTACAGTGCGTCTTGCACTAGGCAATAGAAATGTGTGCAACATAGATCAAAGACACATCAATATTTGAGTCACTCACATGAACTTACATGTGCTTTATGTCACCACATCTGAATCAAGCAAAACCACATTATAAGCATCAATCATAAAATGAACTTCTCGCTTTTCATCTCCAATCTCAAAGCCAATAGTTACTATTTCTCAGCACATCGTGAATAGAGATCAAGCCGCAAAATCTACCTCCATCTCATGCAGCCGTCTCCGCTCCCCAGTAAAAGGTCGAAATCCCCGCTCCCAGATACTTATCCTGATAAACTGCCGCCTTTTCTCCCTCCAACGCCGCACCAGCACACACAATCAACGGCATAAAATGCTCCCCCCTCATCGGCGGGTGCATCTCATTCGCATGCGGAAACTCTCTCCAGCCCGCCACCCTCTTCCATCTCTCCTCCTTGCTCTCCGTCCCAACAGCCTGTGCCAGCGCGTCGTTCCATCGACCAATCCTCTCCGACCACTGCTTAGCTCTTGTAGGCCCTCCGTTGCGTAGCTCATGATAGACTTGGAAGTTGTGGACAGAGGCAAAGCCCGAGCCCACGACGGCGATGTTGTTCTGACGGAGCTTGGCCAGCGCAGCTCCCATTTTCAAGTGGTCAGTCGGATCTTCGGACTCAAGCACGGAAAGTTGCACAATGGGCACGTTAGCCGCAGGATTCACCAGCAGCATGGGGATAAACACGCCGTGGTCCCATCCTCTCTTGCTATCCAGCTCGGATTTGAGGCCCTCTGCTTCCAGTGCGGCTTTTACCTCCTGCGCAACCTCCGGGTGGCCAGGTGCAGGGTACTTCAGTGCGTAGGCTTCAGCAGGGAAGTTGTAGTAGTCAAAGTAGAGCTCGTGAGTCGCTCCGGATGAGATGACTGGCTTATCTGTTGACCAGTGAGCTGTAACGAGGACAATGGCACGAGGCTGCTCAGGAGTGCCGAGCTTAAGGATTTTGGGCACTCGATTTTTCATAGAGCTGATGACGTCCTTGTGAGCAGGATCGCCAAGGATAGGGAGCGGACCTGAAGCATCTCATTGTTAGTCATGTGTGACTGACAACAGAGCGTAGTTGTTGAGCAAAAATTTGAGGATGTTGGATGAGTAAGGAATGAATGAGCGGTGGAATAATCTCACCTCCGCCATGAGAGAGCGCAACTACAGGAGCCAGCGTCATTGCAGCTTTCTTGCTGAAAAAATACGTTGAAGCGTAGCGAAACAGGGTGACCAAGATAACCAACCTGGCAACCAGGCTAATAAGTCGTTTCAATATCAATCTCATCAAAATCTTAAAATTATTCACATTAAGTTCAATCTGATAACGTCCGGACAGACCTCCCTCTTTTATTCTTTCTTACTAACTGAAGAGAGAGGATTGGACCCATCTCATTGGCAAGTCGGAATTACGAAATTGGCGCTCGCCATCTTACTGTACTTCGTACTCTAATTGCCTCAAAGGGCTTAGCCCCTCTTTACTCATCTCCTATGTGAGTTGTCAGCAGGCAAGAATAGCGTTTCGCAAGCAAAAGGACTTCAACGATGACGACCGGGTTGTGCTTAGTAACAACGTTGTAGTCCAAGTGGCCAATCATTGGAGGCAAAGCCGTCTGGCTCCGCGCGGGAAAGAAGGGTCTGGGCGCCAGTGGGAGAAAGGCTCAGGGCGGCTCCCACTTCGATGCCGTAGTGCGCGCTAGACGTGATGGAGAACAAAGGGCTAGAATGTACTATGTTGAGGATGGCGACTCAAACTAGGGGTGAAGAGGAGGCTGAAATGAAACTAGTTGGGCCCTTTTGCATTTTGCAAAGAGGAAAAGGTATAGAAACTATGAGAATTAACATGATATTCAAAATTTGCTTGCTAAGCATCAATACATTGACTACAATTGCTCATCTGCCCCTTCACGGCTGGCAGGCGTTTTTGCTGTCAAAGATTCCAACAAAGACGGACCTTTTGAGCCGTTGACAAAGACTGCCACTTTGTCTCTGCCACTGCCGACGGCCTTGATTCGAGATCCGATATCCAATGGGCTTCCCTCACTGACAATAAAGTGACACTTTGCTTGATCCTCTGGCAGCTTGCTTCCAAGGATCTTGTGTATGTTTATACTTACAAGATCCAAGGCAGCTTTCTCACCTAGCCGTCCGTTGCCATTGTGGTAGGCTGTCCCGGCTTCGAATCCCAGATCGCGCACATACCAATCCTCAGGCAAGCCAATGGCGGCCGTGACGCCGGCATCAAGCAGGTAATCGATCGTCGTGCCATTTGAGAGTGGCGCGCCTGGAAGCGAGCGACGTTGGTCCCAGTTATTTGGATGCGCTTGAAGTGGAAGCAAGATGACTCCAACCTCAGCAGCGGCAAGCTCTGCTGCGACGAGATGAGATTCTGAACCGCCGAGAATGGCGAGTCTTATCTTGGACTTGATGACCTCTTCTACTTCTGACTTGATCCTCAACGCAGTGACAATGCCATCCGCATTATTTATAGTAAGAGCTAGGACTGTCTTTCCAGCGATAACCTTTTGCAAGTAGGCCGCTTCTGAGAAAGGATCCTCAGCTGGCTTATCTTTGGAAGCAACCGCGAGGAGCTTTCTTCTCAACAGGCCAAATACCTCGGAGTAGCTGCTAGAATAGCGGGAGTTGAGGTCAAGCGTGTAATGAACGGCAACATCGGCATCAAATACGGCACCTTTTTCGGCAACGGTCTTGGCCGCGGTGAGGAAGCCAACGCTGGTACCGTGGTGAGTCTTGCCACTTAGGAATTTTGGAGCAGAGATACCCTTGGTAACACCATATTTAGCGGCAACATTCAGCTTCTTGCTGTCTAATCGAAGGCCATCGATAGCACGAGTGAAGGCGACCGGATTTGGCCCATTGTCTGTCACCTCCTCTCCGTCGATATCATTCAATCCGATAGTGCCACCCACGCCAGTGAAAGAGTTGGTAAGATAACCATTCTTTAGGATGACTCGCCACTTCACCTTTTGGGCGGCCGCTTCATACTCGGGACTGCAGGGGCCAATGCAAGCGATTTTGCCCTTAGAGATAAAGACAGTCATAGGCTTGTCATTAGATTCGAAGATTTCATCATCGGACAAGAGAACCTTTTTAATGCCATAGAAGAGAACGTCTTGCATCTCTGTTGGCTCTTCGATGATGTAAGATAGCCCGGTATCGGGCACAATGGGGCTTGATTTGGGCTTTGAGAGCTCAACCGGGTTATCGAATTGTGCAGTGCCGTCGATCCAGACTTGGACGGGGGCAGCTCCAACGCTCAAGGGGTCGCTATCCCAAACCACGATATCGGCGTCAAATCCTGGCTTGACTTTTCCTAGCCGTTTCCCAAAACCAAGTAGCTCTGCAGGTGCGCTGGTAACGGCAGACAGAGCAGCGTGGTAGGGCAGGCCATAGTGATAGCCCTTTGCGGCTTCAAAGAGGACGTGCTGGGCGTTGAGGACAGGGTTGTCACTGACATATACAGTCGTGAGATTGGCATCGTAGAGATATTTGCCAGCATACTCGGACGCCACGTAGGCTTCGGCCTTGTAAAACATGTTATCAGCGAATAGGGCTGACGCAGGTGGTCGGCCTCCATATGTGCGCTTGAGGATCTATAAACAATAACGTGGGTTAGATTAGTCGCATTTGTGGTTGGATCATTGATAGAACCTACTTCAGTAGCCAGATACGTCTGGTGAGCGTGATGGAAAGCCCGAACTGAAAACTTGAATTCGTTGGTATGGTCCACCATTGCCTCAAGATCCGTGATAGTGTAACAGTGAGTGTTGATATGGACCTGGCCGCGAAGGGCTGCAGTAAGAGATTCCCAGTATAGCTCTTGTGGCAAATACTCGTCCATATTTTCCACGCCAATAGCATCGGCCTTGTTGCACCAGTCATCCTGGCGCTGGATCAAAGCTCTAGCTTGCTCGAAAGCGTGTCTGAAGTCGAAACTTTCGCCCATGCGGCTGAATGGTCTTCTGTCGATGCCTCCATGGACCCTCTTGGCGTTCTCTCCGCATGCCATCTTCATAAATCGCCAGTTGCGATCGGGGTCTGCGAGCATGTCTTGCGCGCTGATTTCTTTGCGGCCGTTTCTGGGGCCAACGGCGTGCTTGATAGTGTAAGCCTCGCCGCCCATGTTGTTACCGGATCCAGGAAGGACGAGGGAGGTGGTGACACCGCCTGACTTGATGACTTCAATCTGGTGATCCAATGGGTTAATAGCATCAATGGATCGTGCCCATGGAGTGATGTTATCGGAGAGCTCATTGACGTCAGCGTCGCCTTGAAGATATGGCAGAGAGTCGACACCAGCATGGCTGTGCATGTCGATGATGCCGGCGGTTAGCTGACGTCCCGCGGCATCGAAGATCTGGGTGTCTTCTGGCAGTGAGCGAGACGAGATGTGAGATTCAACTCGCTTGATGAGGCCATGCTCGAGCAAAACGTCGCCTTGGACCCATTCCCAGCCCTTGCCCGCTCTGGCATCAGCCTCGCTTGTGCCCTCAACAGGCTCGCCAATCCAAACAACAGCGTTCTTGATAAGCGTAGGCTTGCTGCCTTCGATCCACCTGGCATTTTTCTCTCGTCCCAGTCCTATTGGGTCCTGGGGCTTGTGTCGGAGCTTTTGACAAGTCTGTAAGTCATCGTTGAGCTTGTCCAGCGACAGCAGAGGCGCTTTCGTATCCTCTCGCCACACCTGCTTCCACTGCCCTGCCACCAACAAAGTCAAAGCAGTCGCAGCGAAGAACTTCAAGACACGGGATCGGCGCAAACCAGCTCGCCGACCGCGATAAGGCGCAGCTCCAGAGGCTGGAGGTGGGAGGCCAGAGGCGCTGTAGGGAGGCAGGCTGGCTTTTTCGTCCATCGTGAGGCCTCGCATCGCGACAGACGAAATACACAATGTCGTCACGCGAGAAGGGGCACGCGAGGGAGAATGGAAACGAGAAGTAGGGAGTTTTGCAGCTACATGTACTTTCGAAGCAACATCGTTCGTGGCACTACTACGGAGTACGTAGTAATAAGTGCCCCGTCCACGTTACGGATGTGGATGCCGAAAGATAAGAAGACTCTCGCAGCTAAGAGCGGCTGCTGTACCCCAAGCAGCTTTGTGCAGCAATGAGCGCTGGAGGGGACCAGTTCGCACCTATCAGACCCGCCGTAGGAGCGCCAAAAGTTCCAATCTGCAGGGCAATCTGCAGGGGAGCTTGCGGGGTAGCAGCCGCCAAGACACAGCGCTACGGCCCTTGAAACTTGAAATGGCCGGTGCCGCGATCAGACGGGAGGCAATTTAACCAATTGTGGCGATGCCATCATTTTCGTCATTCATGGCACACGCGCTTGACAAGGCCGATCTCTGTGGTCCACATGTATCAGGTAGACAGATGCATTATATCTCGCTATTTCAACAGTTGGAGAGGCTGGAGGGTGAGCTGTCAACGGGGCATATATGAGATGCCAATATTTTCAAGATGCATGTCTGCGCAAGCTCTCATCTCCATCGTGGGAGTTGGCGGACGTAGCTGGCCATTTCTCGGCTTTGGTCAATGAAACTTCATTGCTTGACTTTGATCGCCTCTGCTTCCGATTTGTCGATTTCTATGGCCATACATGCTTGTGCCCCACGTCCTTGAAATGTGTTTAGAATATATTTGCTGTTAGCGGAGTTTACATATACTACTACCTAGTATGCGAGATAGGCACCCGATCATATATACCTATGAAGACAAGAGAGGGTGAAAGAGGTTTGCAGTTTGATTTCTTTGTTATTGAATACTCTGGTGTGATGAATGAGTCTTTTCCTATCTTCTGCCATGACTGGAATTCATCACGACTCGTCAGTCCAAATGTTATGTGGCTTCTCCGTCGAGAGCTCTTATGTGGTCTAGTGGAGCGACGGCATAGGGTTATGTGAGACAATAACCAATAGGTAACAGCAAAGCTCTTGAGATAAAGTGTAAAACACTTTAGATCTAAGATTTAAGTTTAACTATAAGAATTAGACCGAGTTGAGCTCTTCGGAATACTCGGCCGAACTAGAACAGTGACTGTAGTGTCTTTAACTGATGACTTGGTCTTTAAATCTGACTGGTATCCACCAAGTGGCATATATAAGAGAGGTGAGGAATGTCTTCAAACTTAGAAAAGAGTAAATGGATATACAGAATAACTGAAGCTTATTGAAACAGTTCAAATTACTCTGAGCTGAGGCTCGTCTCTTGAAAATGAACATAAACGATAAGGTGGTTGCGGAACTCGTACAGACGTGTATCAGTGTTTCACTCAATCAGTACAAAGACGTATACAACAAACAAATTCATCCCATCTTGATGGCTCAGCCTGGCATGATTGCAGCCATGGCCGGTGTAATCACTTCGGTGAGTGGCCAAGACTCAACACAGAAAGAGGACGGCGCTACTGTACTTTCACTGGTCATTTGGGAAAATGTGCATTCGCACATTGATTTTGTTACGGGCCCAGCAGCAGGTCCCTTTTTTGATGCGGCGTTGCCATTAATGCGCGAAACACCGTCTGTTGAGCATTATGAGGTGGATGGCCTGCAGCCGGCCGCTTTCAACAGCATCTATGCTCAGATTTTAAAAGCTTCTTCTGCCAGCGACAAAGAATTTCTAGCAAGTATATTTAAGAGGCACGCAACTATCGAAGGATCAGAAATGGCACTATTTAGCGATTGCACGGAGGATTCGTCAAAGAAGGCTTTGATACTATTTGGCAACTCCGAGCAATTTGAAGCTGCAGGGGACATCATGGATAGAGGGACGAGAATCGAGCGATATAATATTGAGTGGCATTCAAGAGGAACAAAAAGTTATCATTAAGTATATAGACCTTCCGAAAAGCATTGCAGAGTATGGCTTGAATCATGATTATCCTAAATTTTCTTATTCCACCAGCCTATTGAACTATATATCATGCGTTTCTGATAAAAGAGTCAACCCTTAAATCTAACACTATAAACATTATAAGAAGGATCTTTTCTCGCTTCAACGTCAAAGTTCTATATACATTGTAATAACGATCTACTTAATGAATTCGGGGATTCCTTTATCGTAGCTGCCGCTACAAGCAGCAGTGACGCATCTTTCTAAGCTGCCAAAATAAAATTTCTTCCCCGTGAGACCTGGCCCGTAATGAGCATATTTCGCAGAGTTGGTCATGATGGTTTTTGCATATGTTGGAATCAGAGGCTCATCAATCATACACCAACACGTATCGGTAATAAACTGAACTCCGAACCGTTCTAATTCTTCGACCAGGCCTGCCTGACTTGCTAATCCATGGGTTGCTCGTCCACAAGTCACCATCATCGAAACTCGATCATTTTTTTTCCGCCCTCGACAAATGTTTGCTAGCTTTCTCATTTCAGCAATAGAAAAATGCGGGTTTCCAAGTGAGATGAGGTCAACAGGCGAGTCATCCTGTGCGCTGTTGAGCGTTCTCCAGCTTGTCTCAAGATGCCTTAGATCAAGGCTAATCGACTCTATGCTATCTCTCTCGCCTATCGCATCTTGTAACGTGGCGGCTTCTGGGGTTATACCAACGATGTGAAACATTGGAGCGCTTGCCATGGTGGCAAATGCCGCTCCGAATGCTTTGAGGTCGTCTGTCGACGGACGTGCCGTATCAAGCCCTGTGATGACAGGTATCCGATTCCCCGCTAAGCCACCAATCTGATATCCAAGCAGAGGGTAAAACGAGTCATCAATATCTTCTTTCTGAAGAGCAGGCAACTCCACGCAAAGTGAAGCCAGTCTATTACGCTTCAAATGTAGCCCTCCGTGCGGAGCACGCCCTGTTAAAGCAATGCATATATCCAGAAAATCGGGATACTTCATAGTCCTCGCTCCAAGTACACTATTCGCATACACAACTGCATTCGATTCAGCCCAGGCTACTTGATCGCCTTTCTTTGGCGCACTCGAAAGTAAATAGGGAGCGCAGGTAAAGGTTGGACTGCCTCCCATGTCGGTATACGCTGTGGCTAGCTTCTCTGCCGCCTCGCCAAATGTGGATGTAACACCTTGAGAGCGCCAGCGCTTTTGATCCACGGATATAGAGTTAAGAGACGTGGGAACCAAGACCTTGCCTCCCCAGTCACGTAATCTTTCTGCAAAATTGAGTGATCCGGGCCCGGTGTAAACACAGCCATCTATGTGGACTTGTGTAACGTGTATTAGCTTATTGGCTCCTTCTATAGCAGCCATGCGTAGTATGATACGCATAGCAGCCTGAGCTGCTCGACCATGTAGGCCCTCTAGAAATTCTTTGTCTTCATTAGACAACTCGACATGGCGACTTAAACTTGTACCCAGGGGGTTTTCAATAACCAATTCGAAATTTTTTGGTACACCCTTATGTTGCGCCTTTGAAACTATATTTCCATTTATGGATACGTAAGTAGCACTTTGTAGATCTTGAAATTCGTCCGTCCCAAGAATCACTATTGGGATAGACTTATTAAATATTTCTTCCGCAACCACGACTCCAAGGGTGAGAATATCTTCCTTTCTTGAGAATATCAGGCCTTTCGGGCCCCTGCCGTTAAGTAAAAGTTCCAATAAGACCCCACTTCCAGAGCAAGACCCGCGACCGCTGGGAATAGCGAGAATTGCATCTTGGATGTATTTGCCACTTAACGGGTGATGGCGATCTATAACTTCGCTTGTTTGCGGATCAATACCTCCCCAAAAGCTCAATTCGACGTTGCTTGCGACAAGTGGACCTGAAGCCTTTCCTTGTACGTATGCAATCCCGTGATATGCGATTTGGCCTTTGAGCTGCATTTTTATTTTATCAGAAGTATCTTCGTTCCAGTCCGAGTTCAATATAGGGCCATTTGTTGAGGAGAGCACCTCAATATGGGTAGCCGATAGGCCAAAATAATGTATGCCGATCCAGGCTCAAAAAATGTTTTCCAATCACTAGTTGAAGGCCATATAGGCACTTGGCTTAGCAGCTATTGTTTTCTCAGCTCTAACCTCGGAGTAAGCGCCGTATAAGGAAATAGACTAGAAGCTCATATGCGCTGATACTCTGGTAGTTTACTAGAAAAATAGAAGTGTCGAGGAAAGCAAGAAATATCCAATCAGGGTATAGTCTTGAAAGCTCTGTGGCGAGGTTTGTCGGTCGAATTTTCAAGCAAAGTGCAGGTTGAGCAAGTTTGCCGACAAGCTAGATTCCCCTCATCATTGGCCCACTCCGGTTTAATATACGTGTCGGCGAACTATTGACATTTTGGCCCCCTCCCCCGTATTCCGTGTATGCCAAATGGCAAGACATCGCGCGAGATTCGGTAATGAGGAATTGAAAGTCCCATTCATTCACTAGGCATTTTTGGAGCTAATAATAGCATAAGAAAATATTGAAATATGTCGATCGTCCCCCGCTGGTAGGAACTCCCGGAATTCATCGAAGGATCACAGCCTTTCCCTCAACCAAGTCCATCCCTGTTTACAGGTATAGAAGTAGAAATGGAAATTCAGATAAGAAACGCAACAGAAAAGGACTTGCCTGCCGTGGCGCAGCTTGCTGGCGTCGCATTCCACCCAACAACCGATTGGATCACTCGCCAAGTCTTCCCTCTGCATCTCCAGCCCAAAAATATTCCCGATGGCGAGGCATATCTACCGTGGCGTCAGTTAAGAAAGACAGTCAGCTACAATACGTCAAATAGCGCCGTTATAGTGGCCATCGATACCACCCTGGACAACCAAATCGTTGGCTTCGCTGTGTGGGATCAGCCAATTGAAGATGAGCAGCTCCCAGCTGCGCCAGCAGAACCAGAGCTGCCTCCAGCTGTGTCGGATGTGAAAATCTATGAGGAGCTCCAAGCAATTTTGAAAGAGGACCATAGAGCCAGTTTTGGAGATAGAGAACTGAAAGATGTGTGGCGTTTGTCTCCCCTTCCTATATTTACATCTCTGATGCCTCAGTTAACCGATAATAACCATTAGATCTCGACATGATTGGGGTTGACCCACTCCACCAGCGGAGGGGAATAGGCAAAGGGCTCCTAACATGGGGCATGCGACAGGCTACGAAAGCTGGCAGGGATTGCTACCTGATGGCAACACCACAAGGGCGACCGCTCTATGAAGCTTTTGGTTTTGAGATTGTACGGCCATTAAATATGTTTGGAGTAATGCATCACTCGATGATATATCGAGTCAATAAAGAAGCAATTTTATGAGGGCATGAATGAGTGTATAAGAGAGGCAAAAATCACATATGGAATTTACTGTTGATCCCTTATGAAACATCATGACTATGAAAATAGAAAAAAGGTTTATAAAGAAGATATTTCGGATATTAATAAGATTGACACTTATTCTATATATTATTATCTATCTATCGCAACATTCATTCGTAAGAAAACGTCGTGCGCATCCTTGCCATGCCTAATAAGTGCGTCTAAAAATTGCTTTGTTAAGGATCTATCCTAAAATTAATACCATCTAACCGGATCTTCCAATCTATTAAAATATTGTGACACATTGCAAAATGAGATTCTTAAAAGAAAATTCGCTAGAGTAGAGATATGCATGGCTCTTTCGGTTCCTTTTTCTTCTTTGCGCCTACTCAGCCTTCTTGGACATCTTTGTTCGGAGCTTCATCAGCAGGTACACCAAAGAGTACGAGCTAAGCACCATCAGCACCACGATACCAGCATCTCGCCAGCCGTAGTAGTATTCCTTCAGGTTCAAAGTTCGAAGATAGTCTTGACCCTTGGAGTATGAGCACACTTGGCAGTTGGACGTGGCACTGGGGTTAATGAGATCTGCCACAGCGCCCGGGCCTGCTGCTAGGTATTCCTTAAGATAGTCTCCACAAGTTGTACCGTTTGGAGGATTGAAAGTGGCAAATTCATGCTCGGAACACTTGATATCTGCTCCCCACAGGTTAAAAACCAACATGCTTCCCATGAGATAGTTGAAAGGATTGAGGTAGTACATCCAGTATCTCCAGAACTCCTGAATCTGTGCGTAAGGCACCAAAACACCGCAGAAGGACACGAGAGTTCCAAGGACCACAGGATTCGCCAAGACAGCAAAGACTTCGTTGGGCGCGTACGCAGCAATGAACTGACCCATACCAGTGTAGAGGAACTCATAACAGAGCATCACAAAGAAGGTTGCTCCGGCGCGATGAGAGTCGGAGGGGAAGCCCACAGTATAATACCAGCACACAAAGTAGAGCACGGCGCAGATGATGAGGTAGGGGATTTCTGAAACAATAAGCGCAGTGACAAAAGCAATCCATGAGTACATCTTGGACTTCTTCTCGCGCGTTTCGAAGATATCTCGGCGGTGGATGAAGAGAGGCTGCAGCTGGGCAAGTACACCTGGCGCGACGAAAATGAAGTTGAAGATTGTGAAAAGCTTCAACTGCAAATCGCCAATGGAATCCTTGATCATCCAGAAAGAGAAACCGTTGAAAAGAGCCGAGAAGATGTGCAGCGCGAATTTGTTGTTGACGTAGTCGGCGTTGCGATACAAGCTGACATTCATGCGTTGGGTAACGAGCTTGGTCTGCTCCCACAGGGATGTAGCAAATTCATTGCCGTCATCTACAGTGCCAGGAGGTTTTGATGCAGCCTCGTCAATGATTCTATCAAGCTCCTTGGTCATGTTGGCATATTCCGGAGATGCGAGCCAGACCTCGTTCCAATCCTTGCCCTGAGAAAGCTGTCCCGAAACAACATCAATCATGTGCTCCGCAGGGTTGACCTCTGTTGGGCACGCAGCATCGTAACGGGCGAAATATTCCTTAACCACATTGGCCTGATCACCAATTTCTCCAAAATAGACAGTCTTGCCACCTTTGGCAAGCAGCAGAAGCGTGTCGAATTGAGCGAATAGCTGGGCAGAAGGCTGGTGGATTGTGACCAAGACGGCTTGACCAACGGCGGCGAGTTTTCGTAGGAAGCGGACAGTGTGGTAGGCAGACTGGCCATCCAGACCAGAAGTAGGCTCGTCGAGGAAGATTAAGATACTAGGCTTAGAGACAAGTTCAACACCAATTGTGACACGTTTGCGCTGTTCAACGCTCAATCCTGCGCCTACTTCACCAATTAAAGTGTCGGCAATGTCGTGAAGTTCCAGGAGATCGATAATGGTGTTAACATAAGCCAACTTCTCCTCACGTGGCGTGTCACGGCTCTGTCGAAGCAGGGCGGAGAACTCTAACGCCTCTCGAACAGTAGCGTAAGCCTCGTGCACATCGAGTTGTTCGCAGTAACCAGCAGATCGTTGGAAAGAGACGGGAAGTGGTCGGCCATCAACCAAGATAGAGCCACGAATAGTGCCCTCGGTCTTTCGCTGAGCAAGGACATCAAGCAAAGTGGTCTTTCCAGCACCGGAAGAGCCCATCAAAGCAGTCAAGTTTCCAGGCTTTACCCATCCTTGAACATTATCCAGCAACAGACGGTCGCCTGAGGGTGTCTTGACAGTGTAGCAGAGATTCTTCCAAGTGAAAACTGAGGAGTTCCGAACAAGATTGCCCTGGACAGCCGTGGTATCATCAGTCGAGTTATTATCGGACTGCGCATTAACAGTAGCGTCATCTTTTTCTGAAATCTGACCTGATTCTGAGACCTGGCCCTCTTCGTCGACCTGACGAACTGCATTGACGAGCTTGGATTGTTCTCGGGGAATGAGCAAGCTGGGCCCGTTCTCTGACGACAGCTTCCACTTTGTGGTGAAGAAAATTGTGATGGCCACAAACAGAGCCCACCATGCCCAAATAATGCCAAAATTCCTCCATACATGCGAATGGCTGTATGAAAGTGATGCAAGGTACAAGTCACCATCGACATAAGTCTGTCCCGGAACTGCGCCACCCACACCAGCACAAGATTGAGCACCTGCATCGGTGAAACCTGGGCCGTTGGGAACGAGATTAGGGCCGACACAAGGGATGATCTTGCCGTGGAACTCGTTCGAGAGAATGGCATCAAAACCATAAGCCATTGGATCGATCCAGAAGAGCCAGACAAACCAGGGGTGCATCCGTGGCTTCTGAATCATGTAGCCGTTATACATGATAGTGGCAGCAATGATGAGACCTGAAACTTTGGATGCGCCATCAAATGTGCTGAAAGCTGCACCGATAGCTCTGAAAAGGGCAGTCATACACTTCACAAATAGATTAGCTTCAAGGTCGGTTATCGATATATATGAGGCAGACACTTACAAAGGTGGTAGCCACAACAATGATCCAGAAGGTAAAGAAGTGGCCCGCAGACATTGTCAAACCAACCATGAAATACAGAATTAGAGAGAAACCAGAGACTTGTACCAAGATGACGGGAATATCAGCGGCGATCTGAGCAATGCAGAATGCCGCGGGATGGAAGTACGCAAATGACTTGTGCTTAATCAGAACAGGGCGGCCCATGAATGACTCAGTGACTTCGGACATGGAGAGCAGTGCATTGAAAAGCAAGGCAAAGAAACAAGCTCCAGACTTCACAAACAATCCTGCAGTCGTGTTCGGAGCATTATAGAAAAGCGAACCGGCGATGAGTGCTTGAACAATGGTAGAGAACTGCTTGATGAAGAAAGTTGCCTTGTCACCCCAGATGATCTGATATTGTCGCTTGATACATGTTCGCACTTGAGTCCAAAAGCTCACTGTGAATGAGCTCGATGCTGGTAGTCCCTTGTCTTTTTCATTGGCGACGCCCTCTTGGAACAATTTCGTCTTGGTCTGAGCCTCCTCCGTTGTCGGATAGATGTATTCAGCTCGCGCTTGGTCATGAATAGCAGTCTTTTCGTATTCGTTGCGGATTGCTCCTGCAGTTCGGGGGAACTTGAACTTCATCTCGTCTCGGATTTTTCTCTCGGTCGGAACGGTCACACCGGTGAGGAAGTCAGCCACATTGGCTCCATCGTCGCAGATGAAGCCCAAGTTCTCCATGAATGGCCGAGCCTCGCGCATGGGGCCATAGTAGATTTCTTTGCCCTCGTCTAGCACGAGAACTTTATCGAAGAGGTTATAGATACCGTTGCCGGCTTGGTATAAAGTAACGATGGAAGCTAAGCCGAGGACATCGGTCATGGCTCGAACAGCCTTTGCCCATTCCAGAGCACTATAATATGAAACAAATTAGATTTAGAAACAACTTGTAGAGAAGAGAGTTGGCACTTACGTGCTGGCATCAAGGCCACGCGTTGAGTTATCCCAGCAGAAAACGCTGCCCTTGGACGCAAGACATTCGATGATGGACACTCGCTTTCGTTCTCCACCAGAGACACCTCGGACGAAGGCGTTACCGACTTTGGTATCTTCGGTGTGTTCAATGCCCATAGACTTGAGCAGGAACTTTCGAGTTTCCAATCGGATTTCTTCCTGGCTTGTAACGCCGTTGGGTAGGTTGTATGGGACCTTTAATCGTGTTGCAAAGTCCATAGTCTGTCCCACAGTCAGAGATGGGAAGAAGATTTCCTCTTCAGTATTCATAATAATCTGGCCTCGGTAGCGTTTTGCCTCTTCAGCCTTCATGGAGCCAAAGGAGACGTCGCCGGAGATCTGAGCATATCCATTCCGTCTGTTGGACAGCATGTTGAGCAGTGTGGTACATCCTGACCCTGGTCGACCCAACACAAGGAGCATCTCTCCAGGCTTGACACATCCATGAGCATTATCGAGGATTTTTCTCAAAGGTGGCTTTTGTCGAGATTCCTTTACCAGCTTTGGGATGTTGAACTGGGAGACGACGTTTTCGTGGATGGCTGCATCGGCACGGACAGCCTCAACAGTGAGATTCTGGAATGTGACTCCGAGCTCTCGGGCTTGGAAACCAGAAGCTTTGTCGCGCTCATTAATGGCAACAATTTCTGGTTTCATAAACCAGCCATTATCGACAGCATCTTTTTCACCCATAGAGGCGTTAAGGTCTGTGAGCGTCTCGCCGTATGTGGACTCCATTATGCTGCTATGTCCGTGTCAGTGGCTAAGAGACCACTAACTGGAGGACTAAAGCAAGGTGTGGCGAAAGGAGCTTAGGGGGTTATTCTTGATAGGAACTCTACAGAGGAAGAAAAGAGAGAGGGAGATTCTTTTGATAGCGAAAATTGTCATTTTTAACAACTGGCAGGCCTCGGCCTCAGCCCACATTTGATTATCTAGATACAGAAATAAATCAAATTGGTGGATCCTCGGTACTGGCAAGAAGGCCGAGTCGGGGCCCCGGGCTCGTGCCTATCGTAAACCCAGAGCCATTATGGAGCTTAAAAGCAGAATGAAAATCATTGTGACTCAGCTAATGGGGCTGCAGGATTCTGGATAACGTCTAATATGCAAGGCAAACGTCTGTGTTTGCGCGGCCAGAGAGATGGAGATGGGACCGCCTCTTCCGTGGTGGCCTCGCACTCGGATAGCGGCTCCACGAGCTTAAAATTTCCCCTGGGCGGGCGGCTCCACGACGGGGACTTGTCAGAGCAAAGAACTTGCTTGTTCTTCCGCTTAGTCAGGCAGACGGAGCTCTCAAAAGACAGGCGAAAAGTTCTTAGCTCACGTTTGGGTGCCCAGACGCTGAGTTGGCGGCGGTTATCCAACCCGTGAAACTGGAACTTGGCTTGTGACACTAGTAGTTCCTCCATTGCAGATGGACGCTCGAAATTTTCACTTTTCCCTATCTGGGGTCACCGGATATTACCTTAGCTGACGATTAACGATGCAGATGTGTCTATTGTCTGGCACATCCTCAGGGGTGTAATGCAACGGCTGCACAACTGCCGATGACATATAGTATGTCGACTAAATACCCAACCACGCTGCCATCTCTTCACCACCCTGTGACGCAGTGTTTTCGATACATGCACATGTGCGATGTTTGTTAGCAGTATAGTATCTACATGTACACTGTCAAACTCTATCCACGAATTGTAGTTCCGTATATAAAACATGTCATTTCTCTAGTTCAGAATACAATACTCCACCTTCTTAGCAGCCGTTGACTAAGCGGAACAAATCTCGCTCAACATTCCCCAGGCCTCCTTTTAACTTTGTGAGCTTTGTCGTTATCGCTGCAGCACATGACAAAATCGCGGCGTCTCGGGAGAACGTTGGAGGCTTCTGCCGTGGTCCGTATTGCAAATCAACTCCGATCCGGATTACCATAGCCTTAGCGGATCATTCCTCATCAAATGCCTGTCGTCCAATACTTCAGGCGCAGCGCCCCCTTCTTCTTCCCAGCTTCTGATAACAGCCTGACCGCAGCGTCTGACGCCATCCGTCAACTCGTCAACTCGGCTTTACTCCCTGCGGCTAAACCATGGTTCCTACCCGCTTTTATTTCTCAGCAGAGCTCTAAAGGCGCCCGTTCGGACAGGGCTGCTTGAGCGAAACTTCCGCTTACTCAGCCAATTCGGCTTGAGCTCAGGCTGCTTCGGATATCGACGAGCGGCGAAAGCCAATCCATGACGAGGCCAAAGGCCGAGCCCTGACAGCTATCTACCACCTTTCTACTTGGAAACTTCCGAGAAATATTTCCTCTCTCATGGATAGTGTTAGAAATCCGCCCAGCACAGACGGGACCCAGCACACGATGGCCGCGCAACGACGGGCTTGCGACGCCTGCTATAAGCGTAAGGTATTTTGATAATCCCCGTCCATTGTCTGGGTATTATCCAGCTGCCGTTCGCATGTATTCAATGACATGTTTCTGCATAAGCGGAACATTTGTTTGAATTCCTCTTCATGTTTTCTGCCCTACAAGCACGCATCATGTTGTACGCATCTGCCAAATGTACCTGCACTTACACGTGGCGATGGATGCTTGTGTAGATTCAATGTGATCGATCTGATCCAGATGAGCAATGCAACTGGTGTCTACATCATGGTCTCCACTGTACTATTAACCGAATCAGAGGCAGGAAGAAGAAGACAAAGTAAGTACCCTACCAACCTGCCGCCTCTGTGTGGTGGTGTGTTTTACCATGTCCGCTGACAAAGACTGTGGGAAAGGAGCTCAAGGGAAAGCATTGTTAAGCGCCTGGAGCGAATAGAAGAGGGCATTGCTAGGGCTAAAGCTCTGAAACAGAACACTCAGACAGCCTCGCCTGTTTCAACGGCTTCGCCTGATGGCTCCAGTGCCCAACAAGGGAAAAACACACCCGGCAGTGTGCCCGGCAGTGCACCCATCATTCGCGCGCTTAGTCGCTCTAGTGAGGGTTCACAGGTTTGCTCTAGGCAGTTAGGTGCTTCTCCGCTTGGACAAATATGGATGTCGGGCCAGAAGTTTGCTGCTACTTGCGACCAGAATGGCATTCCCCGTTTTACTCCTCTTGGCGAACAGTACATATACGCGCAGACAGGGCAATGGCCTCATTTCCACAATGAGAGCACCTTTTCTTTTGAATCCACCGGCCAGGCCTCTTCGGGTGCTTTAACTCAACACTCCCCTAGGGGCCAGGCCAAACAAGCACCAGCCGATCAACTTCCAGAAAAATGGGTCACCAACACGTTGTTCAATCTTTATTTGCAGTCTGAATTTCGCCTCGCTTTCCCCTTTGTCGATCGTGAGCTATTCGAGGATACAATACGACAAGCCTATGACTCGCCAGATACGAACCCGACAATTGAGGAAATCAGCAGTAAAGCATGTGTATTTGCTTTCTTGTCTGTCTCTAGTCATCATTTTGCCACCATGAGCGTCTCAAATCATGTCGATAGTGATGCTTGTGCGAAGCAAGCACAGATTTTAATTGCTGACTTCATTGAAGATGCCAGTCTCACGACTTTACAAGTGATGATACTATTGGTATGTCATGATCAAGAGTATATCATATTTTTTACCCCGTTCCTAACGCCTTTACTTTATAGCTCATGAATGAGGCGCTCTGCGGCCGCCTACAAGCATCATCCATGTACCACGCAATTGCGTGCCGTACCGTCTTTGCCTTGGGGGGACATACTCTAATCAGTGATCCACCTGAGGATCGTAATCTTACGGTTCAAGAGCTCGAAGAGCGTCAAATCCGGCTTTTATTCTGGCTGTGCTACCTTTTTGACAAAGACATAGCTTTGAGAAGTGGCCAGCCTCCTATCATGAGCGACGAGTTTTGCGATCTCACCCTCCCTAAAAACTACTTGAAGAATCGCTTCTCAAGTCATGATCTCACAGGCCCAGAAAGTGCCCGAAAGCCGTTCTTACCTAATGACCTTCGGTTAAGTATACTGAAAGCAAAGGCTGTCAGGGCACTCTACTCCGTTGGCTCTCTGCGCAAATCTGATGCCGAACTTCTTCATACTATTCGAGAGCTTGATGAAGAATTGGAAAACTGGCGTACTTCAATACCGGCAGAGTACGCGCCGGCGCTCAGTATTCGCAAAGATGTCAAATTTGGCAATTTCAGCCAGTTGACGAGCATGCTTCATATCGAGCTACATTTGGACTACCACTACCTCTTGAACATTATCCACTGCGCTAGCGGTAGATGTGTGGTAGACTGGAATGAATCTGGCCAGGAAATGATCTTTGGGTTGCAGTCCAGTCTTGATATCTCTGTTGAAGCTAGTCGATCGACTCTCATTTATCTCAGTGAAGCTGCACCTCGGCTGGCTGGTGAAGCATTCTGGTGAGAACATAACCTCTTGGTAATATATCTATTGAGTTTTAATACTAATATGCAATAGGGTCTTTATCTTTTACCCTGTTTCCGCGCTTCTTAGTATCTTTTTTAATATCCTACGAAATCCTCGGCACGAATACGCAACTCATGATGTGGAGCTACTCAAATTGGCGACAAAGGTTATCAGAAGTATGCCTATACTTAAAGTTACGACCCACGAGGTCGAATATTTACGCAAAATGGACGCCTTTATTGAGGAGCTGGGTCGACTCAGCCAAGCAGCAATCACAAAGGCACAAAATGAAAATGCTTAAGCGGAGTGGTGAATCTTTGGCACAACTAGGCGTTAGGCACTTGTACTATTATTTGGTTCTACTCTGTTCAATTTAACAGATTTATAGCGAAGGGTGCTGATTAGATATAGAAACTGGCTTCTCTTGAGATTAGTAAGAATTTGAAATTCGCGATCATAATAATGAAGATAATGAGAACGATGGCAATCTAGACAAGAAAATAGAATCGATGCAACCTGTTCTTTGTACATGACACTCGTACTCCTGAATATCGTGATTGCTACCTAGAGGTGCGGCTTGACCCCTTAGTTGCATAATATTAGCTGGTATTAGGAATGTGAAACGTATTTAGAGTGTTTACCATCAGGGCCTCCCAGAGCCACCGTGTTTGACTTTTGATTCTATGGCACGACACCATTCATTTGGTTAATGTCATTTGGTTACCATGATATGGCTTGTCTACTAATTAATAGTAGGCCGCCGCTTGCTACTGCTGAAAGGCTGCCTGGTGCTTAAGGGCTAGCTGCCGCTGGGCCATGATTGCTCGCGGGGTGTGTACCTACAGAGTGATGTTAGTAAGTGTCTCGGCTCTCTTCATCGCAGTGAAGAAGTCGTGATATGAAGTAACAACTGACATTTACATGACCCAGTCCAGCAGCGTTCCGCGCCTGTCTAGCTGGTGAAATTGCTGTAGTGTTAGTTACATACCCGTAGGCATACCACCTACTTCATTAAGAATCATGCCCGAGAATTGCTGCGTCATCAAAGCCTGCCGCTGTTGTTGGCGGATGGCAGCCAACGCATGTCGGTTATTCCACCCGAGTAGATCGCAGCCGCGTGAGTCTACCAAGTCTATAACGGTTCTAGTCTCCTTGAGAAGATATCTACATTGCTGCTGCCGCTCATGCTCATGCCACTACTGCTGGCCACTACTGCTGAACCGTTTGTGTTGATGTAGCGGGTAACGGCTCAGGTTCGCCTACTTGCCGCCCTTCAAGATAGTATTGGCCTCACCTTGGCGCTTGTCGTTGTTCGTCCCGGGCCATCAGTAGAACGATAACACACCCATAGCTTTTAAAATCTATGACTCAAAAAGACAATCACATTCGTCGCTCATGGTATGTAAGTCACCGCCCTCATTCAACTCGCTGCTCCGCTGTTCTCCGTACTATCTAAGCGAGGAAAATGCACGGGATCCATGGTCATATACTCTAGGAGATCCAAGCCGCCAACGTTGTCACCCTCGGTCGTCATAGCAACAGAGTTATTATTCATGTGGTGGAAAAAGGCTGAAACGGGAGGTAGTTCCCTTCGTCAAACAAGTTTACGTCGGCCGTTCAAGTCAACAGAGCTATTCTCCATACTCTAGAGCAAGGCCAGACGACGTTTTTCCTTTTGTTGTTCTAACAAAACTTTCTGCCTTTCATAATCTTGCAATGCACTGTTTGACCCCCAGGCTTGTTGTTGATGCTGCTGCTGTTGCGCCGTTTCGACAAACCCGTGGCGTAGCCTCTGTACTGCCGCGTCTGTGTTGTCGGAACTTTGAAAATGCTCTGTCACCCCGCTTATCTGGGTGCTTATTCTAGTAATTTCAGCAATGCGCTGTGCTGTACCATGGCATTTTGACATGTGTGCCCTTAGAGCGCGAGAGGAAGCTAAAGGTGGGTATGGGCAGTTGGGGACTGTACAAATGATTCGTTGCACGTGTCTTCGTTCGTGCTCCGATAATTTCTTTTCATCAGTGAAGCCTATACTTGCACAGGGGCAGTTTTGAAAACTACAAGTGAATGCGGCCGTTCGAAAATCTCGTTTAAATTTCTCCAACTCCTCGGCCGTAATTCCTGGGAAAGAGGAGACCAGTAGCAGAGACCTGATGCTGGCTTGGTAGCTTGCTAGCAAGTCCTTGAGATTGCGGGGTGCGAGCCGCGTAGGACCAGCAGAAACTTCAGTGAACAAATTATTAGATAGTAATATCATTAATCCTCAATATGACACTTACAACTCTCGTGCTTGGCTTGGTCAGAATTAGCTTTCGCGAATCTCTCTCTCAGAGCGGATCGTAGCATGTCATATACGGCTTTCTGATTTGCAAATATGTTCAATCGATCATCCAATGTACCTAACTCTTGCTGTACTGAAATTCCCGCTGAGTGACTCGTTGAATTTAGGCGGTCAGCCAGTGCTTTAGCTGTTGAGCACAAAAGAGTCGCAGTCTTGCTGCCACCAGCAACAGCATTACTACATAGTAGATCTTCAAGCCAGTACTCTGTTGCATAAATGTGAAAACCATGAAGACCTCTTAAGATTCTCAGATTTCGGTCGCTTGCGTCGTATGTTGTATCAAAAATCCGAAAACCGGCAAGTAGGCAAGTGATGGACGCCACTCCATGTTCGCATATCGCATCAGCCTCGATCAAAGCAATCGTACTCTCGGGCGATTTAAGATGCCTACAAGTACAACCATATTCAGTAGTAATTCAGTTGAAGCAGGGCATTATACTTCACTTACTCTTTGACAGAGACATGAATGAATGAGAAAGTACTATCCTTATTCTCCTGAATAAGCGGCATGCACATTTCAAAAATGTACTGGGGTGGCATTATCGAAGTCTCTATAACTCCTTCGCTAAATGCTATAGCTGAGCGACATTCAGTCTGTGTTAATGGGCGCCTGGCGAATGCTATCCATCCCAAGAGAGATTTTGTTCGTCCCAATGATCTCGTGTCTAGCCTGGCAATTGTCTGTGATAAAATCCGTTCGTAACTTTACTCAGTGTCAGTGCATGGCCACACAAGTGTTTATCTTTTTTGGGAAATCAGGAATTTATACAATTCACTTAGCTCTCTGGGAAGCATGTCCACTGAACGAAGCACCTCTTCGCGACTGAAGAAGACATTGGATGATATATACTCTAAAACCAGCCGAGCCCATAGAAACATACCTGTGAATTGTTAGCGGTGTATATGCTAGCATTAGCTATGGTTGGAGACAGAGTACTGATACCATCAGATTTCGAGGATATGCTATGAGAGAGCTCTTTAATATCTTTATCACAATGCCAAGTTCTAAAAATCGATTAGAGAGGAGGCTTAACTTCTGGTTAGCATAATTCTTTATGGCCTCATCAATTCTACTTTTTTCTTCCGTTAGTGAAACGCTGGGTCGCTTTCGATACTTTCTCAATAACAATGGTGTTGGCCGACTAGAGATTAGGATTTTGATAATCCCAGAGTTCGTTGGGCTTCCAAAAGATATGAGCGTCTCCAGTAAATTCGTTATTCTCCCTTGTTTCTCAGTATCGCATTCATCTAACCCATCTAGAATAATATGGACATATTTCTTCTTTGAAGGTATAGGTGAGATAGCTTCGCAAATGGTCCGAACCAGTTGAGAGAGCGACTTGATTGTAACAACTTGTTTGGCCAAGACGAGTTCTTCATAGAGATAGCTTATTAGGTCATTATTCGACCGAATCAGTTGAAGAAGCAGAGATCGGAGAATTTGGTCAAATTGTGTAGATAATTCGTATGAATAGGTGCAAAAATGACGAACAACGAGAGATTGATGGCTGGTTCGAAGAAAAGTATCAATTTGCGTTGCCAATACGCTTTTACCCGCTCCTGGGTTACCCTGAAGCCACACAAATGGGGTTTCCGACTGAGTTCTCATCCACGACACGAGAGTCGGCTGCTTCAATATCCAATCGCAAGTCCCTTCGTTCTTTTCTGCTTCTGACGCGATTGAGTCAAAGATGATTTGTTGGTCTGTATCATCCATTTTCAACCATCCAACGATGGCCTGGTATTGTTTAATTGAGTCCTCATCTTCTTGTTTCGCAACGTCATTAAGATTTTCATTTCTCTGATCACGTAGGCTTTCTCTCATTTTGGAGGCTTCCAAGATATTGACAGCGTTAGCTGTCTTGTCAATTAATTCTTCATGAGCTTTTATATCGGCGAGAATTGTGTCGAATCTCCGCTGGAAACGGCCCCAAGATGTGAGAAAAAAGATCTTCCAGCCTTAGTGTTTTTCACTTTGTCAGTCCCCGGATTTATGACTGATTCAATGGCTTTGAGAGAGGCTTACTACTCCTTCGAACAAAGAGATACGCGTGGCGGTGGAAAGTCAATATGTCTGAATAGAAAATGGCTAAAGTCTCTTGAAATTCAACTCTTTTACTGAATGCTTCACTAAGAATTTCCATTCTGGGTAAAGATTCTGCAATCTGTGAATACGCAGCGATAATTCTCTCAAAAGCTTCAACAAAGTCTGACGCAATCTGGATGTTACACACATGATATCATTAATTAGCGAGTTGACATTTATAGTGTTGATTCATTTGTTAACCATTACCGTGAGAATTAATTTTATGGGAGCCCAAATCCAAGGCAGATATGGCGTGCCATTGCACAACACTTCAATTGACTGTGAGTAATGTTCCAGGCCTTGGAATAAAGGCATCAAGCGGCGCATATTCCTGAGCGTTTTCCTGGCTGCTAGCTGGTTCTCAATATCAAGTGCCGCTTTTTGGACGTCTTCCAGCGTTGTGCTTTGGAAGTCTTTTGCCTCTGGCGGTGACACTGTCCGCTGAAGCTCTTCAAAAGCCTCACGAATGATACGTCGACCGGGAAGAGATATTGGACCAGCCCCAAAAGACATTTCATTGACTGTATGAGTATTTTGGCCTCTGAGAATTCGGAAAACACTATGGATAAGATGAAAGCGCATATACTGAGTATCAAAGCGATCGAAAATGACGATTGAAGTCTGCCTTGAGGCGGTGTGGCAACATTCAGGATTTCGAACAGCCTTACATGTGCATTCGCCACGCTGTGATACTCTACAGGTGAGACACGTTGGATATATATACCTTTGAGTGGGGCAAAGTCAGTTGACTGGACTTTAAATGAGTCTGTGTCACAAAGAAGCTGCCGGAGTGACGAGGCGCTTCGTAGGCGTGTTGGTGCCTAATTCAACACAAGAACTCGTTGCTTGGAAAGCTGTGGACTTTTCCTGTCCTATACTAGAACCCTGAATTTAGCGAATTTAAGAATATTGAGTGATATTTACATTAAATAAAAGAATGTCTACGAAGAGACGACGTCTAAATCCGCCAGAAGCATCAGGCTACCATGCTATCGATACAACCGACCCTGAAGCTAAAATTGGCGATCCTATTTCTCAAAACGGCCCATACGAAAGTCCCGAGGAAATAGTGTGCTTTGGAGAGGTAATAGATCATTGGATTGGTGAAATTCACCATGAGCTGACTCTTCAAAATATCTGAACGCAGATCACTGGCATCCTCAGCAAATGTCGAAGTGGCCCTGCAGCACCCAATGCTAATGGCGCCAGTTTTCAAGCAAAACTAGAATCATGTGAAAGATTTGTATCAGCCGACAACGATTCTTTCATTGGAAAAATTGATCCAGACTATACACATTTGACCCATTTGCTGCAGAATGAAGCTGAAATCGACCTACAGCTCATATGCACGGTCGATTTCTCTCGGTCATCAGGCGCTGGAAAGCGAATCTCTTCCAGGTTCCCAATACCAGAAATTCCATGCAGTATTTCAATCATTATATATGGGCCCTTAAAGATGCTCACTGATATTGGTAATTTCTTTCAAACATGTGACATCTACTTACAGGATCCCAGTGATTGCAATAGAAATGTTAGATACTGTAACCCTCATCGTCTTTCATCGATCAATCTGAACACATGCCCCTGGACTTCAGAACTCAAGTCTAATCTAAGCAAAACCGTTGAGATAAAGCCAGTTCCTCCATTACCAGAGCTATTAGATGTCCTGCAGTCGTCCGAGAAACTTCGAGAGGCGATGCAGCCAGATGCTATACGAACTCCACTAGAAAGGTTATATAAAAATGATTGAAATATATAATCGTTTTCTAATCCGTTATACAGACATCAAAAACAAGCATTGACATTCATGCATCAGAGAGAGCTTGGATGGGCTCTTGATGGAAGTCGACCAGACCTTTGGGAGTACATGGAAAATGGTCAAAGGCACTGGTATGGGTCACTCGTCTGCCTAGAAAATGGAGATGCGACTCCTAACTCGAAAAAAGGTTTGCAAACCGCGTGTCAGATGCCTATCAAGATGAAGAACCAGAAGAATTTTCTGGTGGAATTATTGCAGATCCTATGGGGCTTGGGAAGACACTTACCATGATATCTTTGGTAGCAAGTGATGCTCAGCTTCATGAGGCAGCCACGGATGGTGATGACGTTATAACTTCAGCTACGACTTTAATTATCGTTCCACCACCTTGTAAGTCGTTCATTGAGTGCGCCCTTAAAGACCTCTCCATTACTAATGCATACAGTACTTGGTACTTGGGAAGAACAGTTATCAGAGTGAGTACAGGCAATTCCTCAGAATTAGCAAAGATTCTAACTATGATGGAGGCACGTTAATCCTGGATCCTTGAATTGGTGTCGGCACCACGGGAAAACAAAACTGGCGAAGGATATATCCTATAACGGCATCAGCATAGTCTTGACGACATATCATACCGTATCAGCAGAGTGGAAATCTCATAAGAAACATTCGTCTTCAATTCTGTTCTCGACTCGCTGGAGGCGAGTGATCCTAGATGAAGGTGATACACCTGCGATAATTTGGAAGATCTCTGACTCACTGGTTTTGGGGCAGCACATTTTATTCGTAACAGCTCCTCCCACTTGACTCGTGCAACATGCGCTCTAAATGCGGCTGCTCGATGGGCAGTAACGGGTACACCGATCCAAAATCGACTTTCGGACCTAACAACATTACTCAGTTTCTTGAAAGTTTATCCATACTCAGATCGAAAGAAGTTCGACGCTGACATCACGAATTTATGGAAGGAGGGTAATACGGACGAAGCGCTTAAAAGACTGAAGAGGCTCGCGGCTTGTCTCATTTTGCGACGGCCGCAGAACACTATACAGCTTCCATTAAGGCGTGATTTACAATGCGCCGTTGAATTTACAGAAGCAGAACGAGCGATTTATGAGGAAATTCGAAATAAAACGATTACCCATATTGACGACATGTTGTACGAAAGTAGCGATCATGCACGATCTCCTGAATACATTAACGTCCTTCAGCAGATCGAGGCCATGCGCATGGTATGTAACCTGGGATTACATTACCATGATCGCCGAGGGCTTGGAGCTTCGAGACAGAATAAATCGGATAGCTGGGTGACTGCTGCTCAACAAACCTTTGACCTTCAGCGTGAAATAGGGGGCATGCAGTGCCGATACTGCTTTGCTGCTACCGATACATACAATAGTTTGCTGAATGGCACTCAAAGCCAACAGACACTACAATTATCAAAATGTCTGCAGCTTATTTGTTCTGACTGTACCAGCATGTCCCGGCCTATTGATTGCGGACACAACCCTTCATGCTCCTTTGCACCGGTCCATTTAAATATTGATAGCTTGGAGGAGACATCTATTTCATTGAACCTCTTTGAATACATGGCGTCTTTACCCCAGGTTCTGAAGTATCCACCGAAAGTAACGGCTCTTGTGACTCAGCTTAAAGCCCTTCCGCCCGGTGTTAAAAGGTACGCGTCATCAAATCGCCTTCTAGACCCTTGTTGAGCTAATTTAACACATTTCAAGTGTGGTCTTCTCGACCTGGCGAACCACTTTGGATATTGTTGAAGCGGGATTGAACCAAGCATCTATACAATGTCTTCGTTTCGATGGAGGAATCCCATTGAAAGAGAGACAGGCAATAATTGACCGATTTCGTCAGGACACGATGCCAAGTGTGCTTTTATTGACTCTATCGTGCGGCGCAGTTGGGTAAGATGCACACTTTACCTCGCCCTTGAGATTATACATTTAGGCCAAAAGCTCGTCGTCGTGCTAAATTCTATAGGTTGACACTCACTGTGGCTTCATACGCTTTCCTAATGGAGCCCCACTGGTGAGTTATAGCAGCAAAGCATTGCTTGATCCCGCTAAATTTGATACCTACGTATCTAGGAATCCAACATTGGAAGACCAGGCTCTGGCCCGTATTTATAGGCTTGGCCAGAGAAACGAAGTTACTACCGTTCGCTTTTACGTGCGAGATTCTTTCCAGCAGGTGAGCTATAGGCACGCGAATACTACGGAGTAATCTAACAAATGACCAATTACTAAATGTTTAGCGCGTAATGGATGTTCAAAAGTCAAAAAGAGAGATCGCAGCTGTTCTCCTACAGCCCCGGGATTCAGGAGTAGGCACCGGTTTATCTACGCTACAGGTATGTCAATATTTGCTGTATATGTATTCGCAGCTAATCGAACATAGGAACTACGATCTCTTTTGTGATTTACTATTATTACTCCTTTCCACTCTTTCAATTAAATGCAATTAGAGCGGCGGAGCCAGGCAAGAGTTTCCCTCAGAATAGCATATAATTGAACACTTGGAATAACGACATCTATAACAAAGATAATAGCGGTTAAAATATAGAAATATAATTTGTGTGGCTTCGTTATAATATGAATACATATATCGTATTAGCTCAACTCAACTCTAGAGCGGTCATGTCCCACTAATCAGCTTGAGCTTAAACTTACAGTATCCACTACGCCAACACGAATTTAGTCAAAAGGAAATAAAAACTAAAAAACATGCAACAGCCGGTGTTCGCTGATAGTCACCCACTTAACTACCCGTTGGTTCCACTTTTAGTGACCAACGGGTAATGAAGTTTTCCTGGTGGTGACTCGTCTGGTCACATGCCCCACGTGACCTAACCAAACAGAGCTCCTCACCTCTTAGGTAATCAAGCAAAACTTGACTCCTTGACTCCGATTCGGAGTAAATGCCAGCTACTAATACTCCGTAATTCTTTTGAGATTATTGAACTCAACCCTAGCAGATAAGAACCCAATACATCATGGCATCTGGAAAGGCACCTGCAGAAAACATGCTTTGGGGTGGACGCTTCACAGGTTGGTTCTTCATAGAAGTTCAAGTGCAATGTGCTGACCTCAGAATGACAGGCGGCCTCGATCCCCTCATGCACAAATACAATGCGAGTATTCTGTACGACAAGCTCCTATATAAGGAAGATATCCTCGGTAGTATTGCATATGCACGCGCAAACGCTAAGTCTGGCATCATATCCAATAACGAGTTTACTGAAATCGAGAGAGGTCTCCGGGAGGTTCTGAAGGAGTGGGAGGCAGATACCTTTGTTATCATGCCCAATGATGAAGATATTCATACCGCCAATGAGCGCCGGCTTAGTGAAATTATTGGCAAGGACATTGCTGGCAAACTACATACGGGTCGCAGTCGCAATGAGCAGGTTGTCTGTGATATGCGTATGTGGCTTCGCAACCAGATGCAGGAAATTGAGAGCCAGCTGGTTGCCTTCATCGAGGTTATTGCGGCACGCGCTGAGGCCGAGGTGTAAGTCTGATTACCCTCCAAATCTTATAACCTTCCTGACTTTAATAGCGGCATTATCATGCCTGGGTATACCCACCTCCAGCGTGCCATGCCGGTTTTGTGGTCGCAGCATCTGTTATCATTTGGCTTTTTTTTTGTGAGCGATCTTGAGCGGCTGCGCGAGACTTCAAAGCGTGTGAACAGGAGCCCACTTGGTTCTGGTGCTCTCGCTGGCAATGGCTTCAATATTGATCGCGATATGATGGCTGAGGAGCTGGGGTTTACAGGCCTTTTATGGAACTCCATGAACGCTGTCAGTGATAGAGATTTCGTCACTGAATTTCTGCAATGGGGTAGTATGTTTATGCAACATATATCTCGATGGGCCGAGGATCTTATTCTGTATTCCTCTACAGAGTTCAGCTTTGTTTCCCTTGCTGATGCTTATTGTACCGGAAGTTCTTTAATGCCGCATAAGAAGAACCCAGATGGATTAGAACTTTTGCGAGGAAAAGCTGGTCGAGCATTTGGCCACATGGCTGGCCTTATGATGACCCAGAAGGGCCTACCCAGTACATATCAAAAGGACTTACAGGAAAGCTGGGAACCTATGTTAGATCATGTGAAGACTATCTCTGATAGCCTTCAGATCGCAAACAGTATCCTCGCTACCCTTACCATTAAGCCAGAGCGGATGAGGGCTGCCCTAGATCCATTTATGCTGGCTACTGATCTTGCTGATTATCTTGTACGAAAGGGTGTACCCTTTCGTGAGACGCACCATATCTCTGGGCGATGTGTCGCCAAGAGCGAGGAGCTAGGTATCCCGATGAACGAGCTCTCACTGGAGCAACTACAGGCTATTGATAGCCGGTTTGGGGAGGATGTTTCGCACACGTTTGACTACGAGAGAAGCGTCGAGATGAGAGCATCCAAGGGTGGTACTAGTCGGGCACGTGTCCTGGAGCAGGTCAAGGTTCTTAAGTCTATGCTGGCTTAAAGAGGTTTGATACCTACAAGGGAATGCCTATTTCTTGTAACCTTTTGAGATTCCTTGAGTAGCGTTGCTGAAGCTGGTAGCATTCAGCTGAGCTCGCCTCAGCTCAACTCAGCGCATGTACGCCGAGCCTTGAATCGCATGTTAATAATCTCTACTAGTGGGAACTTCTATGTAGGTTTTGAATCCGCTAGCCATTGATAACAATATGACGAGGCTCACGAATCTTAGTGTTAAGAAGCGCCGCTTAAAGTATCGCCAGCTCTGTGGCAATGTCCGCTATTGTCGCTCAAATCATGGGGATAAAACATACTATTACGCTGTGTTTGCATTGTAAATTGGCTCTTGACATTGGGATATTTTCGCAGTGATTAGCCAAAGATGATTTCCTAAACCTGTGCGTCGATTATACCCCCGAAAATCCACGGATGCAGTGAGTGGGCTTGGTTTCCAGGAGTTACGTATTCCCACCGAGCTTGAATAGTTCAATATATGGTGCAATAAATTTAAGCTACTGAGGTGCTAGGTCGATAAAAAAACTGACATGAATGGTTAGAGCTTTGATTATGTATTTTGTTTATTATGCCTTACGTAAGATTTCTGCGCAGGTAAGAGTGTTGCTTTTGATATCCTTGAAGATGCCGCAAAGGATGGTGTTATCGCGGGGTTCATTGTCTTCCAAAAAACAAAATCGTGAGACTCCAATTTCGGAGTCTTAGAATGCTAAGAATGGATGACATTAAACTCAAGAAAAGAGCTTGACGGGACCCCGAATTCTCCACTACCTATGGTCGTATGTGGTGATATACAGTCTTGGTGGCCATTATATAGTCTATATGGGCCATGAGAGCCCAATCCAAAATCACATTCCAATAGCCAAGATATCTTCAAACTACAAAGCGGCTGCTTAAAACCTCATATTCTATAAAGGTTTAATTTCGTTTTCTCTGTGTTGCGCGTGTTCCTGTAGTCATGGCTTTGTCCGAACAATAGCTTATATAGAGTTAGCATCCTAGCACCCTAGGTCATTGTAGGCAAAAGGTATTTGAAGAGAATTTAAGGCGGACGTCAATCCCGCTCTCAATTGTATAAACATATGACCTTGTGTACCAAAAATCTTGTTTCAGGCCAAAATCTCTCTGAGCGACTTGATATTACGCCTCTGTGCGTCGGTTGATGGAATTCCAACCGTTCAATGACCATTTTCCCAGAGTATGCATTTGAACAAGTTGACGTCACTCTTTAATTCATGAATAACGCCAATAAGACGGCTCCCGAGGTGTTCTTGAATGGTTTCCTCCCCAATCAGAGGCTTCTGGCGTAGATCTCGGCCTCGAGCTTGTGCTATGTCAGAAAGCTCTCGAATCTGCTCTAAAGTTGACGGCCGTCGTGGTAGTGTTGCCGCTCAGGAATAAAAGTCATAATTCTCTATAGATCTGAGCACATAATCGGCTTCTGGATAAGTGAATCAAGTTCAATATCGCGAATATCTATGATATTCGAATCCAGATCTTCTTTTGTTATTCCCTTTGGCTTGGTGACGATTTGAATCAGAGCGATTAATTTCTTGGAGTCTTCCAGACTTATGTTCCAGGTAAAGCTTCCAGATTCTATGAGATCAAGAAATATAAATAGAAAGATTATGTGAATATTTGAAGCGGAGAGCAGTGTAGTTGGTGTCGTTGAGATCGTGGAAGAGGTTGTCGTCCCACGCTAGCACAATAAGAGCCCCCTATTTCCAATGTGACGTGTCAAAAATGCCGTGATAAGAATTCACGGGTGCTACCATGCAAAATAAGCAGCCTGCAGACGCATATGCCATCCGAACAATGGATTAAAGGTTATTTAGTTTGAGCTTACACGCGACTCGGAATGACCTCATACATACAATACTCTACGTAATGCTAAATAGTCTCATCGAGACAATACAAAGTAGTTTAACACTGATAGTCGACGTAACCCGCCATCTATCTACTGTACCAAAAGGCACTTCCGCGGTGAATTGTTGCACGCAATACCTGCCTTTTAAGAACTTACACCTTACTTATTGGCTGTCAAGCATCTTAACTGGATTGAAGGGGCGTTTCTTGGACCGCGTGATGATGAGAGGGGGGGGGGGGGTAACTGTAGCTACCTTCTAGCCACAAGACTGGTTTTCATACAGAAGAAAATGGTATGCCGCATACCAATGGTCCTTGAGGACCCGAAGAAGGGAAGATCGTCCGTTCACCTCCAACATTAGGCAGTACCGATTCAATTGATCGTATTAATTTAGCCTACGGACAAAAACGCTTACATGCGGTCTGACAGTATTGATGCCCAGACTAACGACCTCCATAACTGAAGATACCTTCCACTTTTAGCCAACTCTCCTGGAAATCATCTTCAGTTTCTAATCTGATGTTGCACCAAGATGTATTACAAAGGAATTGCGCTGCCCGCACGCCGAAATTTCGCATGCGAGAGAAACAATTATGGCCAGAGTCAAGATGCAGCCCTTCAATTCGCGCCTCCTCTCGCTCTTATTTTTCGCCCTTCCAAAAGTCGCCATTGGCACCAATGATGTCGATGCCGGCTTCGATGCCTACGCGGCAGCCCAGGTGATGATCAATAAGGCCTCTCATTCCTGGGAATGGGGAACAGCGGCAGAAGCTCTGCTAGAATTGTATAACCCTGAGCTATCTGTCTTTGGATCGAGCCCTTTCCCTAATGGCAAAGTTCCTCAACCCAACCCCAACACGACCGCCCTTGCATATGCGAAGCAGTTCATAAACCGCAATTCACAGACACTTGTCAATGACACTGCGGTTGGCGATCCAGCATCTCTGGGTGTCTCGGCGATTCTACTTGGCCAGTCAGACAGCGTCTACATCGGCGCGGCCAACCGTGAGGCTGATTTTATTCTCAACATTGCGCCACGATGGAGCAACGGTGCAATTTCTCACCGAGCGGATGTGGCCGAGCTGTGGGCTGACAACATGGCCATGTCTTTTCCATTTTGTATGTCTTATTTATTTTGCTTCTTTAACATATACCTAGAAGGTATAACTAATAGAATTTCTGTATCTGTAGTGGCTTATCTTGCCGTTGAGCAGGATGACACTTCGTTGATGTCTGTTACGGTCCAGCAGTGCGGCCTGCAACGCGCGGTTCTGAAAGGCAACAATCTCAGCTGGCAACACATCATCGGTCCTCAATCTCAAGACACGGGCCTTTGGTCAACAAGCAACGGCTGGGCCGGCTATGGCATGGTACGAGTGCTACATACACTCCAAAAGTGGAGTGGTTCGGCCTCGATGATTTCACAAGCTACACAGCTCAAAGGGTGGATCAAAGAGATCCTCGACGGCGCTATGCAGTCGAGTCTAGATGACGGCTTATTACGCAATTACCTTAACGACTCTAGTTGGTTTGGTGAAATTTCCGGAACTTCGGTTCTAAGTGCTGTGGCATACCGAATGGCCGTTAACGACCCTGATATGTTTCCGCAATCTTACATTACCTGGGCCGACACTAATAGAAAGAGCCTGGCGAAGAAGCAGAACAGCGAGGGCATTTTTTCGCCAGCTATTAACCCATATGACTGGCATGATAGAACTCAGTTTACTACTGGATCTCCTGAGGGTCAGGCGTTCACCGTCTATCTATACACAGCCTATAGGGACTGCGTCAACGCCAAAATCTGTCAAACACCAACCGGATCTGCCGCAAGTTGAACAGTCTTGTACCCATTAACATTGTGTGTACTCTAAATACTTGGCTACAATGTATTTTCCTTGAGAGTATTGGTGGCTCTTAGCAAAATAAAGCTGAATCTACTGTTTCAAACAACCCAGACAAGGCCGTGATGTTACAATATTGCGTGGTAATTATTGGCAATTTTGCAGTCAAATGTAAATCCTTAATTTTGAAGTCTGCTGTTATGGAGAATATCGCAGCTAAAGAGGTCACCTAAAGCACGTAGGACACCAGCACATACTTTAGCACACCAGTGTATGATGCTGAGGCTCATTTTGTCGCATTGCAGGCTAATTAAAGTAAGTCTATATATGTGCGTCTCCGCTAACATTTGTCCCCGCTAATATGGAAATGCCAGAGCCAACATTCGTAAGCTGCAAAATACAGCGCAAAGACAGGCGGCAGTCGATCTGACATTTACATCTTGTGCCTGCATTATTAAAAAAGAATATCGTCCATTTGAATTTTAAATTTAGTTTTACCCGCCAAACACTATGAAAATACGTTCCAGAGCTGAGGGATGTTAAGATAGTGGAACTATTCCTTGCTAATGGCGTGAAGTACAACTTTGAAGACTTGGGTCGACCGTCGTCTTCTACATCTTGTAGCCATGACGCATTTATCATTTCAGGTTTCACGACTCTAAACACTCAATCTAAATCAGCGAAATACATGCCTAGTAGCTGCGACTCCTTGATAACCAAATGCAGTATCTGAGGTTTCAGCGAATGAGTTAACAATGCCGCTTAATGTATAAAGCACCACAACAGCGAATTCGGTGGCTAATCCAAGCGCAAGGTATAAACCCCAGCTACCGAGGACAGGATTAAATTTCGTAGTGTGTCCGAGAGAAGAGCTTGTATCCAGATTGATCGCATTTAGCGCAGAGTAGACAATTCGTACTAGTAAAAATGGCAAAGCTATTGTTACTGATAGGACAAGCTAATACCAAGCATTAGTTAATCGATCTTGCAAAAATACAAACTGGTGGTTCAAAATCTACCCTTTTCGCAGTGTTTTGAACATAACGAAGGTTGGCTATGTAGACAAGACACGCAATAGCCATGAGAATCCACACAAGAGCAAAAACGATAGATGCTGATTGAAGCTCTCGTGCGCCATCATCTAGGCTATCTTGAGCGGTTTTTGTCCGATTAATGCCGCCAGTAATACTAAGTACGAGACCGATGATAATGAGGACATGGAGGAATTTTAAAGCCATGGCAATATGACGAGCAAACGAACGAGCCTTATCTAGCCTGCATTTTTTTAATTAGCTCCCATGGACCCAGTTCTGCTACTGAAATAAACATACCCAACATTCAAAAAACACAGCGAAGCATTTAGGAGAGGAGATAGTGCAACTGTATTTAAAATAGTAGCTGTTGTAGCCATGCTCGTATTCTTCCCATTTTCGACCTGGATTGTCATAACTGAACCAGCGATCTTCACTGTAAGGAATTTCATGTTTAGAAAAGAAGGTTAAGAGCAGAAGTTTAAAAAACAAGACATACCAATGCTAAAGATTGTCAAATATATCCAGCCAACGTCTCTTCTGAATCCATGTCGAATGTTGTTATATATACAGAAGAGACCAATCGGAATATAGACGATAACTTCAACGACCGCAAGCTTGCCATGGCTATCAAGACGCATATTAGGTAAGAATTAAACAAAATTTGAGATTGTTTGTGATGGATGAAAAGTAATTTATGGTGTATCTTTGAACGACCAGGACAATGTTCGATTATTATAATGTATTTGTAAGTTGAAGATATTTAAATGTAAAGTAGGATGAAAGTAAAACATCAAGTGATAACCAATATCGCTTAATATACCTAATTCAACCAAATATCTATAGAAAAATGATCAAAAGTCCTTGTGGGGTCGTGTTTTATTCTGTTACCAGGCTGCATCGCTGAATGCTCTTCTTTTAGGAAGAGGTCGAAACAGTCTCCCTATTCGGTATAGGAACAAAATTAGGCATTTTTCGCTGAATGCACTAGTTCAAAGGTAGATGGTTACGCGAATAAGCCATTTACAGATGGATCCAAAAGGTAGTACCCCCTTGCCACCTTGTCAACGAAGAGCTCCTATATTTTATCTACATAGTCACTAACAAAGAGCTCACGGAATGCCATATTAAAGTTAGCCTACGTTTAGTATAACAAGAAATATGAAGAATTACATCCTCTTTAATCTATATTCAAGCCCTTCGTTGAATCTCACAGCATCAAATCCACAATGGTCTGCAATGTGGGAAATGATTTTATACAACCATCGTGCTTCCCGAGACTCTGAGTTTACATTGCGATACGCAACTTGCAAGGGAAACATAATTTTAACGGCACCGCTGTTTCCTGGGTGACTGAGAAGCTGAAAATATACCAACTTGCAAAATTCTCCAATAATATCCTCTACCGACCCATTTCCAGGGGCCAAGAGAATTGACGGATGTGTCCAGGAGGATACATTCTCATAAGATGCCAGCGTAGGCCTCATCGAAGTTGGAATATGCCGACACATTTGATGTAGAACAAGAAGCATGGCGTTGTATAAGCATATCTCGGTGACTCGATCGTGTTCAGTAAAGAAAATTGCGGTAGGAAAAGGATAGAAGTCAAATTCGAAAACGTTCAGTTCCTTGAGAATATCCAATCTGACATTGAAATATGTGTGTGAGAAATCTTGCTCCCATTTCACGCGCCAATTGTAGAGCCTTTCGAAGAGCGCCTTAATCTGAAAGCAAAGTACGATGTCGGATATTTTAGGATCTTCCACGATAGCTACGGGTCTTAAAGGTATTTGAAGATCTTCCATTATTCCAGGTACATGGCAATAAATGTCGATTAGGCAATCCATTGATGACTTAGAACTTGTATCATCTGCCCACGGCACTGTTTTCCATGCATCTTCTTCCAGAAAACAGCGCTGTCTCCGAATTAGACAGGCAAGGATCTCATATGTATCAGCTGAATTGCATATTAAATAGGATGCGATCTTAACCTACAATAGAAGGACGGGTTGTAATAAATAACTCTTTGCCTGAGCCATTCCGGTGAAGCTGCGGTCCTCGAAATTTGATCTTTAGCCAAAAAAAGACTGGTCAGTGAATTTCTTTAATGGCGTATTTTTAACCAGGATACAGCTTACAAGGTGTCCTATTCCAAGGAAATGACTTGACCATCCATTCATGTCTTTGGAAGTGATCATCTCAAACAGGGCCAGTAAGAAGGTAGCTGATAGAGTGTCTGTTCTTAAAACCTGTTCTGAATCAAATAGTTTCTTCTGAAGCTGACGTAGTGCTTGAGTGTACAACACTGTGCCCCTTTCCACTGCAGAACATCGACGATGTATCTTCCCAAAATATGCGGCAGCACAAGCTCGAACTGCAAGTTGTGGGGCCTGGTTATGGTTGCTAGGCAGAATAGAGCTCATTAACCAAGGAGATATAATATTGTGGCTAGGCGCCTTATTGCTCTCTTGGAAGACCGTAAAGAGACTTGTAATGAGGTGAGTTGTAAAGACATTATCTTCATCGAGACTAGGTGCTTGAACTAGAGATATTTCTTTCCCACTGCCTGCCTGCGTAGTGTTGTCCGCCTGGATCTCAGTAAGGGAAAGACCATCGATGAAGACAGGGAAGGGGTTGAAGCCTTGGCATTGGAGTTTGAGCCGCGCACAGCGGCGACATATGGGTCGATGTTGATCTGCCTCTATTAGCAACGGAAGATGTACGGTCTGATATCGAGTGCCTAATCTAATGTTGTTTTCTCTTACCGCATTTCACTCGAGCACGGCGACACGTTTTACAGCCGCGGCTCCTCCCACCGACGCCAACCATTGTGTGGCAGCTTGCCTGCGTCTAAGGAGAAGAAGGTTATCGGGTTTACGATGCAGAGGGCGGCTTTCGGCTGAGAAGAATGCAAAATTGAAAGGCGCCTTAGCCCCTTAAAGAGATACTCCTTTGTCTTACAAAAAACACCACAAGCTACTGGTCATTTTACGCTGAGCCAGTGAAAGCAGAAAGCGAGACGTAGGACTTCGCCCATCGCGCAATGAGCCTGATTGGGATTAGTGTCTGACGCTGACGTCGGCTCAAGTGGCTGATCATGACTCAAGTCGAGGGCCAGCGGAGTGCGCCTTGTCTCGATATCCAACTGAGCTCATTGTTTATACACATCTGTCATATATCGCAGTTGAATTCAATACTAAAGATTGCAGTCGCAAAATGCGCAAAATGCGCCTGATTCGCTTAGATGAATATTGTTTAATCGGGCTATGGTTAATAAATGTGATGTGCAAATGCCGTAAATTTCGTTACAGGGTTGCGATTTAAATGCCATTACGCACTGCTAGAAAATTGGCAATGCTTCTAGGGTTTGTTCAATTTATTTCATTGAACCAGGAGTCTTTTTTATATCACAGATACTACGCGAAGGATGGGTGATCCAAATCACCAGAAACGTGCTTATAAATTTGAGCAAAGGGATATTTTGAACCAGTTGACTCCAAAACAAAGCACGGAAAAGATGGTAAAGGTGCTAATGAAAAGATGGCTGAGGAATTATTATGGATGTATCCCGGCACTGCCTTTCATGAATCTCTGCTAGTTAATGAAAGTGAACATAATGGGGTAGTTTTAAATAAGTATTGTATTATCGATATGTAACAGCTTCGATCTTCGTTAATTCTTTTAATCATGTTAGTTTCTTACACTGCTACAATGATATTGTGACTATTTCAGAGAAAATAGCTATTCATTCCTTTAATTCCTTCTTATTGTTTCTATATTTTTAACGTAAAAGAACTTAGACAAGCAACTGAATCGTGAATCATCTATCATTTAGTTTCTACAGACTATCATAAAAACAAATCACCACTAATGTACACCCTTGCTCCTCAGTATCTGTAAATTGCTCCTTTTGTACATATTTCAACTTTGCCATGCTCAACACACCGAAACAGCCTGGATACATTTGTGGAGCAACGAGACCCAAACCCCGCCAGCACAGCATATCAAGTCCTAAAACAGAGGATTTTGCGAGCAGTTGGCTTACACGTCAGACTGAGGCTTAGTTGTTAGCGACTTAAATCAAGATATATAAAGGTGTAAATGGATCGCATTTCGATTATATTCAACCTCAAACCTGGTCTTATTACCATATCTACTTCCATCTCTTCAATCTTACTCTACATCCACTCTCCTCCCTTTGGATACCATGATGTTGCTTAAAGCATTTTTATTAAGTGCATTTCTGCACTCAATAGCCTATGCGGCAGCTATACCTTCTCATGACAAGTCCAATGCTCAGCAACTCGCAGATCCAAATTATGGTCCAATACCTGGGCAAAGTCCAATGTACAGCTCGTATAGGGGCAAGGCTCCTCCGTTTCCAGGCAATATAACGGCTCCTATCGCACCTACTGCTAAAGGTCCTGCTGGAATCGATGACCTCGTTTGGCAAAATTTGCTCTCCGCTGAGTGGATTATCTTTTCATTCTACCAGCATGCGGTAGAGATGTTTAACACTACCGCCTTTGTGGAGGCAGGATACCCAAACACGACGTATGATCGCATCCAAGAGATCCGCGACAATGAAGCTGGTCATTTGCGCATATTCCAGAACGAAATCACGCCTACTTCTGTTAAGCCTGGAGCTTGCAAATATGCGTTCCCTTTTGATAGCCCGGCGTCCTTTCTAGCGCTCGCAACGTTAATTGAGATTTCGAGCATGACTTTCTTGACGGGACTTGTGGAAATGGCTAAGCTGCCTGCGTCCCAGGGTGCTATGGTGGCTATTGCTACTACAGAGACGCGGCACGAGACATGGGCTCTTCTCGACATTTGGAAGACAAACCCTTTTGGGGGCCCAGCTGATACTGTTTTTCCTTTTGCCAACGAGATTCTCGACCTGACCAATGCGTTTATTGTTCCTAGGAGCTGCCCTTTGGAGAACCCGGTTTATCCATCACCAAGACAGAACTTGCCTCCTTTTTCCCCAGCAAGTTCGACGAAGTCGATATACCCTGGGAGTAACATTGTCCTGAACTTTACCGATCCCACCAATCAACCTAGCTTCCGCGAGGGCGTAAAATACTATGCAACCTTTTTCCATGGTCCTTCCAATATTAGTGTGCCAATCGACACAACGAACTGGCCTCGCAAAGATATTGAGGTTACGATTCCCTCTCAATTTGAAGCACGAGGCATCATTATTGTGGTAGTGTCTGATACCATTGGTGCACCAACATTGAAGACTGTTAAGGCTGGACCCGTTGTGCTATTAGAACAACCGGCTGAGCTTGGATTAACGGTACTATAGAACGTTCATGTTTTTCAGATGTAGTTCAGATCAAAATTATCTTAGAGAAACATGATTTAGCATACAAATTATAACTAGATGACATTGCTTTCTCAGTAGCCTCCTAGTTTTCTATTTAATATAAGAAATTCCTATATCATTATTTCCAAGGTTCGCCTTGTGCTAGGTTTTGGCATTTCCACTACGGCGCACAATCTTAGAATCGAGGAAGCACGTAAACATACGGTCAAGGTAGTGATGTTGCTGTAGACGTTCCGAAAATGCCAAAGGTAACGGTGGAACATGGGGTATTCCAGTCTGAGGGGGCCACAAATTGTGCCGAAGGGATGTTGTTTTTACCAAGCAGGATGTACGAATCTTTATTCTGGTCAAAATGAGGCCATCCCAGGCTGGTAAGGCCGTCGAGGGGATCATCAGCAAAGGCGGCCCAGGCTGTTTGCATAATCCGTGTCAAGTTTCTTTGGTCCACGGTCGGCGGCAATCCGGTAACATCCTCTGAAGCCCCAAAAATCATGTGCAAATCGACCATATGGTATGCTCCGCTCGTGCTGCCGTTCATGCTGTATAGGCGAGTATTATCCCAGTCAGCCATATACCGAAAAGTCCATGCTGGGACGCCATGGTTGCGACGAGCGCTAGCTTGAAAGGTTACCGGACACGTGAAAGACTCGAGGAGAAACTCGGTCACAACTTGAGGAGACGGTAGAAGGCCTGTTTGAGCATATGGAACGAGGCGATAAAAGCCATCTTCATTGTTGGTATTTCCAAGCATGATAGGTACCTTGGCGAAGTTGCCGGCAGTGGTCCGGTTGATATAGTCAGAGAAGACAATCTCCTCATCAGGGAAGGGAGTAAAATGCGAAATAGTCCTTAAGAAGTTGTCGCTAGGGAGTGGCCTAATTGTTTCCGAAATCGCCAGCATATTTTTTGCTGCAAAGTATATGGACCCCATTCCATCGTAGTCTATGCCAGTAATGGTGTAGTCATCATTGCCTGTGATTCCAGGGAAGTCGATCAACTCGTATTCGTCACGATACGGATCATACACAGCAACCGAGGCATTGTAGTAGAGACTGTCACTCGTTAGAGGCAAGTCTAATGACAGAGTAAGAGGGACAAAAGCATAGCATACCCAAAGTATATTTTGCAGTGCACCGGGTCCCAATCCTCACTTTCAGCATAAAGGTCCAAAATAGATGCATTAAATGAACCCTGAAAAGGAGGGCATGAGCTCAAAGCTGTGCTCATAAAATATGCCCAGATGAAAGGGCATAGAGCTGATGTATACATGATGAAGAATTTTGATTATGCCAACTTAAAAATTGATGGCGCCAATGAGTCAATTGACGACGCTATGATGCAAGTAATTTACATTTTTCAAAATTCTGCTCTTATATATCTATTAAACCGTACTTACACATTTTGAAAGCTCTTTTTACCGTTATGCGTATATACCGAGGCGAAGAACCTAGAATAGGGTTGAGCTGACGACTTTGTCGCTGCGGACATTCATTTCTTATCTCCGTGAGCTCTTTAACAAGCTTATGCAATTCCCAATAATCATCTGTCAGCGGATTCGTTGCGGGCAGCGCAAATTTTGTTTTTCTCCCTTTTGCCTTTTTTATTCATTCTCCAGGCTAAATTTCAGCATTATTCTTAACGCCCGCTCTATTTGAGGTCATCGCCCGTTAGTCTTTGTTACGCTTACACAATGCGGTTAAAAGGTGTAACGAGACATTGGTCATGGCTTATTCATTTTAGGCTTTACCTTAAAACCACAACCTTTTTACTCGAGAGTCTAGACTTAGAATTACTCACCTATTTTGGTAGTTTCGGTACTCCGAAAAGGTCGTGAATTGATGACGAAGGCATGATCGTTTATTACAAGACTGCTTAGAGACTTATGGAGAATTATCAGACTCCAGGATTATGAACAAAACCCATCACATCTATAACCAGCGTGATGGAACACTCCTTTGATAGAATTAATATATAACTGGAAGGCATCTTCACTAGGGTACAATCTCTTAGGGCAACGTATAAACTCCTCCTTATGATGGCAATATATTGTTATGTAACTCTTTACAGGCAGCCAATACAATCTGTACTACTTGTAATAATTAAGTATATTAGTAGTTTGATAGCTAACGGTTAATTTGAATGTGGTATAATAGCCAACGGTTTATTTAACTACAGTTGTGCTGTGAACTTGAAGCCGACGAGTTTAACAGGCATGAAGTTCCGATATCATACCCATATGTATTCGTCAGCTGGACTGGGTACTACAATCCCCAAGATATATCTAGGTGACCCTTGACCTTCAGCTCACGCTGCATCTAACAGGGGTCTCAGAGCGTGTTGTGGAGTTGGTACTATTTTCCTACAGGACGATGGCTACATGTAGGTTGCTTATGCCAACTTTCTCCGCCATTTACAGCTTCACTAAAAGACTGGCCTAAGCTTCATAGATTGACCATCATGAAGCACCCGCAGCCATTGAAGATTAAGACCCCTTTTAACCACGGCTTATATAGCTACACATCGCTACGTTGGGCAGATCACGTCTCAGATTGCGAAGAAATTGCACCAGATAACCTCAGAATAGCAGCTGGGTCACAATTTGCCAAGCGGTACCGAAATATTAGTGGACAAATTTACTAACATAAACCTGTATAACGAAGGGAAGGATATATCATTATATGTGTATCGTAGTAGATATAATAATATTATTAAAGACATCTGAATTATAGAGCTTGCAAAGCTAGGGAGCTGGATATTTCTATAATTATCCGACAGTGATACAAGGAGCCCTCCAATGTCCAATGAAACTGTGTTGATAGCGGTTAATCTAGAAAGGATGCTTATGGTTCGTAAAGCCGAGAACTGCAACCAGAATGAGAATAGTGATATACAATCGGATTCGTATAATACGTAATATCTGGGATTCTTTCTCGCGAATTCACATTTCGAAAGTTCTCACAATAGAATGCAGCAAACAAGACATCTGGATTAGGTAAAGGAAAGAATAGTTTCACTAGAAGAAGAAATAAAAGTGTAAGGTTGTGAAAGCTACACGGAGAAACCGCGCGCCAAATAGAAATAAACCATTATCCAAAGAAATAATGCAAGTTAATAACCCGACTTATGCCCATGCCGTAATTGCTTCCCTTGTTTAAAAATATTTGCAAGAATGTATAATGTCCAAACACCTTGAATGCCAGAAGCGAACTCTCATTTAAGGAGTCGCGACCATCTTTTGCTCTGCACTGCTTCGTTCCACAGCTCCATATGCAACGTGTGAAGGTCCTGATCGCCGTCTCTCCAAAAATTCCAAGAACGCCAAAACAGTGGTCGTAAGCTGAATCAAGAACATTGGAATCAAGTTGTACTGCCATCCTCGCATGATTCGCAGGTGAGATGCAATGTCGTTTCTCTGGCTTTCGTTCGCCAGGTCCAGCTTCAGCACTGCAGGGAACCAGTTTTGAGGTGTCCATGTATCGAGGGGATATTTGTGGTTGCCGGTCGTCGAGGCGACTTTCACGTCAATCGTCTGCCCCTTGTGTGCGTTTGTAACAGCAAAGACATAACCGAGGGCGGCGATGGTGAGCATGAGGCCCAGAACAAGAATGGTAAGCCATAGACCGTAGATGAAGGACGTGAATTTCTGTCCGAGGATATGGGGCCGGCTTCTAAGGAACAGAGTGACGATGCCTCCGAAGCCAATCAGGACAATTGCTGTTCCCGCGGCGCCGTTGCTGGTGTGGCCTTGGTTGACTAAGAAGTGCTTCGGTTCGCCGTAGAGTTCGAATGTCGATTCGTTGAAATTGACCGTAAAAGTACCACTGGCGGTATTATGAAGCCATGCCACCATGCTGGTGATGAAAGACAGCTCGAGGATGGCATCGATCATCAGTGCGCCCAGGGCGACGGCGAGAGGTAGAGAAACCGCCATTCTGACCAAAGGATGCTCACACGTGCGATTTGCTACGATGTGGCTAGCTTTTCACTGATGAAAGAGAAAAAGCCTAAAGAGAGTCCAACGAAAGCCGAAGAGCTTTCCTCTTATACTATACATTACTTGGGCTCGCGTAGTACATCATGGCTCCCGTCTTGGTAGACTGGCTTCATATTAGTGCTGACTGGGTGGAATCTGTGGCTGAGGTACCAGCCAACAACACACCTGCCCTGCTGACAAGCGTCCGTAAGGCTTTGACAAAACATCGAGACTAGCGAAAACGGGTATATGGTACTACTCCATGCAGCAAGCTCCCGAAGGATGGAGGGTGGAGCGGTCAAAATGTCCTTGTGTTTGCCACACGGGTTGGGGGCTGTTTGTGGGCCTAAAAGAGGCAGAGCCGCATGTGCGTGTCCGTGGTTGGAATGTTTGCAACTCTCCACCCATATGCGGCTGCTCCTTAACACTTTCAGTGCAGCATGAAAAAAAGCGAGTCCAGAGTCGAGACATATTATTGAGCTCTCTACTTCAGGCATGCCAATATTACTCCTTTTGTACTCCGTAAATTTCATCAACTATCAAACTTGTCCCAGTGATGACAGAGTTCGCCGACTCCTAATTTATTTATACTATGCCCGTACTGTTGGCGAGAAGGAGTGCCGCTTTGCCTATTTGGTTATTGATGTCCGTCAACTCGCATGCAATTGACAACTGTTGCCGGGATGTGGGCCTTGGGCTAGGCTGACCTCAACACATGTTACAATACAACAACTCTGTAGTTAGTGGCTCTGCTAATGCAAGGATTAAGGAAATTTCCTGTTTTTGTGCGTGTGGTTTGCGTGTGTGATGCGGCGCATTTTGTGTTTGTTGGTAGCTTTATGGTCGTCCTCAACTTGCACCGCATTCACGCATACTTACATGTGCTCTGCATATACGAAGTAGTACATGGTACTACTTGTCTCCCGCTAGAGGTGGCACGTAACTTCCAATAGCTGTTGATCAGAGCTCAGAAGGTGGTGTACAGAGGCTTGCTCTATCTGGAGATCATTTGAAAAAGATGGTTACTAGAGCTCGTAATTTCGGCTCTACCCCCTTAGCCGTCGAGTACTTGTACCGGCTCTCCACCGCTTCCGAGGAAAAAGAAAGAAAAGAAAAATTGAGTAAGGCGCATTCGTTTATCGCATTGGCTGATGAATTGCTAAGGGAGAAGTTTAGCTACTTGAGCAGGGGGTTTCTGGCACTACGCTTATGACACAGCTTACAAATAGGGAGAGCTGATAGCTATAAATAAGCTTTGTTTAGGAACGTGGCGCTGATGGAGCAATGTTAAACAACCCTTGCATCTCAGAAGCGACAGACTCTCCAATAAAATCATTCTTGCCATCCAGCTTCATAACACGCCACAATGAACTAAATTTCGATTCATGTCTACGGATGTGGATACGACTGGGCTGAATTTTCGGACGAAGCGTGGGGATCGGGTACGATTTCAGCAATCTCGCGGCTGAATGAATCCTCCCGATTCTGATCTAAAGACTCAGGAATATCTAGTGTCTGACGATTCGCGGCAAGTTGGAAAACTAATTAACCCGCTTTAACCTAGTTCATATCGTAAATGCGGTCTATGTTTACTAAACTCACCTCAAAAAGTACGTTTAAAGTTATTTCCGTTGGACCAGCATCGCATAATCAACATCCGGGCTTTAGATAACTATGTCAACGTCCAATCTTCCAAAAACAGTGCCTTGCATTATAACGGTACCGTATGACAACTTAGAGTGCTCAAAACAAGTATACCAAGTCCAAAGAGATCTTGTGCCTATTTATATTCAAAGGAATGCAGTGTAGCTTGTGCCCTTCATTTGTGTGGCTTTTCTTTTTCTCTAGCTGATTCACAATTTCTATTCTTGCTTGTAGTTGGAGGTATTTTCGCCCCGCGATACATTACCATTGCCAGATTAATCACACAGCCTCATCCTTTGGAGTTGCCTAACGGCGTTCGGAGTACACGGTGGGTGAAGCTAATGCTCTAATCACTTCCCCACCGACGATCTAATCACCCAGCCGAGTGAAAACGAGATGGCAGTATCAAGAAGAGAAGCTCTTAACTAAGTCAGCCATTTACATCACCATGTACCTCTAGAAATGAATAAAAAAAAAATCCTTAAGTAAGATACCGATGGTATATACATAAATGAAATGAATAAAAAGAGAAATACTAACATCCAAAAATGAAACCGTAAACATAAATGTAGATAAATGGAAAGTGACTACAATTGCCTAAATCATCTAACTAACTCCAATAAGGAAGCAGCTCGAGTTGTGTATCCTTTATCTTAAAAATAGATGCACATAGAACGGAGGTTTTCCCATTGTGTTACTAGGATCGGAGACAAAGCACCAAAGGTTCTCCCTGTGTGACGCGGCAAGGCAGATCATCCAGTTTGCTGACCGCTAAAATTAAACATTTTGCCACGACGGATAGACATGTCATTTGCCAGTGTAGCCCGACAGATGTGTTAAGTCTTAGAAATAAGAGTTACACAAAATTTAGCTTAAATATTAAGTCTAGTGATTTGATTCACGAGAGCTCATGGTGTGTAGCATTGCATACTTATAACGACTATTTAATACTCCACTATGTTTACAACAGGGTCCGGCAATATAATTCGGCACATGCTCCAGAAACATTTTCATAAGGAATGTTATTGTACTAAGATATAAATCTCGTCCTTACAAAGCATGCCTTGAACATTTCTCTTTGATGATAGGTTATGTCGTAGTGCATGTAATCACAGTTGATAGGCATGGAGATTTCCAAAGTCCGCATAACATTAACAACAGTTCCCAGAAATTCTCTTAGCACTAAGTCGGAGCTACCATGTAACTCTACAGGGGGTATGGCACCCCGTACTTCCACAATAGCAGTACTCTATTGGAGAACCTGAGTCTCTGGTAAACCACACTCAATCATCAGTCTTGAGGGGCAGGGGCCGCCTCAGGATCATTAGCCAAAAGCGCCTCGATTTTTGCGCCTCTCTTTCTCCTCTCATCAAGTGATATCTCATCTTCTGGAACGGTTGACCAACCAAGGCCCAGCTCAGGATATTGAAGAGGAACCTCGTCACTTTCGCGAGGCAGCCCGTCCAGATAGATGGGCCACGGTGTGCCTAACCAGCCATTGCGAGTCTCGTGATCTCGACGTTGTTGCGAAGTTAGAGGATGGATGAGGATACTACGCATTTTATTAGAATAAGAGAGAGTTTATGAAAGTCATGAATGTTGAGAATAAAGTATTAGCGACGCCCAGATTGAGAACTCACCTCAAGTTTCCTCGGTTTGTTGCCAGGTAGAAAAAGACGTCGGAGAACGACGAATCTGGAACCCAGACTTTACTCGAGAATCAGCCATGAATCACTCAGTATTATACGCATCCTACGCGCCACCTGCACTCACTCTCATAGGACCCAGCGGGATGCGGCCCAGTAGGATACTCGTTCACTCTATGTAGCGGAACGGCCACAAAGGCGCCTATGACGCCAATTAGTTCAAATTACCTCGAGGCTGGCTGTCCTGGGCCTTATGTACCATCGCGACGAAGTCTTAATACTGCATCACGAAGCGCAAGTGCTGCGGCTGTTTCAGTGGGCGATTGCAGTAGGAAGTAGATGTGAAAGTGCCATTCCCTCGTCCGAGACTCTACAACAGTCTGCAAGTCATCTTGGGGCTTCGGCACGGGGACTTGGGTCATTGTGAGTTGGTAGATACGCCGCAATTTATTTCCGTGGGATGTACGATGGTTTTGAAAGTTTTCTCTTTGGTGACGTGTTGTTGTTGCATGCGTGATTGAGTTGGAATTGAGGTTTCTTGCTCTCTCTATTAGCTGAGTCGTAGCACTAAGCACGCCATTGTCACAGCGCTATCTGCATTTGGGAGCGAATGCGGGGACTTTTTAGGAACTTTTGAGCCTTTATTAAAATGCTCGTAATACATTGCCCGTTGCTGCGGCTGTGTATTTACTAGATCTAGTAGCTATTCTGCGAAATCTGATTACGTTTCTACGGAGACTCAATTTAGTTGTCAATGTTTAGTCTGAATAACTGCGAAACGCGTATAACTCGCTCGCCTCGTTCATTACCTCACATTATAACTATAAAACTATAATACATATTATTTACACAATCCGTATATCTTACATTGTGTAATCGCAAAACGTATCTCGCCGTTTCCGCCGCTGCTTCTTATTCTCAGCTTTCAGCCTCTGACTCTCAGCTGATAGCGACTCTTGCAGCCTGTCCACCAGCTTTTCCAATATCCAGTCGCTTTCACTCTGGCTTCCCATCAAAGGGCTGCGATGCCCAACCCACGACCATTTCACAATTTCATCTCTTCCGGCGTCTGCAGCTGGCTTTTTCCCTTTGATCTTTGCCTTTCCATGAGTACTCGGGTCGTGTTCGTCTTCGCCAATGAGTTTGAGGTACCATGCCCATTCATCAAACGTGTAGTTATACTCCTTGTTTTCCTTTCGATGCCTGGCCACAGCTTGAATCTCTGAAATCAGAAGAAAGTATAAATCCGGCCCGGAGGGTAGCCTGCGTTCATGATTCCGAATCCGCGAAAGTGATCGCCGTACTCTAGTTGTAAAGGTTGACACTGTCGAGTCAGCGCGCTGGAGACGACCTCTTCCCCTTGCATCTTCCTCAGTATCTTCCCCAGCATCTTCCCCGTCATCTTCCTCATCATATTCCCTGTTATCACGTTCCCTCTCAATGTCAGAAAGATCGTCCTCCTCTAGCTGTTCCATAAACTCGGCTATTCTTTTGATGTTATTTTTTGGCGCCTCAAGGACCATTGGATCAGGGGATTCATAGTGAGTCTTAAACACCCTTCCCAGTGTCATTCTACTAATCATATGCTTTAAGCTTGAGAGATACGCATCTTCACCAGGCAAAATAGTGACATTTCCTAATCGGATAGTACTATCTCGAACGATTTTGATAACAGTACTACCGGCGTGCGAAATAAGCACCGTTATTGTCGGTAAAGCCATGAGAGACCAAAAGACGAAGAAGGCTCTCCCAGCGTTGGATACGGGCGCAAAGTCACCATATCCAATTGTTGTGTACGCGATGAAAGAGAAGTAAAAGGCGTTGAAATATGTCCAGTTCTGGTAGGGCTTCTCAGCTTGCATAAAAACGACGGCTCCAACCATCCAGAATATGAGCCAGACCAAGGAAGAAATGCCCAGGGCCATCCATTTTCTGCGTGTAGCCGCCTTGGCTTGGATTTTACGCATAAGAGTGAATTCTACTTTGCGTCGTTCAAACTCGCTGGAAATGGACTTATCTGTTGGCTCACGAGCAAAGTCGGGTTCTTCTTGGATAGGCTCCAGAATTTCGTCACCCCCTCGCCGTACAATTTTCCGTACTAGTCTCCGTCTTTTCTTTTCTTCTATCCGAGCCAGGACTCGGCGCTTTCCGCCGTCGAGAGTGAGGCTGCGAACAGCCTCAATGACCAGACCCAGACTGATAATCCCGACGATAGCATACGGGATTACGAGTGCTTGTCCGAGATTCGTCTGCGGAGCTAAGTCGCCAAAGCCGATGGTGAAGAGTGTGACATCAGCCCAGTATACCGCTTCCAGATATCCCCAATCCTCGATGGCAGCGAAGACGGTCGCTCCAACATGGAGATATATCAGGACGAGGATGGTTTGTAGCATCAAAGTGCGCTGACTGAGGGACAGTATAAAATCCTTTGGATAGTGCCCTGCACAGGCCCCCCAGAAAGTAATTGACATGAGGACTGCGACAATGGAGTATAGTATGGCTGACCATATGGCGTAGTAAAACGATTGAGACCAAATCATCTCATCGGCAGGGAAGCCAAGCCCGTCATCGAGAGGTCCAGCGCCAGTAGACGTCAAACATATCAAGCAAATTGCCGAGATATACCTGTTAATGCTGCATTAGTGATGCAATGTGCAATGTTGTCGTAGGTTGGGCCATTTGGGCATTACCATCCCACTATAGCAATGGGCTGTGCTATACTGAAGCGAATCCGCCTTGCCATGTTGAAGAGCAGGAAAAAGTTGGCAATGACGGCAATCACCAATTGGACGGCATTCACTGCGGTTAGCCTGCGGCATGCCTCGTCAGTACATGGCCATCGTTGTATGTGCTGAGTGGCAGACATACCATGGTGGATCTGGAATATATTTTGCTTGGTCAGGCTGCTGTCCCGGACTAAGATGCTGCCTCCACGGCGAAACCAGGGCGCAGATACTGAATGCCGAAGCTACAGGAGCAATAGTTCCTGCAACCATGGGAAATACCGAGGCGAGAAACCACCAGCGGCTGGGCGACAGAGTGTTAGCAGGAGGATGTCGTCTCTGCTTGGATATCGGCCTACCTGGGTTCGAGATGTGCATTGTCGTTTTCTATCTTGGTCCTGCGAATATAGGCATCAGATTGGTCGCCCTTGGCTTCTTCATCTGCCACCGCGACTCCGTTCGGCTCTTCGCCTGTGTCGCACATTGTCGATGGCTTTCGACGGGCGTCAGCGGTGCTGAAGGCGGCGAGAATGAGAAGGGGCTGTCCCTATTTCTCCCTGTATTTCCCGCAGCAAGGCACTCCGAATCGCGACTATCCCACCATCAAGGCGTGCGAATGTCTGCCTCAGCTGTCGTCAGTCAATGCCAAGACGGTCTCTGTCGTGCCAAGAGATTCGCCGTTTATCATGAGCTGGAGAAAGTGGCGAAAAATAGCACCAAAGCTTCTGCAAGGCCATCCAATCCGAGATCTGGATCTGCTCTGGTACTCGAATACGCGTGTAATGAGACTGGCATGAGATTCAAGGCTTTGGTGTGTCTTGGCAAGTCGCAGTCTTGCCACAAAGCAGCCAATTGTCGGGTTTTCATACATGCAATAATGGAGTGAGTTTGTTTTTCTTCCCTGCTTTTTTTTTCCCGCCGAGATCCATGACCTGAATGGATGCGTGATGTATGACGTCGGTGCGCCCGGCTTTAGCGGCAGAGCCTCGCATCGTGATCTTTAAAGCGGGCCGATGGACCGAGAGCCGATTGCGGCTTAGCTCGGGGGCGTTGAAACCGTTGCTCTCATATTGATTGACATTGCGAATATCTTCAATGCGCGAAAATACTAGGAATCGTCGCCGCAACTCATCAATGCACGGATGGATTGGCATCATGCAGCTGCTTGGTAAGATGTTGCTCTGGTTTTGTCCTGCACAAGTTGGTGCTTGTGGCGCTGTATCTCTCGACTCAATTCACACCAATTAGTATGTTCAATTACAGCAGCAAACTGCGTTTGAAGCAAACATTGAATGCTTCAGTCTCAACCGGAACCCCATAAAAAATCAAATCGCATCGCTAATCTAGGTATATGATGTAAATCCTACCGCCCTCTTATGTATAATCACAACGCAGCACACCGCATCACACCAGCAGCGGAAAGTCTCCAATGTCCTCCATCGCATCTCGCCACGTGAACTCAGACCTTGGATCCTCATGTCTCTTGGTCCAGCATTGTCGCAAGATCCGCTGCACGCTCCCACAGTTTCCAAAGTCCTTTGTTGTTTTATTCGTCGTTTTATTCAAGATCCGCGTCATGAGGTGCTCAAAAAAAGCCTGCTGATCTGGCTGCGCCATGGACCCAGCTATGCAGATCGACCAAACAACCCCACGGAGCGAAACATCACTGGGCGCCTGTTGGAGCTCGCTTATGACAGATGCAACGGCAGCGTAAATGTTAGCTTCAGAAGGATGGATGCTGGATAGGATAACATAGAGCAGAACTAGGGCTCCAGTGGCGAATACTCGCGATATGTAGTGCGATACAGGCGGCTGTAATGGCAGCGCATTAGTCCGTATATCAATCATTTTAGAAACAACATGAGAGGGGTGAAATGAACATACATCTTCAACTTTCCTGCGCAGTCGCTCGATGCCATTCTGCAGCACCTTCTCAAGCCTGAGCAGCGACTCGCGTCTTTCTTCTAGAGTATTACACTCGCCTCCCACCTGGATCATTGATAAATCTCCAATGACACGCATCACCCAATTCTCGCAGCCAACAAAGTCGGCCATCAGAATCTCTTCCGAGTCTAGCCACTGTCGGTACGGCAAGCGTGGCGGCACTCCCGTGGATGCTGTAGAGAGAATCTCGAACCAGAGGAGCTTTGTGAATTCGAAGCGCTTTGCATACATCATGCCGCGCCAGATGGGCGACATGGCAGCGCCGTTTGGCGGCGTCTGATCTGTTGGAGAGCTGCTGTGCTCTCGAGGAGCAGGGTCCAGGCCGATGAACAACGGCCCCAGCTTGCTTACAACTGTTGTAAGGGCATCAAGATGCGTCTGCCAGCTCAATGAGCCACCTTGTAAAATCTAAAATTCATGTGCCCAAGTTAGGAGGATGGTGAACCGTTTATGGCATACTCATACATACACACGCATATACATGTATGTACGGCGCTTGAACTGCTCAGACATGTTCATGTATACGAACCTCGAAACTAATGAGACAACAGCCACTAGAAATAAACGTAATGAGCCGTCCGCCTTCGTCTAATGCAAGGTTACCTTCGTTGGCCGAAAGAGCATGGCGCATGGCACTCAACGCCGTGGTGTGATATTCTATCAGCTCGGCCTCCATATACTCGGTGCCTCGCGCAAACTTGGTCCGCTGGTACAGGGCGGCCAGCGTCATTGAGGCCTGCCTCAGCGGCCGGTTATTCAACAGCAGCCAGAAGAGCCAGCCGCGGCCGCCCAGCTCGGGGTTGTCAGTGTAGTAGGGATACTGGATGGGGAAGATGTAGTCCAGGTAGAGCATGATGAGTTCAGCTTCGCGGTACCGCATTTCCTGACTCGGGCACGAGGCCCACAGGGCCTGCTCGGGCCCAGCTACAGCGACCGCGTCCTGCTGCGGTTTAGATGAGATTGTCCGCAGTTGAGGGCCCGTCCTGTTGCCACCCTTGTTTAGCTGCCTGGCGTTCTGCTTGACAGCCCTCTTGACCAGCGAGAGCTCGGCGCGGACCTGCTCCTCATTGTCCAGCCATGAAGGCCGAGGGCCGTAGCCGTGGCAGTGGATGTTGCGGTTGTCGCACTCCTTGCAGAAGGGGTGGCCTTCATCGCATTTGCGGTGTCTGATACGACACGTCCAACAGCCTCTTTTAGACCGGCTTCTCAGCGGCACTTTTGCCGCCTGCATTGTGAGAGGCGTGAGTGCAATAAAAAAAAAAGGGGGGGGGGGCTTTCAATCAGGAGACGCGCAAAGTGTGTGATTGAAGTTTGGCGAGTGGCATGTGGGCAAAGTTGGGGAAAATGTGTCAGCCCAAATGCTCCATGGGGAAGATGGGTGCGACGGTAGATAAGAGCGAGAACTGAGAGCCAGCCGTCAGCAGCCTGACTCATCAGACATGGGCTCGCCCTTTGGTTAGATCGTCTCAACGGCGGATTGCTCGTCTCTAGCCACAGCAGCCAGACCACGCCAGACCAAGCCGCCTCTTACTCCTTTCAGAGCCAACTTACCAACAGCTAATAGCGAAATGCTCCGGCCCCACCTCACCCGAGAATGCTTCGCGAACTACTGCGGCGAGATGGGCTAATGGTAGATGGGGGAGCAGCTTAAGAGTCAGGTCGCAGACAGTAACTCCACGTCAAGGGAGCCCCCGTGCATAACCGGGGCTACTAGTACATTGCAATCAGTAAAGAGTTCAAATAGTCCAAAATGAACTACGGAGTTATATAATACAAAGTTGAAATATAAAGTTCAGTTGGGAACCCAAGTCTTGTCGAGCAGTTGCACTAGTTTCGGACGACTCAAAGTTTCATGTTCAGAGCAAGCACATGCCTATGGCTGCCACACTGTTCATAAACGGCAAATTCTTTGCCGCCGAAGACAACGAAAAACTTCACGAAGCCAAATTCCACGAGTGCATGCTTGTTGAAAATGGAATAATTGAATACGTTGGCAGTGCTGATGCGGACATCAATGCTCTGGCTTCCTCAAAGGGAGCTGAGGTGCACGATCTTAAAGGTCACCACGTTCTTCCCGGCTTCATAGACGGCCACGTACACGCTCTTCTGCTTGGTCAGTCTCTGCAGAGACTGAACTTGGAAAAGTGTCAAAGTTTACAAGAGATTCGAGATGTTATCAGCGTTTATGCAGCCACTCATGCCGACGCATCTCGCATTCTGTGTGGCGGCTGGATGGAGTTCCAGACTGATGGCAAGGCCGAAGTCTCCATGTTAGATGACTTGGATCCGCGACCTATCTACATCATGTCGAGAGATCTTCATGCATGCTGGTGCAGCACCGCAGCAATCAAAGAGATGGGATTGGAGTCTGCACCCAATCCTGTGGGAGGAACCATACATCGCGACAACCAAGGCAGAGCAACCGGACTCCTCAGCGAAACGGCATGCACACTCTTAGCATGGCCGCATCTGGCACAAATGGCCACGCCAGAGGAACGCGTTGAAGCAATTCGAGGCGCAATCAATGCTCTTCATGCCGTTGGCTGCACCGGCTTCGTGGAAATGGCCATGGACGAAATTGGCTGGGATGCGTTACAGACCCTCCGTGCAGAGATGGGCGGCCAGCTTCCCCTGCACATTGCGGCTCACTGGCTGGTCCGCCCAACCGATTCTACAGATGGCGATTCGGAGGAGCTTGATCGGGCCATTGAATTGAGCCGCAAGTTCAATGCCGTCACATCACCAGACTTTCGCATCGTGGGTATCAAGATCATGTGCGACGGAGTTGTTGACTCATGCACTGCGGCTTTAGTCGAGCCTTACTCCACAACAGGCTTATCAACAGCTCCCATATGGACAGGCGAAGCTCTTGGGGCAGTTGTCCGCAAAGCAGATCGAGCTGGCCTGCAATGTGCCCTGCATGCCATTGGAGATGCCGCCGCTAAACTCGCCATTGATGCCCTGTCAGATAATGGCACCCCGGGTCGCCGCCATCGCATCGAGCATCTCGAGCTAACCAGTCCTGGCGATGGAGCTCGTCTTGCCGCCGCTGGCATCACGGCCTCTATTCAGCCTGCTCACGCGGATCCGGTCCTTCTAAAGGCCTGGCCGGAACTCCTCGGCACAGCACGCTGCGGACGTGCATTTGCATACGGCGACTTCGCAGCGTCTGGAGCCAACATTTCTATTGGGTCAGATTCTCCCACTGCGCCGTGGGATGTACTTCGTAATCTTTACACGGCGACTACTCGACGGTCTGTTCGTGACCAGAATTATTCTGTAGTGATGAATCCGGAGTTTGCTCTTTCTCTATGCCAGGCAATGCAAGGAGCTACACGCGGAAGTGCATACTCTTGTTTCGCCGAAGGCTGGACGGGAAGTTTAGTAAAAGGGTTGCAGGCAAATTTTGCGGTTACGGAGATGGAATGGACTCCAGAATCGTTGCTTCATGCTCGAGTCAATGAAACTTGGTACAGAGGCAAGAAAGTGTATGACGCAGCCAAAAGTGTTTGAGAGACATGCACAAAAGGGTAAAAATGATTTATCCATAAACAAAAATCTTCATAGAATTTGAAAACTGCCAGTGCTCGGGTTTGGAATGTAGTACTAGTATTAGATAGGGTAATTAAGTGACACTCAACTAATATCCATCAGTAAAAACTGCTACCTACAACTAGCGCAAAAAAGAGCCCATTATTATGATGAATTAGGAGACTATCTAACTAATCTTACACTCCTTAGCCGTATGTCTGTTGCTGTCAAATTCGAAGCACGAAAGTAGTAAATGCAACCAGCTCGGACAGGACCCCTGTTCGCCAAATTACGAGTCAAGGTTAAACAAGTGACTGGCATGTAAACGGTCTGTTAATAGCGTGTTTCTGAAATTTTTGAATCTAGTGGCAGCATGTATATTAGCAATCCGATGTTGAAAGAGAGGAAATAAGAAGCTTACGAGCTCCACGATGCTTGCATAAGTGCCACAAACGAGGATAATCATTCCGATTATAAAAACGCTGCCGTTAAAAAAAGCGCTTTTCCAATTATGTCTCTCGTGCCATTTGCCTTCTTTCAGTAATACAAACCACATTACCGGTGGTAGATAAAACGAAAGTCCAGACACAAAAAGGGACGAACTGATAGACAGAAGCTCCGAGAAGAAGGGAATGGCTTCAGCAATAATCCACGCAATCAGCGTGACGAGCCCAACCACTGCCAACCATGATATCCAACCTTTGGCGGTATTCACATAACGGGCAACAGAATTCTTGTATATCCTTCCGTGAATGAAGCGAGCAACGACGGTAGTGTTGATTGAGCCCGAGATGAAGATGACGGGAAGAGCAACACCAAAAGTGACTCTCGAGATGACTGATCCACCCGATAATAAAGCAGGTGATTGAACATCTTGGCCTACAAAGGCATAGATGAGAGCGCCAGTAATGGTATAGATGACGACTTCAATGATCCCAAGGCTCCAAATCGACTTTATATAATCCTTGGGCGTATGCATCTCGTCCATGAAGGACGGCTGAGCACCTGCAAAGGCATATGCAAAAACAATACTGTTGACCGCGACAATTGCTTCTGAAAATGTTAGATCTTTCTGAGGCCAAGCAGACCAGGTAGAAGCTCCCAAGCCACCCGGCTGGTTTGAGCTCTGGATACCGGTGGCAATCATAGTAATACCAATTGCTATAATAATGGAAGCAAAATCTATATATCCCAAGATTGCTGCCTCGGTAAACGATGGCGGGATTGCCAGCAAGAAAAGTATAATAGCAGATATGACCCCAAAGGCCAGAGAGCAGATTCCGCTTCCAGTAATTGTTTCAAAAGCAATTGTGCCAGTTAGACAATGTGATCCAGTAATAAGAATCAGCTGCGAGGCAAATATGATGCTGAAAAGCTTTGATCCAAATCCTCCCATCATCAGCCTCCCAATGTCTGCATAGTGGGCAACCTCGGGATATCTCAGCTTCACCTCTCCGAGGACGTAGCTTGCGTACATGGCTACTATACCAACACCGATGCACAGGATCACACCTGCCACCATACCTAGTGTTGCAAACGCAGCTGGCAAGCTGAGGCTCCCTAGAGCAATGGCCTCTACAATGAGAACCACGGTCAGGCGCCCCCAGCTGAGACGATGGAAGTGTGCATCTCCTTCGATAGCACGTTGTGTTTCTTCGTCGTAGGCCTTATTTTCGCCTTCAAAGTCTCCTGGGGTAAGGTTGTTGGATATATGTCGCGAGATGGTATCGTCGTGACTTGTTTTGTCCTTTTCTGCAGGAGCCATGTTCACGCCTTGGGCTTCGGCGATTTTAAAAGCCATATCTTTGATACAAATTCGTATAGGAAAAAGAATGGAGTAGACTCAGATTGAATTTGATATTGAAAGGTGTGGGTTAATAAATTTCAACGCCGAAGAAAGAATATCTCCCAAAAGGAGTCTTCTTGTTCTCGCAACTTTCCCCAGCTTCGTCTGGGGTAATCTGGGGTACGTAGTCAACACTAGCATTAGCTTCGGATGAGAGGAGGCCATATCCATTTTCTCAACAAGCTGAAGTCAGAGCATTGTCGTGCTTCTGTGGAGGCTATACTGACGATCATCCTGGTGTCCCGGGAAACATCGGTGTAAGAGAAGACAACATAGTGCAGGCCCACTTGAAAAACACTGATCCAGTTGAATGGGAAGAGGGTGTATGCTTATTTTTAAAAGGTGTATATTTAAAATTTGATGAATCGAGTGCAGATCCTGGAGGATTATAGTATTGATACCGGTTCTTCATATGCATTCATCTTTCTTATCTATGTAAAAAGCAATGCTCTGAGTGAATGTAGAAAATAACCTTTTTTTTATTGAATTACTAGGCAACTATATATCAGACTAAGGCTTTTCATTCAAGGATATACATCGAATCTGCTTGTATTTTGTTTATGATACATATTGTCGCTGCCCTAGATGTACCCCATATCAAAAACACGGCAGATTGTCAACGTGGCACTTACATGCGCTCTGACAGGGCCGACAACGGAGGACTCGCGCCCTTTGTAAAACAAAATTTCAGGTCTGAATATTATGAAATATTTTAGAACGGGTAGCCACAGTCATGCTGTATCTGTATGAGTATTAGCTGTTCTTTTACGTGGGATATCCGTGGGATACAACATCAAGGGTTACGCGTGACCCGACAATATCCTCTGGGCTATTTGCTCGCGTGCTGAGTCAACCTTCGACGCTTATGTTGGAACACGATAAGACTATTGCTACCTTGAGTCTTGATTGCGGGTATATGGAGAAATTACATGGAACTTTGATATACCTAGTATTGATATTCTGCAGCTTGCAATTGGATAAATGCCGGTAGCATATTCGGGAGCGTAGCCGAGTAAGTGGGGCTGGGTTCCGTGGATCTAGCCCAGCCGCATTGGGATTTGGGATTTTGTACGTAACAGAAATTCAAAAGATACGGAGGCTCAGCTAATAACCAGCGCGAGATCTGACCTGCCGGGACTATCATTGTATGTTATCAAATGCGAATACTACTACAAGTAAAGAGCACTTTGAGAGTATGATAAAGATTAATATTACATCTTTCCAACTCAGAAATAAGCTATATAGCCATTGTTGATTGTATGTTTAGAGCTGTTGAGATAATAATTTCCTGATTAACTTTGCAGTGAGTTTTAACGACTGATAATAGAACTCTTGCTATATTATTTGCAAATAGAAAACTGGCAACTCATTTTAGAGATGCTTGTCCTTTAAATGAGTCTCTATAGCCATGATTGAAGTTGTGTGAGCCGCTGCATTTAGCAGGATAGATGATAATAGTTGAGACCCAGACAGAGCAAAAACCGATCCAAAACCTTCCTCCCACAGACATCTTATAAATTGGACGCCCGTGTTTAGACTTGTGATCCTCGTTAAGGTTCCACTCTCTATTTGCCTATGAGAGCATGCATTCACACTTACAACTTCTTTTAAAGCTTCATCAATGTCATATTCCCTTCTATTATTAGGCTTCACGAGAATATTAGTCAACGCTGTACTACATAACCTCGTCATGAATCCTAACATCAATGCATTGAGCTTCTCATAACGCTTCAAAAATTCTCAACTAGGTCGATAGAGAGCACGAGGTGAGACAAATTATTGATGTACAAAAATATAATTTTACTGTAACAGGAAACAGGGTTACCCAAGACAGACAAAGTGATCCTTTCATGCACGCGAGTGCCTTTTAGAGCCGCAGTGCTAGTGTGAACCGGCTTAGCGATCTAGCATGGCTGTTCTAGTTGAAGATCTCGCCGTATAGCATTCGAAAATATAACTCAATCTTAACTTTCAATGGATAACCTATTCTGAATAGTCTTATTTAAGAACGAATTCATAATAATATTTTTTTTAACAAACTTCTAGTGCTTATAGTGACGCAATATGTCCAACTTTTTGCCCATTATACATTTATTTCCCATCCTTGCTTCAGGAAAGCTTAGCTGCTTGCTTGGCCCTCTAAATGCCGTTTCCACGCCCAATAACCCCCATTCAAATCCGTCGCTCTGGACAAACCCAGCTTCTGTAGCTCCCTAGCGGCCAGGGAGCTGGTGTAACCTTCTGAGCATGTAATGACTACTCGAGTATCGTAGCCAAACTCATCCACAAGCTCCTTGATCCGGGAGTCGTTTTGCGGGTCCAGGCGCCACTCCAGCACGTTGCGCTCTATAATGCTGATTGTGTGTTTCGCAGCAGATGTATCGAGCGTGTTGGGGAATGCAAATGCACCTTCCCGCTCGCGTTGAGCAGCAGGCCGAATGTCTATAACACGTGTTGGGCCGTGAGAGGCGGCAGTTTGCAGCTCTGAGAGAAGCTGAGCGGGGTCAATGCGGATGAGATGGGAGCGTGCTTCGTCAAGGATTTCGTTGATGCTTTTGGCACCGGGAGGAGGAACGTGTTTTGACATTTTTATATTTGCTCTGTGTTTAATGCGTATGAAAAGTTGTAATGAGTGAAGAACGTAAGTAATGTCTAATACTTCACTGAAATGACAGATGAGTGGAGCCGTATGTAGAGCGCCAGTGAGATGTTGTCAAAGTTGGTGCTGATTGTGTGATTAGCACGCTAACGCTGCTGTATACTGATGTCTACACGTATAAGAGGGCAAATAGAGAGCGCCTTGACTAACACTAGTCATTCAATTATACTATTTAAACGTCTAATACTTCCATTCTATCAATTGTTATTACATATTTAATATTGAACTTAAATTTAGAGCTTTTTTTGCCCAATTGTGCTAATGGTGCACAAGGGAGCACAGAATTAGCATTTACGTCTGCCGTAGATTCTACAAACGATAAAGCAAAAACTTGCAACATACTATTTGAATAGTGATCATGAACCATGGCAGCACCATACCTTTTTCTCTAGAAGAATATTTTCATTTAGTAATATTGCTCTTACTCTAGGCATTGTTCGAGTTGTGGATAGCCATGCCACGAATGGTGAAGTCCAGGGCGTCGTCAGCCTTCTGCCAATCTGCTGCTTTATCTTTCCGTAGCAAGTTCTCAGTTGAATTCATTCGCATCTGAAGCATCGGCCTTCAGTTGAGCCATCACCCTGCGCAGTGTCTAAAAGAACAATCAGAGTCATTAGTCATTAGTCATTATTAAGGATCATCCTTTTGCAATTTCTCAACACGCAGTAGATACCAGATAGCCTTGACATAAATGATACCACCCTATCCAAAGAACCATAAAAAAAGAACTACTACGAATTTACTTACCTTATTATTACCGCTTTTCTCAATATCCTTCTGTCACAAGCTATAGTGGCACCGCTCAAGTGTTGCTATGAAACTATCCGAGCTTAATGGATAGCTGCATTCATGGTCGTCATTTCTGGTAGATGAAAAGTGAAGAGGCCCAGCTCCTTAATAGCTCGTCCATAATTTGAAGATATCTCTGTCTATGTTCGATAGCCAGATCAAAGTATCAACAAGAGACGAGGTTATTTTCGGCGATGAGGCCCAGTTCAATATATCTGTAATAATCCATCGTTTTGTAATGATCCATAGTGTTGTAAGGTGTAGAAGAAGCACAATTAAAAAGTCGTTTATGGGAAAGCAGCACCCTTTAAGTACTCGAGATTCGATACTCACAAATGGCGAATTCACATGTAGTATGTCTAGTGTTAGTAAATAACGTCGTCTTTTTTGCGCTATCTGACCGCCTAGGATGGATAGTTAGGCTTGAAACATGTATCCGCCGGCAACCTTCGTCTCGTGCAACAACAATATTCAGCTACTTAAGGATGCATCAATTCTAGGCCCAGATAGATGCCCTTTGTAGAGAACACAAATTTCAAACTTCACAGCCGTCCCTCAGCGTTTCTTCTTGACGGATGTCACCAATTCGCTCTCCCGACGTGACTCGACCAGCTCATAACTCAACGCATCAAGCCGACACCTAAAGCCATCTTCCACCCAACAAATCCTCAACAATCCCTTTTATCCATTTTCATTTCTCTTCAAGCAGGAGCAAAGCGCTCTACTTCTCTCCTTCATCTTCCTCCAATTCAGGATAGTGCCGCCAAATGCCCTCCGCATAATCTACCCTCCTCTCACTCTCCAGATACGCCTTGATATTCGGCCTCTCCTTAACCGCATCATACAGCTTAAACACCCCATCATACTTTCCTCCTTCTCTATACTTCTCCATCGTCTTTGGGAACGCATACTTTGTTCCATCAATGCACTATAACCCCCCCAAGTATTAGTTAAACATTCAGTCCCCGTAAAGGAAACCCCAAAAAAACAAGCAAAGTCTCACCTGGAAAAGCACCAAATCGACATACGTCAACTCCCCTCCATACAACCATCCCCCCTCCCCACTCTTCTTCCCATCCAACACTCTCTGCACATACGCGAGATACTTTGGCAGCCTCTCCTCCCGAAACGCCTTACTCCTCTTCTTCGCCTCATCCTTCTGATCTTCGTAGTACTGCGACGTCGCAATCGGGTGATGCGTCTCATGCACCTCATTCAAGAATCCATCCAAGATCGTCAGCGCAATCTCGTTCAGGTGGTACACGCCATCCCCGCTGGCAGGTCCCAGCCCCAGCTTCGGCGCCAGGTACAGCAGAATGTTGGGCAGCTGGTTAATCACCAACTCGCCATGCTTCAGCACTGGGGCCGCAAACTTCGGCGGGTTTGTCTCGTCTCCCACGTTCTTCAGGTCCGAGAACGAACAAACTGCTTCAACTGCCTTTTTGCTCTTTGCCGCATCTATGTAGGGCGTGCCCGTCTCTTCGAAAAGCACTCGTACAACTTCGCCCCGACCAGGGATACCAGGCCAGTAGACGAGTTCATATTCTGTCTTGATGCGCTTAGCCTCTGGTTCACCCATTGTAGTAGCCACGAAGTTGTAAAAGGTTGTCTTAATTCAATGTTGTTTGACTTCAATTGCTTGTGTAGTTGTTAACTCTAATCCGCCGAGTCTTACTGGAGCGGGGCGGCCAACGTCAGATATATACAATTTTCCAACACAGACATGGTCGTATTTGACGTCAGACGAAAGTAGCATCTGATCCTACGCCGCCATTTCAGTTCAATGCACGACAAAGCTTCTCTCCACATTTTTTACGAGCATCATCTTCGGAGATAGGATTCAAGCTGAATAAACAAGAATCTGATTGGGCAAGCTAGGAGAAATAGCCTCGAGCTGTTGCCAACACACTAGGTCTAGAGCTTAGGTAGGTGCATAGTTACTATACTCGTATTTTGTTAGCGACCACAGCTGCAACGCAACCCAAGCAGCAGCGAAACGCCGAAATCACAAGACTGGCTGGACATTGGAATCATTCGAGTTCCTGACCCACAGCAAAAGGAATTGTAGGTGTTCCGCATTATTAACCTTCTCCCTAGTCTTAGTCATCTTCAATTTATCGCCGGCTCGATTTGAGTCAGAGCGGCCATCCCACCGAACGCCGAGACACCAACATTCACGTTCGCTCCACACAACCGACGACGACTAGGCTAGGTAGCGAATCCTCCTCAAGGCTAAGAACTCAGCCGTTCAATATTATGGAAGGAATGTTAATCAGCCACAAGGCTGTCAATGTTTCCAAGCAGTAATTCACGCCAGTTTCCCGATTTATTAGCTATTATCTATGCTACCAAAGAACTATTGTTCATTCGTTAACAATGCCCTATCTCAGTGCCTAAATAATAAACGTACGTCCTTGCCTCGCCTCAGTCATCGTATCTTCCCTCCTAGTTGCTATCTCCTGCCAGCCTTCTTCTTCTTCCTTTTCTTCTTCGACTTCTTAGCGGTTCCGCCAGCCGCGCCGCCAGTCGCGGAACCCTCCGCAGGATCCATCTGCATCCAACTCTCATCATTGGCCTCCTCTTCACTCGAAATGGTAGACTGCTGCTCAATCGGTATCGTAGGCTCCTGTGCAGCTGTAGCAGACTCTTGACCATGGTCATGTTCACATTCATTGGAGTCATCCTCGCATCCACAAGAACAATACTCGTACTCCTTCTCCGCCCAAAGAAACGCCTTTTCATTTGCGACGAAACCATACATCCTTTCCAAATCATTCACCCCGTAATCTTGACCATCTTGAGCCATTTGACAATACATTAACCACTCAAACCAAGTGATATCTTTTACCTTTTTCCACTCCAGCCAACGTTCTGGCTTTGTGGTTGACCAACTCATCCAACGCCTCAAATGACTGGCGTCTTCTTCCGTTAAGGCTTTGGCACCACCACTATATATCAATCGATTCGGCCAGCGGGCCTTGACTGTGTTTTTTTGTTTGAATTGTAAGCCCAGCCAACCTGTTTGAAAGATACTGCGCTTCGGTTCCGAATTTGCAGGTACTTGAAATCCAAACAGCCTTGCATCGGCCAAATAGCTTTACAAGTTGTTATTGAACAAGAACCAATTCAACGTTCAGATGAGCTAGGTACTTACCAATCAGAAAACATATCCCACTTCCGGTCAAAAACTTGAAGAGCAAAATGTCGATGCACACAGTCGGCACTGTACAAGTTACCTGTACTCTGCACCGGCGGTGCTATTGAGTCTAAAGACTCGGAGACGGGCTGAAATATCTTGTTCTTTTCAGCAGCTATTAATTTTCTGAGACGTGGAGATTTTGCTTTAGTAAAGCTTTCTCTAGTCATGATCAACAAGGTAGCAAACGGATTCTCTTCGTGGTGCCGAAGCAGAGGAGAGAACGACAAGAAACATATCTCGGGGTTAATGTCGAAGAGGTGTCCAGCCTAAAAAAGATTAATCTTGAGCAGTAATTCTTCTGTGCGCTTTATACATTACCTCTATCCGATCGAATTTGGGCTGCTGCTCACAGTACGTTCTAAGATATCCCACCATACTCACTGTACCGGCAGACATAAGTCGTACGGAAACCCCCTTCTTCTGCAGCCGAAGTTGAAATTTCACCAGCATTTCGCGCACATAGGCGGCCATTTTCCCGTATACGTCTTTGTCGGCGGCGTGCGGGGCGTAGTCCAAGATTTCATTAATCGGCCACTCAGACAGTGGCTCATTGGTAAAGCCATTCGGTGGCGCTGAGGTTGCAGGGAAGAATATTCTATAGAGAGGTGAGAGGTGAGAACGAATGTTTATCTCCCTTTTTTTCCTCCTCACTCCTGTCAAGATCCAACTTTTGACTTACGGATTCAAATGGGAATAGGGCAGCGTAGAGTCGCCATGAGCCAACATCAAGCCATTTTGCCGCCATTTCACCAGCCCTGCCACTCGGGACGGTGACATCCGTGCGAAAGCTCTGTCCAAAGGCTCGCCGTATGCCCTCACATCGTTGTCTCTGAGCACGTGTGAATCTCGATACATGGGTCTCATCATGTAACCTAATATAGCCTCCCAATATATCCAATTGAAGCCAGCCTCCAAATGCAGTTTGTTAGAGCCCCAAGTGTTTATGAAGCACTCAGTTTCTAGTCTTGGCCCAAGCGAAAAAGCGGAATTAATCTTATAGACGAGTTCTTGAGTTTGCTGTGCTAAAACTTTATTGACGAATTCAAAGAGCCGCTGAGGCCATTTGGACGAATACCACACGTGCGTGACCAAGTCCGCGACCTCATATGGATTCTCGTTGATATCTGCGCCCTTCCACAGGATTAGAAGCGAAAGAAAAGTCCGATAAAGATGCGGCAGCTCTATCTCGGATATGGTTACTTCAAGCGATGGAGACGCAGTTTCTGGCATGGCGACAACGGAGTAAATGAGATGCCGGAGGCCAAAGGCTACCCACGTTAGACTCAATGACACTCTTTTTATATCATTTTCAACCTCATCGCTATTCACTCACTACCAGTGAGAAGAACGCGCAAAAGGCCGTTGTACTCTGCCCCCTCGTTCTCCGTCAAGTTCAAAACGTCAGTCGCAGCATAGTTGGCCCAGAATACCCCAGTATCCCGCACAGGGTCATCTAGGAATTCGCTTGTAGGCTCGGAACGTGACGGAGGCTCGGTTGGAAATGGGCACTCGCGAGAATGGTATTCTGCGCTTGCCCTCATGCATTCTTCGGTGCAATACTGTAGATTGAAACGTCAGCGCGGCCATGTCCGGCGAGTGGCACAGATAAAAGGGTGAAGAATGAGCAGGAAATGGCATCAATGTGAATCACTTACTGCGACAAGATGGCATATCTGGCATGGAATAGCCGCCGGCATTAAGCACTGTTCCCCCTGATTGCAACCGGCACATAGCAAGCTGGAGTTTGGTCTTTGTTCTCCAATATTCATGTCTGGTGCATGTTCTATGTTTTGTGCTGCTCTATGATACTGTGGAGATTCGACCAGTGTCCCTTCACTGCTCTGATCTTCTTCTTCTTCGACTGATGGTGCATGATGGTCGGTCATGGTGAGGTGAAATCTCGCGTTTGATGATTCGGGCAGTTCTGGAAAGCCCTTATTGCTAGAAGTAACAAATTAAAGAAGTGAAAGAGCTGTTGATAACTGTGAGAACGTTGTAAAGTTCGAAGCTCTAAGCTCAGCTCCAGAGAGAGTAAACAATACCTTGCCGGTATCAATAGAAAGCGCCAACGTAGAGGGCCAGGAACGCAACTTCCACGCCTGGTGACGGCAACAGGTTTTCCAGCGCACCTAAGAAGAGAATATAGAAACTTGATGTCAGTTGATCTTAAATTTTTCCAGTTATTCTAGGGGTTTCTTCTGTTAAGAAGATCTGGAGTGTCACAACGGCCATGCCAATAACATCGTAGAATTTGACATATGCAAGAATTGGATTAAAATCGCATCCAAGAGCTTATTAAAATATTATGATTAAATGCTTCGCTATCTGAAATAACAGTGTGCCTAAAGAAGCACGACTCTCCCAACTCATTAATGTTAACCAAAGCCTCCAATCTCACAAGTCCAGTCGGCATGGTAACACATATATATGAGCCGGAGCCGCTCCCAAGTGAGCATGCGTCTATATCTAAAGTATATCATCAATCAGCAGAAAATATGGTTTAGTTCCTCCTCACATCCTCCTGTTCATATTAACACCCCCTTCACGAGACGCATATCAAAGCACTGAAGCCATCGCTCCATCGCAATCCTCCCATAATGGCGATCATTACCGCCAGAGCAGTCCCCACGCTGCTAAAGCCGTATATATACGAGTGACGTCGTCCAAGGCTATTCAACTCGGCAACCCACGTCGAAATGGTCGTCAAGCATCCACAGAACCCATCCTCAATGCCCTGAAGCACTTGGCACCCAGCAAGCCCTCCAATGCGCGCGTGAGCAATGTCCCACGACATGCCCAAAATGGCAGTTCCGAAAACGTTTGCTGTAAAAGTTCCCAAGGGAAAGGACGCAATCTTTCCGTTGAGGTAAATGGAAAGATAAAATCGACCAAGGCACCCCAAAGGCGCAAAGACCAGTGCAAATAGGATTTCGCCGCGCCATTTGTTGTGCGGTGGGAAGATTGCCATGAGAATCGCGCCGAGCCAGCACCCCCAGCCCAGCAAGACAGCGAGGGGGTCGAGAATCTTGCGAGTCACAGGATAAGGAATAGATGGTGTGAATCTTTCCAAGGCAATGGCGAGATGAGCTCCAAGGATTAATCCCGCTAGCGAGACTGATACCGTCACAATCACCACAGCCAAAAGCGCCATAAATGAATATCCGCCATTCCTGCCTGGGATCCCCAGATCAGGGGTTACCATCTGATTAGACAAGGCAAGAAACGTGTCCTTGATGAAGCTGGAAAAACTGGTGAAGCTTCCGCAGAACCCAGTAGCCAAGCCAATATACAGAGGTATAGTCTTCTTCGTTGCCAAATGTGCCTTCTTAGCCGCTGCCAAATCAATGGCCTGCTCTTCCGCGTCCAAACTTCCCTCGCCATTCCCGTTCTCTTTCGCGCGCGAAAGCAGTTTGTCGTAAGTAGGCGTCCCCCATTCGTCGCGAAACAGCATCCGATCCTCGGAAAGAAAGCCCATGATGAGACTGCCGCCGAAATTGGCCCATAAAACAACAAAGAGGACCGGTTCTCCAGGATATGCAGTCAATGCGCTGAGTCCCACGCGCGCAAGAGTACCCCAGATGGCAAACAGAACGAGATATGATATCGTATAGATCTGCGTTGCCAGCCTCGACACGTGCTGTTCGCTCTTTTCATCGACCACTTCAAGATCAGCCAATTGTGCCTCGTTATCATGCTCCCTCTCGGCAGCACTGGCTCGCCGCGATTCGCGCTCTTCTTGATCGCGGCTTCGTATCTGCTCCAAGCTGTGGTGGCGGTATATAGGGGCTTCAGTGACATTTTCTACAGGGCTTGTAGCCGCTACTTCGTCGAGATTCGCCCAGTCGTCTGGAATGTCGTATATATCCGCCTCTGCGGTTGATCTCCGCCGATGGCCGCTACTTGCTGTCCGCGACGTCTCCGGTGAGGTTGGCGGACTGTCCTTTTCAACGCCGACGGGGAGTCCAGCAGCGCCATCGCCTAGGTTTTGATACGCGGCTGGCGCATTATAGCCCGAAGAGCTGGACTGGCGCCGCGCCGCAGACTCTGGTCCGTGTGAAGACATGAACTCGCGTTCTCTAAATTCTCAGCCGGGAAGATAGACGGCGTTTGAATCGCGGATCATGGCGTACGGAAAGAGGTGTCTTGTAGGTGTTGATGCTGGAATGCGGCTTATTGAGAGTCGCTATGGAGAATTTGCAACGTGCCGAAAATCAGCCGTCTATATCCGTCAGTGCCGGCGAAAACCTGTATGAATAGGTCCTAAATGCCATGCCCGAATATACGCTTCCCGCTCTTGCGGAAGGAAGTAGTACCAGCTAGAAATAATATACTACCTACTGCATTATCCTTAGATTTCCACCTGTTCGCTTTATTCAAAAACGCATAAACAATCCCGCTGCATGAGCAACTCGGCCATTTCTGCCTTGGTCTTATCGCAGTCCAAGCCTAAAACGCCCCCACTGGCGGGCCTCTCCGACTCCCGACTGCTCCAAGGCACGGGCGCTCCACCGCTCGATTACAGTGCCCCATGCCGCTAACGCTGCGCTACAGAAGGCCGCTAACAGACCCCTCCCCCGCCTCCAAGTCCCCGTATGTCACTGATACCGTATCTCACTCCGTACGTAATTTGTGCCCAGCCCGAGACAACCTCTTAATAACCTATCAAGACCGCTTCTTCTCCTCTTCTTGCTCCTCCTCCTCTCTTCTCTCTCTTCTCTCTCTTCTCTCTTCGGCTTCGTCCCGGCATCATCTGGTGCTCTAACCCTTTATATCCCGATTTCGCCAACAGCTGCCTATATAGCTTATTGTCCTATACAACACCACAACCGTCCGCCATGGCCGAACTCCCTTCAAACGTCCACATCTCCCAGCACCCCAGCTTGCTGGCCAAGCTCAGCCAGCTGCGATCCAAAAGCGCCAGCCCGCGGGATGTCAAGTCTTTGGTCCACGAGATCGCATTAATCCTCTCCTGCGAGGCCGTCAGCTCGGCCATAAAACCAGTCAGCGGTCCAAAGGTAGCGTCTCTCCGACCTCATCAGATGCCAGCTTCGATCGACTGACACATGTTCAGGACCAAACTCCCCTGGGCTTTGAATACACAACTGTCGTTTCTGAACCGAGCAATATCTGCATCGTTCCAATCCTGCGGTCTGGCCTGGGCATGGTCGAAGGTCAGTTCTCGCAAGCTACTTTGCTGTACTCGAAGCTAACAATCTACAGCCGTACAAACTATGCTCCCTGCCTCAGTACCGGTCCACCACCTCGGAATGTACCGCGAACCCTCGACGCTCGATCCCGTCGAATACTACAACAACCTCCCCCATCACCCCTCTGGCCCCGATAGCGGCAGAGTCGCCATCATCGTTGACCCTGTCATCGCCACTGGCGGTACATGCGCCGCCGCTATCCAAACGCTGCGTGAATGGGGCGCTAAAAAGGTCATTGTTTTATCAGTCTTGGGCGCTCAGGTCGGTGTTCAGAAGGCCGCTGCCGAGTGGCCCGAGGGCACAGAGATTTGGATTGCAGGCGTGGACAAGGAGCTTACAGATGGCGGCATGCTGAAGCCCGGTCTAGGCGATGTTGGGGACCGTCTGTTTTTGACTATTGGCAAGTAAACAATGGGTGAGTGCTACGGGCGAGCTGCTGTCACACTAAATTTATGAAGTATATGGGCAAGAGCAGAATTTTTGTGCTTAGAATATAGCGATAAATAAGGATAGGCGTAAAGAAGTTGTATTTGGTAGCTGTCCTTGCTTAATCTCAGAGAAGCGCTTAGAGCAAAGATGGTTCATGAAGCAAGCCTATGAATAATGCTATATCAAACGAAGCCATATTTGAAAGCAGCTGCCGCTTTATATCCACCAATCGTTTTTTAACCTCATTTACGTTTGTTTAGTGCTTTTAATAGTTCCTGGAAACGAGGAATGAATGAGTTGTGAGTCTTGACAGTTCTTTGAAGCTTATCGATAGCTGCTCGGAATTCTCTATTCTTTCTTTGAAGTATGCGATTCTCTTGTTGGAGTTGCTGGCAATCCTCTTTGATATCATGATTTTCATCTTGGAGTTCAATGATTTCCGATCGTCGTTCGTTGGTTATCTCTTCTGAGACTATCGAGATTGTCCTTCAATAGCCTTCGTTCGCGCTTTAATCCACCGACTTCGAGTCGAAGGGTAGCCACGTCAAGCTTAAGGCAAGCAATATCGGTACGAATCTTATAGCGATTGTAAGCACTAAATTGCCAACAAAATACTGCAAATCGGCCATATCTTACAAACTCAGTTCCCAAGTTATCAGATGCAATGATCGCTCCATTTGTCATCTAGGATTATGCTTGGGCTTATCCATTTGGTTTCGGTTTTATCAATAAAAGTCAGTTGGAAGCAAATCTTGGCCGCCAGAACTACTGAAGAATGCAACCAACTCAATATTATCATTGTAACCCTGGGCAATTCCCAAAAAGAATTCATCAACTCGTTAATAATGCTTCTAGAAATACATCCATCCTCAAAAAGAAAAAAGTAAAATAGAAAAATAGAAAAAACGCCCACCCCAAAATAAGCACCTCTACACAACATATCTCTCCTCATCCAGCACCGTCTTCTCCTTCCAACTCTCCTCCACCCACTGCAGTCTCACCAGCCGCGGCATCTTGCGCCGCGAGCTGAGCCGGGGTCGCAACTTGTCGCCCACATCACCAACTTCCATAGGATCATCTCCCAGCACAACGATATGCGTAACAGTCTCGTCTTCCAGGTCCTGGCTGATTGAACCGCCGCCATATCTGACGAATCGCTCCCACTTGTCCTTTACGCTCTCCATTGCTCCGTCCGCGAGGTAAAACAGCACTCTGCACTGTGAAAACATGAAATTTCGCAAAGTCGTGAAATCTTTCCCATGCTGCTCCAGTTGATCCAAAAACAGCGTCTTATCAAAAGACTCTGCGTTCTCGAGCTTCGGCATGTCTTGGAGCACCTCTCGTAACTCTTCCACAGACGTATCTCGAGCATAGCTATCTCCAAGTGGATCTGTATTCAGCGAAGCAGAATCAACCAAGCCGTCCGTCGCATGGAATAAATGTCTCTCCTCGTAGGGCAGTAAAAAACCTCCATCAGGCTGATCCAAACAGTCTTTGATCCATATAGGTCGAATGATATCAACGTCCCCGTCTTTAATGAGACTAGCTACCTTGACCACTTTCTTATCTCCTATAAGAACCATCCTTGTACCCGCAGCAGCCCTTTGCGAGATGGTGCCCCCGTTTTCTTTGATGATGGACTCCAGCTGCGCTTTCGTCTTCTTGTACGGCTTCAATGATTCGGATAGCACGCAAAACTCAAGTCTTTCAAACAGCTTCGACTTCTCTCCTTCGAATTCGGGGGCTGCCGCATCATCGCCTGCAATAACAAGTTCTTTCTTTATCCGTTTTGGATTTCTCCTCCTGCGATCCTCCACGGTCATCTCCATCTGCTTCAACTCTGTCTCCACTCTCTGCTTCAGGTCTTGGAATTCTTCCAGAGACAACGCCGTGTCCCAGCTACGATCGAGCCGCAGTCTTCGAAATCGAGGAAATCGCAGCGTAAAACCCCGGGCGAATTGGTCCGAAGGGCCAACACTAGCCGCTTTCACAGAGACTACAACAGAGTCTTTCGGTCGAATCCACATGTCGGGTCGTTCATACTGTTTGGCATCGCCACCGCCCAGCTCAATGTACTCTGATGGTGGATTTTTAGGATCCCACTCCATCCACTTGCCGTCAGTGCGATGCCGTATCTCGGCATAATCTTCTGTTCGAAAGCCGCCGCCAACTTTGAAGAAGCTGAAACACTTCTCAGGGTTAGCGCCAGCTTGGATATGGTTCTGCGTGACGCGGAGACCACACAAGAAGCTTGATAAGAACCCTCCTCGCTTTCCAGAGCCATAGTAGCCACCGATAATGATACAATCGAGAGATTCTCCAAATTCAGACATGTATTCTGGCTTCACCTTCAACCAGTCATCATTGCGGCTGTTTAGGCGATACATGGATCGAGGATTCTTCAAAACAAGACCTTCTGATGCATTCGCGACCACCTCTCTCAGGAGCGGCTCAATAGCATCGGCCGAAGTAGCACGTGTATATTCATGGATTTCCAGTCGTCGATGAACCGATTTGACTGCCTTTTCTAAAGCGTTCCGTCGGTCTCGCAGGGTATACTGTGTGAGCTGCTTATCATTCAGGTACAGTATGTCAAAGACTCGAAATAATGGGCGGTGGCCAGCTGCGTTTGATTCAGACTTGTTGCCTTGCTCTGCAAGGGCGGCCGTCTTCAGGGTACCAAAGGGGACAATTTTGTCAACTGCCATGTCCCAAGTAATCATCTCGCCGTCTAATATCAGGTTCCGTACACCTGGTGCAAATGCATTTTTGAGATGCCTCGTCAAGCTAGAATTTTCGTCCAGCAGGCCGTTGCCGTATAGGTACGTATAATCCTTGGCCTTTCTTGACCAGAAGCAGAATCTTCGTCCACCTGGATGATTGGGATCTTCGACCATGTGCATCTGCATGCGTTCGCCATCTAATTTTTCTTCTATCCAGAATTCAGGATCCTCTTCCGTTGGTCGGAGGAGTTCAATCATCTTTTGGAACGACGCTGGCATTTGAAACTGGGCAAGCTGCGGTTGAAGGCATTGCATCACCGCGATGCCAGCCTCATCCTGTTCGAGTCTGAATTCGGGATCGTAGAGCTCCCAGCATACGCGTCTCAGACTTGAAGATACGCTAAATAGAGTTTCCCCATCTGGGTGCCATAGATATAGGAAAGTCTTTTCTGTAGCACCGACTTTCATTTGCTTCAGGATGATGCGAATCAGCCACATAAGCTCTTCAGCATTCATGCGATTGTAGAAAGTCTCAAAGATGCGCAGATTCTCAGCTTCTCCAGCCGAGGCAGCTAGTTTATCCAATTCGTGGTTAACCTCTGCAATGGTCATATTGCCCACCTGAGTGCGCATTGGGCGTTTTGAGATGACTTCGAAACAGCGGCCGGCAAAATCGCCTGCCAGACGTGCTCCTGTCGTTTGGCCCGGCAACTTCCAGTGCAAAAGATTGTAGCCATCTTCAGAGTTTTTATCAATCTTCATCAACTTCACCAGGAGCTTCCCTATGGCATTCTCCTTCAGCCCATAGACGCCGCGATCGCGATCCTTGTCTGGGAGAATGAGACGCAAAGCAGGATAAAAATCGTCGCCAACTTCTTTCCTCCATCTCGTGATGAATCTCTCAACGATATGCCGCCTCTGTTCCTGTGGCGACAGTTTGGTGAGCCCATGGGGGCCCTTTTTGCTGGCTGGACCTGAAGCGCTCGGCGGCTGCTTCTTGTTGTCATTGAGTGGATTGAACAGGTCTTTAAAAAGCTCTGAGAATTTCAGCGTTATGGAATGATTCCTTGGTTTATGAGGATACCTGAATGGATGTTAGAGTCATATTGCTTGAGATGATATGCTGACAGCGTACTTTGCAGCCAACTCCTCCTCTGTCAGGCCACTGGTGCCATATTGCAGGTCGTCTTCTCTCAGCGCATCTTCATCTGGAGTCTTTGGCTCTTCGACTTTCCATTTGCTCATTGTCGCGCTATGCCGGCAATTGAATCGATTAAATTCCAATTATCTGCCCCAAGAATCATTAAAGCTCAGAAGGTTTTTGAGAAGCAAAGGTCAAGATGCGCATCATGCAAACAAGTCGCGACTCGATAAGGCTTAAATAATAGAGATGCCGAGTGAAGCAATTAGACCTAGAGCTGCAGATAGTTGTGGGGCTTGCGGCTGCTGCCTGCATCAGCCACATTCTAGCTTAGGTAATGCTGCCTAGCTCTCCATTGGATATACGCATCCAAGCAGCTCTTTACTGCTGTATTATTTCCAGCTCCAATTTTCTCTTTCATTGCTATGTATGTCATCTTCTTGAGTGATAGACAAGACAATTTCACAAGTTATAATTGGCAAGAAAATTCAACTATTACTTCCAGCAGACAATCCCAACAAGATCCCAGCGCCATGCCTTTATAAGTCGTTGAGCCGTATAGCTCGTGAATGATAGACATCCTTCATTTTTCTACCTGTAGTCTATCTTCTTAAAATAAGATGGCAGTAGAATATCAAGATAATTAAGAGACAGATGAAACGAGATCAATAAATTGAGTCAAATTAACCAAGCATCATGCTTTACACCAAAGAAAAGAATTGTCAAGGGTATCTCAACTACTTCTTACTAATGCCCACCATTTCTATATCAAGATCCTCTATGTCGAGATAAACGTCGCTCTTCCTTCTAATCCAGGCCCAAAAAAACAGACACGTATTCTATTTCCATTCATAGCGAAAAAAATAGCCTCATCCTCTCGTTCTCCTCTTCGCCTTGCTCTTCTTGCGATTGCTCTTCACACGCTGCCGTTGAACGACGCGCACGAACCAGGAATAAATCATTTCACGCATCAGGATGAGGATCGTAGCAAAGGCTGTCGGGACAGCGCATGCCCAGCTGATTTCATTTCTTTGTTAGCTTACTTTTCACATTATGTGTATTTGACCGAGGAGGGTTAATAAGACTTACAAGTACCAAATCCCGTGGTTAATATCCGGAAATCCCTCCGCCGGGAAGTTTTGTCCAAAGTATCCAGTAATGAAAGTCAGCGGGAGGAAGATGATGGTGACGGTGGTGAGCTGCTTCATGCTCTCGTTCTGGTTGGCCGAGATGGTGTTAAAGATGAGGTTGATGAGGTTGTCACTCGACTGCTTGCACTGGTGAAGGGCTTCAGTAATGATGATACAGTGATCCAGCACGTCACCCAGATACGTGTGCGTCATTGGCGTGACGATGACGCCGCTGGCCGGGTTCTCGAGCTCCTTGATAGCCTCTTCATGAGAGAGGTTCGTTTTGTGATCGCGCAGGACGTTGACGAGGTTATCAATGGGGTTGAGAAAGCGCAGCATCTTGTTTATCTCACTAATGCAAATGTATAAACTCTTGCACTGCTTGATGCTAGGGGAGGTCAGGACGTCGAGCTCCAAATCGCCCAGGACATCATTGTACACAGCCGTGAGCGGGATGGCCAGGTCGATGATGGCATCGATGATGGCCTGCACGACGAGCGAGGCGTCGCAAGACTCGCGCAAGATGGTGCCCGGGTTGCTGAGACGCGTGACTATGGGGCGCTCGATGTCGCCGGCGGAGACCTCGAAGAAGGAGATGACGGTGTTGTCGGCCGTGAGGAAGATGGAAACCTGCTCGGCGGAGACGGCGAGGTTGAGGGGCGCGAGGATGGAATTTGCTTCCATGTAGTCGGTGCGCGTCTCGTTGCCCGAGGCGTGGTACCGCTGCAGGGTGCGAATCATGGACGTTTCCTGCAGCTCGAGGCTCTCTGACAGTTCCGTCAAGCACTTTGTGGTGATGCGCTTCTCTGGATCCGTTGGAGGGCTGGGGTTTTGGACCTTGTCGGTCTTGCGGCTGCCGAATCCGCGGAAGAAGTTCCTGACCTTGGTGGTCGACTTTCTTGATCGGACGCTGCTCGAGTCGGATGAGCTATCGTCGTCGTCTACAAGATGGACCAGCTTCTGGAGCGTCATGATGATGAAGGCGTGGTTTGGATACCTGGTGAGAACTCTTTGTTAGCGTCTCGTTTCCCCTTCTTCCTAGTTTCCAGAGCTTTTCGCCGGCCAAGACTTACCAATCAGCCTTGGTTCTGTTCCTGATATTCATGATATCCTCCAACGCAAGCTTATGCAAGCCCTTATGCGCGCCAATCGCCTGAATCACATCCCAACTCAAGCCATTGACATTAATCCACCGACACTTGGCCCACTTCTCCTTTGGCTGCGTCAGAAACGCAATAAACGATTCATTGTCAAAGTGTCTCTTGACCATGTTGTCCTTTGAGAAATCCACCACCGTAATGTCGCAATTCGCGCTCAGCTGCGGCATCGAGGCATGTCCTCCATCTGGCAAATTGGGATCGAAACCGGGCTCAGAGCCCGGCTCCCAGCCCGGCCGCTCAGTGTAGGTCGCATCGAAATCGAAATCATCCGCATCGTCAATTGCTCTGAATGTCGCGGCGCGGGTGCTTCGCCGGCGGCGCAGAGGCGAGAAGGGCTCGCGATGGACGGTCGTGTCTGAGCGCGAGAGGCGACGGAGAGCAGGCGGGGAGGACGCATTCTCGGTGTCGACGTTGAGGCCGTAATGGACTCGATTGAAGGTCGGAAAGCTCTCTCCAGGATTGGAGTCGGGGTCAACCTCGTGGATCGCATCCATTGTGGGCGAATGGACGGATGATTTCAAGATAACTTTATTCCTGTCGCATCAACGAATCGCGCTCTGTCGCGATGTCGGGAATGATATTCGTGTCGTCTTCAGGAGAGTGCGCTCGATGGTGGCGTCGAAATGTCACTGCGTCGCTTCGGCCAGCAAAACGATTCGTGTTCCATTCAATCTATGCGCTTCTCAAGGACAAAGCAGCAACCGCAAATCACAAGCAAAAAAGTTGGAACGGAAGATGAAATGGCCAAAATCACGACATTCTCGCGAGCTAGCAGTTCGAGGACGGATAGACCGTATCACCATCCTATTAGCAGAAAGATGACCAACCCCAGGTATTATTAGCATCGTATGTCGGTTAGATTTTGGTGAAGCGCAAGCCCCTCAGCTCAGGCCAAACCTGGTTCTAAGCCGATCTGTCTTAGGGCATGCATGACGTTATTAAGGGCGACGATCCCAGCGCCCGTCGGCCAATGGCGGCTCAACGTCGTGACTTCATATTTACAATTACTCGTGATGATTTGACACAACGTTGCCCTTTTTTTACATATACAAGGTATGTACATCGTTATCGTTAAATATGTATCTCGTCATGATCAACAATGGCGAGATAAGAAGAAGGATACAAGCTCTAGTAGTACAGTGAAAACCCCCCTTTTAGCGTCTCATACAAAAAAAAAAATTCCACCCCTGTGTTTGATGAAACAGCTTGCTTCAGCGCCTTGCTATGCTTGCTCTTACACAATCTCCACCAGCTGGAAGACTTGATCTTTCTGGCTATCGCACTTTGCAGCCTCCACTCTCTCAGCACCAGCGACGAGACAGGTCTGGTTGGTGGCTGAGGCAGGTGTGAGAATGATGTTGTTGTCGCCATTCTTGAAGGGGAACAGCTGTGAAGTCGCAGTTTTGCCGCCTATTGTTAAAATATGATTAGCTTCTCATTCATAGAAACGGGTGGGATTGTCATAATGAATGGACTTGTCTGAACTTACTTCCGTCGGCACGTCCACCGCAAGAGAACATAATCACTTGGTCGTTGGCCGCTCTTCGGCCATCAAAGTTGACGCAGCCGTTGGTAAGGACGCTGACAATGAGCGCCTCGCCAGCGGTGCCGTCATTGTGGGCACCCTTGGTGACAATGTCGAACTTCTGGCTGGGGTCGTCCTGGCTGCAGGTAACCATCTGGATGGGGATGAGGTTCTCACGGAAGTCACCGGCAGTGGGGTTGACAGACATGCATTTGCCATCAGCGGCTCGGATGTTGATGCTCTGGACGGGTCGGACAGCAGTCGTGTCAAAGGCGTTGGCTTCAGCTGCGGCAGTGGGGTTCAAAGTGCCGCCAGCGCCAGAGACAGGCACGGGAGTCGTGGGGTTTCCGGTGATGGCGGGCTGGGAGGCAGCGGCAGTCGTCTGAGAGCTGCCTTCACCGGCATTGTTGGCCACGCCAGCACTGGTAGCAGCCGCAGCAGCCGCAGAGGCCGACTCTTGACCGGCGGTAACGGTAACAACCTCGGACACGGTGACGATCCGGGGAGCAGAGCACTGAGCATTCTCGTCACCTCCGGGAGCCGCAGCGGTGGTGGCGGCACTGGCGGCGGCACTGGTGGTGGCAGCAGCCTGGGCCGCGGTGGTCACGGCAGGGGCCGAGGCGGTGATGGTCGATCCGGTGATGAGGCCGGAGGAGTGGGCAGCCTGGAGCGAGGAGGAGATGCTGGAGGCCTGCTCAATGGGGCAGACGGTGGTGGCCAACACGACGGTGTCGGTGACAACGACGGTGGTCTTGGCGGACTCGGGCAGGCTGGCGATGGCAGTCTGGTTGGTGCGAGCCGGGCAGTTGGTGACGGTGGGAGCACAGCTGATGACGGTGTGGACCGAGGTCGCGAGCACGGTCAGCGTGGTGGCAGCAGCAGCGTCGGCAGCGCTCGTAACAGCAGCTTCAACGGCGCTCGTGACCGCCGCTGCTGAAGTAGTAGCCGAAGCTTGAGTCTCAACAGGCTTGGAGCCGGCAGCGGCTGAGGAGGCGGCGGCTGAGCTGGCAGCGGCAGAGCTGGAGTTGTTGCTGCTGCTGCCATCAGAACCTCCAGCAGAGCCACCAATGGTAAACTTCTGCGTGACGTCGCTGGCACTGCAGTCGGCAATGTCAACCAAGTTGCCCTTGGGGACAAGGCACTTGGTGGGGTCGTTCTCAGGCGTGAGGCTCAAAGGACCGTTGCCACCGGTAAAGGCAAAGAGCTGCGAGTTGGTGACTTGTCCGCCGCCATCAGCTCGTCCGCCGCAGGAGAAGAGCAGAACCTGGTTTCCAGCCGCTCGTCGAGGGTCAAAGTTGAAGCAGGCCTGTGTGAGAGTGCTCACGATGAGAGCCTGGCCCTTTTGGTCGTTGTGGACACCGGAGGTGATGACGTCCCAGCCCTGGCCCTGGGCGCTGCCGCAGTCTGTGATCTGGATGGGAGTCAGGTTGGCTCGGAAGTCTCCGGACAGCGGGTCGACGCTCAGACATTTGCCATCAGAGGTCTTGATCTGGACGTTGGAAAAGGCGCGGGTGGCCGTGTTGTCTCGGGGATGGGCCTCGGCGGTGGCAGCCGGGTCGAGGGACGCAACCTCGCGGCGGTCGATGGGGCCGGCAGCCGCAAGGGCCGCAAAGAGTAGAGAAAGAGTAGCCTTGGAATACATCATTTTGTTTAATAACGAGTAGTGTATAAAAAAGAATGAGTTCCCAGTGGATCAGCAAGCAGAGACACAGCGAAAAGAGAGAAGCAGAAACAAGGCGTTTTCAGAAAGGGAATGGAAATGAAATCTGCACAGCAGACGACCTCGTCAAAGGCACGAATCGAAAAGAGCGAAAGTAAGAAAAAAAGGAAAGAAAGGAGCGAGCACTGCACGCAAAAAGTGAAGCTATTCAGAGCAACTACCAGAAACTTGAAAGAATCCCCTCCGCAGCATCTTGGCGCACCGCCGCCAGTATACTTATATACCGTATGCCTCCCAGCACGAAAGCGCGAACCGCGGGCAATCAATCGTCCATGTTCCCCTTGTCGGCTAGATCCGAGCCAGGGACCAGCTGCTCGTTCTGTCTCGTCCCCTTCATTTCCCATCTCGGTCTTTTGTCTCCTGATGGCGCGCAGCAGCAAGTTTCGTTTGGTCAAACGCAGCAGCAAACAGCCCCGTCCCCACAAGCCCGCACAGCGACTAACTGGGCCGTCGACGAGGAACGTCCTACGCGAACGGTTTCAGCACCGCCATCTAGCCAACCATCGCGGAACCAATTTGAGACGACACAGGGGGGTTGTTGTTTTAGGTGTTTTGGAATTCGACGCTCGGTTTAGGGCGGCGCTGTAAATCCGGAGCCAGCCGGGCTTAGCCATTATAGGGGAGCACAAACGCCACTAACCTGGGCTTTAGCGCCCATTCGATGTTTAAAACGCCCTCAAAAGCCACATCGCGATTAACCGCTGAGGGGTCCAGCCGTCAGTGCTTCGACGACCATTCGTTGTCTCGACATGCAGACAAAAGGAGTCGATGTGGCTTGAGAGCCGCCGTCGACGCTGTGCCTAGTCTCCCGAGTCCCCCACAGCTTCCATTGCATATATACATGTGCGCAGTCTATGTTGCTGCTGCCTGACGACTCAACTCAACTCAACTCCTCTTGTCAGTTTCAAACTTTCAACCATGCTTAATTCGCAGCCAGGAACCGCATAGGCGCTGCATGGCCGCGGAACATGGAAACGAAATTGCTCCTCTTTATTGTCATTGGAAGATGGCCAGATCTGAAGTCCCGCATGACGTCGTGAAATGAATCCCCTGGCGGTCGCAGGTAGATTAACGCGGAGGCTCAAGCCATCCTTGCACACTGAAACAAGTCAGTCGCTTGACGTCTCAAGGGTCTTGGCTAGCAGAGCACTTGCGTGAGCACATGTAAGTTGGAGAGCCTATTACCAAACACTTGTTCCAAATGCAGCAATCTTGCTCCGAAAAACGCGCCATGGGGTGAATAGAGTCGCAAACTATTCCCAGACAAGTCATCTCAGCCTTTTTCTTTTCTTTGCTCTAGCAAGCTTCGTCGTTTGTAACTCTTCGGTGGTATGTATTATAGGATAGTGCATTCGTGGCATCGCCAATCTCGTTTCTGTGGCTGTTAATAGTACTCGAGCCACTCGTCCATCCTCTGCTCAGACGGACAGTCATTGACCCAGAAGCGGTCGCAAAAGGCCGCTCTTGGGACCAGGATGGTGTTATGCCACCATGGATCGCACTCGTCGGGCATATAAAACGGCAGCTGGCTTAGCCCTTCGCCCTGCCAAGCCTCTGCGTCGTTAATGCGGTGGATCTCGGACATGATCTGGGAACAGGAGGTGTGACAAGTGATGGACCCATAGCAGCCGCAGTGGTATAAGATCATGATGTAAGTGCACATTGCGGTCGTTGTGGCCCTTTGAGATGGAGTGGGTGCTTTCTGTAGTTTGCTCTCTTCTCTCTTCTATGGATACCGGTGGCTTTCATGCAGCTCTGTCTCTGTCTCTGTCCATGGCCTTTATAGAATGCTTCGCGTAGGGCATGAGCCGGACGATGGCACCACGCACCGTGCTCTTGCTTGCAAACTCGATATGAGCCAGCACATAAAACACCCGACAGTCGGGCTTATTATCGATGTAACCGCAAAAACGGTGAATGACACCGTGTGCTGGCCTATCATAACTTGGTCAAATGCTAAAAGACGGCAAAAATGAAAAGTATATATAAAGCTGCCAGTGCCTAATCATAGCTTGTGGCATGCGTTTGTTGAGCACAGATACAGCTGTCAGATGGTGGAAGCGCTCTTCAACTGGGCTCTGGCGTGGCATCTGCTCGTAAAAGAGCCCATCTCAGGCCAGACAAGGCTGTTCAACAAAGGCGTCGCTCTCCTCACAGGCTGTCACACGCGGCTTGTTTCTGTCTCCCTCTTCCCGCAGCACGCCGCACAGAGCGCCTTGGCGTCTTGTACAGGCTTTTGATATGGCATGTTTGCGCCACCCGGTTGCTCTGAGAGCCAGAGTGGCAGGAAACACTCAAGTGTGTGCGCCATGAGGGAAGACATCATTGGCGATGCGGGTATAGATAGGGAGACGCTGACAGTGAATCAGAGACGAATCTTGCTCTGACTTGCGCATGACCAATATGAATATGGTCGTGGAGCAGTAGACACAAAGAGGTTAAGGCGGCGGATGGCTAAAGCGAGCAGCTGTGAGTGCAAACATGTAACCAAAATGCTGCTTCATCGCATGTATCCCCCGTCTCTCTGAAAATGCTGTAAGATCCGATCCATCCACGCATTGCACAACTCATCGTGATCATGTGAGAGATGCCTCTCCCTCGCTTCAACTGTGCACAATCGCTACAGCTCCTGCGGGTAGCATCCATCTCCACCAGCCCCGGATTCCGAGAGCCTCCCCACTAAATGCACCATCGACATGCCTACATTAGCACTGCGAGATCGATCTCTCGGGCCATCGCTCGTCGTAATCAACGCCAACCAGACAACCAAGAAAGGCTAGCTTCACTCCATGTTGCCTTTGTTCCCTCGGCCTGTTCTTTGTCGATCCTCGTCATGCCAGCGTCTCGCAGGTTAGTGGTCGAGATTTGCCGTCATCGTCATGCCGTTTCTTAGCCGATGCCGCCTCGCTCAGTCACCTGCAGCAGCAGATCCAACCACCGACATCACGGGACGACTTGCTGCTGTCTTGGACCGCTGCGGAGAAGATTACTCGACAATCTCCCTGATGTTACTGGCCCGATGATGCAGCTTCCGGCGCAGCTGGCACGCGACCTCCGTCTGTCTTGGGCCTGCCGCAGCGCCCCACCACAGCCGCTCTAGGGTCTAGATGCAACTTTATAGGGCCTATGGCCGCTAGCAACCCGCTACAGCGGTGGCCTGTGACGCAGGAGGCAGCGCTGCGCAAGTGCATCCCGCCGTCGCCAGCCTTGTGACTCGAAACTTGGAGATCGCATCACCGCTTCTGCTCAGGCCCAGCAACCAGAGCAGAGCAGATCAGTGCACCAAAGCTGGACAGAATGGTGAGCATCAGTGACTGAACTCTGCTATCAATTTCTATCCGCAGCACTCAAAGCTAACATGAACAAAATCAAGTCGTCCGAGCGCAGTCCTCTCCTATCCAACGGCGAGGAGTCCAGCGAGACTCTCCCGCAAAAGACGGGCCTTCGCTTCTCACGGGTCCGCGAGATCATCTTCTTTGTCTGGGGCCTCGTTGCCACTGCCGCTTTCGTCGTCGCCGCTGTCTGGATCCAACATGCCTCGCAAACCCATCATAACGACAACAAGGTCACTGCCAAGCGCAACCTGGTCTTCATGGTCTCGGATGGCATGGGGCCGGCTTCGCTCGCTTTGACTCGAGGCTACCGACAGCACATCTACAACCTCCCCGAAAACGACACCCTCACCTTGGACAAGCATTTCTGGGGCACCAGCCGCACGCGCTCCACCAACTCCTTGGTGACCGACAGCGCTGCCGGCGCCACCGCCTTCTCCTGCGGCCTCAAGAGCTACAACGGTGCCATCTCAGTCCTGCCCGACTACCAGCCATGCGGATCGGTCATGGAGGCGGCAAAGAGGAGCGGATACACAACCGGACTCGTCGTCACGACTGACATCACAGATGCCACGCCCGCTTGCTTCGCCAGCCACGTCCTAAGGCGAGATATGCAAGACTCCATCGCGCTTCAGGAGGTTGGAGAGGGTGTTCTGGGCCGCTCTGTCGATCTTATGCTCGGTGGTGGTCGCTGCCATTTCCTTCCCAACACCACTGAGGGCGGATGCCGTGCAGACGGCATCGATGTTACACGCTTGGCTCAGGAGAAGCACGGCTGGACTTACGCCGACAGTCGCCAGGGCTTCGATGCCCTCGACGGCGGCAACAAAGTGAACCTTCCTTTCCTAGGTCTCTTCGCTGAGCGAGACGTGCCCTTTGAAATCGACAGACAGAAGCAAAACGATGTTTACCCCAGTCTGAGTGAGATGGCCACAGCTGCCCTGCGAGCCCTTGAAGAGGCAACCAAGAACTCTGACAAGGGTTTCTTCCTCATGATCGAGGGAAGCCGTGTGGACCACGCCGGCCACAACAATGACCCTGCCGCCCAGGTCCGCGAAGTGCTCGAGTACGACAAGACCTTCAAGGCAGTCATTGACTTTATCGCCAACAGCAAGACCGAGACCGTCCTCGTTTCCACCAGCGACCACGAAACCGGCGGTCTCGCAACGGCCATCCAAGAGCCTGGTCATCTGCCTGTATACAACTGGTACCCCCGCGCTCTTGCTGAGGCTTCTTCCTCAACTGAATTCCTCGCCGCCAAGCTTCGTGCCTACGCAGCAACCACGTCATCCTCCAAAGCCGACCTCAAGCAGTGGATCAACAAGGAGCTCGTCGTTCCCGGCCTCGGCATCTCCAACGCCTCCGACGACGAGCTCTCAGCCCTGGCAGACCATGCCGATGCTTCGCTCGAGATCTTCTCCGCCATGATTTCTCTCCGCGCTCACATTGGCTGGAGCACCCACGGCCATACCGCCGTGGACGTCAATATTTACTCTTCTGGCGGCCCTGGCACGGACAAGATCCGTGGCAACGTCGAGAACACGGATGTAGGTCGCTACTTGCGCCATTACTTGGACGTCAACGTCGAGGACATCACCAAGGAGCTGAGGGAGAAGATGGCCAAGGTTGCGTTGGACATGCCGGCTGATGAGATGAGCGTTGCGGAGCCATATCATGCACTGGAGGAGATGGTGGAAGTTTAAGAACGCGATTACTTAGAGTAGATGTGTTTTCTTCGGTTTTTCCTTTTTTTCCCCCCCATACATGTGTTGAGACGGTGTTGATTATTTAGACACGGGCATATTTTACATTTAGATTGCGATTTCGCATTCTGGCATAGCAATTGGTATTAGTACACACAGACACAGACACAGACACAGACAGAGTTTTGTTATTTTCGCTGCTCTCCAGTATCTTTTTATCAGAGAAAGAAAGGAATTGCGATTCGTTTTTTTGTTTTTCTCTTAAAATATATATATATGGCCATGAATACAAACGCACCAAAGGATATCATATCTCTCCCTCCATCTTGTTCCGCTTAACGCCTAAAAAAAAAAAAAAAGAATGTCAATCATTATAATAAGTCTTGTTTTTTTCTTTTTCTTTTTCTTTTTGCCCTTTCTTGTTGAAAGTGAAATTCCATCAATACCCATATCATATCATGTTTTTTTACCCGCGTGGTGCCCATACCAGTTTTTCCATCTAATTCCGTCCTTTATTCCTCCCATAATTCATAGCCCGAGAGAAGGGGAAACCCAAATAAATAAATAAATAAATAAATAAAAAAGAGAGTGAGAGTGAAGGAGACGCGGAGAATTCAATTCTCAACAGGTCTCTCTTCAAGACTATATCGCATGTACAATTTATCCAGAAAATGCGAGTGTCGTATTCCGTTTGGCCTCGCCGTTTTGAACGCCTCAATGGCATCTGCCAGCGCAAAGCCACACTTCTCAACGAGATAGCAAACAACAAAGTAGCCGGAGCGATTGTACCCGTAATGGCAGTGCACGCCCACGACACACTGCTCCGGAGCAGACCAGCCTTCCGCGGCGGCGCGTTCGCGCTGAGCCTCGCGAATGGAATCGACCAGCTTGATGAACTGGTCGACGGTCTCTGCCTCGGGGGGGATCTTGGACACGGTAGGGAATTTGTGGTAGTGGATGCCGCCGCGCTCGAGGCCGCGCGGGTCATAGACAGGCTGGTCCTTGGAGATGTCAATGACGTCCTTGATGGCATGGCCCCATTTCTCGGCGAATACCGCAGGGCAGTGCACGTCGTCGGCCTCGCGAAGCGTCTTGATGACGCGGAAAACGGGCTTGTCGCTGGGGCCAATGAGTTCGGAAACGGGCTTGACGCCCTGCCACTTGAGGAGGTTCTTTACATCCCATTTGCCCTCGCGAGAGAGGTGCTGGAGCTGCCAGGCGAGCGAGAGGCGCTGGGTGATGTGATCGGCGAGAAAATCGGATACGAGGCCGGCGAGGGCGCGAACTGTGCGTGGGGAGTAGAGGAGCGTGTGGTTTGCCGCTGCGCCGGTGAGGATGATGGATCGCACGGCTCGCATGGGGTGTTGTGACTGAGGGGGCAGGTCTGGCGGATACTCGACGGGTGTTGAAGGGCCATTGGCATCGCTGTCTTCTGCATCTTCAGCAGGCAGGCCGCCGCCGTTGACATTGACATCAGTGTCAAGCTGTGTTGAGCCGTTGACACTCGCAGGTGAGTTCAGCTCCGATGCGATGGGTGTCTGCTGAGCTTCATTATGCGCAATGGTATCATCCAGTGAGTGGAAGGCCTTGACGATCTTATCCACCTCCTTTGGCGGCGTCACATTATCCTTTTCGCCGGCAATCAGGAAGACGGGCATATCCAAGCCGGCCCAAGCCTCAGGTCCGGGAACGCCACCAATGGGCTTCCCATCTTCGTACCGAGCCGCCATGCCGCCATATGCCATCCGTCTCCAGACCGGCGTTCGGCTCTGCTGATTGTATCGATACTGCATGAGCTTCAGCTCGGCCGGTGCGCCCTCTCCCACGAAGCGCGCAACGCTGGTGCTGCTGGGCCCTCCTCTGCCATCCCACATGCGCCAGAGGCCAAAGATCCAGCCGGGAATCCAGAACAGCCGCTTGATAAATTTTGCTTTCGATTCCTCCATCGGTCCAGACACGGGACAAATCGCAACCAGCCCAACAACATGCTTGGCAAGAGCCGTCTTGTGCGGCAACTTGGGATTCGCCAGACCAGCCGACAAGATGGTGCCCATGCTATGCGCAATCAAGACCACGCCCTGGTCGTGCTCCTTGTCGCGATGATCCTCGATGATCACCTCCAACAGCTCCATCAATGCCTCTGAGGTGTACGCCGCCCATTCTGTCGGCGCAAACTTGGATCGTCCGCCGCCAGGCCAATCGATGGCCAGACACGGCGCCAGGTCAACCAAGCTCCTCAGCAGCGGATGGAACTGCGCAACCGAGCCGCCCAAGCCCGGGATGCACACCAGCAGCGGCAGCGGCGCGGGTTTCTTGGGCAGCTGGTCGGCCTTGACATGCTGGCGGAAGAAGACGCGAATCTCAGGATACTCGAAGCGGCTCGTCTTGTAAGACTTGAACTGGGAATGATCGCGAAGCAGCGCAGGATCGGTGGCGTGAGGGTCTGTGGAGAGGGACGTCTCCGGCGCCGAAGCCGGGCTGCTTTGCGCTGTCTTTGCCATTTGCGATGGCTGTTCGTGTTCCAATTGGTGTTTTTGATCGGGTATTCGCGATGGCGGACGTCGTGTTGTCGCTGCTATTGTTCGCCCTCCAGGGAGATCAATCCCAGTCAAGCAAAGCTCGATTGTTCCAGAACAAAGGGAAATTCAATGCCAGGAACGGCGCTCCACCTTTTTATATCGCGATGCGCAAATCGCTTTAAAAAAAAAACTCCCCCGAGAAGAAAAGCAAAAACGAGAAAAAAAATCCTAGCACGGACAGGCAGAGGGCAAACAACACCGCAAGCTGTTCTCAAACAAATTGGGCCGAAGAGCTCGCCTACAACGGCAAACAACGGCTTGCTCCTGTCAAAAAAAAGGGCCGTATGAAACAAAGTCTCTCGCTCAGCAAGAAAAGGATGACGCAGCGGCAGGTCTAGACAGAGTCTTGGGTATCGGTTCTGAATCGAGAAATAAACAGGGGAAAAAAAAGACCTTGATGGGTTCTTCTCCTCCCTCGTCGCAGAAAAGAGAGTTGGTGAGTCACGCGAAATCCGCTTCGAGGCAAAGATTTACACGAGGAAAATAAAAAGGATGGATGGGGCAGTCCCAAGTCGCCAGGCAATTGATTGGCGAGGATGATGCATTGCCGTATGAAAGAAAAAGGAAACCCACGATGACGTCCTCCAGGTGTTTCTTGTCGTTTTTTTTCTTCCTTTTTTTGCCAAGGACGGGTTTCAGAAAAAGTTAAGGCGGATTTGGGAATTGGCGTTAGTGGCCAACCAATTGTCACGGGCTCCCGAGGGAGCTCGTCATTGCGCGAAAGAGGTCCTGCTAACGTGCCATCAATTTTTGCTGCTTGCAGGTGCTCTTTTTAGTGAGGTGACGCTAAAAGGATTGCCTCGTCTCGGCAGCTTACCCTGCAGCTGCGGCAACATGGTCGCATGTGATTGTGAATAAGTCGGAAAACAGCTGCGATTGGGTTTGTTACTGTAGGAATATATTAATCTCATTAGGACATTTAGATATTTTTGTAATATTATTATGAGACGCGGATGTGCCGAATATTGTAATGGCTTAATCAAACGTGTGCTCATATATAAACAGCAAAAGCTAATGTTCGCAGAAACACCACTTTGCGTCTCAATTACTGCAAGCTCATCTCAAGATACAAAATAGAATAAACTAATCCCACTTCATATACAATGCCATAATCATAGCAAAGAAATATCCTCCATCATCACGCGCTTGGCCATGGACACACCAACATGAACTTATTATTTGTAGCTACTAGTACAACACAGATCAAATAGTAGATGCCAAAGCCAGCGGCCATATTCTAAACCCAGTCCATCATATATGTATACAACCATTATATCATACAATCGCCTTTTTTCCAATTCCACGATATAAACAAGTATCAAGGAGTAACACCCACCCCCTCCTCCCAGCCTATGGGTATCAAAGCCGCCGCCACCTCCGACACGCCTCTCTCCGTCGCCAGCAGATTGAACTGCGCCGCCGCGTTCCTCGTATCCAGCATCTCGACCCTCATGCCCAGCGCCGAGATGTGCTGTCGTGTCTGTGGGCTCAACGGCAAGTTGTGTTTGCCTACGCCGATAATCAGGAGATCTGTTCAAGCGGCATCACAGTCAGCTCTCTCTCCATGCTCGAGATACTTAGATAGATGGCTCTGATAGATGTATGCACCCATCCTCAAGAGCTTAGAAACCGGGGGGGAAAAAAAAGCAAGAGAAACATACCAGGTCGAGGCCACAGCATATCAAACAACCCAAACGCCTCCCTCGGCAGCTCAAACTGTCCCTTGTCATTCACCAACTTCTTCTCCCCCTTCACCTCCCACGGCCGCCACGCAAACGCCTCTCCGCTGACCAGCAGCGCCCCGTCGCCCCCCTCGATCGTGATGCCGCTGTTCAGCCCGAAGCCGTCGTGCATGCACACATCCACTGACGTCGACGGCACGGGCACGCTGCCCAGCACGTCGAGCTCGTTGAAGCTGGTTGGCGGCGGAGACTCGGGAGGGCCGTCGCCGCGGCTTCGGCGCTTGGAGAGGCTGGAGGAGGTGTGGAAGGATCTGCGAAAGGGGCCGGGGATAGGATTGCGGGAGTGTTGTGTGTTTGTTGCTGTATGCGATGCGAAGCTGGCTGGAGCTGATGATCGTAGAGAGAAGTGTGTGGCTAGAGTGTTGGGATTGCGCGCACACAGGCGGCTGGCACGGAGGCCATTCTGTAGTCGTAATGAGCCGCGCATTGTGGCTACTATATAGGAAAAATATGGTATCTCGTTTCAAGGTGCGGTAGACTTTCGTGGTTTGAAGAGCAGCTTGGCTTGCGAACTGGGGTAGTGTGAAGCTCAAGTTTTTTTTTTTTTCCCAGCTATCGCGGGGCAGATTGATATTGGCATTTTGCCTGCGTGAACGTCATGATGACTTACGGTACATGTTACGAGACTGCTAGAATTGCGAAAGTAGGCCTTTTAATGGGCATTTCTTCTTTTACTAATTCGGAAAGTTTCAAGTCGCCAATCAATTTGGTCGGGATTCCTGCTCTTAGCCAAATTTGGTGGTTTGGGCGAGTTCTCGGAAAAAATCGAATCCTGCTTCTTTGGCCACATATAAATTCACAGAGGGCAATTTCAGAGGTACCAACTTGATGTTCGTTTCCATTTAGATCACCAAGCGGGAAAGCAGTCCTAAAGACAGCAGCAGACCGGCCATGGGTTCGGCTCGGCCGAAATGTATCATGCAGTCCGATATTTTTGCCCTAATGAACACCATAGCAATGAACCAAACCCCCCAAAAGAGTTCCTTGCCATTCCCGCGCACACAGAAAGACAATTCCAGCAAGTCGAAATGGGTTGTTTATCTCTTTTCTTCCCAAGGTTTAAAAAAAAAAGGGTTTGTTTATTTCTTCTTCTGGCTAGCCTCCTGCTCCTTCATGACCTTCTTGACAATCTTCTGCTCCTCGATCAGGAAAGCGCGGACGATTCTGTCGCGGACGCAGTTACCGCATCGGGAACCGCCGTAGGCTCGCTGGACGGTCTTCTGGGGCTTGGAGATCTGAGAGTACTCGCGGGGGCGGAGAGCGGGGATCTATACGGTGATACATGTCAGCTGCTGGTCTCTTTTCGTAGTTGTATTGTTGAGATGTTCCGGTCGAGGGGGTGAGAGGTTGAGAGGTTGAGAGAGCGAGGGTAAGGGCGAGGGTGAGGCGAAGGCGATGGAGGAGATTTGGAGCGGTCATTCGTTGCTTCGTCGGCGTTTAGGCGTTGTTGTTTCTTCGACGTGCAATTTTTTTCTTCTCTTTGGTCGTAAAGAGTGCCCCGAATCCCATCGTCTTTGTTGCTTGTCGCCTATGTCCCTCTCTTCCCCCTCAATGGCCATCTCTCCCGGGTTGCAAAATTCGTTCAAAGGTCACTACTTACACCAGAGAGCTTGGAGCCGCAGTCACCGCACTTGGGGACAGTTCCGCGCTTCTTGATGTGCAGAACTCGGAGGTCACCACCGGGAGTCTTGATGACTCGGGTCCGGTTGGAGCGGGTGTTGTAGCTGTAAAGATTTCGCCAGTCAGTTACATCGCTCGGCAAGACAGCGCGCTGGCAATAATTCGAGAGGCATTTCGCAATCAACTGATGGATATGAAGGCAGAAACTCACCCGTTACGGCGGCGGTAGGTGACTCGGTGGGACGCCATTGTTGCTGGTGGTGCTCGGTGGTTGTTCTGAGTATCTCACCAAAGAAAGAGGAATTTCGAGATTTGGGCAAATTTTGTGTGGGCGGAACTGCAAGATTGTGCCCGCTAAGCCGGCGAATCAGAATGCCGCTAGCACGCTGTGAAAGTCCCACTCAGTGTGCACGTGATCGCGGGCTTCGACTTTCCGCCAGCTCTTGGCTCAAGAATTTTTGCGGCCATCGAAGCCAACGCCAATACTCAGTATTGTCTGCTAGCCAATTACTAGGAACCTAGCACTACTAGGCCTTATGCGTCTTAACTACATGTTACATTGTTTTCTGGAGCATCTCTGATATCGACTATCAGTTTAGCGCATCGAGAATCTGATGCTTCGTAGTCTTTTGGCCATTGTACATTCGGCTTGAGCCATTTCATAGGAAATTTGTTTACATGGCCTTTTGGAAAAGCCTTGAATGTGGTTGGGCTGAATTGATCCCCTAATTCTATAATGATTGTGCAAATACCTAAAGAGAGTCATGGTATCTTGATACAGTGCACCATTTATATAGCGGCTACCCACTATTTGTCGCCATTTCCTCCCAGGCCTACCCTATTTGCCTATGTAGGCCGCTATGGAATTCCTTTCTGTCCAATAATGCACCCTCCCAAACGGATGCGTAGAGTATAATTATTTTCGAATGCTAGGCAATTAGACTTTTCACTCCATAGACTATTCCCGAATTCGTCGGTTACGGCCAAGTTATGGTTGCTCGTGAGTAAAAGGTAGATGTTGGTTGAGGCATTATTACAGTTGGTAAATCAGTATGATATTCGGGTCTAACTATTACCCAAAAGAGAAATTCCAGCCAACATTGTTGCATTTCCCATTGGCCTGGCCATAATTCGAGGGTATGAGCTGGCCAATAAATAATAATAATAATTCGTGTACATAATTCGCCTCAGCGCCCCTACTCCATAGAACACCATTCATCAGATATAAACATCCCCCCTTTCGCAAGGAACGTGGAATACAAATTGTGAAACAAGAAGGCGTTCAATCCTTATCCATGACAAACCAATCCGGGTAATCCTTGTGCTTCCAAGGCACAATACCAAGAGGATTGGCTTCCTTGCTTTTATCAGCGCGGTCAAAGACAGCCTTGCTGGTGTCATCCTTCATCAATTCGGTGAAGTCCTTGATGGATGCCTGCGCATCGTTGACAGACTTCATGAAGGCTGCGTACATAATGTCTGCTAGAGCGGGGTTTAGCATTTGTAGATGCACACATGCACGGCAAAAGGGGCAAGGGGGTGATGCCTTACGCGATGGGTGCTTCTGCACCAGAGGCTCCAGCATCTTGGGAATGGTGTTTCTCAGCTGGCGCTCCTATATTGAGATGCCTGGTCAGCTTTGCCCAACGTCAGTGTCTGGCTGCAATCGGGTAGCTTGCCTTGATATGTAAAAGCTTGAGCCGCTTCATCGCCAGATTGATGGCCTTTTCCTCGGCGGCAATCTGGCTGGCAACATCCCCATCGGGAACTGCAGCCGGGTGGTTCTCCATTTTGGTTCAGTTAAGCAGGCGAAGTGAGCGAAAGGCGAGAGCACAAAGAGCAATGCCCCAAGTCTGTCCGCTTCCCTACACGCTCTCGGAAGACCTGGAATTGGCGAGGTGTATCCAAGCGTATCAAAGAAAGGCCCCCCCACGCAGATACGGGCGCTGATCTGAGCGAGCGAGAAGCGATTCTAGAAGGCTTGGTTGGGGATTGGGGATGAGCAGCGGCGCGTGGGTTCAGTGTGGGTTGACGCAAGGACAGGGACCAAGGTACGTACCCCCGTTGCTACGCAGGGCAGGCTGACTTTGCGCCAAAATGTTTGGCGTCCAATCCAGAGGCTGGCGGTACTTTGGCGGTTGGTTGGACTTTGTACCGGCCACTACCATGAAACGCGGCATCCCAAGCCCGGAAAGTTGCTTGTTACTAATAAACCGGTACTCGATACGGAGCACAGTAAGAATGTAGCTCTGTGCCTGCGCAGCACAGCACGATCAGGAATGCTGCAAGTATAGTAAGCACCTAGCACTGTAATAGTATTGTAATGGTGCTGTATTACTCTTACTAGGCAGATGTTTCTAGATCGCATTGATTAGATACCTCGTCATCAACCCAATCACCTGCTATTGGCTGTGCCATATCCTGAGCTGCGGCCTCCTTGCATCGAGTTCCGAAGGGCTGCATTTCTGGTCTTTACCAACGATGCCGGTCACGTGCAATGGAGCTTCTTCCGGAAGCTTGAAACAGCCCCTGCTTATCCCTGTCCTGGCTTGTTCCATGTTTTGCACTCAGAAAAAAAATGGATGATATGGCCAATACGATATGCTCGATAATCCATGCCTCAGCATTGCTCAGTGTAGCTATGTATGTACATATCTATACGCTACAGATACTAGTGGTAAGATGCCTGTTACGGTAGGAGGAATTCTGAGTGGCGGATCCAGGGCCGCCATACATGATACACACATACACATGATGCTGCAGCAAGGAGATTTCAAGAGGCCGTCCTGCAGTTACCAAGCAGAGCAGATGCAAGCTATTCCTCCATGCGCTCCATTGGCCCAGTTTGCAGTGATAGTGCCTGAGAAGCCGCCCCAGCAGGGATGGGATCGGAAGCGTTGGCACTAAAGCCGTGGTCTCACGCTCGGTACTCTGTACGAGATAGAGTTGGGGACGATTTAGAAGTGACAGGTACGGAGTACCTCGGCAACGCGGCAGCGGAGTGCTAAAGCACGAGTTGTCCCATCTGCATATGCACGCACCTCCAGAACTGTGATGGGGCCACGCCATGCGGCGATGCGATGCGTGATGCCGAATTGAACAGCAGCAGCAGCAGCAGCAACTGGGGATATGCTTGAGACGAGAATTGTAGACTCCATGCTGCTTGTGGAAACAAAGCATGATACCTACAGTGCTGTAGTGCCCTCACCCCATGCCCCAAAATAGAAAAGAAGACGCCATTTAGCCCAGTCATCATCGAGCATCAGCCGAATACCGGCAATCCGCAGCGACAGCTGACAAGAAATACGTAATCGGCACGGCGTCGGGCCCTGTCAGCGCCCTCGGCCGGCTGCAAAGGCGAGGGGGTGGCAGAGAACTGCCCAGCAGAGCAGAAAACTGGGCGACAGGCCGGTGACATGCCCTTTTGTCGTTGCTTTTTGCTCGCACTCGCAGACAGAGGCAGCGCCAGCCAACAAGGTGTTGGGGCCTCTAGCAGGGCCTGGGGGCTCCTCAGTGACTGCAGCTAGACGGTTGTAGCACGCTCTCGCAGCGGCGCTAGCGCCTGGATCCCCTAACGCTAACCAGCTAAAAGGTATAAGTTGCGGCGCAGTGCCCTGTACGGGCTGCCCTTTTTCTCGCACCTACACTGTAGACTCCATTCTCCCTCCGTACTGCTGCTGCTGCTAACGGCCAACGCCCGAATCTTACTGGCCCGCGTCGCTCGGACCGGATCAACGCCAAACCTTGAAACTCGAACCTGCCGACAGTGCGGATTGGAAAAATCCTCACAGCCCGGCCTCTCTCTGCTCTGCATTCCTGCAACCCGCTCACCCAAGCATCGCTACCCGCCCGAACGCGACACCACCGCCAAGAGCTCTTCGCCGTCACTGCACGATTCCAGCCTCAGGGAGCATCTTGCCGCTTCGCTGAGTCCCTCTGCGCGCACCGTCCCGCCCAACTTTGCTCATCTCCCCCGTTTGAAAAGGCCCGCGCCTTTCGCGTTCGCCACCGTGGCTCAACTCATCGCGATGCCGAATACCCCCCCGCCGGCGCTGCTGCCCCCGCCAGAGGGCATCTTCCGGACCTTTGACGACCTGATGGCGTCGGTGCAGCGCGTGGCTAAGGACCAGGGCTACGGCATCGTCAAGCTCCGCGCCTCCAACTATCGCGACGGCAAGCCCACCCGCTACGACCTCGTCTGCGACCGCGGCGGCGTCAAGTACAACAGCACCGCCAAGAAGCGCAACCCGTCCACGCGCAAGATCGACTGTCCCTTCCGCGCAAAGGCCGTCTGCGAGGTCCAGCTGGGAAACCAATGGCGCTTCGCCCTGCAGGAACCGAGACACAACCACGAGCCGCGCGTCCCCTCCGGCACCCCCGGCCAGGAGAACGCTCCCTTGGCGACCTCGATCCGGTCCTTCACCAACAAGCTGGACCGTCTGAGCCACGATATGGCTCAGGGCCTGATGCGGATCGAGCAGCGCCTGGACAACATTGAGAAGCGCATGGAGAATATCGAGGCCCGCGCCGGCGGCTACGAGCCTCGCTTCCAGGCGATAGAACAGCGGCTGCAAGGCATGGAGGGCCCACGCATGGACGGCATGGGCATGGACGATGTCGAATCGCGCCTGTTGGCTTCTACGGTCATGTAGGATTCGATGTCAGCAGCCCTCCGCCTTTAGACGATGAGGTGATGGCTATGACGTGAAGCATGACAGACAGCTATCATCACAAGGAGAAAAAAAAAGACAAAAACAAAAATAACAAAAAACACAACTCAATCAATTACCCTCGTCTTTTTCTTCATCCTTTTTTTTACGGATTTATGCGCAATTCTTCTTTTTTTGCGCACTGAAATGAAAAACGCGGGAAAACGACCGCGCATGACTATGGGTTTATTATCAGCGCCTCTCACGACCCGGTCTCGGCTCTATTCTTCGAGAAGAACAGACCCATGATGACGGAGAAAAAAAAAAGAGGGGACAGAGTTACGGCTCACGGGTGCGGGCCGCTACAAACAAATCACTGGATGGTTTTTGATGGAAATTTTCGGGGTTTACGGTGGTCCACAAAGGGTGTGATGAACGAATGGCGTTCCGGTCGGATCTTTAGTCTGATGACTTGTTGTTTTCTTCTCTTTCTCTCTAAACCTTTGCCGTGTATCCTCATGACTTACACGTGCCTGGGTTTTCTTCGTTGCTGCTAACGGTTTTCGTTTTGATCTCCCGATTTTGTCTGTATTTCCCCCCCTTTTTATGTACTGGTTTTTCTTTTTAAGATTGTTGCTACGCTCAAGGCGGCGCGTAAATGGAATTGCGAGGGAAGGAAAGGGACAAAGAGGGGAAAGGTCGGGCGGAAATCAAATATTTTCTCTTTTCTGTTGTTTGGACGACTCTTTGGTGGTGCTTGTTTTTTATGTCTTCTTCTCCGGGGTGAGGAGGGAGAGAGGCTTTGCGCAAAGGCAGGCAAGACGAGGAAACAACAGCACGTGCGCAAAGTAAAACAACAAATCCCCTAGGGAAATATCTTGTTCTATATGAATCCTTGCAATTCTTTCTTTCTTCTTGTTTCTATGATGGCATGATTCAATCGGCGGTCCACACCCCGTTATATGTCGCCATCATTCAATAACTAACGAATGAGTAACATCTTATGATAGTCTGTGAAGATACCCAAACCATTTCAAGCTCGTCCTCAATCTTCCCTCTAGACCGTACCTATCTTCTTTCTCCTTATTCTTTTCGTTGTTTTCTCATTGCTCTTCAATATATTCCGTATATGAGGCTGAACTAATCACTGAAGGGGTTTGTCTCAAGTATATGAAGTTCTCACCCTCAGCTGATCCTGAGCTTGACACCGATTGGCCATCCATATGCAGCTGTGTCGCTTAACTGGAAGGATTTTCGCCATTTTTGAAAGGGCCCCCAAGTAGCGCAAGGAACCTTGATATGCACCTTTTTCTTTTTCTTTCTCTTTTTTTTTGTTACCCCTTTATACGCTAATGGATTTAAGATGTAGACTGAGGGAATAGAAGCGACGTAGCACGGCATTGCCTCGGTATACATGTACTCCAAAGCCTCTTGGGGGCCAAACAGGGAATATGGAAGGGATTTAGTGTTATGCACATGTTTCCCCTTTTTGTGTAAGAGAAAATACACTGTTGCAGACTTTCTTCTCCCGAGGTACACAAAAGATCGACTTTATTGCATCTTACGTGCGGAGCATTTCGGAGAGTCTTTTTTTTTTGACCCCAGCAGTCTCGAAGTCGTCTCCTTTTTTTTTGTGTCCCCCTTTAGCTAAGGTTGTGCCCAATGATATTTGAGAAAATGTGTGCGAGAAGTATGCGAAGCGTGATATAGCTTTTACTCTAGTCTGTGCTTTGACCATATGCCGGGTGCTGGAGCATTGGGCTCTTCGGAGCTCTATTTTGAACTAGAGCGGATTGTTGGCCAACGGCATTTCGTGATCGACAAGGCTGAGATACAGGGCCGCGTGTAGGTATCTAGCCAGAGTTGGGATATTTGACATGGCTTATCGTACTGAAAGTTCGAATGACCCTCCAGGTGAGATGTTATACTATTGGAAATGCCACGCTAACGCTACTGTCAATAACTTTGCGGCTTGCTATATATTGTTTGCTCTCACTATGACTGTTTCACTATCATTTCTCCCCATTACCTTGTCAATCTTTGAATCTATGCGAATAGACTTCTAATCCAGCCGATACAGCATTGCCGTAATGAGCCCTGTAGAGAAATCAGGCAACGTTTTCATAATGTCTTTAAACTCTGTATCCTTCCATAAATCTTCCACTTTACATGCAGCGTATAGACAGATGAGCGATCTCAATTCATCATCCTGGACCCAGTTTTCAACAGTCTGTTCAAAAGAATACCGTACAAGCTGAATTATATCGCCATAGCTCTCCGCCTGGAGGTTGAACGATGTCAATGCTCGACGTAATTTATTGAGCGCCAAGAATTGCAAACGACCAATTCCGTAATAATCCGCAAATACGTACATCCGCGCGTGGCTGAGAAATACATCAGTATAGTCGTATCCAGCAGACGACCCCAAACTGGGAGCAGGCGCCTGCGACGGTAATGGGTAGAGGGCTTGGAATCTGTTCCATAACATCTGTTTTTTAGTCACACCGATACTTTCAGACATTCCTGATTTCACACCCTTTCTGGAAGACGAGCCGAAGTTTCTAATGGGTGCAGCTTGAATGGGAGCACGTTTGCTAGGCTTCGTTTCGTCGTAGTCTCCAGTGTATACGTATTGGCTAAAGCCAATGAAGACTTCATCGCTTATCTCTTTCCAAATAACGCGCCGTTCTATGGACTCCTTCATCCCTCCATTGATGAGCGCATTCAAAGCTTCGGACTGGTGTGCGACAAGGGCAGAATGGATCGTATGTTCTTTTTCATCTGGACCGACGACAAATGTGAAGGGGGGCGAAGAGGTAATACTAAGTATATTAGCATGCGTTTTATATCAAGAATGCCGCAACTGACTCTTTGTAGGGCATGGACGCCATGCTGAACGACTGAGGTAGAGAATGACATGATTACATGTTAGTTTGAAGCCTGGATGCGAAGTATATAGAAAGTGGGAGCTTGGGCGGCCTACAAGCGGTTAAATAGAGTGACGTCTATACATGTATGATACGTGCATGTATAATGCAACTTGGACTGCGCATAGGTAGCCTATGATTCAGACGCTCTTCTAGTCCCGATACTCTGGCATCTTCGACCGATTCACAGCCTTCTTAACACTTTATATAACGCAAGCCCATTATTGTCGGCGAATTGCATTGCCGGGCGCCTAATGAAGCAAATACCTGTTGAAGCTGAGGCCTCCATATGAACCAACAGTGCTCGAGTACGCGCCATTAATGAGGATTAGAAGCCTGCGGCCGCCCTGCGACCGGCGGCGGTTGGTTGTGTACATGTACCTACATGTTGTTTTGACGGAGGGAGACCCCGCGTTGACCCCTAGGTACCTATAAATAGCAGGGATGGTAACATTGAAGCTTGTGTGCCGTGACTTTTGTACGAATTTATAGCATATTTCGTACTTGATATGAAAGCCATATTAGCCATCTCATAAGTATGCTATAACTGCTTCGCACCAAGATTATGTAGTATGGATTGGTAATCTGTCTGTTCTAGGCGCGTTTCGATTTGCAATATTTTAACGGAATCCGGAGAGACTCGCATTTATTTAGTTCGGGATTCTCTACTTATTGTGCGTATAGAGGTGGTGATATCGCATGGTTTCTTAGCCCCAGTCAATAACGTCCTCAGCTAGCCAGGACGAGGTGCAGACTACATGCCCTATGCGGCGTGTAATCACCATATCGTGGGTTATCAATATTACTGTCCAGTGAATAGACTAGTTACTTTAGCTGATGGGATTCATGGAGAATAAATGCCAAAGCGGCAGAGAACTACTACTACCTATTTGCATCTCCTTTAATCGCACTCAGCTGGATCTGCCTAGGCCTGGGGCTTACTTCCTCATCCCTCACGGATCTCGAATAGATGGTACATTTTTGAGGGTACTGCATATAAGCGAGCAATTGGGCAAAATTTTGCATTCTAAAAATCATTATGCCGACCTCTTTGCATTAAGCCGCATGTGCCTACGAGACCATCAGCCAAGGTGAGACCGTAGAAGGGTCTGAGCCAATTCATTGCTGTGCCAAGATTGATTAGACGCGGAGATTGGCCAGTCCACCAATCAAAAAGATTTTCCATCCATTATACATTGCCATGCTAATCAATTAATAAATTAAAAATGAAATTTATCTGTGGCTTTACATTGGGACGATGCTCGAACCGCATTTATAGATGATGAGCCTTCGCTCATTTTAGACACCAGAAGCGAGAGTGACCAAAGTGTTCATTGCGAATACACTCGTGACGTTTAAACCACACTACTCCCAACTAGTTCAATACATGATTTATTCTTCTCTTGTATATGAAGTCTTGTACTTCCCTAAGAGTATGGGTACCAAAAAGGCGTGTACGACATCGACTCTTGTTTAACGGTTTGTGATATGTTAAATCCGCTTCTTTCTTCATCTTTCCGAGGGTCATTACAGCGTTGTCTAAATGGACCTCTACGAATTGCCATTTCTCTTGAGAAACAAAAACGCTTGATTCCATATCTATTCTTTTATCGTCAGGGCTTCCTTGGCGTGATGCTTGTTTTCTATTGCACCCAAATCTCGCCTTTGCTGGGCTCAATTTAAGAGAAACTTCATACTGCAAATGTGTATTTCACAATACCAATATGCAGCATTATAAATGTAGAGATTAATCAGCGTAGCTGATAAATTAATTGACTATAACATAGATTTTTTATAGAGAAGACACAATTGGTTATGGTAACCTCGGTAATGTCCGCTGGATATAACTTTTGCATACTATAACTTTTGTATTAATAATTTCATGTCGGGCGCCTAGCTACATTTAGTATAAGCACTACTTGGGTAGAGCGACTTTGCTTAGCTGACAATGGCGCTTGACGACATCTCTGTCTATTAGCAGAGCTGCTTACAGCGGAGTTTTGTCGGCATTGAAATGGCAGTGACACAATCAAGCCACTAAAGTGCCTGGATGTCATACAGCACATTAGAACTATAGGCAGATAATATAATATATACAGATGTAAAAATATAAATATAAATATCGATCCATATCCAACTTCCGTCAAATATAGCAACGACATTCATCAGCTCAGCTCTACAATAAATGCGACAGCTATACTATCAATTCTTCGCTCAGTCCCGTCAATACAACAGCAATATTTATCAGCTAAGCTCTACAATACTACAGCTATACCTTTCATCTACGTTGAAACTTCAATCCAGAACAATTCAGAACCTCTCATCAATATTTCGTCTTCAATCAAGACAGAACATTAAAATGAAGGAGCTCGTCATCTATCGCCAGTCCACCTACAAAGGCTTTGTGAGAGAGACTGAAATTCCGTAAGTCATTCGGTTTGGTAACTAGTCCTATTACTCATATCCAACTAGGAAGCCAGGCCCGAAGGATGTTCTCATCAAAGTTGCTTATGCCGGGCTAAATCCAAAGGATTGGAAGGTAATTGATGCAATTATTTGGCCCCGAGCCATCTATAAGCTAACTTCGATAGTCTACCAAAAATCGTGACGAATCAAATGCATTCAACGCCGGCGATGATGTGGCTGGCATCATCGAAGCTGTGGGGTCTGAAGTATTTGAATACAAACCGGGCGACCGTGTTGCAGGTTTCCACAGAATGTTCCAGCCTCATGGAACTTATGCAGAGTACACTGTTGTCCCGGCCTCTACTACTTTCCGTCTGCCCCCCAATATTTCCCTCGAATCAGGAGCCGGGCTTCCTTTGTCCTTTATGACAGCGGCCCTCGCTCTGTACCAGTATCTGGGCGTTCCCCTCCCAACGACTGTTGGTGATTTTCGTCAAAAGACACCCATCTTGATCTGGGGCGGAGCAACTGCTGTCGGGGCATACGCCCTCCAACTAGCTAAACTGAGCAAGATTGGGCCCATCATCACTGTTGCTGGAAATGGAATCGAGTTTGTCCGATCCCTGAACGCAGCAGACCATATTATCGACTATCGAAAGGGAGATGTGACTCGCCAAATCCTTGACGCCGCCGGGCCTGCCCAAATCAAGATTGCATTTGACGCTGTATCCGGACACGGTAGTTATGAGCGTATTACTGAGGTTCTTCTTGCATCGGGCGGCGGCCACATCAATATGGTGGATCCCCCAACCGATCAAAGCTGGAAGTTTCCCGAGAATGTCAAGTTCACTCGCACATTTGTCTCCTCTGCTTATCACGTCTCGCACAGTTTTATCAATGAAGAACAAGCATACGCTGATGGCGAATTTGCGTACTTCTTCTATCGATACCTGAGTCATCTCCTAGTAGAAGGCAAATTCAGACCACATCCTGTAGAGGTACTTCCAGACGGTCTAAACGGTATTCCCGACGGAGTTCAGGCTTTGTTTGATGGTCAAGTCAGCGCTAAGAAGCTTGTGGCACGGTAAGTCAACTTATTTCAACAGACTGGAAAATTGGCTGACACTAGATTCTAGCGTTGGGAAATAACTCCTATGATAGGGAGAGAGAATATGGGGCTTGGATTTTTGATAAAGTAGCTGGGCTCTCTGTAGAGTGACAATACAATAATTACACCACCAGCAATAATATTTGCAATATCTAGTGTACTTATTACAGCCCAACAATAAGTACTTTAGTATTCCTGATGGTAACGAGGCCTGTTTCCCATTCTACGCCAAATCATGGGCTACTAACTCTTCCCCTTGCGGCCCCCATTTCTGGGGGCTAGTTCAAACTTTGCCCCTTTTCAGCTTCAGGTCTGAATGGAAATGGCGCACATTTGCCAAGCTGCGCCCTACAGTGCCACCTGATGAAAAGTAAAGAATTTTCCATCCCCACCCCTCGTTAGAGGTTTGCCAGGTGGCAACATATGACCATCAGTCAACGTATATATCTTCGCCCATTTACAATATTGCTTTGCCGATTTCCAAGTTTGTTGCGCCTAAACGGCTGCCAGCCTCAGTGTTTTGGACTCCTATGTCTTGGACTCCGGATGATACAAAGCAAGTTGCATCAGTGGTTTGCTCTATGGCCTGGAGAACCCAACATCCGTGTATAGAATACCTCTATGAACCCACACTGAGCCATGCACAAGAATTTGCCATTTTTAAGAAACCAGAGTCTTTTGGTGCTGATTTCATAACCAAGAAGCGCAAGCAATTGAGGGGGCTAAAAGTGATTACAGCAAATCATTCATGCGTATTGAGAGATGGTATACTTCCATCGTCTTTACTTCCAAGTCTATTTTAACAAGGAGAATTTATCCTTCTGGTATTCTTGTTTCATGCGCTCTCGACTCTCACTAAAGACTTTTAGCAGTGATTTTATAAATACAAAAGCGCAAGCTGTCAAACTTGGTGAAGTGATTTTCGCGAGTGAATCAATTCTGCATGTTAAGAAATGATTCACTTGCATACAAATTTTGTTTTCAATTATTTTTCTTTTTAACGGGAGTGTTTCATTATTCCTGAAAATTTTTGTTTTATACATCTGATGGTTGCATACTTTTGTGAAATGCGCTGTGTTTCTAGTCTTAGGTCATCCATGTTCAAATCAATTATAACGTCAAAATACTTGGTAATACTCTAGTAGATATTATGAAAATACTAAAACTCTTTTACAACCGTAGCAATCACATGTAGGCTAGCAAAGTTATCCTTCTGAGCAGCATGATTGCTTTATTGAATGTTGAAATTAAGCCATGTACATATAAATACTAATCAGATAGAAGACTTGCTGCAACCTCAGCAATTGTGTAGTATGTACCTTAATCCAACTCCAAGTGTATAAAATAGATGTTTTGGGATGGTGTATGTTGTGATCGAATTCGGACGGATAAATCTAGGCTACAGGTAGATGACAAGATAAACAAGCCCAAGGTATGTGTACATAATGGCCATCAACCAGTAGAGTGGCACAGAGCAATCCATCTGTTTCAACCTCATATACTTGCATCAGCCACAAAGAACCTCGTCTTGTCCTAATCAGGCTGAGCGCTGCGCCGCACCCGATACACCTTCGGCAGTCTCGTCCAATTAATGCCTCGCATTGAGCCAATTGGGTGGAGACGTGGCTCAATTGCAGCACCTCGAGCAAGACTCTCTTCTTGACATCATCGCCAATCCTTGATTTAGCCTCGCAGGAAGCCTCGCACGCGTTGATCTGGCATGTCTTTCCTTCGACTTGCCTCTACTCTGCATCTGTATAGCGGCGTGTCTATTCTCAACCATCATAGCGGAGGGTGAAGCCAATGAGAGTAAAACAGACTGTCCAAACAGCCTAAACCCACTCGACAGAGACGGCATCCACACTGGCACGCACAGCAGCTTGAGCGGTGTCATCCTCATCTGACTATAAAGCGAGCCCCATTGCCTGTTCGGGCAACACGCACCGCTCAACCAGCCGCCACCATGCCGGGTGTGCCAAGCTATCGCGGATGCGATGCATGCAGGAAGCAGAAGAAAAAGGTTCGTTTCTATTGCGCCATCCAAGTCCATGATCGGTCCCAAAATGGAAGTGCGAGGCCACATGGCATGGTCTCTCTCGTGTGTGCTTGCTATGCTTGCTATGCAGCAGCTCAGCCATGATTCGGTATTGGATTTGATATAAGTGGCACTAAGAATAACCACCCTCCAGTGCGATATGGCCACGCCCGCCTGCTCTCGGTGCTCGCGCTTGAAAATCGCCTGTGTGGGCTGTGGCCAGCTGCGATACAAGTTCAAGGACCAGACGGATCTGCAGGTGGTGCGATCGTCTAAGAAAGCCCGAAGCAGAGCATCCCCCCAGTTTGAGACCGAGAGTGACAGTCCAGGGTCCATCATCAGCATTGCGTCCAGCAGAGACTCTGCTCGATCGGGTGCTTTTATTTCTCTGTTGGACATCACCGATCCCAGCTACGATCTTCGCTGCTACGGTCCGTGGTTTAAAGATCTGCCCCGGCGTCTGGGCACCAATGAAGCTCTGGATGCGGCGGTAGAGGCCATGGTAGGATTCTACCCTCACCTGCGAAGGCATGAGCAGTCATCTTTGTCTCGGGGCTCGCTGGTCAAGTATGTAAATGCGTTGCAAGCGCTGAGAACCTGCTTGAATGATCCCCAGAAAGCAAGTAAAGCGGAGACGCTGTGCGCCGTATATATCCTGTTGATTTGCCAAGTAAGTAAATTGCACCAGCACATGTCAATATCCTGAGTCTACGCTAGCTAACCATGTTGCTTTCAATGGTAAAGGGATGGACAGGAAAAGACAATGATCAAAAGGTGAGCCATGGGGAAGGGCTTGCATTCTTGCTTACCGCGGCAGAGTCTGGTCAATCTTCAGACCAGTTCCATGAAACTATACGTGACACCCTCTATGTGCCAGTTGTAAGTTGTCGAACGGCCCATGGTAGTGTTATCACCTGGGCTTTTACTTACTCAATATGTTTAACCAGATTCTAGAAGCCATATTCAACCCCAGAATACGGCTTGGCTCTTGGTTTTTGCGGTTCAAGGATCGCGCCTTTGGTCCACCAGCCCCCATTACTCATGGCGCACAAAAAATGATGAGCCTGGAGTTAAAGAGCCTCGCTCGAATTCCAGATCTAATACGTGAACCTGCCAAATACATTGAAGATATTTCAAACTCATATCAGCGAATGCGCATCGAAATCCCGCTGCTTAAAGCCGCTCTGCACCTGGCCGATGCTCTTGCCTCCAAATCGCCGACGAGCGGATTTATAAAGACTCGTATCCAGTATCAGGTGTCCTTTGGCCTCTTAGTGGGGTGTGCTCTGATTTTCAACGGATATCTGCGAGCCTTTGGAGCTGATGATGGGAACATGGTTGAAGAAGCGGACAACATGGCCAACGATGCCATTAAACTGGCTCACGATGCCTCTCAGTATCGGCCTCTAGGCGCCAGCTTCGTACCCCTGTGCCTCATTCCAGCCTGGACGGCCACGGACGACATTGAGATTCAGCAAAGAGTGGTTGAAGCACTGATGGTCTACCAAGACGACTTTTCGCCCGCCACAAGCAGGGGCTGGTACATCATGGCATATTGGCTGAGAGGTGAGATGGATCGCATTAGAAGCGGATTGGGGCCATCGCCGGTAGAGGATTACAGCGAACGGCAGTGGGGGACAATAATGCTTGATGAGAAGGGCAATATGATGTGCGGTGATGATGTAAGCGATTGGTTTTATTCCTCGGATTGATTGATTCAAGCGATATATGATGTTGCATATACTGGTTTATGTCCTCTTGTATTACAGATAAAAGGATAGACATTTGGTACACTAAAGATACAGACTAACGAATAACTACACGAATAATGAACTTGAAATCGTAATACAATGAACATATAACCCATAATGATTGATGTTAATTCCCTAATCTTCAGTTGTAACAACTAAGCGAACGTTCATTACTCGTTATAAAACTCTGAGAAAGCCACTCGGAAAGTTATAGCCAATAGCCGCTGGCAGTGAAGAGAGCCGCCGGCAAAGGCCAGAATCTTCCGATATGGAGACTTTTAAATCTGCTGCCGGGGCTCTATCTGCTTTATTTTGAGTTTATCTCATGTACTTTTTTTCTGGCTGCGTCGCGTTCCATTCATTTTATATCAGTGACTACCATGGCACGACCCGCTGGTTCCGAGATTTACTCCATTGCCCAACAACAAGAGCGGCGGCTTCTCATCTGATCTTGAATGAAGCTTAAATTCAAGATTAATTCCCTCTTTGAATTTCCTTTTGGCTTCACTCAGCTACTACGTATTTCAGATGCTGGAATAAGGCGCTGACGTGTGACGAGCTGCTGTGAATAAGATTTGCAAAGGGGCGGAGCACCTGTGGGGTCCCGCAGCATCACATCAGCTGTTAGACAAAGTTAAACCAGCTGCATTTAAACCAATTCATCCAAAGTCTCATCTCGGATTCATCAGCATAATTCAATTGTTCTTTTTTTTATTTATAGAAAACAGACGTTCCGTCAAAAAAATGGTCCCTCAGTCTCGAGCCTGGTTCTGTCCGTGCTCGTGCATGGGCGGATCGTCTGACAGCGAACAAGAGCATCACCAACAGCCACCGGATGCTGCGCGGCCTCCCGTGGACGCCACCAATGGCTACCAGACGCGTCCTCCGCATGTGTCTCGCGATTATATGAATGGTGTATATTATCCCAGCTGGCTGGTGTACAAAGACAAGACGCCTGCGACTCTTGACGTTGGCAATATCACGCACATCTTCTATGCCTTTGTTGGGTAAGCTCTGCCTTGGCAGGCTTATATACAGCTCAAGTCTACGGCTAATATTATATGTACAGTGTTAATGAAGATGGTTCTCTTCGAGTATGATGTAAAATCCATGCCTGTTGCTGAGCCGTGTAGCTGATATCGCGATAGTGGATCGATGAGCACGCCGACTTAGTCAAGGATGTCGATGGCGAGAAAGGCGCTCTGCATGCCCTTGCAAAACTCAAGCGCCAGAATCCTCATCTCAAGACTATTGCTTCCATAGGAGGAGGCGCCGATAGCAAACAGTTTTGTACGCTGGCTGCCAGTCACAACGGGCGACAGACGCTTGCGAAGCAAGTCCGCCATCTTTGCGACCGCTATAAACTCGATGGCGTTGATAGTATTTTGCCTCATTCCGTGATCAAGAATTTCTACTTATACAATTCCAGTTGATTGGGAACACCCTAAAAACACGCACGAGGGTCATGACTATGTGAAGCTTCTCCAAGAGTGCCGCAATGCCCTTCCCGAAAAGACTCATCTTCTCACCACCGCTCTTCCGGTTGGTCAGTACATTCTCAAGCATATCGATCTCCGAGCAGTGTCTCACCTAGTCAATTACATCAACCTCATGGCGTACGACTTCACCGGCTCCTGGACAAGTGTCTGCGGTAATCATGCGCAGCTGCATTCCCCACGCGGCGGTCTCCAATCTTCATATCCAGAACTCGGCGTGTGCGCGACAGATGGCGTCGAGTACATCTTATCCAAAGGTGTCCCTAGTCGAAAACTTGTCTTTGGCGTTCCCGCTTATGCAAGATATTTCCCCGTCGCCGAGGGACCAGGCTGCTCGACCGAAGGCGCAGGAGAAATGGACTACTACGAGATGCCGGATGAATGGGTAGACAATGCCGTGGTTGAAGAAACATCTGTGGCAGCTTGGTACGTAGATCAAGATAGTGAGAAAGGTTACATCACGTTCGATGTTCCGAGGACGGTATATATGAAGGCCAAGTATGTAACTCACAAACATCTTGGGGGGCTGTTCTACTGGACGGGCACTGGTGACAAGCCTGGAAGGTTGAGCTTGGTGGCTGCGGGGAAGAGAGGGCTTGACGAATAAAGTATGTAAACCTGAGCTGTTATATATTCCAAGTGATTCACTACTAATATCAATCAGATGCAATCACTGATAGGTTGGCTTAGTGGCACTTTCCGTATTCCAGAGTGAAGCAAAGTGTTATGCTTTGGCCTTGTCGTAGCAGCTAGAAAAGGGATTACTCTGGGAAACAAAACTCTCTTCTTGATCTTTACTTACTGCAGCATCGCCTATATTTTGTCCCTATTGAACAAGAGCCAACAGTTCTTTTCTCTGATTAGTTGACCTACTCTTCGCCTATACTACTTCTTGTAAGCCGCATCGCCAGGCCCTGGATAAATGATAAACCCACAATACTGACGATTAATTTCAGCAAACAAGTTTCTCAATCGAATTCCACAGAATTTTCGTACTTTCTGCTCTAAAGCTGCACAAATTCGCAAACATGGGAATGTTCTTTTCACGACCTTCCGAAGGGAGCGATTGTGACAGTGACACGGACGAGAACGCCGATCGACATGGATTTCGTCGTCGGCTTTGGGATGCTACGCTGGGGAAATTTCGCTGCTTCAAGAATTGGTGGATATGAATACGCCAGAGAAATGGGCGAGTGTTTCACAAAGCATTTGTGAAAAGTGTTGCTGTGTTATTGATTCAAAGGTAAAGACGGAATGTGAAGCGCCGGTATTGGGGCTTGTAAGATAAAATAAATACATGAATAAAACGCCGGCCATCTTCAGCAATGCATTATTCTGTTAAGAGCTCAGGCTTACACCTCCCATTTTGGATGCAATATCGTCGACGTCGTCAGCTTCCGATCCACGTACATGCCATTTTTCTTCCGTGCTAATTGTCAACCGAGCCGAAAAGGTATTAGAGTCAGCCCTTTTTATAATCGGTGAAGCTTTCTCTTCCACAATATTAAAAGTATCCTGGCGCACTCTGTCCAATACTCTGTTTATCATGAGTTGTCTTTGCTGCTTGGCCTCCTTACCTTGATGCGGGAAAACGTCAGGAATGCGCCAGCTAGGATAGAAGTTGCCGTGGGAGATTCGATGTTCGACATTAGATCGGTGCTCTTGGAAATAATAATCGCACAGCTTACAAGTCCGCTTACTGCTTCCGATGTACGCCCAACCATTGAAAAACTTCTCAGGGGCGACTTCTTCTGGCTTCAACAGCCAGTTGAGCAAGATAACTTCTGCATGTGCGATAGGCTTGAATGTTTTCTTTTTGAATTCTGTATGAATTCGAGCGTCGAGGTCGAACGCCTGCAACGATTCTGCAAAATTTCTGTAAAGTTCAATGTCTTCTGGGTTGCTGGTCATGCGCCCAACTATGCCATCGGCTTTCTGGATCTTCTGCCGAGCTGGCTTCTCCATCGGGCGACTCGATGAGAGGAAGCCAACATCCGGATTTTCGAAGAGGCTGGGCCATACTCTCTTTGCACGTAAGAAGAATTTCGCTGATTGCGGGTAGGCCAAGATACGATTCATCGTATGGAACAGCAATGACCAACATTCCATGCTCGTGAAGCCGGGAATTCGATCTTCCAAAGCGCGGCTCTTGATCGCTGCGCCGGCTGTGGATTTTTCGAGTTGGATCAGAAGCTGGATAGTTGTCTCGCATTTATGCATATCTAATCCAATATAAAAGGTTAGCAGCTGCTTGTACTCCTTTTCAACTAAAACCTTACAATCAACTTCTCGATCTCTGAGGGGGTCTGAGCCAAGAGGAGGAGAAACTAGAATTTTCTTTAACTCTTCTGCAATGAGGCTGTCTAGATATTATTAGTTTCTTCCCTCATCATAAAAAATCTCCAATATTGAATAGATACCTTCCGGATTAGCCGATTGGCACCTCCCAAGGCACATCTCTGCCTGAGACCGGAGGTTACGTAGATAGAAGGAGACTCGGGGTCGATTGAAACGCAGAATATGGTAAAGCAGCGCCCCCCTCGCTTCATGTTGGTTTTTTTCGCCTTGTGGTGCCTGGTTTATTTTCCGAAATAGAGCTCTGACATATATCGCTGTGTCTTGTAGTTGGCCGTCAGTCTGCCGGTTGACTGCGAACACGAACTGAGCTTTCGAAGGGTCCCTTTTGTCTGGGAGTGCGACAAAAGATGTGACAGTACGACCCCCTCTTTCGTAATCGCAGACATGACAAAGCTTGTTGTTGACAGCACAGAAGAGCTGCTTCGGGTCCGTAATGTCGATGTTTGGCTCGGGCGTAGGCGGCTTAGCTGTATGTTTAACTGCCTCGATAAGCGCCGTGAAAAGTATAATAGGTTCGAAGAATCTATAAACGGCTTTGGGTGCAGACGGAACTGGATCTTCTGTGGTCATGTCTAAAGGTAGCGAGGCAGATGGCGAATCGGTTATACCGCTCTGAGACATGATGTGTATAAGATGTGTGAAGTGTCGAAAACTAATATATATTTCTAGACTTTTTTTTTTCTTTTGCTCGCTACTGAGGATTAATTATGCATTGATGCTAAGTAGAATTAATGTCTCTGAGAATTTACACCCTTTCTTATACTTTTGCATCGCGCAGCTGTTTTGTTCTTGACAATTGCGACTCAACATGTCAAAAATGCCTTGGTGTTGGTCGCGGCCCTCCCACATTAATCAAGTCATGGCAAACGCGCGTTGGGCAGTAACAGGTCAATCAATGCGGAATACATGGGACTATTGCGCCTCAAAATCAACCAATCTAAGTGAACCATTCAGAGCCTGCATGCAATCGATTATGCGGGAGTTAATCCAGACAAAAGAGGGCACCAATGCGACCACACTTCGGCGGGAGGCCAGAATCGCCCCTCCAAGCGGTAGGCTGACTGATCCAATCAGGCTGTATCACACAAGCAACCAAAGTCCTACGCGCTGAGTTGGCATGCCTCAATTCGGCTACGTATCGCAGCCTTGCTCCACGGGAAAATAGAGATTGGCTCATCTTGTGGGGGGAATGATACTGCTTGTGGCCTGACTGCTACGTTGTGTACTGCAGGCGATTGACGGACCAACATCAACTTCAAGTTGTTTCTCAAAATCGAAACAGATAGAATCAGAAGACGTCCTGGAAGTTTATAAATATCTCTACATTCTAACCTGCGCTCAATTTTTTTTTTCTCCCTCTCTGTTATGTAGAGTCAGCCTCACGGGCTAGGCTGCCTTTTCCAATTTTGGGCACTCAAAAGTTCCGGGCGCGTCCGTTTGTTTCATTAAACGCTGGTCCAACGCGAATTATTGAAAGAATTTGTCGGTGCTGTATAACATCTACGACTACTATGTAAGTAAACTTATCACGTCTGCTTCTACTTTAATCGTCCCTACATCCCGGTGTCCATGCTGACAAGATCTGTAGCTCAGCAGGCGCTTAGAAACATTATACTGTTGTCAATTGCATAGAATTGGTACCGAATTTAATACTGCTTCTATCGGAAAAGATGGATGAGCTTGATGGAACATCACAGGCCCGTGGAGAGGATGATGATGCTTCGCTACTGAGACCTTTGCAAAGGTATGATGACGATGACTATGATTATGATTGGTGGTCAGATCCAGAAGGCCGTCTGATTGAAGGCGCAAATGACCAGCATTCTATTCATCTACCTTCTTCTCCTGAGTATGAGACTGAGCCCGGGTTAAGCCCAGACAGCAATCTTCAGGAGGGCCATTTCCCGACGCCTATGTCGATTGACCAATATCCGGGCATACCAATCACCCCGTCTCAAGATGCTTTTGAATCAAGCAATGCTATGTTGACTCATGGCGCTCCCAACCCCTTGATGTAGTTGGGGGGTCAGTCATGGCCTAACTCCGAATCCCATACCCTTGGGTCGGCTGTGTGTTATGATGCGGGATTGCCAGGGGATGATAATATCTTGGGATTTGAAACAACAAATGACCCGACATTGGAAAACTATCAAAAAAACAATATAAGATATGATTTACAAAACTATACATCAATCAATATGCAAGACTATACACAAAACTATCCACCAGACTTTGCGCAAGACTTTGAGCAAAATTATACAGAAAACACTTTTACGACAAATCATTTGGAGGAAATGAACGCAACCGATAACTCTCCAACTTCCGGCTTCAATGCAGTTGCAGTTGGACCAAGCAATGCTTTTGATGACGGAGAAATGGATATTGACTCAGCTCTTGTCAGCCTGGGAACTGAAATGGTAGCTGACATCACGAAAAACTCTTCTGCTATCACTAGTTATCATAATCCTTCCTCTGAGACAGATAACAATGGTTAGCACTTCGCTCAATACGTTTTTGCGTCGGCTGCTGACTATTTTCTTAGGCTGCCGCAAATCCGATCATCTTTGGTGCTGTGGTCGATGGTTTGAAAATAAAAAGGGTACATATAGTTTTCGGTGAGTACATATCTTCTTATGCATCCATTCTAAATGCCGTCTTATATCAATGTATACGCGACTAACATGTAATTAAACTGCAGAAAACATCTGCGGACGCACAACCCGGAACTATCGTGCATGGCCCCCATTGAAAGCTGCAATAAAAAGTTCAAGATGTTTTCAACCATTAAAGAGCTAAATAAGCATTATCGATCGAGTCACAGACTTTGGGCAGACGCAAATGGCATTCCAGACCCAAGCTGTTTTTGCGAGGCATGTGGAACGACGTTCACCAGGCCTGATAATAGGCGCAGGCATTTAAAAAATCTTAACTTTTCAAAGTGTGCTGAAACGATCGAACAGATGGAAAACAACGATTTTTGAGTTATGATTGTTATCTAAGAATTAAAATGTCGGATTTTTTTCCTTTTGTCTTTCGTTTTTATGAGGAGAAAAGGTAGCAGCATATAACAAACAAATGAGTCTTATACTAAATGCTTTTCTACCAGTGTAATGAAGTCTACAATATTAAATGGGCCTTACCAACAAAAAAAAAGGGGGGAGGGGGGGGTGAAAATGAATAATAAAAAAGAAAAAAAAAAAATACGAAAAAAAAAAAAAACCTTTTCCTGTTAGAAAAGAATAATTTAACTTTTTCCATGCCTTGCAACGAGAAGCAATCGCTTTGTTCCGGAAAGTGCATATCCCCCGATAAAGAAATAATATGCACCAATTACAGTCAGCCGTCCATACGTCATGCCGGACCTTCATTACTCGTGAACAATAGCTATATGGCAGCTCATTTACTGATTCAGCTGCTCATTAAATTCATCGCACTCTCTGGAAAGAGAATAATTATAATTTGATTTCAGACTCTTGATAACTGTTTCAACCTTTTCCTTAGTCTAACTGCACACGCCTGTGCTCTTTAGCTACTTTCACATTCACTCCCATGTCGCCATGGCCATCCTGACATTCACCCTCAGCGAGGAGGGCGTAACGGCGTTTCGCGACGCCCTCAATTGCTTAAGCAAGTTTAGCGAAGATGTATCCATCGAAGCGCGAAAAGATTCGGTGGGTCATTGTCTCTTGAAATTGTCTCTATACCGATACCAGCTGCTAATTCGACGAGTAGTTCTTCCTATCTACAATGAACACATCAAAGTCAGCCTACGCGAGCTTCCGGTTTGCGACCAACCGGTTTTTTGGGCGCTATCAGTACCAAGCCACAGGACAGTTTCAAGACAAGTTCTACTGCTCCATGTACATAAGAGTAAGGTCTGCTCTTTGCGGATAGAATCCTACCAAGCTGACTGGATTGCCTCTCCGTCTTTCTAGGGCTTAATCTCTCTCTTCCGCAGCAGATCTGGAGTGGAGTCTCGGGGAGATGTAGACAAACAAACCATCATAGATCGGTGCGACATCGCCATTGAAGATGGAGAAGGCGTCAAAAGCCGTTTTATTGCCCGCATAATTTTTAGGAATGGACTGACAGCTACCCATCGACTCCCGTTTGAAGTCAGCATGCCGGTGCACGCCAAATTCAACAGGCAGGAAGCCCTATATCACTGGAGTATCTCATCAAGAACATTGAAGCAGCTGGTGGATCACTTTGGGCCTGGAACAGAGTATCTCGAGGTCAACACCGATGGCGACCATGTTAACTTCACTTGCTTTAGCGAGAAGACTATTAGCGACGATGGTATGATGGAATAGCACCTAATGGTCTCATGGAGCGGGCGAGCTAACGTGTGAAACAGCGGTTCTTAAGAAACCTCTGCATACCTCGATTTCTGTTGAAACAGACGAATTCGACGACATTGACGTAGAGGACAAGCTCCAAATCGTCGTCTCCATCAAGGACATTCGAGCAATTACTCAGCACGCAGCCATTACTGGCAACGCCATTGCCGCACGATATTCCCTTCCTGCACGACCAATGCAATTATCGTACGCCAGCGACGCCATCTCTTGCGAATTCCTCATCATGACAGTAGGTGAGCGAGGAGGCAATCCTGCGCAAAGGACCAAAAAGGCCCGTAAGGGCGCCTCAAGTAGCAACAACCATATCCCGCCACATCTAGAAGCCACTTCACGCCGCACAAGCGCAGCACCTTCGCAAACCTCGGCTGAAATTCAGCGACAACAATCCGAAATGCCACCACCGGCATCATCACGGCAGCCATCGAACCCAACCCCTCGGTTGAGTGCTGCTAAAGCGAGCGCCTCACGCATTGGCGCTTTTGATTTCCGACCTTCACAGAGACCACCGCCGCCTACACTGAGATCTGAAAGCCTCTTTGTCGACGATGAGGCGTGGGAGCCCGTTAGGGACGAGGATGAGGACGGTGATGAAAATGCAAGATTGGAATGGGATCATAGTGCTGACCCTGTAAGTGACCTGGTGAATTGCTGGTAATGTTTTGTGGCTGACTTGGAGACAAGAATCCTTCTATTTCGCACATGAGCCGCGGCGATGACATTCGTACTGGTAGCTATGAGCCAACAAACGATATAGACGCCACAGGAGCAGCGGCCGAGTCAACATACGTGGATCCAACTCAGAGACTGTCCGATGTCAAAGGCTTGAATCTGTTTCCCGACTGAAGCTGAGGTCAAGGAGCATCATGCATTCACTATTGTTCACGTTAGGGTTTGGTTACTATTGGAAGAGATGGTGGTTTTAGCTGGATGTAATAGATATCCAGCTAGTGGCACAACCGGCGCCTATGTTATCTATTTTACTCTCTGGGGGGATATGCTTTGACGACGCAATGACATTCCATCTTCCCTTGACGTCGTTATTGTCCACTTGCGGTCCGCAGTTGCCATGTTCTCCCCAACCCCAAGACAAAACATCACCCTCTACAGAGAGTGCAACAACGTGTTCGCTACCAATGGCAATCTTGTCAATAGAGGGGAGATTTGGCGGCGGTAGTTGACCATGATCATCTCGCCCCCAGGCTTTCAAGCTTCCATCTAGTCCAAGAATGTAAAAATTGCCCCAGCTTGCTCCGACATCCTTCCATGGCGGAGCTGCTAAAGGGGCATCTGAAGTTAGTCCCCATTTGTCTGACCCCAGGACACGTAGGTTGCCGCTCCCAGATTCTCCAAAGAGACATGTAGACTCCTTGGCACAAACTGCTCTGACGACTTTGAAGCTCAAGCCCTCGACTTTCCTAGGAGAATAGATGACTGCGCCGGGTTCGCCAACCTGAGACTTGCGGCAATTTCCCCAGCCATACACATCGCCATTGTCCAAAACTGCAACGACGTGTCCCATACATGCTGACAGGTCCACAACCTCAGTCCCGGCTGGAGGAAAGTCTTTAACCCTTGTAGCTGACGGCGTCCGAACAAGTAATTCGCCCAATCCCAGCTCTCCTTTCTGCCCGATGCCGAGACTGAATACCTTGGTTCGCTTTCCCTGCTCATCTTTAGTCACAATGACAGATGCCTCCCAGGTCGCCTCAACGAGAGCAATCTCTCCAGCTGGTTCATCCTTTGAGAGCCGAGCTTCTAGAAAAACCGGCACGTTTGGGAATGGACTCAGCCCGCAGGCTCCACTGGCCGGGTCTCCACTCCAATATAGTTTGCCAGATTCCGTGAGAAGCAGAGTGTGATTTCCGCCAGCTGCGACTTTGACAATTCGAGAGCTGGGCTGCTCAGGATGGAAGAGCACAGGCTTTGGCACAGAGACATCTTCCTTGTGGCTTATACCGAGTTGGCCGGATCCATTGGAGCCAATGGCATATACGGCATCCATTTTTGCAAAAATTACTAGCCAAGCACGATTATGGCGAAACCGGACAAAGCTCTTTCGTGTGGTGCGGGATACTGCCTTGAAGCTGACTTGACAAGCCCGGATAGCTGCATGGGCGTCTTTATTTCGGCATTCCCACGATATCGATATCGGACTATCGAGCCAATGCCCCGCTACGCCGCTACGTTGTGCTTACTCAGCAATCCTTTGATACCCACCTAAACCTACCGGCCCATATTTAACCACATCTCGCGAACTTTTTTTTTCTTTTTCAGCTTCTTCCAATCCTAAACCTCAACCCAACCTTTTTTTCTCTTCCTCGCTTCTCACCAAGCAGGCTGAACAAAAGAGAAGACAGGAGAGGACTCTGTGAATACAGCAATTGGAGACCTGTGCTTTCAAGATTCGCGTCGGGCAGCAGGCGCAATGGCTTCGACACCAGTCGCCAGCATTCCGGCGGGGATGGAAAACTTCACCGTCGGGCTGATTGGCATGGGCGACATGGGCAGGATGTACGCCGAGAGATTGTCTGAAGCTGGCTGGAGGTGAGTTTTTTGCATTGATGTGACGTCGGATATGTTTTCTTTCCGCCTCTGGGGGATCTGTCTCTTTTTTCAAGGTAAGCATAACTCCTCGTTTTCTTTCTCCCCATCGCCGCCCACACAGTTTTTCATGATGACAAGAGCGCATTTGGCTCGAGTATTGTGCAAGGACGCCTGGCCACCGTTCCGGTTGGTCAGGCTCAGCCTTGTGCTTTCGGTGATGAAAAAGCTAGCTACCTAACTTTTTTTGTCTGAAAAAATTCTTCATTACCCTTTTTATTTTGACTCATCTCTCTTTTTTCACATAAGCAAAGAAGCTAACAGTCAAAAAGAACTCTAGATTTACTCTTTGGCCAATCATGGTTACTATTTCACGTAGACTTTCTTGATCGCTATTCCCAAGACCGAGTAATTAACGTACAAGTTTCTTTCCAGAATCCTGGCGTGTGACAGAGAAGATAAATACGATAGCCTAAAAGAAAAATACAATGGAAAAGTACGCAACGCGCTGTTTTCTACATGTTATAGTGATATCTCTTCGCTGCCTCTTTTTCATCTTTTTATTTTCTTTGCACTTTTCATATTATTCTCCTTTTCCATCGTGACCGAACTCAGTTGCTGAAGCCTGTCTCTCTCCATCTAGAAGAACATTGAGATTCTGCGAAATGGCCACCTCGTATCCCGTGCGAGCGACTACATCATCTACAGTGTTGAAGCCGCCTTCATTGATCGTGTGATTGCTCAGTATGGACCTTGTAGGCGCATCAATCATGTCCTTCTAAAACACAAGTGTGTCCAACTTGACTAACATGATGACTGCCATCTAGCAACCAAGATGGGCGCCATCGTCGGCGGCCAGACATCGTGCAAATCTCCCGAGATCGCAGCTTTCGAAGCTCACCTCCCCTCAGACGTCTACATCCTCTCCTGCCACTCTCTCCACGGCCCTGGCGTCGATCCCAAAGGGCAGCCGCTCGTTCTCATCCAGCACCGAGCCCCAGATGAAGCTCTTCACAAGGTCGAAGCCGTCCTGAGCTGTCTCCAGTCCAAGTTTGTCTATCTCTCAGCCAAAGAGCACGACCGCATCACCGCCGACACCCAAGCCGTCACCCACGCCGCCTTCTTATCCATGGGCAAAGCATGGCACGCCAACGCCCAGTACCCCTGGGAACTCAGCCGCTACATCGGCGGCCTCGAAAACGTCAAGATGAACATCATGCTGCGCATCTACTCCCAGAAATGGCACGTCTACGCCGGCCTCGCCATCCTCAACCCCGAAGCCCGCGACCAAGTCGCCCAGTACGCCAAATCCGTCACCGAGCTCTACAAGCTCATGCTGGAAGGCAACCTCGAGGGCCTCAAGGCCCGCATCTACGCCGCCCGCGATAAAGTCTTTGGCCCGTCAAAAACCTGGGCCAACCGCCCCCTGCTCGAGGCCTCCATCCTCACGTCCTTTTCCCTGGGCACCCTCACGGCCGAGACGCCCGCCCGCCCCAACAACCACCTCTCGCTGCTCGCCATGGTCGACTGCTGGGCCGAGCTGGGCATCGTGCCCTACGACCACATGCTTTGCAGCACGCCGCTGTTCCGCCTGCGCCTGGGCGTCACGGAGCACCTCTTCCGCAACACCGAGATGCTCGACGAGACGCTGCGCACGGCGACCGAGGACAAGCGCTACCGCAGCGACGACCTGGAGTTTACCTTTGCGGCGAGGGGCTGGGCCGAGTGCGTCACGCTGGGCCACTTTGAGACGTGGGAGAAGCGCTTCGTCAGCACGCAGGAGTTTTTCCAGCCGCGGTTTGCGGATGCCAAGAAGGTTGGTGATGAGATGATGAAGAAGGTGCAGGCGAGTATGGATGAGAACCTCAAACTGGATGAGAAATGAATGAGGTTGGATGAAATGTGAAATGGAGAAACGTACATGTTTATGTTATGAGTATGATTTGCTTGGATATTGGTTTTATATTTTGGATTACCCTAGAGCGATGGATAGAGCTTATAGTTTTGGACTGGGTAAGAGGAGGGAGTTTTCTTTTGTATTCCTTTTTTTTTTTTTACAAAATTTCTTTCATTGTAGATGAATTTATAGAAACACTATACATACAATGAATCAAACGGTTATAAAATAAGTAGCAAGTGTATGGATTCTATTACTCTATCTCAGTGCAAGAAGCAGCATAGAAGAAAAACTCCCCGTCGGTTGAGCAAATGTCCGCCCCCCTGAAAAGCATCATCTCGCTCATCGATCTAATATATCATATTGACTCAAACAAACGCTACCAAGCTTTGAAACCGAAACAAGTATAGTACAGAGAAGAAATGCAAATTAAAAGAGCCCTGTGAGGAGAGTATTGAATCAGGCCTGCGTAATAACATCTGGAACCCCTAGCTCGACGCTCTCTTCTAGCACTGCTATGCCATGAGGAACTTTTAGGGGCAAGGGAGTAAACTTTTTGCTCGTTGGGTGTGACGATCCAGCAGCTGGTTTGTTTGATGATTCGTCAAGGCTTAGCTCACGAAGATGGCCGATGACATGACCTTCAGCTGGCTGCGATGTATCTGTTTCGGATGATGGTGCGCTCTGTGCTCTCTTGGAGGAAGTGCTACTACAAAGATGATAGTTATTACTCCAGACACTAAATAACTAATGCAGTTAGAAAGCTGCTGCAGCTTACCTGTGATCATCTTCTGTATTCTCATTTCCCGGCAGATTGTTCACTGAAGGAGGAGGTGTCCATTGCTGTGGATCAAAAGTATTCGATGTAGTATTTTCTGAAAGCGCACCCAGATTCTCACACCCAGGAGAGTACTTCAAATGTCCAGAGGTGATGTTGGATACCATGGGCATTAGAGACCAGTCATAGTCCGCATCATACTCTTCTATCTCGGCGTCATCTGTTCGTCTTGTCCATAGAATACGTCCGCGAGCGATCTGGGCGTCGAGCAAATCCATGACACTCATCGTCGACGCGGGCGAGTCATGCTCTGTACTGGCAGGAGAAGAGCGAGGCTATCATCAGATTGTTATTAGTCCGAACATTGACGTCTTCCAACAATACTTTAAACTCACCAAGGGGACTGGGCGACAGCCTATATTCAGGAGGATGCTCGCATCTATGACAGGCCGCTGGCCAAGGAGGTGGAAGCTGTACCCAGCTGCGGCAGTAGGGGGTACTTCCCCGTTAGCAACGGCGTTGAGACTGAGAAATGCGCGGTCTGCGTAGCTTGGTCGACAGTTTTGGCAGACACGATACTGACATTCCTCTTGCGGGCTACACAGCCATGGTTTTTGAAGCCCAATGCTACACGAAGCACTATCTAACCCGTAGGGCTGAGCGAGGCGGCTGAGGATCGCGGCACTGCTCTTCTGAATTTTGTCTCGCTGGATAGCAAGCTGGACCTGTGTGATGATTAGCAGCAGAACGGCAGATGTGCACAGCTTCGAGCATCGAATTGTACCTACATTTTCACGTTGTCTCAGTATTTTTGCAATTTGGTCGGGATGATATCTTGCAAGCTGTTTCTGGCTAATCTCCTTGAAGAAGCTAAGACGATCTTCGCGAGCAGCAGGAGTCCCTTTCCGTATGCCCATCATTGGGGTCAGTTGACAGCCGACATGATCCATATTGACCTGCAAGAGCGACAGTTAGCATTTCGCATAAATGACGAGCAGGAACACCCGGTTTTTCCAGCATCTTGTTGCCATACAAACTCTCCTTGCCTTACGGCGTGTTCGATCAGGTCCTCTCTATCTTGCGTACACTGGTACAGCCATCCAGACGGGCCAGGATAGCGACAGCTGGAACAGAGGAGAGTTGGGCTGTAGATCCTCGTCATTGTGGCGTGGGTGCATTGCGGTTCAAACGTTGGATGCCTGTGGAGGCCTGGAGGAGGGTGTTGATACATGGTGGGAATCTGGACGATTTTGAACTTGGATTTCTTCGACGAAGAGCAACTTTGCGATTTCCAGAGCTGGTGCCTCCAAAAGCAAGAGGAAGGGAAAAGATACCCGAGAAAAGAGAATCCCCAGCCACTTTGAATCGTAACAATGCTTGGACGAAGAATGCTGATGGGAGTGAAATGTAGGGCAATGGAGAAGCCGGCTATAATTTCGATGTAAAAAGATGAAAGCTGATGACTTTTGGGTTTTCTCCATTCTCTTTCTGCCTCCGAGACGAATTCAGGGCTTTAGGTGAACGGGACAGCTGAAAGACAGAAGCTTCCAGGCGGTCAGGCACTGCGCGTGACTGTCTGCCAGTGCCAACCTCGAGGCGAGCAGCCGCCATTGCAGTGCTGAGGGTCAACTGGGCGAGGTCTGTATAGTGGCTCTGCTCATTCGGCCGAGGCCAGTGCTAAAACCAAAACCTTGGGTTGAGCTTCACGGAGTTCGTTATGAATGGTCTTAGCAGTGCTTCCAAATGGAGCATAAATAATATTGATGACTCGGCGGCTGTGTCATCTATGCTTATGCTAAGTGTGTTACAGCGCAACAGCTCGGGGCAACTGCAGGCTTGATGTTTGGGCGGCACAGAATGGTCCAAGAGGCGCATAGTTTGTGTAACAGCGAGCTTGATATGTTAATAGGTACTAGTTATCATGATGAATTGTGCCGTTGACGAGAAGCCGGGCTTGCTACAGACAGTATTGGCAAACAAGACGCAAGACGGAACACTCCAGCCAATTAGCTGTAATAGCACCTTGGTAGACACTCCCAACGCTTGCTGTCTACCTAGGTAGGTACCTACCTGGTAGTGGTCTAGCATCGCACATACAAGGCTCTGGCATCTCTACGCATTCTCGATACCAGCAAATCAGCATCAGCCGCTGCACAAGACACTGCGCCATTGTCTGTTTATTGACAATAATGCCCATCTCCTTTGATTACCATCGCCTGTAGCAGCATGCACTAGCTCGCATAGGACGCAATATTGGCCAATGAACGCGCGGGGATGTCTCTGCTATCGGCCCTCCACAATATTGTATGTACGTCACTTATCGGGCCCAATAGCAACAGGAACCTAAAAACTCCAAACACACACACATACACACACACGCAGCTGCTGCTGACACACACAAACAATCGAGCTGCTGCAGATACCGCCGCCTCTCCTAAGCCCGCTTGCAGCATCGCGTACTGCCGAGGTGGGAATAACAATGGCCTGTGCGTCGACGTCGTGCAAACGCTGCCACTGCCGGCACACGAAGCTGATCGGAGGCGTTCTTGACAGCAAATTAGGCGGTGCAGTCATCGTCCATCTGCACCATGCACGACACGCGCGTGGCTAAGCTGCGCACGCCCAAGCCCAGATTGGCACCTTGAGCAAGCATCCGGCAGCCACTGCGACCATCCAATCTCGCTCCCCCAGCCGCCTTCTTCGGCGCGGCCAGGGACCAAGAGAAAAAAAAATAAGATGGTTGCTGTGGAGAAGAGAAAATCACGACGGTCCCGTCAATAAAGCCTCGCAAGGGTCGGCGATCCAGCCAATGGCACGCGCGGCAGCTCAGCGCAGCTCTCAGCAGAGCAAAAACAAACGGGCTCGTAACCCGTAAGCTAAAGAGCCTTGACCCTGTCCAGAGGCGTCGCTCCGGCTGCTCTCATCATCTCAACCCCTGCATGCGCTGCGTCTTAGCCTCGACCCAACTCTCCAATCGAGAGGCCGCAGGCGCCCACAATTCGCCCACAGAGCGCCCACTTTCAGCCAGCAACAGAGTCGCGACGCCTGCGCTGCCCGATCGTGCGACCCGTTTGGGCCCTCCCAGCCTTTCTTTAATCCCAGCAGCTTCGACGCAGCTCCAGCTCAGCCCAAGAAGCTTGCTTGCAGGTGCGGGAAATATGGAGCGGCCACGCCAAACGCGTCTCTTGATTCGGCCAGGCTCCCGCCCGAAGCCCAAAGCAGATACAAGTTTATTGCCTGCCAGCGGCTGTCCTGCACCGTAATACAAGAAAATACGGGGGGCTATGGATTATCAGGTACGAAACAAATCTCAGGTCAACAGACGGTCGCACCTCGTGTACGGAGGCTAGAAGGGTGTACTTGTCCACCGTCCGTCCTCTGCTGCCGCATCGCTGCCACCAGCCGGACAGCTACGAGGTACCAGCTTCATCCTGTCCACCCAGCCTCTCTCAATCTTGACTCTTTCAATCTCACTCCCTCGTGCGCGCTGCCGCTCTCTTGCTCTCGCCCTCTCCCTCGCCCTTCTCGCCCTCTCTCCCTTCCGGGGTTAGCTGAGAAGACAGAAAAAAGGAAAAAAAAAAAATAAAGAAATTGCCAGCAGAGCGTCCAGTCTTCCTCCTAGGACAACACGAGCTCTCGCGACGAAGCTGCTTTGTTTTGGTAAGTTGGATCACGGGTTCTGTTGTTGCTGTTGCTGTGCCTGTTGCTGTGCCTGTTCCTCGTCTTCCCTGTCAGCTCTCCCGCAGCCACAGCTCTCCCCTCAGGTTCAGGGCCGCTCTTCGTCTTCCCACGCTATCCTTGCGGGAACCAGTCTCTAGCAGGCGACGCGACACAGTCTCTGGGCAAGGGGGACGGCCCCGAATCGATGCGCGGAGTTCTCAATTCCCTTTTGCCGAGGCAGCAGGTCCTCAAGTGTATGCACCTGCATGGACGTGCGCAGCTCGAGACTTGGATCAGCAGAAGCCAGCGGGCTCCAGACTTGTCCGGGGGGTTGGGCGGCCCACTCAGCGCATCAAGGCCTTGTGTCTCGTCGTGTAAACAAATCCATTGGCTGGGCCCTGTCACCACGACAGCCTCAATTGCTCCCCAACCTCTCCGCCGCCCAAAGCGTTTGCATCTGCTAATCATCCCGCCGTCGCGTCGTTGGACAGCCAGACCCTCTCCGCCCGTCTCATGACGACGTTTTATCCCTGACTTGCCCCACGAGAGCATAGCTGCACGTCGATTGATCTTGCAACCGCAATTCAGGTCGCCGCTCCCGTCGTTGCTGCCACCGCCCCGATTTCCGATCACGATCACGGACCCGACCATCCATAGCGACGACAACAGCGACGCTGCCGCCGCGAAACGAGCACCATGTCGGTCAAATTCGAGCGGGACACTGTCCAAACCTTTCAAGATGCGACCTCGAACGCTCTTCAGCCTTTCCAGCAGATGGCTGCCGATCAAGGCGGCGTAGTCCAGAGGACCATCAAGACCATCACCGAGAAGAGCGTCGACCAGGCGAGCGAGGCCGCCGACCGCGCTGCTGAGCGCGCCGCTGCTCTCGCCGAAGGACCTGGCCCGATCCGACGAGCTTTCGAAGGCGCTCCTCCTCTTCCCGGAACCAGTGGAAAGCACCCGATCTCCGAGGCCCTTGGCACGGCCCTGACGGGAGGAAAGTCCATGGCAGGCACCAAGGGTTATTTGGCGGTATGTTTTTACACCTAATTCTCTTTTATTGCGCGCGCGATATGAATGCGAAAAGGACCAAGGAAAATGAAGGCCGGCGTATTTTGGTGGACGATGTTGAAATTAGGTTTGGCTAACGGCTGGCTCGTCGCAATTTTAGGCCTACATCAAGGAGCTCGAGTCGAACCCTCTGCGCACCAAGATGCTCACGGCTGGTACCCTTGCCGGAGCTCAGGAGCTTCTCGCCTCGTGGCTGGCCAAGGACCGCAACAAGCATGGCAACTACTTCACCTCGCGCGTCCCCAAGATGGCTGCCTACGGAGCCTTGGTCAGCGCTCCTCTGGGTCACTTTCTCATCTGGCTCCTCCAGAAGCTCTTCAAGGGTCGCGTTAGTCTGCGTGCCAAGATTACGCAGATTGTCGTCAGCAACCTGGTGGTATGTGCTCCTTCAACCCCCCCTCGCCTACCTTAATTCAATCTCCATTCTGAAACGGAGTCGCCTCCCCCTCCAAATCTGATAAGCGAATTGCCCTTATTTCCATCATGACATCATTCGTATTATGCAAGAGATGCTGACGCTGTCATAGATTGCACCCATCCAGAACAGCATCTACCTGGTCGCCATGGCTCTCATTGCCGGCGCTCGAACATTCCACCAGGTTCGCGCCACCGTCAAGGTCGGTTTCTGGAGAGTCATGCGTATCTCCTGGCTCACTTCCCCCATCTGCTTGGCCTTTGCTCAGCAGTTCCTCCCTGACGAGCTCTGGGTCCCCTTCTTCAACTTGGTCTCCTTCGTCATTGGTACCTACATCAACACCCTCACCAAGAAGAAGCGTCTCGCCGCCCTGCGCAAGAAGCACTACGGCGACACCCGTGAGACCCGTGAGACCCGTGACGGCCGTGACAGCCGTGACAACCGCCCTCCTCAGATGGGCCGCCCTGGTCCTGAGGACTACCCTCCCCCTCCCCACATGGGACCGAACCCCAACATGGGAGGACAGCATCCCGGCATGGGAGGACACAACCCTAATTACTAAAGACTACTGGGACCTAAAGCCTACAAATGATACCCTGGCGGCGAACATACGCTGGAGTACTCTCCCCTTCTAAGGCAGCCAGTCAGGGAAAACATCCATAATCTGAAGTGCGGGTGGGAGGTTCGAGAAAACCATATATTACGTTACGGGATATTCGGCAAGAGAAACGAGAGATGGGTCTGCGACGGTTTGCTTTTGTTTCTTCTCCCCTTTTCCTTTGAATTTTTCGAAAAGGGTGAAGAAAGACGACTGTCGATTGGAGCTTGTTAATACCTTTGTTTTACTTGGACTCAAAGGCTCCATGTGTCAAGACGATGACCTGCTCGTGCTCTCTTTTATTTCTTCCAAGGAGAGATGGTTCATTGAATGGGAAAACGGGGGAGGTGTTTGCGTGCGTCTGGAAAGATGATGGCTTTGTTTGGAGGGGGAGGGCAACGCGATGTTTGTTAGTAATGACTTGGTTAGATGCTCCCTTGTATAAATGTTTTGATTGACTTTTTTTTTCTGTTAAGTATTCTTGTTTCCTCCTCTTGTTCTGTTCTTCTATTTGTTTGTTCATGTTCCCCCTGTGTGCAAAAGTAGATAGATAGAGTCTTGCGTGGACTTTGCCTTCTATTTAATTTGTAATGTCGTAGCTGTATCGTGGTGTTCGTGTGTATCGTTATAATTAAGGGTATTTGGTCGTAAATTCGTGGGTCATTGTCAGTTTATCAGCATCGTCTTCAAGATGCGATTGGCGATAGATCTAAGAATCGGACTCGTTGCTTTCCTAGGCGATGATTCGGTGCCATAAGGCAGGTATGAGACGACGACTGTTTCGGCATCTGCTCCTCGAGGTTGAAAGATTTGGCTCAACTCGGTAGCATGATCCTTTTGTTGCTCGTTTGTCATTTTTTGCAATGCAATCCTCTTTCTGTCGCAGGTCTCCTTCAAGGTCCCGTATCGCCGCCATCTGTATCAGCCATGACGCCCGGACTCCAATATTCCCACTCCCCCTTTGTCTGCTTGTCGACCCAGAGCATCCCTCCCGCCATCAAGTCTTCAATCACCGTCTTGCACCTGGCCACTTCCCACCCGAGATTGTCTCGCAACATGCCCACGCTCACATATCCCAGCACCTGCGCCGCCTCCACCACGGCCGCCTGGTCGGTGCTCAGCTCGCGCGGCACGCTCCGCACGTACTCCTTCCTGCCGACAGTGACAACGGCATAGCTCCCACCGAGGGGCTTGAGCGTCTCGACAGCACGGCGCACATCATCCTCGCTGATGGAATCAGCACCCTCCATGCGTCCCTTGGACACGCGGTCGCGCAGCTCCTTCAAGCCAATCAAGCCGCCATTCTCGCCCCTCGTCGCGCCGCAAACCTCAACAATGCGCACGGCCAGCTCAAAGTAGAAGTCGTTGACCGTCTTGCCCAGCAGCTGCGCCCAGACGGAGCTTCCGGAGCCGCTGCTATGGCTGTTGGAGCTTGCCAGGGGGTCGACGCCGATGGCGGAGCACATGCGCGCAAACTGGGCGCGGAACGAAGGGTCGGAGCGTATGTCCTTTGCGTGCGTCGTGGCGAACTGCTGGAGGAGCGAGCGGAAGACGGCGAGCTGGGTCTCGAGGGCCTGGGCGTTGGTGGCGCGGAGGGAGGAGCCGTGGGAGGCGAATTGGGCGGAGGTGATGCGGGAGCGGTCGAAGGCGGCGATGCCGACGCCTTTGCGGGACATGATGGCGGTGATGATGAGTTGTGGAGGAGGATTAGATATGATGGGTGTAGCTGCGGGGGATGGTCGAAGAAGAAGGGAGAGACGGATTTACACGAGAAGAGGAGAGAAGAGAGACTAGGAGGAGAGCTCTGTAGTGGTGGAGAAGATGTGCGTGTAGAACCAGAAATAGAAGTGGAGGAGACGAGACGATGGAGTAGAAAGAAGAGCTGAGTTGACGTTGAGAGTTCAATAGGAGGTTCATCTCGGCTTACGTAGGTAGTTTGTTGGAGGGGCTGTCTAGGTGCCTTTGGCGGGGCTGCCATGTAAGGTGGACGAGTTTAGGCGCCGAGCGGGCTGCAAGTCGCTGCTGACAAGGGGGGCTGATAGTGGACTTGCACTTTATGGAGCACTGAAGATGTTTGTCGATTCTACTAACGGAGTACAGATGAGTGCCCGCGGTTTTTATCGAATACAGTACCTTGGCCAGATGGAACGCGAAGAGGAGAAAAAACTAAATGCAAGCCAACAGACTAGATCATATTTAATTCTACGCAGCTGAAGCGTCCCGAAAAAAGAAGAAAGAGAAAAAAGAAAAAAAAAGTCATCCCGAGGCTGTACCATGCCCATCCCTTATCCCTTTGCTTTTGTGTCTTTATCCCATAACAGCGGAGATTCATCACATTAGCTATAAAGCCCCTTCTCTCTGTGTCTCTCTCTCTATTTGCGGCATTCATAAAAAGTAGCATGTAGTCCCAGTGTCATAAACAAGTCCCCCTTTGCCTTTCTGGCTTTCCCGTTTCCATTCTTCCGGCAAACGGAGTCTAGTTTCTATATCCTCAAACAATCAAAAAAGCAATGGGCCTTTTCCCCTTAATTTCTTCTTCTCTCTTTACTGAGTGGCGCATTGGGCTTGGCCATCACCGGGTTCGTCGTCGTCTTCCCATTCGTTTGCGAATCGAGGATCGCCTTGGTCAGCGCCCATCTGGATATAAAGCTTTAGCAATTCAGTTGTAAATAATAGTCAAAAGGGTCCGTCTGTTTGTATGCTTACCTCTTCAATATCGGCACCATCCTCGTACTCGACTTCGTCAATCTCCTCAGCCTCCACGGCAGGCAGCGCTGGTGGCAGAATCTTTACCAGCGTCTCGTACGCAGACTCGTCCTTTAGCCAGTCGTCCTCAGGGAACTCAACCTTGACCAAGAGATACAGGTCTCCCTTGGCCTCACCCCTCTTCTGGGGCATACCCTCACCGGGGATCTTGATGCAGTCCACCGGTCTCAAGATCTTGCCCCGAGGTCGGTTAAGCTGGATGCCGCGGCCGTCAAGGTGCTTCAGCACCACGCGGTTGAATCCAGTCAGCGCTTCGCTCAGAGACACCGTCAGCTCTGCCGATAGATCGTTTCCGAGTCGAGAGAAGACATCGTGGGGCTCCTCGACCAGGGTGAAAATGATGTCGCCAGGAATCTGGTCGGGGTACTGATCCGCCTCTCCCTCCAAGACAATGCGCTCGCCCTGCATGGATCCGCGGGGGATGTAAATCTCCAGCGCCTTCTTCTCCTGAGTTGTTCGCTTGCCCTTGCACTTCTTGCACCTATCCTTCTCCTTGTAGACCTTGCCGGATCCTGTGCAGTGATCGCACAGGACAGTCTCGCGTCGCATCATGCCAGGGCCGATCTGGCGGATAGCCTCAACCATGCCGTGGCCCTTGCAGCGCTCGCAGCTCGCGGGCTTGGCCTTTTCTTTGCCTCCAGAGCCCTTGCAGATGCTGCAGACGACCTGCTTATTGGCCGAAAACTTGACCGTCTTGCCCTTGTATAATTCTTCGAGAGTAACCTTGTACTCCTGCTCTTCATCGGGTCCCTTTCGCGGCCTCATAGGTCCACCACCACCGGGGCCACCAGGACCGCCCATGCCAAATCCAAACATCTGAGACAGGATATCGTTCAAGTCGACCTCCGGGCCGCCGGGACCGCCTCTGGAGCCGTCAAAGGCAGCCATGCCGTGGGTATCGTAGAGATGGCGCTTGTCCTCATCGCTGAGAATTTCGTAGGCGCGGCTGGCCTCTTTGAACTTTGCTTCTGACTCTTCACGCTGGTCCTCGGGAACCTTGTCCGGGTGGTATTTCAGCGCGGCCTGTTAAAACTGTTAGTCGACATGTAGAGCATGGGATATACGACGCAGCGCGCCAGTGGTGCAGTACCTTGCGATAAGCCTTTTTGACCTGGTCGGGTGTTGCTGTTCTATCGATTTCAAGGATATCTAAAGAATGGGTCAGACGACAGCGCATCGATTAAAAAGACAAGAGAGGAACACGGCGCAAAAGAAAAAACAGGTCCACCGATTCAGACGTACCGTAGAGATCAACCTCCCCGTCTGAAGCCATGGCGATGGCTGGGTTTTATTTTTTTTCCCTTTGTTTCTCAGGTAGGCAGATTCTCCCACCACTGGAAGGCGATTGCGGGAGTGGAAATCCAGAAAATCTTTTGGCGCGGCGCGGGGTCGATTCCTGGGAACCCGCAGTGCGAATTCTGGTTGCTGCCTTGGCAAAAAGGACAAGGACAGGCGTCAAGAAAAAGAAGAAGAAGAAGAAGAAGAAGGAAAACAAAAGAATTAACCAAAGTGACGAGAGAAAGAGAAAAGGAAAAGGAAAAAAGAAGCCTCTTTGTCAGCTCGGTAATACAGCCCGATGGCAATTTGACAGGAAAAGACGGTCCGGCGGGCTGCTAAATTATTAGCAACGGGAGGCCCAGGATTTGCCGAAGCGCACGCTAACAGAGGCGCAAAGACAGTCAGTCACTGGCGGCTCAGGCCTGGAGGAATTGGATTGCTTGGCCAACAGTCGCCTGCATGGAGAAGTCGAGGTGACGTATCACAAGATGGGCGCAGCAAAGGCTTTTGGCATTGTGAATGCCTAATCTGTGATTTTTACTTTGGATGGAGTTTTTAATTTAACACGGTGTTATATCATCTCTACTTCTTCACTCTGGAGGTATACCAGGATAGTCTCTTATACGTCTCTCTCGCCTATTCTGCGGTACCGAGCCCGAGGCTTTCTTTATCAGTCTTATCAGCAGCCATCTTTATGTAGAATGTACCCATGCACTCTCGCGCCTGCTGCTGGTACTTTCCAACGCCACTTGTGGCGCCGGGTGTCGAAAATTTACGCCTCACGCCTAGTCGAGCAGCGCTGTGGAACGATTGGCCCAATGGACTTAGAAAATACTCAGGTACGAAGATATGAATGAGACCAGCAGACACTGCTGCAATTTTCCATCATGGCCTCGTCCGCCCTTCGGCTGAATCTGCGGAGAATAACCTGCCGTTCAATATGTGAATCAAACAAATGTGCGGCTGCCCACCACCTGAGCCGAAATTTCACTGCATCTGCGGGCCTCTGGCATGACAGGCAAAGCATCATCCCTAGCCAAAATGCCAATTCAGGCCAGAGACGGGCTTACAGTTCGGGGCTGAAAGGGCTTCGGAATAAAAACAAGAAAGTCAGAGACGAGGCTTCTCAAGAATCAGATTCTCCCATGATCCTGGGCCAAAACGCAGACCTTCCAATCCGGGCACGATTTGCGCCATCTCCAACGGGATACCTACACCTGGGGTCACTGCGAACAGCGCTGTTCAATAAATTGGCTGTGAGTGCCTCGAATGGAGGTGCTTTTATTCTTCGCATTGAGGATACAGACCAGGTACGGTTTAGTTTGGACAGTAGAAAGAGAACAAAGGAACTAAATTTGTTTACAGAATCGTCTGGTCAAGGACGCCGAAGAACGGTTGATGAAAGACCTCAAATGGGCAGGGCTTTCATGGGATGAAGGACCTGATTGTGGTGGGCCATACGGTCCCTACAGGCAAGTAAGTTGAAAGGAGATACTCCAACAAGCACTGCTTCAGTTAACAGAGTATAGTCCGAGAGGCTGCCGGTTTACCATGAACATGTACAAAAGTTGCTGGACCATGATCATGCCTACCGATGCTTCTGCACTTCTGAACAGCTGGAATCTCAAAAGCGTGAGCTGCACGAGGCCGGCAAGCCCACCATTTACCCCGGGACATGTCGCTCCATAGATGCCGCCGAATCTGATCGCAGAGCAAAGGCTGGAGAGTCCCACGTGGTTCGCTTCAAGAGTAACAAGTTTGGTCGGCCCAAGCTTCGCGATGCCATCTACGGGCCATTTCAGAAGAAGGATATGGAAGAGGATTTTATCCTGATGAAAACGGATGGATTCCCCACGTATCACCTCGCCAACGTTGTCGATGACCACCTGATGAAAATTACACATGTTATTCGCGGCGAGGTATGTGACTTGCCATTTCCGACTTTCAGCAGAACATGTAATTAACCATGTCGATACAGGAATGGCTCATTTCAACGCCGAAACACATTGCTTTATATGAGGCATTCGGCTGGCAGGCCCCGATATTCGCCCATCTCGGCTTATTAGTGGACATTGACGGCAGCAAGCTCAGCAAACGAAACGATAGCGTCAACATATCCAAATACCAAAAGGAGGGCACATTCCCCATGGCCCTACTTGCCTGGCTGGCAAATCTTGGTTCTTCGTTCAAGCGGGACGTGCAGCCGCCTCGCACCGTTGCAGATGTAGCTAATGCTGTAAGAGTTTTCCCATCTGTTGAGTATCTTGAAACAGTGCTAACATCAGATAGCTGACGTTTAAATTTACCCGAGGCGGTATCAAACTAAACCTAGCAAAGCTTGAACATTTCAATAGCAGATACCGGGATGCAATGCTCTGGAAGCCCATCCCTGCATTGGCTGACCAAGAGGCAAAACTCATTGATCAGCACTTGACACAACCTGTTTTGAAGGAAATCGAAAAGGTTACAAACGGTGATATTGAAAACGCGGAACTCACAGCAAGAGAGTGGCGGTTGCCCCTTGAGCTCGTTCCAACACTGTCTGATGCCGAAAAGAAAGCTCAATACGTGTACAAAGCCCTTGTTTCAAAACAAGGAGGCTTTCAATCTCCCAGCCAGCTTGTATCTCAGCATCCGTATCTCTTTTGGCGGGTGCCCTTGAACGTTTACAAGATGTCTCTAACAAAGGCACGACCAGAGCAAAAGGTCATTGACGCTCTGAAAGATGTAATCCCTCAAGAAGGCCTCTGGAACGGCGATTGCACCGAGGTGATGCAAGCTATACAGTCAAAAGTCGAACCTCAAGGAGTCGATCAGCTTACTGTTCATAATGCACTGCGGGTAGTTGCTGCCGGCGGGCAAGACGTCGTCTCTCAGAGCAGTTCTAGGATGCTCATGTTGTTAGGAAGAAAGGAGTGGTCGTATAGACTTGATATTGTCATACGGCTTTTGAACGACCTGGGGGAAAACTAATTGGACTGGCTTGAAACAAAACTTTGTAATGTTTGCCTTTTCCGTGGTTGAAAAGAGGGTGGATTGAATGAGAAGTTGTGTTGCAGGAGTTATGATTTGTTCATGTTTACGATTCCTCTACTGTATCTATATAAAGGGCAACCTCAGTCGCCGAAGACAAATGATGAGCAGCAAACTCAATTACTACTTGCAAAGAAATCCTGCAACATCAAACTCTCACAACTCCAAGCTTTCACCTCCTCCACCTAACACTTTCCAACCTCAAGCATACCAACAGACAATCTACAGTATCGCTTACAATACTGCATCAATACCAACTCGGAATATTCAAGCAACACTGACTCGGTGAAAATGCCCTTCATTGAGGACCGTGCTATATCATGGGAAGAATGCGCCAGCTTTGTTAAAAGAGACATCTCAAAACTTGAGCGGGCTATCAGAGAGGGCAAGGATATCGCGCTTGACGATTCGTTTCCGATAAGATCGCTCATCAGCACTTTTAATGGGTACGGGCCATCCAGCGGGCGTCCAATTGAGGACGTACATGGCGTGTCTGGAGAATTCCGGCTAGCCATATGCCTCGAGCATAGCATCAGCCTGGTGGTTTCAAGTCTGATCCAGCTCTACTATCGGAATAGAGATCTGGTGTATGAGCTGGACGAAAAGGCCGCAGACATCAAGGCTGCTCAATCAATACTTAAAACTCTCGTCATCTTCATTGGGTCCTACCGCAGCCATTTCGAACAACACGGGGCAAAATACGAAGCAGTCCGAAGAGACTGCGACAGAATCTATATTGGATGGCATGACCAGCGAGCTCGGCGGTCAGAGGTATGCAGAATTCAACAATGTCTTTCTTCTTCTTCTTTATTTACAGTAACTGACTTTGGAATCATAGGCCGTGAGAGAGGTGGTTTTGGAAGAAGTCGTCATGGAGCAAGGAGTTGTGAGGGACATGGGAATACAACTGGTTAAAATCCGAACAATGATTCAGACAGGCGATTTAAGTCCGGGAGTGTGAGTTTGATGTGGGTTGTGAGGCGAAAGACTGCGGTCTTTCTTCATTTCTTTCGCTTTTGTTTTTTCTTTAGCAAGTTGTCGAAAACAAACTTCTGTGTGAGGCATGAGATAAACAGAGAAGAATCGGCTGAGAGAAGTTATGGGGCGATATTTCATGTCTATCAGGTAGTACTGACTCTTTGAAAATAAAAAGAACAATTGTCCGGCTTTACCACAAAATGAAAGACTTCTAATGATGAATTCTGATCCTCCTGATAGTGAAAAAGCGTTTACGCGCAAAATAGCCTTCATGAAACATCTGTCCATATCTATACCGCACTACTGCAATGTTAAAGCACTTAGGAGCTGAGCAGAGTTGACATATTCACGTGTAAGGTAGGGTATATCAAATATATATATATATATATAATAATAATAATAAACTTTTCAATTTTTATAATAAATGTCATATTTAAAAGCATTGAAGCATTTCCCTTTCTATAATTATAAACGAAAGTGGCGGGGAATCAGATCAACATCAAAGCATACAAACAGTCCATCTTTCCATCATTGGCGCGTTTCTCTTCAACAAATTATAAATCATAATATTTTAAATCGTTGGTCTGTTTCGAATGGTTGTAAAAAAAAGAAAGTTTTTTCAAGACCTTGAATCTCGTAACCTTATGTCTCAGTCATCGCGTTTTGGCTATGAATGAATAAATGAATAAGCGTCTCATCTTCAACCCATATATATATATATATACACCAGAAACCTACCGTCAACTGAGCTGTATCCAGGCAGGCACACCTTTAGACAAGAGACTTTCGCTGAGCCCGGAATCGACGCACAGGAACAGGAAGATGAGTGCGGTTGGGCGAGAAGTGAGTCTCGTTGCCGCCACCAAAGTAAGTGACGTTGCTGGCGCTGGTGTCGTTGGTGAAGTAAGGAGCGGTGGTGCCGTCGCCGCCGCCGGTCGAGCTGATGCTAGAGACACCAGATGATGCACCAGCGCCGGTTGTTGAGTTTGCAATGGCCGTGCCGTTTGCAATGCTTGTAACGTTGGCAGGGGTGCTGGCCACGCCGGTGGTGTTGACCCAGTGGAACGAGAACGAAGGCAGGGCTGCGGCGGCGGCAGCGTAGGCGGCGACAATGACGGCGGAGGTCTTCATTTTGGCTTGGCAGATGTGGTGACGGATGATCCTTGTTTCTTTCGTGTATGGGCGTTGGGTTTTTATTTCCTCAAACGAGTGTATACGATATACGAGGGTTAAAAAACAAGCAGTTGATATCACGGCTCAAGACAACGGACAAACGCAGCAGGAGAAAGAAGGGGGAAAAAAGAAGAGAGAAAGAGGACCAAAGCGAATCAACTGCAGGAAACACTCCTTTACTAAATACTGCTCGGGATCCATTTCCTTCGAGTCAAGGCAGCCTCGTCCACCGCGTGCGATGCACGTTATTCGTACATTGCTCAGCAGCCCGCTTGCGTACTCGCACTTTTACGGAGCATCGACTATCAGTACCCATGGTAAATAACTGGGGGGTGGCCTTGCACGGAGCCAGCCGAAGAGAGAAAACAAGGCCATGTAACTGGCCAGCTCAAAGACGGCAGTCTCTCCTGGATGGACGGTCGGTGTGAGATAGGGAGGGCCGTGCAAAGGCAGAGATCGACAAGAGGTCGAGAGGAGCATGGCATGGCATGGGCTCCACCGGCGTTATATGGACCGCTCGCCGCTTTTCTCTCTCTCTCTCTCTCTTTTCATATATACTGGAGCATCTTAGCGATGGTGACATGTGAAGAGGAACCTTGCAGTGGATCATATAAATGGAGAACGTGGACAAAAGTGGGAAGGGCAAGGAAGAGGAAGAAAAAGCTTGGCCTTCTTCTCAAATTCGGACGTTGCCTTTGTGATGGAAGGGAGGCGTTGTCTAAGACGTCGTGGCGGTATTAACAACGATAACTAGCATGCGGTGTCTTAGTCTAATGTGACCTCAATGACAGAACGCCACAGCAGTTGGTACCCTGTTGACTAAGAAGCAGAGAAAAGAAGAAGAAGAAAAAAAAAAAAAAAAATCTCCGATTTGATATTCCACGGTGTTATCAACCCCCTTTTCCGAGGTGTCGTTATCTGCATGCAGTGCTAAAAAAGAGCCCCATCACCAACTTTTTTTTTGGGCGGTAACGAGACAAGGATATAACGCAGCAGAGTGGACCGACCCCCCGGTAAAAAATAAATGAAGAAGAGAAGAATAATATCGAAGCGTCATGCTGCAAGCGAGGCCGAATGAGCAACACCAAACTGATGTGATCGATCAGTGAAGTTGGTGAGACATTTACAACTTGCGTGGACATGCCGTGTCTGATACTGTGATTTTCGCCATCGCGACAGCGTCAAAGGCATTAAACTCTGCACCGGTGAAACAAGAAGCGATTTGGTGGCCCGTACCCACGGTGATGTCTCCTCCGCGCCAATAACGGTCCTGTGCTTCGTATAACAAAGTCTCCAGTATTCCCGATGGGCCGTTGTGGACGAGAGAGAGAAAAACGACTCGCGTCGTGCATTCTCCATAATATCATCTCTTTTCCCCAGAAAAAAAAACCCCCGATTTACATTTTAACCCATATACTGTGCTGTTTCAAAAAGAAGAAAATTGGAAATAAGAAGAAAAAAAAAAACTTCGCAAAAGTCACACGCCACTGCAACACCATCTCCAGCCATAGCGCCAGAATCTCGCAGATCACAGAGGCGCCTAGTTCCTAGGGCTCCAGGTACCCGCGCGCCGAACCAGATGCTAGTTTGTAGTAGGAAGTTGGCGGCGCCATCGTAGATTTGACAGCAGCAGGATCGTGCGAGTGTGTGTTAGACAACGCAGTGCTACCCAGTAGGATATGCAGCCGAAAGGGATTCCATGCAGGAACAAGGAGCCTGGGGGAAAAGATGGCCATTGTTCTGCTCACGGTATTTGTGCATAGCCTGCATGGAAGCCGCAAGAAATAAAAAGAAATATGGATTCTCCATGAACCGACATGGCTTATGGCACTCTCGCAAATGCCCATCACCCATCAGCTCTTCTCTCTTTCGCTTCGGGCAGCAGTAATACCGACCTGTATCATCAATCTTAGTTCTTGAAGCTTCCATGGCACCCATGTCCTTCGCCAAAAGAAGGCGCATTATCCATGCCTAGTCTCTCAACAAAACCTCTTACCGACTGTTCCATCATCATAACAGCCATGAGGCTGCCTTCGCCAAGCGCATTCGCAAAATCCGGTATTGTCCCCTGTCTTCCAAATGTGGCATATCGCTCCACTGCTCAATCCAGATACAAGACGCTAGCACCTCTTCGTTTTCTGATCGGCCGACGAAAACGCCCAAATATATTGCTTTCTTCCCAGGGGCAGGGGTCTGCTTGGACTAACCGCTCTGCTCCGGCATCTATTGTTCGTATTCGCTGAATGTAGAGAGGATAGTAGCTACTTGAAGGGTAGTAATTTGGGTAGTCATTGCACATAAATAGCCTTGAGCCAAGGCTGTCTAAACTATTCCGACCAGAATGGCCATCCTATTCTCTCGCCAGGTATGACCGCAGGGTCCACCTCTTTTCTATCTAACCTCTTTTCAGCTGCCAACTTGACAGGTCCGAGATGAATGCGCGGGAGCACTGCTCCCCTTGCATTCATCATGGGACTGTCTGTCTATCCCACCTGCATCCACCATAAATAAACAAAATAACATCGAGATATAAGCAAAATAAGACAGTAACCAAAACAGATTCTCCTCAAAAGGAGACATTATTCCACCTCAACTTTAGCGTCTCATGCGGCACTATTCTTCTGTTTTGGTTGCCCATTATGTTATCCGTCAAAACAACGGCACGATAAGAAAAAGCCCATCGCCATGTCCTAGTACAAAAACACTCAACAAAGAAAAGAAGGTAAGAAGGGGATAAAACAAAAAGACACTTTGCAGTGTCCTGGTCGTTTCAGATAAACCAAGGCGGTCTAAACATCTACAGTTGAAACGTCGTATCGTCTCAAACGCAATGGTGTTGAAAGGACCGAAGAAGGGGAAACAGTAAGCTATGTCGCTGATGTCGTAGTCGATATAGTGACCTAAGAAAAAGTCCGCTCTGCTTATATTCGAAATCATCGAATAGGGTATAATGCGATTTAAACTTCAATAACCCAAATCTGAAAAGAAACCTTGTTAGACAACTCAACTTGGAAATAGCATGGCCCGACTGCGGCACGCCAAAGCGGGGAGGAGATGCCCAAGGCAGCAGTCGACTCATAAGCCTTAAAAACTCTAAACTCACCTCCATTTTGCCAACATCCAACCTCTGTCTCTTTGCTTGGCTCTTCGCGCTCTGAATCGCCACGTCCAAGTCATCTTGGTCGCCCATCGTAATCATGTCGTCCGGCACGTCTTCGTCCTTCATCTTGATCTTGAATCGCCTTCGCAGGCCAAACTTGTCTCTGATGCGATCCACAAAGTCCGAAAACTCGATGGATGTACCAATCATGATATACCTCACATCGTCTGAGTGAACCTTGACACGGATCTTCCGTATATCAGGTCGTCGCGATGCCGCGCGGGAAGGTCGGGAAACGGATCCAGGGCCGCGTCGCACGCTCGAAACCATTTCGAATTCGCCTTCGTCAAAGGATCCATAATCATAGTCCGAACCATCGTCATCATCATCGTATCGCTGTTGTCTGGACCGAGACTGCTTGCTTCCTCGCCCGCCATCACCATACATATCATATACTTCGTCGCCATATGGGGACTCTTCCTCAATAGCTCTTTGTCTTCGTGGAGGTTCTCTGGTGGAGAAACCCCTCGAAGGGTTAGCGGATGCTGATCGCGAATGTTTCGATCGATCTTGCGGAGACATTGCCTTCTCATATCTCCTGCTGCTCTCTTGCGTCTGAATGCTAAGCTTCCCAACATTCGGTCTCGGTCCAGCGCTCCGTACAGAAGCACCCCGACTTGGTCGATCGTTTTCAGGGGGGGGAGTTGGGGGGAAAGCGTTGTTACGATTGTTTGGAGGTTCAGACTGCTGTCTCCGGGATTGAAGGCCGGGCTTGACCAGATTTGTCGCCGCGAAAGATAGATTTTCGGTTGGCCGGTCGTCTTTCGCCTCTGTTTTGGACTGTTGGGAGACAATAAGCAAGTGAAATGGAAAGCCGGAAAACGAGCACTTACATTCTTCATCTCAGAGCCGGCAAACCCGGTAAATGCATTGGATCGGTCCGAGGCCGCAACCAATCTGGCCTTGCCGAGATAATCTTTGGTTTTCAAATTGCGGACTTTGGCCTCGTTTGGTCGATACACAACACCGACAGGAATAGAAAATACTGTATAGCCCTGTTGTACGGTAAGCGACACCCTTCATGTTACTAGGGTTTCTGATAAGACTAACCTCGGCTTCCTCTCGAATAGCTTCGTCGATGACGTTGTGGTCTTCCACGACCTTCTCCTTAACGGCATACGCCAAATCCTGCATTCCAGCCTCTTTCTGCTGCAGATAGATGTAGCACAATCCTCGATTGAACAGTACTTCGCATGAGTATAACTTGAAAAGGAGGCCAAGTTGGGCATAGTCGATCACGCTGTTACCTCGCAGATACAGCAGCGTATCGTTAAAGTTTGCCAAAGCCTCTTCAAAATCTCCCAGCAGAAAATTTGAAACACCCTGCTGGAAGTATGCGACAGCTAGGTATTGATCTAGTCGGATGGCTCGCTGATAACACTCGACCTAGACATATAATGCATTAGCAATGGTATATCAAAACGGTATCTAAGAAAGGGCACAACCTACAGCTTTCTCATGCTCGCCCAATGTGGCGTGGATAACGCCCATGTTAAAGAGAATCTTGCTCGTATCGCCGATTTTATCGAATTCGCCAAGAGCGTCGTCGAACTCATTGTTGTCATAACGAGCTAGGGCGGCTACCCAAGTCTCGATTTCCTGTATAATCAAATCATGTTAGCATACATATCGCTCGTATTGTCATGGATATATGGCGCTGCTTTCAAAACTGACCTGTTTCAGCGACATCGTGCCTATCTATGCACAGGGGCACAAAGACGATTGCAGCGTGGCTGGCTGAGCTGAGCAACGACGTGTGTATCAAATGATATATATCCAAGAGCCAAGAGAGCAATTGGCGCCTCGTAGCGTCGAGGCTGAGAAGAGAGGTAGCACCGCCGGCAGCTCGAAGGGGGGGAGGCAAAGACCAGCTTTAATTACAACGAATGGCCGCCGAGGTGGCCTGTCCAAGCAATGTCCAATGCTTCTCAGGCCCCAGTGTGTCAGCTCCTCGCCTGTTGGAGACAGAGCTGGTATTGGCTCAAGCAGTTGTGCGAGCGGTAAGTGCACCTTGGCGGGAAGTGGCGCGAGCCGAAAATGATCCCGTGATAGTGCTTGAAGTTGCCGAATCCCAGAATCGACAGGCGGAGAATTTTATCCCAGGCCACCGAGCACGATTTTTTCCTTTGGATGCCGTTTCTCGTAGTAATATTCTTGTTCCCTGCCTCTTTCTTTAGATACCCCGAGATCAAGCGAGCGTATACTAATTGATCCGACTCTGTGCGTCGGCACAAGGGGGGAACAACTCCGTGGGGTATGCAAGTGCTGATCTGTATGTCACCCGATTTCTGGCGCTCCCTGCGAGTATCTGGTCTATACTCCAACGTGAAGAATCCGGCCGGCGGAATATTAAATGTTATTTTTAGCTGTTGTGACTCCGACTCAACGAGTGAATTAGCCGAACTGATGATGAAAAAAGCAGAAAAAGATTGTAGTGTTCTAAAAGATGGACGACAGGTTTGCGGCGCTATCGACAAGCCAATGTGATGGGTCGAGTAGCGTGCATTTGGGCTGGGAAGACAAGCAAAAAGAGTGAGTGACGAGTGGAGAGAGGACGAGGGGCAATGGACGTGGCGTGCAGTAGTAAAAAGGAAAATTGGGACTCGGAGCTTAGCATGGGATGGTGGAACTGGGAACTGACCTGCCGTTCTCTGGAGCGTGCCGTGGTTTTGGACAAGGGCTGGTGAAGCCTCACCTATGTTCCAAATCTCACGAGGGGCGCCAAACACTGAGCCAGGGTCCAGAGAAGGGGGTGCGCATGCCGGCCTGAGCGGAGTACGCACTTGGACTCCTGTTGCTGCTGCGTACAGTACCTCGTAGTCGAGCTCGAAGCTGCCGGGCGGTATACCATACCCCCCCAATCTCGGCACTGGCACTCGCCTTTGTTGACTTTGGGCTCGCAAGCTCGTACGGGCGTGCTATGAGAGGCGTCGATGGCGTCGTGGAACCAGGGGTGGCGGGTCTAGCTCTCCCTGTGTCGCAGGACGGCCGGTGGCTTGCACCGTCGCGTGGCCATGGTGCTGGGCCGGGTGTTGGCCCTGCTTAGCTACTGCTGCTGCTGCTGGGTAGCACAGTCTCTCAGCCGAGCTCTCCGTATGAGAGACGAGTCGCGCTCTTCGCCTATCAGAGCAGTTCATGCGGGCGGTTGTTTTTGGGCCGGACGCTGATCTTGTTTGGGGCGCTTGTTGGCACAGAGAGGGCACTGGACGTGAGGTTACTGAGTGCCCAGCTTCAAGCGAGGAGCTTACCAGTTCTAGCAGCTTGGCCCTGAGTCGCTCGGCCGAATTGTTCCCAAAACAGACTACGGGGCACCGGAGTAGCGTAGTATCAGGTCTCTTTTGCGCCTTGAATGAGTAGAATAGCAGTGGAAATAGCACCCACTCAGCTCTGGGAGGTGGTAGATCAGGTAGGTATGGTAGCAGTGGTAGCGCTAGCCGCAGCAGTAGCGTAGCGTGCTCGTCAACATGCCAAGGGCATCGGATGGCTGCATTGCGCTGATTTGTTTCTTCCTGTTGATTAAATGCGATGATGATCGAGGCTAGAGTTCTAAATTGACCTGATCCTTCCAGCCACGTGCCCAAAGCACGAATCACTGCTTGGGCACTTGTCCTTTTATTGCATCCAGCAGGAAAGAGCAACCCCATATCTGTAGGTAGAGAGGGACCTGCCAAAACAACCTTATCAATCTACGACTGCGTTTCGCACCTCGTCTTCCAACGATAGAGCATCCTGCACTTCTCCATCTCTCTTCTTACGTCCATCTTATCCTCCATCCTCGACCATGCCGTCTTTTACCTTCCATGACCCCAAAATAGCACTTGTATACTGTGCCAGAACGCTCTACATGTCGGCGCTCCTGCTCTTCGCAGTCCCCTCCTCCGTGCAATCGATCGATAGCCCGCATATGCGGCTGCACGCATAGACGTGGACAAGCACACTGCAGCGGCATAAGTCCAATTTCAAAGGTTATAAGGTGTGCCTATTCTGGGGCAGACGGCGTTGCAGCTCCCGAGTCGATGTGCCTGACAGCTCCGCTAATTGGCTCTCGCCAGGGGCCAAATCCTTGCAAGCCAGCAGCGGCGCGTACCTTTTCGGCGACCCTTGCAGTTGTGCAGCCCTTGTTCAGCCACCTCCATGAAGCATCGAAAAAGATCCTCTGTTCCAGCCACTCCTACGTTAGGCCAGTGTAGTAGCAGCAGGAATAAGCCAGATCCAGTTGCTACAAGCAGACAAGGCCCAGCTGTTTGGGCACCACCGATAGCCAGCGTAGCGATCAAGCTATACCAGAGCTACTAAGCGCCCTGAACATTGTTGGCTTGTGCTCATCTGCAAACTAGCGTATTAGCTTCCCCAATCCCACCAACCAGTCACCCAATGCGGCAACCAGATTGGATGAGATACCAACTACGTACGTACTTCACGCCGTTCAACTGGACCAGAATGAGATGATGGTGTCATCGTTGATATCCTAAGCTATTTTTAACAACGGGCTACTACTAATACTACATCATATCCCACGCATCCGACGGCGGGAATAGACAAAGTAGCATCTATCAACTTTCACCGCCGGATCATCACAAGCACATTAGTGGATAGCTGGGTCCGATGCCTCATTCTGGGTAGAAAGACGGGGGTGCCCTGGGCTTTCAGCGCTTTCATCACCGCTAATGGCGTACATCACGACCACTTGGCATCGTCATGTCAGTCATCCCATTGTGCAGCGGGCGGCAACCATAGACTAGGCGAGTGAGTTGCTTGAGATAACCTCACTAATGCCCCGCACATACGGCTAATGCTTGTCGTTGGCGAGCTCACTCAAATAACTGCTGCTACTAATAGTATCCAACTCCCCTAATGTGGGAGCTGATGCTTCATGCTTGCTAGTGAAATCCATCACACTACTATTTCACAAACTTGGCCCATTAAACCGATCTCATTAGCTCTCTACGCGCCGGAGATCCTGCCTCTCATGCCCCAACGGGGCTTCAGAGCCAATGAGTTCTCTAACGAGGGGTTCACGCACTGATATCACTTTCCACGTCTGACCTCTGCCTTTATCATTGATATTTCCCAAGAGTGAGACGATTACCAGGCCAACGACCTGGGTTTTCGAATACTAGCACCTATATTATCATAAGTACTAGTACAGCATTGATAAAAATGATGGTACGTGGAGGGGGGTGAGTTTAAGGCAGATGGCCCAGGAATATTCGAAAATGCTTCCCGGTCAGTGGTGCCATTGAGCAAGCTTGATCATCCGATTGTCTGCTGAGAACAAGGCACGGGGTCCCGTGGTCGTACTCTTGGCGTTTCTGCTCATCACAGTTCCGTTGCTTTTGGCGTCATTGGCAGCTGTCAAACCCCGTGTATCGCAACAATAGCCCCAGCCGTTGCCATGCAAAGAAGAGTTGAGAGAGCGTGTCAATCGTTTCTCAATGTATGCAGAGCTGCTCAGCCTACCACTTGAATGCTTTCAAGCGTAAGTAGCTGATGAGCCTCGCGCTTTGACGAATACTAACTAGTAGTAGGTAGTGACGGTGCTCTGTGCTCCGCGCATAGACACTACTACTGATCCTACGAGATACCTCAAGGTTACCACTTGGCACTCGCTAAAGGCGCTGTGCCAGCTAGGACGCATGAACTGGAGGCGTTTCAGTGAGATTAGAAATACTGGACCGTGCTCTTGCGTAGGCAGGCATATTCTCCTTCGCTTTACCTTGACGTTGTCGAACCCCCTGTAGTTGTCGCGTTACAAGATGGCTCTACACCGTTTCTGGACCCCTGAGCGGCGTGAAACTGTCAATTGAGGCCTAATACTACTATGTATCACTCCGCTATCGTGGAACAGGTATCTCGGAAAGTTTCAACTCTCAAATGCCGGTTTACAATATCTGTTTAGCGTCTTGGATTGACGAGATTGGTAGAAGATAGTGGGTGAGATTGATGAGAGATGGTGAATTAAGCTTAAAGGAAAATGGAAGCAGTGGTAGGGGAAGAGCGCGGACAGCTTGGCAAAGGGGGAAAGCCACTTGCTTTACTCGTTTATTTCGTTCATCGAAAATAGCGTGGCCGGGCTACAGCATACCCTTCTTGACTTCATCCTTTCTTTCTTCCCACAGTGTCTTACCTGTGCAAGAGCAGACAGTCTTGTCATTGTCCCACATGCCCGCGCTTCGCGCAATGACGCCAACCACTGTGTTGTCGTCATTCTTCAGCGGCAAACCCTCATCCTGTCTCGTCAGAACCATGGCATGGCCAATGACTTCCCAGATCTGGAAACCGTGGTCTACAAAGGCAGATCCCCGGCCGTCCTCAGATACCTCGATGACGCCGAGGGATCCCTTTGGCGCCTCTTTGTTTCCCCCGGACCAGACTGGACCAGTAGACGCAGCACCATCTTTGAGATCTCCGTACTCTCGAATAGTTGCCCGATAAGTGCCGGGAGCAACACCCCTCAAGGTCAGGTCAATCAATGTCCGCTCAGGGTTGACCTGCACCATCCTGGCGAGGCCCCTCACTTCCCTGTCAAGTTCCTCAATCTGCATGTCTGTGAACGTCTCCAGGATGCTCACAGCAGCACCTGAGTAAACAAGGTCTGTGTTAGCCACTGTTTCTCATGCCCAATGGATCCTCCTTGGCGAAACATGAATGATCCGCCACATCTCTTAGACGAGCGTCTCCATGAAAAGGGGCCGCTGTCATAGCACGCAAGGACTGCCTTGACTGAAGGCCTGGCGGCTATCTCTTTGAAACTTACTGTTTGAAGTGCCGGACCCCCGGAGGATGGCATCTCTCCCAGTGGCTTGGATAGCCTCAACGATAGCAGATGGTGCGACTGCGGCATGGCCCGATGCGTTAGCGAATGGCAGATAAGCTCGTGAAGTGGCATGCTCAGAGCACGGTATCGTGTGATAACTCACCAGATCCCTCGACCGATATCAGCTGGTCCTTGAGATTTCCTTCGACCTTGCTGATCCCATCTAGTTTGTAGATTGAGTCTGAAACGGACTTGACGCAGCCGTCGCAGGAGAGCGGGACGGCGAAGAGGGTCTGTTTGCCCAGTGTTTCATCAGTCTCTTAAGCGTTTGCATGGACTGTGCACGTTTTTTTCTTCTTCTTTGGCTTCCATTTCGCTGTTTCAAAAACAGGAGGAGAAACTTTCTGGAGAGGGCGAGTGACGTGAATGGCAAGGCGTACCTGGAAGCTGTGCTTGACTGCCATTGTGCCTTTTCGACGACTCTGTTAGCAGCGCAACGCGGGGCTCGTTGTATATATCGAGGATAGGTGAGATTTGTATGCGCGAGTACGTACCTGTGCTCGACGCGCTAGGGCTAGCAGCTCTAATATCTTGTTGAGACGGTGGCGAGTAGCGAGAGGTTCTATATCGATACGCAGAATAGCCAGCAAAGACGCCAAATGAAGCTGCCAGAATCTTGGAGGTTGCAGCGTTCTTAAGCGCCATTTATCTGGATCTTATGAGATTTACGGAGACTGCCAGTCAGTGCTTTGAAATCCATCCATTGGCGAGTGATGCCATAACGCCGGGATTACAGCGGTCCCCTCCAGATTGTGGAGCTCCACAAGCTTTGGTGCAACAGCTTAGACCTCCGTTAGAAGCTCGGATTTTCCACTGTATAGCCGATAGCAGGAAGGCGATAAGGATCATGTGACTTGCGAGATCGATAAGCTGTGATGAGTCAGCATTCGGATAGCTGCAATTGGCTATGCGCAAACTTTCGAGTTCGTGATGTTGATATTGCCCGCTCTGGAGTAGAAGTTGGCGAAGCCTGCAACGAACGGTGACAATCTCACCGAAACTGGTGCGCTGGTGCCGGTTCTTTTAAGCCATTGAAATTGTTTTTGTGTCCCTTCCATAGACGTCAAGTCTTTGCACGTCACTCAACATGTCGCAGACAATTGGTCTGGTAAGATTTTCCATCTCTCATGGCCGCCATTGTCGGATGCTTCTAACAATTTGCTCCAACAGACAAGACTCGCCTACTCTCGAGTATGGCACCAGATCTCCGCCTCAACACCTCACCCAACTCTCACCACCCAGCCCAACGTCACTCCCCCTTCCCTGGGCCGCCTAGCATCCCGAATTGCCGTGCTGCTCATGGGCAAGCACAAGCCCACGTTCGACCCCTCCACCGACTGCGGTGACTACGTCGTGGTGACGAACTGCGCCGCGCTGCACACCACGGGCAACAAGAAATGGCGCAAGAACTACTACCGACACACGACGAGACCTGGTAGCTTGAAGACTGTGACTATGGACGTGCTGATGGAGAAGCATGGCGGAAGCGAGGTGTTGCGGAAGGCGGTTAGCGGAATGCTGCCGAAGAACAGGCTGCGGGACAAGAGGCTGGCGAGACTAAAGGCGTTTGAGGGAGAGGCGCATCCGTATAAGCAGAACGTGATACGGTTTGGAGGCAAGGTCGTTGGGTCGGAGGGCTGGCAGAAGGCAGTGGAGGCGATACGGAATACGGATAAGGATAGGTTATGAGGGGGATGAGGGGAGATGCTGATGATTGGTTTTTATTATTGGGATGATAATCTGATGAAAAGATTATTGTACTATTTGTACTATATTTCGTGTGTTGATGACTCTGATACGAAAAATACGGGGCTTGCTGTTCTGATAGAGAATTAGAGGCGAGGTTCAAAGAGATAAAAATGACCCGACGCTTCTGGATTATTGTACCTCGATGTTGACATTTTTTTTTTTATTTCAATTCAAAATCAATTCATACAGAAACGCTATACTACTAAAACAACTTGCGTACTGCCATGCAGTAACCCATCATGACATATGAACGTAATACGCCTCCTCCAAGGTCCTGATCCATCATCTAACTTTATGATTTCTTTGACACACTTTTTTTCTTTATTATTTTTACAGGTGTGAATCGCGGTTAGAGGCTGGACCACGAGCAACTTCACATTTGATGAGACCATTGGGGTTTGATTGTGGGACATAGACCTCGGCGTCCTTGCCGGTATTCTTAATGCCCTTGTGCCAGCTTAGATCTGTAGAATTCCTGTTAACGACTCGTTCATATCACGTTGAACCTAAATGTATCAACTTACCAAGCTCGAAAAAGTGCTTGTTGGGCAGCGAGTAGGTGACCAGGTCGGTTTCCGGCACAGCGGCCAGAATCTGCTCGCACATCTTGTACATGGTGTTTTGCACACTGGCGCTCTCATCCTCAGCAAATCTGGTGAGCGTAACGTTGCGAGCTTCCTCCCACGCCGGGTTGAACTTGGAGCTCGCCTCCCGCACGGCTTTTACATCGGGGAATGCCTTCCACTTCCAAGTGGCGTCAACGTCAGTGGACAGGATGCGATCCCAGGTCTCTCCCAGCGTGGTGAACTCGTCCCGCACGAAGCCGTGGAAGGCCGAGCCAGTGCTCTTCAGCACTGTCAGGCCCACGATGCCGCTGCTGATGACGATGCCCTCCTTGCGGCTGATGCGGGCCTCGACGTTGCGCGTCTCCTCGCCGTCGCGCAGAAAGCTGTGCGGATGCGGCTTCCCCCTAATCTCCATGCGCGTCCAGCGGTGTGTGACGACCTTGACATTGGCGGCGTGGATGTGGCTGTATTTCTCAATGAAGTGGGAGCCGAGGATGGCGGCGAACAGCTCCGGTGGGTTGACGGGGTTCTGCTTGGCGGTAATGAAGATTGTGTTCTTGATGGAGTCGGTGGCGACAACGACGCTGTTGTCGCCCTTTGTGTAGGAGATGTCGATGTCGCCCTCGAGGAGGCAGCTGACGGTCATCTCGGTGACGGTGTGGATGCCGGTGGCGGCGTCCCGGTCCGTCTTGAGGACGCGGACATTGTCTTTGCCGTAGCGGGCGGCGGAGACGTGTGCGGAAGCCATGATTTTTGCTTAACTGAGTGATTTGATGTGGTGATGGGGATGATGGTGGTGGTTTACACGTGAGACTGAAAGGGGAGGCCGCTGAGAAAGGGATGTGGTCACACGGGATGGGGAGCTATCCGGACGCCAATTACCAGCCAAGAGGAAGTACACACAGAGGCAAAGATGGTCAGAAAGTAGAAGATGGAAACGAAACTGCAATGGGACAAGGAAGAGGTGGATATGGAGTCGAGTCTACTGGAGTGTGGTGGCCTGATATATATACTACTCGTACACAATTGATGCTTTGCCGTTGGCTCCAAGATGATTGATCCCACTTAGTACGGGCCACGCACGTGCATATCTGACACGGACGACGACACGGCTCGTCTCGGACATCGCCTCATGCTGTCTTTCACCTAGCAAACGTGCCCGGCGCAAAAGGCAAAAAAAAAAAAACGATCGACCATGCATATAGGGCATCCGGCAAAGCCCTCCCCGACAGCGGCATGAGCGGCAAGCCGAGAGTAGCGTAAAGGGCCACGGGCGTCTTTGGGGGAAGACAGTGCAGTTTACAGCGGGTGGGGTTCGCCAGAGCCCGGAGCCCGCCGAACTCCCAGCGCCGCGGTGCTCCGGGGGCCTGATCTAGCTTGTGGCGGGGGTCTTTTTTGGGGGGAGGCCTGGAGACGGGTTGAACCAGTATCGCGTCAGCCTGGGCTAGGAAAGGTATATTTTGGAGGGGTTTGCTCAGGAGATGGGCCCATGGTTGCTTGGAAAGAACGGGCACTAGCTAGAGTGTGTATCATTGAGATGCGGTGACTCGGGGCTTGAAGCGGCATTGTGCACTTTGTAGATAATGATGAGCTGATGGGAGCCGGCCGATGCATCGGATAAGGTTACGGTACGTGTTGATGGCGATCCGCAGAGACTCGGGGCCGAGATAGCAAGTACATGTGCCTACCTGTTATTCATTCGATGAGCCTAAGATTAGGAATCGTTTGGATACCGGAGATGGGTCTTGCCGCTGCGGCTATCAATCGAGAATTGAATTGTTATCGTGCTTAGTTACTCCGCATATTGCTAGCAATACGCTATTGGTGCTAAGTGTATATAGTCACTGCAGTGCTAGTATCGTTGATCTGTTCGCGATTCACTAGCCACAGCCGATTGATTGGTCCTTTTCGGCTGCCTCTATCTTCTGGTAATCGGGGCATTTGAGACCGATTGTTCGTTTACCGTCCATACTTCAACCACCGGCGTAAAAGACAAAACACCAAGCCACCTATAGGAGTCTATCTTGGAAAGAAATTGAAAGACAGTTTTCCACTTAAATTAATCTCCCTTTTAAACCTTTTCTTGTAAACTTTTCATCATTTCGGCCTTCCCTTGCACAAAACTCTCAGATTAAGCCCCCAGCAATAGGGTAGCATGTTCTCCGCATGCATCGGTGAAGTAGCGGCCTGGTGTACGGCCACAGCTGTGCCACAGCTGATGCAGCAAGCCTGATGCCAGCCACCAACTCTCTGGGCGCCATTCGGACCCAGCCAATGCATTCAGCTGGTGGAATCTCGAAATCCCATCTTTTGTGCTGTTCCTGCGTCGCGCGTTGAACGTCGTTCCCCTCGCATGCTGTGAAAAGCTCAACGAGCTTGTAGCGCCTCGCAGGCCGTCGAAGCTGCACCGCCGCATGCAAATTCGCTGGGCCTAGGATTCCCGCTCCAACTTGGGCCTTTAGCTCTCCAATTCCCTCCACCGTGCCAAGTTCCACCGCTCAGATCTGCGATCTTCCTTAAGCTGCTCCAACCACCAAAGACCGTCGCATCGCGCGCAGATCCTCGCCCTGTAAATGTGCCTCGAGCCGTGCGAGCCAGGGATTCGAACCATTTCCTCGACATAACCACGATATACCGACCACGAGAGACGCGAATAGGGCTGCCCCAATTCCGCCACCTTGAGACCCCCTCCACGCTCCACACGCATACATTCGAATGCTCAGCGGCCACCGGAGGGCATAGTCCCCTTCAGTGGGCGTCGCCATCGCCATGCTGGCCAGCTCCTCGTCCAGCCAGAAGGGGTTTGCCCCCTCCAGCCAGTCCTCCCAGAGCCTCAAGCAGGCCGACCATGCGCCGACGATCGGACGAACGAGCATCGACCGCGAGGGCACTGGGCTGCAGATTCCCAATGGCGGGGCCTCGAGGAATCTGTCAGCCTCGGCCGCGTTTGCTCCCCGAGGGAACAGCCTCGTCCCCGGCGCCGGGCCCGGCAGCTTCAGCTCCGAGCTGCGCAGCCAGATGATCCCCATTCGCTCAGGCAGCCGAACCGACGCGGCGCCAGTATACCCGAGCAGCTTTGTGGACAAGGTGGAAGACGGCGAGCTTGCAGAACAGAACCTTTCCATGCTGCGGGACAGGCTGAACCGGGAGATGAAGATCAAGGAAGGGAGCGAGAACATGCTCGAAGCTCTCAACCTGAAAAAGCCCAAGCAGACAAAGGAGCAGCGCCAAAGAGTCGAGGCCGAGCTGACGGCCAGCCATTCGCGCATCAAGGTCCTGAAGCAGCAGATTACAGATGCTCAGCGTACCAAGGTGGCACCTCCCAGCACACCCCCCAGGAACAGAACCCAGCAGGACGTTGGACTACATCGCTCACCGCATAGCCTTCGATCGGGCACCGGCTCAGAGGTTGAAGAGCCTACCGAGAGCCCTACGTTTACGCTCACCGAGCTTCTACAAGCCCTGGAGGTTGGAGGAATGACCCCCGACTACTACGTGAACCGTGCGAACCTTCTAGTCGACCTGTTCAAGAGATATCCTACTCTCAAGTACGATTTGGTGTGGTCCGTGTTTGGCCTGCGGATGCAGATGATGCTCCTCAGCGAAAGCAGAGAAGTCGTGGCGGCTGGTTATCGTGCGACAAGATATGCAATTTCGGATCGAAACTCTCTTAGGAAGATTAGAAGTTTGAATACCGACTTTTTAGTTATACGGTAGGTTTTGGACACCAGTCGCCTCATATCAAAAGCAATAAAAGCCCGCAGACTAACGTATCATGACTTAGGTCACTAAACAACTATCGAAAGGCCGACGTTGAACGAGAGCAGGCCCTCAAGTTTGTACGAGCTTTTCTAGACGTTAAAGACGGAGCCAAGGAAGTCTCGCGCGCTGTTGTACGGACCATTGTCGCTGTGGCCGAGTATGGTGATGATCGATCTGGCTCAGCACAGCCTTCTGAGCAAAATACAGATCGCTTACGGCCCATCTGCATCGAAACTCTGGCGGAGATTATGGTTCGAGATCCTCGCTTGCTTCTTGCATCAGGTGGGTTGGGTCCCCTCTCTGAGGCTCTCGCCGAGGGAACCTACAAAGCCCCTGAGAGTCTGGCATCCGCTTTTCTCTTTCTCTTAGATACGCCGCAGAGGCGAAAATATGTCCAACCGGGCTACGGACTGGACGTGGTTTTTAACGCATTCACAAGCCAACTGGTTGGAAGCGAGGCTGTACTGAAACAAAACTGCAAGGCCATATCTGTCGCCATGCGATCTTGGTCTGGCCTCATGACGCTCTGTATGTACGACTTTCGGTCCATCAGATCACTCATTATGAGCATACTACTTCCGAGCCCTGTTGTACGAGAAACCATTTTGGACCTGCTCTTTTCATTGCTTCGCATTAAACCACCTGCCTGGGCGGTGTCTTTCTTGGCAGGACGGAGGTTAACTACCTACGGAAGGGTGAACAACCTCAACTTGAAGACTGAAGCCAAAGACCGAGGCTATCTAGAAGAAGATACAGGCGAACAGAACTTTGTGGACCATTATACGGCACTGATTCTGGCGGTCTTTATAAAGTCTGGACTTATCCAAACCCTTTTACAAGTTGCACGTTCTGAGAGCGATACTATGCTTAAGCGCAAGACAACGCTGTTGATCGGCGAGGCGCTCAAGCTGGCAGCTAGACTGCTCCCTCCATCGTGGAGTGCAGAAATACAGCTTTTGCCGGAATTGTTTTCGGCAGCAGCAAAATTCAGCGATGACCAATCGTATATTGCGTCAAGTATTGTGTACCAGATGAGCAGCATAAACCGTACGCTATACCGGAGTGCGCCAGCAGACTCTTTGGCCGGTATCTTGCCTTCAAGCGATAGCATGAACGACTTAGCACTCCTAGATGGCCAACGCAAGGCAGGATCTGCAGTGGCCTTTGACGACGCTACGTTCCGTCAGCTTCTCATCGACACGGGCGTTCTCAACCATTCCAACTACTCCAAATGGAATTGGGAGAATATCATGAAAGTAATCGACGGCCCTCTTCAGGTCGGGAAGAGGCTCGAAGAAGCCATCAAGGCGTCAAAATTTATGAAGAGAATTATGAGTTTTTATCGGCCGTTCAAATATAAGTTTGCGGAAGTCCGAAATACGCGAAACACTCAAAAATATGTCAGGGCTGGATGTGCTCTTATGCACTCCCTGCTTCAGTCGCCGGAAGGAGTTCGATTCTTGGCGGATAGCAAGTTGTTGAGGCAAATTGCGGAATGTTTGGCCCAATGCGATCCGGTAAGATTGATTGCAATTTCCTTTTCAGCGTCTGAGAAAACCTTTTCATGCTAACGTGAGTGATAGACGAGTGGACTGACCGCGCAGTATCCCATGTTCTCTAAGGATAGGCTAACGGATACCCTCTGTGCCGGCTATTTCCCCATGCTTGGGGTGCTAACCGGTGATCCGAAAGGATTGGCCATGTTAGAGAGATGGAAGATGTTCAATATGATGTATCACATCTATGAGCTGACCCAGCGACCCGATCTTGTCAAACTCCTCCTCTCCAGCTTTGATTACAGTCGCCAGGGCCATCATCGCATCTTGCTTTCAAAAGCGCTGACAGCAGGGACGAAGGAGATTCGGATACATGCAACAAATACGCTTCGGAAATGCACTCTTCGAAGGTTGCCATCTATCAACGGCCAAGGCGAAGTCAGCGACTCGAAATGGGCAATTCAACTTCTAGTTACGCAACTGTATGACCCAGAGATTGAGGTGTGCTCAACCGCAGTCAAGATCTTGGAGAAGGCCTGCAATAGGAAAGCGTATCTGGCATATATTGTGGAGTGCCGTCCAGCCTTGGACCATCTCGGCGAAATTGGAGCTCCGCTATTGCTTCGATTCCTGTCGACATCTATTGGCTATCACTATTTGGATGGTCTGGATTACATCAGTAATGAAATGGATGACTGGTTCTTGGGAAGGAATGATTCCTACGTTAGCCTCATTGAAGCTAGCTTGGCCAAGGCCTTCCTCTCAGAAACGGACGAGCAGAATCATCGACTTAGCATGTTTGATGAGCACGAAGCGGAAACAGACTTTCACGATAGCCATATACCACCCCACTTCTACAGAGAACTAACAAGAACCCAAGAGGGATGTAAGCTGCTCAGTGACAAGGGCCACTTCGAAGAGTTTGCTAGTACGATTCGCGATCATGGAATGCAATCTGAGGACTCTGAACTCATCACAAAGGTCAAGGGATGCCTTTGGGCTGTTGGAAATGTAGGATCTATGGAACTCGGCGCGCCGTTCTTGGAATCCACCGACATGGTTGAGCAGATTATAAAGATTGCAACTACCCACGAAGTGATGAGCCTGCGTGGGACGGCGTTCTTTGTTTTGGGCCTGATTTCCCGTTCGACTCATGGACTTGAAATCTTATCTGAGCATGGCTGGGATGCCAATACGACATTGATGGGCAACTCTCTCGGTTTTTGCATCCCGTCTGACCTGTCTAAGCTTTTTTCGCTTTCACCTTGGCATAACGAAACAGCTGCTTCGATTAGGTTGCCAGAGTCACAGTGCACCATTCGGGAGCAGCCGCCTCCTAGGCCCGCCCGTCCGCCCCTAGAATTGTCCGAAATGCCCCCTCTGGTTAATGACACGGCTACTAGTGAGCGGATTCTCGAGCTTATAGTGGATCTCGGAAATACGGTGCTGTATCGAAAGGCCGTCACCGAGTTGCAGAAGATAAAAGCGCGAAAGCCAACAGCCTTCCGAAGTGCCGAATTTTTCAAAACGGTCATGGGTCTTATGGAGTGGAATCACTACAGACTTGGTGTCCGGAGAATGGTCATCGACCTTTTTGAAAAGGCAGTCATGAGACAGATCGTTTTCGACGAAGATGAAAGCGACAGTAGCGAGGAAGACGAGAGCAGTCCAGTGGATGCAGACGACAGCGTTAGCTCTGGCGACGACAGGGATGACAGAACGGAGAGACAGAGGAGTATCAGTGAGCCTATGGAACCTCCGCAAGATTTGATCCCAGCACCTCTACGACTGCGACGGTAAGAAACTGGCTGATATCTGAAAACGATATCTCGAGAGAGCCAATGAGAAGGAAGGGATAGTCGCTCTAGAGTATGAGAGATATAGGGCTTGAAGGATTTTATGGAGTTACACATCGACAAGTCAGGAAAGGGACGGGATTTAAATGGTAGGAAGTTTACGGATACCTTGCATAATTGCTTGAGTAATGCGTATTACATTCTGGGCATAGCCGCTCTCGCCCTGGATATCGGCGCTCGAACACACACGCACGCACAAATGTCATATACATACATACATACCTGATTTTGCAAAGGCGAGGCATTTGCTCGGATTTTCTTTTCTTTGTTCATTTTCTAGGCGCGAAAGGAGGGGCATTTTCTTTTTGGCGCTGGGGGACGGGAAAGGAGGGGGCTTTGGCGACGAAGCTTTTTGGTGAGGTTCTCTTGACAATTCACCTTATATCTTTTTTTTTTATGTTATATTTCGTATTAGCTTAGCCTTATGTACGTGAGACGAGTAGATTTCGGAGAAGAAGCAACGGAGAAATCTAACTGGCATTTACTTATCCGATAGCCGGATAGATTTGAAGAAAACCAAGTTTCGGGTAAAATTGCCTTGTGTTCCATAGTGTGAGTTTTTAGCAGCTGTATCTTAGACTGGGGTTAAGTTACTAGGGTCAAATATAATAAGACTGTAGGTAATACTAGGAGGTAAGGTATTGCGTCATAGTATAGTAGGTGAATTAGTAAAAGTAACTAAAAGATTATAAATGGCATTTAATTGCCTTTATAGTAGAAGTATTAATATATACTGTTTTTAAATATCAATATCTAAAGCCTTCTCTAGTTATTTACCTATAAAATGCATTTTTGTATATTGAAAGCACCGAGGAAGTTTAATATAATAATAAAGAAACAGATGGCTATTAATTTTGTACATTATGTATATTTAATCTAGTAGGTAGTCTATATATTTTCTTGAAAATATAAAAAGCCGAGATATATTGTCCAAGCATAATTCACTGCTTTAAGATATAACAACCGGCGGAAGATTTATAACATGTAATATAAACTCGCTAGTGCTTATACCAATACCCCAATCTGGCAATTCTAATAAACAATTATGCCGGTAATCTTACCAATCGTAAAGGAAATAGTATGCGTGTTACCCAAAGTCGGAGCATGCCCTGGCTCTTCTAAACACGCACTGCATAGGCGAAGGCTACCCGTAGCGGCTCTGGATCAAACCCAAAACAAGTAGCGCGAATCGTGAGAATTTAGTCAGCGGATGGGATTCCTTTGCCCATAAACGCTGGGAACTAGGAACCATTTACAAGCGTTTTTTTTTTTTTTTTTTAGTACATTCGCTGAGGTTACTGTGACAAATAAGTGACATATGCGGCTACGGGACGAGATCTGGCACCGCGGTTAGCGAGTTGTTATAAAAGCCAAAAACTTATATATGTGATACTGACTTTAGGAACTATCCTTGCACATTAGTGGTATGCCTAGTTCATCTCATGTTGTTCCGTGACCGTACTTACACGAAGGAGTTTGCAATTAAACGTCACATTCCCGCCTTGCGGGGAATCCAGAGCAACTGGGGTTGTATGCGCAGATCGCAAAGATGTGGCTTGCATTAGGGGATTGAAACTAGGTATCTTGAAGGATCATATACTTGTGTAACAGGTCATTGGTCGACATCTGCCCATTCAATACTCAAATAGCGAAGCGAGTCAGGTTCTCCCGGTGACACCTTCCTCGGTGTTCGCACGTCATAGAATCCCCTTATCATGAAATGTAACCCTCTAGGGCAAGATTGTCTGCAACACCGCCTACGGTCCAATTTTTATTGAAGTCCTTATAAGGCGTACAATGACTATTTTACTGAGCTAGTACTAACCAAGGTTGTAGAAAGTACCCTTTTCTATGCTTGTCAACGCTAGGACGAATGTATTTATGTCCTAGTTAATAAATTTTAGAATACTCTTTGTATACCTATTACATTCTATTAATATTAATATTAAATAGTTATATGCTTATCTAAATTTTTCTTTAAATAGGGTTTGAATTTCTAGGAGATGTTTTACTTGCACTATTTTCGTTACATTATATGAGTATTTGCAATATATTACGCTTAGAAATGTATCTAGTTAGTTCATTGACTTTCCTATTGACCTTTTAATAAAATATACATTGGCTGAATAAAATAGTATTAAAGATTGGATAATAAATGTTTTGTGTATAGTAAATATAAAGAAATATAGAACAGTTTAATCTTTTGAGAGAATACGGCATTTAGGCGGATATACGGAATCTTTTTACATCTGTTATTACGATTGTTATTCCCTATTCTTTTTATATAACCACCTTTAGACGGTCTGAGTGGGTGGAAACTGTTACACTTATTGGCCAAACTTGGTTAGCGAATTCGAATAGTCTGGAATACATTGCCCAATTGGGGCAGTTTTTCTTTGCATATCCTTCACGATCTTCATGTAAGCAGGCAAAATACCTGGTAGTTATTAGCGTTGTTACCTAGGATTATAATTGTGTTCCTAATAGGGAGAGTTATTATTTGTTGTTCCGTATATAAGGAGGCCATTGCCTCTCCTTTGCCAATGAGCCCCCCCAAGCTTCTCATACCATCCCACCTCTAAGCAATTAACATTTAGAGTACGACATTGCAACAGTAGTCTATAGCCAGTCTAAAACTTGCTGAAAGACCCTAATCACATTTTTGAAATTGCGATAGCTCTTTGTTTCACTCAATATGAGCCCCCCTTCCGCGCTTCACCCAAACCACCAGAAGCTCCTCGACCGAGCTCGAGAGTTCATTGCTGAGATTGAAGACCAGTGAGTGTGGAATTTTGTTTCTTTCTCTATTTAATCCGTCGATATCTCTTTTAGGAAGTTAGAGCGTAATATATTGCTTACACTTCGGTTTCAAATAGAACTCCTGGTGCAGAGCTCGAAGCTAGACTAAACAGCGAGTTTGGACCTGGAACTCCCTACTACGACGACTTTAGCAGTTTAATTCGACAAGGCTTGGCCAATAATGAGAGCTGGATCTCGAAAGAAGGAGTCGACGGTGCTAATTTCCGCCTCTCCGACATTAGCCCACCCACAGAAGACACTAAATATTTCAGCATTCTAACAGTCTACCTGGAGAACGATGGATATGAACACATAGCGCATATTCACCCGTACGGTGAGCTCAACTGCATCGTTCAGATTGACCCTGCTGCGGAGTTCAAGGGGTTTCAAGGTTGGCAGGGCGCGGGCTGGACATCACCGCCGCCTGGATCTCACCATGCCCCCTCAGTGCGCGGAGGTGGCCTGGTGGCTCTTGTCTTCATACCCGCGGGGCGCCTAGCTTTTAAGGAACTCAAGGATCCCCGAGACTTCTAGTTTGTCTGATTGGGAGACATGCTCAATACCTAATCGATCCTTTGCAAGGAATCTCCACAAAGAATAAGCAGCACAGTGGCACTCAGATGCAGTCATCAGCACACATGTATCGGCTAGGTCTTGGCAGGAATTTTGACAGAAACCCTTTGTGGTTTGCAACTAGACTAGGTAGTATGATTACTGTTCAAGAATATAAATATCCAATAATGCGTATTTGGTATATAGCTCTGTGATGCATTGTAAATTATAGCTTTATAAGGCAGGCTTTTGCGCCCTTTTTTTTTTTAACTTAAATACACTGGAGGCCCCTGCTGTAAGCACCCCGGCTAGTCCGCATGGTTGGATACAGCAGAGAAATCTTCCTTTGGGCTTACATAGAACGAGCCAGAGTAAACTGGTTTCGCTAGAGGGAAGTTACATAATGCTCCAAACTAGGCTCGCCACAAGACATCTCTGAGTAATGTACACCTCCAACTGATCTTTTTCATTCGTCGGTCGCATGTCGGTCGCAACCTATACAAGCTTTTCGCCAGATTTAATTAAGAGTGTGGAAGTAGTTAAAGGGTAAATCTGGCGAGAAAATAGAGCTTTGAGACAAACAACCCATATGAACTATAGAGCTAAAATGGAAGCATCATGCATTGAGAACGAAAATCCCAACAGAGACAAGAAATATTCTACTCGCTCCACCGCCTTACTGCTTCCATGGACGAAGCAGTATAAGGATGCTCCTGGCCAAGGGTTTTCTGACGATACTCGGAACAGAGCTTCATCAACCCCATAGCTTTTTCGTGAAGACCTTGGCTTTTCCAAATAAGAGCAAGGTTATTCATACTAGTCAGCGTGTGAGGGTGGTAGGCCCCAAGCTCTTCCTTGCACCATGCTACCACTACTGATTGCAAATTTCCAGCTCCTTCAGCTTCCCCTTGGTCTTTATATATCAGAGCCAAGTTGTTCATGCTTGCCAAAGTGTTGGGATGCCTCATGCCCAACTTCTTACCTCGAAAGTCCACTACCTGTTCTTGCAGCTCTTTGGCTTCCAATAGTTGACCTTGGGCTCTGAATATTGATGCAAGGCTGTTCATGCTTGTTAGTGTGTCCGGATGTTCCTCCCCAAATTTCATGCTGCGAATATTCATCGCATGGGCCTGAAGCTGTTCAGCTTTCTCCAACTCGCCCCGGATCCTATAGATGGGCGCCAGGTTACTCATATTGGTTAATGTTTGTGGATGACCTTCTCCAAGCTCTGTCTTGCAACTTTCCAGCACCATTTCTTGTAGCTCTTCAGTTTCCATATATCACGTTGAGCTAATATGTATTTCAAAACCATACCGTATTCCACAGATATCATGATGGAAAAATGATTCTGAACTCTCTTGCACCTCCTTGACGAATAGCCCGAAGTTTTCTTACCAATTCAATGTTCACTTCTGCAGTTGCCTCAATTGGTTCGCTGCGTGTAAGAGCCCCGAATGCCTCACCTTGGTGGTATTCCTCGTCAGTGCGCGACTCTTGGGACTCTTCAGTTTCGCTATGTTCTTCATCAATTCCCACCCCCTGATACTTCTCAACTTTGGTGTATTTTTCATCAATGTCCAATTCTTCAGCCTCATCAACCTCACTGTAATCCTCGCAACTGTCGGGCTCTTGAGACTCCTCAGCGTCGCTGCATTCTTCATCACCATCCACGTTGGTAAGTTGCAAAGGGCGTCTTTGAGTTAATTCCCGAATTTCGTCTGCATTCATTGTGTCTAGGACACTTGCTGCCCTCCTAAGCGTCGAAATCTGCTCATTTAGCAGTATACGGAGTTCTGAAGCAGAACTTCTACCAGTCGGTTCAGTAGAGTGTCCATCTCCGGCAACGGGGGAAGACGAAGTTGATATGTTTATTTGCTGAGTACCAGCCACCAAATGGTTAACAGAGAAGACATCAGACGTGTCGTCCGGAACATCGATATTATTTATATGCTGGTTCAGTTCAGCCAACGAGAAGCTAAACATTGATCCGTAGATAACCTCCGCTCTTGGCGACAGTTCATATCTTCCCTGGTGAATAGTATATGCGGGCATTTTAAGCCACGATTCTGCAGATTTGACTATTTCAAACGCTTCTTCTTGGGATATAAGAAACCACTCTCGATGTCCGCGTCCACAATTCGAACATTCGTAAATTTGGATTTGTTTATGTCTTAAAGCGGCATGAATGATCCTTTCTGCCTGGAAGGCGCCAGTAAATGGATTTTCGGTCCTATATATAATAGTAGTATCAATTCCATGACAGTTTCCAGGCTGCCTGTGTCTTCGTTGTGCAGAATTTGCCGAGAATCCGATCTTGAATATGCCAGGAATACTAGTATGCTTATAGATGTATATAATGCCATTAGACATTCTTAAAGGATGAGGGGGGTACTTTATCGTCCTGTATATTTTCAGGGTGTTCTGTTGTGCATCTTCGCTTGGAAACACAACGTTCCCAAGGCTCCTCATTCTATCTCTTAATTCTTGGGTATTATCAAAATTATCATCTCTCCTACGGGTCGCGGTTAGAGATCTTATAGTTTCTTCAACGTAGAGATCTGATGCAGACGGGTTGCCTCCTAAGCCGCTGGAAGCGGGGTTGGAAAGCGTCGGAGATGCTACACTGCTGGTTTCGGAAGAGACATCCAGAGAATCACTGGGAAAAAATGCATTCGTCGCTGGAGTTGACGAGGAGCTTGAAGTAGTTGCAATCCTTCCTCTCTTCCATTCGCTGAAGGCTTCAAGTGCGCGGTCCTGGTGGGAGTAGCAGTGCGTAAGCGCAATGAACCTTGCCATCTTATCATATAAGTTATCAATTTCGCTATATTCCGTAACACGTCGAAACTCAGAGAGAAGATTGAAAATTGCATTTCGATTTTTGCCCAATGTTCTTTTGCATGGCACGGAGTATACGGTAATGGCTTGGCAGTTGTGGTAATGCGACTCGTTTGCGCTTGGAGGAAGGCCGATACCTCTCTGGATTTTGGAAATTTCCTTGAAGATTGGTCGATTGATAGTATTCATATTGTAGAGATTTTTTCTCTTTTCCTTTGTTGCTGACTTATAAGTTGCTGCACCTGTTGATCTTGAAACACGTTAGTGCATGCTTATACAATAATGTTATAGATCGCAACTTACTCATCATATTGGAAAGCACCGGAGCGTATAACCTCTTGTAGAAAGCTATCAGTTCCTGGAAAATGCTGTGTATCATTAATTACGTCTTTCCAATCAATAATGTGCTCGCTGTCAGGAATAGTATCCTCTATCGAAGGGCCATCAACATCCATGTTAATATCTTGTTCTTCCGATATGCTAATAACAGTGCCTGTCTCTTGTTCAGAATGTTGTTGCCCTAAACCAATGCGAGATGCGTCGTGATCGGTACTACTAGATAAAGACTTTTCATCTTCTGTTGCATTTGGGATATCTAGAGACATCATACGCAAGGTGAAGAGCATCATCCCTTGAAGATGCGCAGCTACGTGTCTTGCGATGGCTTCAATATTTACTCGCTGTGTATTTTGGGCAGATTGGGCTCCAGTATTTGATACCATCTCTTCCATTTCTCCTTCGGAGTTGACGTCGCTATGTTGGATTTGCTGACTTGAGCCAGTCTCTGTTTTAACACGTTTGTGACTTTCTCCAGGCATCTGATCTTTCAATAGAAGGTTTGGTTGTGCTAAATGCAAATGCTGTCTCTCTTCATCTTCTTGTTCATCCCTCATTGAAAGGCAGCATAAGGGGCAGATGTCTTGCGGCCGTGGGGATCGGAGCTGGCTCTGGTTTACAATGACTTGAATTTGTGGCCTTGTAAAGATATCATCGTGAAGCTTTGATATGTGTTCTGAGAGTTCTTGTGCTCTAGAAAAGGTCGTTTCTGCGCTATTGCATAGTGGACAAATCCACCATACTGGCAAATGTATTTCTCGATGCCAATTTTGACCATGTGTTTCAAGCATGTGACTAAACCATGCCCTTGAAGTTGCAAACTGGTTTACTTGCCCCTTACACTTCTCAGATATGCAAATGAATGGCTTGAAATCTTCATTCAAATGTTTCCTAGAGATTCTGTTAATACGAAGCATCTACAGCGTCGGGATAAATGAGTAGATAGGCCATACTTCCATTTCTCCCCCTTGAGTTCATCTTTTGAGAGAGTCGCAAAGCACCATTCGCAAACCAAGCTCTCTTCAGATGGTTGAGGGTAAGCGACTTGACTAACAAGAATAGACCTTGTCTCGCTACCGGCAGATCCGCCCCTTTGTTGCGAAAACAGTTTTCTGAACTCTCGGCTATCTAAGGATGTTGGCTTGGATTCCCTGGATTTGTGTGACCTGTCGTCTACATGCGTCATTGAAACTAGGCGCGGTAGCTGCTTATTGACATTCATAACAGGAGGAGCAGTTAATTGAAAAGATGCTCTCCCGATATCTGCCTTTGAATCTGAAGCCAGCTCTTCGCCAATGGTGGATAATGCTGCTTTGGGTCGAGCTTGGAGTCGCACTTGTCTCGATCGCCGATAATGGAATCTTTCGTACATATTGGTCATTGCTTGGGCAAGCTGCTCCAAAAGCGATGCGCTGGCACCGGGGTAGAATGACTTGACTGCAGAGCGCGCAATCTCTTCGAATGAAGTGGAGTCAAATGTCGTTACGAATCTGCCAACTTTTGTTGCCTGCCTTGCCTCTGACGATCGTTGTATGGTCCTGCCGAGATGATTGAGGCGGCCAACCGCTCCTTCAATTCCTCTTAGACTCTCTAAGTTGACGCAGATCGGGGATGAAGAGACTTGACCTAAGTCGGGAATGTCGATATCTTCGTCTAAAGTGGACTTGTTATGATCAATTTCGAGAACTGGGAATGCTGTCAGCATAAGTTCTGATGATATGAGTAGAAAAGGGACGCACGATGAACCAAGTTTCTCCTCATGATATCCAACAAGCGAAGAACCAAATCCTGAACCTCGGTATGGTTGCGCAGTCTATGGTCGAGGCACATATCTGGCACAGCGAACACGCCTAAGAAAGCCGCCCAAGCTGAAAACTTTTGCTGATACTCTCCAATGACTTTCGCGCCATTCAAGTCAGATTCATCTTTCAGCCTTGAGATGTGCTCCGAAAATAGCCTTTCGCATTTTGTCGCCAGCTCGAAAATGGGCTCCGTCTCTATGCCTGCCTCATCCATGCTTCTGAGCAGTTTTAGGATACAACCTAGCCAGATGTCAACCCGAACGTATGTGATCGTTTAATACCTAGTGGCATATCCCGGCCTCTGGTGATGGCACAGCTAGATGTACAATTGCCAAGGGTGAGAATAGCGGAGACAATTGCGATCTGATTTCGTTTGCAGATCCTGGAGCTACCTGGCAGGGCATAGGTAGTTAATGACTCCAATAAATTGATAAAAGATAAATCCGTTACTCTATACACACAGCGTACGGGCATCTTCAAAGAGACTTAATATGTACCTAACCCCGCTCTGCTACATTCAACATCTGGGCCGTATCACATGAGACAAATGGTGAACTGACCTAATCAAGTAGGTAGTATTCGAATCGACCCTGGATTCGTCAACTATTATCACCGCGCTGGCCAACGCTAGAAGAGCGCTCAACAAGCTTACCAGCCATCTTCTGGTACTCTATTCCTGCGATGCGTTCGTTAAGCTGCGTCAGTCCGCGCATCTAACTTTTCACTGTTTTGTTACTGGCTATTTCCGTTCCCATCTTCATACTATTTCGCGACTATTACATTGCTGAAGCACAAGACTTCCGGTAGAATATATGCGGATTATTTAAGGCGATTATCTGACACAAATCGGCTGACAGTGTCGTTTGCGAGCCTTTAGACCCCGCTTTCATTCTTCAGCCGCATCTCAATGCAGTTGCATTGATCCCAGAGTCACACAGGGCTCATCTGTCAAAACAGTGCAGCAACACCTAAAATGTGCCATGCTGCCCACAGAATCTCTCGGATGGATTGGCTTTCAAGCATTGAAAGTTCGCTTGGCAGGCCGCCTCGTGGTACTTGCGAAGCGTGAAGCTGATGAGGATCGGCCTACCAAATACCAGAACGACGTCGATCTCTTGGACTGGGACCTTCGAGACATCTTCAAGACGGCTACTTTAGATATTGATCTCATTTGTGAGGATTTTCAGGATTTAGAGGAGACAGCACAAGACCTGCTGTTATCGCTTAATGATATGGTTAATGAGGATATAATTTACTCTCCAAAGACGTCTGCTCACAATGGCTCTCACGACATTACGAAAATAAAGAATGCATACCCGAAATTGTCGGCACTGATGCTTTATCTCGATGCATCTGGTTACGGTCAATTTAACTTGGTAGGTGGTCCAGGGCCATCTCTATTTATACTACCCCGTGGCCATATTGGAGACCAAATTGCAGGCCAGGTATTGGCTTGGAAGATGTTTCTACAACGAATAGTAGCACGATCGGATGAATCACAAAACTGGCTTGGAATTGGAGCTTCGCAGTCCCCAATGTGCGTAGGCTCGATAAAGCCAGCAGAACAAAAGCTCAGCATGGTTCAAAATCCCGTAGGCGTTGTCATGGACGCTATTTTGAAAGAGTTTCAACAAACACACTGCGGTATAACCCACGAAGTCAAGTCGAGGGTTTTGGAGGAGCTATATACTAGCCCATCTCAGCCAAGGCTCGAAATGTTATTATCTTGTTGCCAATCTGAGCGTGACTGGCAAGAGGCTATATGCGATTTATTCAGGTAATTACCCCCGGAGCATGCTGAGTACTAAAATTACTGATCTGACAATAATATAGGAATTCTGTTAACTTGAAAGAGAAAAATGACATTTGCGTCGCCATTCACAAAACTTGGAAACAGCGGACAAAACTTCGTTTTTTCGTGGATCAGAGGGGGCTATATGATGTCACGGACGAAGGACCGCCAGTATCAACGTCTCTCCACGACCATGAAGAGGAGGGACTCAATTCACTGCTCGATAAAAATGCGTTTCGTCCTATTAGCCCCGGGGCCTATCTGAGAGGCATGACCATACGAAGATTCGACTATCGAGAAAAGACGGCCCTGGCTCTGTCCCTGGCTAGATGCTTACTGGTATTCTTCGATAAGAACCTCGAGCGAGCTTTCTGTAACTGGTCAGCGGAAAACATTTTTTTCATGCACTCTTCTCGTCCTTATGGAGAGCTTCCGCGCTGGCATATTTTGGTAGGGTCACAACCTCCCAGCTTCAACTATCCCAACATCCTTCATAAAATTGTTCCAGGCAATCCAGTTTTGTTATCATTTGCCAAATTATTATTGGAAATTATTAACGGCGAGAGGATACCTCTTGAGATTGATTTGCAGAATATTAGCAAAAACATTGGAAACTGGGCTCAGATGTGTAGCTACGTGGAGGAGGCACGGCAAGATGGAAACTATTTCTACCTCCAAGCCGTGCAAGGGTGTTTATATCTTCATATACACTTGCAAAAAGGCGACGACTTGAAAAGTATCAATTCATCTGGTGCTGCCATGAGAGAAGTGATATATGAGCAGATCATCCGAAATCTTGAGAAAGCGCTAAATCCTGAAGGACCTAAACGGAAACGGCGAGAATCCTTTTCTGAGCGCCCTCATTCGAAGAGACTGCATTCAGATGAGCTTTTGGAAGTAGCGGATCGAAAATTAGAAGGTCTGAGCGAACGTTGTACTAAAAGTGCTCTTGCTATCTTACCATTTCAGAGAGGGATGGTTCCATCTCGGGCGACCCACGATACCGGCGTAAACCGCTTCTTTGGGCACGATGGTGCAGAAAGACCATCACAAAACTCGTGAGCACTCTCTGATTTTGAACTCTATTTTCTTTTAAATCTTCATATCGTATCATAATATTACGATCTAATAATAACAATAATACTAACTTGTGACTTAGTCTGCGTTCAATGACTACAGCCATCAACGCGGCGAGTACGGCTCCGCCAAGGCGTGAATACTTCAATGTAGCCGTTATATGCGCTATTGTTACAGAGTACAACGCTGTTTGCCAAATCTTTGACGAGTTTTGGGATGAAGAAGGAGATCAGTATGGAAGAGCACAAGGAGATCTCAACACTTATACTACTGGCCGCATCGGCAAGCACAATGTTGTCTTGGCTCTTCTTCCACATATTGGAAAATCTAATGCTGCTGCCGCCGCCGCTAATTTTAGATCAAGCTATACGAACGTGGAGTTGGCGCTCGTTGTAGGCGTCTGTGGAGGCGTACCTCGAGTTGGGGGCTATGAAGAAGATGAGATTCTCCTAGGTGATGTTGTCATCAGCAGAGCTGTTGTCCAATATGACTTTGGCAGAAAGTATGCCGAGAAGTTCATCCGCAAAAACACTTTTGAAGATAACTTGGGCAAAGCAACAAAGAATATCCAAAGTTTGCTTAAAAACTTTGAAACCGATCGCGGTCTGAGCTTACTGCAGAACCAGACAGCCCAGTTTCTAATACAGCTGCAAAATAAGCGATCAGGAAACAAAAAAAGGTTACTTAATAAGTACCGATATCTCGGAACAGCCAAAGACAGATTATTTAGATCAGATTATCGCCACATGCATCGCGGTTTTCATGGCCACTGCTGTAGCATTTGTGGTAGCGGCTCTGGTGTTGTATGCGAAGAGGCTCTAAATGCCACTTGCGAGGATTTGGGATGTGAAGGAAATTATGTCGTCGAGAGAGCGCGCCTTCAAGAGAAGCATGAGCTTGAACTAAACAGTTCCGAGGAAGCTCAAGCACCAGCGATCCATCTCGGCGCCGTTGCTTCGGGCGATACAGTCTTAAAATCGGGAAGAGATCGCGATGAGATCGCGCAAAAAGAAGGTGTTATTGCCTTTGAGATGGAGGCAGCGGGTATTTGGGGAGAGATTCCTTGTATCATCGTCAAGGGCGTCTGTGACTACGCGGATTCTCACAAGAATAAGCAGTGGCAAGATTATGCTGCTGCAACGGCAGCTGCTGCCGCGAAAGCCCTTTTATATAGGTATCCCAGGACAGAGAAAAGCCAGACATGGGTAGACTAATCTATTTGAGAACCTATCTCAATCTAAAACTATATACTGCTTACTATAATTGGAGAATCTTACTCTGCTTCTGTAAAAAGATGTTTCGGCCTTCTTCTCGGCTTAGCTGGGACTTGTTGTATGTCAACTATTGGCGATAAATGTATCTAAAAATTGCTGGAGAGGTCAATAGGGATTAATAGAAACGGCCAAAAAAAAAAATTAGTTATTATAGCTATCTCTATAAATGCGTGGTTGACTCTCTTCAGCTCATACATTCATCGAATAGTCTATTTAGTGTAAACCAATTCTTGACACGGGTGCTATACTAGGCACCTAAGCTTTGCAATGTATGACTTTGCAGGTGTCGCAGTCTCCTAATTTACACTATAAGATGCTTATTCTCGAGATAACCTCCTGCTATGTATATCCTCTCTGGAAGCTATTTACCCCCCCACATGCCTTTCATCATTTCCACAGCGGCCTGGCCTCCGATATCCCCAGTAAACAAAGCTCCATCATTACCTATCTTATTACGGAGGAATGTTGAAGTGCCTGTATATGAAGATTTATAGCCAGAGTCAAAGCCAATATTACCAGTAAAAGTTTTCATATTGTCCCCAGCGGTATTGTCCTGTATAATGGCTCTGGTAAACCCTTCTATAGAGTTGTTCTCAGTGCTGGGCGTCTGCGATGTCTCGCCGCTGCTAGATTTCTGCGAGACAGAGAATTTGAATGCCTCGAGTTTGGCTGGTCCCAGCGATATGGTTTCATTCAAGCCTAATACAATACATGTTAAGCATCATGAACTTCAAAATTCAATAGCAGTGCTGAATGATTTACCTTTTCCATCAATCATCCCCTCTTCCTTTAAGAAGTCCATAAGTGCCAGACTTTTCTTGAAAACTGGCGCCACTTTCGCATTGGTATCATTAAGGACACTGAGTTCAATAAGATCCCCTTTAACGCCTACCGGGGCTTCTAATACCCGTGAGGAGATTTGCTGCAGCGCCTTATCAAGATGGCCTTGCATGGGTTTCAGCTGCTTTTCGTAACGAACATACTCCAGGCTAACCTGTGAGGGTTTCATTGAATTGCAAGGAAGCTTGTTAAAAAGCGATTCACACTCTTGAAGAACTGCGGCAGCGGCTTCAATCTCGGCGCTGAAATCATGGTTTTGTAATCCACTGATATTTTTAATTGCGTTGAGATAGTCTTTGGCTTTTGAAAGCTGCGTCATAACTTCATGTAAATCTTGAGATGGCTGGACATTTTTTCCTGTGCTCTGTATCTTAATAGTTTTTTCGAGCGCCTGGTCAAGTAATCTGTTGGTTCTGGTCATGGCTATTGTCTCGACGCAAGAACCCTGTATGTTATCTTAGCATCCTACATTAATAGCTAGCCGGGCATGACTGGCTCACCGTTCTGGATTTGACCTTCATTGATAATTAAACTTGTTTGGTACTTGCTTTCTTTCTTTCTTTCTTTCTCTGTCTTTTTTCCGCTTTGTAGAGTATGGGAAGTTAAATGTAACTCTGGCGCCAGTAGAGAACGTTATATATGTGTTTGCAATCAAGCCTTAACCCTTCACCCTCATTCTTCAGGCATATAGATGCCTTTATGCATGCAAGCGCCTAAGAATGCATCATCATCATCAGGCAACCATGAATGTGCATATTTTGTGCCCAAAGGTCGCTTAGGCGATAAAGAGGCAACTTGACGTCCGCCTCTTGGTTAGTCTTAACTAGCTCTCTGCCCACTCAAGTTAGATACAGGACAGCACCTTTGCTTACCATGCATAATAGGTTAGAACAATAATTAATATGCTAATTGAGAATATAGGGAAGTTACAATTATCCTATGTTCGGCTTACATGGAAGAGACGTCAAGTCGGCGTCCTTACAGGGTGGATCTGCATAAACAGCAAGGCTGAAGTTATGCGTGTCGCTGTTTTATTGGACGAATATGATCACCGAGATGAGCGGTGTTTTATTTTTGGCCAAGTCTATAATGTATCCTGTCTTTACAAGGCAAATGTAGCGGATGGGGGCGTGCCAGCCTAAACGAGGCAACCGGACAACGGTGCCTTGGCTAATATATCTATACAGCTCTATATGTGCTGTGAAATATGGCCATTGATGCTTTGAAGTGTCAATTGACGAAACATTGTATGAAAAGTCTTGTGCGTCTGAGCTGCGACTAAGAAAAACTCTGTACATTTACACGTTATAAACACCAAACCGCTATGATATCAAATATAACTATTTTTCCACCTCTTCCACTTTTACACGCAATCTGCCTTGTGAGCATCACTCAGCCTCATCATCGTTTTTGCGGCGTAGTTCTTCCTTGAAATCTCTTCGAAATTCCCGAACATCTTGCCGCGCTTTTGTGCCAATACCACGCGCCTTATCCTTCAAATCCACAAAGACCGAACCAAGTGCTCGCTTTTCATTGCCTTCCACCTCGGGTGTTGTTCCTCGAGACCGAGTCAAATACTCTTTGACTGTGTTTTTGGCCGCTACGAAGTGTTTCAACTTTCTCGCGACTTTTGTTCCCGCTGACAGTCGAGCTTTTGACCCGCTTGTCTGCGAAGATAATGAAGCAAAACTCTCATTGGCTTCATGCATCTCGAAAAATCCGCCTGTGGTACTGGGGCGAGATATTTCGGGTGGTGTGATGGGGGCCAGAGATATAGTTTCACACAGCACAATGGTTGACTTCGCTGCTTCATTGACTCCAATTTTTCCGTGCATGAGCTCCCCCATCTTGTCTATGGAAAAGTCGCACATCTGTCTTACCACGCGACTGTATACTTCTGGCGATAATTTGTATTCACCATCTTGTAGCGTGTATGCGGGCATCTGAACAAATTCTTCAACCTGCATAACCGTTCGACGTACAGTTTCTCCATTCGCTGAAAACCACTCTCTATGGCCGCCTTTGCACTTCTCGCATGATAGAACGCGAATATTAGCGTGCCGGAGAATAACCTGAGCGAGTTTTTCAGCGTGGGGAGCGCCGGCGAACCTTTGAGTTTCGTAAATGACTTTTGTGTTGATCCCGTAGCAGTTGTTAGGCTGCTTTAATCTCTCTTCAGCGCTCTTGCTTGACCATCCGATCTTGAAAAGCGAAGGGTTGTCTTTATGCTCAAGGATGTATACAACACCTTCTTTCATCTTGTCAACGGTGGGATGACTGTTAATTACTTGGAATACCGGTGAGTGATCTCTTAGTGAGCCATTGCGGTGTAGGCTAATAATTCCAAGCCCATCAATGACTTTTTCTTTTGCTGAAGTATCCTCCTCTGTTACGACTGTATCAGGGACGTCTGAGGTTGAAGCCAAATCTTGCACCTTCCCAACATCATTCGCTTCTGGCACGGCTTTTCTCTTAATTTGGTATTTGACGACCACATTTTCATGGCCTTCTTCAAGATTATCTTTTTCTTCGGTTTCTTGTTTTGTGATGGTCTCTTTTATAGTCTCCACAGAAGCAGTCTCATTGCTAATAACAGTTTCTTTGTTAACAGCAGCTTCTTCAATAACGTCTTCTCTCTCGACTTCTTTCCTTTCAGAAGCGACTTCTTTCTCAATGATTTTCTCCTCGAGGAAGGTGGCAAGTCTTTCGATAGTAGCAGTCAACTTGTCGGCGCTTGCAGATATCCTATTGGATAGATCTACTGGTGCAACAATTTCTTCAACGGTATCCATGTCTACGTCTGCAATAGACTTGCTGCTTGGCGAAGGCGAATTGTCTGCATTGGCTCTAGCCCTTGCGGCATTAGCAGCGGTCCAATCAGCTCCATCTTCTTGTATAATGACTTCCTCCGCGATATCATCTATTTCCATGCCAGAAATAAGTCCATTGCGCGGAGGGGTATTAGGAAGGGAGCTTAGAAACGTCGATCCGTTACTGGTGACAGAGCGAGTCTCCAGAATACTGTCATCGACAGAATCGCCACCGTCAGATGTCGCGCTAGCTGTTGAAGGTACGAATCGTGTAGGAGTGGATGGTAGCTGCTGAAGAGCTGCCGCCGTGAGAGGCTGTATGACTGTCGTAGTTGTTGGCTGTATAGTTGGCGGAGGCGTAGACGGTCTGGCTGGTGCCGCAGGTCGAGAAGCGGGCATGTACCGTTGCCGGGTATTGGACCTGGCTGCGATTCGCTCCTTTTTCCAACGCTCGAAAGATGCGAGGGCTGGCCAACGATGCCATCTCTTGCAATGAGAATAGGTAATAAAAGTTTCTAACTTATTATAGAAACTCTCCGTATCAGGACATTCTGTCATATTCCGGAACTCCGACATCAAGCTGGGACTATGATATCGTTCATGTTGCGTGCAGGGAGGATTTCGGCAACGGCCTCCATCCTTCCTCATTGCCCGGCATGTGTAAAAGTCCGAGTCTTCAGGATTTGGGCACACGTCGGTGTATCGCTGTATTTCAGCCAATACTTTGAACACGGGATTTTGGGGCTCGCTTTCGAAAGCCATTTTGAACTGAGATTTTTTTTATTAATTCTTATTTGTGAATCTGCTTGTTTTGCTGACGATTTTCTTCTTGACCATTCGATTTCATTTCTAGCTGTAGATAGTAGATATAGATAGAGACCATGAATTGTCCATGGGTGGGAGGGTGAGGCTGTGAAGCAAAGAGGGGGCGCGTAGCGAAACAGCAAATATGCATGTTGGTTGTGGTGTTCTGCAGCAGGATCACGAGCCCTGTCCTGCATGGGCTGAATCATAGGCGGTGGGCTGTTTTCTGCAGCTCGTTATTTCCAAGAGCTGAAAGTGGAATAGATTCAGTTTCTGGCACAGCGGACGCCCCGTATTCCAAGTTGCGGCCCCCAATCTTGCTGGGAAGATAATCTAAGTCTGGTTGCCTCTTAGATAGCTAACCGACTACTCTGTAGCAATTACTCGCGAAGTTCGTGTTTCCAGCTTGCGCCTGGGATCATCTTTTCCGGAAGCAGCTCAGCCTTCTTTCAGCTAGTGCGGAGATCGGCGAACTACAGATGCTGCAATAAGCGATCTTGTTCTTATCCACGTTGTCCCCTTCGTTTAGTGTCGATCATCTAGGCCTGTATTCCGTAGGTCCGAGAGCAAAAAGTCCAGATCCCGCACTATTCGTTTTCTTTGCTGGTAACACGCATACTCGAATACTGTATGGCTCTATTCTTTGCCCACGCATGTACTATTCTGTTGCGTGATTTCAAACCTACAGCCAGCGCAATAGGTATAGTAAAACCCCGCTTCTCAACGAGCTGTGCCATGATTTCATGTTCTTTTCTTAGAATGCTCCTAGTGAACAAAAGAGCTTCTGCCAGAGGGGTTGCGGCTCAGCGATGGCGCCACTTGCTCTCAGCTCCTAGGATGGCGCAACTTTGCCCAGGCAAAAAGAGGCAACCATTTGACGTCCCCCCCCCTTGAAGGCCACAACGCGACCAACAACGAAGACCGCATTCTATTACAAGGAGCCGGTTTTCCTGGGATTGAAGAATCGTTGTTGGTCCTTCGTCGACGCGAAATGCAACACGCTACTGCATGTCAGCTACGCCACAGCGCCTCAGAGAACTACAACCAGGGCGGCTTTCCCGTGGCCTCCATGGTCCGGGTATTCTAAAGAGCCCGGCGTTATCAGATGCTATTTTCGACGTCCCGGGACCAGCTATACCCGCAGCGGCATTAGCATACTAGATATGTCCACTTCCACGTTGTACTAATTTCAGGCCACTTATGAGCGGCCCGGCGCTAAGGACGGCCGTCCGCCAAGTAACAGACCGTTGAGCGGGAACAAGACACCCATGTAGAGAATCGGCCCAGGGAATGGGTTTCTAGTTGCTCATGCTGGTGTCGCAGATATCCAGCTTCTGTGCGATTGCGGGCTAGTGTCTGCGGGGGAGGTCTATGTTGTTGGTCGATCCCTGTCGCAGGGTGGCAGTGCCAGAAGAATGGCTGTAAGTCTTTTCCTCATGGAGCTTCTATATTGGAAAATGCATAGGAATATTTTCGAAATCATTTATGATTCCGGCTCCATAATGAGAGCCTTTTAATTAAACTAAAGCAATTTCTGGAAATCCATTGTAGCATTTTGTGCTGTTTCTTGCTTACATGTAGCTGTGCGTACATGGACGAAAGGGAGGCCGCTATGTCGATTGCGGCTGGCTCTACGGATATCGAAATCTCCTCGGGTTTCTTGGTTTATTCTTCTGTCGATTGACTTTAATTTATATATTTCCATCTCCTTCGTAGTATCTTCGTAACGTGGCATATTCAATAGAAACGCGATTCACCTGCTAGCTATATTTTAAGATTGCTGTTGTAGTTTATGACAATACAAACAACACTAAGATTTTTGAGGAGATTTCTGCTGATAGAGATTCTCTATAGTATAGCTAGGCATTATAGATGAAGATAATGGTACATGATAATCATAAGAGAGACAATATATAGCCAGAAATCCGCCTCATTTCACGAGGATTCTCCACCATGTATTCATCATTGGCGCAATACTAAATTCCTTAACCTTGGCCCGCAATTTGCTAGATGTTGGGCAAAATGCGCATTTTTAACCTTGTGTGAAACATGTGACAGTATTTCGTTCCTACTGCAGGGCTAAAATATCCATAGGCTGCTTCATATATGTAGGCAGTGATCCCAATATGGATTAACCGTGGCAGACAGTACGGAGTTGCCGTCCTATGTAATTTTAGCAATGATTTACCGTACATATATTTCCTTGAAATGAGTTTCCTATTTCGATTAGTAGTCTTTTAAAACCTCCCCTCCCTGTTATATCCAGGCAGCCTTTCACCAAGGCGTAAACGCCTTGTATTGCAGAGCACGTGAACATGATAATACAGGCTGGAGCTAGCGACGCTAACAACTAACGGCACTATATTTACCGGCATAGCCTCGTTCTCTTTTCTTTATATCAATTTCGACAGATTCCATTCATTTACAATAGCAACAAGTCAAACAGTCATTTAAAAAAATTGAAAACAGTTTTACTTCCATATGGCCAGTATGACAGTCCGACCAGTTTTCAAGGAACTTGCCAAAATTCAGAAAGATATCAGCTTTCCTCCAAGCCTAAATAAAACCGACTACAAGCAATGTCGAGCTTATACCCAAAAGTCCAACAGATGCAAAAAGCCATTAAGCAAGAATAGCCAAAAAGAAGCAGCCCAAATCCTGTCTGATTTTCGACATATCACAGAGTACAGCGAGATTCAGAGTGTCTATGGCCAGATGAGAAAATTTATCACTCTTACACATTGCTATGTTCACGGTCAGGGCGTACTTGACGCCTTCGACGAATGGAAAACGCAACGGATCGCAGATGTTTCAAACTTTTCATCAAATATATCGCCAATATCTTCTAGTGATTCTCTGGATACTTGGACTGAAGCTAGCATCGTGGAATCTCCCGCGCCTTCTAGCCCCGTTCTTGGCACTCAAGAATACAATGAATCAGGGTCAGATCTGAGTATCGAAGAGGAGATGAAGAATTTGTCTATTGAAACTAAGGCACGAAATGCCACCAGAAATATGAATAATGGCTATTATGTCAAAGCCGAAGAACTAGAAATCGACTGGAAGAAACTTGGCGATGTGGAACTCCCGGATCAAGGTGCAGCATATGACGTTCCCAAAATATACAAGACAATAGAGAAACCTCTTGGTCCCAGAAGCATGTATAGAGGAATTCTATACATCTATGGGCATACCAGTATACCTGGTATATTCAAGATCGGGTTCTCAAGGCAGTCCGCGGAACAGAGGCACAAGCAGCCTGGTAACTGTTATGGAATCGATACAAGGATCATCTATGAAAGCCAACCTTTTCGTGGTGTCCGGCAAGCGGAAAGAATTGTTCATGCCGTTTTGAGCCATAAAAATATCCAAGTTACTGACTGTCCGCATTGTAAGGGCACACATGATGAGTGGTTTCTTACGTCTGAAAAAGAGGTACGTGATACAGTTGAATGTGCGGAATCGTGGCTCCGAAAGCCCGTATATATCATCAATCGGAAGACGTGTAAGCTATCGCCAAGGGGAAAAACCATTCTTAAATCGACGTTTCGCTTTTCAATGAGTGAGCTAAAGAAGGATATCAGTGACGATGATCGATTAAATGACGCCTCTGATGTTTTTGCCGTTAGCAAAACGGTGACCGCTATCCAAAAAACGAGCGCCCGGCTTTCATATTCTCTCAATACCAAAAAGACGCTCTCTAGAGCTCAGGATGATGAAAATTTTACAAGAACTCTCTCTAAAAGGAAACAGCCCCAAGCAGCCCCTTTAGCGAGGACAGTCCATGCGTTAGAGGCGACAAATGTAAATGAATCTCCTAGGTACCGATTGAGATCTCAAGAATTGAGCAGTGATGAAGAGGAAAGCCAAGATGAGGATTCTCAAGAGTTGGAAAGTGATGAAGAGGAAAGCCAAGATGAGGATTCTCAAGAGTTGGAAAGTGATGAAGAAGGCAGCCAAGCAGAGGGATCCCAAGAATTGGATAGTGATGAAGGCAGTCAGGCTGAGGGATCCCAAGAGTTNGCTGAGGGATCCCAAGAGTTGGAAAGTGATGAAGAAGGCAGCCAAGCAGAGGGATCCCAAGAATTGGATAGTGATGAAGGCAGTCAGGTCGAAGGCTCCGAAGAGATGGAAATTGAAGAAGAGGACAGTCAAGATGAAGGCTCTGAAGAGATGGAAAGCGATGAAGAGGGCAGCCAACCTAAGGGGTCTTCGGCCCTTGCACGCAGACAACCAAGCAAGGCAAGTTCCGGGGTTGACAGTGATATTCTAACGCTTCTTATGTCCGGTCGCTATAGAAATGGACGGTAGTTGAGAGCCTTTTATTAATCCAATTATCCGCAAAATAGGATATAATCTTGGAATAGATCTTTTAATATAGAGATAAGAACGGGGGTTAGGGTATATTATTGTCATATCTGACAGCTCAGTCCACATCTCTGAATGAATAATCATTTATTAATCTTCCGTGTATTAATCTCGATTGTGACAGATATGGGATCATATCCAGCGTTTGCATCTAGTCCAATGCCTTCTGTTTGTGACATCGCGGCATGTCAAGGTTCAGAGATGAAAGTTTGTCTTTCTGGCGCATTTATAAATATCTGTGAACAAATAAAACCGGGTAAAAGCATGCCTGAAGTTCTCAAGCCACATTTTCAACACTTCCTACTTTCCACACTTGGATTGCTGTCTGTTAGGTTACGGTGCGTCATAATGGAGTATGAACATTGAAATATCGCAATCAATAGATCATTTAGTCTTGCTTTATGCTTCACGTTATGCTTCAAGTATATTCGGCGTATTGGTTCATACGTATCTTTCTGTCATTCCTTTCCCAATGACAATGACTCTTATCATCAAGATCTTTAATACTGATCAATTTTACCACCACTAGTTTACTACTCAATTATTATTCTAGGATAGAAAATTCAAGCTTACAAGTTACTTCGGTCGTTTAATAAGATGCATTATGATCATCACTATCACTGAAGTCAACCCTACATTGGAGATATTAGGAGCCAAGACCGCCTAACATGTTCATCTCGGTACATACCGAAAGCACCATGAGCCTGGTCCGACTTCATGCAGCGGCCCGTGACCGAATGGAAGATATACGTACCTCAAGCATCTAGTTCCAAAATCTGCATGTAACGCAACGCCGTCACGCCCACACAATCGAACTTAAATAGTGGACTGATTCTTTAGCGTGGTCCGTAAAGATTAATGTGGTTGATGGCCTCATGTTACTTTTAGAGAGAAAATGGAGTAACAGAGCGGCGCGTCCACTGAAAGAATGAATTAAATATATCTGAGGTAACTTTTAGGCTAGAGTTGATGTGAAGACGGGTTTAGTGGGTAGCATTGATGAATGGTGAGAGCTCTTTTTATAAAGAATACATAAGCTTACAATAAAAACACGAGATCTAATTTGGCCCAGTTTGCTACAATGAGCACTGTGGAAAGACTGTATCGTATTGTAAGTTCCAGATCTTTTAGGTGCATAAGAAAATCTGGTGCTGGGATTGGCCCTAAATACATAGGGATGTAATCCTGCGAATACGCTTCCAGTTGCAGATACCAGACCAGCTGGTATGTTATTATATGTAAGTATTATGCTTCCTAACTTTTTATTGCGCAGCCAGAGAAAAGTTGACATTTCCTCTGTTTATATCAGCGCCGCCGATGCATGTGCTTGTGAATGGGCTATCTCCACATACGGCTCTAGCAGCACGCATGCATCCTTCCCACCGGCCCTTTGTAATATCAATTGTTTGTCCCGGAGTCGCAGCTTCTAATGACAGAAATGCGCCCCCCGATGCGCCGGTTGTGTTCGTAGGATTTCCCTGGCATTGCTCAATTTTGCCTGCAATGCCTCCGCAAATAGAGAGGAGGGCAACATTGATATCATGGCTATTGATAGTTCTATGATTTAATTAATAGAAGTTCTGATTAAAGGTTTTAAGGTTAGAGAAGAGTTGCGGTAAACATACACTTGCTTGGCTGTGCATTTAGTTGACGTTATTGCTTTCGGATTCACATTTGTATTTGCAGGAAGAGGAGATGCGGAAATAATGGTTGCAAGCGCGATAAGAGGAAAGGAATAATGCATTTTGACGATTAAAATATTATAGAAATCAAAATCTAAAATCAATTTAGACAATTAGATATAAACGAAGAAAGACTGAATGTGATTGAAACAATTAACAGTCGGTTAGACAAATCGTAGGCGGGTATATATACTATTATAAATGACTGACAGGTTTGCCTGGCGCTAGGTTGCGGTAGCGCTGGGGTGGCAGCGAAACATGTATGAAACGCCTGTCTTGTTTTACTTTTTGTTCTGTTTAGACTGAGCTGAGACAAGTATATATTCCTAGTAGTTAAAGCCGGGGGATATACCTTTATCCTATTGTCCTTTTACGCTAATAGAGCAAAGATTGGGCTAAATAATCCCAATTGCAGCGCTTCGTACTTGATACCAAGACCCTGTAGTATCATCACCTCCTTCTGGGCCCCTTATACTTCGCTTATACTCAAGGGGCTGGCGACTTTGATACAGCGGACATTAACCGATATAAAACCCGTTAGTTGTTCGCGTAGACCTCGACAGTGAGAACGGCTTTTTGTTCAGCTTATGCATCAATCACGTTATTGTCTTTAAGTGCTCGCATGCAAGTTTCACTACTATATAATTCCCCAATCAGACGTTTTCCGTTTATGGCAGCATCCCCTTGGAACAATGCTCTGGTTGTCGATGGCGCATATGTCAACTTTCTGTGAAACGTTAGCTTTACCAAAGAAGTTCACAAATGGCCCAATCTCATTGTGACAAAGCCACTCAGTAAAGACCACAGACCTGCCGAGGTTAGACATGGTACATATCATTTACGCTATAATTCGAACCTCTCAGTTGCTTAACGGCTTAAGGGGCCTGCATAATAAGTCAGCACTCACAGTGGCCTTGCCAACTGCAGCTCTCTACGTAGCACGGGAGAATGATGGTGAGTTTATGTGCAGTTGAAGGATTTACTTTCATCCTTTAGAGATTGCTTCGTAATCGTAGAGCAAATCCGCTGACCGGAGCGTGCGCGCAGGTGTAATTGAAGAATTCGCGACTCGACTTCTATAGAATTAAGATCGCAGATGAATTAATATCTAACCTATATATGGGAGAGATTATGCTAGAAGCAGAATTTATTTACGAGCCAGGAATCTAAAAAGTACATTTGTATGCTCCGTTCTCATTCCTGGACTTTGCTCTTTTAGCGCCGGCTGTTATCTCCGAGACACAACTAGCATAGTGTTCTTCCCCGAACAGCCTTCTACAATCAATTTCTACACTGCCAATATCAGCCAAATCAAGGAAGCAGAGCCATGGAATTCACATTTATTGACAATAATAAAGATATTGATAGCGACACGAGGTCCTTGATCCGCCATCGTGCTGCAAAAGGGTGGAACCTTGGACGCAAGATCAATCGGGCATCGCGTGTAAAAGCGTTTGAACGCCAAGTTCCGGACAAGCCTTCTACCACTACTGGGCTTGGGCATGTATCTACAAGGACGTCCCATGAAGACAGTAAAGACATGTTTCATTCTCGCAGAGACGTTGAAGGCGTGCTCCCACCGGTTGAGCCTATCATAGGCGACAGCGTATCTATCTTAAGCCTCCCTATTGAAGTAGCCCAGAAAGACAGGGTGCTTTTGTACGACGGTTAGTTGATACGAAATCCATGCCGTTAAAATACCAATTACTCATGTTACATATAGCTGTGGCTTTCATGAGATCGCCCCGAAGTGCACCGAGTTTGGCCAAAGCTCTTGCCCAAGCCAGTATTAATCATTCACTATTTCTACAACTAATATTCACAGACCAAGCATGTAAGTCGCATGCACCTCTATTTACTGTCACCGCCTAGCTCATACGGAATTGAAACTTGTAGACTACCATTGCGCTTTAGCCTTAGTTCTTGAATGCACCAAAACTTCGCCACAAGCCAATATCTCTGCAACTCATCACATCACTCAGGTCTTCCGCCTAATCAATGAACGCATATCTCGCGGCGAAAGAATTACGTATCCCACAATGGCCGTAGTCATGAGCCTATCATCATATGAGTCAACTCGTGGTCGCTACGACCGCGGCATCATTCACCTCTTGGGCCTTTATCAAATGATTGAGATGCGAGGCGGCTTGGACCGCATTGGCTCGGAAAAGCCTGAAATTATGCAAAAAATATATCGGTAGGAAATATACGCTATCAGTTCATGTTGGAAATTGGTTTAACGGCTAAAATGTATAGAGCTGATCTTGACTATGCGCTCCGACTCGGATCATCTCCGAAATTGGATATCGAGCTCTTTGAGAATACAAAGACAATGGCAAGATTGGCTATATCTCCTACATCAGATCTAAACATTCCTTTCACTACATCTGACCAGAGATTTCGAGAACAACTTGGAACTGATCTTCGTGTGCTCTGGGATAGCGTGGCAGTCCTATCTAGGCTGGTTAATGAGGCGAGCGCTGGAGAACGTTCAAAACTACCCACGACAGAATTTTTAAGAAGCCACGTCTGGCTCGGTCATAAACTTCTCAAGTATGCTCCATTGAGCTTGTCGCGATCCCTAAATCGCAGCCAAAGCATAGCACATTTGGGCCTCTTAACGATAATTAGCTCTTTCTTATGCGGCCTTGATCGTCGCGTAACAGAGAACTCCATCTTATCTAAGATGATCCAGATGGAAGCTAGCTTAGAGTCAAATGGCGAGGACCAAGAGCTTCTCTTATGGCTTTTATTCTTGGGAGCTGCTGTTATTTTACAAGATCCCAGCCATGACACCTGGCTCATCCCCAAGACTTGGGAAATAATGCAGATGCTGCAACTAGACACTTGGGGAGGCATGATGGGAGCTCTATCAAAATTCCCTTGGATCAACGATTTTTATGAAAAGGAAAGTTTGGCATTATACTACAGAGTCTCTCACTATGGAGGTATTCAATCGGCCTTATGAAACCCATACAAGACTATGTATCTGTCTTATCGGCTTTTTGCAATCTTACTCGAGAGCCTTTGAAACAGAGCCTGGCTCAATTTTCTCAAGCTCTCTGACAATGCTATCCCAGGCTTGCTTGTTTGCTTTCGCATCCATCCAGTCCGGCAATAAGTTGCTATTATCTGTATCAGTATATAAACAAACAATATTAAAGAAACATTCAACGTATTTAAAGACACTTACTCTGATGGTACGCAGTCATCCATATAGGAGCCGTGGCTGTCTTTGCCTCCAACGGCTCCGGCTAGAAGTGTCCGACTACCGCATTCAGCAGTTCGACCACTCTTTTCCCACATGTCCTTTAAGCGATCCTTGAGTTCCTGTGGTGCGTTTCGTGAGAGGTTAGTCACACATAGGCCCGGGTTGATTGAGTTAATGATTACACCGCCGCGAGCAATCGGAAGTAGCTTTGCAATCTCACGGACTGCAAAGATCTCCATCAATTTCGATGCAGGATAGCTAGAGTAACCCTTGTTATTAAATGCAAAATCCAGTAGCAGGAAGTGTTCAATAGGTAGGAAAAAAGGCTCTTGACCTACCTCTTCATTCCCAAATCATTATCTGCATCCATGTTCGCCATCGAATCCTCGGCAATTGTTGGCCAATATCCTCCTAAATCAAGAGCAGTACCGCTAGTGACAATGCTTATGCGTGGATTATATCCAAACTTGGACGCATCTGAGCGCAGTTTAGGAAGCAGAAGAATGGCCAGAAGAAGGGTGCTGATAACATTAACTGTCAATGTTAAGTGGTGGCCTTCCGCCCTCCCAGCGTTGGTGGCAACAGCCGCATTTTCAATGACAGCCTCGATGCGCCCAAGTGTCTCAATGCCCTTGGAAGCAAATCCACGGACAGATGCGAAACTAGTGAGGTCTAGATGCCAGACCTCAGCAACGCCCTTGATTCCCGTTGACTCCTCAATGTCCTTTTTAGCCTCCTCGCCGGCATCAAGATTGCGCACTGCCATAATGACTTTTTCGGCCCCAATGCCGACTAAGTGGCGAGCAGCTTCTAGCCCAAGGCCGATATTGGCACCAGTGACGATATAAGTTCGGCCTGCGCAGAGTTCTTTAGTGATAAAGAGCGGAAGCTCTCGTTTCTGGATCATAGCGCGTTCGTTGGCAGACATGTTTTTCTGGTCAGACATTTTTGCTGTATAAAGCGATGAGCAACGACACGAAAAGTGCTTTTCTGAATCTTTTGAATATAACTTGGAAGTGGAGTTTGTAAGATAGTATTGAAGCTGAAAATCAGAATCAACACCTCTCACTTCCATTCTTTTTTATAGCCGTTTGACATGGCAGAGGCCAAGAATAATTTCATCGCCATCCGGAATTTGTGTAATCTCCGGCCCTTTGAAAATTGCAAAGTCCGCCAATCCTTGGATTGATGCTATAAAGATGTGGCATTCGCTAAGCCAAGACAGCATACAATCGCAGATTGGGATATATTGCCATGGCTATCAGGAGAGCAGTGTCTTAATTAGGTATCGCGAGCGTCGCAAGCTTAGATGCTGGCCAATGGGAGAGCGGCAGCCTAAAAAGGCTAAGTGCAGCTGGGGAAAATGCCAGGGGCGATTTAAATGTTTGGTCGAGTCTCTTCACATTATTGTCCATACATTGAGTTGATGAGTTAAAGAGTAACAGGCAGCGAATACTAGGCGCTATTGGACCAAGTTAGTACATGTGGCATCTGACACTCACAACAACAGACTCAAGCGATATTCTCTCATCCAATCTGTTGTGCTCATTACATAAAAAGACGCTGTGCTTGTGGAGCTGTCGCTGGAGAACGCTACAAATGTGGCTCTGCTACTCCGTATTCGATACTACGTGTTATTTAGACCACCACGCAGAACCAGATACAGTATGCTCCTATTCTAACACGCGCCAGCAAAAATTAATCGAAGGCATGTAAAAATAGCGTCTCTCGTCGAATTCTAGTCGGTAAAAATGTCAAGACTTTCGGTAAGATGCCCCGTCATCGGAATCGTATATATAGTTCCGCATGCTGTCCAGAGACACAGACATCAAGAATTGAACTTTCAATATCGACGATGACCTGAACAGAGATGCGCCTGCGTGTCTTGATATCCCAGAATTATCATCTTTATAACTTGTTAGAACGTACAGTGATGTTCCGATGCGCTATTTGTAAATTAGAGGCGGGGTTGGCTGTGAGGGAAAAAAAAAACTACCTAGTCTCATATAATCAATGAATTTGTCAACAATCGCAGAATTCTAGCGCTTTAGTCATTCAGAAATAAAAAGGTCCGACTTTAATGAATGTAATGTCTGTTGTCTGGCTAGTAATTAGCCGTTTTACAGCTAGCGTTACTCTCTTATTGAAAATGATTGGGATAGTTGTGTCTCTTGAGAACAACAATTGCTGACGGTCTACCGTACTCCCATTCGGTCAGTGTACCCACTACAGTCATATTGCATTGCATTTGCTGGAAACAACTGTATACCGCTAAGAAGGATTTACGTCTCTCCCCAGGCCTGAGGCTTAAATTGAGAACCTGAAATTAACGCTCATGCCATTTGTTGGAAAAGACATCGGAAGCAACCCCCGCAGGCCGGAAAAGGCCCAAGAAGTCATGCATGTTGATTTTCAGTTAGAGCAAGCGATTCCCACGATATCTTTTCTTTTATCTGCTACAGGCTCTACTCAGAACCCTGCAAGCAAATCCACGCAACTATAAGGTCGCTCTGCTCAGTTATGAAGATTTCCGTCACATGGATCCCATTACCGCGGTTAGTCTAGCCGGCACAATACTTCAATTTATCGAGCTAGGTGCGAAAGTTGCAAGTCGTGTTGCCGATTTTAGCTCTGCCGTTGATGGTGTTCCTAGACCCTTCAAGCAGATCCGCACAGAGCTACCCCTTGTACTTGATGGCGTGAGAAGAATACAGCGCAATATAGATAATGGCTTAATTGATACAGAGACCCAAGAAGCACTCATGCCAGTAGTCAGGGGCTGCTTGGTAGAGGCACAGCATCTGGATAAGCTCATCGAGAAGGCCCTTCCGTCGACTGACGATTCTTCTTGGGAACGAAAGATGAAGGCAATAAAGAGCTTAACTTATGATAAAAAGATTGAAGAAATTGCAGAGTCGCTTGAAAGTTACACCAAGACTTTAATCTTCCATCAAGTAATCGACAACTTCAATAACCTCAAAGTCGAGCAGCAGCCACCTCCATACCCAGATCCACTCTGGCTAGTACCGTTCGACAGAAACCCCTCATTTGTTGGGCGGGATGAGATTTTTGCAGAAATTGATCAAGCATTCGCAGTCCAAGGAGGAAGTCAACCAAAGGCAGCTCTCTGCGGCCTAGGAGGCATAGGGTAAGTTAAACTCTCCCAATAATGACGATTATTTTTTCTAACATACCTAAAGAAAATCCCAAGTAGCGTTAGAGTACTGCTACCGGAGACGTACAAAAGGCAGATGTTCCATACTCTGGGTAAACGCTGCTACAGTGGCTCGTTTCGAAGAGTCATTCAATCGAATTGCTAGCGAATGTGGTATAACCACCCCAGATGGTGCTCAATCTGATGCGGCATTACTGTTGAAGAATTGGCTTGAAGTTCGGCACGTGGGCCCATGGCTCATGGTTGTTGACAATGTGGATAATGAAGACGCCTTTTTCCGTGGAAAAATGACTGTCGGAAAAAGTCCCTCTGAGTGCATACCACATTGTCAAAACGGTTCTCTACTATTTACGACAAGAAGTCGTGATGTGGCATTTGACGTGGCGAATCCCAAAATTCCTATCACGATTCATGAACTGGGAAAAGCAGAGGGGATTAGCCTAGTAAGAAAGCGCATGCGAGAGAACTACTCCGATGAGCTGATCCTGGAACTCCTCCAAGAACTCGAGTATATTCCACTCGCAATCACTCAAGCAATTGCGTTTATGGTAAAGAGGCAAAGAACTGTTGAACAATACTTAAAGCAGTACCGGAAAAGCGATGCAACCAAGACAAAATTTCTCAGTTACGAATTCTCTGAGCATGCACGGCCAGAAAATACGTTGGAGTCGGTAACGAAAACGTGGAAACTATCTTTCCAATCCATACGAGACTCAAATCGAAGAGCCGCAGACTTATTGTGCCTCATCAATTTTTTCCAGCATCAGGGAATTCCTGCTATACTCTTGCAAGATGAAGGCGAACTAGAAGATGATTTTGACTTTCAAGACGCAGCTGCGCTTTTGAAAGCCTTTTCATTCATTGATGAGAATGATTCTGTATTTAGCACCCATCGCCTTGTACAGTTAGCAACAAGGTGGTGGCTAGAGGAAGAGGTTCCTGAAGATGTGGATAAGTGGGCCTTTGAAGCATTAAGGTCTATCGCGTCTCAATTTCCCGAGCCGTCATCTCATCCTGGACCTGAATACTTCAAACTCGCAGAAATATTACTCCCTCATGCTGAGCTCATTCTTCAACATCAGTTTAAAAAGACCACCAAAGACTGGGAATTAGCTAGAGCGAAACTACTTATGTCTTCTGGGAGATATATTCATTGGAACGGCAATTATGACGAAGCTCGGCTAAGATTCGAGCGATCGATGGAGATAAACAGCAGATATCTGGGCGAAAAGCATGTGGATACTTTGGCGAGCATGGGGCTACTGGGCTGGACTATGGGCATCCTTTACATGGACGTAAAAGCTCTGCCGATTCTAAAGCGCGTCGTGGAAAACAGGCGTGAAATCTTGGGTGACGATGATCCCAGGACGATTGACGCCTTGAGTGATCTTGCAACCGTCATTGCTTTGACTGGCAATTACACAGAATCTGAGACTATGCAGCGTGAAGCTCTAGCTCGCAGTGAGCGCATTCTTGGGAGGAAACATAATGATACGTTAAACTGCATGGCTCATCTCGCCGATGTCCTCGACGACCAAGGTAAGACTGAGGAGGCAATTCAGTTACTAAGGGATGCCTATGACGCCAAAAAAGAGCTTCTTGGCAATCTTCACCCAGATACGCTTGCCGCCGAAGCAAATTTTGCTGTAATGCTAAGCGAAAGTGTTGAAACAGTGGGAGAAGCATTTTCTCTTTGGAGGCTCAACTTGAGAAATAAAACCCAGGTCCTTGGGCCCAACCACAGAGAAACTTTGATCACAGCAAAGAACTTCATCCAAGAGCTTCAATGGCGGCATAGAAGTGCAGAGGCACGAGAACTTTGTGCGCAATGCCTCGCAAGAGCGGGCGACGATCTTTATAAGGATAACCTGCACAGCCAGAAGCTTCTCGAAGATATCAACAATATTTGGCAGACATTACTGGAAACTGATGAGGCTGAAGAAAGTTCAGAATCAGAGTAATCAATTATGGGAGGAGGTAATTCGTTTACTACGGGAAGACTAGTATATAGTCACCTCGCTTCCGAACCCATCGGCTATCTCTCTTCTATCTAAAGTCGGCTAATTTCTGCGCGTAGTAAGGGATTTATTTCCTATTTCAGTGAATGTACGATTGCTTTCTGAGAAGTGAATCAGCAGCCACCATACCTGATTCATTATGTGTCCTTAATAAACAAGAAAAGCTAATAAAGCAGGCATGATTAGCTATATTTATGTGTATAAAGACTGACAAACGGCTTGTAACTTTTTCCGAGCTGTGGAGCTCTCTTAGCAGACGTGTATTTTGTTTTTTTCCTTAAAGAGTATGTGTATTAGTCATGCATGTGGATCTCCCTTTTGTTACCAGTCGCTGACCAATTTGCCCTCATTGGGCCTGCATGGTTTATTTTGCACCCCTTGCAGGTAATTTCACTCTCTAATTGCTTTTCAAGCGACTATAGATGGTTCATTATAGGTCTGTAACTCCACTACGGTAGCATACAAGTTAAAAGATAGTATATGAATATAAATAGAGGGTTCCTAGCACTGGATCTCCTAAGACAATAATATACCCACAGGTTAATTTGCATACCCAAGCATACAACTTTTACTTTACAAGTTAATCCGACATTAAAGCTTTCTGTACCCAATAGACGAGCAAAAAGATAGACCCCCTAAGTTATGGCGTGGAATGAAACTTCGATTCCTAATCTAGCTGGCAAAGTGGCACTGGTAACTGGAGGAAAGTGAGTCGTTGATAACCCCCCCTCCAAATTTCTGATAATCAGCTAATAAGGACGAATTAGCTCTGGAATTGGCTTTGAAACGGTCAAACAACTTGCGTTGCATGGCGCCAAAGTGTACATAGGAGCAAGATCTGAATCTCGAGCGAAGCAGGCGATCAGTGATATTCTTTCCCAGAATCCGTCTATCCCAAAGGAGCTTCTGGAGTGGTTACCGTTGGATCTGTCATCGCTACCTAACGTCATCAAAGCTGCAAACGTACTGTCAACTGCAGAAAGTAGACTTGATATTTTAAGTAAAGCTGCAACTCTTAGGTATTGTTGACAGTATACTAAGAACTTTATTATAGTCAATAATGCAGGCGTCGCAGCGGAAGAGTTTGTTACGACAAAGGAAGGATTTGAGCAGACAATTGCGGTAAAGTGAGTGATAAAACATGCTAATTACATTTTATTCTTTGGATTACCTAGTATTTTCTTACAATGTCATGCTCCTATCTAGTCATCTCGGCCATTTTACTCTCTCCATTAAACTTCTACCATTGCTCAAGCAAACGGCAGAAGAGCCAGGCTCCGACGTACGAATTGTTACTGTACGTCTTCTTAGATATGTGAATTTCGAAAATGAGTTTACTAAATACATCTACTAGGTGAGCTCTGTGGCCGAGAAATTTGCGTCCAGCAGCAACAACTTTACAACTCTAGAGGATCTTCGTGATCCTGGAGCTACCAATCCCAACGACTACGCCTCTCGAAAAGCAGTCTTTAGACGTTACGGCGCCAGCAAATTGGCTAATGCGCTCTTTACAAGAGAACTTCAAAATCAGCTTACGCAACAAAATACCAAGATCATAGCTCTAACGCTTGACCCTGGGCCCGTTGCAACTGATGGCGGTATGGGAGTGTTCCCGGGTCTGTTGAAGCCAGTTTTAAAACTGGTGATGAAAAGTCCTGCAAAAGGTGCATTGACGCAACTTTATTGTGCGACTGCATTAGAAATCGCAAAAGACACCGAACGATACAAAGGGCAGTTCTTGAATGGCCCCGGGAAGATTGTCCAGGCATCAGAAAGGTCGCGCAGCAAAGAGCTAGCTCGGTCACTTTGGAAAATTTCGGAGGAAGTATTAGCAGGGGTAGATGTATAATTTCCTATCACATCAATGCTATTGTTCAAGGTTTCTCGAACTCTAGCTATCACAAGGTTTCGTTAGCTACGTCTAAAGGCTTTGGGAGCTTCAAAAAGAATATTCTCCTTGAAGACCAAACCACTACCTAATATTAATAAATACAAGCAATTACTAGCATATTGGACTTCTTCAGGTAACCAAGACACATGTGAAACTAAAAGATTTAATTTAAGGCATTTGAAATGATATAGTAGTATAGCAGGTAGTTGACAATATAAATGATCGAAAAATGAATGAAAACAGCCGACAGTAGCCGCCGTAATCTTTGACATAGCCCAATTTGAGACTGACTGCTTCTCATCCTTTAAAAATAAAACATAGTCGGATAGTGATTATAAAATAGCAAAGTCGTTACTTCTGACGTGTTTTTAAGACCCAGCTCCCTTCAGAAATGAAAGAAGGTGACATAGAAACAGAGAGAGAAAGGCTGCGAAAGAACGAATGATGTAATCCAAAATGAGTGTCCATATTCTTGGTTTATCCTAGGTGCGGAAAGTTGCCCGCCCATGTCGATTTAAAAGCTTCAGGGGGCAAATAGTAGAGAGACCTGAAGCTCTCAGCTAGGAGAAATAGTCGACAGGGGACATAACACACCGCAATGCAAAACAGGCCTATTCTCATTCCTCTCCTTGTATCTGTTCTAATCTTCTTGACTGGTTTTCCAATAAATGGAAGATGGGTACAGATGTATATGTAAGGCAAAGCAATAGTCATCAATGCTGAAATTCTCCATAGAAGCTGTTCAATTTCTGTGGGAAATTGATTATTCCATGCAAAAAGGTGAACGCCTCCAAACGACGTAGCAGAGAAGAAGCCAATCAGTAATGAGTAAATATCAGCCTTTCGAGGGGAAAGCCTAAATTTTTTGCATTTCCGACAATTTAAGTCCCTCGTATGTTCGGCTGATTCACCTGCCTGTATCTTAGGCGTTCTGCACCACTTGCACCGCTTGCACCTCTTGCAGAATTCGCACACCATGCATCTTCCTTCTGGCTCAAGCGGTTTTTTGTATGTGAAAAGGTCATGTATAGTAGAGGTTGGCATGTAATACCGCTTGCCCTGAACATATGCGAATGGGGCTGCTTGAGCGATTTCAACAAAATGTTCGTATTCGACCTCTTTCGAAACGCTCACGTAAAAAGGCACGTTGAGGTCTTTAGGTTTTATGAAATCAATGCTATAGATAATAATTGCTGTAGCTGCAAACGCAACCGTTGTGATTTCCAGCTGGGTAAATGGAAGATTTTGAATAGCTCGGGCTATAAGCTGGATCACAAGCCACAGCACTTGGAGGATTGCTATGAGCTTGACTAACCCGTCGGATTTGCTCTTATCATTGATGTCTTGTTCCGTAATATTCGGCATTTTTGTTATAAGTTTCTTCTCCCTCGCAATTTTAAGTTGCTTAGAGTCCAGTATCCAGATATTACCCGATAAAGCAGCGACATCTTTGAGAATCGATTTCGAAATTGTGGAGGATTCATTCATTGTGATAGCGTGTTGAACATGAGGTTTATATAAACTCCATGGTATTTTTCCACATAATTTTGCAATTAATTCTTGTCTTCGGCTAAATTTTTGAATAAATTCCGGTACTTGATCTCCAGAAACCGGGTAAGATGCTGATGTTTCTCTAGACACGCCTGCTGATTCAGATATAAGGTCTGATGTATCTGTGCTGGCTGATGTGTAGTTATGTGAAGCAGGGAACCGTAGAGCAATACCGCCCATATCAACAAGGATAGTATGCGTCAAGCTCCAAGGAACACCATCAATGCGCGCAAGCCGCTCTAGTTCCGCTGAATTAGAGCGAGTAGCAAAAATCTTTCTGGCGCAACCGGTAGCTGCAAATTCCGGGGAAAAAAGTTTCAGGCCCATCCAAAAAATCTTCCGCCAGAGAAGATATACAGCGCGGCAGAATTTTTCCCTTTTCTTTGTAGGAGTGACATGCGCGGGGACATCGAGATGCAGGATAGACCATGTTGACAAAATAATGATACTAATGCAGCTCCAGACGATATTGAGGGTTGACCTAGCGTTTGGTCCAGAGACAAAGCCGCTATATGTTTCATTAGAAGGAAGAGTGCATTCAGGGGAAAAGTGATTGAACATTTTTCTGGTTTAAAAGTGTTGCTTAATACACACGACTGGATAGGGGAAGAAACGCAGGTAAAGTCAACTCTTATATATCCAAGACCGGACATGGGTAATTACAGCATATGCTCATTACTATTGATCTGAAAGGTTATAGCTACGTAGTAACACGTAAACTTCGAGTTGATGCATAGGAGGCTCAACTGATGACAGGCGGCGTATTTACTCATTGAAGCTGAACACTGATCCTGGTCGGTGCGTAGCTCACGAGGCTCGCAAGGCTGGCCAGCTAATCATGCATATGTTTTATCACGCACCAAGTAAACAAAGTAATAGTACTCCTATTTTAGCAACTTCTGAGACATGCGAGAAGAGCCTACACATATGCCATAGTAACCAAGGGTCAAAAGGGGGAGGCGAGCGTGAAATGCGGCAAGATGCTAACGTCGAATTTTCAGAGTGGATATTGTGATGTACTCAAATTGCGTATTGAAAATGGGTTGTGAAGCGTGGCGTATGAACATTGGCTTACAGCCATTGTATCCTTGCCATTCGGTGACGTAGAACTCAGCCGCACATTCGAAATTTCGGTGATATCTAGCGAATAAGATGCAACAAGGTTGTTTTATTAGAACCTATTTGTGCCCAAATAATAATTAGCTGACGTGAAATAAGCGCATTACTCTGTCGACAGCTCGCTTATTACATTCTGCAGTATAGAGGCTTTGGTTACAGTCATTATCTCATGAGGCAAAGCTATCTAACGCGCCGTAGTCGTATTGCATGACGCACTTTAGAGCCTGGATACGTAGCTTCATACGTATCCGACCCGGGTACCAATAGACAGCTGAAAAGCGAGAGCTGACAAGTCATGTGCGTATTTGTATGTTTAATATAACTCGATGTTTCATAGTAGCTTCACGATATAAGAAAATGACCTGACAAATGATTTGACGCTACGATTTTGAGACATTTATGATTTCCAACAAATTCGTATATGAGAATCTATTGTTATGGCTTTATCATGGATACAACGTAGCCCAAATGGCATCAAAACAATCGGTAGCAATGTCACATATCATACTATTTCCAATTAAACCTACTGAACGAGTCCAATTAACGCTCTCCACTAGAGAATGTTTATTAACCCAACGATATAGACAACTAATTAGGGAATCTATGATCCCGATGGAATGGCTGTCCTATCACGCATGAATTCGGTGAGGTCTCGGTGGAAATCCGCCCCACGCTTCCGGGTGGATATAACATGTCTCAGCTATGTCTTATCTATGTGTATCACGAGCGAGTTCATAAATCAGATCCTTGCAAAAGGATATATTGGATAATGCATATTTAACTTTATTTTGTGCACACCCAACAAATATGCATTTTGAGCAGTTGGTAGTAGGAGGGACTGTCCACAGTGTAGATCAATAGTAATAGTACTTGTTTTTCTTCTTTATGTTAATTTATATGTATATTTTATAGATCCTCTGCTTAATAGCCAACTATCTTAGAAGACCATGTGATTCCGCGTTGAGAGTAATGGCGGAGAGAGCAACACATTCCTAGAATTTGCTGTGCATTGTATATTTAGAACAGTATGCACGCTATAGTCACTTGCAGGGCTTCCAACACTTTCATTGACCTCATGTCCAATATACCTATGGTTGAGAAATATAGATTTAGCCAGGGTCGTAGATTCGTGTCCAATGAAGTGATAATTTCCTGGCTATCTGATGAGACGAATGCGTTCCTTAATTGCGATCCCCGAACTAGCTTCTAGAATGAGTAAGAACTAATTCATCTGATAATACCCTAGCAACATTTCGAAAAGAAAAGCTCAAGCCTGGCGTAAATGAATATACACTTAGCTGGTCATATCAAGAGAGATTCATAGTCATACTGTGCTAAAGTTGAAGAAGATATATAGATATCTATATGTGGGAGTTATGGGCAGGAGTCTTGAACGAAGCTCCTAAGATGATCCTGGTCTAACTAGGCGGCTGGTGTGAAAATTGTTTTAAACATACGGAATTTAGTAGCCCACGCACTTTGATACAATAGAATCTTTTCATATGATTTTTTTTTTATAATTAGATAAAAATCGTTTCAATTCAGCAGTCTTATTCTTCAAACGCAGATAAAGAGTTTGACTGGAATTCGGGCCTTTAATGGCTGACAGGCCGTACCTGTGTACAGCACACTGTATAGTGGAATAAACTCTAGTCAATGGCAATCCATCTACATGAACTAGCCACTTTTGAGTACAGGCAGTTTTAGCCTCTACAACTCGTCCATGATTTCTATGTTTAATAATCTGCAATTAGTGATTAGTCTGCACTCACATACTTTAAATCAACATCCTAAAACTTATGACATGGAAGAACTCTTTACCCATGGAGACCATACTTCTCAGCGCCATCAGCAAAGTCTGCCGCCGCCATAGCTGCTGCGCAGTCTGTCTAGTGACGAAGATCACATAGTTTAGCGGCCGGCTTCAACAGTTACCAAGTTCTCACCACTATTTACGTGTAGCTATGGAATTGTCGCAAACCGCTGTGGCCCATTCGCGGGTCTCTTGCCATGCGTGTCGCCATGGCAAAAGGCGATGTAATCGAGTCCTTCCGACGTGCGAATTGTGCATGCGCAAAGAAGTACGCTGTAGCTATCCAAAGCTACCAGCCAAACGCTCATACACACCGGAGATAATTTGGGACGACTCTTCGTCGGTAGTTGACGACCATCACCCGCAACAGCTGGATCAACCGCCAGATTTGGGGTCTACATTTGATACAGCAAGGGCTGTTCAGTTTCTAGCGCCCAAAGTATTTCGCGACATCCAGTTAGAAATTCCTCCTCCCTATGTACCGGTCCCAAGTGATGTTGCGGCCTATGTCGGAGACACTCAGCAGGTCCGCGACATAGCGGCAGTGTTATTCTCACAGGATGCCTCATGGCTACCAATAGTGTGTCGGAATCACTTTTTTAATGCTTCACTTAACCCGTTATCTCCGCGACGAGCGGAAGGCACGTTGTTAGCCTTGTGCATGAAGCTGTATTGCACAACTGCGGTCCACAATGGTGGTAACCAAAAAACAGCGCTTTACAAGGCGTCAAAGCGATATCTCTCTGACATAGAGGCAGCTGGTCTTATGTCGCTACATGTCCTCCAAGCAACAATTTTTATTGCGCTGTATGAAATAGGACATGCGATTTACCCCGCTGCTTATCTGACCGTCGGTGCTTGCGCCAGATATGGTATTGCTTTGGGCTTGGATAAGCTCATGACGAACAACAGCGACTTCAATAGATCGTGGATGGAGATAGAGGAGAAAAGAAGAAGTTGGTGGGCAGTGTTGGCGCTAGATCGGTGAGTTAGTTGTGTTATAATACTCTGTCACTTCTCATCTAATTGAAGGAGAGCTTTGCACTGATTTTTGATGCAGATTTTTGAACTTCGGCGATCCCTCAAGGCGTCTAGCTACAAGTGATCCAGAGATCAATTACTATCTTCCCGTAGACGATCAATCCTTTCTGGATGGTGTACGAAACTCCGTATTCTTATCAAATTTAAGCTGGAATATGACTAACTTTTAGTATCCTCTCAGGACATAATGCCGCCAGATGCTATTCCTATCTCTGCCGCATTTCACCTCAAGACAGGCAGTTTTGCTCGGCTGGCTCAAGCAACATACTTGACAAGTCAAGCCCTCCGACTTGCTGCAGCTATCGAAACACCTGGTACAGGGAATATAGTTTGTCTTGTGGGAGACACGGAACAATTGCGTCGTACGCTCGAAGCACAAGTCAACGCTGCAGAACAAGAGCATGCAGCTCGTAGATTATCATTCTGCTGCCAAACTATGTTTTCATATTGGTGAGTAGAATCTTGGTACACTCATGATGCATGCGTTAATTTTAGCAGCGGAATATTTTTACTGCAACATCAGCAGTGGCAGCAAGCTCGTCTCACTACTACAAGGGACGTATGTAATGGCATGTTTCCGGAGACTAGACGAGCATTAGAGGTCATGGGACGCTTGGCATCAGCTCTCCAAAAGGATTTTGAAGGTGGAGCTGCCCCAGAAGAAGGCCTCCCCATATTCTTCATGCAAACTTTATATCAAGCTACAACGATAGCTATGGAAGTGGGGCAAGGCAAATCAGATAAAGATATTGTAGAGAAGATCCATGCATTCAGATGGCTGCTACAGTACTTTTGTACGCGGTGGAATATGGCCAGTAAGTCTGACCAAGCGATTTTTCTTAGACGCCCAGCCTAACCGTATTAGAAATTTATTTGGAAATTTTACATGCCAAGGAGGCTTTTCACGACTTCGATAGCTTGAGACACATGGTATCGTTGTATCATGAGAAGAGCTTATAGAAAACTAATCACTCTTTCACGCTATGTTATATGCTGAAAACTGCCAATGAAGGATCGTTGGTTAGTCGGTCTGCGGAGTATAGGAAGCAACAGTTTAATGATAGAATGACGAAGAAATTGGCTTTTGAGCAATATTAGCACCGGTATAATCTTCTTCCTACAGCCAGAGTTCTGAGAGCCTTAGAATACTACTGTCCAAGTCACTGACTTTAGAAATTAAGAGAAGTCAACATAGCGACAGCTTGATATGGGCCTTTTTTTCTCAGCCTCCTGCCGTGTATTGATGGCGATGAGAGATCCATTAACACTCGACTTATTTGTTGCTAAGGCAACTAGTTACCTTGCCCAGACTATCCACGAATGGCAATCTTCAATCTTCTTTACCCTAAGCTCGCAGCAGTAATGTCAGTGAAATATACGTCATCGGTGTTTCATAGTCATTCGTCTCTTTCTCCCACAGTATAGCAAGCACTGGCCTGGGCGTCAAACAGACATAGCGACATGCGGACATGATCCTACGCCTGTCCTCATCCACCTCAAACCGCCCACGTTCGCCTGGGGGTATCGCATAAATTACACTCGAAGGATTTGCTTTTCCGTAATTACATACTTATCACCGCGATCATTACAAGAAAAATGAAGCTATTTTTCATTAGCTTGCCGTAACAGCTTCATAATCGGCCTCGGAAATCCGCAAAGAGCGATACTACTTGAAACCCCGCGGAGGTTTGTCAGCACCGCCTATAGAGCGAATACGAGGTGACGGAGCTTTAACAATTACTAATAGGTATTTTCACTGCTTCGAAACTTATATTTGTGTAGCAATGCTAAATTATACTCTTTGTGTGTAAATAATTAACTGCCTCAGTACCTAGTATGCTTCTTAAGGAAAAATTGGGACCGTAAAATACTCACACGCAGACTACTACTAAGTGACTATTGCTGATGTCAAGAGGAGCTCTCTTAATCGTATATGAAGTAAGACCTGTAGGCTCTTTTATAGCAGCGATATGATTTTTAGACGAATTTGTTTTTTACATTACAAGGCAGCATAATTTACTAATTACAAGTGTAAGTAACAAATACTTAATAATCTTCGATAAACCCAATATTTAGAGCGTATGAGTTAGTCTGTAGCCAATCTACGACTGCAAAGTCCCCCTACGAAATGGAGTAGAGGTCTAAAAAAATTCAATTCGCACTAACATTGACATCTGCAGACCCATCCATCTCTCTTTCTCGACTATTATGGAACGTTTAACATAATTTCATTCATGAAAGTGTATGTCGCCAATGTCGCCAACAATCACGGATCCTTTGAAACTAATGTAGGTACGTGTAGATACGCCTACGCTGCTTATTCTTCTTCCTTATCCCAACCTTCGCGTTGATCCTTCGGAATACGAATTAACACGAGAGATATTAATGCAGAAGCAGCTGTCATACCAATCGTTAGATACAGCGCATGGCGAATACCCCCAACTTGGTCGCGACCGCCATCGTTTGTATATCGCTCGACTGTCCCAGCGAATCCTAGTCCAGTGCTGAGGCCGTACATCTGAATGGTCCCCATTAAAGACCCAGCAATCCCCTGGTGTTTCCGCTGGACGCTATTGCTGGTGATAATCTGCGTCGCTGTAAAGATGAAGTCGGGGCTGAATCCCATGATAATAAATGCGGGGAAGCATTCAGCCCAGTATGTCTGCTGCGCCGGCATAGTAGCAAAAATGACCCCAGCAACTACAGCAGCTACTGCACCAGTAGCCATGACTACCTGGGCAGGTAGATAGCGCACGGCAATAGCACTGACGAAACAACCACATGTACCGACAATAGCAAAAGCTGAGTTGGCCGCTGCAGTAAGAAGGTTGGAGTAGTGACGGATCTCAATGTTCCAAATCTGAACATAGTAGAGGAAGATACCGACCCCCATAAACGACATAAACGCAGACAATACCATCGGTCCGAACGACGGAGAGGTCCAAATCCCAAGTGGAAGGATTGGCTCTCTTGCGAATTTCCCTTCCCATAACACAAAGATTCCGAAGTGTAAGACGGACACAATGAGAAGAGCATATACATAGGGCTCTTCCCAGCCAACTACCACAGCTTGTCTATATACCATGTCAGCAGCTAGCAATTCAATGGAAAACAAGTATTGCAACTAACGTCCAGACAAAGTTAAATAAGACTAAGCCGGCAACTCCAAAATAGGCTCCAACGTAATCGACTGTACCCGCTGCATCCATAGGCACACCGTCGGGGGGTAGAATGAACGAGGTTGCGCCAAAAACGACAGCACCAAAGATGGCCCTGTTGTTCACGTGTTAGCTTCTATTATCCGAAAATAGCCTTTGGTAAAACAGACAAGAAGAAGAATAGCCACCACCACTCCGTTAATTGGCCAAAAAAGCCGGGGAACACGGTTCCGCCAGCTGCACCTACCGGGCCCATGGCACCAAACATGCCAACCCATACATTACGCATGAGGCCTGGGGGAAAAGTGATGGTGAGCATAGCCACGAGGTTGGGGACCATGATTCCTCCACCGATGCCGCTGAGAGCACGCATAACAATAACAGTGTCGGCAGTTCTCATAAATCCAGTGGTTAGATGAAACAAAACGTATATACAGGCACCGACAAGCATGGTGTTCTTGTGTCCATGAACAGCGCCGATTCGGCCCCCTATTAAAACGAATGCCCCTTGAGTTAATCTTGTCTGGTTAGTACTTTGCATCAGCTGAAAACAAGCGGATGGTCTCGTACGGGTATGATGCTGCAATCCATATAGCCTTATCTTGAGGCGCTCCAATTGCTTTAGGTATGTCAATGGCTGCAATGAGTCCTGCGCCGTATGGTATGGCCTGCCTCTTCGTTTAGCCATACTCCGCATATGAAAACTCTTAACTAGACTTAGGATAAGGAATAAGTAGCATACCTGGACCAGTTGACAAAACACAATGCAAAAGGCAAGAACATTGTCCCGAACACTGGGCTGTGATTGCTTTGCCTCCCCTTGTTCGACGTGGGAGATGTCCGCTGCAGGAGTCAATATCCCATTGCCATCTGGACTATATGACAGATCCTTGATGCCAGAAGTTTCAGACATTTCTATTCCGATTTTTCGTAATATTGCAAAGGAAACCAATTTAGGAAGACTGCATTGGCTGTGTTCTTCTCGAGACTTAAACGCGACGATAACGCATCTTATACATTTTATAGGCTAATAATTAAGCAATGAGACTATGTAGTAATCCCTCTAATAATCATTTACCAGGGGCATGGAAAATTTGAAAATCGGTTTGTTAAAATGTATCCATTTAAGTGTGTTCCTCAAACTATAAGCTGTTACGGGCGAGCTTGGTGGGAGTCAGCATTTCTGATTAGTAGCAGTTCGGGCGCACTCATGCGCACTCGTGCGCTCCAGCCCGCATCATCCCGCACTAGCCCGCAGCATCAATGTGGACCTTGGCTCAGCTATTTCTCAGCGAAGACGTTTTGGCTAACGGAACTTTGTATATAATGCGGTCTTGCATTTCTCTGCAAAAGTGACTTTATATATTCTCTATATCGGCGATGATCGAAAGATGGTTGATGTAACGTGCATCTCGCCACTTATTACTTGAGCCATCTTTCCATTCCTCGCAAAAATCAGCGCGAAGAACGCACATACGCGCTGAAAAGTCCGAGTTTCGGTTACTCCGCCACTATTGCATCTACTAGTAGGCCTTGCTTGACGCGTGCTACCTTCAAAGGTCCGCAAGACCGGCTTTCAGACTGTCTTCTAGAGATGTCCAGCCTGGCTGGCCGAAAAAGTCCTTCAGAAGCTTCTCGGATTTATCTTTTGGTATAACCTCTGTATAGTCCCGAGGCTCATTTTCGGGGGCCTTAGGCAGCTCCAATTCAGGGCGTATTTTACGCAAGATTGCTAAAACGTCTGTCCAATTAAATTCGTGGACAAGGCCGAAGATGCGTTGGTTTTCGACACTTGGATCAAGCAAGCCGGCCACATGCAGACGAGCGCAGTCCTTTACGTCAATATAATGTTCTAAATAGTGTGTCAGATTTGATGGTGGCACTTTGAGTGACCATGTGTCCTTTTGGCTTTGATTCACTTACGAGGGGGGAACGTGAGAATGGTGAAGTCGCCTTTGAAGAAATTGCGAACAAAGCCCATTGTTGAACCGGATTGATGTTCTGGTATCAAAACTTGCCCGAACTGAAAATTTCATTAGTCAATTCAACAAGAAAAAGTTAAAACAATAGGTAAGAGAGTTCAAGGATCTACTTACATTGAAGTTAGGTTGTACTGTGTTGAGAACAAAATTAGGTTTGTTCTCTTCAACCCACTTCCATGCGGCCCGTTCTGCTTCGGTCTTCGAGGCCGAGTATATAATAGCGCCTTCAAAACCTTTAGGCAAACCTTCCATCACATGGTCGCTCCATGCAAGCTTGACCGCACTATCGTTCCACGTATCTGGAAAAGCATATTAGGCGAGGTCAGATCAGGATACAAACTTCTTATTAACTTACTCTCATCAATTTTGACACCTTTTCTATTTGGCTCGGGATTAATTACAGCAGCAGAAGACGATGTAATCACAAAACGTTTTACTGAAGTTTGTTTGGAAGCTGCCTCGAGAGCGTTAAGCGTGCCCTGCACTGCGATCGAAATTACTTTATTGGGATCAGTTTCAAAAGAGACATCCGAAGCCTATACGTAGAAGAAATAAGCAAACACAGAAATCGGAATTGGATATGCGCGATATCTTACCACGTGAACAACTCCACTGGCTCCCTCTGCAGCAGTTGAAAAGGCTCCAACTTCTTCTATTGCTTTAACAGCAACACTCTCGAACCGGCCTTTGCCATATTTCTTTTCAAAGAACTCATCTAGCCATGGCTTTTTGTCTCTGACAGTGCCTCGGACATTGTATCCCAACTCAAGTAGTTGATCGACTACGTGTGACCCAATATATCCATTGGCTCCGGTGACTAACACCAAACTTCCTTGTGGAATAGAGTACTCGAGAGGCGCCATATTGCTTCTGATGTCTGGTTCTCGTTGGATTTTGTTGGTTGTTGCTACTGTCTATAGACACAAATAAGATGTAACAAGTGAGATAGAGAGTGGCATTTTGAAACCTCAACTCTCACAAAATATATACTTTTGCGGTATTAAAAGCGACAGTATGTTATTCCCTGAGAGTGTTACTGAGAATCCTACCAGCTGACAAATGTTATAGGAGAACAGCTCTTGAGCTCTCCATTTTGGGCCACTCCGCCAATGGCTCGCAACTTTCGTCGTGGGTCCGGCATCTATAAGTCCGCACCGTGCGGATACCTGTGTTCCAATTTTGCGCTTATCCAAGCAAGAGGAACTGGAGGCTCGGAATTAAAGTGGTTTTGGAGGCTTCGAGGCAACTCATCGGTCATTCGATTTTGACTAGCCGTATTCGTTTGACACCTCAGTACTTAATTTATCTGTTAGCTTTATTTCCCGCCGGCGTGTGTGGCACGATCCTAGATTACCGTACATAGTATGCCGTGCTAAACTACAACTAAGCATTAGTGTCTTTGACAGGGGGTTGATTAGCTAGCGGGGTTGATTTAGCCCCTGTCTCGTCTTTGTAGAGAAACAATGACATCCGTGGTATGTTGGTGGCGGTTCTCTTTTCTGTTCATAGATGAGGGTTTAATGTACGCTCCGAAACCACTGCTTGGCGCTATCGGAGATAATTCGTAAGAGATAGAGATTTCTGATGAGCATGGGGGTGGCAAGCAGGCTTAACTTTATCAACCTAAGCCAACTGTACCAAATTCCGCTTGAAAGATACTCCTGGCGGCAGTTTAGATTTCTTGAACATCGTGAGTTAAAGCGGTTACAAGTACTCCATACACTTGCAAGAGGATCCAAAGGCAGCTACACGTAGGTTTCAGTTAATTTGGTAGAGAAATGAAACGACAGTACTCAGACGGCTAGAAGTGAGGTAAGTTATATCTATATGGAAAAATAAAAGTACATCAGTCAATCAATAACTGACGGTTTTTTAGCCCTGGAATGTCTCTACCGGTCTCTTTTAGGTGACTCAGACATGAACAGGTTTTAACGCACCATGAAACAAAAGTCTTACTTCTTTTTTTAAACGCCATTCTGATTTTTGGGCCCTAAGTCAAGGAGTAGGCAAAGAGAATCGGGTGTCCGCGGAGCCCGTTTTGATCTGAGTAAAAAAGTGAGGGGCGCTATGAGTCCTCGCACTAGGTGACACCCTCATCATACAAGTCAAAGGCAGCAGATAGAGCAAAGTGGTTAATAGCGTTCCATTGCCCATTTTGTTGGGCGGTCCGCTTGAATCTACTCAGGAAAGGCTGGATAGACAATGGCAAACTAGCGCTATTTCCTAAATAAAGATGCAAATTAAGATCTTACTACCGTAAGAGCATCAAGCCACAAACACTTGCGCGCGGGGAAAAGGTCGCTTTATTAGCAAAATAATTAAAAATGAGAGCACTAGTCAAGTAAATCAACCCCCGCAATAGTAATCTAGTTTATTTTTTATTTTATTTTATTTTTTTGCTGGGTGAAATGCAGCATCGGGTATCTGGGGGGATATCTTCACTTTTCTGTTTCTCACTCATTCATGCATTTTGATACCCTCATTTCACGCTTCTTACCTACATGTAGCCTAAACACATGCCCACAGGTTTCATTGGCATATAGAAGCAGGTCAAAAATGGCCCCCGTTCCTTTTTACCTGGCGATCCTCGTGTTATCTGATAACCGAGTACGAGAACGAGAGCGTATATGTGTTGAGCACGACTGATGCATGTCCGAGACGTTGGTGAACGCAGTCATGTTCGTTGGCATGCAATCTCTAATCTTGTTCTTAATGCTTAAAATGAGACAAAGAGTAGGGGGGTCAAATTTGCCCCGAGACCATCAGTCATGTATCCTGCTAGTATCTCTCAGCTATCTCCTCTTGAGAAATTTCAGAGCAAAGAGTTAATTACAACAAAAACAGCTTAACCATGATGGGATTTTGCGAACAGGCTGAAATCTACATCGAAACATATGGTAGCCATCTCAACCATGCAAAGTTCATACTACGAGGAGACGACGATAAACAGGACTATACAATGACGACGCAGTGTTTGTTCAGAGATACCAAAATCGACCTGAATATACTGCTGCTGGCTAGCATCGCATCTGATGCCTGGCCATTGGCTCGACCCGACGCAGGATCATAAGTAAACGAGTCATCTATCTAATATATAGCCTCATACAGTATATAACCAATTGTCTAATATACATCATCCACCCTCTTCAACAGCAGAATCTCAAGTCCCCTCAGGTACTTCGTTATGTCGCATATACCCCCCATAACACGCAGCCATAATCGCCGTTATGCACAAAAACAGCGCCGTAGCTACCTTTGTCATTATCATCGCAGGTAAATACAGCCTCAAGCGCTTTGGTGCAATAGTCGCCCAGCACGAACGGTTTTACGTCCTTACAGCCGGATGACTGGACTCTGTTGACGTCAATATTCAGCGAAAGATCTTTGGAAACGGGTATGATGGTCGCGATACCGCCAGCCGCACCAAATGTTCGTGTGCCGTCGCAGACCGATGAGAAAGCCTTTTCGGCGTCTGCTCTCTTGAACATCTTTTCATTCAGCTGTTCCGCGTCGCATTTTACGCACTTCTTGTCATCACCCAGATTGGTGATGGTGGGAGGAGACGGAACTGTGGCCTGAGGAGGAGGACACGTTTGAACACCGGTGTGACCGCTGGTTGGGCCATCGTCCGTCATGCTACCAAAATCACCGGGCTCAACCACCCAGCCTCCTGCGCCTCCCTCACCTATTGCAGCTACTGTGGAGAAGTCTGTGATGGCAGGGGCTGCTGCGCACCTAAATTGAAGTGGCTGGTTAGCAAACTGAGCGGTACTCAATATTCACACACACACCCCCGCATGGAAACAGATCAACGAAGAAACTTACATCCTCGTCCTGGTTGTGGTTGTGGTAGTCCCAGTAGTGTCACACCCTGCGGCTGTTCGCGTGCATTCTGGGTCATCGCAAAGCGTGAAAGTGGTTGTGGGTCGCTGGATCACTGAACATTCGACCAAGCAATCGGAAACGGTCGTCACAGAGTCACAGTCGCTTGGTTCACCTGCGGCGGCCAAGCAGCCGCTTCCAATGCAGCTTTTTCCAGGGCAGAGAGCGCCGATGCATCCGCATATACCAAAGCAGCCTGTATCCCTAGGGTTGCAATTGAGCAAGCAAGGTTTGCCGCACGGCTGGCCTGGCTTACAAGTCGGCCCTGGAGCAGCGGCAGTTACTTTCACAGTCGGTGCAAATCCGGGTGGACGCGGAGGCGGAGGACCTGGAGGGGTGGGGTCAGGCTTTCCAGGATTTGTTGTCTGAAGTGGCGGATAAGGGCCAGGACTGTATGTCCAGGTGATGACCGGCCTAACGAAATCAGACGAGCTTGTGCTTGTACGCGTAAGTGTCAAAGGAGGGATAGGAACACTCGCAGTTAGCCAGATCGTAGCGTTGGTGCCGTTCCAGGAGTGATTCCAGACAGAGATTGTCTTCGTCGTGATGGGCGGAATGCTGATGACGGTGGTGGTTACGCTGCTAGCAGTAGTGGTGATAGCCGCGCCTTGGACGGTAATCGTCGTTCTCCAGTTCTCAAAGTAGGTCACTGTTGCCTTGGGGGGCGAGATTGTGGTCGGCTGGTCCAGTATCCACGGCGGAAAAACAAAGTTGCAAGGCGGCTGGCAAGATACTTGGGCATCGCCCTTTTGGCTGTAGATATTAGGGCTGATGATAACATTGCCGGCGCTACCGCTTTCACCCTTGCCAGTACTTCCGTTGTCACCTTTACCAGCGCCATCATTAGCACCACAGTTTGCGTCTAGATCTATAGCCCAGTCAGATGTGCCTCCAAAATTGAGCCCCTTGACCCAGTTGAGTCGCTTCTGGTAGGAATCAGTGTTCATCCAGGATACCCACTCAAGGCCATTATATATGAGAATGTCTCCATCGTCACTGTGATGTTGTTCCACGCCTCCATTTTTAATAATTTCACGAATCTCAAAGTTGGAAATATAACCCTTGGTGTCGGTGCATCGACCTGGCGCGGCCCCCGAGTCTGCGCCGACATAGGTGCAGTCAGGGCCCCAGCATCCTGCCTTTGTCATTTTGAAAGACCTTCCGTACATTGGCATTCCGACAATGACTTTCTTCGCTGGTACTCCAGCCTTGGTGATCATGACGAGGGCGTCATTCACTTCTGTCTGATTGACGTGGGATCTCAAGCAGTTTCCGGCAGGGCATCCCGGACTATGGGTTCAAACTTGGTAAGTCATGGGTCCTTAGTAGAAGCTAGCAGGTAAACAATTCTTACCTTGCCCATTTGTGTCCATAATCCCACTGTCCGTGGAGATCATACGTCATGTAGATGATGTAGTCCAGATATTGGTGCATCTTGTCTAGCGGAAAGCCTCGCAGATACCAGAAAGATGCTGGTGCCGCCAAACTCACGCTGTATTTAGAAGGAAGCGCCGCTCTCATCAATCCAAGAAATTCTACATAATTTGCGCCGTCCTGAGGATCACCCGGAGGGACACCAGGGATGTCCGGTGCACCTGAAGAACAAGCATTAGACCTGCACCAATAGAGGATGGATACGAGTAAAAGGGCCTCACCTGGATATTCCCAATCAAAGTCCACGCCATCCAAGCCATTATCGACGATGAACTAATAGAATGTCAGAGGACCCGGCCAAGAGCTATATTTGAAGCACGAACCTTGGCAACATTGGTGGCAAAGAGTTGACGCTGTGCCGAAGTGACACCCTTCCTAAAATGGGAGCGGTATCAAAGTCTGTAGAGAACGACCATCCACCAAAGGACAAGATTTTTTTTAACATTATTAAGAGTTTTAAACTCGTTGAACATATCTTTAAGACCGCTCACATCCACAGTATAGTCATGGGTGATGTTTCCAAAGGCAAAATGCTTGAGAGCAAGCCAAGGTTAGCTGTACTGGCTTATAGCATTAACAAGATACACATCCACTTACGACATTGGTATAGTGCGAAGTGTCAATTTGATCTGGCTAGGTAGTCTCGGAATTAGCTGGTTTCGTAGTAGATTGCCGTCAAATAAATGATGACTCACCCTCATGTGAAGACACTTCCTGCCGGCATTCCAAGCTTCAAAGTAACCGACCCTCATGAATGAGGCCACTTTATCAGCATTGTTTGTAATATTTGTACCACAGCTTGAGATACAGCCATTGGATCCGGGTTTTGCAGTACCCGGCGCCCCTGTATCCGATGGGGACTGGACACAGAAATCTTTGGTGATACCACATTGACCCCAGATATTGCAGCAAGCATTAAGGGGACACGGGTTGAGACTTTCAATGTGGATCATATCAGAAAGTTTTTTTGTCCCAGGAACCTGGGGACCGCATATAGCATTCTGCATGACCGCGGGCATGGGCGGGCTTCCCGTGGACACACAAATCGAGGCGCCGACGACAAGAGATGAACAACCCATCCAACCCCACGTCATTTTGTTCCGAGCGTTGATCATGTCCACTGTAATGCTATTCGCCCTTGCAATATTGCTGCATAGATCATTCTGTTTGATGGAATATGTCTTGCAGGAGCCGTCTGGGTTAGGTTGTGGCGAAAAGTCTGGCAGAGTACCGGCAGAGCAGCAGACATACTCGCCCACAACAGGATTCGGACTCGTACATATTCCTGCTCTGTTATACTTCTTAAGATCGTCCTGACTAATTGCACAGCGCTGAGCAAGCGCCCAGCATCCGTCTCCAGATTGTACCTGCGTGTACTTGCATGTGTTCCTTGCGTTGATTTGGCCTTCTCTGTTGTCGGGAGAGATGCTGATACGAAACCCAGGTATAATGCCGACAGAAAAGTCTTTCCAGGCTGATTTCTTGCTAGCTGATTTTATACATTTTGCATCATTCCAGCCTCTGACTGCCTCCTGCACCTTGGTGAGATCACCAGTGGTAGTGGCAAAGAGGCCAATGAGTTTTGTACTTGTCGAGTTTTGCTGACAAGATTGAACAGCAATATCATTAGTTTCTCTATCGAGCATCTGATCAAGTTCCTGAATGATATCACTAAAGCTGCTCTTGTCGATTTGCGCTCCAGCGAAGGCGCCGATAATTGCGCTCCCGCTGCGGGCGAACAAAATTATTGGCTCCCCAGTTGGATGTTGATCTTCCAACTTAAGGTAATCCAACAAGGCATTTGCGACTGAGGAAAGATTTCCAGACGGGTGAGCAGTTGTATCTACCGCCCAAAGTAAACGATCCAGATGCTTAGACTCTGGTTGAGTGTCAAAGCTGTTGGCGACATCCTTGGAGTCCGTATCAAATGAGAGTTGCTGTCTCTTCTGTGGAACCTGCTTGGTCGCAGAAGATGAGCTGGAGCAAGCTTGAAATACAGCTTGGGAGGCCGAATCATTGATGGTATTATAGAGATTAAAGTCAAATATAATAGGCTGCTGACACGCTTGTAAATCTTGAATGTCGTGGTAGTAAGTCCAGCCGTTGGTGACGTTCTGGCAAGAGACTGGACAAGAGATCAATAGAAGCCTGAGCTACAGCTGAAAGGGGAAGCAAATAATAGAAGAGCCGCATGATGGCTTGCCTCAACGGCTGCCGACCCGGAAACTGCACAACCATGGAGTATTGTCAACAGCAGGCCTGGGAGAAGACCTCGTCAGATTGTTGGCCGATCACCAAGTGGCACACCCCGTTCTGCTTTTATGGTTTCTGACAGCGCATTCTTCAAACGAGACTGTTCAGATGATGGACCATCTTGGTACACCTTTCGCTGCACGCTCTAGCCTTGCGATGCAGCCTCGGGCCATCGTGTTCGCGTAAAAGCTCCATAGAACTGGGTGAGCCTTCGGATGTCGCGTAACGGCAAGACAGGGATCTGGGTCATGTTCCCTGCGACGCTACGATACTAATAAAGCCGTGTAGATGCGAGACATGGTTGTTCTCATGGCCCAAACGCAAAAGTTCGGGCAAATTCTCCTGCAGTACCCACCAGCTGAGCCTTACCAGGGGGCAGGATCAATCTAGTTGCTAGCCGGAATGTAGCATTTCTTCAAGGCTGCCTTATTGCTAAATCGCGCGACTATGGTAACAGTCTTAAGGGTTTTAAGGTTAAAATTACTGTCAAAAGTCCCTAAACACCCCCACTAAAAACCACAAACTTGCGAAAATAGCCCTGTCTCTTTTAATTATATATGGCTAACTTTACAAAACATGCATATACCATGCATATACATTGACGAGTAATTACCGTAAGGGAGTTTAGGTCTGCAACTGTGGATTGATATAACGGAAATCATTTTTCACATTCCACGGCTGTTCATGTCCAGAATAGGAAATCAATTCCACAAGCCATAGCATATACAGACGAGTCCGAGATAGGGCTGGCAATCAATAGATCAGAAAACAAAAAAATTCTTACGGCCACCACCAACATGGTAGCAACAGTTATGGGTCAAAGATATTTTAATATTTTATGTTTCATTGCATCGCTTGCTGAGATGGATTTCTAAACGGCCCTTTACGATTTCGTATTTTCGTAATCCTAGCTATTGAAGCCTGAAGCTCAGGATTGCCTTCCATGATAATGAAAACCCGTCAGACCTATAGTATTCATAATATACCAGGAGCATCGTTTTGTCTATTAGGTAACACCGATGTAGACTATTCTACATCCGACTAATACTCATTCGATGTTGCATGTGAAGGCACTTCTCATGCACATGTAATTTCGCTCCAGCCTCATATCCTGGCCATTCAGCTAAGCAGAATTAACTTTGAGCAGGAAAATGATAGAACACTTAGTGGTATTAAGAGGCTGGCTGCACTTTATCGTGCGCTTCTCAGTTCAGTCGCCTTTGTGATCGAGAGAGCATCTACAGATAGCGACATGGTTCCAAACATTCTTCGTTATCAGGCTCTCATAGCCTTGCTTCTGGTTGGCCCTGCCGCTGCATCTATCCTGTAATGGAAGTTAGTATATGCTAGGTACTGACTCGTTCTCTAATTAATCACGAAAATAGGTACGACGCCCAACCTTCTATTGAAATTCGTCAGGATACAAGTTTTGCTTCTTGTGAGGCTGCCTGTGAACTAGGCTCCTGCGGTGGTCTATGCTCCTCTGTCAGAAAGTTGAAGAGAGACTTTCTATCATTCGACGATGGCTTTCTAGGTGTAGCCAACGAGAGTGCCGCGGTGGATAGCTCCTTGGAAAAGAGAGTGTTCCGATTCGATATCAACAACCCTGGCTACGACCGTGGATTTCCAACCATCGAGCAAGTCAGAAGCTACCTTCCAGATGTTGATGATGGTGGCGAAGACGCCTATTTTAAGGTGCCCTTGAGTGTTGTCACCTGTACGTGAGATGCCATATCCCCTGCATGAATGACAAGACACAGATCGGAACCGGTGGAACAAGAATTCCCGAACACAATCATAGCGTCTTCTTGTCGTCTTCTTGTCAGTTATGCCTGAATACTATAAGCAGAAGTCTAATGTAGAGAGGTGCAGCAAGCCCGGAAACCGAAGCCACTGTGAGTCAGGAGAGAAGGTTTGGAGATGAGCCATTTCAAATTATGTCTCGTGGAGTGCATGGTTGTCAGGTTGTAAGTAATTCTACCATATGTTTCATTATTTACTATCCCCGGGGCTGGGGAGAGACAATGACAGCTAGCTGATATTGGCATTTACATCTTAGATCGTTGTAGTTTCCGATCGTGCTGTTTGGATGGTAGGCGCATTCTCATAACCGGCAGAAGCTTATTTTGTTGACAATGATTACAGACGCATCTCTGGGAATCATATTCGAATGGTAAAATTCCCTTGAAAGATGAAAAAGGAAACACGGTGGTAGATAAACAAGGAAACACAGTTATGACACATGGCAAAGACACCCTTGACGACCCTGCCTTTGACGATCGGATCCTAAAGTTCCTGCGGGGTGTTGAAGTCACCAACCCAGCTATGAATGAGAGAGGAGGCTATATCCAACCTGTTGGCGGAGGAATTACTGCAGACCTCTACACAGATAGGAGCGACAACACGCAGGCCTTTATTTTCACGCCCGTGGTAGATGGGGAGTCAGCCGGATCAAAGAATATCCTTTACAACAACGGGGTCAACAAACTGATTATCCCCACGCTGATGGATATTCTTAACCTCAGAAATCCCAAAATAGTGGTAGTCAGCTACGCGCGTGTGACCAGGGAGAAGGAATACCTGCTGGACTCTTCGGAACGAGGACACGTATTGTTCCAGTTTGACCCCAACAGCGACAATAACGGGAAACGGGCTTGGCGTCTCATCATGGAGAGTGCTTTTATCCCGTCATCACGTCCTCTTCCCCCTCCTTGAAACCAGAGCCTTTCAGTAAAACCCAATCCCTTCTGCCGCGGAAATGTCCCACAGAATTTTCAATTTCACGAGAACGAGCTGTTGGTAAACATAGCCTCGCGAGGGACTAGCTAGATAAATACATCGCTTGATACGCCCACCTGTATTTACTTCGAAATCCAAGTGGTCATGTGTTTGATCGTCACTGCGTCTAGTTCTGTGGCATGTTGGTGTTGGACTATGTCAGCACCGACGCATTGCAAGTGCCTTTCCTTCATCAATGAAACGACCCAATCGGGCCGCGCAATGGTAATCACATGTGAAATTTACCATTTACTAGCTATATATGGTTCATTCTGTCTCTTTTGTTCTTCGCACAATCTTTGCCAACAATTACAAAAGGAAATTGACAGCGCTAAAATAACCGATTTGTCGAATCCACTAAATCGTGGGATCATACCCCTGCTGGTGAAACGGTAACATTGATTAGCCATGACTTACGCGCCGTGCCCCAGTCTTCTTTCGAACCGAGACTCGCCCGCCTATATTGACGCCGCGCTCCAGCCTCTCGCATCTTCACTTCATAGCTAAAGAAAAACAAAAGCCAGCAAAGATTCCAGGATGGCGGCCGAGACCGTCTCGGCGCCGCTGGAAAGGCTGCCTTTTCATCTTTTAGAAGGCATCTGTTTCTGGCTGGATCCGTCGAAAGGCGGCGGCCTACTCGCCTTTTCGCTGGCGAATCGGCAATGCGCCTATGCAGCCATGAGGTTCCGTCTCCGGCGCATCCATCTCAAGATTGGCAGGCTCATGTCAGACGAAGATTTCACGTTTATGGACAAGATACCAGATCTAGATGTCCGCCTTGGCTTTATTCACAATCTTAGGATTAGTGATTCCCAAGACCTTAAAGATGACGCAGAACAGGACGAAACGGGGCGAGAAGAGATTGACGAGGAAAGCTTCTTTGGGAAGCCTATTCCTCTTCGTCCTTTAAGATTGAAATCCACCCCCTACCAGCCAAGCACACTACCGCAACTGCCAGAGCAGGTTCTACGGATGAAGGCTAAGAATCAAGAAACCTGGGCCCAAGTAGCGAGATTCATCAGCCGGCTGAGTTGTTTATCCAATCTTGTATATGAATGCATAGGCCAGGTACCGATGTGCTTGCTCTCAGCGCTGCGCGACAATTGCCCAAATGCCAGACTGCATGTCTATACCTTCAGCCTTCGAAGTCTCTATCAGCCAAGAAACGAATATCACGATATCTCGCCAGAGGAGTATGCCCTTGCTACGTCACCGAATCTCTATGGACTTTACATGAAACACTCCTCTTATGATGAAGAGAGATACATCGGCTACAATCAAGAAGCCGTAATAAAGATGGTAGGAGGTTTAGCGCCAAGGCTATCATATGTTGGCATGGCTAGTAAACCGCTAGGTGGTACCCTTGAGTTGGCCCAAGCCTACCAGTTACACTGGCAATCCGGTAAGCCGGAATGGAAGGGTTTCTTCATCAACGGCAGCCAAGCATGCGATACGGTGCAAGGAAAGGGGAGCCTACACACTCTGTATCTTGACGGAGCTTCAAAGCTACGCATTCATCAGTGGTCTGGCTATACCGACTTTAGCAAGCTGACAACACTGCAGTTGGGAAGTACCAGTATTGATGCAGTACAGGTCCTGGCTAGCATTGGAGAGAGTGGTGGACTTTCTTCTCTTTCCTCTCTCGCTTTAATGCCTGAAGTAGTGAATGAGGAGCAAGAAATGGCTGCTGACGAGTCTGTATGTCGGCTATTGCGAGCTTTAAAACCGCTGCGAAGCCTCGAATTGGAAAATGAAATTGGGAATGACGCCTGGCGAGCAGTGGTTGATCAACACGGCAACTCTCTTCGGGAGCTTCGTTTCGTCCCAGTTCGGCGTTCTGAATATGATGATGAGGGTGAGGTTTTCATGCTCTCCTGTGATAAGATACGGCTACTTTCAGGCACCTGTTCACAATTGGAGAAGCTGGAGCTACGTGTGCCCCGAACCCGTGGCGATGAAGACGAAGTTGAAATCTATCGAAATCTTGGCCGACTTCCGCGATTGAAACATATCTCTCTAATCCTTGAGTGCGCTGTCTTCGATCCTCCTGAGGCAAGGGATGGCGAATCATTTATTGAAATAAGTGGTTGGGAACTACCCGTTAGCGTTTACCGCACAGCGCTCATCAATACCGCCATGGATTCGGTCCTTGCCCAATCCCTCTTTGAAACAATAGCTACAACGAGGTCGTACGCTGGCGGCTGCTCGCTCGTCACCCTCAAACTAAAAATACGCGGCGCTGGAGTCTTCGGGCGGATCTGGGTCGACAATGAAGCGAAGATCCCTCTGCAATGGGTTGGGCAGAGCTGGTTTGTGAGAAGGGATTCTCGGGACGGAGGCCTGATCGTTCAAAAAATTAAATCTTTTGTTGATGATCTTGATGTGTTGAAGGATGATTTCCCCGAGCGTGATGACCTAAGAGCTGTCTGGATGGATATATGGCCAGGCAGCCCTGGTGACAGAAGGAATCAGTGGCATAGCTTCCCTCTGGCTGGATCAACAAATTGAAAGAGTGAGGCATGCAAGCTGTTCCAAATGTGCTGCAAGAAATTTCTGGTGATTTTCTTTACCACACATTGTTCGCAATTGTCTAACATCTTCGCATCGGCAACGGGTATGAAAAGGAAACTTCATAGGGCATTGCTCCGCTGCTTAGAGTAACAACGCCAAAGTTCTTGTCAGAACAGACTGCCTAGACTAAGTCAAACATCAAAGACCACCCTTAGACTGCCGATGAAAACAGGTTCAAACATAGATCGGACAGAGTCTCGAATTTGCCAGACAGCCTTCACGGAGACATTAAGGCGGCGGCGATATTGTGTAATAAATACCAATGAGAGGCCACACATCTAAAATGTGAGAGGCGGCAGTCAGGTTGGGCATTCAAGTAGCTATACAATTTTGCCTCTGGCCTTTATAATACTAAGTTGTAGTGGTTGCCTAGAAATATATAATAGCAAACGGAATTTGCTTTAAGGCAGCTCACACAAGTCGCTATGTGCATTAACAGACTATCTATCCAATCTTCGACGCAGTGCACATGCATGTGAAAATCCGTCTATACCCGAGCTGATGACCTCCAACATCTTTTTTATTATGGTATACTGCTGTAAAGGCTCAATATAGCCTGCGAATGTCTGTAAGAGGGAAGTTGGTGATGGTGGAGCACTTAGAGTGCTTGTACTCAACAGATAAGTTGGCCGTAAGCTTTGCAGAAGGGAATATGTTCTTGTTCTTTGCGCCTTGGTAATATATCTTTCCTCGGAATTGCATTGCCGTTACGGTCACGCAGAAGTCCGTTTTTACCGACCAGTGAATGACAGAGCCGTGAGAGACTTGAGGTACTTGTAGGCACGGCCAAATCTTCCATATGTGGGTACTATCATCCTAACCTAGTCGTGCCCACTTGCCGTGTTTTCTCTTTTTCGTTGAGCTAATTGGCCATCTATGTGGCGAACTGTGAGTGGGTTTATTTCTCAGTTCAGGATGGTGGGCAACACAGTACCCTGGACACACGGTGGAAGACACCTATTAGTTTATTAAACTCAGTTGGAATCGAATCTGGGGAAGTGATAAATAAATGGTACAGTGGGATGTAGAAATTAAAACATATATCATTAGGTAGTTACTTCAGTCCAAACCTATCAAGGCTCTTCCAATGTTTGTTTCTAATGCTCTGCCGGCATATCCAGCGCCTATAGCCTGCTCTAAACTACAAGTATGTAATCTGCTCCCTTTCAATTTAAGGCGTTACGGCCGAGGCCCGCATAACTTAGCATTACCTACTATCATTGCACATATCCAGGGAACCTACAAACCACAACTTATGGACTCAGATAGGGGGTATCCTGAAATTCCGAGTGCTGATAGATGTTTCTGACGTGTTTCAGTGCGGCTAGCTACCCAGTGAGTTTCGCAGCTATTAGTGACTTTATGCGGCTTCGTGGTAATAAAGAACGTATTGTTGACCTAGTCTGCGCCCATTGAAATCAGAGCCTAATACCTCGTTTGGGGGCAGAATATACTACCAATCTAATTCGTTGTCAAACAGACTAATGCGTTGCTTCAGAGTTGAACACACCTCGTCAACCCAAGGCGCGCGCTCACCTGTTGGCAGCAGATCAGCGCTGTGAGACTAAGGGAACTTCGTTGCGGAGTGACATTTGTTATTAACTGCCATGGACAACGCAGATCCGCCTTACTTGTCCACAGTATTGATATAAGCGCCCATGCTCTAGTAGCTAAGAATCGCCTCCATGCAGTGTTCCCCATACACCACATGAAGTTCAGTTTGTCCTTTATTATCGTGTTGGTCTATTGGGAAACGGTACTGAAGCTAGGAGCTTCAGCACAGCCACATCGTTGCCCCTAACAGTTGTGTGGGCCTAGGTCTCATTCGGCTATTGTAGAAGACTAAATTTGAACGAGGTTTAACAATATGGGCATATGTGTCTGAACATAGCCAGCTATGATCATCTAATCCAGTGACTTGATCTCTGCTCGCGTTACGTTTATCCTACCTAGTGTAGGATAGTCCTGGTATTAATAAACACCCAAAAGATCGATCGAAACTACACAATTAAGCTTGAATGGAAGGCAATACTTTCGACTGTGTCAAGGATTAGAAATGCAAACTCAGGCAAGGCTCCTAAGTATAGCTGATGCTGATATACGGGCTATCCAGCCTGCCAAACATACCAATGAATCATGCATACTGAAGGCGCGAAAACCAGACAATACTGCATGTACATTGTAACCTGCTCTCACCAGACGAGTATGGTGTATAGTAGCCGGTGTTCGCCAGTGGTCATCCACCTGACTACCAATCAGCCAGTTAGCAGCTTGTATATAAGATGAGTAGACGGAAAGCACATTTCAATTGTCGAAATCTCCCGAATACTTGCTTTCCCTTGATCCGCGGTGAAGGTCATGACTGGAGGCTCTACTTGTATATCGCCTTTCAAGCAGCAACAAGTAAATTAGTGGGTATGCCTTCGGGCGTGTATATAGAGATAATAGATAACACGGGTCATTCGCGGCAGACATTCTTTTAGGTATCCTTTATCAGATTGTCCAAGGCGTACATCTCTCGTTGCAGATACTACTAGAGGCCGTAGTGTTTTTTGTATTAGCCGGAGGGGCAGTGCGAAGGATGTTTAGTTGACTAAACAAGCTACTCTCCTTCTCCATACTCCTCTCATCTACAGTCCGGTTGTATTTAAATGGAGCACGATATTACAGCAGTTATTATCGAAATTGTCCAGTCATTCGTTTCCATAAGCTTATTGGAGCGCCTATTCTTGCGCAGCTGATACATCTGGCACATAAATTTGAGCTTGCCATTGGTGATACCAGGGATCCGAATGGCAACGTGAGGCACTTTCTCTATATGTTTCCCCAAGGGCAAAAAAAAAAAAAAATACCAGCCTTTTCTCAATGCTCGCTTTAAGCAGGCGTCTGCTCATCCCTCCCCTTACATGACCTCATCGCGGGGAGAGGTTTTATATCCATGGCACTCTTATAATGTGCCGATTGATCCGTTGAATATGTCCAATGTGGACTAACTACCGGCCTGTGGGCCGCCCGATGCATGCAAGACCTTCAGCTTGCGGCAGTCGAGTGCAGGGATTGATGATCTAGATAAGGAAGGAGATCAGGACTGCCAGATAGCCCTCAGGAATTGCATCAAAGTAGAAGCAACATTTCACTCTCAGCTAAGAGCAAGAGAAAACCCCGAAGCTGGTCGCGAGAGCATGAACTCTTTGTTTATAGATAGAAACCTACTTGCTCAGTAGGAGGAAGTAGAGTCAAAAGATGGTACAATAACATAGAAAAGTGAAGAGTTCTACATTTTGTTTAGAATATATCGGTATACGATCGAGTACTCATTTCCATACAAGGCCGATGCAAACGCTATACCCATTCGCATCAATATCCAATGTGTCACCAAGTATGAACGACGCGCGTACTACAAATGTCCAAGTTATTTCCCAAGACCCCGGTGCAGGCAACCATTCGCAGAAGGATCGGTCTTGAGTGCAACGGGAAGGAGCCAACTTCTACTCAATATGGAAGACGGCTTTTATGCTTGGAATCATGCTAGTCGAAAGAGATAAAGTCGATTATGGGGTAGCATTATGCCATGTTATCTCCGTGCCATTGTGACTATACTGCAGTATCCTCCTCGCAGTTTCATGCCGTTACTTACCCCGCTTCCTAATGGCGTTGCCTAGTTGTACAATGGCGTTAGCACAAGTGGGATTGCTCACGGATGGAGCAACCTTGAAACATTTTTTTAATAAAGAAAAAGAAATAAAAAGAAAAGAGATCAGGTAAGTTCAGGCCAAAAAGAACGAAAGAGGAGAAAAAAAAAGCACTTAAGAATAGAAATTTGAACAAGACAAAATAAAATCATCACCATTCATTAAAGCACTTAGAAGGGCAAGCAAATTGTTGCGCGGGAGAGCGGCAGCAATGTCCTTACAGGCGATCCGGATTTAGCGCTGGCATTTCTCTTGTCAAAGAAAAGAAACAAAATAGGAAGCTACACTCCACCCGCTTCTACATAGTAGCTTTATCTGATGGGATGAAAGATAAAATTGGCCGATCCTTGTAGAATTCCAGCGGCGGTTGAGCTGCTACCGATTGCGTTATAATGGCAAAAGAGCATGTCTTGATCTAATCGCTAACTAGATGAACTAGCCATACATACATATAGGAGCTTATACTGCGCGTATAGACCGGCCTGCAGCTTTACACACACCAGGCAGCAGCCGCAGAAAAAAGCATATAGAAGAATTAATCCTCTATATTAAGTAGACATATATACCAGCTCTGAAGCCCAAATCCTGTTTTCCTATATGTTATGACATGGGAAAGAATTGTTGTGCCAGCTTGGGAACAAAGTTAATGGAGAGCATATTCTTATTTCCGCCTTTAGCAAGTCTAACCATGCCTCAAGCCCAATCTCTATTTTATATAATGTTTCAAGCACTGAGCACACCATTAGCCAAGCTCTTATCGGAGGTGTTCTCTGTAATAGGCAGGTTGTAGGATATGACGCTAGAATCTCGCGATAGTGATCTTTTTTGCAAGAGCATTGTATGCATTATACCCCAACTCGATCCAATAGCAGATGGTGTGTATCCATTGGAAAGACGTCTTCCAATTTAGACAAATGGCCTCTCTTCAAGGGTAGATCATACATTCCTATTTCGATCATTGTATATTGGGCTCATTGTTTGCAGAACTGAGGGATATCGGCGGATGAGTCGGTTCAGTGTATACCGAGAAAATTGCAACTATATAAAGTCTTTCTTGTAACCTGTTTGTCTCATTGTCGTGCACAAGCAGAAGTCGTTCACACAGTACTCCAGGATCTACTGTCTTATTGATTCGAAACCTTCTCCGAATACATTTGGATTGCTCTTCACCAACCTCGTCTACTACCGTTCAAGATGAAGTCCCTCACTTTAGCCGCAAACCTGCTTTTGGTGGCCAGTGCCGCCTTGGCATCTCCTCTTGCTGCTCGCAAGCAGGCGGCTATGGATGCTATCCGTGCTAGGAATGCTGCTCGTCGCTCCAATAGATTCCAAGCCAGCTCTTCCAGTCATGTCAATGGCACTGCTGACGTGGAGTCTACGAACTGGGCCGGCGCCGCTATCACAACATCAGGCATTACTGAAGTTACTGGTACCTTCACGGTACCGAAGCCTAGCCCCCCATCTGGTGGAAATTCTGGCACTGAATACTGTGGTGCTGCATGGGTAGGAATTGATGGTTACTCTGATGCGGATCTCATCCAGACTGGTGTCCTCTGGTGCGTCCAAAATGGCCAGTACCTGTACGAGGCTTGGTATGAGTACCTCCCCGCTTCGTTGATCGCATACTCGGGGATTTCTGTAACTGCCGGATCGGTTGTTACCGTTACTGCCACCAAGACTGGCAGCAACAGTGGAGTCACGACATTGACGAGCGGCGGAAAGACTGTTTCTCACACTTTTACAAACCAAGGTTCACCCTTGCCTGGTACAAGCGCTGAGTGGATTGTCGAGGACTTTACCTCTGGCAGCTCATTAGTTCCATTCGCCAACTTTGGATCTGTTACCTTCACGGGATCAAGCGCTATCATTAACGGAGCAACTGTCACACCAGGCAGCGGGTCTTCGACAATTATTGATCTGGAAAACTCAAGCGGAAAGATCATCACATCAACAACAGTCTCTGGCGGCTCGGTGACTGTCAACTATGAATAAGTTTTGGGACAATTCAAATTTAACAAATCTTTGCGGGAGGATTATTGCACGCTTGTCAAGGTGACGGATTTGAAGAGCATAGATTCTAGATATGCCTGTTCGGATACATTAACATGAAAGCTACAAATTCAATTTTGAGATCAAGTGCCTGAAGATGAAACGACAAATCTTTGTCTTTGAGCAGTGAAATCTTTTACGACTAATAAGTGGTGTCGTGGCACAATAGTAAATCCTACCATGATATTGAACGGTCAAAATATGCTGTTGTCGGCATCGCAAACCCAGGAGTCAGCTTGAAACAGTATTCCTTCAGTTCAATGTTATTGCATGTAGTCATAGATCATGTGACCTATCTGTACTGGGTACTTGCTCATAGTCTTTTAAACCAGAATTTATATCTCTAAAAGGGAACACTAGGATGCTAAAAGTAGACGGCATTAATCGCAAGACAGAGCTTAACGAGAACCCCAATCTTCTACTACCTATGATGATGTGTGCTAGAGCCGGCGACGAAGAAACTCTCTAGATGTATCTCCCATCCAAAGGGTATCCTATACTAAGCTAACGTGTAGAACCAGAAAGCCAAAATATTAAACGTCTTTAGTGATATTCAAGATCGGATTAGCTAAGAGTGCAGATTTACATCTATCTCTAGCCATCATTATCTAGCAATGAGAGTCAAATGCTTGATAGCCAAAGTCGCCGTCAATTGACTTATGTTTAACCGCTTTATTTTCAACCACTGTGTATTCCACGAAATCTGAATGTAAGCTCTACTCAGTTATTCTATTCTTTTCACGGCCGGATGGCTCCAAACAGTGCTTTTCGCTATAGTGATGGTGTTCAAACTTATCGAATCATCTTGACGAAAAGGTAAAGCAAGATACAGATAAATGAGAACACTTCAGACTAGTTTCACGTATTGCCTATCGCGGACTGACTAACTCGACACACCTTCTTAGCTGTCTACATTTCGGCATGGCGTATAAACCTTCCACCACAGTCGATGTTATCATCCTCCACAGCATTCAAATGGACTACTACTATGCTTAACAGATGCGCTGTTAGTATTAATCTAACATCGGCAGGGTAAACAGCAAAATTTCCGTGTCTCGATGTGCAGAAAGCACAACTTCTTTGCCAGGCGAGACCCGTATCGCTGACTCTTCTTCCCACGGCTGCCCTTCTGCTTCACCCGCACCGCTCAAGATAAAAATCAGCTGTATTGCATTTTCTGAAGCGATAGAGAATTGCCCCAGCTTCTCCATCTTAATCATCTCTGCTCGGGTTTCGCGCTCAGTAAACACTCCAAGAGACTTCTTAAAAGTCATCCCGTCCGTGTTTGCTAAATTGTTTGCCGGGCGCCACGCATAGTTGACCGGACTCATGATGATAGGATCTTTGTAGCGACCGGGAGGGTAAATGAGTTGTCGACCATTGAACTTCTCCCACAGTGCCTCATATCCATCCTGTGGCTCATCAACTTCCTGTCGTCCGTTTCGATAAAATTTACCACCCTCAAAATAGCCGAGCTGGGCGAGCTCTTTCTGGCCTTCCTCTAATTGGCGGTACGAAAGAAAACCTTGACCACTTGCTCCACCGAATTGTAAAATGAGAACCACTCGCTCCCCATCAGAATCCTTCTGCGGCCCGTAGTGGACGCCTTCGGGATGGTAGACAAGCTCCCCCTCAAAGGCATTTTTGTCAGGGCTGATGGAAATATCGCCCTTATAGGCGTAACGAAACTGGTCAAAGTTGTGTTTGTGGCGCGGAGAATAAAAGCCAATTGACCGGACAAGAGCGAGGAGGTGGTTCTCAGGGGTGTTTTCCTGACCAACGAACAGGTTTTTGAATGCTAGACCTTTATTACGGTGCTTTAGAGAGATGTCAGAAAAGGTCAAATCTTTGCCATGAACAATTTCCATTGTCACCCAACTGGTTACTCTTGATTATTGGGGATTTCAAAAATAATCTCACAAATATCTCCTAAAGTTATATTCTTTGAACCAGCAGAGTACTTTTATAGTTCGTCGCTCTAGTCCGGTTCAACGAAGGATTCATCGGCATTTATATCCGAGTCAAAGATTAGGCTACTATAGAAATTGCTACTTGCACTTTCCCCAACAGTGATTAACTTCCGGAGCATATTCCAGAAAGTGATGTCGATCCTTGTCTCCAAGTATCAAGCTTGCCTACATAGGTATATAATAGTCCACATACACAACACTTGAAAAATATATACTCGTGCCTCTAGCATATCAAATGTAGTGCTACAAAAGATATAAATACTTACTAATCAAATGGATGAAACAAAACTACTATTCAGTTTACAGCTATATATACCTATCGACCACTTTCTTAGCATGGTATAAAATGGCACTGGGTACATGTATCAATTATAATGAAAAACGTCATGAGCAGCACCGCAAATTATCTAGTAGAATTAGGGATGACGATGGTGTGGTGGAGAATTTCAATGGTTGGCCCGTATAAATCGGCTTTATACACCTTCGTGGGTCTCAAGACCAATGACTGACGCCGTACAAAGCTAAAGTAGTTTCAAGAATCCTTCGCGCATGTAGCATAGCCATCACTAGCAAACGACACCGCATGACAAACGAGGAGTGCAAGCACGTATGACGTATCCTCTCTATACCTCGTAAGTTGCCCTGTTGTTAATTTTCTGTGGCTTGCATTTACATCAATATGCATTTATATACATAGCTATCTCTCATCGAGTATATACCGCCATGGCACCAAGTTGTTCATTTGCACGTGAATAGTTACATATGGTAACTATCTTATTCGTATTCTCATAAATAATCACGACTACAGCAATGTGGCAAAGCCCATTGTCCCATCATCCACATTGTGGTCAATGTATTTACCCTGGAAGAACGCCTGTCCAACCAGCCACTGGTTGCCAAACGCAGATGTCCCGTGGATGCTCGCCGTGCAGTTGTTGCCATTCTGGCTGAACGCAAGGGCTGCGGGCAAAATGTTGAAGTTGTGGCCATTGAATGCCAGTCCGATGGTGGGCGGCGCATTGCAGGCGTAGTAGCCAGTGATGCCGTTGCTGGTCTGCACCGCCTGGATGCCGGCCTGCTGGAACAATGTCTTGACCTGCGAAGTGGGCCCGAAAATGACAGTCGTGCCGGAATCTGTGATGATGGAGACGCTGGTGCGGACCGCCCTGCCATTCACTGTGACATCGCCGGTGACGATCCACTCGTCGCTGGCCGACACGGAGACCAAGTCGCCGCTGAACTGATCCGTCGCGACAGTGCCGTAGTAAAGCGTGCCGGTCTCGTCGGCATTGAGTGCCAGCCCGAAGCGGCAGGACGACAGCGAACCTTGGTCGCACAAGCTCTGGAAAAAGGGCGTTTGGTTGAGGGCGCTGCTGTCGATGCCTGCGTAGCCAATGAGGCCGTCGTGGGGAAACGTGGGCGGCGACTTGGGGTTGGTGACAACTCCAAGATACTGTTGCGAGACGGTCAGATTGGCGTCGTGTTGGGTGATGACATCCTGGTAGACTTTGCCCGACGCCTGCGGCTGGTCAGTGACAATTACCACGCTGCGATTGTGTTTACGCTCACAGAAAGTGTTCCAGATCCATCGGGGTTGGTCGTGGCATAGGAGATGCTGAAGGGCGTGTTGGTGTTCACCGAATTGGGGCCGGGCTTGTAGATGCCGGGGTTTAGAATAGCGTCAGAGGAGCCGGTATCGATCAGGATCTCCAGGTTGGGGCTGCCACCGATGGTGAAGTTGGAGAACCAGAAGCCCTATCTGGATTAGCATCTATCTTCAGCCAAGGCGATAGATCAATGGCAATGTGCCAGTACCTGGTCAGCAACCAGATTGCCTGATGCCGCGGCCACCCGCCCCTTTGCTGCAGCTACGCTCTTTGCAGCTACGGCATCGACCTTCTTGAAGTGCAGCGGGTGCGAGAAGTCGGCCCTAACAGCCTGGAAGGCGGCCAACAGCGACAGAACCGTTTTCAGAGACATGGAGGGCTAGAATTCTCACAGAACCATGGACTGCCAAGAGATTTGGAGATTTACATGGGAAAATGTCCCGAGATCTATCTAGATATATGCATGCTCCGGCGCGTCCATCGCGCATAACTGACGAGAATCGTCATTGACGCCTATTCAGGGGCATGTGGACTTTTGTGACGCGCAGTTATGCTGACCTTCTCAATTGAGTGGTGAGTGGCCGCGGCAAGTCACATTGTAAACAAAGCCATGATTAATTTGGCTCAGATCAGCAAGGCAACTATCCAAAAGTCTTAGGTGCCCCATAATAGCATGTGAAAAGTCCCTTAAAAAGTTCCGGTTTATTATCCATTTTGACACGAAAATTCATGCACGTGATCTATGACAGATCAAGTCTCGAACGTACAAAGCTAAAGTTCGTGCTTGATTCACGCACCTATTAAAGGATAAAATGCTGATAATATCTCAATCCAAAGAATCTCCAATATACCCTTTGTTACATCGAGTGTGTGCCCTCGAGGTTCTGGACCCAGAAGTGTGGCTGCTGCCTTATACTACTAATCCGCATCTAAATCACTGCCGCATCTGGTGCAGATTCTGTCTTTAAGGGGCTGCTGTACCCTGTAAAGTCCGTATGGGTGTTAGAGAGAGTGCAAGAGTTGATTCATTGCTATCAAGTCCTTCACGATAGTGCGCTCGTATGTACCATGTTTACCATCACGCTTCACTGGGCTTTCGTGTGGGTAGCATTCATTTAGTCAGTGGTAAAGTCGTACCAAGCAGTTTAAGAATAATTCTTGGCTTCCTAGACAGGTTACTAGCTTTGAAGCTAAATTTCTAGCCCAGTGTAGACCAATCGCTATCTCGGCTGTAAGATCTAAATCCGATGCCTCCATAGATCTCAGAGTTAGCGATGCTTGTATCTTCCAATACAATAAACACTTGAGCTAAAACTCGTATCCAAATAGGTCAAAAATGATTTTATACTACTATCTAGCTCCAACATTAAATCCGAAAAACCGATTATGGGCTACGCTAGATCTGACTCGGACGAGCATAGCATTCTCAGACCCGCCCGTGTATAACAGAAAAGATGATATAAAGGCATAACAGCTTGCTTTCAAGAATTTACCTTTTGATGTTCATTTTTTTCAGTTAAGAAGCAATTTGACTGAATCAAATGGGATATATGGGCTTGCTTTTAATTATCTATTATGAAATCTTCTGGAATTTGGACTACTTGGATTCATGTAGGTTCACAAGGGCTTTGAAGGTGTGAAATTCTCGATGTCACGTCCCTCATGTTCCATAGAGGTATATGAGATAACAATCTTCTCGCATATTTGTCAAGGGTTTTCAATTGAGGGAACAACATACCGACTGTGATATGCTAATACGATTACATATAATGGGGCGTCAAATCCATCTGGCCGTGAGGCTTGGGTCTCGACCTTCATGGCCAGCGAAACGCGTAAGGGGCCAATGCTTGTAAAAAATTTTCGTCATCTTACTCACCGGCCAGCAAAGCCCATGTCATAGTTGTGGTATAGAAGAGAAATAAAGTGGCGGTAACAGATACCTCCAAATTGCTAGTCTATCTAGCAAGTGCGCGAAGTAGTTGGAACTATATTTGCGAGCTGGGCTACTAGCATTGGCATAGCCACCCCCATCGGCTCCCTGCCGAAATTTTTTTCTTCCAGCACAAAATGCCTCACGTTATAATTGCTGATATCAAAGGGAAAAGAAATTTTTGGGGAGCTAGAGGGCTGAGGGCCGAATGTGACGGGGCCGCTTATCCGCTGCCTGGCGCTGTTAGCGGTGTAAACTCGAAATGTTCATAGTCCACTAGTACTTGCAGTTTTATATATAAAATATTCTTCTTGGCCCTTCTCTTTTTTGCTTCAAAGCAACATCACAACAACTAATTTGTGACATCAAAGTTTAAGCATTCTCTGATACTTTCTTGCAAACGGTTATTAATTTTTAACAACCAACTCTGGCTTTCCAGGCTCCTTACTGTCCACAATACGAAAATATCAACGTTTCGTGGTCCAATTTGTGCCACGAAATCACAACACTGGCGAACTTCATCTTGACCAAGAGGCATATTCTTTCTGCCTCGGCTCTATTCGAAGCTGCCGATGAGCTTTGGCCGCCTTAGGTCGATGGGTGTGAACTTGATGGAAGTTTCGGCGTGAATAATTCGGGCCTGATTGCAGGCCGTCGAAGGTGAAGCTCGAAGAGTTATCATAAGCTTTAAAATTAGTTTGACAGAGTAAGCCCAAGATATTAGGCGGTGGTTGAATGAATCTAACACGTCTTGCTATTGTGTAGGAAAATTCTTATTCGGTCCTCGTTCAATAAACTCCAACGATGTTTAAGCAAATAATGAATTTCTTTGCTTCTCCTGGAGCCAAAGGAGCCATTGAAGATGCTGCACCGACTCAGTACATTTTCACTGGCCCTGTTGCCTCCGAAGAAAAGAAATCAATTTTTATTGATGAAGTAGAGCAAGGTACACCTGCAAAAAACATCACTGGCTATATCGATCGTGTGAAGAAGGGTAGGCTTGACCGGTGGCTTGATAGAGTTGTCAAGGCATCCGGCTCTCAGACAGTCTTCTTCATCATGATTGCAGGTCTCCTCGTTTGGGCTTTCCTTGGCATCCCCTATGGCCAAACCGACAACTGGGCTGCAGTCATCTCCGACGTGCAAGCCATTATTAGCTACTTCTTTGACTCGCTCCTTATGCGTCAACAACTCAATGGCTATGAAAGGCAGGTTCGGATCTCCGCAAGCTTGAGGTCTCGCGTCCACAGCCAGAAACGTATGCTGCGACAGATTCTCGCCAGCAAACGTTACAAGAAGCCATCTTTTGAGGAGATTCAGAATTTCCACTCAGACAAATTCGATCTCAATCTACCTCAAGAGAACTGGATTAACCGTGCTTCCAATCGCACTGCGGTAGTTCTAGGTCACTTTGGTACTATCTGCCTATACTGGATTTGTATCTTCATCTGGCTCGGCTTCGGACAATACTGCGACTGGAGTGATCGCTGGCAGCTCTATATCAATTCTGGAACCTCGGCGCTAATGATACTGATCTTTACCTTTTTGGCCAATATTCGCGAACGCCATGATGAATATGTCGAGAGGTGCATGAATTGCATCTTTGAGGTCGATTCCGACGTCGAGCTGAAACTCCGCATTCTCAGTGGCGACACCGAACCAAATCCCACAATCGTTATCCCTGCGCCTCCCTTAGGCTCTTTTCAGCGAATCATCTTTTATTATGCAGATGTTGTTGGAACTCTCGTCGGAATCGCACTGCTGTTCATTGTCTTGATTATTTGGGCCGGCATTGGTCCTGTCATGCAGTGGAACAACAACTGGTGGCTGTTCATTGGCACCTACGCGGGTTTGATCGGATTGATTGACGGCTTTGTCCTCCGAAACGTTCAACAGCGGCTACATCAGTATGAACGGCTTGCTCTCGAAGAGGCCAAACTTGAGGATATAGGTCTATCAGACGACATTGGAGTGCCTGCGCCAGAGAAAACCAAGGTCAACTACAGCTCTATCAACTATCGTCTTTCTAATAAAATGGGTATTATCTGCGCGCACGAGGTCACTGTCATGCTGGGCATCTTGCTTGTCATAGGCCTTGTTATTGGAGCCAGCGCAATGAGATGGACTCTTACCGGACAATTAATTTGCAACATTCCTCCAAGCATCATCGAGTCGTTCTTCATGATGATCCTAATCACTGGTCACAACCTTTCGGAAGCTGACTGGCGCGCAGATTTGCTCCATATGTACTTGTGGCGTTTGCGACTCTATGCGTTTGTTGACCAATTGACAGACGAACCTGGCGAATGTAGTGACATTCAAAGACACTAAGCGCTCAAATGAACCGTAGCAGGTGAGTGCTACGGTTCAGAAAATAAGAATAGGGTACTCTGTACTCGTATTCTATCAATCAATTGGCTATCTTGAAGTATCAACTCTCATCAGCCTACTTATCTTTGTTGCTGGCTTTCCGCTACTTTTCTTATTCCAGAGCTCGTTCAATTTTCTTCTTCGAATTTGAAAGTTCATATAGGCCAGGCTGTAGTTGACCGAACGACTTTAAGCGCCATTCAGGTAGATAATAAAAAAACTTTTTTTTTTCTCCCCGCCTTTGTAATCCTCACCATGTGTAATTCATCAGCTACGCGGCCACGCATATTGTTTTCGCATCTTACTTCACAATCGATCCTCGTCATATCTGAGTATCCAATGCCGCATTAAAAAAAAAATTGTAGGATATACTGCATTACCTTTTGTTTTTCTGTAATCCGCTTGTGGTATACTAGAAATTTAGCCAATGCGGAATCGTATATCTACAGATATGACACAAAACCTGCTAGCGCTTCAAGATCTTCTGGGAGCTGCTTAACGTCCAACGCCTCCATCTCCTATCCTAAGACACAGCGTCAAAGACAAAAAGGATTAACAAAAAGTAAAAACATACAACAGCCGGTGTTCGCTGATGGTCACCCACTCAACTACTAATCTGCCGGTTAGTGGCTTGTCTATGGGGGAGCAGACGGGACCCCGAATTCTCCACTACCTATGGTCGTATGTGATAATGGAAAGGCTAATGGTGGATTATAAGAGACAACATATGAGTAAGACCCAAAGACCACTCATAAGGGTTCCTGTTCATTTGATACTGATTCCGCTAAGCAGATTCAACAATTTTGTATCACAAATAGTATAAACTAGTCCCTAATTCATAGTCCTATTTCTGAACTGTTTGTATTGGTGGATGTACACGGTTAATTGTCTAAATATTGACAAACTTGGAGCTTGTCAGTGAATGAAGGAAGCATGAGACTAGAGTAGACCTAGTGGGCTGAGATCTCTCTTATGCTATGTCTTCTATTACCCTTAACATCTATTGGAATTCTATTAGGAATTTTCTATATTATCCTTAGATTTACTTGCATCTTTTCTGCGTGATATTGGAAGAAGTGGTAAAATCCCTGCCATCGCCAGACCAGGATTCAAGTGGCCAAGGTAAGAATGCCGCCCTCAGTAAACTTTATCCCTCTCGACTTTTCATCTTGATGTTTTTCCAAAGGAATATGATTCTGTCGACGCTCTTCTACTTTTTAGAAAACGAAAAGGTGAGCAGGCTGGAGTGATGCGACAACATGCTAAGATGTAAACATATTCACCCTTAGGCATGTATATTAGACTGAAACAGTAATAGTCTTTACAAAGCTATACTAGAGGTGTCGTAATAATAATAATATTAATATTATTTTAAAATGAAAAAGAAGACCATTTTTATTTATGAAGCTTGGTTTAGAAATTTAAAATATAATATTTGCCCTGATTCATCACCTTGCAATCTTGAACGCTACAAGGTACTTCATCAGTCCTGCTTGGACGGTACTGCGTGGGTAAGAATATTAAGTTCTTATTATCCCACATAATCCACTCACGGTTATTGCTGATACTATACTGATATCCTTCTGGGAGTGTTTTGCGAGTTAAAGTCCCCTTTACTGGACTTATCATTATATCTGACTTAGATGTGGGAGGTGTTTTTATTAAGATTGGCCAGGCTCCTATTTCGGTCATCAGCATACTTGGATTACCTTCAATGAACTGAAGCGACCTGAAGAGCTGCAGTTGCTTTTCGGGGGCTATAACTTGCTCGCAAGTCTGAGTTTTGATGTTCAGGATCCTGACCACCCCTCCGACCTCACAGGATAGAATTCGCTTTTCGTCTGCAGCGAAAGCAAGGTCTCTGATGCTCTCTTCTGAGGCAAAATCGATAGTAGTCTCTGGCTTTTCTTGATCTCCATTGTTTGAATTCAAGTTCCAGATTAAAATCTGAAGGTCGTCGCCACTCGACGCTAAGTATTTTCCCGTTGGAGAAAAGGTGACAGCATAGACGTAGTCTCTGTGACCATTGCGGCCAGCGAAGAGTCTATGCTCTGTGACGTCGCTGTCATTATCGTCATCTTCGGCGAGCGGAAGCCTAGATATGTCCCATAATCGAACTGACCTATCGTCAGATGCTGACGCCACGAGTTTCCCATCTGGGGACACCACGGCACATCGTACCCAGTCTTGATGGCCTCGCAGACGGTGCTTTATGGCTCGGCCTCGTATGTCCCAGACACGAGCCGTCCCATCTTTAGAAGCTGAGACCAGAATGTCGTCGTCGTAAGAGAAATCCAATTATGTGATATTGGCTTCATGCTCTGAGAACGAGCATATGATATGCCCTGTATCGCAGTCCCAGAGACAGATTTTGCCGTCAGAAGATGCTGAAGCAAATAGCCCCCCATCTGGTGCGAAGGCAACAAAACTGAGGTTAGTGGAATGCCCTATTTCGGGGGATGGTGTCATGGGCCAATTTGCATCATTCAAAACAGCATCGGCCGTCTGTGGGATGCTCATATCCCAAACCCGTACTGTTGAGTCGCTCGACGATGATACCAAGCGCTGTCCATGAAGTTCGAAATCTAGCGAGAATATTGAGGCACTGTGTCCGCGCAAGACTCTCTCGATCGCGTAACTAGGAATCATAGTAGCATTCCATGGTAGGCCGTGTGACTCGATGTGGCAGCAAGCCATATTCACCCATAAGAAGTTGAGAGGAGCTACAGCTGAAAGCTTAGCATTTACTTGACTTTGAAACGGCTCCCTGAAGCCAGCCCTCTTGGCTAGCTCGGCCACTTTCAGAGATATATATTTTTTGATGACTCCATCTTTCAAGTGATTTGAGTAGCGCTCATCATCAATTTTCAGCGTCATTTCATTGGTTGGAGTAAGTCCTATCGTAGCCTCTTTGCAGTCATCAGGAACCTTCTCGCGGTCAACGGAAATCAGCCATTTTATATGTGGTGATAGTTGCGCAGTTTTCTTGATCAGCCGAAGCATATCGTCTATAGGTGAGCCATAGCGGCGCACCGACTCTGAATCGTCATTGGTGTGTAGCTCCTCATTGGCATTTACGCATAATTCATCAATGGCATCAACGATGACGTACGTCAAGCCAAACTTTGTGCCGTCTCTGTGGCTATCATCAATCATCTCATAAAGCACGGTAGACATTGCGTAAAAGTCACTTAAATCGTTGAACGTGTCTCGGCCGGTGGAACGAAACTTTTCCTCCATATGCTCCACGAGAGACGGCTGCGACTTAAGTATTTGCCAAATTAGACTCTTGATAGCCTGCGTCACATAACCATGCGGCTGGTGACGGCCGTCACAAAATAAATACGCCAGATTGAATTTATCAATGCTGGACATTGTTTTTGCCTCCTCTAAAAGTCCTTGAGCCGTGGCACGCATAAGCATCGTCTTGCCAGCTCCAGGAGGGCCCGTAACCCAGAGCACGCGGCAGCCATCTCCGGCTAGATCCTTAGGCTTCCGCGAAAAGAATCTTTTGTATTCTTGGGTATCTCTTGCCCAGTCGTAGAAAAAAGGATAAAATTCTTTCTCTTCCAGATTGTGCTTCGTTTCGAACAGAGGCGGCACAATGGGCTGCAGTTTTCTCCGTAGGTTGTACAATCGCTCTTTGACTGCTTCGGGCACTTCATTGTCTGCTTGCAACATTTCTCTGGATGATTTAACTTTATCAACCAGTAGTACTAACGAGCGGAAAATAAACGATAAGATCAAGGAGCTTCATCTGTATTCTAGTGGCAAGAGAGCTGCCATCGATCACTGGCTAGGGGATGATGGTATTCCCACTCTTACTAAGGCAAGTTTGTTCCTCGCTTTCCCACGTTCATCTTGGCCGCTTTCTAGCCATTAGTCTAGGGGTTCTGATCAAAGCTAACAATCAAATACCCAAAGTTTAGCTGGAGAAACTTCATATCCATATCGTTCGGGTACGGTAGCTCCATCTCCATTCTAATACATGTCTTAATAGGACAGAGCTAATGCATTTCTCATTCCAGGAAACGGTAACTGAAGAATATTGCAAAGACATCATTACGTTCATCATAAATGGCTTGGTCAAAATGAAGAAAAGGTATAGAGACCGACATACATGCAACTTCAAATTGGATTTTGGGACGGTGGACTCCGTATTTTGGAATCCAACTCACACACTAGTGGACTTGGATGAGATGTAAGTCTTACAAGCCTTCTCCAAAGCACGGCCGCTTTGTGACCTTGAGACGTGTTGCTATTATCGCGCTACGAACTGGCTTTTGCTAATCAATGTAATTCTACACAGTGCACATCGGATCACTCCCAGGCTGGCCAAATTCCTCAAGAGCCTTAGAGATTTTGTCCCTCTCAGAGAGAAAAATGCTGGCCAGGAGATCCGCCGAACTCGAGTGGCAATTATCGATAATGGTATACGGAGCATCACACCAAGATCATATGACAAGGCCGCAGATATGAGGGCGAGGCAGAACAAAGACGGTGTTGAAGACAACGCTTCTATCAGATCTCCGGGTGTAAAGGGTGTCTTCAATTTCTCAAATGCTAAAGAAAAGAGTACTCCAGCTTTAGACGATGATCAAAAATATGATGCAACCGGACGCAAGAGCCTTTGGTCCAGCATCAAAGCAGGACGCTCTTTTGTGGATGATGGATCAAAAGTCTACCCATGGCTGTTTGCGTCTGATCCTCATGGTACGCAGATGGCGAACCTATGCGCTATGGATCCATTCTGTGAACTATATGTGGCAAGGGTCGCTGAAGGCAAGTATGGTATCACACCAGACAGGGCTGCCAGGGTAAGTGTCTTATGAAGGACATCCTATTTGGTTATTTAAAGTTTAAAGATTGTCCTGACGCTACTATAGGCCATCGAATGGGCTCTTGAAAAAGAGGTAGACATCATTTCCATGAGCATCGCCCTTCTGAACCGTGGAAAGGATGACTTGGAACACTGGGTTAGTAAGGCCAAGGAAAAGGGAGTTATTATTGTCTGCAGCACCCAGGACGAAGGAACGAGGTTGCCAACATCGTACCCGGCTTATTGGAAACCGGGGCTCGTAATCTCAGCCTGCGATGAGTATGGTCGGCTACTCCGTGATATCGACGAGCAACAGTACGACTACAGGATCCAGGGACAGAACGTGGCAGCTGGTGTCATACCCTTTGTCGAGTCAAGTGATTCTCTCACTGGCAGCTCTGTCTCGACGGCACTCGCCGCGGGCCTGAGCTCACTCATCCTAACCTGCTATAAGCTAGCCCGCCTCCAACGTAAGGAACCAGGAGCGGAGTGTGGGCAAGGTATGCCACCATCGCGAGGGATGTTGGACAGCCCAGGAAAATTCCCTTACGCGGAAGGCCAACTGAACCTGGTAAAAGATTACCTGGCGAAGATGGTAGTTAATAACACCAAACATATAATGCTGGAAAAGTTCGGAAACATTGACTCTACTACAAAGGAAGGTGATGAAATAGATTCCAGAAAGGTCTTGCAAGACTCATTCGGCATGCAGAGTTAATGTAGTTCCAAAGAGTTGAAATAGGAAGAGGTACATCCGGGTTAAAAAGTGGACATTCTTTATTGTATTAGATTATATATATATATATTTTTGGTTAAGCCTTATAGCTTGCTATAGGGATGTGCTTTTTCCATATGTCATGATTTAATAATAAGCTAAATTTATTTTTGCCACCGTTATATACCGAACATAATTTTCCATAACTGCAAATCTTTCAGTTGCGGTTGCTCCAACAAGAAGCCCATTACATCTGACCAAAGCTTGTTAGAACCATATTAGGAATACCTTTGCCAGCTATAAGAGATATCTTGTCCCGCAAATTCCGTAACTCCCATATCGTGGAGAGGATCCATTGGGGACTGACTCGTACTTCATGAATCAAGAATTTAGAATTTAATTATTAAAGGTTTTATAAACCATAACGTTCAATATATGTTATACGTTTGAAGAGCTTTAGAAGCAAAAGCATTATCAGGAGTTTACCCAATTTTGCAGCAGGAAGGATTATGTTTTATAATATATGTCTTTTTAGCTTAACTCTATAACCCTAGGTTAAAAAAAAAGCCCTAATACTAAAATTTACAGTGTCCTACTCTTAGGCAATACATCGTTTACTTAGCTGCGACTGGAAGGGGCTATCACAGCCCAATCTTACGGCCGAAACATCTCCAACACCCCAACATATCATCAGCACTAGCAACATAGGATAGGCTTTACCTTTTTGGAATAGTAAGCATACGTAATGTAATATATTAGTGAGAATGTCCGTGCCGATATAAGGTACAGGAGACTTCCATTTAATCCCAACCCAAACTTAACTACATTACAAAGTGTCGATTTCCTGGAATATTATACCACTTCATTCAAAATATTTCGTGATTATGCAGTTCAAAAATCCACTTACCAAAGATCCGCAAGGCTCTGAAGCTATTGACCGAGACTACTATCAACGCAAGCCAAAGCCGCTCCCATCGGATCCAGCCATACGTTCTCTAATCCAGGCTGTGTTAAAAGATGGATATGTAGTCATTCCCAACGCCTTTAGTGAAGCAGAGGCCCTTGAAGCAAAGGCAGAGATTGATCGGCTTCATGGCCAGAGCCCACGCATTGGCCGCGACTCATTTGACGGGTTCAAGACGAACCGTATCTTCGCTTTACTGAACAAAACGCGCGTGTTTGACAAGTTTTGCTTGATACCCCAAGTCCACGCACTCAACGAGTTCTTCTTGGACGACGATTACCTTATTTATATTATGGAGACCATCACTATCAATCCTGGCGAGAAGGCTCAGGTGCTACATCACGATGATGGTGTCATTCGGCTGCCGAGACCGCGGCCTCCTGTCACAGCTGCTACCATGATTGTGCTGGATGACTACACTGAGATAAATGGCGCTACGAGAATTATTCCCGGAAGCCATCTCTGGGGCAGCGACAGATTGGGCGAGGAGTCAGAAGCCAAGTCAGTGGTCTGCCCGAGGGGCAGTGTAATTTATTTCCTCGGCACGACATGGCACTCTGGCGGAGCAAACAGGAGCGACAATCCACGATATGCTGCAACGATTCAGTACTGCCAGCCCTATATTCGGCCGTTGGAGAACTTAATGCTCGCAGTGGATCCCAGAAAGGCACTATCAGGCGAGATTCCGAGGAAGATTGTCGATATGATGGGGTATCGCAGTGCTATTCCTTTCGTGGGCTATGGTAAGGTCCCTTCAATGGAGAGGGGTTGTCTTCACGAGTCATAGAGAGCAAATGCTAACAGCGAGTGAATCATAGCCGATGGGCTGAATCCTAGAAAAGCCACAAATCGGTTGATTCGGTGGTTACAGGGTCCTGTGGACTATAATCCTCCTACTTTTGCCAAAGAATCTGGTGAAAAGGAAAAGAGAATCCTGAGCAAGCTGTGAAGCCTGTGATAAGTCCTCGGTAGAAACAGTTGTGTCCACTTGTCTGATGTGCCAAAAAAGCTATCTTGCAACGACAGGTTGTCTGCTGGCTACATTATTGTTTCTTCACTTCTGTTTAGGCTGGCCTCCTATGTCAGCTTACATCTATTAGACCGCGGGTGCGGGCGTCTTAGGGCTCACTAATACCCTGGGTATGTCAACTGAATTGATTGGCTTGAACTTTAATTGTAGAACTAAGCAGAAAGAAGGTGTTGTAGGTCCACTTGGTTGTGTATTAATTGGACCTCCAGTGCTTAGAAAGCCTCATGCTGTTGTATGCCGAGGAGATAGGTAGACTAAGAAGATATCAGTTGTAGGTGTTGGACTTATTCTATGTGCCAAGAAAAAAGTGTGTGGTTAGTTTCCTATCTAGATACTTAATACATATTTCTATTTGAAGCAAGTCTACTGCACACATCGCCTATTACTAGGTTTCAAGGTGATAAAATGTAGCCTTACAACATTCGTCAATTTTTATTACCCCTCCTGGGCATTTCCCGTTCATTCTTTTACAGCCTATATTATCAGGTACCACTGAATCGTAATGCCATATCCATTATAAAGACTAAAAACGAAAGAAAGAGAGAACGAAAAAAAAAAAAAAAAAGATTAAAGGTTAAAAGAAATAAAGAGGCGTAATATAATAGGGTTGGATTCTCTGAGCACATTTATAAGCCATCTATTTCTCTAAATAAACCTTCCATCCAATCTCCTGGAGCTTCGCAGCCTTTGCTTCGACCTCATCACCCATACCCCTCATGAAATCCGCCATAACTTGCCTATATTCCGCATCACTAGCCAAAAGGATTCGCACAGCCATGATACCAGCATTAGTCGGGTTGCTAATGCCTACCATAGCGACGGGGCAGCCACGCGGCATCTAAACGATGCTCAAGAGACTGTCGTTACCATCCAGATGGGCACGCCAAAAGCGGGGCACGCCAGCAGCTGCGATCTAGACGCGAATGCTGCTCGACTAGCGTCAGACTTGGTTAGTTTGCTCATGGTGTTTGGTGTGAGATGCGCGGAGTTGATATTGAAGTCGTGGGGAACGCGGAAACGCTCGAGAATCTCGAAAGCGCCGCAGAGAACTTGGAGGTCTGAATCAGCGCCCATGTTAACCACGACCCAGAGGGTTGGTGATGTTTCGCGATAGTGCTGGGGAGGAAGTGGTTGGTTGTACTGCTGGAACAGCGCTGGGACAGAGCTGCACGGACTTTATGTCAAGACGAGCTTGGCGAATGCTATCGACCCCTTTGATCAGGGACGCAGCTAGCTGTTCGAGGTTGATATTAGAAGAGAGAAAATTGACGGTAATATACCCAATTTTACGGCGGGGCTTGGGTATTTTGCCGTAGAGGTGCAGGCAAATATCCATGTCTGGCTCAAAAATGCTGTGTATCTGATCGACAAGAGCGTCGTAGGATACATCTTGAACACCTCCGAGAATGCCAAGCATGATTTCTCCAGAAACGTGAGATTTCAATTTGATAGACTGTGGGATAATGTTAAGTATAGAGTAAAGCTTTGCTTATACCGGGACATGTAGGGAACAGCTTCAATAGTACAATGGCCAGAATTATGCCTGTGGATATCGAGCGTCAGTTGGAATTGCCTTTCGAAGTAGAACCCGGTTTTTAGACCAAATCACTTGCGGTATTGGAGTTACTCTACAAAGTTCATCTGAAGCATGGTGGGCGTGATGTAGCAAGCGGTTCTCATGTAGCTCGAAGAAACCTACTATTAAGGAGAAGAAACATGACGGCAAAGATGCTTCGCGACCCTTAGGCGTCCATATGATCACAAAAGCCCATCTCTCTGGCGGCCCTACATGCCTCAGCAGATATTTGTCGCGGAGAGTAGAAGACCTTAGTGCAAATGCTGTCCTCATGTATAGTTTCAATAGCAGGAGAGGGATAGGCACATACATCCCTCAACTTGCTTTGATCATTCTCCGCCCTCAGGCCCATGAAGGAAAGCTGCTGCTTGAATGGCTGAATCTTTTCGGCCTATATTGGCAGCTTTCCCATGACTTGGGAAGCCTACTCAAATTCCTCGGGGCTGTTCACTTCGCCACGTCAGTCGTAAGACCCCTTTGTGTCTTGACCATGAACGGGAAGCCAAATGCCTCGCCGAATTCGATGCCCATCTCCGGCTGAATTGGTATATTGATCTTCTTAAAATATTCCTTCTGTTGATACTTGTCCTAGATTAGGCAGAGGATCTCCCATGACGGTTTCACGGACACCTTCTTCAACTTGCCGTCCACATCAGCACCAACTGTGGCGATCTCCTCGAAGACCTCGGAATTGGTGTGGCCTACTAGGTAAGCGCTCGCAGCCAATTATAGGCCAAGTCGTGGCAAAAGATGTATTGAAAGTCGACTTTCATCAATACGTGAATTATCGACTCAGGAAGCTGTCAACATGAAGTCTTCTTGCAGGGTCTGACGCCGCAAGTTTGGAGTCACCTGACCAATGAGACGGCTAGCCATGGCGTCTGCGGCTTTAGCGATTGATTGACTAACCTACTGCCTTGAACTGCCCTGAACTGTTATGCTCCGCCACGCTTACAGGCCGCAGCACACTCAATACACCTCGCAGCCAATTCGGGCTGCATCACCAAACAGCTATTCCATGCCATTACTAAACAACCTCTTCCTAAGACATGTGGCCGGTGGAGCCGGCGAAGGACCCGAACAGTGCCCGTCGAGCTGTCCACCGTCGTCGTGAACGGACATCACCAAGCAGCCGCAAGCGAGTCCGCACTGCGTAAGTGCCATCAGTTGCGTCAGGGCCTCCAGTCTGTTCTTTGCAAATTATTATCAAATATGATTATAGAAACAATTTGACGCTAACGAGCCTCCTTCAGCTGCAATAGCTGCAGCCTTCGACGGATAAAGTGCTCAGGTGAGCAGCCATGTTCCCAATGTCATCGGGCAACCAGGCGTTGCGAATACCCTTTGGATTTCGACAAGGTATCCGTTTCTCGCGCAGAGTTGGAGGCCCTCCAGGCTCGATGCGAAGAACTAGAGCGACGTAATGCGCCAGCAACTCCTGCATCCGGATTGGCAATATCACCACCCTCCAGGACTGCCTCTGCCTTGGAGACGAGCAATGCTGGTGCGGCATTCGGCAGCAGCGCCACCACTGAGGACTTTGCTCCCTCTGAGGGCCGGCTGCTTCACGACCCAGATGGTACCGCACGTTACCTTGGGCCGTCATCTGGCGCTCACTTTCTCAACCGAGTCAAGGAATTCATGGCAACGATGCAGCCCCTTGTCGGCGCCCAACAGGGCTATCCTCCTCATTCAGGACAAGCATTTCTCACGAGCGTGGGGCGATATCAAACGTTCGACTCGAGGACACTGCAACTTCCGCCCGTTGACCCGTTGCAACTCCCGAGCCAGACGGAGATGACCCTCATGGTCACCGAGTTTCGGTTTTTTACTCAGGATGGCAATGGAGATTTCCCTAGCGGTGGCATTTTCTACTGGGGCAATCTATCATTCGCAAACCAGTTTCCTTATGATGCGGCAGCTGTACGGGCATCGGGTCAGCTCGCTCTCTTGCACATGGTTCTGGCTGTAGCAGCTCGTCTGGGATCTGCGGTGCATTGGAAAGATGAAGATTGTAGTGAACATTTTTTCTCCAGAGCACAGCAGATACTTGGCAACCCCCTTGATATCACTAACCACACCTCACGCGACACCTCTGTCATGCTTCTTATGGCATTCTATTTGATCGAGGCCAATCGTCGTGATGCCGCTTATATCATGGTCAGCGTTGCCTTACATCTCGCCATAATGGATGGCGCCCATTGCAGCTGCGGTCAGGGTGAGGACTTCAAACGTACGTTCTGGACCTTGTATATACTTGATTGTTGGCTATCATCTGTACTCGGACGACCGCCCAGTATCTCGGACAGTGCAATTCAATTACAGTTACCAGAAGAAACGCCGTGAGTCCATACCAAACCATCGTTAATTGACCACTCAATTTATTCACCAGCCTGTTCGCTGACTTTACGACACAGCGGATTTCCAAGCCCAGTTGGTCTTCGTGCGCACATTGATCTTGCAAAGATCTCGCGTTACATCGTATGCAACGTCTACCGAATAGCTTCATCCGATCAGTCTTCGGCCACGTCTCTACAGCATGTCGAACATGCTCTTTCGTTACTACAGCAGTGGCTGGCATCTCTGCCTCCCGCGCTGCAGATCACCGGTCAGCAAGTGAGCAAAGATAGAGCTTGTCTCGTGCTACATCTCATGTATAACCAAGTAAGCTTTTTTGCAGCTAGTACTGGACACCGTGACACGATTTAACGCATTCGACTTATTTAGGACATAATCCTCACAACGAGACCGATATTTTTCGCAGCTACCAAGAAAGTACTCGCTGACAGGTTTCTATGGCAAAAGTCTCACAAAGACAGGACAGAAAACTATCAGGGTGATTTGTACATGGCTTACGTCGGTCGCTGTCGCGACGCCGCCCGCGAAAATATTCGGCTTGGTCGGCTCATTCGCGATATCAGCCCCAGGCAGAGGCTCACTCATCAAGAAGCGCACGCAGTGTTCAACGCAGCTTTAATCATGTTGATGCAGCAACTTGCTTCTCTCCAATCAGAACCAGCAGAGACTAATGATGTCGCGTTTGCAATTGAAGTATTTCAGCAAGAGGCGAGATTAGGGAACAACTTCGGGCTAGATTGTCTCACGGTTCTACAGGACTTGAGTTTTATTGCCCGTGCGCTGCCACAGGCTCAAGTCTCCGTAGCCGACGAGCAAACTACATCTGCTGTCACATATACGACCAGCAGTGAAGCGAATGGTCAAGTCGAATCTGCCATTGCTGCTCCAGATATCGACCTCCTCGAGAGTTCATGCGAAGGTCAGGCTGGGGTGGAGCTAAATGATGCATTGTTCAAGGAATTACAGACGTGGCTTGAGAATGACTATTTAGAGATATACAATGATCTCAGACTTTGAGAAGCAAAGTGGAAGCGCTCTTTGTAATTATTTACTGTACTTATTATGTATAACTAGTCTGCTAGGCAAAGATGAATACGCTATAATGGCATCACAAGCCATAAATGAAGGTGTACTTGCGATCGCCATACCGAGTGTGATCGGTTCTTTCACGCTCCAATTCCTCTGGGGTCATTCGGGCCATCTTATCTTTCTTGTATCGGTTCGCAGCTGCAAGAGCGAATCGGTAACCTGTGTAGCCCAAAAGAGCAACGATTGAAATGCCGAGGGTAACATAGAACGATATTCTGTAGGAAGGGCCATATTTGGCAGCAAAAATCTGCGAACCGATGATACCTGCAAGATTTCCAAATCCGTTCGCACCAAGTATCAGCGTGCGTTTTCCCGGCTCTGTTTTTAAAACTGTTAGCTACCGTGTAATTCATTGCCAGTTTTTGGAGAAACATACCTGGTGTGTTTCCGCTTAGCCATGCCACAGTTAAAGGAGCAGACACGTAGCATCCGAAGAGCAAAATGCAGAGACCAGCGTATTTGCCCCCGCTCGCCTTGACAGTGACAGTCAGAATCAGCCCGATAATTCCAATAGCAATGCTTGCTATGATGTGCCACCCTCTTTCGTGTCTGTATCATTGTTAGTTGAAAGACCAAGAAGTAATGCGACTTGGAAGTGACTTGCCGACGATCTGAACTCAAAGCAAAGATGTATAAGCCAACGGCGCCGCAGACGTAGGGCGGCACTGTCATCTGTTTTGCGCTGTTAACCATAGTACCCAAAAATGCGATACTTTGGCATGCTTACGAGATTTGCCTGGATGCTTGCGAACCCCAAACCTTGTAGGACAAGAGGCAGGAATATGCTAAACGCTTGCGTGGGGACACTGGCACAAATATTGAAGATGATGACGCCGTAGAACTTCCAGTCCTTGACAGCCTCAATAGCATCACGTCTGGAGAGTTTGTCCTTCTCCATGCCGTCCTTGCCATATTCATGCAAAATAAACAGTGCAGTATCGCGTCGCATACGTTCCGCAGCGAATTCGCGCTCCTGTTGCGTGAGAAACCACGCGGAACCTGGACCTCTAGGAAGTAGAAAAAACGCCAAGATTGCGACAAAACAGGTAAGACTGCCCTCAATAATGAAGAGATACTGCCAATTGAGCAAGCTGCCGCTTTTCAGATGAAAGACACCAAATGCTGGTTAAATGTGTAAGTCGAATTATGTCCAGCTGGAATGGAATGGTGGCTTTTGTAAGGCTTGGACCAAGACTTACAGATTGCACCCGAGAATGCTCCAGCAATCGCGTATTGACCGTAGAAAATAGCCACTCTCACTGCTAGGTCGAATCGTCCGTAGAAAAATGATAGGTAAGAGACACATGTCGGGTAAAAACCCGCTTCAAAAAGCCCAATCACAAGACGAATAGCAATAAGTGAGCCTTTAAGAAGCTAATTAGCTCATTGTACAAGTTAGAGGAGTTTAGAGAATTATGGCTTACCTCGTCCTTGAATGAATGCTTGCCCGATGGTCAAAGCTCCCCAAGAGAACTAAAATGAATGTGTTAGAGGGCTGATGGATGGAAGTAAGAGGAGGTGCATACGAACCGCTAAAAAAGGGATCCAGATCTGAGGTCCAATCCATCTACCCAGGGCAGCAGAGGGTGGCTGGAAGAGAACAAAGGTGATAAAGAATAGTGATACAGCAAAGCTGAGGTCTGCTGGTTCAGCTCCAATAGCCTTGGTAAACCCTACATGAATCGCGATTAGTGACGGCAATTCGCTGGCAGCTTGAGTGTTGCCAAATATAGCAATCAGAATCATACCTTGGGTCTCAGCATTACCAATGTTGCCTTTATCAAGACCGTTGAATAGGTACACCAGTGACAGCAAAGGCAGCATGGCAAAATCCATTTTGCGATTGACTCGACGACTGAGTTCCGCCTCTTCAGGTGATGAAGGCACAAAGCCAATTGGACCAGTCTCTGATGCTGCAAGTTGGCTGTCGGAAAATTGAGGACTCTTTCCAAACACCGTCGAATGATCATTCCCAGAAGTTTCCTCCAGGGTGACTGAAGGTGACTCGCACCCTGGCTTCTCTGAGTCAAATTTAGGGATGGTAGCCATGATGAAGTTGATGATTGAAGAGTAGACGCTCATCCACTTTCCAGAAGCACGATTCGATACTCCGCATTTTATATTTCTTTAATCTGTCACAGATGTTCCTGGGGGCAAAATCTGGGGAAGTTTGGAAAAGTGCCAGCACACCAGGGTAGCGACCCGAGACTCTTGCCGAGTCAGACATAGTGTGGAGTTCTTATACCACACCAATCATGGCTGCTAGACTCGGATATTTAGGAAATTGATCCAATAGTTTTAAGTGTGGAGTAGCTTGGGATGCCATGGCCCCGGGTACTGTCCCGGTGGCGACACCCCTTGTTCGACCCGGGTCAACACCCGATACTCCCTGTTGAAGCTCGTTTAGCTTCCAAGCTCTTGTGTAACTTGTAACCCTTAAATGGAATTGATACTAGTACGTTCGTAAACTTCTCGACTGCAACGTTCTCTGGTCATTTTCCTTATTCTTTTCCGTCAAGATGGGTTCCTTGTCATCCACGCAGCAATGGGACTACTCTACTCCTGAGGTCTTTGATCCAAAACATGGCAACAAAGCAAATAAAACAATCGACATTGGTCAAAATGGGTCGACTCTATCAGCCAATATCTACGGACGAGTGAGTTTCTGAAATAGACTGTGGAATTTTAATGACAAATACTAAGAAACCACAGGCTCTTCAGCTTAGTGCGTATCATCCCCATCACGGCATCATAGTCGCCGCCTCTTATGAACAATTCGACGGCACCAGATACTATGATCCATTATACGTACGCGACTATCGGAAGCGTATGCTCCAGATGGTCAATGAAGAAAACGAAGGTTTCGGCTTATGCATTGCCAATATTGGCTCGAGAACTGCTGTTGACTTGACCGAAATGAACACGGCCTGCTTTGGTTTCGACACAAGAGATGGTGCTGCGGTGCGTTACGTCGTAAGTGTTGATGAAAAAGGGCGACTTAATCAAAGAGCCCATATCGTCAACACTACGAGCCACGAAATTCAGGTTGAATATCAGGTCAATCTTCGGGTTAGTGTCCATAGAGCCTCGTACGGACAACTTACTGAAGGGGGCCCGATTCCGCTACCAGAGTGTGAGAATGCTCTCGAGGTCAATGATGAGGAATGTTCTTTTATCATAAGGAACAAATTCCTCGGGGCTCACCTTATGGGCCTATTGGACATAAATGGCATTCCTGCACCACTGGTCGGTCTGGCAGATGTAACCCAGCCGGGTTTGCTGACAGGTGTATCTACAAAACATCAGTCCGTCTCTATTGCGCCGAACTCTACAGCCACCATCGGTCTAATTCTACATCTGTCACCCGGATTAAATGGGAACCATAGCTTTTCAGCGCCGCTTTGTGACAATTCAGACGATCTGGGAAAGAGATTCGCATGGAAGAAGCCAGAAACTGTCGATACGTATATTGTTCGGCGCAATGTTGACTATATTCTTGGCAACTGCGCAATCCCTGTCTCTGAATCAGAAGTCGCCCTTATTACTGACCATGTAGCGCTGCCTCTAGGTTGGAACCGAGACAACTAGTAAGTACTCTCGCACTCCTACTTCAGCATGCTGGGCTAATATCACCTACAGCTGGCAGTGGCGCCTGTTGTTATTGACCCGGCGAAACTTGACGTCGTTAGTTACACCTGGTGCGTACAATCAGTACATGCGACTTCTCGATCAAGCAATCAAGGGACACTTAGAATGGGTTTTTTTCAAAGCTGAGCGACCCCATAAATTCTGGCACAGGTCATATATCATCACAGGCAAGCCGAAAGACGGGCCTGTATATCAACTCGATCAGCAGTGTTACCCCATGCTAGAGCTCTGCGACTACTTCTCAGAGTATCCTAGTGAAAGTAGCTTTGTCGAGAAGATTCTTTCCTCTCAAGTCGTCACGGAGATTCTCGACCACATTACCTCAAAAAGAGACCTGGATACAGGATTATTCCCTACTGATGAGACCCCAGGCGATGATGAAGTTATATATCCGTTCCACTTTTCTAGCCACGTTTTACTCTGGTACACTCTTTGCCAACTGGCTGACTTGATCCGCTCGGTGCCGACAACTTTAGGAGGTCTGGCGGATGGAATACAATCACTTGCAGATGAGGTTCGCACGCAAACGATGCAACACTTTCTGATAGCCGACCCCGATTCTGGACATATCAAGATTGCTTACTTGGTAGATGGCCATGGCAAGCACACGTTCTATCACGATGGAAATGATATTCCAACTGCTTTTGCTGCCAATTGGGGATTTTTCTCCACCAAAAAGGAGCTAGAGGCGTGGTACAACACAATGAGCTACGCCCTATCAGAGGAGAACAGCCTAGGGTACAGCTCAGGAGGATCTTTTGCAGGACTTGGAAGTGTCCATTCACAAGGGCCTTGGCCGCTTGGGTACTTTCAAGAGATGCTCTATGCAGACGTCAGAGGTGACAAACGGGCAAAGGCGGATGCTCTACAGCGGATCATTGGTGCCATGCAATGGGACGGAACTTTTGGAGAAGCGGTAGACGTTATGACGGGCGAGACCACAAGCAAAGCCTGGTTTAGCTGGCCAGGCTCCATGATAGCGGCAGCTATTATTGACAGCCCAGAGCAAAAAACAAGCGAACAGGCAACGATGTCAGCTAATACCGGTATCGTTCGTCGCAGTAGTGTTGGAACACCATCCCTCTAGGCGTAGTATGCGAGTAAACTGTAATATAAGTTCGAACTTGGTTAGGGTTAGCTTCTATTCGGCGTCAGCCCCTTAAATACAAACATATATATACATATGCGCACATGACACCTCGTATTATGTCTACACATCTAATTGTTTTTGTTTGTCATGCTATTAACTGCTTCATAATGTCTTGGATTCCAGTCCTGTATGGGGCAATACAAGCCACGTTTATGTTGAGAGACTTCGGCTAATCCGAATTATCCACGCCTCCAGCACCGCAGAACACAGTTTGCCTAGGTTCCAGGACACATGTGCCGCACGACGACTCTAAGCACGGCAAATAATTTCCTACCTCCAGTTGCGAGTCATTGGTACCAAATGATGACCAAAGACATGGTTGTCGGGAAAATACAAGATGCCCATTGGCACGAGGAACTGGAGCGGTCCCAGTCGCGGTATGTGTGGGCCGATGGCCGGGTACCTACCCGCTGACTTTCCTATCTCGTGTTCTTCCTGGTTGCCCCACCCTCCCCAGAAAACAGACTTGCATCCGTGATTCCATTACCTACTAGATCATCAGCTCACTAGGCTCACTAGACTTTCTAGGATCTGTGATATTAGTAGTTGAGTAGCAAAGGGTTTCTAGCCGGTTGTTATCTCTTAAAGATCCGGTCTGGGTCGTTCCAGCAACAAAGTTCTTTGGAATAACGCTTGCCTCGGTTTCTACTTGGAGCAATAGGTTCCCTCTTTATCACTAGGTCAAGAACCAGTTCCAGTGATAAATGACCATTTCCCACATAGACTCTTCGCACGAGTTCAGGTCGCTATTGGTAAGGCCAGTCCTTGGGTACCGCTACTCGCTTCAGGTTTCACGACATCAAGAAATCTCTTGGAGCATCTCAAGCTGCCTCTAAGAGACTAGGTCTACTTCTTGGGACTATCTCATAACGCTCGATTGCTTTTATAATAGAGTAATTCTCATGGAAACTTGTTAGTCAATCAGACACCACCAATATCCAACGATTCTGCTCGTTATATGACACGATCTCGGTATCAACGCCAAGCCCGTGCCATAGACTTCTTGCTGCATTACCACAAGGTGCCTATATTATGTCTTCAAAATTTGCAGATGAGAAAGTGCAAATATGCACCTCGTTCCTACAGGAACATCTCAGCAACCACCAATATCACAAGCAATGTCCCTTCGTTGTTGGGTTGAACGGCATGCAAGGCGTTGGTAAGACAACACTGGTGGCTTCATTGGCGGAAAGTCTCAATAGAAACGGCATAATCACAGTCGTTTTTAGTATTGATGATTTTTACTTGACACACGAAGAGCAAATAAAGCTTGCAAAAAAGAATCCCGACAATGCTTTATTCCAGCACCGAGGGCAGCCAGGTAAACACCAGTCTTTCGCCAAGAAAGGAAATAGAGCGGATTTAGTGACATATCTACAGGGACTCATGATGTCAAACTAGCGAAATCAGTCTTGGTCTCCCTAATAAACAGCCAGCAAACAAAAGTCCCAGTATATGACAAAGCACTTTTCTCTGGACAAGGCGAACGCCTCCCAGAGCAGTACTGGACTGTTGTCAACAATCAAGGTTCCAAACCTGCTCAAGTGGTCATACTAGAAGGCTGGTCGGTGGGATTTCGCCCCTTGTCACCCAAGCAAGTAGAGGCAAAGTGGAATGCTCCCAGCCGGACTTTATACAAACATAAACTCGAGCATTTACTACTCTTAAATGAGAAACTAAGACTTTACGAGGATATATGGAATTGTTTTGATGTATTTATACAGATAGACTCGACGCAAGCAGAATTTGTTTATACTTGGCGGCAGGAGCAGGAGGACTGTTTGAGAATATCGAAGGGTGATCCGCAGGCAGGCATGACAGCAGAGCAGGTGCAGAAGTTTGTGGATGGGTTTTATCCAGGTTATGAGCTTTATACGGAGAGTTTGAGACAGGGGTGGAATCTTCATAGGCCGGGAACTCAGTTGCAAATCATTGTGGGGCTTGACAGAACAGTCAAGCAAGTTAATCGATTGTAGATGGTAGAATAATGGCATAGAAAATGGTGGAAATAGAGTAATGAATCTAGTTCTAGGGTGATAATCCGATTTGACAGACTGGGAATGCGACTTCCGGTTCTACCGTGAGGTTCGCCGTAACGCCTCCGCCTGTCCCTTGGCTGCGTGTATTTGATCCAAGTTTCCTGTAGGCTCCAACTCCGGGAATCTGATTCCCCGCCGTACCGCTGGAGCCTTTCTCAACTTGCTCCGTTGTTGGAGTACCGTAAACTTTTTGTGACAGTACAATTAGCTTATTCAAATATCTACATCTGACATGTTGCTCAAAATCGCCATTGCTACGGTTGCCCGCTCTCACTCAAACTATGGCTGCACTGCTTGTGGAAGCGTACCTTTGGTTCTCCCAGATACTAACGATGTCAATAACGTAGAGTTGGCCTTCAATGTCGTTGGCATGGACGGTATGGGTAGCTGCAACTGTCTTTGCTAAGCGTAAGGCTGAAGATTGAGTACTGGTACTCTTTGCGGGAGCCATTGGGCGCTAGACGAATTACAGTCAATGTAGATAGTAGTCTATAGATAGCATAAAATCGCTACCCCAAATGGTATAAGTGGACAGTCATCGCTTTACATCTATGCTATTCTATTGAGAAACTTGTCTCGTGCATCTTCCTTGGAAATCGGTCTCTAACCTCTCCTCTCATCATCCCATCGACGTAGCACTCTCCAACAAGAGTGTAATGTCCATTTTTGCATGGCCTAAGAACATAAGGCACCCTCCCTCCATTGAAAATACAGATAATGTCCCCATTCCGCGCTGCCTTGGGCACAGCAGCAAAATCGCCTGCGTCTGTAATTGCAAAACGGCGTCCTTGATGCCACTTAACCACGCTCATGTGTATAAGGAGCAATTTATGTATCTCGTCTTCTGTGAAGGATATAGTTTTAAAGCTAGTATTTTTCCTATCCGCGTTGACTGGAACTACTTTTGTAGGTGTGCTGCCATTGTCTTCGGTTATATCTGCAAAGGGCTGCGCTCTGTCGACAAATTTCTCATACAAGGACTGCGCAGCACGAGAATAGATGGTGAATTGAGCGTTTTCCCCGCCGGATGTCATACAACAAATCATCGTTCTCCAGACTCTGTCAATTGTGTTCCTGGTAAGTCGTGCATATTTGTCCCCCAAGGTGTTCTCTCCAACCAGACCCCACGTCTCACTGAGCCACCCATACGTATTCAAGACGTTGGAAGAGAATCTCAAGTCTTCAGCATCAATTTCTTTTACCGTTTTCTGCGGTAATATTGATGTGTCTATAGTTGTTTTTTGACTAAAAGGTGTCCCCAGAGCGTTAAGGGACCCAATTTTTGTTCCTACGACGTGTATTACGGCCGTACCGTTAGAGAACGCAATTTGTGCAGGCCGGAAATCAGAATGGCGTCCGAGTGCCCACCAAGGATATTTCAGATCTGCATGGTAAATCTTGATGCCTTCATGGAAATACTTTTTACGCAGCTCGAATTCTTTCAGCACATCGTATCGCATGTCAATGTAGTTGGTAGATAGATATTCCAACTTAGGCAACGGCGCAGTAAAATCTGACCTCGTCAAGTCAGGTACCCAGGACGGCAAGGATTCTAGTTGCGGGGACAAAGGAAGGTCGTGGTTGCTGCCAAAAGAGAAGACTTCAAATTGCCGTTTGCGAGTAAGGTACCAGAGAGCAAAGCGACGGTAGACCTCGTCCACAGATAAATTGTAATTCGGCGTCACCTCCCAGTCGGAAGATAGCACGTCGCCGGCCAACCCGATAAGTGCGAAGAGCTTGTCTCGAGGATCCGTGGTTTGGAAACCCCGGGTTAAGAACAGTAGCTCCAAAAGACTATGCCTTTCCCTCCTTCTCATCTTACGCCTTTCGCGCATGTCATGTAGGAAGTAGAAGTTCTCAATTGATTCGTTGCTTTGATACTGTGTCTTCATTCTATAACTGTCAAACTGGTGTCTAAGCTCCAGAACAGCTTGAGCAAACTTGTCCCAGGATATCATAGAATCTCGTGTGACTATCATGGGATTTGATGCCAAGACAAGCTCTTGAATGCACCAGACTCTAGTGAACCATGGGCTCTGGACGACTGGTATGAGAGAGGACCAGTCAAATTTAGCGGATGACTGAGGTTTTCCAAGCTTTGCCACTCCCATATTTACTGCCCCTTCTAATCCGAGCCAGATAAGCAAAGACTGTGCTTGAATGAACAGAGGGTTTATGAAAACAGGCTTAAGTGGCGACCAGTCGGTATGCTTCTCATTGGCTGGTCTTGATGCTAGCTTCCCTACTCCTTCTTGGATATCGTCACGGTTTCCCAGCCAGATGAGCACCCTACGTGCTCTGGTATAGATGTTGCCCATGATACGAACTTGCTGCGTCTTCTCCATGTTGTCGCTTTGGTTGATACAAAGTGCATCAATCCATAGGACCCTGTCTTTATCAGGAAGTCGAAGGCGTTCAAGTGCGTCGTAAAGATTTCTGCCCACTTTTCTTTTTCTGTTGTCGCAGGTAATCTCATTTGTGACGGTTGGGCTTCCCCAGACGTAAGAAAGGGCTTCAAACCCGGGCTTCTTGCTTCTGAGATCACTGTGCTGTAGACTGCATTTGATCGGAGAGCCTTTCTCACCAGGATACAGTACCAGCACCCGAATTTCCAAGGGCCGGGTTAGTGGCTTGTATCCATATTTGTCAGTAGATGCAGAATCCCTGCCACCTTCTGGGTATTCTTCAGCTGCCTCATCACTCCCAGGCATCCAAAAGTAATCATTTTGCGTCCGCCAACTTAACTCTTTCCAAAATCCAATGTAATAGCCTTGCGCAAATTCGGATATCGCATAAACCAGTATAATAAGACCCCAGAAGATTGGTCCTCTTCTCCATAATGACTCCCATGAAGAGGGCTTAGATGCCGAGTTAACTTTTCCTCCGCCTGGTATGCGTCGAAGACGAGCTGAGTGGGTAAACTGTTTCGTAAGAACGCCTTGAGCTGCGAATTTCCGCGAAAGGGATGCGTTTCGAGAGATAATTGGAAGACATGTCGCCAACCTATAGCGGTTGATGGATCTTAAGCTCTGGGGTGCCATCGACGGTTTCATGATTAACGCTCCATGTGCCGCAGAGCCTTGATAGAATATAGCGGTGGGCGACACGAAGTTGCAACTGAGCGAGCGATGACTGACAAATTGTGGACCTAAGAGGTAAGCTTAACTAGAACTGCGCATACGGCTCGTAATTGGCTCAAAGTAATGTCTCCCAATGGTGCTCATTGCATTATTGGATGTTCAGTAATATTTAATTCATTGTAGCACTCTCTTGCAGAAAATCTACTCCTCTCATAGGGCTATTTAGGGCAAAGAACCTTCAATCACAGCGTGTTTAGTTACATTAGATCTCCAAAATTTTACCAGTCTTAGCCCGGAAGCCTTGAGCAATTCCTCCCACTGTCTATCCGTTCGTTCCATGCCCGCAAAGCTCATCATATTGAGATCCTGCAAAGCTAGATCGCGTGGAGCTTGAACACTGGGCACGACTGTGTCAAAGATGAGGATTCTAGAGCTGGGACTTAAGGCAGATCGGGTCTGCTCCAAGATGGTCTGAGAATCTTGGTCATTCCAATCGTGAAATATTCGACGAAAGATGTACGCATGCGCGCCTACAAATTACTATCGTTAGCATAGCTATAGATTTAACAGGCTGGAGAGCAGCGACATACCTTTGACTGTCTGAGGCTCAAAGAAGGATCCACCTTGACCTTGGATATATGACGGTAGACCCTTTGCCTTGGCATCTTCCACCACATCTGGCTGATCTTGTAAGATCATGTTCCACTGTATTAAGGGATAGTTTTCATGTATTGCCTCCAGTGCCTGTCCACGTCCACCACCAACGTCTACAACAGTAACTTGCTCGGTGGGGTCGGCGCCAACGAGGATCTCAAATGGAAAAGGTCCACTGCTCTTGTTCTCGCCGCCTATGGTTGCGACAGAGCGCATGCCACTGTTGAAAAGACGCATTCTCTCGGGATCTTCTTTAAGGTACTCCCAAAAGCCGAGCTTTGTGTTTTGCCCTAAATGAAACGCACTGTTATTGTAATCGTTTGGGTCCTTCCAGTTTGTGAGTTTAAAATACTGAGGCAGTGCGTAGGTGCCTTTGCCAACGAAGTCGTACATTTGCTGGAACATGTCTCGGTTTTGCTCCTTCAAGAAAGCCCTTGAGGCAGCATTGTGAGAGTAGTGGCCTTCAGAGGGATTGTCGAAGACATGCGTGCTGGCGCAAGCTCGAAGAATACGTGCTAAAGGGTTAATCGTTTGTTAGCCTCATTTGGATCACAGGAACTAAGCGTTGCGGGTAGATTAGGCCATAGATCGTACATATAAGTCTCTCATCCGCTCCAGTCTCTTGTGCCAATTGTTGGACGCTTACGCTGGCCCCATCATCCGGAATTAGGCGGAAGACATTCAGGCCAATTGCGCTCCTAATGGCCGCATTCTGTGCGGTCTGTCACAGCATATCAGTATGCGAAGAAAAAGAAAGCCAACTTGTAGATTCATGTGCTCTGACTTCCAAGACCTTACCTGTGTCGCAGTGAAATAGAGATATTCTTCAGGCTCTCTAGCGGCAATTATTAACCTTTCCGCTGCAGCAAGTAATCTTGCTCGCTCTGCATAACTAGCAAAGACCCCATCGTCAAATCCGCTGAGAGCTGATTTTATATCCTCTACAAGAGGGGCAACAGCGCCGGCGTCTGTAAGCATCTTGATCAGCCGAATTTTGAAGACGATTTTTATCGCAAATGTGAAGTAAATGACAGATAGAGTGGAATAAATGCTACACCAAATACCTACTTCTTATCATTCATATGAGAACGCAACGCATCGCGAAATGTAGACATCTCGCGTATTGCAGTCATCTCCACTGAGAGACGCATAGAGTGTGCCATTCATTAGTGTAGGATGACCTGCTGTCAAGGGTCTGGCTTATCTGACTGACATATTACCGCTTCAACGGCGGGAGCTCACGGAGGGCGGAGGGCGGAGGATGTTTCGGAGGACGGAGGGATTCTCCGTATTATTGGATGACTCTGCGTCTCTGCGTCGCAATACAACGTATTGATTGCGAATAGCATCGTGGGCATGAGATGCGCAATTGTGCTTATCAATGGCCGCAGTACGGGCTGTGGCGCTGTTTCGTGATCGCATCGCCCATTGGATTGATGCCACAATGTCGCCTTCTGCTACCACTACGGCTGGGTTTGTTCCCAGTGACCGTCTCAAGGTGCTGGTCATTGGAGGAGGCCTTTGTGGTCTGGGAACCGCAATCTCAACCTCGCTCGCCGGCCATAGCGTAACGGTTTTTGAAGCAGCGCCTGAGCTTCATGAAATTGGCGCTGGCCTCCAGATCACGCCCAATGCCAATCGCCTGCTGCAGGGATGGGGCCTGTGGGAATCCCTGGCCCCTGTCGCAGCCGCGCCGCAACAGCTAAGCATTCGAAGATTTGACGGCCGACTTTTGGCGCAGAGATTAGATTATGATGAAGAGACAAAACGCAAATACGGCGTCCCAACCTGGTGTCTGCATCGAGTCGATTTGCAACAAGCACTTCTCCGGCGTGCTACAGAATTGGGTGTAGAGATTCGCTTTGGCCAGCGGGTGCATGACATTGATTTTGAGCGGAACCAGATCACACTCGAGAATGGAGAGACTGCTGTGGGAGATGTAGTGATTGCTGCAGATGGCCTATGGTCCGCCGTCAGAAACAAATTTCTCGGCATTGAGACACCACCAAAACCCACTGGTGATTTGGCCTATCGCGTGACAATCAATGTCGATGAGATTGACGACCCAGAGCTTTTGGAGGTCATTCAAAAGCCAGGAAATAACATATGGATTGGACCGTCAAGGCACGCTGTTGGATATAACGTGCGCAATGGGAAGCTGTTCAACATGGTCCTTCTAGTTCCAGACGACTTACCAGAAGGTGTTCGAAAGCAACCGGGAAATATCGCGGAGATGCGGAAACTATTCGAAGACTGGGATCCAATGTAAATTTTTCCTCGGCTCATCAAAGGCATCTGCGTTTTCAACTACTGATAATCGCTAGTCTTACAAAGCTGTTAGCTAGAGTTGAAAAGGTGGAAAAGTGGAAGTTGATGCACCGTGAGTGGGCGAGAAAGCAAGAGGTGGTCGATGTTACTAACCTCGCCCTTAGATCCTCCCCTTGAACGATTAGCCATTGACACTGGCCGATTCTTCATTGCGTACGCTGTCCTTGATGAACCTGAAGTGCAGTAACAAATACTGATCGAACTACGACTGTAGAGGAGACGCAGCCCACCCCATGCTACCGTACTTTGCTCAAGGCGCAAATTCATCTTTCGAGGATGCAGCCGTATTAGGACATCTTTTGTCCAAAGCTTCCTCAATCAAAGAATTGCCAATTATTGCGGACATCTATTCCAGAATACGACGAGAACGAGTATCAAGAATTCATAGCGAAACTTTTGTTCATCGCGACGACTTTCACCTACCTGATGGACCAAAACAAGTCCAAAGAGATGAATTGCTATATAATTCATTCACTAAGGATGACTGGTAGGAACCTTTTACCTTTTATTTATATCTATCATTCTTTTTTCCTAATGTGCGATTCTTCTAGGACACATCCGAAGATTCAGCCTTGGTTGTGGTCTTACGATGCGTATAAAGCTACAGAGGAAGAATACAATAGAGTAATCACGAAATGAAGAGAAACAATAGAAGACAGACAAATAGCATGCTGGATCCTTGAAAAGTGTTACAATCTTTGTGTATATAAAAGATAAAAGAGTTATGTTCCTAGAGATCTAGCAGAGTATGCCAGGCCACAAACCGGAATATGCAAATACTACATTACGCTTATTTCACACAAATATAAGCACATAGAGAGGTATTTATAGTGCATTACAGAAGTATTAGCATGTTTAATAACCCAATTTATGGGCCTAATCACGCAATATTCGGACGCGGAGCCGAACGGCGCACGGAGTACTGGGTCCGGTATATACAGGTTATATAAGTTATAACTCCCCATCAGCCGTTTGAGCGCAACTCGGTATAGACTTGAATGTAATAGCCAACTAGTCTCCCAACAAATATATTATCTCTCGTCATGGCGAACGCAAAACTCTACGTTGAAGATCAAATTGTCAACGACATCGACGATGCTCATGCAACTACACTTGTCTGGGACGAGTTCCCTGACGTTTTCCATCGAGTGCTTCCTACTAAGCCATGGGGCGATCACGTCCACCCAGCGCCCGTAATTGAGCCGTGGAGTCCGCCAAAAGATCGTGGCCTGTTTGCTGATCCAGATCTGCCCAACTTGCTGGGCCACCCGGGCATCAAACGTGAAGATCTTACACCATCAATAGGGTAGCATACCATTACCGGTACCTCTTCTTTACGAGTGAAGCTAACAGACGACTAGAACACTTCTGACAGGGATCCAGCTGGACGAGTTAACAGATGCACAAAAGGATGAATTAGCACTGCTTGTTGAACATAGGGGCGTAGTCTTCTTTCGTGACCAAAATATCACGGCACAAGGACAACGAGATTTGTTTGATTATTATGGTGAGAGACAAAGTACGTTCCTGGTTTTGCAATTCTAGTTCTCACTTTAATAAATACGAAAAGGGGAGCCTGAGGTTACTCTCAAACAGCCAGAAACTGAAAAGAAGCCTGTCTTGACTCATATTCAGACAAAAGAAGTGTAAGTCATATCAACTGCCAACTTCATATGCTATCATTCCTGGATTCCTGGTGAGATGCTGATTTTTATAGGGATTATCGCGCTGCATATACAAAGGTTAACTGGCCGTTCGCCGATTTCCATGCCGATTCTTCAAGCCATATTAATCCTCCTTCCTTCTCAATGCTTCGAGTAGACGAGCTACCTCCAACTGGCGGAGATACAACTTGGTATGTTAGGTTACCCCTCATCCCATCTCAAGCTACTAAACTACGGCAGGATATCTGGATATGGCACATACGATGCTCTGTCTGGACCTCTTCGCAAGATTGTAGATGGCCTAAATGCTTGGCACACCTCTTTGGTAAAGCTACATCTACCAATCATTAGCTATAAGCGTATTACTCACCATTTGTATCAAGCATGTCAACGGAGCCGTGGAATACCTTTGGAAAGTTCGCCCTAATTTTCGTCCTGTTGAAACCCGCCACCCTGTTGTGCGAGTGCATCCTGTTACTGGGTACAAAGTCTTGAATCTCAACTCAGGCTATGTTGATCGCATTGATGGATTTAACCGCCTAGAGTCGGATAAGTTCTTGGATCTATTGTTCACGCACATACACACGGCACATGATCATATGGTTCGATTTCACTGGGAGAAGAACTCTGTAGCCTTCTGGGATAATCGGTGAGATTTTACCACTCTTAACCCAAGATACAAAAAAGAGAGAGAAACAAAACTGACTCCTATAAAGCGCGGTAACTCATCGCGCTACACACGACTATGCACCTCTACACCGCCACGGTGTACGAGTGACAAATCGCGGAGACATACCGAAGTATGATGCCAGTGGCAAGACACGCAAAGACGTGCTTTATTCACTACGCAATAGTGATAAGATTCCACAGGTTCACAGTTCATATCTGAGAGAGGGAAATTTTCCACGGGATTTTGCACCAAGAGCGCCTAGGGCATAACTCAACAAGGGGCAATCCATGTTTCATATTTGCTTTTTTGAAGAATAGAATGGTAGCTATCCTTATCCAAACAGTATATGAAGCTACCTTGGGGGCCATGCGCTAGAGCCGTCATTTCCCTGTCCAGCAACCTCCCAATATGTCTCTATCAGGGAAGCACTCCACTCACAAGCAGTCCCTGCTCCTGGCATGTCTGCAGTAGTTACAGAGATTTGAGCTTCTTCGGCCGAAGCTGCGGCCGCATTCGCGAGTGCCCACATCAAGGGTACCTGATCAGGCAACATATTGGATTCGGGGCCTTGCAAATCCGTTGCATAGGATCGCTGTATCTGTGTATTTTTGTTCATAGAACTCATGGACACAGGAATAATTCTATTCTCGGCATTAGTAGCCGTGTTTCGAGTATACATAGAATCCGGGCTTGATTCGTACTGTTGTTGCATCTCGACGGTGTCATCAGACACATCATCAGACTGATCGTGTGCCTGCTGGGAACAATAAGATGGAGTTGTCTGGGATATTTGCGTCACATTTTGTGCCCGTTCCCTTATAGATAGAGCGTGCGAGTGAAGTTCCTCGATATTCATCCAGCGACGGTCTCGATGAACGTCAGGATTGTTCTTCCAGTGATTATAACTTTCTTTAACCACTTTCCACGGAGCATTAATGGACTCATTAGGTGATAGGCCTGGTGATGACAAAGTGATGCAAATATCTAACAGCAGATACGCCAGCGCATCCCATTCAACATATGTCTGGAACAACCACAGCCATCGACGGCCCTTACTGTATTGGCGTAATTCGTGTGCATGTTCTAAGAATTCCTCACAGGCTCTGCGATAGTTAGCCCGCAGAGGCATCCCGTGATTTTGATCTGCGCGCGGCTTATAAACAGCTAGCTTCAACTTTGCAAGAATAAGCCTGTTGCTCATAACCGTGACGCAGTCTAGAGGAATTGCCTTGTGGCAATACGATAGGTACTGTTTCTCAATGCGCTCCTTGAATTGATCTACCGCTTGGCACTTTTGCGCTTCATTCATTATCTCATAATTATTGATTCGGCAGAATCGATCCGAAAACACAATTCGTCGTGCAAAGTGGCTCACTTCGAATCGCACCAGGCTAAACAGCATCTCGCTTCGTCCCGGTTGTGGATTCAACTCACCTATATGAGGGTCTAGGCTTATATCATTGACGTTTAGTGGTAGCTCTGTACGAAGATTTGGTTCGATAATGTATGGTTCTCCGCCGAAATCTTCGGCAACACGAACGTCCAAGGTACAGATCTGCCACCAAAGCCGGCGCCTCATTTCAACCTCAAATGTACACATTCCGGGAATGTCGATATGGAGGCCCAGCTTCATGGCATTGCCAATTGCGAGTCCGATAAGAGAGCAGACGTCGGGGCCATTTTCATCTAGTCGCCCACAGATCTGTTGTTAAAGTTTATCAGATGCGCTACTTCAAATCATCAACTCTGCTCCTCGGAAAGGATGATTACCAGATATATGACAAACGCTCGTAATACGGTTATATCTTGTGAGCTCAGGAAATTTGCTCTTGCTAGCGCTCGCTCGACTCCCTCTCGATACCTGAAAGCGGTCAATAATGCCATGTTAAGGCAGAAAAAGAAGCAAAGTATAACAAGGCGACATCCACGTGCCTTTGTAACAAGAGCGGTTTCTCCTCTCCAAATTCATCACGACATTCCGCAACCGATATAGAAATGACAGTGGAATAATATATTGCAAACATCAAGCATTCCGTAGCTGCGTCGGGTATCTCTCGGCCTTGACTTATGCTCATAACATGCCTTTGAATAGAAGGAACGTGAAAAATCTTGAGGAGTGGGTCGACCACATCAAGATATGTCTGCCAGATGAATGAGATGCTTGAAGGAGGGGGGTGAAGGGCTTCGAGGGGTTGCGATATGCCAGCCAAGCTGTTAAACGGCAAAGATTGCAAGAGGTGAGAATTTGTCGATCGAGCACCGGTATTGTATTGACTTGAATTTGACTGCGAGTTAATTCTTGGCGAAGACCAGCTTGGACTTGGCAAGTCATGTGCATCCTCCTAGAGATGGTGTGTCAGCTGCCGTGTAATTCTATACACGCTTCCGCTGATTCTGCCGGATCCTTACGATAGAGAACTGGTGCTCTCGCTCAGCGTGATCCTGTCTGCTGGGCGGTTCCGGATTCGCATTCAGTAAATTTCCAATACGCGTAATCTTTTGTTCCAGAGACTGCAAAGTGCACTCGAGACTCTGTACTTTGGCTGCCAGGTCGCTCTCCCCATGGTTGCTTCTGTTTGGTCGCCATGAAGGATATGAACATTGGAGTTTGATACGTGCGCAATAGGAGCAAGGCAGTGACCTATCGCACTTGATCTTGCGACGACGGCATTCAAGGCATGAGTGTCCCGGAGCAATCACTCTTCGAGCCATGAGTTGCAAATTAGACTCGGCTAGACCAGGCGTTAGTGTTACGATCGCTACCCAGCAATGAAACCGTAACGGATGTGTATGTAATATGTGAATATCGTTCGACCCCTGGGCCACAGGATTAACCGTTTTTGACCGAATTGTGCTCCCAATCAAACATGGAAAACAAAGATGAACAGAAAATAACTGGAGTGACAGTCACAAGCTTGCTCGCAATGAAAGGCAAGTCCCTCTCTGCCTAGCAACACAGCCAGATGACGCAAAGTTGCATGGTGGTGCGGAGGCCGCTCCTATTGGCGAGAGCGGACATGACGGAGCCGCGTCCGCATTTCTAAGCGACGACGCCATCTTGCCGCCAGGGGTTCAAGAGAAGTGAACCAATAGGGAGGCAGCGATTGCACAGCCTAAGTCTCGCGACTCCAGGGCCCTCGTTTGACGATCAGATTGAATATGTAAGTAGCCCCACTTGAAGAGACAGTGGCATAGTTTATGTAATTACTTTCTCTGCTGAATGGCAGTAATTGAGCTACAAGATGGTGGATAGTTATTGTAAGCAGCTTTTCATATACACACTGCAATCGTCATTGAACTACCAACGTTTCTGAGCAAGTTTTTTCAGAATCTTGCTAGATATCCAGGCGTTCTTCTAAAACTGCTTTCAGATATAAAAGTGCCGAATATGCCCTCCTTCCTTCGTCGTCTCTTCCCCAAGAAGAGCAAAGCATCTGATCATTCATCCTCATCTCCCCAGCAAAAGGTCAGTTGTTAGAGCTTGATACAGTAACCTTGATTTATATCTCTTTACTGACTTGAGCCTAACTCAGACAACAAACACTTCTATTCCAAAGTCCAAAATGGCCTACAAGAACGTCGCTCTCGTTGGTGTATGTGGCAACATAAATCGATGACCTTCATTTCTTTTGCTTTGCTCACATATTTCTAGGCTAGTGGGAACATTGGTAAGATCATTCTCGAGGGATTGATCGCCGACGGAGGTTTCAACATTACTGTTATCTCTCGCAAAGACAGCTCTGCCACTTTCCCTTCTAGTGTCACTGTTTACAAATCCGATTTTTCTGAGGGAGACCTTCAGGCAGCTTTCAAAGGCCAAGATGCGGTTATCTCAACCCTTGGTGCAACCGGTTTCGGTGAGCAGAAGAAGCTTGTTGACTCTGCCATCAGGGCTGGTGTCAAGCGTTTCCTACCTTCTGAATTTTCCTCCAGCAGTCAGGATGCTGCTGTTCTTCAGCTGCTTCCTCTCTTTGGTCAGAAGTCGGAATTAATTGAGTACCTGAAGTCCAAGCAATCAGCCGGCTTTTCTTGGACAGGCGTTGCTAGCTCTATTCTGTTCGACTGGGTAAGCAACTAATAAAAGTTTATTTCAATGAATGGGACGAGAGACTGACTTTATGACTCTTATAGGGCCTTGGCAATGGCTTCCTTGAGTATGATCTTGCCAACAAAACCGCTACCATCTGGGATGGCGGTAACAAAAAGTTTACCCTCACTAATGAAAAGGATCTTGGAGCAGCCACTGCGGCTGTTCTAAAGAAGCCTGAGGAAACTGCTAACAAGTATCTCTTTATCTCCTCTGTTGAGACTACTCAGAACGAGATCCTTTCTGCTCTAGAGGAGGCAACGGGCACCAAATGGACAGTCAATAACACCACTACCAAAGAGCAGGTTGATGCTGCCCTCCAGAAGTTAGGTGCTGGCGATTTCAGCGGTGCCCTTGCTCTAGTTCGAGCAACAAGCTACAGTAACACACCTGGCCTCAAGTCCAATTATGCCAAGGATGAAGTTTTATCCAACGATCTTCTGGGGCTGAAGCCTACAAGTGTGGTTGAGACTGTTAAACTTGTCGCTGCTTAAGGGATGGGGGTGAAAGAATATAGAGCATAGCTCAAATTGTACTTTGGAATAATCCAATATAGAAAGCTATTGGCAGGATTTGTTGATGTCCAATGTGCACGCAAATTATTAGCCAAGATGGTGTAATGAAGTACTTATATGAGTCACAAAAGTATACGCAGTTCACAAACTCACGAACATATACTTCTACCCCTACCGATATGCCAGAAACTCATGGTCTATCTCAATGTCGTAATTCTTATCAGGGATCACATAAACGATGCTGACTGCACCACTCTTTCATGATGCGTATACCAAGTACAGTTAGATGAAGGAATGAGGCCTCCTTGCCGCTGGCTGCCTACCATATTCCAAATTGACCTCGGTATGATGGGCGAGTTGGGATGGTGCAAGAAAGCCCACCTATTGGCAGCAAAGCGAGATCCAAGATGTATTCAGCGGTTTAGGCTAATATTCGAAGACAGTCAGACACTATGGAGCCACGGGTAGCGGCACCTCGTTAGTACCGTATTCCCTCGAAAAATTAGCCAGTGAGCTTCTCTACATGCCAACTATAGCAAGCTAGCTGGCTACTCTTCCTAGGAAATAGTGGAGAAAATCCGATCAGATTGTGGCAAAGCACACTAGTCAATTTTGCGAGGGAATACGGTATTACGTGAAGTCTGCAGCTGGGCTGGTAAAGCAGAAGCAGTAGTGATTAATTCCCTAATTAGTCCACATAAGCACGATAGGCAATTCCCACGTGTACACGCACACACATGATAAGGTGGTCCACTCATGCCTTCATAACCAAATGTGGAAAATGCCTACATGTAACAAACCAAAAACCGAAACGCTAGTGTAGAATTCTATAACCCTGGGTAAACACAGTTACACTACTCCATATATGCACCTCCATGGAGACCTTCACAGGGCAGACACTGTGTTCATAGCTACATAACTACCTCCTGCCTTTCATTCCCACCATAATTGTTAACTAAAATCTCACATTAATTTCATTTTTCGGCATGCTAGCGTGGGACACTTCGTGTGACAGATCACCCACAATCAAAGTAGATAGATGGCTTGTCAAGCATTAGAGCCGCAAATGATGAATAATACACTAGCAGGGGCGAATATGAATAGTATTCCTTTCGGAGTTCAACTCCGGAAGACATTTTTCTTTTCCTCTTTCGTATTCGAGATGCATAAAGCTTATCTACCTTCGTAATATATCGTAATTTGGTTGACAGAAAGAATTTCCTGCTTAGGAAGGCACGGATATGTTTCTACTAGATGTAGCTTAAGACACTAAACAATGTTTATAATAAGTTTTGTATAATTTGGGAAGGTTGAGATATGCGAAGAGAATACGATAGCTATTACAAAAAGGTTATATCACTAGGTGGGATATAGCTTTTACAAGCAGGAAATATACAATCTTTTAGTGATTCCAAAGAGAAATGATCTTGTATTTGTTTACCTTTAAAAATGAAACAATATTTTGCAACTTTGCTTTAAAATCCAAACATGGGTTGTTTGCTAAGCCTCTTAGAACTCATCTATGAATAGTAGAGCCTCGTGTTACTACGACGCAAACGCTACGTCAGTAGTAGATGTTCAAATTATAATTAAACAGCCTTCCCAGAGTATCAAAACCCAATATATTACATATATGAACCCATTGTTTGTAATGCAGCTTTTTAAATCGTTTCCCGGCACTTGAATCTATTCTATCTATTCTATAGGACTACCATTGCTTGATCCCTAACTATACAAATACCTAATATGTATAAAGAGATGCTCGGTATCTATCTGAGCTTTGGGATACACTCTGCCTTCCATTGGAATTACTGAGTCGTAATCAGCTGTTGGGGCTTGACGCCTGTCAAAACCCAGCTTTCCTCCTTGCTATATGTGGCCCCTCGTAGCATTCCAAATTTCTTGACTAACCATTCGGCACTTGTGTGACTCCGTGCTTGAGGGTCGCTCTTTGGAATGACAGGGCTTTTCAGGCCTCTCATAATGGTATCATCCTCAGCACGTTGCAAGTAAGCAAAAGAATAGCGCGTTTTGAATGCTTCCGACGGTAATGGGGCAACCCTATGAAGACAAGATTGCAACAGCCCATTAGACAAGAGAGACATGCCATCTCCAAGGTTAATAACAGCATGGCCAGGCTTGCATGCCACGTAGAGCCAATCTTGTGCACCTCGAGGGAGAACTTGTAGCCCGTTCTGGCGTGTAAATAGGAAAGTTAGGCTACCAAGATCGGTGTGAGGAGTCTGAGGAGCGCCGCGTTCAGTAATAGGCTGAGGATGGTATTTCAGTAGACGCAACAAGTCGGGAGATTGCATATTTGGTCGATGAAAATTTTCGAATACCTCTGAAGGATCAAGGCAAAGAGCCGACGATAAAGCCTTGTAAATTGCTTGACTGGCGTGCTGCACAAAGGCAATGAATTTTTCGAGCGACTCTTTGTGAGCATCAATAGGAGGTGGCCGAACAAAATCCCCAGTCTCTTCGAGGTTAAGGATACCATCTTTAGGGATCTACTATCTCGTTAACTCGGGACAATACAATTTGTCTCGGCAGTAGCTGATATGACTTACGCTATAGCTTTCAAAACCATCAGATTTACCACCAATGCCGCCGAAGTTGCGTCCCATGGGCTTATACCTAAATTCGCAATTAGATTATAAGATTATCTACAAGAGATGTGACTAATTGTGAAACTCACCCACTCAATTTCATCTTACCAAATTTTCCACCCATCTTATCTACATCATATTTCAGCTTTTCACTATTGTCAAGGCCAAATAGTTCCTCTTCAAGAGTGAAAATATCATTGACATGTTCAAGTATACCGTTCTTGGCAGAAATACTACGCAGATCGAGATAAAAGAAGCCGTCAAGAACGGAAGCTCTTAAAAGTTTGTTGATCTCATCTTCACTTTGTTCAATAAGTCTTTCAAGGTCCACCGTTTGGAGATTTGCGGTTGGAGCGTTAGGAGGAAGGTTCTCAACCATTGAGTTTTGGTATTTATTGATGTTTTCAGTAGACATTTTCAGGAAGAGAAAAGTATGTGATGTTTTCTTAATATGTATCAACGCAATGTTAAATCCACGTTGAGGTGTTGATTTTTTCAAGCGCTATGGTTGAAGCACGCTTTCCTTTGCCAACAGATTGCTATGCAAAATTTCACAGGATGATCGATAGGCTAGCATTTATAATTTATTTCCTCCGTACAGCCCCTGAGACTGATCGTCACTTCTCACCGTAGCGTAATCGGATCGCGGATACGGACGTGAAAACGATAATGCTTGCGTCATTTCGTCCAATACCTGCGGGATATAGACCCAAAAACGTCATTTTCGTGAAGGATTCTTTTGAAACTCATTGTTTCCTCATCCGTGCCGCCCAATATTGGAGCCGCGGGGCTGAATCCTAGTGCTAGCAAAGCGGCCATTTCTAGATCAGGATCTATCACTAAGTTAGCCTTATGTCTACTAAACAATCGGCCTGTAGTAATGAAGTCTTATCGGTTTGGCCAACCAACCCGCATCTACCAGCAGTGCTAAACATAGAATAGTATTTCAACGTTTGATCGCTCGAAAGCCAGGGGCCAGAGTCGGCGTTGTTGGCCCACAACGTACCCAGGCAGCCAAATCGTTTACAAAAAGTCCGAGAGAGCAAAAGAAAAATGTGCATATACAAGGATAGTAAGAGCACTAGTGCAAAGCGTTTGGCGCTATGGCTTTCTATGCGTTGATCATTTCTCCAATCTCGGCATATTTGGCAGGGAAAAAAACGGAAACCGGGAAAGAGAAATTCACACACAGTGTCAAAATAGGTACATCATTTTAACCGGTGGGATGATAGTATAACTGATCCTGAATAGGAATTTGGTCTTGGCTTTTTCTGAGATCGCTTGATAGTCGTATTCAACAGGCGTGTTCGGAGGACGGTCCGAAGGGCCGCGATCCGCTGCAGGGCTGACATCTAAGGATTCTAATCTGTAGCCATAGCCTGTAATACGCTATCTCCTGGCAGTGGTAAGGCATGTTATTCAGATATCTTGCTGACACCACGCCTCTCAAAGAGATACTAGGGGAACTAAATCTGGTAGAGCGATGGCTAAAATCGGAGATTTTCTCATACTATTGGACTATGGCAATATCGTTAGTACGATGTAGTCAATTTTGTAAGACGAAAGCTGCAGTAAACACTCATTTGAGCAGGCAGTTAATTGTCTCAATACAGAATAGGATTCTATGTTATAGGAGAAAGTAGAAAGAGGGTGATAAGGTATAAAAACGAGGTGTCCAACAATGTAGTCAACTGCAACTGACACGTGCCAGTTATAAGAGGTGGGATCGAATTGTTAAATCACGTTGCATCGAAAAATAGCGATTATTAATACGATGCCGACCTTGGGCGCACTCATTACCTTTTTCGGAGTGGTAGGCCATGCCGTAGCATTGTCACAGTGGGAGACCAATAGGTATGGTTCACAAACACCCATTTCAATGGGAAAGCATGCATCACTGTTACATTGATGATAAGGCGATGTAAAGCTAATGCATTCTAATGCAGGAAATCTACTTGGGGAACCTTAGATAATCCAACGTATCCCAAGTGGCTCTCTGATCCAAGCGTAAGCTACCCCTCTGCCCACTGCATCTACGTGCACAGCTAGATGATTCATTTTTGCATTCTGCGTACCCTTCAATACGGATGTTGAAGTAGCATCAACGATGATCTTTATGTTAACATGTGCCTTGTATTGTGTTCATAGATTCACCAACTGCAACCTAGAGGTAGCAGCTCTCCTCCTTGGGGCGCGCGCACTGCCGCCAACACAAATCCGTACACAAGCCCACCAGTCACAGGCGTTACTCGGAAATACAACTTCACCTTATCTAGAGGGCTGGCATCCCCCGATGGATATCAAAAGCATGTCATTCTCGTAAATGATCAATTTCCTGGCCCTTTGATTGAAGCGAATTGGGGTGATACTATCCAAGGTACGTGCCATCAAATTGCATTGATGTTAACAAGTGCACTTACACTCCTAGTGACGGTGAATAACAACATCACTGGACCAGATGAAGGCACGGCTCTGCATTGGCACGGCTTTCTGCAAAAAGGGACGCAGTGGTTTGACGGTGTCCCAAGTGCTCAGCAGTGCCCCATTGTTCCTGGTCAATCACTGACGTAAGATGGGTTCTTTCACGTTACTTTGTCTCTTAAATTAACGGCTTCTAGTTATTCATTTCAAGCTGATCTCTATGGCACATCTTGGTATCACTCACATTTTTCTGCCCAATACGCGGGCGGCCTTCTCGGACCCATTCTCGTTCACGGCCCCACGAATGAGGACTATGATATTGATCTCGGTCCTGTTATCCTGGCTGATTGGTTCCACAAGGAATATTTTGACATTGTAAAGCTGGGTAAGTTTTAATGAAATGAGTATAGCAACATCAAGTTCATTTCCCAACTAACTGAGGTTAGTTGCCAGTACGGACTCCTCCAACTGGCTTCAATATTCCGACAACAATTTAATACAGGGCAAAGGGAACTTCGACTGTTCTTTAGTCACAGATGGCACGCCATGCTCAAATAATGCAGGTTACGCCAAGTTTAGGTTCCAGAAGGGTAAGAAACATCTTTTGCGTCTTATCAACACCAGCGCGGCCGGCCTTGAGCGTTTCAGTATCGACGGTCATACCTTGACCGTTGTAGCCAACGACTTCGTTCCTGTCCAGCCTTATAATGCGACCTATGTCACACTTGGTGTTGGTCAACGGCTGCATGTAATCGTTGAGGCAACCGGTGCTTCGGACGGGGCATACTGGATGCGCTCTAATATTTCTGAAATCTGCAACCTGCCTTTACAGCCACACGGATTGGCTGCCATCTACTATGATGATGCCGATACTAACGCCCTTCCCACAAGCGCTGCTAATTTCTACCCTGGCGATGATGGCACATGCACGACTGTAAGTTTTCTCTTTGTAATAATTGAATGTTTCTAATAATTATACAGGATCCTCTCGATGTTACTGTTCCATATTATGCAATCGAGCCGTCTGTGCCATCTCTAACTCAGTTCATTACTGTCAACGAAACTGTTAACGCCACGGGGCATCTTGTGTGGACTGTTGACGGATCGGCAGCTCATGTAGATTACAACAAAGCTATTTATCTCCTAGCCAACGAAGGTAATCTTACCTATCCATTGGAGCCCAATTGGAATGTCTACGATGTCTACGATAACAGCAGCGTTCGGCTTGTTATTCAGAACGCTCACGATTTCTCTCACGTAAGTGGCCTCTATGAACATGTCAGAACGATTTACCAATGGTACTAATGTGTTTAGCCGATTCATATACATGGTCATAATATATACATCCTTGCAGAAGGTGAAGGCACATGGGATAACAAGACAATCGTCCGCCCAAATAATCCCCAGCGCCGCGATACTCAACAGCTTCGTGCCAATGGATATATTGTCATTCAGTATGAGACCGATAACCCTGGAGTATGGCCCCTACACTGTCATATTGCGTGGCACGTCTCTATGGGTTTCTATATTGCCCTAATTGAAAGACCAGACGACATTCAACAGTCGCCAGTACCAAAGGCTATCAAGAATACATGTACCGCATGGAATAAGTACACGAAGTCTAATTTTGTGGATCAGATCGACAGTGGCGTCTAGATTTTCGATCCAGATCTTCCATCATGTATATATACCACTTCACTCAATTCAACATATTTTTACCTACTTAAGTACCCAGTTAAAGACTTTCATGCCGCTTCAAGTCAAGAAAGCGCTGTCCAGGCCGCCGAATCGGGCAAGTGCTGCTGTTTCAAGGGATTACAGCAGTGAGGGGCAGCGGAGGTCTGGAGGTGCCTTGCGTAGATATTTATACTTCGATATATAAACTATATGATTAAGTAGGTGATTTATAAAATATTACATATATATAAGTTTTCTTCTAAAAAAGAGAAGTATTTTCACTGCAATTTATAAATTTTGAGCTTGTTAAGGCAAGAAAAGGAGCTATGTCCGATCGGGTGAAAAAACATCCCCAAGGAAAGTTAAACAGCTCCCCGCGCAAGACTCAAAATTTGACCCCCCGGTTCATATTTCAAGGAAGAAACTCTTCCATTCTACTATTCCAAAATATATCACCTCTAATACGTGGCTACAGAAGTATTTGCTCTATACCATGTCTCCTATCACGATGGATGTAGCGACCGACCCCGTGCAGGTCGAGTCTCCATCATCAGTCACCAAGGCCACTTCGTGGGCCTCTCTGCCAGTTGAAGTACGCCAAATGATACTGAGCCTAGTGGTGTTGCCTATCTCTGGGGGGAAATACAACGGGTTAGGCTCTCGAAATACGAGTGTCCCGATTGCGATGAACCGGAGGATGAGGTAACACAGCATTAGTATGTTGAGGCATCCATATCTCCTCCTCTAATCCCGGTGTATTCGATGCTAATCAACCCTCGAAGCAACAACATGATATTCACAACGTGTATTCAGTCTCTACTGGGTACTCTCAAACTCTGGAACCCCGCGAGGCATGGGGCAGAGGGGCTGGCACTGATGCTGTCTGCTTCCTCGCCCAGCGATACAGAGCATCGGTTTAATCGATGCGAAATTAAGGATGGTTATCCATTTCACTACGCCGAAGATCTAGATCTTGCACCTGGAATTGTTGATTTCCACCGGGCGAACATTGCTGATCCATTTACCCGTCATTTTCATCGCGGCTGCCCTCCGCCGTTGTACAGCGAGCATGTCAAAAGGGTTCAGGGGACTTCTCTCCGTTTAGAACCACGAAGGGATGGGCAAGGCCGCTTTATCAGTCAATACAAGAGTCTTCCTGCCGTGCCCATCATCAAAGGACTGATCATGTGCAGACAGTTTCGCAGGGACTTTCACGTAAGGACACTGTCATTGCTACTTGATCAAAGTTTTGTGGCATTGGAGTGGTTCCACTTCGAGAGGACTATGTCACCGGAGCGCCATAAGCAAGTTTCCTTTGATCAAGGTATGAAACGCGGACCAGTCTTTACGGTGAGCATCTGATAAAGCTAACGCCCCTTTCTCAGGGTTCCAATTGCACTTATTGCCTTCCCTGCCGAAAACATTTTACACAGTGGGAAATTCCCAAAATTGAGCGCGGTGATGGTCTCGAAGAATTAAGATCTGAAGTTTCCTCACATGCTCAAGCTTACCTACCTAGGGAAATGGCAAAGCTTTCTCAAAGGCTAGAGCAGTTCTGCCCGCCATGGCAGATGGATACGGCTACCTTTCTTCAGTCTATTATTCAACAAAGAGAATCGCCCAAGATGTTTAACAGCTCCCTAAAACGCATAATCCTGCGTTGTTTGCTTTCAAACTCAGACAGAAGCAGACAAGATTTCGAATCGCTTGTAATTCTCGCAGCTAAAGCGGCTCTGTCGCTTCCCCAGCTGGAAGTCATTGAGCTTTGGGGTACCTGTCTTGACGGACAGGAATGCAGCGCATACATCTTCCGATACAGTTATGAAGATGGTCGAGCCAGTATCGTTTGGAGGAGTTGTGAAGAGACCCTGATGGTTCAGGCGCGGATTATCGCCAAGTGGGGTGAGGTGGCCCAGAAACTCTCGCACTCGACTTTCGCATACAACGTTGTCCCATTTGCAGAGACGAAGGCAGATATTTCCAATTCGGATGGAACCTGCATATATCAACATCTACTGCTTAAAGATTTAGTGTTTGATCCCATTACGCAGATCATCCTGGAGAACGAGCCTTATGAATGGAGCTTAGGCAAGAAAAGCGATTCATCGCAGCAGGGAAATCTTCTGAATTCAAATCTCGCAAGTCCAAATTCATTGAGTGGCGATCAATTAATGTATGCCCTTGGGCCGAATGTTGACCTTGCGTTACTGCAAGCCGATCTTATGGCTTTTGATGCTGAGGTTACCGCCTTTCTCCAACAGCATTATGGGTAGTACAACGTGATAATTTATTCAAGAGAAATCTATGGAGTAGTGTCTCTGGGAAACCTTCCAACAAGTCAGGATAGGGATGATTCTTGGACATAAAATAATAATATGGTGGCGCATTACCGGCGGCGCATATCTGTTGCTTTACTCTAAAAGATGATATTTAGAGGATATGGGATATAGAGAATTCTATGGATTGGGAGACGGGAACATGCAAGACCAACTAATCTACTCGCGTCATTTAGATGGGGAATGTAACTCGTTGCAGTATACAGTGGGTTTTTAAGGGGGGATCCAGATGTCAACTCCATAAAAACTTTCAACTTCTCTCGTTAACTTGCTTGTCGTCCACAGCGTGAGACCAAGTCCAATCAGCGGTAAATCTCATCTTATGAACGTCCATAGAATATACAGTCGTAGACGAGCTGATTTTGCAACTGTGCCTCCAGCTGGAGGTTTATTCCCTTCACAAACTCGTCGTCGGGGCTTTTGATTCCCGTCTCAAAATCCGTGCGTCTAAGATTAGGAGTCGCATACAGTCTATTAAAAAAGATATATTTTCTAGTCTATATAAGAGGATATATATGCGCATGTTATCCCTAGATATCATCGATCAAAGGGCTTAATCCTTGCGCTGAACCCAGGCGATTCTCGAAGTAAAACCTCAGTCGCTCAACCGTCACACGATCACTCATAAACTTGGCAAATGTCGTCGGATTTGTGTGAGGTGTGTTCATTATATTCCGATATGGTGATTCAGAGGAGTCGATATCTTTCCGAACACTCAAAGGGACAGTCTTTTGATGATCAGAGCTGAGGAGAAAGTTGTGGAAGAGCTTTGCACTTTCAGGATGCGGCGCATTCTTTAGGATTGCGGCAGTCTGAGGCCAAGTGACAAATTCTGCGTCATTCGGGAAAGAAATGTTGACGTTTTTCCCGGGGTTAAATCCACCAAAGCTTGTAAACGTGGCTGATTGAGAGTAGTTGGCTCCGCTCACGATAGTAAGAGGGGTAGCAGTCCCACGAACCCATCGAGGATTTTGCTTCAAAAGATCATCAAACCACTTGGTCCCAAGCTGCTGCATACTAAACGTACTCTTTTAGCTAGATCCTTTTCTTTTCCCAAAGTAGCCAACTTACATCTGATAGAAAGCAAAAAGAACAGCGTCATCGTCATTGGGGTATGTTAGGACGAGTTTGTTTTTAAATTCCGGTTTTAAGAGATCGCTGTAAGAAGATATGTTCTTGATATTTGGCAGTTTGGCAGTATTCCAGGAAATACTCCAGAAAAATATGCTGTATCCATACCACGAAGCCGATATGGAATCTTTGAATGCCGAATATACTTTGTCAAATCCGACGGGGGCGTAGTTGAGCAGAGCACCTTCCTGTTGCCAACGTGGAAAGTCTTGTAGTGTTTGAAGAATGATGCTATCAACGAAAACATTGTTATTATATAGCTGTTGGTCAATTTCGCCGTCGAGATATTTGGAGAGATCCACAGTAATATTCAGTGTCATCCCGGGAAAGCGCTCCTCGAAAGCGCTTTTCAAAGAGTCTTGTTGATCTTTTTCGTCGCCACCATGCCAAACTGTAACAGTTCCACCTTCTTTGAGAGCAGCATTGTAGATTTCTTCAATTGTCCGAGTTTCCACTAGTGGGCGCGAATTAAATCCAAGAACGGTGTCATAAGCAAAGGTTTGCCCAAGAAGGAGGGCTGCTGTTAAAAATCTAGACATGATGGGTTCAAAGGGTAGTAGAGAGATGTTTAAAATGATGTGAAGATGATCCAAAATCAACAACCATAGATGCGGTTCCAGGTCAAAGCTTTTATATTCAGCTTCGAATGCTGTGCCACCTACCGTATTCCCATTAGTTATAAAATAAGTCACATCGCTCGGTTTCATTATGGATCATTCATTTAATCAATCACTCCACAATTCACGCCCACTCGGAATTACTATTCTCATAAATAGTAGAGCCCACGCTGTCCTCCGAAGAAATCTAACGGCGTTTACAGCGTGCCGCGCGTTTAAGTGGAAGAATGTGGGATGCTTTATAAGCGTGTCATCAGGGGTGCTAGAGACTAGTTCTCAGCTCGGAAAGCAGCTCTTCGGATCAACCTCCAAATAATTATAAATTTATTATTAATGTTTATACAGATAATATGTTTTAGTAGCGCTGCAGTATACAAAGTTTGAGCTCTGGTATATATAAACTCAGGTTAAGAATAATCTCGTACCCAAGGTTATAGTCGGGTACTAGTGAGAAGTATACGTGGTGGTTCGCAATAGGTACTATCTTACCGGACTATTCTGAAATTAGTCTTTTATGGGGCCATGCTTTTCTAAGCAAAGATCATCTGTAATTCTCTTCGGAGTACTCCGTATTACAGGTGATACGGCAAGTCGATACGGCACATGTTGAAATCGAATGTTTAATTATAGGAGTGGCACCTTGGAGAAATGCTTCAAAATTATATGTTTGAGATTTGGCCGCGTTCACGAGACTCACACTCTCCGGTGGAGATGAAATGTCCAGATGAGGAATTCGAGATTGTCTTACCAGATTCGCCGTCAATTTGGCTGGCTATTGATGACTTACTGCCTAAATGACCTCGCGTTTCTTCTTTTTGGCCAACATCAATTGGTTCGCTTGGTTCGCAAATATATTGTAGAGTCGCGCGTCTGGCAATTGTTACCACAAACATCTATTCACCTGCGAGCTGACCTCAAAAGTAACCTCTCATTGTGGACAGACGGTATAAAATGCAAGCACACAGGCCCCAAATACACTGTTAAAGTGTAATAAACCTGTAAATCGTCTCACCTATTTAATCGAAGTATCATAAACAGTCACTTCTCTACCGGATACTGCTATTCGTACACAAGCTCTCTGTAAATCCTCATTCTTCATAGCACTTACATGTATTTTTGCTTACCCCACATCTCAGATTAAGCATCAATTTGACATTTGCCCCATAAGTCAGCAGTGGAGTCGCTGGGCCTCAGACTTGTTAGCCACGATTTTCTCATCAGATCCATAGCGTCCGCCTCAGCCCCAGATACCAACAACATTTCAGCTATTTTTCCATTCTCCTACTCTACTGCTAGAAATAACAGAGTGCAGCCCATGATATTGGCTTTATTTACGTCGGCAGATCTAGCTAGGAGCTGGTCCACAATGCCCCTATGGCCATTTTCCGCAGCGATAGGTAGCGTCGTTCTCAGGTTCATGTAGTTGCGTTGCGCAATGCTCCTTCTTTTTCCTTCTTGCCCGGTATCTCAGGAGTGTTGTCATGCTGGAAGTATGTATCTGTCTTCAATATATTTGCTGATGGTGGTCATGGCGCTCTTCCATAGCATCAGATCTTTAATGGATGGCGCCGAAAGCGGGTACAGGTCGATCAAAGCGGCTTGCTGTTCTAACCTTGGAGAGCAAATGGATATTTCTGCCGTTCCGACGAATACGTATACTTTTTTCTACATTTTTTCTGGGGTTACTAATAATGCAAACAATTAACCATTTAATCATTTGCTATTGTTCTTCGTTCTACGCCTTGCTCCAACTCTCCAGTCACATTTCTGTACATCATGTTCCTATCATTAGAAAAGCTTTTTCGCATGAGCCAAAAGTTTATTTCAACTACATGTATACCCCAATGAGGTGGCCAAGTACAATCTTGCAATAGCTAGATTAATCGATATGCACCTATCTGCATTATAAAGAATGAAGATTAAGATGACTCTCTGCGATTGTCGCCCCAGCTTTTCATCTCCGTCTGGCTTTCCTCTATCTGCTGCAGCTTGTCCTCTTCGGAACTTTGTGCAGCCTTGTTGTAACGCACAGTAGTTCCAAACACTGGTGAGAAAGAGATTGTCAGTTTTTTAATATATTGTGGCGTTGGATCTTTACCGTCAGTATCTTCAGGTAGTATAGGCTCCGACAAGGCCATACAATAGGCAGCACGTAGTATCGTAGAGAACTTGGTTGTATACGAGGAGCCACCATTGTGATGAATTGAGATAATCCCGAGCACGATGCTTAGAAGAGTCATGCCGAGGGCGATTCCATACGCAAGCCAGAGTGTTCCTGCGGCGTATGAGTAAATCAAGGAGTAAGCCGTCACAGTTACAGCTACACCCGACGGTGCGTAAGGGGAAGAGTAATTGGGTCTGCAGGTACATCAGTGAACTACACAAGAAGTTAACGGTAGGTTTCGAAAGATGGCTTGACTAACTGCAAGAAGATATTGCTCATGAGGGATACAGTGGCATTACGGAACAACTCTTCCATCATGCTGGCGACAGGGATAGAGGAATTAGGCGCTTGGTCGACAGAAAAGCCCTTCCAGGGCGCATAGCCCTGATCTACAGCCCCCTCCAGTGTGCCTGCCGCGCTTCCCTCCCTGTCCCTGGAAAGAGGTTGTATAAAGTTGAAATCTTTAGTTCCCAGGAGCCGTGTCGATGCCATTTGAGTGTCTATTATTTGCCTCTGCAGGGAAAGGTCATAGGTGATAGCTCCCACAAACATGCGCCCGAAAGCGTCCATAACGGCCTGGTAGGCAAGATTCTCCACCAATGTGAGGTCATCGACGAACGTGCCGTCACTTTGTTGACTCTGTAGCGGATATGCCCCTGCTACCCCTGTCTGGCTGGTGACATTGTTGAACGAGCCTTGTGTCGTGAGATTTACGCTCTGGATGTTGTTGACATATGTGAAGTTAGCCTCGTATGAGGTATTATACATCGTACATTTTGTTATAGTCATGTTGGCTATGTAATTCAAAGCCTCTTTAGTAAATGAAACCGAGTCGTTTTTGGGTGTATAAGATAGGCATGGATAGCTGGTTAACCCTTGGACCATCCCTGGTAGGGCTGCGACTAGGAGCGTAAGTGGTTCTGTGCCCCCATCCAACGGTCCGACGCTTTGCGAAGGTGATTTATACGGAGTTTGAGAAGTATTCAAGGTCATACCAGGGAAGGGCAGAAAACTGTTGTGTAGATTCATATCGGTAGTCGGCACCCAAGAAATATAACCGAAAGATTGCGAGCAGCCGGAACCCATCTTTCCATTAACTCCCGCTGACATTGTCGTGAGAATATTATTCGTAATGTTATCGTGCAGAACCGATTCCTCGTTAAGGCTTTCGCATGACAGTGCTGGTCCGGGAAACTTCAAGAACCACGTAGCATTTTGGTGCGGTGATGATATTGGCAGTATGCGGCCACCTGCCGTGCTTCCCGCCACTGCTTGCAGAACAGAATACTGCGGAGCGCTATATTTATACCAAGGGGAGGCGCTGACCTGACCTTGTAAGTTGGCAAAGTTCAGACTGGTAAAATCAATTTGGGGGACCCTGGTCGTTGACATAGATGTTGTTGCTGACCACTTAACATTGAGAGTAGCCGGTGTTATGAAGGACGTGATGGATAGAAGCCTAAAAATTATTAGCAGGCTGATATATATATATATATATATATATAATCTGGATTGTGCAAACCAGAAGATAGTGGCTAATGCCATCCGGATCGGGCTCTTCTTCCATAGTCGGAAGTCAAACATGCTCCAAATACTAGTTGTTGCAGTCGCCAGGTTGTCAATCACCTCTAGCTTTGAAGACTGTGTCCTAATGGCTACCCATAGCGCTTGGTTTGCCGCAGTGTTTATCACGACACCTAGAGCAGAGTGGACCAGGAAAGCAAAGACCGCTCCCGCAGCCAGATTGACTTGCTGTCCCGTTAAGCCGCCGGAAAAGCCTTTGAAATAGACGGCATTTGACGGTGGTTTTCCGGAGAGACTCTGATAAAAGAAGTGATGACCGATGGTAAATGCGGCGCCGAACAGTAGCATAGTCGCCATCGTCCCCCTGGCAGGGTGAGTTGCCCACTCTGGCAACATAGTCGGGAGTTGATGAGTGTCTTTAGACGTCAGTTGGATTTTGAAGACGTCTGGTCTGTTACTGACGCTAGAGATTGTGGTATCTATCACAAATCTGCTAGCTTCTCAATGAGAGCTTGCAGAGGATTGAGTGTTTGCTGGAACAAAATTTCAAAGTGTTACGCAAATTGGGAGCTGGAATAGCTGCGGTTCGCGTAGGCCTCCACTTTATTCATTACAGGGATACTCTGTATGCGGAAGGGGATTCACACCCACCAACGAGCGAGGCTTTCTTCTTATCGCCTCACCTTGAATATCTGCCTTGCTGATCACAAAAGTCAGTCAAGGTCAGTATGAATTGATGCCGTGCGGCTACGAGTGTCTTGAGTGGCATTTCATGCCTTCGATGTGCGAAATAGAACTACAGTCTTCTCATTCATCACGCGTATGGACACGGCACACAGAAAAAATTTGTATGCATCGTACTCTTGCAACAGACAAGATAGCATCCTCAATGTGTGGCGCAAAAGTGCAAATACCGTGCCTTGCCATGGTCCAATAATAAACAATTCCCACCTTCTACAGTAGCATTATCGTATATTTTGGCTCTATTAGAAGTCCTACGAACTATTTCTACATAGAAAGAATAGCCATCACCAATAGTGCCAAAGTAGTGAAGGAACTTGGGCCCGGTGATAAAGCCGTCGCCTGCATGGTGGTGGTGTGGGGCTAAGGATTGTGAGTTTTACGCAAAAGTGGTGTGTTTAGCAAAAGAAGGGGCACATAACGCTTAACATTGGTGGGAGAGGTGGTTTATACTTGCAGGCTGGGGAGAGAAAAATAACGCAGCTTTAAAATAGAAGGAAAAGGATTTCGATACCAAATAGTGTGCCCGGAGATCACCAAGACATGCCTAGTTGTAGGTATCGATCTTTGCGCCAAACCGCTTGCTAAATATCGAGTAACAAGGACAAAGGCGTCAAGCTAGCCACCAATTAATATACCAAATGGATAACATCTCCCCATCGGTAGATAACTAGGACCAGCTAGGACCTTGGTCCATAATTTTCGTTTAGGGGCTATTTATTTACGATATCTGGAAGGTGATACCGCCCCCAAGTGCAATTGTCAAGGATAGCGCTCCTTCACATACTCATTACCCCAGGATTGTTGAATCCTCTTGGCGACACCAGAAAAGACGAGTAACTTATCACTAGAAGATGTCAGTTCTATATAATACATGCACACCGCATCGGCCTAAATTTCTTGGAATTTATATCAGTCGATCCATAGTACAATTGTGTATCTGCAGCTTACATATGATACCAATTTCGTAGAAGAGGACAAATTGGATGGAAATCCATTCCAAAATAGCGGTGGAAAGCTTGAATCATTGACTATGCACCTCTCAGCTGCCCCTCAGGAAGATGGAGCATTACAAGAGAAAGTATTCCCAAATAACCCACACTCCTCTCCAAATCGGAGCATTGTAAACCTCCTTTCTTCAAATCTCGCCCAGCAATAAAACATGGATGAAACAATTTTACTTTATTGCATCAGTATGCCTTGGAAATGCTGCGACTGTCTTATAGCCGGCGCCAATCCCGAGGAGGGGGGATTCTCCCGTTGCAAACTCTACAGAACAGATAGCTACCCAAGCCGTGCAAAACCTCCTCCGCGAGGGAGATAGGGAAAATATTGCTTGTTTTGGCGCCATATATGTAGTTATTAGGGATATCACGGTGATTATAGTGCAATCAATTATCCGCCTGGTAGCTTCAAACGCGAAGAGCTCCAAGTGTATGTACACACGTGTCAGCTCCCTCTCATGTTATTCATTATCAGAGCTCCATTACCGCATTTTAAAACGCGGAGTATTCATTACACTGTATACCTAGATAGAAGACTCTTTCGGCCAGTTCAGTCAACTCAAATAAGCTATTCAATAGGTGACCAGCACATTGAACCATGTACACATGTAGTTAGTTACCTAAAGCAGCTTTCCATAGCCCTATGCTCCATGCAAATGGGTCATGCGGATCGCAGCGAAGAACACTAATTGGTCAACTACATCATCTATATGACATGTAAGTACATTGTAAAGCTTTTGTCCCCGCATAACCCCTCTTTTATGGCTATATGGCACTGACTATATGACCTTATTCAACAGATGATTTGCGTAGCCAGTGGAATTACGGTCGCCAATGGCCTAATCCTAGCTGCCCTATCGAAGGTTGTCTGAGAAACCATGGTAAGACATCGTCCTTCCAAATTATTGTAGCCGAGCAGCGCCATCATCTATACAGTATGTCCTAACCCAGTATGTATTTAGTCTACCTTACAGAGACACCACAAGCATTGTCAATGATAGCTAACTCAGGTGTCCCAAGAAACAATATCTTTATAGGAGTTGCGAGTTATGCGCGTTCGTTCCCGATGGTAAACACATCTTGCACTGGGCCAGAATGCCCCTTTACTGGACCACAGGCCGGAGCAACTCCAGGCTCATGCACTTGAGCAAGTTTCAAGGCTTTCAAGGCTCCAAAAGAGGGGAACAAATTTTACTACCTAGTACACAGACCACCGGGTATATTAGCCATGCTGAGCTCGACGCCATCAGTAGCAACTCCAGGGTCTCTTCAACATGACCTATGATGAGGATAGCGATTCTAGCATCCTTTTTTATGATAACTCATCAGGAGTAAGTAGGTGAGGAAAACAGCTCGCATCACTACAAGCAACCGACCAGAAGACAGCGGTATGCCAACGACGGTCTCATGGCTACAAGCAACTCGCCAGGACCTAGCAGCTTGACATCACCTGCTTCCACTGCCTCAAGCAATTCTCCGGGATACGATGGTGTATCATCACCAGCTTCTACAACTCCTAGTAATTCGCCAGGAAGCGAAACCATACCATCTCCAGCTTTCATTGCCTCACACAACTCGCCAACTAAGCACTACCAAAATATTAGGACGATTCTAGAGACGGCATTAACATTGAACTCTTGAATGGCAAGGAACACTCGATTACGTATTTTACAATGATTTTTGTTTTCTAGCTCTCTTTTAAAAAAGAAATAATGAAAATACATTTTTACAAGGATTCTATGAAGCACAAGCAACTATAAGTTGTGCAATACTGAAGACCACAATCCGCAGACTCGGTCCATACCCCACATAAATCCGCCGTCCATAGATTTTCAGCCCCACCCGCAAACACAGCTACATCATGCCGCGCCCTTCCTATTTTCACAAATCTTTGAGCTCTTTTCGACATATCAGCATTTAGATCTAAGAATTTCACCAAACCAAGATGGTCCAAGGCAGGGTTTTGATCATTGCCGGGTCAGATCCCTCTGGAGGGGCGTAAGTATACCTGCTTCTCACTCCCTCATATTCCCTCATTATACCCGTTACCACTAGGTATTTGCTTTGCATGAGTCGTTTGATACGGCGATAGCTACTCATTTAACACCCAGGCCTGTTCATCTGACGATTTCACCGGGGCCCTCTTTGCTTCAGAATATGTTTTCGTAAAATGTCTACTAATACCACCGTTTCATCGCTCTAGTGGCCTGGAAGCAGACCAAAAAGTCCTCGCCGCACATGGCTGCTACGCAATGACCTCAACGACGGCGCTCACAGTACAGAATACCAAGGGCGTGACAGGCGTACATGTCATACCCTCTGATTTCGTGGGAAGGCAGATCGAAGCGTGCCTTGAGGATGTAGGGGCTGACGTGATCAAAACGGGTGAGCTTTTGCACTCCATCTGCATTATGAAGACGATTATATTAACAAAGATGAATTAAAAAAAAAAGGAATGTTGGCATCTGCAGAGACAATCGAAGTCATTGCAAAATTAGTGACCAAGTTCAACGTCCCGACTCTAGTAATCGATCCGGTAAGGGCTACCATAGCATCATTCACATAAGATGAAGCTGACAGAAAGGCAGGTCATGGTCTCAACATCAGGCGCTCAGCTCCTCCCTCATGAAGCCATCGCGCAACTATCTCAGCATCTCCTCCCTCACACCACTATCCTCACGCCCAACATCCCAGAAGCCACCCTCCTCTTGACGCAGAATGGCCACGAAGTTGGCGAGATTCGGTCCGTCAGCGATGTTGAAGCCATGGGACGCAAGATTCAAAAACTAGGGCCTAAATGGGTTCTAGTCAAAGGAGGCCATATGCCATTCCGCAAGGACTTGACAGTAGCCAAGACAGATGAAGAGAAGGAAACTGTTGTCGACATCCTCATTGGTCCCGAGGGAAGCGTACTGCGAGTGCAGAGTCCCTATCAAAAGAGCACAAGCACTCACGGAACTGGCTGCTCTCTAGCCTGTAAGTACATCTCAATACATAGTAGCGAGAAATTTCAATAGGAGCATCATACTTACTGCGATATAGCCGCCATTGCAGCTCGTGTCTCCCAAGGCGCCGACATGCCCACCGCTGTCCGCGGCGCCTGTCGATACATCGAATCAGGCATCAAGACGGCGCCCAAGCTTGGCAATGGCAATGGGCCGCTCGATCACTTCCACTCGACATATATTCTTCCTTTCTCTCCGTAAGCAGCCCTCATCAGCCAGCTCTACCGTCTTACTTTAGTAGCTAATGGTCTTCATGCAGAGGATACTTTGTTGAGTATTTACTAGAACACCCAGCTGTTCGCGACGTGTGGAGCGAGTTTGTCTACCATCCCTTCGTCATGGCCTTGGGCAACGGAACACTGCCAGTTGAGTCGTTTAAGGGCTACATCGTTCAAGATTATCTTTATTTAGTAAGATCAAATGCGTGCTCTCATCCACACAGTCATGACTAACATCACTTTAACAGGTTCACTTTTCCAGAGCGAATGCGCTTGCAGCATACAAAGCAAAGACCATCGGTGATATATCAAGAGTATGCCAAATACACACAAAGCCCATAAAACACAAAGTGCTAACAGCCCGTCCAACAGTCAAACGAAATCGTCACCCACATTCTCCACGAAATGAAGCTTCACATCAACTACTGCAACTCCTTCGGCATATCCGAGCCAGAGATTCAAGCAACACAAGAACTCCAAGGTAAACCTCTAAAAAAAAAAAAAAGCTCTTCTTTTCAACGTGCACACTTTTTAAACAGTAGAAAAATTCTGACACTCAAATCCGTGACACATTAAAGCCTGCACCGCATATACCCGCTACGTCCTCGACATTGGCCAAAGCGAAGACTGGCTCGCCCTCCAAATGGCCCTCGCGCCATGCCTCCTCGGCTACGGCGCCGTCGCCAAGATGCTCCACGCGCACGATGATACGGTCCGCGACGGAAACACTTACTGGCCTTGGATTGAGAACTACAATGCGGATGACTATGTCGAGGCGGTAAGATTAGGAAGCGGTACGTAAAAAAAGGAAATCGATTTTTGAACTTCATCTTGCTCCAAAGACAGGAATTGACTTTGTAATAATTATAATAGAACTCCTTGAGCATAGCATTCGGCTGCAGTCACCTAGTCGGATAGAAGAGCTAATCAAGATTTTTGTACACGCCACAAAGGTAAGAAGACCAAAAGGCAGCCCCTAAAACATGAAAGGACATTTTACTAAAACATTGCGCGTGACAGATGGAGATTGGATTCTGGGAGATGTTCCCATACAAATAGGGGATAAATAGAAATATGTAGACTTTTTATTTGTACTCTGATATGAACACATAGAAGCGACTACGATCAGATAGATCTGTTAGAACTGAGTGATTATATATGGCTTCAGTAACAACCGAATTCTCCCCAGAGATTATGTCGAAAAGGTTGCTTTTAAAAATCCATTTCTATTCCTTATGCACAAACTCCGTCGCTCTCGCTTCTCCCGCTAGAACAAAACAGCAAATCACACGCTATGCAGCATCTCATTTCCCCTTCCACAGCGAGGAATCAACTCTCCTCGGCACCTCCCCGTCAGGCATCATCATATCAAATCCTTGCTCTGGCAAAGGTGTCGGCATCCCACGGTCTTCACTCCTCCTCGCCGCGGATCGCTGCTTCGTTCGGCGGGATTGCTGATGTACCCAGGAGGAGACGGTGCGGAATCGGGGACGCAGGTCCTCCGACGAGTTTGTCATGACGGTGTCTCTGCTGTTGCTGCGGGAGAATCGGCTGTTAAAGCTCTTCCTCTCAGGGCTAGTCCTGACAGCACTGAGGTTAATATTTGTGTCAAAGGTATTGGATCGAGTTGGAGTAACAGCATAGGTGGCAGCAGCAGTGGGGGGTTGAGTGATGATTATGTCTCCGTCGCCAAACCCTGACGATAAAGACGAGACATCGCTGATGCGGGTATTCTTGCGCGAAGGTGCCAAAGATTGCGATCTCGAGTTGTATGCACTCACGCTCACGCTCGCTCTTGCGCTCTCCAAATGGGCTGCCGCCATCTGCCTAGATCGTTCCTGAGCCACCGCGGTGGCCGGCGGCTGTGTAACCTTAGGTCGCTCCAGGATATCCGACATGGAGTCGCCATGGATCGGCGTACGGAAGATCATGCCGTAGGAATTCACCGTCACATGCTGAGGTGGCGTCTTAGATCCCAATCTCCTCTCCAACAAGCCAGCATTATTCGATGCCAGCTTTGGGACCGCTTTCTCGCTTTCGAGACCCTTTTCATCGTTGGACTCATCAATGCTACACCAGCCAAGGGCGGCTGGCAAGAGGCGGCCTTTCATGGATGCAAATCGATCGGTAACTCTGTTAGAGATACGCCGAGGGCCGTCAAGCATGTCCCGGCTGGCTGGCCAAACGTGCTTTCTGCCAGCAGATTTACGCTTGGCCGAGCGCCAAAGAAACCAGGCGAGAGCCAGAAGAATGACAAATCCACCTAATGCCAAAATAGTAAGTTTTATGTACACCAGGAAGGGGGGAAAAAATATACAACTCAAAGATATGAACTCACCAATGGTCGTAGACGCAATGACGGCTTTTTCGCCAGCCGGGCTCAACCTATGTGCAGCCCCGTGCCCTAGAATAGCTGCAGCTGTTCCACTCGGGCTTGCAGTGCTCGTCATTGCAGCCCTTGTCGTCGTACTCGCGGTATGATCTGGCAAAATCACGGACGTAGTGAAAGAGCTCGCTACTTCTTTCGTACGGCTAGTCGTGGACCTTTCCTCAGAGCCCCCTGTCGTCTGCGTCTCATAAGGTGGCGCGATAGCCGTAAGAGTAGATCGAGTTCGTGTTGAGGAGGCAGGCTTGCCAATGGATGAGGATGGACCGTCATCATCGCTGTCGTCGCCGCCATCATCATCATCATCACTGTCATCACCGGTAGACGTACTCTTGGGCAGAGGTGCGCTGAATGACGATCCAGGAGGTCTTGTCGTGGAAGGCGAAGGAGCTCCAAGATTTTCGGATATCCCGTCTGTGGGGGATGTTCGTGGAGGAATAGAGATGGAAGGCGGAACATGCGATTGAGAGGGAGATGCCGCAGGAGATGCGGGAGATGCTGCAGGAGATGCCGCAGGAGGCGCTGCAGGAGATGCTGCAGGAGGCGGTGGTGGTGGTGACGAGGTAGCAGGAGGGGCGGCTGGTGGAGGAGACGAGGTAACAGGGGGGGCGGCTGGTGGAGGAGACGATTCTGGTGGCGGTCGTGGTATAAGAGCAGCAATTGGGTTTGGTATCAATGATGGTAAGGGAAGTGGATGAGAGAGAAGTTGCGATAGAGGATCAGAAAGAGGCACGCCAAAATCGACATGGTTCCGGCTGTCGTCCTCATCCTCACTCTCATCCGCATCCCCACTCTCGTCATCACTCCCATCCCCGCCCAGCAGGTCCCAGAAGGTCCTCTTCAATAGCTCCCCAGCAGAGAAAGGTTCGCTCGCTGGTTCTTGGCTTGATTCACCCTTGATGTCGCTTCCAGAAGACGTATGAGCGGTGCTTGAGTTGTTTTCGGTAGGAGGTCCTTGTAATGAAACATTCACTTCCAAACTCTTCTTCTTGCACCTGAACCTCAGCCATCTCTTCGTACACGATGCGTCACGTGTCTGCCTCTCCTTCTCCACCAGTCCATCGGGACGTCCAACATCCGTTTGTCGTCTCTGTATCCTAGAGGTCGGCGCCATAGTTCACTGTCCAATCTCTTTCTTGGTCCCCCTACTTTAACGCAACGTTCGTGTAGACCAGCTTCACTCAACGTGCGCCTAATTCATCACAAGGTCCCCAAAAAAAATCCCCGTTTCGAAAGTAAAGAGGCGTGAACACGTCTGACCATTCATCGACCCGTGCGAAATCCAGTTCCGGCTTGAACAAAAGAAATAAATCAGCACAATAAACAATTTCCCATAGCATCGAAAAGAAGAAAAGAAAGTAATGAAAAGAGGGTCAAGAAAGCACCGGGTTTTTCCCCATCCTCTCTCAAAGAGGAAGTGTAAAGGAAGAAAAAAAAATCGTGGAGGTGAGCTATTAAGATGTCGCTTGGCATTCCGGATCTTCAAATGATATTATGGAGCAAGGACGGGGCACGCGTAGCAGCGAAGACCTACCATATCGGGGAAACATCCTTGCGCCAACGGCTGTAGAGCTCCATTGTGTTACACCTCGTAGATCCATCTTGCGCCTCCCCCTTCTCACCCGCCGGGGACGGTCGGACGGACTGCAATGCTGCTGCTAGCCTCACTAAAGAAGCATAAGTCACCCATGTTGCGGGAATCTGCAGCAGCAATGTGCTAGCAGTGCTGCAATTCTAGCAGTGGGAGCAGCTGGACAATACCCACTTCATCTCAATCTCATTAAAGAAACAGGGGGCAAAGACACGGGTCAGCCAACTATTGGCACCGCACGGAGAAGCCCGGACATGCTCGCGGCGGTTTGAAGATGTGCTCGAAGCCTGAGTCTGGTGTTTCCATCTCCATGACGAAGTCGGGCAAGGTGCAATAATGTCGCCGTGACCGCCTCAAGAGCGTAGCTGGACGCGAGTCGAGGCATCGTTTCCATTCTAGGCAATCATATAAAGGCGGCCAGCCCCGTGCAATTAGTCCACGAGGCCAGAAAACAGGACGCAGCGCAAAAGGTGCGACAAGGAGGCCTCGAATGCAACGTTTGCACTCATTCGTGGGAGCTAGGCGTGCATCGTCGAGTGTTTCAGGTGCCGAAATAGCGCCTCGACATGAAACCGTGCAGGGTCGGCGAGGGCCTCAGCTGCCAGTATTAGCAGTGGCCGTTGAAGAATTGGGGCTCCTTCATACCAGAAGCGACGACACGGGCTGATCCAAACGCCGTAAAACAAAAGGCAATCATGCAGATATCAAGATTGATCATGATCAGATTGGAGATTGCAGTGGCTGGTGGCTGGTGGCTGGTTGCTCGTGAGGCGGGATAAGGATAGCGCGGGGCGGTGGTGGCGCAAAAATAGCAGCAGCAACAGACCACCAAAGCGACTACACACAACACCACAGGGCTGCTGGATGAACATCATATGCACTTTTCTGAGCTGCCTCGGCTGTCACAAGCAACGACACGCGCTTTGGATAAAGATCACAGCTTCTACTCCCGAGCGACTGACATGCTTCAAAACACCTCATTTGCATCTGATACGCATGTGACTGGAGGATGCAGCTCCAGGCCGCTGTCCGGACAGCCCAACTTCCGAGAGAGTCATGACTCCAGCTCTTTTTTCTCAGCACCGGAAGCGGCCAATTGGTATGGAAAAGACTTGAATCCATTCTTCAAGTGCTCGTTCCCAAAGGCACTAACCAGCTTGGGCCCATCATGGGGTCTCCATCGTTTCGACTCGGTACTACGGCAATCTACTAAGATCACATAACAGCGTATATATAGAACATAGTACGTGGGGAGGGTGGAGGAGAGCACACAATTAGTAACCAGGCCGTATCAGGCTCGCCTGCTTCCACCAGCGCTTTAAAGATGGCTGCTTCTGATAATAGAACTGCAGTACTGTATGTCCGGCGTCTAGCTTTTTGGCCGCGGCCAAACTGCCAGACCTCTCCATCTCCATCTTGTGCAATAAAGGCACCCAGCGATACCGGCCCAATGGCGTGCCCCAGACCATGCCATCCATCGTCAAGCTTCTAGCACGTCAAGGTACTCATCGTTGAGTGAAGCTTCCCCCGTAATCGCATGCGGCTAGTAGTTCGCAAGAGACCGCATCGCTGCTCTTCTTTTCCTGTCGTTGGACCCTCCGAAAGATCCCGAGAAAGGCGCCTCAAACTCTCCGCAAAACCGTTCCGCCGGAGCAGCTTCGGCATCCGGTGGCTTCGATGGGGCTGTCCCGTAGAGCATTAAATGTGGTCCCGGCTCTGGCAGCCTGCCGCCCGGATCAAACCGGCAGTGGCAGACTGTAGAGACAAGCAAGAAGAACAAGCAGACTGAAAGGAGGGAGAGAGGACGAAAGGCTCAGGACCCCTGGTGCAGCTGGCAGCGAAGCCCTTCTGTCCTAGCCAGCGACTAGCCTCCCGGACACATCAATCCGGATGTCCATTTACGAGTCTTGAATTCATGGGTTTTGATAGCAGGCCGCAGGCTCGGTCTTCCGGAAAGGGACAGCATCAAATCAAAGGCTCGACCGGCAGTGGACTGGCGCTAAGGTGGGAGGAGGAGTATTAGCACATGTCTGCAGCAATCCAGCCTAGACGCCGTTGGATCGGTCATGTCGATGACAAGAGCTGTTGCTATCGCGCTCACGCCTTCTTATCGCCTTGATAGGGGGGAAACTTTTGAGTGGGTGCCCGACCCAATCAATTTCTGCGTTATTAAATTTTGCAGCGGGAAGGCGGATCGCGTTTAGAGGGAAAATTCAGTAGAGCAGGAAAAAAAATTCAAATCCGCTAAACTCAACTCCGAGCGTCATTCCAACTTTTTTTTAGCCCTCCGTGCCCTGGTAGAGCCACCCACCGACAGAAGCTCAAGCTCCATATCCTAGCGCACGGCCTCGAATTGCTTCCTGCATCTGCATCACCATCCTCAGAACACTGCTTCAGGAAGATCGTGATATCATTGCTGCTTGTAGCATCTCCTTTCTGATATTGCTATTCCATCACTCGGCGGTCCTCCTGATCCCCGGTTCCGGAGCGTGAAGCGATGGCTTCAACCCAGTCCATGAGAGCCCTCGCCCGGGCCGGCCCATTGGGTCCCAACGGCGTTGTCGCATCACGAGCATTCTCTACCGCTACGAGGGCAATGATGATGCGATCAGCTGCCAGGCCGTCCGTGGCCATGAAGCTCACCAACTCGGGCCGCATTGCCTTCCGCAGAGCCTACGCCGACGAGGCTCCCAAGCCCAAGCCCGGCAAGCTGCGCCGGACCTTCAGATGGGCCTGGAGATTGACTTACCTGTCTGCCCTTGGACTGGTGGGCTACACTGCCTACGACATCTACGTCGACCGCCACCCCGACGAGCAGTTCAAGCCCGATCCCACCAAGAAGACACTGGTGATTCTGGGTGAGTCAAGTCCAAGATAGAACGGCCGATTGCGCTCACGTGTGATACCAATGCTTACTGACCGCGCTATCCGGATACAGGAACTGGCTGGGGATCTGTTGCTCTCCTCAAGAAGCTCGATACCGAAAACTACAACGTCGTCGTTGTTTCTCCCCGCAACTACTTCCTCTTCACCCCTCTTCTGCCGTCATGCACCACCGGCACCATCGAGCACCGCTCCATCATGGAGCCGGTCCGCGCCATTCTCCGTGGCAAGAAGGCTGCCGCCAAGTTCTTTGAAGCCGAGGCCACCTCCATTGACCCCGAGCGCAAGGTCGTGCGCATCGCGGACAACTCTGAGATCAAGGGCGCTACTTCCGAGACTGAGATCCCCTACGACATGCTCGTTGTGGGAGTTGGCGCAGAAAACGCTACCTTTGGCATTCCTGGTGTCCGGGAGAACAGCTGCTTCCTGAAGGAGATTGGCGATGCCCAGCAGATCCGAAAGAAGATCATGGACTGCGTTGAGACGGCCGCCTTCAAGGACCAGACCCCCGAGGAAGTTGACCGTCTGATGCACATGGTCGTTGTTGGTGGTGGCCCCACTGGTGTTGAATTCGCTGGCGAGCTTCAGGACTTCTTTGAGGAGGACATCAAGAAGCTGGTCCCTGATATCAGCCCCCGCTTCAAAGTCACCCTCATCGAGGCCCTGCCCAACGTTCTTCCCATGTTCTCCAAGACTCTGATCGACTATACCGAGAACACCCTCCGTGAGGAAAAGATTGACATCAAGACCAAGACAATGGTCAAGCGTGTCACTGACAAGACTGTTGAGGCCGAGGTTTCCCGCCCTGACGGAACCAAGGAGCGCGTTGAGATCCCTTACGGTCTGCTTGTCTGGGCCACCGGAAACGCCGTCCGCCCCATCATCAAGGACCTAGCCGGCAAAATCCCTGCTCAGAAGGACTCGCGCCGTGGTCTCGCCGTGAACGAGTACCTCGTTGTACAGGGCACCCGCGATATCTGGGCCATTGGTGACTGCGCTGTGGCTGGCTACGCCCCTACCGCACAGGTTGCCTCACAGGAGGGCTACTTCCTTGGCAAGCTGTTCAACAACATGGCCAAGACAGAGAACCACGAGGCTCGCATCCAAGAGCTGAGCGGCCAGCTGAATATCGCTGGCGGTAACTCTGCCGAGGCTTCCCAGGAGATTGAGCTCCTGGAGAGACAGCTCAAGAAAATTCGCGACATCAAGCCTTTCAAGTACAGTCACCAGGGAAGCTTGGCCTACATTGGCAGCGACAAGGCCGTCGCCGACGTCAGCTGGTGGAATGGCAACCTTGCCACCGGTGGTAGCGTGACCTACCTCTTCTGGAGAAGTGTCTACCTCTCCATGTGCTTCAGCCGTATGTATTTCTTCTAGTTTATATCCTATTTTGATCCATTCAACTAACAATCAATAGCACGAAACCGTGTCCTAGTCCTTCTAGATTGGCTCAAGTCCAAGGCTTTCGGTCGTGACGTCTCCCGAGAGTAAATTCTAGAATGAAGAGATAAAAGACGAAAGAGATAGAAAAAGAGAAAGAAAAGAGAAAGAGAGAAGGGAAGAAAAAAATAGGCGCAGGAAGAGCGGCTGGTTAACCGCGATTTACAAAACCAAAACACCATTCCATCATGGGACACATGCATCTCGCAATATGCATAATTTTGCTCGCGGGCGTCTGTTCTGTGTGTTAAGCGGAAAACTTGTTCTTTTTTTTTTTTTTCCTTTTTTTGTTCATGGCATAGATTGGGCATCCTTGAATGCCCGGGCTGGAGACTAATAAACATTGTCGGATTGGGTTCGAGGAGTAGGATACCTCCCTCACTTTGTAACTATTCTTGTTTTCATGTGTATTATGGAGCTGTAAGACGATACGGATGGTTGCGTGTAGAGAGATTCTAAAATGGCGGTTGAATGATATGATGATTAGCGTCTTCTTACAGTAGCTCTATTTCAATCTCTAAAGATGAGTGAGTGAATGGGCTTATGATACTACTGTTGTGTCAGCTTGTTTATGGCCATAAACCATGCCATCCGCCTTATAGTCAATTGCAGATTACATGGAAGTGACGTTTTTCGATAAACATCACATCGTTTTCAACAGAGTTCATATGAGCACACACTACGTAACGGGCGCGCCGCTCGCCCAGCACAACACAGCTTGCTATCCATACACTGCCCATATAGCCATCTATACACACCACACAAAACATATATGCCGAAAAAGTTAAATAAAAGATTTCGGCGCCTCCGAAACAGGCAAAAAACTCAGATCGATCTAGGGTAGCAGTATGTACCGTAGCACGTGATTAGCTCAGCAAGTCGCCACCTGTGGTACGTACCGGCAGGCGCTATCCAGATTTTCTTAGCGCCAGAAAAAAAACTGCAGGTAAGAAAAAAATATCTTAGGCGCAGACTGAATCCCCCTGCTTTCCGATTTCTTTCTCTTCAACACACTCTCCAGACGCCAATCTCTGGCTTCTTCTCTCTCTTTCTTTCATTCCCGCTTTCATCGCATATCAGAGACTATCCATCAGGACTACTAGTCCTCGGTCTTCCTGACGCGTTCATTCTTTCTGCTCGCCCGTTGACCCCTCGAGTATTGCCCTGACAACCGCGTTTTCTCTATTTCCTTGTCCAGAGACCCTTTTTGCAACCAAAACACCATTGAAAGGATGTCTGGCTACGGCGGCGGTCGATCCAACGGCGGCGGTTACGGAGGCGGTGGTGGTGGTTACGGTCGTGATCGTGGTGATCGCGGCGGCGACCGCAACGGCCATGGAGGCGGTGGATTTGGCGGAGGGTAAGTTTTCACTATTTTGATATCATCCCTATCTTTCATCCGCAAGGGTGTGAAACGGCGGGGATCCAGGTCCCTCCGCAGCGCACATTTGCCTGTTTGAAGGCTCTTTTTCTGCAGCTCAATCAACAATATTCTCTTCATTCCAAAAGAAGCGAGAACGGATGCTAACAAGGTTTTTCACAGTCGTGGTGGATACGGCAATGGCCACGGCGGATACGGCGGTGGTGGCTATGGTGGAGGAGGTGGTGGTGGTGGTGGTGGCTACGGCGGCGGTTACGGCGGCGGTGGTGGTGACCGAATGGGCCACCTCGGCGCTGGCCTGCAACGACAAGAATGGGGTATGTGTTTTCTCGGGTGTTCTCACCGCATTCTCTCTACTTCTTCTTTTCTCTTTGTTTTCTTTGTTCTCTCAACAAGCATTTCGCTAACTTTTCGATACCAGACCTTTCCGCCCTTCCTAAGTTCGAAAAGGACTTCTACAAGGAGTCTCCTGATGTCGCCGCCCGCGACGCTGCCGAAGTCGATGCGTTCCGTCGCAAACATCAGATGACCATTGCCGGCTCAGGAGTTCCCAAGCCCGTCGAGACCTTTGACGAGGCTGGATTCCCTCGCTACGTCATGGATGAGGTCAAGGCTCAGGGCTTCCCTGCTCCTACCGCCATTCAGTCTCAAGGATGGCCCATGGCTCTTTCTGGACGTGATGTCGTCGGTATTGCCGAGACCGGTTCCGGAAAGACTCTTACATACTGTCTTCCCGCCATTGTTCACATCAACGCTCAGCCCCTCCTTGCCCCTGGTGACGGCCCTATCGTCCTGATCCTGGCCCCCACTCGTGAGCTTGCTGTCCAGATTCAGCAGGAAATCTCAAAGTTCGGTCGCTCATCACGTATCCGCAACACCTGTGTCTACGGTGGTGTCCCCAAGGGCCCCCAGATTCGCGATCTCTCCCGTGGTGTTGAGGTTTGCATTGCCACCCCTGGCCGTCTCATCGACATGCTCGAGGCCGGCAAGACCAACCTTCGTCGTGTAACCTACTTAGTTCTCGACGAGGCTGATCGCATGCTGGACATGGGTTTCGAGCCTCAAATTCGCAAGATTATCGAGCAAATTCGACCTGACCGACAGACTCTCATGTGGTCCGCTACATGGCCCAAGGAAGTCCGTGCTCTTGCTGCCGATTTCTTACAAGACTTCATCCAGGTCAACATCGGTTCCATGGAACTGGCTGCCAACCACAGAATCACCCAGATTGTGGAGGTTGTTACCGAAATGGAGAAGAGAGACCGCATGATTAAGCATCTTGAGAAGGTCATGGAGAACAAGGAGAACAAGATCCTCATCTTTGTTGGCACCAAGCGTATTGCGGACGAGATCACCCGATTCCTTCGCCAGGACGGCTGGCCCGCTCTCTGTAAGTTCAATTCACACAGACAAACGTTTGTCTCAAAATGATCAAAGCACAATATCAGCTAATCCTCCTTCCTCTAGCAATTCACGGAGACAAGCAACAAAACGAGCGAGACTGGGTCCTCGACCAGTTCAAGACCGGAAAGAGCCCTATCATGGTTGCTACCGACGTGGCATCCCGTGGTATCGGTAAGTATCAGTCCCCCTCCCCCTCCCTCTCCAGCAACTTCCAGCAAAAGCACTTGCTGTATACTTTACTCTCGCGTGTAGGGGCTATCTTTATTGTGCGAAACTGCCTGACCAGACGGTATCCGTATGGTTCTCATTATGTGGTGGAGTCTTGATCCGTTGTGTAGCTTTCCCATCGCACTGCTATACTCGTATTTCCATTCTTGTACCTTGCTCACCCCCGTGGTACAAAGTGTGGAGGTTGGCATCTCTTGACCCCGATCAAGCTGTCTCCCCAAGGCTCCTTGAAATTCCATTTGAGGACTCCCGTGATCACATAATATGTCCCCCCAAGAGGATGGATGGCATTTTGACGCACTTGGATTTGGCCCTGGTTTACCAAGGAGTGAAGTTACACAGATGGACGTTATTATATAATTACGCCGTCTCTTCACGTTCCCGCGCTGGAGGTTGCTATACATACCCGTATTTCGTTGGCTAACCCTTTCTTTTTCTTTGTAATCCAAAAGATGTTCGCAACATCACCCATGTGTTGAACTACGATTACCCTAACAACTCGGAGGATTATATCCATCGTATTGGTCGTACCGGCCGTGCTGGCCAGAACGGAACTGCCATTACGCTCTTCACCACTGACAGTAAGTTTCAATACCACCACTCGAGAGTCTTCTTATTAGGGAGGGAAGAAAAAATGCTAACCTTGTTGCGAAAACAGACCAGAAGCAGGCCCGTGATCTTGTCAATGTGCTCCAGGAGGCCAAGCAACAGATCGATCCTCGTCTGGCTGAGATGACCCGCTACGGTGGTGGTGGCGGCCGCGGCTACGGCGGTTACCGTGGCCGTGGAGGCGGTAGAGGTGGGTATCGTCGATGGTAAACTTCGTCAAAAAGGCACCTCTAGGAGCTGACCACGGTCTATCAGCCAACTCCAACAACTACCCACTGGGCAACCGTCGGTGGTAAGACAGAAGAAAACCTGCGCGCGTACCCACGCAGTGAACCGGACAAGTGCAACTCTTTGCAGAGTTTAGAATGAATGCGCCATGTCCTGGATCGCATGACACAAAAACGTGAACGGCCCAATGCACTCAAACGGCGTTTGATAGAGGACAGGATTGGTTTCAATTAGACATTGACTCGCATCCTTGCGTAGTCACCGGTTATTTGGTTTTTGTTGTGGACGGATATTTTCTTGTTTTTGCTTTTGCCTCTTTTCTATTAACCCTTTCCTTTTATTTTAATGGTTTGAACGTATATCACATAAGGACACGGAAGAAAGTGCTCCATTGTTATCGGTCACTTACTCAGCCAAGATGTTTGATGTATCTATCGACATCGGCAATAGGCTACTTTGCCTCGGGGTTAACAAATGTATGTTGATAGAGAGAAAAAAAAATATGAGGTCAGAAAATGACACGCATTTGGGCAAACCTGTTTTAATAATTGCTACTATAGTAAAGCCTTTGACAAGTCGAACAAGTGAAATTGATGTTACATGGTTATATGATATGGCCTATGTGTATCCTAGATGCATAGACCATGATACCAAGATGTATTGCAGAGTAACTGATGTAGAGTTTGACTTGATGTTTATGTTAGAGTTGGTGCTTGTTGTGCATTCGCCTTGTACCAATAGTTTTGGGTAATTAGCAGCGGATAGACGTGCATCTGACGGCCAAGATTGACTTTTCTTTTGAAAAGCTGAGTTGACGCCAGCGTCGTTCTCATTGCTCTTCATATTGGCCAAGCAATTAACTACCGTTCAAACTTATCACAACTCAGCTTTTGCAAATACCTTGTTGACGCGCCTTGCCAATTCCAGCATCTATACACACCATCTACATGATCCTTTCCAGCGTCAAACAGACCAATCCCATTCACGGAAGATATTAACCAACCTTTTTTTTTTTTTATCTTTACACTTTCTCATTTGCTACTATTCCTTTATTCAATTTTATCTTCAGCCGTGTGTACGTTACCGACCTACCTACCTACCTATATGGTATAAATCTACTTATATGCATCGCCTCGTTGTTCGCCTCGCTTTTCACATTAATCTATTTAACTCAGCCACCAACTCCTTCATCAATCTCACTCAACTCTAAACAAAAAATCCTTTTCCGTCACACCAACAAACAATAGGAGAGACACACTACAGTATACACACACACTCGCACACCCCCCCTCTGCGAAGCGAGCGCAAAAGCGCGTCCGTGCGGGCGTGTTGGACGCGTCGTTTCTTTTCTTTTTTCTTTCTTTTTTTTTTTTTTTTTTTTTTTNTTTTTTTTGCACTGAACAAATAAGAGAAGAGGAACAGAAAGGCCACATGCACATGAAACGTTGGGTGTATATATTGCTGCTCTATTCCTTTTATGGAGGTGTGTCTGTGTGTGTCTGTGTGTGTCTTTTTTTTAGCAGCGGTTATTTATCCAAGATTGGAAATGAGTCTCTTGTATTGATACTCCCTCATTGGCCCATTTGTACTTTTTTCGTAAAATACATCCTGTTTCTCTCTCTATTCTCTCTTATAGCTTTTGTCCATTTCCTAACAGTGCAAGGGGGCCGCATCTTTTGCTAGCATTCATCTACTCTAAACCCCAAAAAGCAAAAAGCAAAAGCAAAAAAAAAAAAACGGTGAGCTAGCATCGCATTCCTTGCAACGGAAGGATCGAGATTCCGTCTTTGCTTTTTGTCTCTTCTCCTACTCCCTTCCCCTGCTACTTATCCTAATGATGCATCATCAGCCTTTCGCTCTACTGTAAGTTAAACCTCCGTTATGCATGATTGCTGTTCTATGTATTACCAAGGTATTATAATACTACTAAATATGTGTACCCCTTTCGCCCTGCTTTTTTGGTTTGTTTATTTGTTTGCTTCTTTTCCTTTTTCTTGCGTGTAAAGAGGGGGGGGGGGCTTAAAAAAGGGCTGAACTAGAGCTGAGAGCTGAGCTGCATCATACAAGGATCAAGGGATATTACCATACACACTACAAGGCACATACCATCGTATGTATTCGTATCATTATCATTAACTCCATTCCATTCCCATCTGTTGTTTCCCGACCCCCTTGCTTGTTTCTTGCCTGCTTCATTTACTTTTTTACCCATGTATTTTCCCCGTCTTACATACGCAGTACATACACAAAAACATCCCCGGCGTTCAAAAACAAACCGCGACAAACTCCAAATGATAAGTGATCAAATGAATAATAATAATAATAATAATAATAAATAAAAATAAAATAAAATAAACCCAACCCCAGCCCCAAAAGTCATGCAGCCCTCTCGTGAGTGGTTAGTGTTCTTTCCATCCACACACACGCACCATGAATATATATAACTATGTACTGTAATATGCAGCGAATCCTATAGGGCGGAAGGATTCTATTCCTCGCTTCGCTTCGCCTTTTTGTCGCTGCGACTACTGACTGGAATAGTATGCTCGTACGAGTTATATTACCGCATGCTGAAGCATAACCCCCCCCCCCCCCCCAAGAATAGACAGAGCGAGAGGCGAAATTGGTCAGCCGACAACAAATATGTCATCCATATCAATCCATGCTTATCCGAAGCTTTGTAACCAACATGCTCAAAAGATAATAAAATTAAATAAAAATTAATGACAATAATAATGAATATGAAGAAGAAGAAAAAAAGTAATGGATAAATAATAAGTAAACAATGATGTGATACAGCATGATATTGCTTGGCAATCACACACACCCAACCCCTTGCTTCCCCCGATTTACTTATCATTCCGTGTCATGTTCAAATAAAAAATAGAAAAAAAAAAAAAGGTCAAATGCACAAGATGTACCTGCCTACAAGAGTACATGTACCTTGGCCACGAGTCAAAGTCCCGCAAATCCTTCCAAGACATCGGCGAACTGGAAGAAAAAAGACGAAAAAAAAAAAAAACAAGTCAGACAAGGATTCTGCTTCGTGTCTCAACCCGTCGTTGGTCAGGTCAGCCCGTGTCTCTGTTGGTTGACCAACACCACCGGTGAACACCGAAGAATTTGCTGTCCCCGTCCCCCCTCCCTGCAGATTTTCCTGCTGGTTGATAGTACTGCTAGTGCCAAGGACTTACCCGGTAATCTGGGGAACTTCACAGCGAGCTTCTTGTTTCTTCTTGCAAGTCCACAAATAACGCCGACATCAAACACAGAGTACCTACCAAGGTAATATATAGTACATACATACATACATATTATACATACACCTACAGTAAAAGCAATACCAAAAACCCCCTCCTTTCCTCCACAAAGGAAAAAAAAAAAAAAGAGATATACAGCATTATACAGTAAATACTTCGTAATCCACCCTTCAAATCTTAACAACATAAGCCCAACTCAGCTCTTCTCACTCACCAAATCCATCTAGTAAAAAAACCATTCACATTAAATCTTAAAAATAGTCCAAAATGACTCGTAACATATATTACTCAAGCCACATCTCTCTTCCCCAAAAAAACCACAAAAAAAGACACGTTCATCTCAAATATCGTAGCTATACGATAAAGAGTAAAACCGCAGCAGCAGCTGAAGAGAAAAGAACAATAAACTAACCACTAGCTCAACCATCTTCTTTTCCCTCTTTAGGTATGGAACGGCGCTCACACTACTGTACAACAAAACGACGAGGCTTGCAAGGAGGCGTAATAGTTTTTAGCCCCAAAAAAATCTGGGGAGGGACCCATTTCTCATCAATATCAACGAGAAAGGATAAAAGCGCGAAATGGGCAAGACTCCAAGAGAGGAGAGAGGAGAGAGGAGGCTCAATCTCAATCCGGGCAGCCGTAATCGGAGGCCCGCTCCAAGAATACCTACCTACATGCTATGGGTAGGTACTCAAGATAATATACATGACATGCATAGTATGAGCAGTATTACACAAAGTGGATTCTGCAAACGACGCGGGCCTTTGGCGAAGGGGCGTGCATGCAAAAATGGCAAATATTATACAAATAGAGATACTATATGGAGTATAGAGAGAGAACGAGCTCCAAGGAGATCGAAAACGCGACGAGGAGGGGCAGCAAAAGGACATTTGTTGAGATCCCAACCACAAAACTCATACTCTCAGACTGGAAGGACCTTATGCTGGAGGCTTTCTTTCGTCGTCTTCTCCTCTTCCTCTCCATTCCTGCCTGCCTGGGAACCCTTGGCCGATAACACCACAAACGCAAAGCATTCGCATATACTACCATACTTCGTCGGACACACGTAAACACTGATAGGAAACCCAAGGGTCCCCTCCTCCCCCCATCGCATAAGCTATTCAGGAAACGCCCGTGTGTCAAATAGCGTAAAAACCTCTACTTTCCCTCACCGAATCGTATAACAGAGCTGGGTAGGGGGAGAAAAAAGTCCAGGCCCTCTCCCCCATTGTCATGCACGTCTTTGCCCCAATTTTGAAAATAAATTATGGGGAGAGCCACAATTCTTTTCTCTCTTTCTCTCTCCTCTCTCTCTCAGCCTCTACCCTGGTTTACGCACACAGTGCATTCAAATCTCATTTCAAATAAGAAAGAGAGACAGAGAAAATCAAAACACACACCCCCCAGTCGAAACGATCAATCAATTTCTTTCCTGAGGCTGAAAGGATTGGTGATGGCCCGATGAGGGAGGGGAAACACGCAAAGAGACAAATACTACCTACTCTCAAACCTGATCGCCGAACTGAAAATAAGTTGAATGCACATGTAACAGGGGACAGGCAGCCACAAGGCACAGAGAGACCCAGCAACCCCCTCCCGCTTGCCTGCAGAGAGTTCACTTGCCTCCTCATCTGCGGAATGTTCTCCCCTGTCTTATCCTTCGAAATCAAATCCATGCTGGGATGGGCGTAGTAAGCACGTGGTTAAAGGTGGCGTTATGCTATAGGAGGACAGATAATGTAGAGGGGGAGAGCCGGCCCGAGGATTCAGAGAAGCTTCTCTATACGGCATCCCGTAAATCTCCCCAGACAGATGGTTCCTTCAGCGTCGCATTGGACGAAATGAATAGGCAAGGAAAAGACCCGTGTGTGGGCAGCGCATGTGAAGCGTGATCTCCATGTTGAGACGAGACGCGTCCGAAAAAGCGCAGCCCTCTCTCTCGAGCCAGGGGTCAGCCGAGCTAAGCTAAAAGCCAAGACACACGGAAAGACTGATTACCAGGTTCAGTCTACGGGTGTAGCAGTGGCTAGCCAGCATCGCGATAGCCATGGGTCAGATGCCTCTTAATCAACCTTATATTCAACTACCAAATCACCCCAAGCGAATCTCTCATGTATTCACGCTGTCTCTCTCTCGTACCATGTACTCATACATGTCTCTCACTCATGCCACTTGGCGTGTGATGCGTCAAGCCCAAATAAAGGAGCGTATTATGTGAGTGACTAGGGATTCAATGCAGACAAGGGAGAGAAGAGAGAATAACATGTGTGATTCGTCGTCACAGGTAGAAAAGACGGTGATTGAGATTTGATCCTGAGCTGTACATGTAGGCAGGATCATATGCCTTGCTCGATACCGTCACATCCCAGCTTGTCAACCTGGCTAGCATTACGAGTAGTCCGATGTATGTTCGTAGAGAGTAAGGTGGCATTAGTCGAGTTGACCGTCTTTTTCGCTTCCGATTCCTAGTTCATGGGCTGAACTACAAGCCCACAAAAAAGACAACATGAATAGAGGGGAAAGGCAGAAAAAAAAAAAAAAAAAAAAAAAAAAAAAAGACGCGAACCTGCTGGGGTACATGGCGGAAACGGGCCAATAAGACCAGAGAAATCCCAGAGTCAAGGGGCCCATACAGAGATAACTGGGTCGGGGGTGCCGATGAGTCAAACAGGAAAATGGGGTTTTAGCACGTTCGCCGACGTGCTACATGTATCTATACAGTGCACAATAATAGACAGCGCGTTCTCCACATTGGAAAAAAAGGAAGAGAAGAAAAGATCGGATACTACCCTCTTGGATGTAGCCCTCTGTTAAGGCCAGGTAGTAATTGCTTCTCCATAATGCTGCAGCTGCAGCTGTGGGAAGGGGGGGGGGGGGGGGCTGCGAATGGATTGGGGAATGTCACAGTCGCTGCCCTGCGGATGGCGCTCTCGTCAGATACAGAAACAGGGACTTGGCAGTGGACAAACGAAGTTTTCGAAGCCAAGGCAAAATCTCCCATTGGCGGCGGCGGGGGAAGCTGTTTGGATGGGACGCCAGCGCTGCGGCATTGGACAAATGAAAAGGCAGCAAATGCGTGGGCATGGAGGGGTGTGTAAAAGCGCAATCGTGGAGGCGAGCCTCTCAAAAAGACGGGTCATCTCTCCCTCCCTTGCTGAGTCTCTTAGTCATGGGGAGAGAAGAAAGAGGGGGAGCGAAGGGCCCTGACTCGGCAAAATGATATCCTTGAAACGTCAAGGGAATCCCATGAGAACAGCCGCACAAGGGTGAGTGAGTGGGCACAGAACAAGGTGAACCCGCAGAATCGCAACTATGGGAAGAGGTCCAGTTCCCACTCGCAGACGTCATAGGATTTGGTCAACAGCAATCTGAATGGCGAACCCCGGCTGAGGTGGCTGAAACAGTCATCAAAGCCCAAGGACCGAGGCTTTTTCTGCTTCCTCTTCCATCTTGGCATATGCCTGTACTTGGAGGTATCCTCCTCGTTCTCGGCTCCGTGTTGCGGTGCGGTGCTGTCTCTGGAGCATGTGAGCTCACTTTGTCGTCCCCATCATCATGCGCATCTTCTCTCTTCCAACGAGTCTCGATGCGACGGCGGCGGGCGGTGGAGGGAGGGCGAAAAAGTGGACGGCCCAGGGTCAGGCGGCAGCAGCTGGACGAAAGCAGACATGGCCGGCGACGACCCTGGACAGCTTTGTCCACTTGCACATCGTCATGTTGATGTCCATAGCGGAGAGGCTGAAAATTTGATTCAAGGACGAGAAGAGAAAGAGACACGCCAGCGTCGTACCACTGTGCCCCAGATGTCGTCTGTGCCTGTACTTTTGTTGCTGTCTCCCCTCTTTTTCCCATGGTTCTCCAGCAGGCAGAGGACACTGCTTGACGTCTTGAGGCGTGGGCGAGGCTTGGACTTTGTTGGAATGGGCATCAAAGGCGACGTGCCCCGGCTGGAACCTCGCCGGCCAGTCTGTGTGCGTGTCTCAGTTGCAAAGTACGCAATACCTGGCGTCGCCATCTGCGCTGGGCGTCTTGGTACTCGCGTCTGCGCGGCCAGCGGCAGCATCGCGTCGGTACCGCGCCAGACCCGCGAGGGGTACCGGCTACCACATAACGTGACGAGCCGCCCAAGCATGTCATCCAGCTAGCGGCCACCCAGCTTCGGCGCCCAAGTGGACTTTGCTGTGCTCTTCCCTCCTGCTCGAGCTCCAGTTCGCGGCTGAGCGAGAAGAACAATCTGACACTGGCTCGCACAAGTGCGCTCCCGTATTCCTGGGACCGCAACAGACGCCCAACGATGGCGCCCGCTGGCTGGTCAGAAACCCGCCGTTGGTGTGTCGCACAACAGCCGCCCCTGGGCTCCTAGCGCGGTGTGCTTGCAAATGCCCACTGCGGCAGGCCCTAAAGCAGGCTCTGAGGCGCTGGCGCTGGCGCTGCGCACTAGCACTATCGGCGCCTGCTAGCAGCCCATCAAACCACCCCAGATCGCCGCGCTGAACTGGCCGACGCTTGCGAGATCCCTGGACCAAGGATTTGCGACTCCACGGAGCCCTCTCACTAGCACTAGCACAATACCGACCACTGGGTTCCTGGTAAGCTCGCGCTGGCGAGATCTGAGATAAGTTTTGCTGCTAGCACACGTTGGTCCTGGAGGCTAGCCTGGGCTGAATGTACCGCTACCATTGTACTCTTGGGCTGCCCTGTGCAGCAGTGCGTCTGGCCCGGAATGCAGCGCACTAATGCGCACTGTCAACTCGCTGCTTATAGTAATTGATTCGTGCTCGGTGAATCGACCCCGAGCAGGCATCGTCGAGGCGCGCCGCATCGCATGACGGCCAATGATAATAATAGCAGTTGCAGTTGCAGTTGCAGCAGCATAATGCCGTGGCAGGGTCATGCTTGCGCGCGCCCGTGTCGCACGCATCGTGAGTGGCTCTGCGCCCGGAGTTCTCTCCAGGCAGTCGTGTTTCCGAGGCAACACTATGCTTCATCCAGTATGGAGTGCGTGCCATGGGCATGCTCGCTGCAACTCTCGGAACCCGTCTGGACGATAGCCATGGCGATGCCGGCTTTCGCGAGCCAATATAATATCGTATCCCAGCCCAGGGAGAAATGAGATTTCGGCAAGGCGAGCCATCGTATAGCCTGGAGCCGCTGCCGCGTATTGGTGAACAAGCGTTTCGATATGTACTTGGCTCTCGCTTCTCCCCCTCTTTTTTCATATACTACTTGTATGTCATGCTCCTATTTAGACACTATGAATTTTTTTTTTTTTTTTTTTCGGTGAGGCTCTAGTGCAGGTCCTAGGCCCTCGCAGAATTTAGAGTTGTCAAAGCAAAGCCTAGACATCGGCCGCCCTAAATCCCATCTCCCTTCTTTAGCTTGCTCCATCTCATCTGATCTTGACGATTAGTTTAGGCGGAAACTTGTAGTACATAGTAGTAGTAGTGAAGTATGATATGCGCACCAGTATGGGGTTCGTTCTTTCTTTCGTTGCTGATCAGACCCTCCCAAGCCAAATAGCAAGTTTTGAGGCAATGGACTGGGGTAGGAACGCCTACCGCTTCTCGGCAATCGGGGCGCATACGAACTTGTGGTAGAAGTAGTAATTCATACTGTAGCTGGCACGCGGCCGCCTCATGTCGCCAGCCCTACGAGGATACCTGTTACTAATCTCCTCAGAAGTCGTAAGCATATCGTGATCATGATACCCTGTATCACTTAATTTCACAAAGTGAGATCGGTCCCTTGGATCCGTTGAATGAGTTGGAGCGACACTACTCCCCATATGGCCGTCTCTTAGAAAGCTGCAAAGCCGAACTTGATAATGGCCAACTGGGTGACAGTGAGCTTACTGTGGCCACCTCCTGTATCGCATCGCGTATGGGTAGTAGGTGCTCCATATTCCGTGCTAAGTTCTGTTTCCAAAAGAATTGCAACGTCAAATCAGCACTGCCCAGCAGAGGATCATTTAGCACCGGACAGGGTAGCAGCAGCAGCCGAGCGGAGAGGGCATCTGCCGTTTAGACGCCCTGCCTTGTTTACGAGTACCTACCACCACTATGTGAAAAAAAGCTCCTGACAGCTGATACTAGTTAGGCCAGCGCGCGCTAAATAGTGCTCTTTCGGCCGGATGCCGCTCCCTTCGTAGATCCAATCATCGTGGAATTCGTGCTTCGTGCTGTAGGGAGTGCTATCTTGCTCTGTAGAGGTCTCCACGGTCATCGTGGTCGTCGCGAAGTGGGGGAGCGTTTCCGAAGAGCGGTTTCCAGGAAATCGGATAAACTTGGATCAACACGTTCAGCATCACCTCAACCCCCTTTACCCCAAGTAAACAAGAACATGTCTCAGCCGAACCTCCAATGACTTCAGTGTGAAAAAAGACCGCATGCAGTAGTAGTGCTATGTTTTAGCACTGCAACCTCCAATTTCGGAGATTGAGGAGCGAGCAGGAGCAAACGGCCGCCTTTCGCCTAACGTAGCCCTCTTGCCTCGAAGTTCAGCTGTCACGCCCCCTTGGCCGAATACGACAAGGTCGTTTGCTCGCTAGGACGTCCTCATCTCACGCTGTTCTCCATTTCGTCCAAGGAGGTGGATATGGGCCTAGAGCAGCCACCGTGATTAAAGAGATGACGGTGGCTTGAGAGCAAAGGGCAGCCACAGTGAGCTGGCGTGCCAACCTTGGCGCGTCGGATTACCACATTGGCTGCGCCATGCAGGAAGCTGAAGGGGGAGGGTATTAGAACCCCATTTGCGGCTGTCTTAAGATGACCCACCAGAAACCATAGCGCCTATGCGATGAATCGTTTATCGCAATTTGTCAATTGTCGGTTTCAAGCAGACTGGCTTGATTGGATAAAAATACGACACGTCTGTGTTGTGAGCCGTCCGGGACATGCAGCAGGCGGGCGTGCCGATTGGAAAGAAAGGTCAGACAGTGAAGCTAACTGTTCTGCTGTTTGTTCGATCGGCTGATTGATTGATTGATTGATTGCGAAGCAAGTCAAGTAGTATCAAGATTACAGCTGTGGTTGTAATCCCAGTCATGTCTAGTATACTAATTATACTAGCAGCAGATGGTGAGCTTACTGGTTCCGCTGCCCGCCCCAAAGGGCTGATGCAGTAACGAAATTAGATCGCCGTTTGTTTTCTGATTTTCAATCCCGTCCCTGGTGTGAATGGGGACGTGCCAGTGCGGCTGACTTCGTCTTTAGGCAATGTACTACTGCTACTAGCTAGTAGAACGACAAGATACCATGCTAGCCAGGTTTCATTCGTAAGGGGGGTTTGGTATTTTAGATCCTTTGGGCTTGGAGGCCGAGAGGGCCCTTGTCCTGGCCTAGTTCTACTCAAGCTAGTAGTTCTTCCGGCGATAGTCTAGCGGTCAGTGGTGGGCTGTACGTATCCCGCGTTTCTTCCTCTTGGAAGCTGCTTTGTTATCAGGGAAGTGCACCCAGGGCTGCGTGAGAGGTGGTGAAGCACTGCTGTACATTAATCATTTGATGGTCTTCCATTGTTCAAGATATGTGATATCATCTCTGACTCTTTGTTTCGCTGTTTTCTTTGATGGAGTACTCAGTTCTGCCTCTCGTATCAATACATTTGGCAACTTTTAGATTTCGTTTGAAACTCGGGAAAGAGAGTGGATATGTTCAAACACAAACTTGATGCCTTTTCTCGTCGAAATGGGGGTCAAAGGGGGTGTATCAAATAGGGTGCCACTGTTGAGGCATTTGAAATTCGAACTTTTGCTGCCCGATATCACCTGAGCTTCATCCCACGGAGCACATCATGCTTTCACGGCGGTGTCACCAGTGTGACCGAAGAAGAGCTTATCACTTGCTCTTTGTGCCAAGTGTAAGTGAGGAGCTGCTTTGAAATTCCATCATATTAGGATAGTGCTATTCTTTGATTTTCACCAGCAGTTGAATAGCATAGACTGGAAGGCCCCAGATAATAGCTAGCCGATGTTCGGCTTGGACATACATCTCTCGAGTGTGAGAGATATGATGAAATCGTAACTACCATACTAGGTGGCGAAAAAAAACCACGTACAGAGCATATGATCTTCAAATCGCAGTTGGGTGCTGATATAAATCGGGTCGGCTGGATATCCATCTATCGCAGAGAGCTCTCATAGCACCAAAGAACGAGCATGTACGAGTACCCGTACTACTTTGAACGATCTCGTTGGACACCACCTCGTCTGGATCGACGCTAACTCCTACTTAACGCCGGATGCCAGCTCATCAAGCGAAGACCGACGAAGGCGAAGGACATCTAGCCGCCCAATACATATTAATGGGAGGGAAAAACATTGTGTGCTTCGGATGCAGTATCTCGTCCTTTGGTGGTGATTGGGTAGCTGATTATGTGGCTGTACGGGATAGAGTGGCTGCAATCAATGCATCAGCCAATTGGTGCCTCAGATGGCCGCCGAAGGGGTGCGTGTTGCTGCAGCAAAGGTAGGTCAGACCATGCAAGACGGATGCAGGATTTCCCACTACTTTTCCTTTCCTTTTCCTTTTCCTTTTTTTTTTTTTTTTTTTTTTTTTTTTTTTTTTTTTTTAATATTGCATTCTCATTCTCTTGTTTTTGTAACATGCTGCGGCGTGGTGGTAGTTGGTGATTGTCGAAGGGTTCATATGGAGTGTCCTTCAACTCCCTGTCAAGTTATCAGGTGATAGATTTGACTCCCCCAGAAAAGTTGAGCTAGGGCGAAGGCCGGTGGAGTTGTGCGGCTGGATCAGTGACAATGTACCTTTTCTAGATTAGTCGGTGCGTGCATGTCAGAAACGCGCAACCTGAATGAAGTGCGAATGTGTTGCCGTCAAGGGCCAAAGTGAAAGCTGTCCTGGCATTAACTTGTGAGCTGAATATGCCGTAACATGCCTCTGCCCTTGATTCCATAACTCGATCCTCTGTCGCGGAGTACTGTTATCCATCCTATGTCGTACAGTGCTGCCGCGAGGTTTCCACGGGCTGTGGTATCGTCGACGCGTCTCCGAATTAGCTAGCGTTGTACAATGCTTGAATTAGACATTCATCATTATCGACATCACCCTGCCCATCGGTGGATCTACCACGTGAGGCCACGCCCTTGGTTGCATCGCAGGTTCGAAGGAAGCACAAAGCTCAGCCATCACACGTGGACCCTCAGGAGGGGCTTCAATTCAAGCTGCGTGCGACAAAAGTCGTCTTGCAAGGGAGGGGAACGTCGCAATTCAAGAATCCCTGTAACGGCTTACAAGTTGATATTGCGGTGAAGGTCGACAAACCTGGATTGCCTTGACCCAATATCTAACCACAGAACCGCATGCATCCAGATTCACCTCGGCATTTGGCCAGTCGATTGCCAAGGCGTTTGCTCCAAATGGCTGTCAAAAGTCGAGCTAACCGGTTGTTGGGGGCACAGTGTATAAAGCCAAAAGCAACGAGTTCGTAGCGGTATTGGCGAGAATCTGCAGGTAGTCGGCGCCCATGGTCACCTTGCTGAAATGCTGCCTTCCAATTGCGGTTATACAAGGCGCTTTTGGGTTTGCATTCTCTCAGTGGCCACTTTGCTTGCTGCTGGATTGCATTTTCACTTTTGCTAGGGGGCGCGGCTTTGCAGGTCTGCGGGACGGCAGGTATTAGTACTAGTATGCCGAGTACTCCGTACAAGTATGTAATCGTAGTAATATGTTTTGGTGCCTGAAGCCTCCTAGGATGCATTCCCCCCCTCTTTGTTTCTGTTCATTCACTAGGACCAACTCAGAGAAGCATGGACGTTAGCTGGAGCATCGTTCTGACGCCGGCAGACAGGCCACGACTTTGGCCCTTGGCACCTTGACCAACGAAACAACGCGGCCGTGCCAATTCGGGGCATAGATGGCCTGAGGGGCGATTTTAGTCTCTCCCGAAGACTCGGGTCGATTTGATCTGTTTAAAGACTCCCAAGGCTGAAGGCTACTTCAGCTGGGCAGGCAGAAATGATGATGGCTACAAAAAAAAAAAAAAACGGAAAAGCTTGTGCACAGTAATAACGCTCGCACAACTTTGTGCGGCTGCGGCTGAGACCTGAGCAGGAAGAGAATGAGTCAATGGCTAATAGACTATGCGTGATGGCTGCCTAGTGGGTTCATTATTGCATTGCCGCCGAGCTCTCTCGACAGTGCGTTGTGGCTTGACATGGCCACGAGTCTTGGAATGCGGAGGTATGTACGAAGTAGGGAATCTCTATATATGTCTTGACTCATGAAAGACAGAGAGCGAAATGGAGCCAGAGAGAGAGCGAAGCGAGAGAGAGAGAAGAGTGAAGATACCTGTCGATATACCCGGGCCTATCATGGTTCAGTCCTTCTCTCTGGATACCGCTTCTGCATGTATGTCTCAGGTTGGCATACAAAAAGCGATGCAGCGTACCTTGGCACACACCTTGCTGGGATCACGGTGTCGAACCTTGCTGACTCATGCGCTTCGTATTCTCGACGACTCTGCGGCGATGTCGTTGCTGCCTATGGTAATGCTTTTCCGCGGCCTGAGTGCAGCTTCCTGGGAGATGTATCGAGCGGCTCTGAGTTGCTACCGCATCGACTCAACCACACTGACAGGATAGACGGCACGGGGTACGGAGCAGTTAACCCATAGTGGCGCATATCCTCCCCCCAGCACCCTGTTAGAGCGCATGAATCAAAGCTTAGATGATGCCAAGTTGCAGGGTGGTCGGTCTGTCGTGGTGGTGGCGCTGAGCGTTGAGCGTTGAGGCGGAAGTATGATTAACCATTTATCCGTAACCGGAAGGGTACCACCACAGGTACATGGAACATGTGCTGTCATATCGTAAGGTTGACAAGCGACAGAAGTGGGGAGCCATGCAATCCTACCACCTCAAGCACAAGCAATGCTACAGGGACGAATCTGCAGTTCCAGGCCCTCTTCGGGCACCATACCGTTGTCTTCGATTTATGCGGCACGGCAGGCAAGAAATTGCGGTGCGTGGAAAATGGAAGCTGGACAGACGCGAATTGGGTTGGATCTACGCATCGACTGACCACTCATGTGCTGATACCCAGGCCCTGACTCGTCCCGCGTACGGTGAGAGCACCGCCTGTTATCTTATACTGCTACGCACATGCCTGGTATTCAGCACAGACGAGACATGCGTCGGGCGGCAAGCAGCGAGCATGGGCGATGACTCCTGGCATGTGCGGTGTGCATGATGTCGTATCGAGTTCTGGTAATAATGGCCTCAGCATCTCAAGGTCATGCACCACGCGTTGGCTGCGAGAGGCAACGCGCCCGTATTGCATCTTTATTAGAAGGCGTTGGCCGTGCATACATTGTATGTATGCATACAAGCAGTGAAGTGTGATTGAACAGAAGAGCTTTGCTGGGCCCAAGTCCAGAACGGTGCATGCTTCTGCACACCCGCGACTCTGGCGACGACCAGAGGCGAATCAGCTGATGGACGCCGTCATTCTGGCAACTCTGATTGCGTCTCGCTGCACGACGCTCTTTCGCATCGCCATATCTGAGCGAGACGCTGACTGGCCAGCGTCCCCAGCACAAGTACGTAATGCATCCAGGCAGGCAATATTTCGCCTGTCTGGTGGGTGATCCGGGCCATTACTCGTAACTGCACTCCCCTCAGCAATCTGGCGAATGTGACAGCTCAGTGGGTGGTTGAAATGCCTGTCTATCAGTAACGGGCAAGGTATAAAATAAAATGGCAATATGATGGACAGTCACGGTGGGCTCGAGATGGCGTCTGCTGCTGCTAGTGGTAGGGTACCTCAGCGCTGGGATCCATTAGCATATTCTGCCCCCCTGGCGCGCTGCATCAGGGAAAAGCTGTCGCATGCTGCGGCAGAGATTGCTGGGCCCTGGCTGCGCCTAGAACCGTTGACAGAGCCGATGCCAGCCCGCCCAGTAAGATGGCCAAGCACTAAGGCGGTTCACGGCTAAGCACAAGACGACTTTGTACCGCAGCAGTCTACTTTACTGTATCTCCTGGCACTAGCAGCGCTTGCACGTTGTGCTGGAAACTAGCGGGCGATCCAGGGCCAAAGAGCAGTGGCAGGATAGCCACATCTCGCTGTCTATTATTTGATGCTGCACCTGTCGAGAATGACTTCAAAGCATTGAACGAGAGGGCAGACACCTCCTCCCCTACGGCGATAGATGCGCCCGCAGCTCGGGCAGCTTACGAGATCACAGTCGCCATGCCGGTCGCGGCCAACCCTTTTTCCTTTCTTCTTTGTTCTTCTACTGCATCTCTCTCTGTCTTCTCTCGCATATGTACTATCCCATGGCCCGGCTATCGAACGATTAGTCGCTGTTACACAGGCGGCTGGGTGGAGCGTCGCACACGTTGGAACGAACGCCCTTTCTGCGGAGAATATCCTTAGCAGCGCAACCTGGACTTGGAGCTCCGTCCTTTTCATGAGCGTGGGCCGCTCGCTCGCGTGCGACATTCGCTAGCGCCACACTGGAACCATGACGCTGGGCTCCAGCTCCAGCTCTTGGGTCTTGGGCCTTGGAACGTCGATGCTGGTTCGATGCCGCGCCATCGTTGGTTCGTTCAGCCCAGCCCGTCCATGGCCTCATGCTTTTTGCCTCTCCGCCTTGCCTCGCGCCCTTGTTTCGCCTCTCCATCGCGACGTCGCCGTGAGACGCAGCCAGACGGACCTCACCGCGACGCATTGGGAACCAAGGTTTTCTCGTCCATTCCCCCGAAAGAGCGCAAGTGGATGGGGAGGGGGGTTGGGGCTTTTGGGCTTTTTTTGCCCGCTTGCGGTGGTCTCGCCCGTGCCATCTGTATCAGTACCGTGCGCTTTCTCGTCGTCCCCTCTTCTCCTCTTCTCCTCTCTCTCGCGCGTCTCTCGTTCTTCCTCTTTGTGTGCGGTACATGCTCCTACATGGCTCGTACATGCGCGGCCGCCTGCTGTCAAGGCCAAATTCGCCGTTATTGGCACTACGTCCGGCGGCGTAACATTGGATCGAAGCGGCCATGGCCTGCGACTAGGTTTCCCTTGAACCCACCCCCCACGAAGCCAAGCCGCAGGAAATGGCTCCATCGGTGACATGCCCTCGCCATTGGGTCGAGCTGATCGCCCCGCTGATTGGCCATTATTTATCGCAGCAAAAAAGGCGCAGATCTTCTAGTATCTGGTAGGTAATAAAAAACGCAGCGTACAGTGTGGGGCACGGAGTACCAGCACCGCTGTTGCAGGGGGTGGCACATCCATCCATTCCAACTCTGCGGGCATCCACCAGCCTTCAGCTGCGTCCCGCTTGGCTGGGTTTGAGGTACCTGTACTTGTCCAAACACAGAGTAGCACTATCTGAGCGCGCGAGAAGGTGGCCTCCACCAGGCTTGAACCTGGTTGTCGGGGCTGAGGGCCGCCTAAGCACAAGCAGCGCGCTGGCCGTGACACTGCTACAGCACCTGCTTGTGCTTAGTGGTGCGTGCTATGAGCATCAGCAATCAGCATCCAAATCCAATGCTCGAGCATGGGATTGGGTGGTTGCACAATGGATTTCGTTGAAGACAACCATTAGAGAGCCATTGCGCGCACGTCTCTGGAGCCCAGGCAATCCGCACGCGGTCACGATGCTCTGGATGGATTACGATTACATCACCGCCTCAGCTTTGCCACATCTGTCGTGTCTCGCCGATTGCTGAGCCCAGCCGGGGGGTGATGCTGTGTGTTTGGGAGGGGAAGAAACTCGCCTTTTTTTTTTTTTCTTTGCTGCAAGGACAGGGTTTCATTCAGTTGTGTTTTGCTCGTTTTTGCCTTTTGCCCTTTCGGTTTGCCGGGGTACCGTATCATTGCGCATGTACTATGTACGAGTACTTGGCGCTTGTGCACTACAGTATACGTAGACGGAGTGCATGCCCTGCGAATCACCCGCCACACACGCCCCCGGTTTTTCCAATGTATTTTATTTTATTATGATTTTTTTCCTTCCAATTTTCTTTCACCACTCCTCACCGCGCTTCCCTCCTCACCACCAGCAAAAGCCCTGGGATCCCTCCCCCGTCCAGCAATCAACACGCGCGTTTCGCTGTCTGGGGGCGTGAAGCGGCCATCCGTGCAATTTGGCTGAGAATAAGAATAGCGCAGCTTGTCGCCCAAACTGCCGGCACCAAAATCTGTTAAAGCCAACCAGCTCGGCCTCGCGCTACGACGGAAATAATCCGATTGCCACACGCCCCCCCTCAAGGCCCTCTCCTCGCTGCTGGGTCTGACGCCGCTTTTTTCTCTCTTGTGCTGTAATCTTCGGATCGTACCTCCGTACTCTGCGTCGAAGACAGTGCTGCGACCACGGTACCGAACCAAGCAGTGGCTCTAGCAATAAGCATTGCCTGGGATTTGGTGGTCTCGCCTTTTCCTCTCGCAAAATACGGAGCTGGCCAGCCCTGGCCCTGCGGATGCTTTCTCTCAAGGTCGGTCCCACCCTTCCAATCAATACTTGGACAGGCACGCGCACTGCTTTGCTTTTCTTCCCCATCAATCCCCGGCACGGGTTTTTTCTTCCTGCTCTTCATTTTTTGGTCCCGTATAAAACTCTTTTCTCGCGCACCATTTTGCCTGCGCAAACCTCGTCGCCGTCATAAACTGACACGAGAGTTTTCTCCTCTAGCGAGCCACCACAACTCGCCCCGCCACGTCTCTCTTTGGTAGAGTTCGCTTCTAGAACCACACAAGCGCCTCATTTCAGCCAGCAGCCTTCGGCGTCGCGCCCCGTGTCAGTCTATAAAAGACACAGAGCCAGAGGCCAGCAGAGAGAAAAAAAAACTCCCACCCCCTTGGCCTTGCCCCGAGTCATTACGCTAAGACTCTCTTGGAACTGGCTATCCCGGCCTGTTTTCTACCTGTCGGCACTATATTAGTTCGGCCTCCCAGTTCTGTGCGACCGGAAGGCCTAGCTCTAGCCTTAGCCCCCTTCGAGACTCTGCCTTGATCGCGGGCCAAAGCAAGACATCCCTGGCAAGATCAGACTCCTGGGCCTTTAACTAGTGCGCATCACATCACGCACCCCAAAGAACCCCATCAACCGAGCATTTTTTAAACAACTTTGCTATACGCCGGTCCCCCAGCCCGCGCTACTATTGCCGCCGCCGGCGATATTACATATACTAGCCCTTCTACTTCTTGCGCCGCCGCGACACCATTTTGCCCCGGAGCAGCCTGGCTTGTCGTCTCGTCTCTTACTATTTCATCCTCCCCCTGCACCACCTTGGGAAAGGAATCACACCAAGCCCCCGACGCGAGTGCTTGGAAACTACTAGACCTAGTTCCTGTCTGGACGCCGTCTCTTTTTTTCTTGTCCCTCTTCTCACTACACGCCAACCTCGTGTGGAGTCGGTAGCACGTTCCTGGAACCAACGCAAAACAACTACATCGCGACTTGAGCGAAGAAAGACCTGATCATATCTTTGACTGCTTTCTTCTCCCTACGTCGTCGTATATAGGAACTTGTCTTGGCAAGTTGTTGCGTACTTTGGGCATCGCCTTCGTCGAACAACTCTTTGCAAGTTTTTATGGACCGCGGTGCAACTCAGTTTTCCCAGTCAGGTTTGCCCTCGCCCTACTCCAGCAGCTTCGGCGACCATCACTCTGAAGGCTCGTCGGCAGATCACGCGTCTGCTGCTCAATATCCTGGGAAACAAGACTATCCTACCTCTGTAACTCCCACCTCGGAGTACAGCGTCTATCCTCCCTCCGCGCGATCAGGATCTTACTCGGAGCATATCCAGCGTTCATACCATCCATCCAGCAGCGCCAGCAGCGGAGGTATGGCGCAACAACAGAACAGTCCGTCTATGCCCCAGCACAATGGGCCAAGCCATCAAGCCCACCCCGTCAATTCTGACAACGATGTGCCTATAGATCCGTCTATTGCGGCTCCGAGTCCAACCTACCCTTACGGGCAGCACTCGCCGTATGCGCCTAATCCAGACATGTCTCATGGCTACTCCCATCCCAGCGGTGGCATGTACGCGCAGCCTCGCCCTGACTGGGCCGGCTATAGCCAGCATGGAGCTCCTCCTTTGACTCCTGGCCACCCCGTTT